TGAAGCTGAAAAATGTGCCAAGAAGAACGGAAGATTCAACAGTAAGAGATGCAAGTGTACATCAGCTGGAAAACCAAGCTCTCCAAAGACTAGTAAGCACAGTGGACCAAAGACCAGTAAACACAGTGGACCAAAGACCAGTAAACACAGTGGACCAAAAACAAGCAAACACAGTGGACCAAAGACCAGTAAGCACAGTGGACCTAAACCCACAAAACCAGAAAAATGCGGTAGTGCAATGAAGAGAACTGAAGCTGAAAAATGTGCCAAGAAGAACGGAAGATTCAACAGTAAGAGATGCAAGTGTACATCAGCTGGAAAACCAAGCTCTCCAAAGACTAGTAAACACAGTGGACCAAAGACCAGTAAACACAGTGGACCAAAGACCAGTAAACACAGTGGACCAAAAACAAGCAAACACAGTGGACCAAAGACCAGTAAGCACAGTGGACCTAAACCCACAAAACCAGAAAAATGCGGTAGTGCAATGAAGAGAACTGAAGCTGAAAAATGTGCCAAGAAGAACGGAAGATTCAACAGTAAGAGATGCAAGTGTACATCAGCTGGAAAACCAAGCTCTCCAAAGACTAGTAAGCACAGTGGACCAAAGACCAGTAAACACAGTGGACCAAAGACCAGTAAACACAGTGGACCAAAAACAAGCAAACACAGTGGACCAAAGACCAGTAAGCACAGTGGACCTAAACCCACAAAACCAGAAAAATGCGGTAGTGCAATGAAGAGAACTGAAGCTGAAAAATGTGCCAAGAAGAACGGAAGATTCAACAGTAAGAGATGCAAGTGTACATCAGCTGGAAAACCAAGCTCTCCAAAGACTAGTAAGCACAGTGGACCAAAGACCAGTAAATACAGTGGACCAAAGACCAGTAAACACAGTGGACCAAAAACAAGCAAACACAGTGGACCAAAGACCAGTAAGCACAGTGGACCTAAACCCACAAAACCAGAAAAATGCGGTAGTGCAATGAAGAGAACTGAAGCTGAAAAATGTGCCAAGAAGAACGGAAGATTCAACAGTAAGAGATGCAAGTGTACATCAGCTGGAAAACCAAGCTCTCCAAAGACTAGTAAGCACAGTGGACCAAAGACCAGTAAACACAGTGGACCAAAGACCAGTAAACACAGTGGACCAAAAACAAGCAAACACAGTGGACCAAAGACCAGTAAGCACAGTGGACCTAAACCCACAAAACCAGAAAAATGCGGTAGTGCAATGAAGAGAACTGAAGCTGAAAAATGTGCCAAGAGGAACGGAAGATTCAACAGTAAGAGATGCAAGTGTACATCAGCTGGAAAACCAAGCTCTCCAAAGACTAGTAAGCACAGTGGACCAAAGACCAGTAAACACAGTGGACCAAAGACCAGTAAACACAGTGGACCAAAAACAAGCAAACACAGTGGACCAAAGACCAGTAAGCACAGTGGACCTAAACCCACAAAACCAGAAAAATGCGGTAGTGCAATGAAGAGAACTGAAGCTGAAAAATGTGCCAAGAAGAACGGAAGATTCAACAGTAAGAGATGCAAGTGTACATCAGCTGGAAAACCAAGCTCTCCAAAGACTAGTAAGCACAGTGGACCAAAGACCAGTAAACACAGTGGACCAAAGACCAGTAAACACAGTGGACCAAAAACAAGCAAACACAGTGGACCAAAGACCAGTAAGCACAGTGGACCTAAACCCACAAAACCAGAAAAATGCGGTAGTGCAATGAAGAGAACTGAAGCTGAAAAATGTGCCAAGAAGAACGGAAGATTCAACAGTAAGAGATGCAAGTGTACATCAGCTGGAAAACCAAGCTCTCCAAAGACTAGTAAGCACAGTGGACCAAAGACCAGTAAACACAGTGGACCAAAGACCAGTAAACACAGTGGACCAAAGACCAGTAAACACAGTGGACCAAAAACAAGCAAACATAGTGGACCAAAGACCAGTAAGCACAGTGGACCTAAACCCACAAAACCAGAAAAATGCGGTAGTGCAATGAAGAGAACTGAAGCTGAAAAATGTGCCAAGAAGAACGGAAGATTCAACAGTAAGAGATGCAAGTGTACATCAGCTGGAAAACCAAGCTCTCCAAAGACTAGTAAGCACAGTGGACCAAAGACCAGTAAACACAGTGGACCAAAGACCAGTAAACACAGTGGACCAAAAACAAGCAAACACAGTGGACCAAAGACCAGTAAGCACAGTGGACCTAAACCCACAAAACCAGAAAAATGCGGTAGTGCAATGAAGAGAACTGAAGCTGAAAAATGTGCCAAGAAGAACGGAAGATTCAACAGTAAGAGATGCAAGTGTACATCAGCTGGAAAACCAAGCTCTCCAAAGACTAGTAAGCACAGTGGACCAAAGACCAGTAAACACAGTGGACCAAAGACCAGTAAACACAGTGGACCAAAAACAAGCAAACACAGTGGACCAAAGACCAGTAAGCACAGTGGACCTAAACCCACAAAACCAGAAAAATGCGGTAGTGCAATGAAGAGAACTGAAGCTGAAAAATGTGCCAAGAAGAACGGAAGATTCAACAGTAAGAGATGCAAGTGTACATCAGCTGGAAAACCAAGCTCTCCAAAGACTAGTAAGCACAGTGGACCAAAGACCAGTAAACACAGTGGACCAAAGACCAGTAAACACAGTGGACCAAAGACCAGTAAGCACAGTGGACCTAAACCCACAAAGCCAGAAAAATGCGGTAGTGCAATGAAGAGAACTGAAGCTGAAAAATGTGCCAAGAGGAACGGAAGATTCAACAGTAAGAGATGCAAGTGTACATCAGCTGGAAAACCAAGCTCTCCAAAGACTAGTAAGCACAGTGGACCAAAGACCAGTAAACACAGTGGACCAAAGACCAGTAAACACAGTGGACCAAAAACAAGCAAACACAGTGGACCAAAGACCAGTAAGCACAGTGGACCTAAACCCACAAAACCAGAAAAATGCGGTAGTGCAATGAAGAGAACTGAAGCTGAAAAATGTGCCAAGAAGAACGGAAGATTCAACAGTAAGAGATGCAAGTGTACATCAGCTGGAAAACCAAGCTCTCCAAAGACTAGTAAGCACAGTGGACCAAAGACCAGTAAACACAGTGGACCAAAGACCAGTAAACACAGTGGACCAAAAACAAGCAAACACAGTGGACCAAAGACCAGTAAGCACAGTGGACCTAAACCCACAAAACCAGAAAAATGCGGTAGTGCAATGAAGAGAACTGAAGCTGAAAAATGTGCCAAGAAGAACGGAAGATTCAACAGTAAGAGATGCAAGTGTACATCAGCTGGAAAACCAAGCTCTCCAAAGACTAGTAAGCACAGTGGACCAAAGACCAGTAAACACAGTGGACCAAAGACCAGTAAACACAGTGGACCAAAAACAAGCAAACACAGTGGACCAAAGACCAGTAAGCACAGTGGACCTAAACCCACAAAACCAGAAAAATGCGGTAGTGCAATGAAGAGAACTGAAGCTGAAAAATGTGCCAAGAAGAACGGAAGATTCAACAGTAAGAGATGCAAGTGTACATCAGCTGGAAAACCAAGCTCTCCAAAGACTAGTAAGCACAGTGGACCAAAGACCAGTAAACACAGTGGACCAAAGACCAGTAAACACAGTGGACCAAAAACAAGCAAACACAGTGGACCAAAGACCAGTAAGCACAGTGGACCTAAACCCACAAAACCAGAAAAATGCGGTAGTGCAATGAAGAGAACTGAAGCTGAAAAATGTGCCAAGAAGAACGGAAGATTCAACAGTAAGAGATGCAAGTGTACATCAGCTGGAAAACCAAGCTCTCCAAAGACTAGTAAGCACAGTGGACCAAAGACCAGTAAACACAGTGGACCAAAGACCAGTAAACACAGTCGACCAAAAACAAGCAAACACAGTGGACCAAAGACCAGTAAGCACAGTGGACCTAAACCCACAAAACCAGAAAAATGCGGTAGTGCAATGAAGAGAACTGAAGCTGAAAAATGTGCCAAGAAGAACGGAAGATTCAACAGTAAGAGATGCAAGTGTACATCAGCTGGAAAACCAAGCTCTCCAAAGACTAGTAAGCACAGTGGACCAAAGACCAGTAAACACAGTGGACCAAAGACCAGTAAACACAGTGGACCAAAAACAAGCAAACACAGTGGACCAAAGACCAGTAAACACAGTGGACCAAAAACAAGCAAACACAGTGGACCAAAGACCAGTAAGCACAGTGGACCTAAACCCACAAAACCAGAAAAATGCGGTAGTGCAATGAAGAGAACTGAAGCTGAAAAATGTGCCAAGAAGAACGGAAGATTCAACAGTAAGAGATGCAAGTGTACATCAGCTGGAAAACCAAGCTCTCCAAAGACTAGTAAGCACAGTGGACCAAAGACCAGTAAACACAGTGGACCAAAGACCAGTAAACACAGTGGACCAAAAACAAGCAAACACAGTGGACCAAAGACCAGTAAGCACAGTGGACCTAAACCCACAAAACCAGAAAAATGCGGTAGTGCAATGAAGAGAACTGAAGCTGAAAAATGTGCCAAGAAGAACGGAAGATTCAACAGTAAGAGATGCAAGTGTACATCAGCTGGAAAACCAAGCTCTCCAAAGACTAGTAAGCACAGTGGACCAAAGACCAGTAAACACAGTGGACCAAAGACCAGTAAACACAGTGGACCAAAAACAAGCAAACACAGTGGACCAAAGACCAGTAAGCACAGTGGACCTAAACCCACAAAACCAGAAAAATGCGGTAGTGCAATGAAGAGAACTGAAGCTGAAAAATGTGCCAAGAAGAACGGAAGATTCAACAGTAAGAGATGCAAGTGTACATCAGCTGGAAAACCAAGCTCTCCAAAGACTAGTAAGCACAGTGGACCAAAGACCAGTAAACACAGTGGACCAAAGACCAGTAAACACAGTGGACCAAAAACAAGCAAACACAGTGGACCAAAGACCAGTAAGCACAGTGGACCTAAACCCACAAAACCAGAAAAATGCGGTAGTGCAATGAAGAGAACTGAAGCTGAAAAATGTGCCAAGAAGAACGGAAGATTCAACAGTAAGAGATGTAAGTGTACATCAGCTGGAAAACCAAGCAAATCTGAGCCAAGAACTGAGCGTCCTACTACATGCATTGAATCTAGTGAAAGCCATGAGTCGACTCCAACTGAAGGACCTACAACTTGTGTCGAATCTAGTGAAAGCCATGAGTCAACTTTAACTGAAGGACCTACAACTTGTGTTGATTCTAGTGAGAGTAAGGAGACTCCAGAACCAGCTATTTGCGATGGTGAAATGAGAGTTAAAAAATCTAAAATGTGTGATGAAATAGGCGGCAAGTTTAATCCTGATAACTGTAAATGCACTAAAGAACCTGTTACGGAGGGACCAACAACTTGTATCGAATCAAGCGAAAGCAATGAGGAAGTTACCACAAAGAGTAAGTTTTTATTTATTCTGAGATTTATTTATTTTTAACAAATATTTATAAATTATCTTGTAGAACCATGTGACTGTACTTGTTCACCAGATTGCAAGCGTCGTAAGATGATCATTGATGTATTGCTAAAATACTTCTACCGTGATGTCTACGACCAAGATTGCTGCAAGAAGAACTGCAATTGCGATGGCGCCAAATTCCCAGAATGCGATGAATCAAACAGCAAAAAGACAGGAACTTTTGATATTTTGGCTAAGCTCTTCAAACCACAAGGTGGAGATTTTGAAGCTGGCAGTGTTGAAGTTGATGGCAAAAAATTGACATCCGAGAAAAAAGAGAAGTTTGGCAAAGCACTCCAAGATGCCGTCAAGGGCTTGGAAGATGTCTTAAACTCCTAAATTACTACTAGAAACTATTTTTAAATTCCTCACTATTTTAAGCTCTAAATAGTCTACTTAAGCAATCCGTATCGTTAACCAGTGGTGATTAGATGAATACTCGATTGGACATAAATAACCTTCTACTTTCCTCTATCTTCTACGCTATCCTATGTGGCAATTTTAATGCCTACTTTGTATTAAATTAGAATCACTTTCGTCTATCCTGCACTAAGTCTTTATTTTGTTGTTTTCCAGGAAGCATAATTCAGTGTAAGAGAATTTTGTCTTTTTATACGAAATAAAGCGTCTTTTATCGCACTGCAATCAAATCTTTTGCTGATTTTTTATTTAGTGATTCTTATTCATTCCTTTTCAGGAAAAAAAAAATATTTTTTTAATTTTTTGTTTATGACAAAGCTTGGAAACTATCTTTAAAAAATCCAAAATAATCCGTTTTTGCACGAAAACAAAGATTTCCCAACAAATCCTTAGTCTATTGGACATATCATTTTAGGATTCTATGATCTCAATTTTAATGCATACAGTCTCAGTGATATTTTTGGATTTTTCTGGGATATTTGAGGATTTTGTCCACGTCTTCGTGTATGCTGTTATTTTACTGATTTATCAATTTTCTCCATGAAACTTTCTATATTAGTCATTTTTGTTTCTGCCTCAATTGACAATACTTAATTACTTACTTACCAACCTTTGTGTTTGTAGAGAGAGTTCCGAAGCAAAGCTTTAGGGGAATCTCATATAAAGTCAATAAACATAAAAATTGTGTCAGTAACCTAAAGTGTGACTTTATATTTTCGAATTTGTCTACCAATTGTAAAATTATTTACTGATTGTGACGCTCGAATGTGACTTAACTTGCGTCACAGATCAATTTTCCTCCATAGAAGAGGGAAATCTGTGTTATTTACTGATAAATATTCGATTATTCGGATATTTTCATTATCTTTGAGATCCACATGAGATTCAGTGAAGCGACGACATATTATTTTGCATCTTTTCGGCTGTTTGATGATTAGTTCCTATTGATCCACTGTGAATCGTAGGGCATTAATAAAGCGGTTGAACAGGTTTCTGCCCCTGGCTATAACAGCTACTTCTGCTAGTTTCTTTTGTTGTTGTTCTGCCTCCTTCTCTACGGTTGTACGCCAAGTATATCGGCTGTTTGGGTAACAAAATATATTATTTTTATATATTTATCTTTTTGTTCGCTCCTGGATGGGATTTTATGACTTAATTTAATTTTTATGACGACATTGGATTGTTGTTTACGGAATCTGATGATTAGTCTTGGATGTTTTTTGCTCAACTTTTGGCTTAAATTAAGTTGTCTTTTTTTAAGGATTTTTAAAATTTTCGTTCCCATGTGATTCCGGGAATCAGAAATTAGGTCAAGGATTATTCTCGGGAATTAAAGGCATACAAAAATGTTCCTGAATCTTTGTTTTTTATTCATTGTACATGATTTCAATATGAATTTACCTATGATGTGCCAAGAGACGTTGTCAACGTTGATTCGAAATAAATTCAAACTCGTTTCGAATGTTTTTCGAACAAAATTTCGCAATTTCGAAAAACTTTTTTTTATGAAAATTTCAATTTTTCGCAATTTTTGACTTAATTTACTTATGATTACAGAATTAAATCATTCTACTATGTCTTTTAACACTAATTTAATCGTCTAATCGGTGATAAATGCAGCAAACATTAGTTTAAAATGCTTTTTTTTCAAAAATATTATAAATTTTTTTTGTTGTTTATATTGGAAATAAAAATGTTATTAATTCACTTGCACTAATTGTTTAGTAAATCAGTAATGATTCATTACATTTGAGTGGATTCGTTTAACATTTTGATGATGAAAAACAAATATTTAAACTATTAATTAGAGATATTAGACATTAATAATTTAACGTGTGAAAAAAATTTGAACTTATGCTCGAAAATAAGGTCCCAAAAAAAATTCAATATCGAAAATAAGGACTCGTTGGCGTACCATAGGAATTTACTGATTTTCGAGAGAAAAAATGCACTTATTTCATTCATTTACATCTGTAACGGCGATTTCTATTCTGGAGCTCATTTAGTTTTTCAATATTTTAATGTTTTTTTTAATCGTTAAAGTTTAAACTTGTTTTTTTCGACTAGCACCTACTTCATAAGGTATTCTTTTAAAACATAAAATTATGTTTGTTTGAAAATCAACCCTGAATTGAAAATGCTCAATGTTAATGTTTCTTCACGAATTATTAAAATTCAGCTGTGTAAATTGTTTCATCTTAAAAATGTCTCAATATAATTTTACTGAGAATTTTAATATTAAATTTTTCACTTTTTAGTGAACAAAGTTGTTGAATTGTGTGAACACGTTTTTGATTTAGTTTGTCAAAAGCGAGGAAATAAATCAAAATTTTGAGGTTAGAATTGAAAAAATATAATAAAAGCAGATAATAAATATATGCTGATAATTGATTAACAAGAGAATTGATTTTTTAAAGAAATTAGAAATTTTCTATTTTTTTCAAAAATCTTTTTTTTTTCAAATTTTCATGTGGTTTGAGTTGTCAGAATACTTATAAAAAACAACAACTTTTAAAATGCATATCGGTTCAAAATTAAATAATTATGAAAAAAAAATTGTCGACGTGGTTAAAACAAAATGTGACAAAAAGCTTCAATAAATTAATTTATTTATTAGTTTTGATAGCCAACAGCTTGATTGAAGGTTGGCAAAAGTATAATTACGCAACATGAAGAAGCAAGAGAATCCGTCACTTCGATATGCTCGATACTTTTGGGGATCCCTCCTTGGATTCACAATTTTATTAATCTTTGATATAATTACTGGATTTGGAGTCACTAGCGCAGTCATAGGCTTCTTATTCCCAGGAAAAGTGTAAGTTGCAACATTTTACTTCAATTGACTAGAATTTGAAATTATTTTATGCTTTATCTTCAGAATAAACCTAAAGGAACCAACCGATCGTCCAATTATCCTTCCAATGCGTAAAGAAGATGTCAAAATTCCACCAACATTAAATGATCCTTATGATGACCTCAGAGTCCTCGTTGTGGGTGAAATTCCAGAAAAATTTAAAAATATTATAATCAACAAGCATCACCTCGATGTGCCCTCAAATCCCACAATGAAGGAATTCTTGAATATGACAGAAGAGTAAGTTTGGCAATGAATTGAGCTTTTAACTACAATAAAGCTTCATAATATTGTAAATAATTTTTAGCGAATACATATCATCACTAGAAAGATTCCAGAATCGAATCTCACAACATGAAATGTATCCAGAAGATGACAGACTGGTTCAAAGAGTTCTGCATAATTTAGCTACTGCAAAATTTAATGAATTATGTAAGTTCGGTTTATATTAGTTGTGTCCAACCTTTTTTGTGCCACGGAACACTTTGTGGTAAGTCATGATAAAACCATACACAACATACGATTCGTGGGATATCATAATTTTTTTCGCAGCACATTGGTTGGCCATCACTAAATTGGATTGATTCACTGTAATTGATTTATCGATCCAAAACCCGGTTTTAATGTCTACCCAGGGCAACTTAGGGATCCGGGATGTTATCCAGCATCGGAAATAAATAAAATTAATCTGAGACAAAGGAAGAGTGCGAGTGACCCGGCTAGCCCTAAAAACCGGGGCCTGGTTGATTGATTTGTATTTGAGCTTTTAGTTTAGAAACATTTTTGGGTCATGGCTCCTCAACTGAAAGACATTTAAGATACTCTTAACGCATTTTAAGCGTTCGGACTTTACAAAGATAGGATTTAAGATCTTTTTTCCAAAAACAACTTATAATTATTTTTTTGACCTTTTGAATAACTCGCACATATAATAAAAAAGTAACAATTTTCTAGATGAAAAGTCAGGAGGTACACAATTCAAGATGATTGTTAAATACGAAAACGGCTATCGAGCACTTTTCAAACCAATGAGGTAAGATCAATAAATTTTGACAAGTTGCTTAACATTAAAGTTGTATTTTTGTGTTAAGACTTCAACGCGATCAGCAAGCAGCATCAAGTCATTACTACTACAACGATTATGAAAGACATAATGGAGAAATTGCTTCATATCACCTTGACAAGTAATTTTTAAGGATAAAAAGTTTCACAAATTAAAAGTTGATCAAAAAAATTTTAATCAGAATTTTAGGATTTCGCCGTGCAATTCCGATGGTCGGTCGTAAAATAAATTTAACATCCGAAATGTTTCCACTTGTTGACGACGAATTAGCATCAACATTTTATATTTCACCGTCTGGTAAAGTCTGCTTTACTGGCGTCTGTGATGTTTTTTGTGACACAAGTCATGGAATTTGTGGAGATCCATACATGCTTGAAGGATCGTTTGCTGCCTTCTTACCGAGACATAAAAATGCTACGAGAAAGGTGAGATTTTGTGACTGTTTGAATGACTGCATCTTATTTGAACAATTTTAAGGTGTGGAGACATCCATGGAGACGATCGTACTCGAAAAGAAGAAATGTTGAATGGGAATGGAATGATAATTTCTGTGACAAGGTGAGCAGCTTTAAGCTCAAAATTTTTAAGAATTTTTTTTTAATCGTATGTCAGGTTAAGCAAATCTTTCCATACAGTGAGGGTCGACGAATGTTGGATTTAATGGACATGGCAATTTATGACTTCTTGATTGGTAATTTAGATAGGCATCACTACGAAACATTCAAGTAAGATTAAGCTATGATTCTAATCATAAATTTGTACTTAAAATCCATATTCAATGAAAACAGGACATTTAACACAAACGAGACATTTACTATACATTTGGATCAGGGTCGTAGTTTTGGTCAACCATTCCATGATGAATTATCGATTCTTATTCCATTGAAGCAGTGCTGCATGGTTCGCAAATCAACATTGAAGACATTACTTGAGTAATTTGAGTTTTTTGATTATTTTAAAATTATATTTTATGAAAATATTTCAGTTTCCACAAAGGTCCACAAAAAATGTCTGATGCATTGCGGGAATCGCTTAAAGATGAACCGGTCGCACCAATCTTATGGGATCCACATTTTGATGCACTTGATAGAAGAAACGTAATAGTTCTTGAACATATTAGGAATTGCTTGAAGGTGGATGACGAAAAATAAATCAAAATTTAATTCATCGTGGCTATGGATGTTTTACAAAAAGTAACACAGTATCGTCACGACTTTTACGCATTCAATGTAAATCGCATCATGCTTATAAGCAATTAATTTTCAATAAAAAATATCCTTTTATGAACCTTGATTTTTAATCAAATTTTATTTATCATCAAAAAATCAACTCAGCACCATCTGTCATCCTCCAAGCATTTTGCTTCGAACCATTTCAATGAAAATTGATTCTTCTCCGTCATTGTGCTGAGGAATTCATCGTCAAAGAAAAAATGTTCGGCTGGAAAAATTCTTCGGAAATTTCCTTCGTACGAATGTTCTCGAAAAGCTTCACGCATTTGAAAAATATTTTCTTCATCGATGCACGGCAAGCATAGCTTACATTTTTTACTTTCGCAGCTTCGATGGCATTCATACTTTAAGCATGACTCGATGTTTACAGCAATATTTTTCCTGTTTGCAATCATCACGTCTGAGTCATTGAATCTGTAATAAAGAAAAATTTAATTTTGCATTTTTTCAAGGTGTGGAAACTCTGAAGTAAATTTGGAGATCCTCAATTCAAGGTTCAGGTTCAACTTTTTTTGAATCTTAAAGATCAATGTTATTTTACTGGCTGTCCATCACTTGCATTTGAACAAATTTTGATCCTACCTTGTCATAAACTCGAAATAGGATCCACCGCCAATCATTTTCACCAAATTGTACACCAATTGTTCATAAATTTTGGCATATTCCTCATCTTTTTTTCTTGCAGGTGTTATGTTGGGACTCATGTTCACTTCCATCACATACGGCGTCAAATTCTCATCAAGAATGAAATCAAATCGAACCAATTCATAGAAGTGATGTGTTGAGTAGTTGTAGCTTTTTGTCTGCAAAGTGAAGGGATATTAAAATATTGTATGATCTTCTGTCTTTAATCACAAATGACTCTGACTTAAAAGCTGATTGATAGACATTAACTTTAATCAGAACAAAGCTTTTTTGATAGAAAATTCACGTGATTTTAGAATAAAGACATAATCATCAGTCTATAGCAGTGATGGCCAAGTTATGTGCCGCGGCACGCTAGAAAATCAAATGCTTTGTACGGTTTCAGTCATGGCTTATTATCAGGGTGTACTGTGGCACAACAAAGGTTGACCACCACTGGTCTATCCCGAATAGCAAAAGTCAGTTAACCAAATAGATGTTCAGCACCAAGCTAGTCTAACTTTGGAATGGTCCTGGATTCGATTTGAGTCCAGCACCATGCCAGAGGCAAACCGGCTTTGTGCCAGATTTTTGTTCGATTAACCGAATTGTTCTATACAAGTATAGTTCCATGAATGATCTTCAAGCTCTGACAGGCTATAATTCTGTAGATTTTTCAATGATTTCTAGAAGAACTTACAGTTTTAGTAATGTACGGCTCAGAGTTTCGGACTATTTTCACAATTGCATCATCAATTTTATTCCAAAACTTCTTCACATCAAATCCTTTGTCAGCGATGATCTTCTCAAAATGTTTAATTATTGGAAATTCAAACATTTTGTATGCATCGTTAAATGTTGGCATCTCAAATGGTGGATGCATTCCTTCCCTAAAATTACATAATGTCCACAGAATCATCAATTAATCATTAAGCTTAGTTCAACTTACTGAACGACGTATTTATCAATTATTTTTGGATCAAATGGATGATAATTAAGCTTACAAAATCTAAAAAGCACATCTGCATCATATCGATAAATTCTGACAGGATCGAATGATGTAATCAGCACAAAAACACCAAAATCAAATGCATGTCCATCAATCAGGAATGGCTTATCCATAAATTGCTGATAAAAGTAGTCTGAATCATCATAAATGATGTCCTTCTTTTCCACAACCGACACACCACGATTGAAAATATTTTTCTCAATTAATTTTACATCCGGATTTTCGTCCATGAACTTTTGTAGCTTCTTCTTATTTTTTGGAAGTATAAAGGATGGCAAGATGTACTCCAGGTGAGCATTATTACGACTCATGTAACTTTTTCCGCCTAAAATCTCCATTCCTGGAAAATGATTGACTTTCTGGTGCTGCTTAAAAGGATATCTATCTATGTCCACATACAGCTCATGACTTTGCTCCCCTGGCAGGTAAAATGGACTGTCAATACTCATTAGAAGATCCCAATCATCTCCATGTGATGCATTTACGAATTTATACTGCAAACTGTTCAATACACGATTCATGGTACGAAAGTGACCTAATAAAAAAATATACAAGCTCAGATCTAATAACACTTTAGTACAGTGATGGCCAACCCATGTGCCACGGCACAATAGTCTGCTGCGAAACATTTTGGGATATTCCAGGAGCCTTATGCTGCGCAAAGGTGTGGAACTAAAGAATTACATTTTGATCATTTTATCAGTACCACACCCTTAATGCTGTGTGTGGTTTCGGTCATCGCTTACCATCAAGGTGTGCCGTGACAGAAAAGGTTAGCAATTATTGCTTTAAGCTTTTACGAGAGATTGATTCCGAATTTAGTTTTTGAACCAAATTGAAATCAAATTCGACCTTTTATCTGTCAAATTCTTATAAGGGTTGAAATGTTGTCTCTACAAACTTATTTATGGATGATCGATTGATCTGACCCGAATAGCACAAGTCGGTCAATCGAATAGATATCTGGCGCCAAGCCAGCAAGACTTTAACATGGTGCTGGCTTCAATTTAAATCTAGCACCATGCCAGAATCACTCTCGGCTTGGTGCCGAATATCTGATCGATTATCCGACTTGTGCTATTCGGGTGATGGATCTTCAAAGTAAATAGAAAACTTGTAGACTTACTGAAAGGCTGATGCATCTTTAAAAATAATGATTAAATCTAAAATGGTCCTTAACTAAGTGGAAAGGCTCAGCTTAAAGGAATAAGGTCGAACAAGCTTCACTAGATTCTTCTTAGAATCCTATCCCCCTTTCACCTCCATACCTATATCCTTATTTCAAGTTTATTCGTCAAAAATGAACTTACCATTTGGATTCCACACATCAACAACCACTGTCCAATATTTTAATTGATTAAATCCTTCAACATCTGTTACTTTTTCTGCAGGCTGGACCACACTTGTCTCTCCATCACCAGGATTGAGAACAATAGCACTCAAAATTGCGAACAATATAAAAATGATGCTGATTAAACTGATTAAAATCAAATTTGCCGATGACTGTTTGCTTGCTTGATTAGTTTTTGGTGACATGTCTCAGCTTATACACCTGCCTGTAGCTGACAATGAAATATTAAGATGAAGACTGTTTACTTTATTAAAATATAAAAATGTCATCTGTTTTTGAATGATCATTTTAATAAATACAAACCGTTTTGCTAAAGATCTGATGAAGAAATGAGTTGATTTAAGACTCCTTTAAGTGTCTGTTTTAATAATTTATCTCTCAAATTGTTCATAAAAATTGAGACTTTTGTGAGATAAAATGGTTTTTCTCAGCAATCGGAGGGTGTGTGCCTGGTTTATTTCTAATATTAGAGATATGATTAAGTAAGGACTTTGCAAGTTCAAACCAACATCTAGAAACTCCAAGCACAACTTAATGCGAACGATTGTACTCAAAATAATATATGATTTTAGAAAATGCGCTTTAGACATTCAAGAATTTTGAACTTCCTTACTTGTCATAGTTAATGTATATATTTTATTCAATACTTTGATTTTATTTCAGATAACATTACAAATTATTTATAATAATCCACGAGCCACCTTTTGATATGGAATCATAGACTTCTCCAACATTTTAGACAGCAACGGATAGACTGGATCATACTGTGACTTATTCTTCTCTCTAATGTAATTCCTGTACTTTAATAATGCACCACTAATCAGTTCCAATCGTTCACGTTCTTTATGCTCTCCCAACCATGAAATCAGCTTCTCATCGGTCCATCCAGCAGCTTTATGTGGTGACTTCAAGTCTTCAGCAGCATGTCCAAAAAGCATGAATAAAATGACATAAGATGGAATCAAATTGTTCTCAAATTCAACAAGTTTTTCAGGCGTTTCGACAATAAAAGATGAAATCATTCTCAGCATGCGATAGCTGTTTCCAAGCACGGACATATCAGGCAAGATTGTCTGCAATAAGTTCTCAAGATGTAAACAATCTGACTTTATCCTTTGCCTGCCTTTAACTGAAATTGGTCGAAGGATCGAAAGGTTCTGGATGAAAAGTTCAATTGTCTTGTTGGCCAAGTCAGTTGCAATTTTTATGACTGCAATTTTGTCATTAAACGGTGTCATGTGTGACGACCAGGATCGATTCAAAAAGTCCTGGAATTCACGCATGTAAAGTGATGCGGATGTGATGTTAATATTTTCAGAATTCAAGGATGGCTCACGATGCATGGACAGAAGGATGTTATTGATATTTGACATAATTTGAGACAGCAGTTGCTGCAAGATTAAAATTGTAACTTTCCGTCCATCCTCAACATTCCTTCTGATCCTCTCATATGACATTTTATCCCTCTTCTCCATATCTAGTCCAACAAGCATCTCATCCATCTTCAGCTGATGATGGAATATTAAATTTGCAGCATTTATGTTCTGCATCTGTGCTGCATTTGGAATAGTCAAGACTTGATCAGCGTCATTGCCAAATTTGGCATTTGACTTGATTTTTGATATCAAATCATTGTTGCAGGCACAAAGGACACTAATGACTGAATTGAGCAAATCATCATCAATCAAGCTCACTGTCAGCTCCGTTGTTGCGTTTTTAACCATTTGGTCGATGACTTCTTCAGTTAGAGTCTCATGTGCTGCAATTTTTAAATTTGCTGCACATTTTTCGATGTAACCGGATTTTAAGGAACTAAAGATTGTCCTGTCTAGCTCTAATTCCTTGCTGCTGACCTTTGACTGTAGATTGTTGAAAAATGCGAGAAGTTTCGGTAGACATTGCTGTAAATTCTGCAAGACATGAACTTGCGACTCCTCAAATGACATTTTTAGCAAGTCACAAAGTTTTCGTGAAAATTTTCTCATAAAATCCTTGCTTGGATTCTCAGAGATGTAGCCACTCGTGATTTTCTTCAGGCATCCATCAATGGCTACAATCTGCTCACAAATTGTCACGAGTTCGTCGGTAAACAGCCACTCAAGAGCACCAAGAAGCTTTGCCTTGAAATTCATTGAAGTTGTCAATTGTGGTACTCGACCTGGTAATTTTGAGGCTTTTGACAATCCAGTCACTGTCGCTGGTGATCCCTTGATGGATGTCTTGAGCAATGTCTGCAAATCAGCACCATTAAAGCACTGCTTAATGCTTTGTCTAACATCATTCAGATAACTTTCAATTTGATTGTCCAAAAATGACCCGAGAACATCCAAATTGCGATAAATTTCCAAACTTTTCATGATCGTTGCCTCGTCCATGTCTTGAATCCCGTTCAGCAAGTCACGATTCGCAATGTGAAGAAGTTTCTGCTTTAAATTGATGACTGCAGCTCGTTCATCAATTAAAATGTTTATTTTCATTAAATCTTTGTCATTTACAAGTCCATCAAGTTCATAGACCAGCAATGCCTGCTTATTCAGTTCCGATGTCTCTTTCAGCTTCCTGTACAGCTGCAAAAACCTTTGAATTTTCCTCATCAACTGCGACGCATTATAAAGTCGTTCGCAGACAACAATTTGCTTCTCAAGCTTCTGATACGGAACATAAACATTCGTTTTAAGGCTGTCAACACCGGTGTGAAGCTGGTCAAGGTCATCGTTGAGTGACTCCAGTGCAACCATCAATTTTGAAGCATTTGCTGAATTTTTAATCAAGTTTGGATAATCATGACGAATTTTTTGCTTTAATTCCGTTGAAATTAAGTCAAGACCGTCGGTGAGCTTCTTGATTTGCTCGGGAAATGAAAGGTTTTGGGATGTTGAGGATGAATTCTCGTTATGAAGGAAGTTCTTGAGGAAATCTAAAATATATTGAAAGTCAACTTTTTTTAAAGACTTTAATTGAAAAATGACAATTTACCATCGCTTTCAATTCGGTCTATAACTGATGTCTGTACCATGTTGGATGTACTTTAAGTCTGTAACATAAAATCTGCTTTAATTATTGTTTTTTTTATTAATTTCTTAACTTTTCTCGATTCGTGGCAGCTGATTGAATAAAATAACAACAAAAACTTTGTATTCAGCACTAAAATGTTTTTGAATATTTAACAAACTTACAACCAGGTACGGAATGGAATGGAACTGAAACACACAAAAACTTTCCAACTGACGATCGAAGAATGAAATTTAAGAATGAAATAAATATGATTTTTGAATTTTTATTAAACTGTTTTTGCAATGCTTATTCAATAAACGTCATTTATGAATGCCCCAATCTTGATTAAACCTAGAACTCCATATTAAATATCCCAATATTTCCATTCATATTTGTCCTATATGTTCTATCAAAATGAGAATCTACAGACATGAAATCCTTAAAATTACTCAATTTTGCAAATCGTTCTAAAATTTCCTCATCCGATGGTCGATCGGAGAACATTTTACTGGATCTTTTCGACTTTGTGATTGGAATCACATTGTCATCATCATCCCATCTGCCTGATTCGTATTTTGAAGTCTTTCTGCTCCAATTTGAAGTTGAATCATTGAAATTATTAGATTGGGGTGCTGAACTTGGTGTGACGTCATCTTCATCATCACTCCAATCTTGAAGTTTTTTCTTTTCTGTTTCTGGTGGTTTTAAGGATACCTCAGCTTCAGTGGTTGAGCTAACGTAGCTACTTTGGGGACTTGAGTTGCAATTCAATGAATTTTGAGGTAAACGATAATTGGAGGCACTGGAAGTAGGAACATCATCATCTTCATCTGACCAGTCAGTAGCTGTTTTTCTTGCAGGCTGACTATTTGAATTGTCATCATTCAAACTGTGGCTGATTTCTTCATTTGCTGGATGTCTTGGAATCTCTTGTGGATTTTGATCGATATATTCCAAAATTTTAGTAAATTCGTCTTCAAATTTGCTGGAACTACCTGAATTCAGCTTTTCAAATCTGCCATTGTTGCATTTTTGGTGACTTCCCCTGTTACTTGATCTGCTGCTGTATCCACTTGCATTAGAATTCCGACGATCAGGTCTAATATGATGTTTATTGAACCCAGTGGATGGTTCTCTGCTTTTAGATGGCTCTCGGCTTCTGCTGTGTCTAGAAAAATCTTTGCTATCCCGACTTATTGATGATCCACGACTTCCAGGTGATTCTTGACTCTCGAATCTTGAAATTTTAAGATCAAAGCTGCTGCACTGACGAAAATTTTGAGAACTTTTGCTTGTTGTCGACACATTTGAGTCTGACTCTCTTGAAGTTTCCCTAAATTGACGACTTTCAGGTCTATTATAAGGAGAGTTACGAGACTTTGAACTGTGCGGGCTGTTTGAATGATTATGAGCAAATCTAGACGGAATTTTATTCTGCTGGAAGTGACTTCGATTGCTTCGGAAGCTTTCTGTGCTGCTTTCACGATAGTTTCTGTTGTCATTTTGGGAATATTCGTAGGTTTTTGGTCCAGAACTGCTGACATTCAAAGGAACATCATCTTCTTCATCACTCCAATCTTTGACAACCTTTTTGGATTTTTCAGAATTATTTGAAATGTCTTCGTCGCTTATTATTTGATTATTATCATCATTATGATTGCTATGAACAGAATGGCGATCAGATTGATCCAAATGTGGATTGTTGTTTGATTTGAGAGCATTTTTAAGATGTGACATTGGATTGTAAAGACTGTTGTCAGGCTAAAATTAGAGGAAATTGAAAGATTTTTGAAAAGAAGCATTAATGGGTCGTTTAACAAAATGAAAAATCAATAATTTTTTTACAAACCTTTTTATCATTTTCATCATCATATCCATGCCTATTTTGTCTATATTCTTGTCGTTTTCTATCAATTTGATCAAAATCCAAATTATTGTCATTTAAATCTGTTGCTGACAACTCAGTTGATTCGCTTAATTCCTTCAATTTCTCATCATTTGTCTTTAACTCTTCATCTTCATCCCATTCTTTGACTTTCTTCTTTTCTTTTGGCTCTTCAGTTTGATCAGTTTGTATGTAGTTCAAAACATTTTTCCTGTCCATGCATGTTTTCTTGTGAAACTGCAAAAACAATAAAAATAAATGAGTTTCAGATTTCATCCTTTTGAGCATATTATTTTGTTTGTGTTTGTGTGAAGTTGATAAAATTGTTTATTTTTTGATATTTGAGACTTGACTTTAAACAAATGTGCTGATTGTATGCGACTTTGTGAATATTTTATGAGTTTTATGCTTTAGAATGGAATTGATCGACAGTTTTTTTGAAATTTTTGATCATTTTTCATCTTTGCTGATTTAATTGAACGAAGAGAAATTTTTGATCTTAATTACAGAACAAAACAAACGATGATCATGTAGGCATCATTGAAACATAATGCCAGACCCCAATGAGACCTCCGCCCTGACAAATACATATCAACCTTTTTTGATAACTTAAGAATATAAAATCAACTTTTTTTAAACCTTTAAATGGAAAACCATACTTAATTTGAGACTTGCATAAAAAATCAGCTAGTCATTAAACTACTGCTTGACATCCCGCTTAATCTCGAATGGCACAAAAAGGTTAATTGATCTGAAACCCGGTATCAATCCGGTGTGACTCTGGCGTGGTGCTGGATTTAAATCGAAGCTAGCATCATGCCAGAGTCATGCCAACTTAGAGCCGGATTTAAATTCGATTAACCGACTTGTGCTGTTCGGGAATTATAACTCTCTTCCTCAAAAATACATAAAGTCTTACAGATTCAAGCATTAAATGAGATTCCTGGTCATAATTTACTTACATAAAACTCAGGTTTATTAATTTTGTGAGATGAATTAAATGGACAGGTCTCCAGTTCCTCTCCTGTGTATGATTTGCGGCACTTTATTAGATGATTGTTGAATCTGAAATTTATGTTGCATAAAATTGAATAATTTTTATTTTTTTTTGCACTTTAATAATTCTTTAGAGATTTTTTTTTCATTGGCGACAAATAAATTCTTACAAAATCTTCTGGTAATATTGGCCAATTAGGGTCTGAATTTTTTTTTGCCTTTAAAAATTAAATAGATTCCGGCAAGATAAATTTCAGAACCTTCAAATTAAAATAATCTTTACACTTCACTCATTATTACTGTTTTTATTTTTAGTATTTTAATTTTTATTCAATAAAAATATCGGAAGATATCCAGACCCTCGTTGACCCTTTAACTACATCCTATGTTCACTTTTACTTCGTCCAAAATTCAACTTAATACCGCCGGGAATTTTTAATTTCTTACCGAAAATTAAGCACAACATGAGCCTTATTATAAGGACAAACTGTCGTTTGTTCTGCTTCTGGCACCGAGTCATTGTAACTCATTTTTTAAGGCAACGAAAAAAGTTCTTAACTTTCACTTCAAAGCAATATTCTAAACACGTCTAACTTCCTTGATCGCTTCAAACGACTCTGAGTGATCGAGAGAAAAAAAATTATGTTTTGGGAATGTGAAATGATCTTGAAAATGGAACGAGAACTAGAAACAAGAGAAATTTGGTTAAGAAAGTTCAGGTAGGAAAGGATAAAAAAGATGTGAATTGAAGGCGCTAATTTATGATAATTTTGAGGCAGTAAAATCTTTGTTATTGAAGTTTCATAATTATTTTATGGCAGTGAAGATGAAAGGATATTTAAGAAGGCTGTCCAACTGCGCTTTTTTGAGCGGGACTGTCGGTCTTGTTTGAATTTAGTCTCGCCTAAAATCTTTAATGTTCCGGTTTTTTTGATCCAATTTTTCTTGGAAAATATGGAAAATACTTAAAAAATTGGTCGTTTTCGCTTTTTGATAGTTTGAACACCTCTTCAAGTTCAACTTGTCATTGATATTCCATCAACTGTTAATCAATGCTTTCCTTTTTTTATGCTTTCTCGATTTCTTGGTCTCGACTAATTCTCTAGGTTGAAATTAAGACTTCCTGGGTAGTCTCAGTCTCGACTTTGGTATCTGGAAAGCATACTTGATTTCTAGCAACACAAAAGACCTTCATAAAGTTCTAAATGTTAAATTGAAAATAATTAAGCCTCAAACTCTACCCAATCAACTTAAAATCACTCAAAAATAGCTAAATATATTTGAGAAAAGATTCAATAAGTGAAAATTATGTTGAATTTTTTGAAAATAATTCAAATTATTATTGATAAATTTAAGACAAAAAAATTATTAAATTTCAACAAAAAAAATCTTGCAAAAATAAAAATTAAAAAATTTGTTGCAAATCAATTTCTCAATATTCAATCAGCAATTTTTCCAACATCAACAAAAATTAAATATCCACTTAACAGCTTTTTTTCAACCTATTTACGTAATCCAATAATTTCAACACAAGCAATTAAGCCATTTGAAAAACAGTCAGCATAAAAGTCAATTTAAGTTCATTCATCAAAAATGCAAAATTGCGTCAATTATAGACTGCCAATCGATCATCAAATTCAATATAAAAGCAGCTCAGAATTTACTCAGAACCATCAGTCTTCGTTAGCACTTCATACAACTACAGCAAGTTCATCAACTAAGAATCATGAAAGTTATCGCAATCGTAGTTTTTGCCGGTATCTGGGCATCATCATCAGCTCAATATCAACCATCATATACATTGACTGCTCCAGCACCATACCAACCAGCACCACCACAACAGATTCCAGCTTATCAACCATCTGTTTACACTGCCAAGACCGGTTATGGACCAGTAAACGTTGGAATGCCAGTTCCATACACTTATCCATCTCCAGCACCTCCAGGTTTGAATTATTGAGTCATTTATGATTATTTTTACTTAATTTTTGCAATTTATCAACAGTTCCATGCCCAACAAACTTGCTCCTTAGCTGTGCTCCATCAGTCGCACCAGTTCCATGCCAATCTGTGACTTATGAGAAGCCAGTCCCACCACCACCTCAACCTCCACCTCATTATACAAAACCAGCACCACTCCCACCAAACTATCGTTAAGACACACAATCAAGGATTTATGGATGGACTAACAATGGCTAATTGACTGAAAACAACTTTAGGATGGAAAATTTAGTTGAAAAATTTGTAATTTATTTAAATTTTGCTACAAAAAAATTAATAAAAAAATATTAATGCAATTCCTTTTTATAAGGAGAAAAAAAAATAATTTATCTTAATATTTTTAATTATTTGAATTATTTTGAATTTCAGGTTTTTAAATTTTCAGCTTTTGATTTCTTATGCTTCCAATTTTTTTTTTTGATTTTTAAATTATTTTTTGGATTTCAAATTTTTTAACATTATTATAAATCTCAAAAAATTATATTTTGAATTTGTTTCTTTGAAATTGAATTTATTCTGAATTTTAAAAAATTTTCTTCTTGCGTTTCTGTTTTCAAAAATTTCAATTTAGATTCAATGATTATTTTTTCTAGAATTTTGTTTTTAAATTTCAAAATAGATTTTTTTAAAAAAAATTTTTAAATGTAAACTTATTCAACTTATTAAAAAAGGAAAATAAAAATTATTTTTTTTGAATATTTCGAAATTTCTTTATTATTTATTATTACAATTGTCACTATTTAATCACTGAACTTATTATTGTTCTCCAAAACTTTCTTCTAAGAGGATTGCTTGCAGTAAGAACCCATCTTCAAATCCTCTTAAGCCAATTCAAACATTCATCAACCAAATCGTCTACGCTTCAAAGTCTGCTTAAACAAACTCAAAGAGCTTGGCAAATTCATATCGTAATTAATAAAATGCTTAATGTCCCTAGTTTCCACTTCTACCCCAGACTCACTAACAATCATAACTTCAAATTTTCCATTGTTAAATCCGTCAGATGCTCGTAAAACTCTCTTTTGCTTCCGCTTTCCATCAACTGATGTGACTCTTATTCCTAGTTTATATATTTCATAAGCAAGCAATTTAGCTGTTCTGTCACCGGCTGTGAGGATAACTGTTCGAAAAATTTTTCCATCTCTTTCCTTTATGCGACGTAGGACAGCGAAAAGATTCTCAAGTTTAAGTTCTGGAAACTCGATGATGATGTGGATGCGTGGGCTTCGGAAACTCATTTTTTGAGGATTTTTTTTGATTTTTTAAAAATTATTTTTCAGGATTGTTGATCTTTTTAACAAAGCTTAAACTGTTCTGATTTGAAAACTGAGCCTTTTTAATCTTTGTTTTTTAAAGTTTCTGAAGTCAAATTATAAATTCAAATGTTTTTATTTTCTGATAATTTATAAGAATGTAAATCAACAGGTACTGAGAATTTAAATCAATTAAACTATTATGGTGGATTTGAGAATTTTATAAAGGACTTATATAATGTGATTTTTTCTGTATTAAGTTAATTTCCACTCTGACTTTTGAGTACAAATGAAAAATAAAATAAATCTAATACTAAAGTTTACAAAATAATCAAATTGCATAACAAAAACAAATTTAAAATCAATTTTATTTTTTAAAACTAGTGAAAATAGTCTAAAGTAATTAAAATCTGTAAAATTTTGCAAACGTCATTTCAAGACATGCTGACAATGTCTCAAAACAGTTCCCCAGACATTTCACTTATCGAAAAAATTCTCATAAAAACAGAACTTATGAAAATTAATGATAACAAATCTGAAAAATCAGTAAGAAATTTCAAAACATCGCCAAATTCATCATCAACAAAATTAGAACAAAATGGATTGAAGACAAAGCGCAGATCATCAAGACGTACAAAAAAGCCTGTTAAACGACTGGAATCAGCAACAATATTAAGAAATGGAAAGATAAATCGTTCAAGAAAGTCAAATAATCCAATTAAATTGGAACAACAGAAGCATCTTGAATCTGTTATTGTAAATATTGTTAAGAAATTTAAGGAATGTAAATAAATAGTTTAAATTGACAAAAGAAAGAAGCTGTTGACAGAGTTTTTGTATTGCTAATTGGCAAACGGTAGCCAGCGATAGAGGCAGCTTCAGGTGCCGTCTAAGGGAAGTGATGGGTTGCAATTGATCTATATGGAAAGCGAAGTAAGTAAGAAAGTTTAAATTAACACCAAAAATTATTTTTTTCTAATATTTAATTAAGTTTTTCGATCATTTTGAATTTTAATACCACTGTATCCGAAGAATAGATTGTATTAGTTCTCAAAATAGTCTCAATATCTTTAAGTGTGCATTTAAAATAATTTAGGTATGTATGAAGATTGCACTACTTAATGTTGTCCATAAATTTAAACTTCAGTTGACTAAAAAACGTCAAAACGCTTAAAAAAATTTAAATTTTCAATATTTTCTCAAGCTACAAAAAAATGTTTATCAAAGTATTAGATAAGCTAGTCATTCGCTTCTTTATTCTCGTAGGATTTACACGATTATCTTTCAATATCTCAAATCAATCGTTCAGATTTTAATTTGAATTCAGAAAAATATCCGTCGGTTTTCAAGAGTTCTAATTCTGGCCATCCTATTCAAAACCCAAAAACGAACAATTACAATTCGATGATTTATCTTAAGAAATAAAAATTATTTCGAATAAAAATCAATTTTTTCTTATTCCAAAATTAATACATATTTATGTCATCAAATTACTGCTGCTTATTATTCAATTCAAACAGCACTTTTTTGTACAAACATAAACAAAAAATAAAAAATAAAAGTTAATAATGCGAATAAATAATATTCAATAATGTCTTCAAAAAAATCAATCGGATTATAACCAGTTTGTGCAGCATATGCAATTTTTACTCAATTGAAAAAATACACAATCGATTAACTAGCAAGTTTTCCATTCATGCATGTTTGGATTTGTAATTTGATCTTATTTGATATCAAGACTCCAAAATTATCAAGTGGTCAACTGCTTTTTCACTCACATCAACTTCTTATTAGATTAATTGAGTTCATCCTTAAATGAAACGTTTGTTGGATATTGGTTTTCAAGGAGTAAGGATAGGAGATAAGATAGGTTAAATAATCGATTATGCTAAGTTTTTAAAACTTTCCCAGCCTTAGCTTTAGTAGGGTTACCATCTAATTTTCATAAAAATACAGGACATTTGGTAAATTTTTTCGAGAAAAACAAGACATAGAGTAAAATTTGAAAATTAACGGAAATTTTCGTGAAAAAAATACGGGACCAAGAACAAAATTTAAAAATTTATACAGGACAGGGTTGAAAAATACAGGACTGTCAGTTGAAAAACTACGCAGATGGTCACCCTAGCTTTAGTCAACTCTATTCATACAACTCAATGAACGACAAAAGCTAGAAATTGAACCCTAAGAGCCTTTTACACATTCCACAACTCGTATACATTTCCATCTATACACATCCCATCCATAATCTGCACAAATCACACACAAAAATTGAAAATAATATTAAACTCTCAAAAATATTTAAGCCAGATTTATGTTATTATTCTTATAATGATCTTAAACGTCCAACAAAAAAAGACTCTAATTAACAACATCTTCACTTGCACAGGTTTAATGACCACTCCACCAAATTCCCGTTTTACGTGCTAAACCGAAAAATAAAATTGTATTTAAAGGGACAGCATCCAGAAGATTTTAAGTCAGTATTCTGTTAAAAATTCAAGTGAACAATTCAAAAATGTCCAAAATTAATTTGATTTTATTGATTAGCTTTGCAGTTCTTGCATGCTGCACAGCATTGCCAAGACCAAATGATGAAGTTGTTGATAAAATTGTTGATGAAGTTCCAGTTGAAGCAGAAGTGAAGAAAGACGAAGTTGAACTGGAAGATTCTGCAAGAATTCACAGTAAGTCTCACAGATTTATTTTTGGACTTAACATTATTTGATTTATTTTTTGTACGTTCTAGGACCTCATAACCCATTGTTGAATCCTCATCTCAACTCAAACGTTTATGCTCACAACCCAAATATTTATGGAGCCTATTCACCAACCATCATCACAAAGGCACCACTGTCATTTGATGCAACTATCGTACTCAATCCAGTTGTTCCTGGACAGTTGATTGGAAAAAAATAAATTGAGTCTTAAAATTGATGCTGAATAAAATTTTCAAAAATTATTTAATAATTGTTTTTTGAATAAAGTTCTGAAAATGTGAATTTTTGGTAATTTCTTATAATTTATATTCTAATCATCAGTCCAGACCTGATAAAAATAATCAAAATTTATTCAATTTAGGTCCACATCCTCGCTCTTATTTTATTTGTAAAGTTTCTAGCTACCAGTTGATCACTATTGCTTTACAACGCCATCTATTTGTCATAGTATCTACTTTTTAAATTAAAATCAAAATTCTCAAACCTTTCCTAAGAACTAGAAAAAGTAAACAAAATTGAAAAGCGAATCAAAATAAAGTTTGTGTTACAAAAACAAAAATTCTTAAATTAATAAATTAAAATTAAAGTCGTAGTCCAGAAATAAGTCTCAAAAATGGATAAATCACAAGCAGAGGTAAGTCAAAACAATAAAATTCAACCAATAAATCACAAATCTCATCTATTTTAGCAATTCTGGAAGAAAGTTGATCACATATCAGGCGGAGTTGAGCCAATCCTCAGACATTTTCTCGAAGCTAATGGATTTAGAAATTTCAGCTCATTCCTTCACACATCATTTGATGAAAATCTCTCAAATCGAATGGTTCAGCATGTAAAATCCATGAAACCAGACAATCGATACTATAAAATACTAACAGATTGGTATGATGAGCCATTAGAAGGATTTGAGTTGCTTGAAGGATGGAAAAGTTCACTTCGGACTGTTTTTATATCAATGAATTCTTGCGATCCGTCATTATTTATGGCAACGGCAAAGGAAGTGTCACCTCAACAACTCCAGACACAGATCCAGCAGCAAATTAATAAAACAAATTGCATTGAAAGCATCACAAAACGAATGAAGGAATCTGAAGCTGATCCAAAATTTCTTCCCGATCTGATTGAAAAGTTTCAAACGAAATTATTTGCAAAATTAAAAGAATTTGACTCGGGACTTCCATGGAATGATAAAAAACAGATTCCAATAAGTTTTGTGTGTAATTTTGAGAGTGGAAAGAAGTTTGAAGTAAAGTGTCCGTACTGCTCATCAGCATTAGTAGTCTACTGGAGGTATCAACAGGCCACATCAAATGCTGATGTGTTTTATCCAAAATTCAATGATAGTAATTATTTTAAGCACATGATGAGGCATTGGAATGGAAATTTAAATACCACAACTGGAAATACTCGAAGTGCAGTGAGTAAATTTTGACGTTCATCTTAATTATTTCTAAATACCGACTAAATGAATGACTAGAGTTTGACTCAATTAACCGACTAGTGTTTGACTCGATTTACCGACTAGAGTTTGACTTGATTAACCGACTTGAGTTTTACTGGATTAATCGACTAGAGTTTGACTCGATTAACTGACTAGAGTTTGACTCAATTAACCGACTAGAGTTTGACTCAATTAACCAACTTAAGTTTGACATGATTATCCGACTAGAGTTTGACTCGATTAAGTGACTAGAGTTTGACTCAATTAATCGACTAGAGTTTGACTCGATTTAGCGACTAGAGTTTGACTATATTAACCGACTAAAGTTTGACTCGATTATCCGATTAGAAATTGCTAACATTTTTCCAAAATTCTTCATTTCAGCAAAAACGAAAAGCCGACGACTCCCTAGAATCATCCCTTCAAGACACTTTTTCAAATTCTGAAGAGTTCATACTGCATAGCAACATAAAAATTGAAGATCCCGAGTGGTAGCACTAGTCAAAATGCACCAAAATATTCAACTCATAACTTATTAATGTAATTTCTAATTTAAAATAAAAATAACTGTCAACAATAACTCAGTTTTTTCTCACCGACCACAAATTGCAAAATCATCGAGGCCGAATCACAAATTTTTCTCAATCATCGATTTTTCGAACATACAAAAAATCAAAATTTTCCTCCTTCTTGAGAGTTATTCAAATTAAAATTAACAAATTTCTAGGCTTACAGTGAATTTGAAATAAAGACAACAATGTCGTCTGCAGTAGAACCACTGACACTATCGCGCGGTAAGCACAATCAGCTGGTGCTGTCTCAATTTGATTGGATACAAAATTTTTCTAAAGTTATTTTTAACTTTTTCATCATAACATTTTGACAAGAAGTTGAAGAAATTTCAATAAAAAGGGACTTTTGATTATTTTTTATATTTTAGACATCACTCGTGCCATTGAACTGCTTGATAAGCTGCAAATGAGCGGTGAAGTACCAGCAACAAAGTTAGCAGCTCTTCAAAAAGTTCTTCAGTCAGACTTTCTGAACGGTGAGTTAAAAACTTACAATTTTCGAACATAGAAATAATTTTAACATATTTTAGCTGTTCGTGAGGTTTATGAGCATGTCTACTCAACAGTTGACATTCAAGGAAGTTTGGATGTTCGAGCTAGTGCCACTGCTAAAGCAACAGTTGCTAGTTTTGCTGCCAGTGAAGGACATGTAAGTAGCAAAGACATAAATTAAGATATTAATTAATTTTTAAAAAAATTCTAGGCACACCCACGAGTCGTTGAACTCCCAAAGACGGACGAAGGTCTTGGCTTTAATGTTATGGGCGGAAAGGAACAAAACTCACCAATTTATATCTCTAGAATCATCCCTGGTGGTGTTGCAGACCGTCACGGAGGCCTTAAGCGTGGTGATCAGTTATTGTCTGTAAATGGAGTATCAGTTGAAGGAGAAAATCATGAGAAAGCTGTGGAATTGTTGAAACAGGTAATTTTGACTTGGTTAAGTGACTAGGGTTGAGTTTGTTTGACTGAATAGATTTCCTCCAATTTATTGTTATAAATTTCATAATCTCAATATTTTCAATTTCACCACATTCAGGCTATCGGCTCAGTAAAACTGGTAGTTCGCTATACACCAAAAGTCCTTGAGGAAATGGAAAACCGATTTCAAAAGCAAACAGCACGACGTAAATTTCAGTAATCAGTTATAAAAGCAGCTAGAAGAGTCTGAAGCTCATTGAAAGGAATTTCATATTTTTTGCTCTAATTTATTGGATTTAAGTTAAAAAAGAATTTGATTTTTAAAAGTCAAAAAGAATTTTTTTTCAAAAAATTATTATTTTATTTTAAGTTAATTAAGGCATTTTATTGAGCAATTCTTTTGTGTTGTGACTAAAATTGAAAGAAAATTTCTAACTTCCTACCGCCATAACTCTTTATGTTTTAAACCAATCACGTATCTCATTTATTTTTGTAGCATTTTAAATTCAGCTCATTTTTATAGTTTAAAATTTTAAATTAGGAAATTTATTTTTTTAAATTAAATTTATATTTGTTTTAAGTTTCAAATTTGTAAATGTGAAAAAAGTGTGTTTGTGTTGCAATATGTCCTCACTTCCATGTCCTATTGACCTACAAAAAATTATGTATTCAATGAAAATGAAGAAAATGATTAAATTGAAAATTTATAAAACATTAAAAAATTAAATTAAAAAAATATGAAATAAAAAATAATAAATGAAAATGTTACTTAATAAAAAAAATTAATTAAAGAATCTAAACTGTTTGTTATTTTAAATAATGTTTTTAAACTTTTCCATTTTTTTTAAAAATTTATTGTTTTTTTAACTTGAATTTTTTAAAATATTTCAATTTTTCATTTATTAATTGATTTTTAAATGCTTTTATTTCTTAATTTTAAACATTTTTAAACTTTTTCACTTCAAAACTTTAAAATTCTTGCGTTTGACAGTCAAAATGATGTCTGAAACTATCAACCAAGCCAAAATAAGCAACCCAAAAATTCCAAAAACTCCCACCAAAAAAATGACTTAAAAGTACACAATAATGTTTACAATTTTCAAACCTAATCACTTCCGCAGACCAAAAAATATTTGCGATAAGATAAGTTTTATTTCCAGCTTAAATCGCCACATTTTCACCTTTTTGTGATTAATTTTAAGTTCTTCCGTTCCTTCTTGATACTTATTTTTATCAAAACAATTGAAAAGATTATAATTTTATCAATAAATGCATCAGACGGAAGTAAATTTACGACTTTTAAACCAAAAAGGATATGTTATAGATTTTCTGATTGCTTCTATTATCAAAAAATCTTAAAATTATTGTCAACAAACTTCAGAATGATTCATTGAAACGGCCTTGTGTGAAAAAGTGGGTTACGGATTCTTGGAATGTTGCCGAACAGATCAGTCGCAAACACTTTACAAAACCATTCCTAGATTTGCTTATATTCAGCTCGAAACACTTGATTTCACCATAAACAATGCGAAACTATTACCACTCTAATTCATCTAATTTAATATTTTATTATTAATTTTATGATCACAACCAATAAGTCCTCATATCAGCCTTTCCTGTTAATTCTCAAGAGAATTCCGATAAGATATTGTAATCTTATACTTGAGGTTCATAAGCTACTAACATTTAATATAAAAGTTCAGTCTTGAACCACCATTGAATTAAAACAGTAACAATCAAAAAATGAATAATAAAGTGAAAATATTTGTGATATTTTTGGGATATTTAGCATTTGCAGAAGCTCAATTCCCAACATGTAATCCATTACTAGTTGAATGGTTCTCACATCCACACGAATGTGAATCGTACATCATTTGCTTCCATGGAGTACAACATGTATTACCTTGTGCACCAGGATTACATTTCAGTCCAACTGAGAAGAGATGCACGTTCCCCGATGAAGCACAGTGTCATGTGAACTATATGTGTCCACCAGTCGATGATATCAACAATCCAGTCTTCTTGCCCGACTCTTATGATTGTGGAATGTAAGTTGATATTTTAAAAAATGCGCTTTAAACAAATGTCTAGTAAGACTTTTCACTTGTCGATACAATTCTGGATTAAGATCTAATAATCAACTATTTAATCATTTTTTTCCACAGATATTACCTTTGTTCTCGAGGATCTCCAATAAAGCGTGAGTGTGCTCCCGGATTATGGTGGGATGTCGTCTTTAACTGGTGTAATACTTGGGACGATGCTGTTTGTGACAATCGAACAGTCATAAACCCCGGTAATCCAGGAAATAGAACAACATTGGGACCTACAACAACAACTGAAATGACAACGACCAGCACTACTACAACGACATTACCCACAACCACGACTAGTACAACAACAACAACAACAACAACAACATTGCCACCTACAACAACTCCACCACCTATTCCAAATCTTGCAGGCTGCCATTTGCGACAGGATCTGTTTGATGGAACTACTTATATTAAATCGATGTGTATTGTGAATGCAAATATAAACTATGAAGCAGCTAGACAACGATGCGTATCACTTAACATGAATTTATTCATTATCGATGACTCGAGAGTACAAACTCCATTCTTTGAAGCAACAACGTGGCTTCTTCGTGGCAGCCCTGGTGGATTTGTTTGGATTAATGGTAGACGTGATAATGTCAATGGATGGCGAGTATTAAATGCCGACAACACATTTAGGGGTCCATTATACAGCGGTGTAAGTTGGGTCAACACAACAACAGTGAATGGTCCAACCAATGGTGATTGTCTTCGTTATTCATCACAATTTGGACCTTATCAAGCTATGGGAATTGGTTGTACATCAACAAGTTGGCTTGTTTGTGAACATTCATTGCAAACTGAACAACCACCGACAACAACACCTGCACCAACAACAACAACTCCACCATCTGGTCCAAACCTTGCTGTATGCTGGAGACGAGCTGATTTGTTCCACAATGGAACTTACTTGAAGTCATCCTGCATCATTAATACATCACAAAACTATGCTGCAGCTGAACAAGGATGTAGAAGAAATGGAATGGAACTTTTTGCTATTGACAGTCCACAAGTTCAGACACAGTTCAGAAATTCAACCACGCAGCTTTTAATTGCTCAACAGCGTGGCTTTGTGTGGATCAATGGACGTGTTGATGATGAATGCAGGAACTGGTACACATTTAATCCAACCAGGAGCTTAATGTTCTCAGCAGTACACTGGGTACAGCAAGAAGATTTTGTTGGACGGAATACAGGCGATTGCTTGAGATACACACAACAATTCAATCCTGAATACTTTGCAATGGGCGTTGCTTGTAATAGTGCATCGTGGTACATTTGTGAATTTTCAGTGCCTCCTGTCATGGATGAGTTTTAAGAGAATTAAGTTAAAAAATTGTTAAGATTAGATCTTTAGGTGCTAAGTGAATTTATAGACATCAATAACAGATATTGAGCATGCTTGCCTTCTCCTCTAAAAATATTCAGACATTATGTTTGTAAAAAGTATCTTAAAGAAGTGAGTGGGTTTGCTTAAATAAGAACAGTGATAATTTTTAAGTCAATTAAGTTAATTAAATGAGCAATTTTATGTGATTAAAACTTGCTGAATGAAAATTTTGAAAAACAAATAAATGAATGAAAATTTAAGTCTTTAGTTAAGTCTTTTTTTATCACCATGATGAATGCAGGAACTGGTACACATTTAATCCAACCAGGAGCTTAATGTTCTCAGCAGTGCACTGGGTACAGCAAGAAGATTTTGTTGGACGGAATACAGGCGACTGCTTGAGATACACACAACAATTCAATCCAGAATACTTTGCAATGGGCGTTGCTTGTAATAGTGCATCGTGGTACATTTGTGAATTTTCAGTGCCTCCTGTCATGGATGAGTTTTAAGAAAATTAAGTTAAAAAATTGTTAAGATTAGATCTTTAGATGCTAAGTGAATTTATAGACATCATTAACAGATATTGAGCATGCTTGCCTTCTCCTCTAAAACTATTCAGACATTATGTTTGTAAAAAGTATCTTAAAGAAGTGAGTTGGTTTGCTTAAATAAGAACAGTGATAATTTTTAAGTCAATTAAGTTAATTAAATGAGCAATTTTATGTGATTAAAACTTGCTGAATGAAAATTTTGAAAAACAAATAAATGAATGAAAATTTAAGTCTTCAGTTAAGTCTTTTTTTATCAACGAAATCGTAGTAATTACCCATCAATATGCTGACTTCAAAGTAAGCAGTAATATTTACAGTGTGATCCCTAATCAACCTAATCTATTATATAAGTTGCCATTACAGATTTGAATCACAGATTAATTTTTAAATCATATTCGGATACAGAAATCAAAATCTAATTGAATATAATTCACATGCAGGCTACAAACCATCAAAGACCTTAATATAGACCTTGTTGAAGTTAGAAAGGTTCTGAATTTACTTTTTAGAGGTTACAGGAATGATAGGTTACACTCTGTAGCTTAACCTAACACTAAGAACTTTTAGATACTAAGCTGTGTGCGGTTTTGGCCATATATTACCAACAAGTGCACAGTTGCACAAAACATATGGCACACCACTGCACTAAATCATTCATTTAATAACAACAGAACTAATAGATTTACTTATCAACTCAAACAACAAGATTAGAAAAGAACAACCCAAGCAAAGATCCTAAAATCTCAAAAAAGTAATCCCTAAACTTGAGTAAAAGTAAAAAGTCTTGCCCTGCAACTTCCCACTACAGCCACAACTTTCATTAATTTCACTCAAATATTCTATTATTAATTTTATGATCACAACCAATAAGTCGTCGTATCAGCCTTTCCTGTTAATTCTCAAGAGAATTCCGATAAGATATTGTAATCTTATACTTGAGGTTCATAAGCTTCTTACATTTAATATAAAAGTTCAGTCATGAACCACCATTGAATTAAAACAGTAACAATCAAAAAATGAATAATAAAGTGAAAATATTTGTGATATTTTTGGGATATTTAGCATTTGCAGAAGCTCAATTCCCAACATGTAATCCATTATTAGTTGAATGGTTCTCACATCCACACGAATGTGAATCGTACATCATTTGCTTCCATGGAGTACAGCATGTATTACCTTGTGCACCAGGATTACATTTCAGTCCCACTCAGCAGAGATGTATGTTCCCCGATGAAGCACAGTGTCATGTGAATTATATGTGTCCACCTGTCGATGATATTAACAATCCTGTTTTTTTGCCCGATGCTTACGATTGTGGAATGTAAGTTGATATTTTTTTAGCAAATGCGCTTTAAACACATGCATAATAAGATTTTCTTACTTGTTGATATATTTATTTATTCTAATATTCTATTATATTCACAGATATTACCTTTGTTCTCGTGGATCTCCAATAATGCGTGAGTGCGCTCCCGGATTATGGTGGGATGTGAACAATAACTGGTGTAATACTTGGGACGATGTTGTTTGTGACAATCGAACAGTCATAAACCCAGGCAATCCAGGAAATAGAACAACATTGGGACCTACAACAACAACTGAAATGACAACGACCAGCACAACAACAACAACAACTTTGCCACCTACAACAACTCCGCCAACTGGTCCCAATCTTGCTGCTTGTTGGAGACGAGCTGATTTGTTCCACAATGGAACTTACTTAAAGTCATCCTGCATCATCAACACTTCACAAAACTATGCTGCAGCTGAACAAGGATGTAGAACAAATAGAATGCAACTCTTCGTCATTGACAGTCCACAAGTACAGACACAGTTCAGAATTACAACCACACAGCTGTTAATTGCTCAACAGCGTGGCTTTGTGTGGATTAATGGACGAGTGGACGATGAGTGTAGAGAATGGTACACATTTAATCCTACCAGGAACTTAATGTTCTCAGCAGTGCACTGGGTACAGCAAGAAGATTTTGTTGGACGGAATACAGGCGACTGCTTGAGATACACACAACAATTCAATCCAGAATACTTTGCAATGGGCGTTGCTTGTAATAGCGCATCGTGGTACATTTGTGAATTTTCAGTGCCACCTGCCATGGATGAGTTTTAGGAAGTTTAAGTTAAAAAGTTGTTAAGATTAGATCTGTGAATTGATGGAAAAAAATAAATTTAATAAAGGTTTGTGATTTAATTTAAAATTGATTCGTACACAAAAGAAATTTTTATGAAAATTATATGAACCGCGTGCTTTGTGCGACTTGGGTCATGGTTTAACATTAAGAGTTTGCCACGGTTAAAAAGTTTGGGCAACACTGGATTAAGGGCATGTTTCAAGTGCCATAAATTATGGCTTTTTTAAATTTGGATATATCAAATATCATTAAAAACACTTAAATTTAATTAAGCTCAAAAATAAATAATTTTACTTTTCTTTATTTCAAATATTTTTTTTTATATTTTTTTAATTTGACAATTGTATAAGGCCTACACAGTGATATGTATCTGTTCCGTTTTTGAGATTTGTTTTGCAAAAAAAGCTTTGGAAGATCTTCTAATTGGAAATTTTCTAGTTTGGCGTGATTTTTGTTTTTATTTTTATTTGTGATGATTTTTTTTTTATTTTCTACAAAAAGTGAGATTGTAATCTAATCTCTTAAATAGTCTCTAATACTTTATTAAGCTTAATTCGCATTTTGTGAATTTTCTACTTGCTATAATTCTTTAAAATTCAAATGTTTCTTTAATTTTCTTGAACATTCTATAATTTTTGTAAAATTTTTACACTTTATAAATGTAAACTTATTTAAAACTTACAAATATTCTTAAATTTTCTGATTTAAATTCAACTTTGTTTACTTTTTTGATCTTTTTTCAGTTTTTTTCAATGTTTTTCAAATTTTTTATCCAAACAAAAATTTTTCAAATTTTCAACAATTTCAAATGTTCCGATTTTAAATATTTTTAAACTATTTTTAAATTATTTTCAACATTTTTAAATCTTTTATTCTTTTCAAGAATATCAAAGTCTATCGGGCTTTATTTTGTTTACTTTTCAATTTTTTTATTTTTTCCCTAAAATTGTCTAATTTTCAAGTAATTAATTTTTAATATTTTTTATTTTCACATTTTTGATTGTAATGTTTGTAAAACTTTAAATTTTTTAAAATTTCAAACTTTTAATTTATTTTAAATTTATAAAATTTTGGTTTTGTTAAAATTATAAAATTCTCAATTTTTTTAAAAAAATATTTTAAATCTGACTCTAATAGTTGTCAAATCTTGTGCTTAATTTTTGAAAATGTTAAATATTTTTTTTAAAAAAAATATGATTGTAATTGAAATTCAACAATTTTCTCATTTCTCTCTCAACTTTTCTAAAAATTCTTTCTTTTTTTCACCGTCGAATGCCAAAATCTTATAAATTTCCTCATTATTTTCATCATTAATGTCAGTCAATTTCTTAAAATTATAACTTTGAACATCATTCAAGTTCTTAACCTCAAAAATCACATTCAATCGTTCCTCACGACTAAAATTCCTCAACATCCTCAACGGAATCTCGTGTTGCTTAATCAACAAATTTTCAGAATCTTTTATAGCCACAGAATTTTCATCAAAACAAATCACAAAAATGTCATACCAGACATCAATCATATCAACAGGTTCTATACAGTTCAACATTTGAACAAGATATGGATTATTATTTGCATAATCCTGAATTGTTATCAACTTTGTCGTCTGTTCCTCATTGAGATTCTGGATTATTTTAATAACATTACAGACATTTTCAGGCTTAAGCTTAGCCAACTCCAAAATACTCAATCGTAAGTCATTAAGTTTAATTGCACAGTCATTTCCGATTAATTTAATTTCCATTTTATCATCATTTGTGGTAAAGACATCAAAAATGACACGAATGACGTCATCAAGGTCTGTAGTCTCATCCAAATGCTTATAAGTCTCAATTAATGCTGTGTCATTTTGTAAAATTGATCTCATGTCCTCAAACAATTTTTTATCATTACAGGCATCAAGCATATGTGCAATAATTGTCTCCTGAACCATGTCAACAAATTCCTCAGGTGAACAATAAGACATCTTTGATTTTGACCAATATCCTTCAGTTATAGCCATCATCAGCATATTTGTCTCTGAAAATTCATCCATTGAGTCATTCAGTCTCATTAGTGCATCCTTTGGTAGCTTAAGTGACGCTTTTGTAGATTTATGACGTAATTTTGTAAATATTTCATAGCCGCAAAGCAAAGCCTTTCCTGTGTCCGTTACTGGACGAATGGAACCGCTAAAAATTGACATGGCACGCGTTGCTGCACTAAACTTCCGACTTATGTCCACTAATGTTGTGCTTTGTGAGAATGTTGCTAAAAATTTTGTGCTTGCAATTGACAAAGTTCCAAAAGTGACGAGATCAGCACCAAGTCCAAGCCAAAGCCAGAAAGCTTCACTATTTTTGAATGGATTGACAGTTTCTTTGTGCTTGACACGATCGCGAATTTTCAAGCCTGTTCGACCGGCACCGTAAGTTGCTGTTGCTGCAACAGCACCCATCATTAAAAGTGCAGCTCCACCTGTTGCGATTGTGGCACCTATTCCTGCTAAGATGCCAAGTGTACCACTAGCAATGTCACAAGCCATTAAGGTCTTAACTGGACGAGAACATTCAGCTGAATCTTCAAGCACGCAGTCAGCTTTTCCTTCTTTATTTTGCTTAAGTTTCAAGTGTCCATCAGTTGGATAAAGAAGCTGAGTTGCTGGTAAATTATTGTTTTCCCGCCAATCCTCAAAACTTTTATAAACTCGTCCTGTATGGTCCATAAACTTCTCAACTTTTTCATCGTGTTTTGGCTTGAATCGGTACAAAGGAAGTGTAAATAAACTCTCGGAATAATAAAACGCAATTGGAAGAATTGTGATGAAAATTTCTCGATCACCATTGCATTCAGCTTGAAGTTTTGCGACGAGTTTTTCGACTGCTTCGAGATTCTTGCCTTCATAGTAATAGAGACAGCCTTCGCGGGCTAATTTAAAGTGATCTGGTGACCAATTTTGTAGGGTAACATTTGGAAGGAGAGATAATGAGTATCCGATTGTGTTGATAAAGTTTGAACCTTCTAGAAGTTGATAGTTGTCACCTTGACCATGTCCGCCTCGATTGTAGTACTGCATTAGGGTCTCTTTGGCTATCAGCTCCCTAAAATTAGAGATTGATGGAGTTTTAGGCTTAATGTTGATAAAGTTTTAGTAGCTTTGTGGGTAAAATTTAACAATTTGCTGTAAAATTTTAAAAATGCTGTGAAGTTTTAAAAAATGCTGTCAAATTTTAAAAATGCTGTCAAATTTCAAAAATGCTGTCAAATTTAAAAAATGCTGTAAAATTTTAAAAAATGCTGTAAAATTTTAAAAATGCTGTCTGCATTGCTGATTGCAATGCATCTAAATAACAACAAAGCTATTCATCATCATCGAAAAAGCCACAAATGTCGCAGCATATTGAAAAAAATAAAGTTTGATCGAAACTGCTCGAAAAAGTGGCTAGATCAAATTTAATTATTATTTTAATGATCTTAACAGCCAACTAATATCCAATCCGCATCAAAACTCTAAATCCAATAACAAAATCACCTCAAAAAACCCATAAAAATATTTCTGACGTAATCCTTAAATTTCAATTTCAAAATTTTTCTATCGATTTTCATTAACTTCACATTTATTGCCTTACCAATCATCAACAGTCGCTGGCTCAATCTCCATTTTATCACAAACACGCTGATTATCACAAAAATATTAAATTTTATTCGCAAGATTTGTTAAAAACTTAAAATTTATTTTTAAAGTAATGAGGAACAAAGAAAAAAAGTTTTACTTCATTGAAAATAAAAACGTAAATAAACAAAAACAAATGATTGTCGTACAACATGAGAATTGCTTGAATGTATTGGTGTGGTGAAATTGGAAGTGGTGGATTATCATTAGGATGACCATCGATTTTTCGATAAGGAACAGGACATTTCTAAAATAAAACCAAAAAAGAAACAACTAGACTTGATTTTATTCAATTTTTAAAACCATTTATTATAAAAAATAATTTAAAAAAATTGAAAAAAAAAAACTTTCTTAAAAATTCGTTACTTTCTCCGTTCAGATATCCACACAAAGCTGGCCACTATTATTAACAAATCTAGTAAAGCACCTCGAAACAAAGGTTGAGAGGCACTGGGTTACACAGCATGCTTTCCACTAGGACCTTTACACTAGACTATAACTTGGGTAATTCCATTAGAGTAAGCACTACCCTGGGATAATGTTTGTCAAGAACATTTGTATAACATTGAGTCTAACCTAAAATATTTTCAAGAGTTAGCCTTGGATCTACTTTTGTGTAACAAAGCGAACAAGAGTTCCTTAGTCAATCACCTTATTCTAGATTGTAAAATTATTGAACTATACCAGTGATGACTAATCAGTGTGCCGCGGGACAGTAGTGTGCCGTAAAAAATTGGAAACCCCACGAACCGTATGCTGTCCGCGTTTTTGGTATTAGCTTACGACTTAGTCACGTGGAAGACCAAAGAACTCATGAAAGGAGGCTGTTGATAAAGAAAGTGTTGCATTTGGAATCGACAATTTGCATGATTTTTTTGTACAAAAAAAGACAACAATTCTTCATGCTCTACACATGTCATCTCATAAACAACTTACAAACGTTTCTTTATCTACGAAATAAGGACTTAAACTACCTCATCCAGTAATTCTTCTTTATCACGATCACTTAAGCTATCGGATTGTTGACAATTTCTTTTCAAGTGCTACATCCTTTCTGCTAATCACAAAAACCCAAAACACTTCCATTATACTATCTTATCATTCAATTAAATGTCTTATCTGACTTCCATTTACCTTCAAAATGTGTCCATAAATTCAGTTTTTCGTGAACATTCAATCGACTAAGATGAAATTGGTTCTTAAAACTGCGTTAATTTTGATATTTCATGCTGTATTTTGTGCTTCTCAGTCATCTCCATCGATTACATGCTCATATTATGCATGGCAATCAGCAAATACAACAACATACGAATGTGCATTGACAATTTCAAATCCAAATGGATTTGATAACTTTACAAGAATTAATGGCGATCATCAGCCTGGATTTAGTGATCAAAATGTGACAGAAATTCCATTCGCTAATGGATTGACTATAAATATCCCACAAATAATTTGCAGACAATTTGCTAATTTAAAAATAATAATTTTAGACAGAATTGGAATTACATTTGTGGATAATAATTCATTTCGAGGATGTGGACATGTCGAGAGACTTAACTTAAATAATAATGAAATTTCATCGGTCTCCGTTGGTGCTTTTTGGCGAAACGAGAAGCTTAAAAGTTTAGATTTGTCTGAAAATTCAATTCAAATTTTGCCAGAAAATATTTTTGATAATTTGTCAGATTTGGAAGTGCTGAATTTAAGTTTTAATGATTTTGAGACTATACCGAATAAAACTTTTAAAGAACTTGACAGTTTATTGGATTTAAGGTTAGCTGGTGTCGGAATGTCAAGGATAAATCCAGCATGGTTTGAGAATCTTGGTGATCTTCGTTATCTTTATTTATATTCAAATGAAATTTCTGAGCTATCTGAAGACAGTTTTGAAGATTTAGATGACTTAACGTTATTAAATTTAAGCATCAATCCAATTAATGGAAATTTCCCGCCAAAAATCTTTGAAAAACTATCAAAATTAACATATTTGCAGCTTGATCAAACAGGAATTACAAATCTGAACCCAAAATGGTTTGAAAAATTGGATAACTTAGAACAATTGTTCTTAAAATCCAACAACATCAGCAACTTACCTGATAAAATCTTCGATGACCTAAAAAGTCTCAGAACTCTCGATATATCCAACAACTCTCTAACAGTTCCACGCATTGCATCTTCAACTTTTGACAACCTCAAAACCCTTCAGTACCTTGATCTAAGCTACAACAGCTTAACCAATCTTAATCCACAGTGGTTCATAAATCTTCAAAATTTAACAACACTTTTACTGACAAGCAACAGAATTTCTGAACTTCCATTTGGAGTTTTTAGACCAATCACAAGACTGATGCAACTTTTTCTTGGAAACAACAATTTGAAGTCAATTAATCGTAATGATTTTGGAAACTTGAGCTCATTAGCTCATGTATATGTGCAAGGAAATCAAATTATTTCTGCTGATAAAAGATTCTTTGATGACGCACGAGCATTGTCGTTTTTAAATTTCTTAAATAATTTGTGTGCAAGTGAAAATTTTATTTTCTTCTATCTCAATCGGGAGAGTAATATGCAGAGACTGTCGAGATGTTTGGAGAATTCAAGGTTCTTTGTTGGTGAGTTTGAGTTTAATTATTAAAAAAGTTGTACATTTCTGAAGCTGAACGCTCTTCAAGCTGAGCGTCAATAGAGGTGAACATTCCTCGAGTAATTAAACTGAGTGATACTTAAGCTAAGTGTTAATCAATCTGAGCGAATCTCAAGCTGAGCGATAGTTAAGCTGAGCGTCAATCAAGATGAACATTTCTCGAGCTGAGCGTCAATCAACATGAACGTTCCTCGAGCTGAACGTCAATAAAGCTGAGAAATACTCAAGCTGAGCGTCAATCATGCTGTGAGATACTTAAGATGAGCGTCAATTTAGTTGAGAGATACTCCAGCTGAGCGTTAATTAAGCTAAGACATTCTTAAGCTAAGCGATACTTAAGCTAAGTGTTAATCAATCTGAGCGAATCTCAAGCTGAGCGATACTTAAGCTGAGCGTCAATCAAGATGAACATTTCTCGAGCTGAGCGTCAATCAACATGAACGTTCCTCGAGCTGAGCGTCAATAAAGCTGAGAAATACTCAAGCTGAGCATCAATCATGCTTAGAAATACTCAAGCTGAGCGTCAATCATGCTGAGCGATACTCAAGCTGAGCGTCAATCAATCTGAGAGATTCTCAGGCTGAGCGTCACTCATTTGAGTATCTCTCAAGCTAAAAGTCTTTTAGTCTGAGAAATACTTGACACTCAAGAACATTAAAAAAATTCCACAGTGACTCAACTCTTAATTATAAAGAGAAGAGTATATTCTTACTTATTTGTACACAAGCGATTCTCTCAAATCATCTTTTTACATTTTTTTGAATTATCAGCGTCCAAGTTCTAACAAATAAATCTAATCTCTTATAATTTATTTTGTAATTTTTCTTTTCCTTAATCTTCAAGACACTCAAACAAATTTCACCATAAACTACACATTCTTTGATGCTTTTCATCCGGGTCTACATGCTCAAATATTATCATCACGTGCAGCCCATATAACCCTTTCAAATGCACACACTCCAAGAATTGAAATTATCATTGGTGCACAAAACAACACAAGAACAATCATTCAAAACAGCCAAGGAAGCATTTATGCTGATGTTTCGACTCCAAATATTCTAGATCTCAGCCAATGGCGAACATTTCGAGTCACATGGGTCAATGATGTTGTTTTGGTGTTTCGCGAAGATGAAAAATTCCCATTTATTGCACAGACTATAGACAGACCGTTTATGATCGACTATTATGGCCTCAAATCACCGTAAGTATTATGATTTTGGCGTCATTTGCTAATCATTAAATTGAAAAAAATATTTTTTTGTAGTCTTAGTCACACAAGTTGGCGAGTACGGCCTATAAATATTCAGCGACACAATTAGTTGTTATCGAATTAAGTTTTAAATTTGTTAATAAATTCAAGGGTAGATGAAATGTGTTTATTATTATAAACTATTGATATATCTTATGCTGGAAAAGGCAAGAGCTCAGTCATGTTAGCTGGTTTCGAGGTTTTATGGTTCTTCTGCATTGAAAACAGACTTTATGATAAGTGGAAGAATGGCTGAGTTTTGTCAAAATTTGCTACGACTAAGAGCAGGATGAAGTTTACAATATTTTCCATTAGCTGCACATTTTTGTGCTTTATAAAGGCTTGGTGTTGAGATTACTGTGCGTATTTGAAATTCTCACGGTTTCTGCTTACAAAAAGCTATCACAATAAAAAGGACTGGCGATTTCTGTCATTTTAGTAAAGTCTGAATGTTTTATCTATTCCAGTTCAAGATATGCTGCTTGATCAGGCTGAAAAACGAACAATATGGTCTCAACATGAGATCATAAAATTAAGCAGAAACATGTGCAAGATTATGAATGAAAGGTTGAACGTACATCATGATTTAAAAGAGATCGATGATTAAAAAAAGAGTCGTAGCCAGTATTTTTGAGTTGAATACCCTCATTTATTCCTTAATGTTAAGTTCTGGGTTCAATCCCAGGCCATGTCTAATTTTCGTAGCTCTTTTTCCATTTCACCGTTCTAGTTACGAAGCTCGGTTCGTGTGTTGGGTGTAGTATTGATGTCTTTGGCATAGAATATGCCTCCTTTGCTAGGCATACAAGGATATACTAGCATCTGGATGACTTCCTTACGGCATCTTGCGCACACGAATTGTGACTAGGTCCATTGCAGGGTACATCAGGTCTTATGACGTACTCGTATCTTTGCAATGTACAGAGCTTGCAAGTGGTTCGGATCCCACTATAAACTGTAGGTCTAAAGGGTGTGGTACAATAGATTCTGTTCTAATTTGAATCGCAGTGCCTCCAGCTGAAAGGCTGGGCCCTTCACACATTATTATTATTCCTTAATGTTTAAAAAGGATAGATTGTTGTATGTAAACTTGACCAATAGTTCAATACTTCGGACATTCAAAATATTAGTTTTAAAAAATTAAATTTGTTGCGGCGAGGCATTTAGCAGTTCCTAATCTTGTCAAAATAATGACTGCGATAACACTTCAAAAAAAAAAACGTGTGGATGAACTTCATGTGGTTCAGCTGTGAACATTAATCATAAATTAAGACATAATTCGACATTAAACATTAGAATTTTTTGTGTCATTAACATCTGGTTTTGTGATAAGAAAAATAAACAAAGGGTCATTAGCTTATGACGTATGTGATTAAACCATGATTTTTAAACTCCTTCCTTCCTATAAATAATTCATATTGAAGTAAATTTCCTTAGTTTGCGCTGTCAAATAATCAAAGCAATTATAAGTAAAGAAAGGTCAAGATTAAGTTACGATGAGAACTCAATTATGTCACGTCACTTGATTATTATACTTAAAGAATTTTTATTTGTGGAAATCCCAAAGAATTATCAACAAAAATATTTGCAACAATCAAAAATAGATTGATTTTTAATGCTTCATATAGACACTACATGAACATTATGAAACAATTAATCATAGCCTTTAATATGAGGCTAATGTTCGATCTATTAAATATGAATTTTTTTAGCATGGCTTGATATTCGTTCAGCTAATGATTTGAACCAAGATATAAACGAAGTCTACGGAAATTCAACAGTAATTAAATGGGACCAAAAAATTAAAAGAGCTTGAATAAGATTCACTAGGGTTCTAAGAAGGGGTTCAAGTCTATTAAATTGATCTTAACTGATTCAATAAGGGACTCGTTATAACAACTTTTAGCCCCTTTCCCGTTATGTAATAAATGAATGACCTCTTAGATCCAAATCGGTCTAATGGGATCGACCTAAGCCCCAGATAATCTTAAAACTGATTCGTTTTACGGCACATCAATTAGAATAAAAACCAGGAAAGCACAAATGCGTTACTTACTTACTTCGCTGGTCGTACAGATCGATTTTGATCCATGGCCTCCCTTAGATGCCGCCTAAAATTGGCTCTATCGCTGGCTACCACTTGCCAATTTCCTATACCAAGTTCAATACTGTCTCTTTCAACAGCCACTTTTCATTAGTTCTTTGGCCTTCCACGTGCTCTTTTTCTATACACAAAGTCTGACTTAAAGACCTTACTTAATGGAGGAATCTGTGAAAGGTCTCCTCATAATATGTCCAGCCTATCGGAGCCTGTTTACTTTAAAACGTTTACTGACTCAAAAATGGGTTAATCGATCAAGAATCCGATACGGTGGATTAAAATCCTGCATTCGATGCCTGAGCCACGCCAATATGACGTTAGATTTCTGATCGATTAATTGATTTATGCTTTTCGTGATGCATCCAAAACTATATTTTGTACCACAAATCAGTATAATCTCTTTGCATTAAAACATTCAGGAGCAAAAAAATTCTCATCTAAGAATTTCAAAAATTCTCTTTTGACTCATAATTGAGTGAGAATAAGACAAATGAGAGGGAGTATTTTTTTTTGAAAAATTGGATCCAGCATTCACTATTATTTTGCAATTGTACGGCTACAGAAGTGATTTTGATTGTCCGCGTGTGAATTTTTCATACTTTTTTTTCCAGTGATTGACATTTTATTGAGCTTTAGTAAAGTAAATTTATTTTTTGTTTTAAAAAAATTATAATAAGTTTGAAGTTGCTTTTTTTAAGAGATTTTTTGATGTTTGAAAAAATCAAAATTCACAAAAGTTAAAAGGAAGTGGGTGCATAAATGACTGAGAATTAGATGGTGTAAAAAGAAGTTTAAGATAAAACTTAGTGAAGTATTATGTGTTGACCGAAGCATATTTGGGGAAATTGTGGAAAGAGTTTGAAGTCGGTTTAATGCAAAACTGAACGCAAGTAGTGAAAATAAATTGTTTATAACGAGAAATATTATACTTAATGATTACTTAAGTTAAAAGCGCAACGAAAGCACCATTCTCGACTTGATGATATTTTGGTTCTAACATATTGAAGTCCCGATGCATTTTTCATACAAAAACTGCGCTTTTAAGTGAAAACCAATTATTAAATTAAATGTCTACATAAGCATTAATACTTATTGTTGTCGCTCAAAGTCATATTCACGTTAAAGGTCATTCACTAATAACATCTAAGGGAGGCGGGGGTGGAGTCAGCAAGCAAAGAATAATAAAAATTTCTTGGATATCCTTTGTCCTTTTTTGGACGCCATAAGTAAACAACCCCATATAATGTCCTGTATTTGATAGAGTTTCTGTCATAAATTATTAAACAAAGCATTTAATATTCGCTCATTAAATAATTCTAAATTCAAAAATCATGCTAAATATCCCATAAATCCCAAAAATATTCAAAATAATCCCTAAGCCTGTATACATTAGAATTGAGATATCCCATCATATCCTGAAATTATACGTCCAATACACTAAGGATACGTTGGGATATCTTTATTATCGTGCATACATGCTCAGGAATTTTTTGAATATTTTTGGGATATGTAGGATAAATATGATATTTCGGATAGTTTCCACGCCTTGAATTATGATGAAAATCTTCGTCCTTTTTCAAATAAATAAGGTTGAACTAATTCCAATTTGGAAGAAACAATCAACCAATTGAGTTCAAAAGATGAGTAAACAAAGTGATAACAACATTGTTCATTTTTTAAAATAAATGTTAATTGACAGTCTGTTTTGATTGAGACTGCATTTTTTTAATTCAATTTACAATTTTTGATTTGTCAGCCAATTTTCTTTGTCTTTCAATTTTTTAAGAAGTCAACACAAGATTGAAGAATATTTATAAGCAATTAAGTCTAACATGGTTCACATAAAGTTGAAACTTTGCATTCATCTAAAGGGTCAGTAGGGAGGATAGGCGATAAATCTCGTTTATTGATGAATGTCATTTAAATACAGACTCTTTGTTGATTTTTGATTGAAGAAATGGTTAAAACCTAATTTTTTTCGAACAAACTTATGAATAAAATTATCAATATTCAAGGAAAGTCTCGGGTGGTTTAAAAAAGATTAAGAAAAATGCTAGCTTAATTAAAACAACTTCTTTATTTTATTTTTTTTTTTTCAATATTAAACTTCTTCTTAACTAGTTTGAGGATATATTTGGCTCTCATTTGCCCAAGGGATGATCAAAATTGATTTTTCTTAGCCACTTACTCATTACCAATGCTCTTTTAGCCCCCAAGAACACTTGTTTTCAAAAAATGTCCTTAATTGCTCTTAAAAATTCAAGCTAAAATCACATTTTCCACCGTCAGTTTTAAAATACATCACAAAATTTATCACTAAAATAAAAATCAATTTTAAAGTCTTCAATAAATTTATTTGCAATAATCAAATGACCCAAAAAAAATGTGAATGTTTAGATTATTTTTTTCAAAAAAATTACTGATAATTCATCTCATTTGAGGTCACAAATCAAAAACTCTTGTTCAACTGCAATCTCATTTTAATGATATTTTGCTTACTTGTAAACTGTATTTATGTCGTTACTGAAAAGGAGGAAGTAATACAAAAATAATTATAATTGTGAAAAAAAGGCAAAAACAGAGAATTTTTCTAATGTAAGGTTGAATAAGATCACTGTTCACTGAGTTGATGCGTGATTGGTTTGTTTGTGTAGTCATAAATATGCCTTAATGAAGGATTTGAGGAGATTTTGTTATCAATTTTGATGAAATTGATTGATATTTTATAAGAAGTCATCTAGAAAATTGTCAATCTTAAGGAATGATGAAGAAGTGTGACAAGGTTTATTTTCTACGAATTAAGTCAAATGAAAGATAATTTATCGACAAATGTCTAGCTATAAGGTCCATTAATCTTTTTCATAATATCTATGAAATTCATAATCTTTTTTTTGGTGATGATGAATTTACTCTGATTCAGAAATGACATTTGTGTGCTTAATTTTAATTTATTGTATCGTTGTTACTTACTTCCTTGGCTAAGGCGCACGTGGGCTCATTGCCGCATCCAGAGTTTGTCTAAAACTTGCTTTATCCTTACAAAACTTCTGCCAGTTCACTATGGGGCAAAATTGAAAAAAGAGGGACTTTCACATTGATTTTGGGACTTTTTCGAATTACATTCTCAAGTAAATTTTTTCTTGTAGAGGACATAAAACCTGACTTCTATGCCAAATTTCAAGTCATTTGGTGCTGTTCCTGCAATTTTATGGCTGTTTGAAGTCGGAAAATAGCAAAAAACAGATTTTTTCAGTCCAACTTTGAAGTCAAAACCAGAGGGCGAAGTCGACTCGAAATTTGTATGAAGTCGAGTGAACTCAAGTCGACTTTTCCATACAAAATTCGAGTCGACTTCGCCCTCTGGTCAAAACTCTTTGCAACGGTTAATTAAAATAAAAAACGGTTTTCAGTTTCTAGTAGTCCTATATAAGAACTATATTTGCTGAAGTACATAATTTTTTTCGATAAAATTTTTGTAAACATATGCTAGTAAATGTATGAAAATCCTATGAAAAATATCTTCAAACACGCCGCAACTATCTTAGATGACGACTACTTAAGGGGTAAAACCATATCATCATAAAGCCCTTAACTTTTAATTTATAAAACTGTATGAATTTTAAAATTTTATTGGTACACTTTTGAGATAAATTGATTTTAATAAGCCGTTGAATATTTGATCAAAATCATAAATTTCTCATAAAAATTACAAAACAATAATTACAAATATTTTTGTTACGACGTTTGATATTTCATATTGGAACATATTTGAGTCAAAATACATTAGATAAATTTGATGAGTAAATTCTTGATTTTGGCTATTTTATTGAAGTTCAGCTTGCGTCGGTCACATTCAAACCACTCCAGGAGCAACTTTAATGAACTTTTGATGAATTGATATACATCATTACAAAGGTATTGACATCAGCTAGCAATAAAAGTAAACAGGAAGCAAAAATATTGATTCTGAAAAAAGTTCTAGTCATTTGAGTAGATCAAAAAGTACACGTTTGCATCTAAGTCATATTTCTATAAATGACTGTTTTGATATTTTTTTTAGTTTTGGGTCGCTCACAAACAAGGCACATAATCATGACTAAGATCATACCTAACCATCAAGTATTTTATATCGTTGAAAAGATCTTGATTTAAGCTATAACAATCTGAAAACAGATTTTAAAAATATTTTGTTTTCTTAAAGCTGGAGCGTTATAAGTGGTGGGAAAACCATACAAGTCGTCAGATATCAAATGTACCCAATATATCGACATATTTTAAACTTTTTGAAAAAAATTCTTTGCATGCTGTTTTTAAATGTCATTTTCTATTAGAAAACATTAACAAAAATATTTGTAATTATTGTTTTGTAATTTTTATGAGAAATTTATGATTTTGATCAAATATTCAACGGCTTATTAAAATCAATTTATCTCAAAAGTGTACCAATAAAATTTTCAAATTCATACAGTTTTATAAATTAAAAGTTAAGGGCTTTATGATGATATGGTTTTACCCCTTAAGTAGTCGTCATCTAAGATAGTTGCGGCGTGTTTGAAGATATTTTTCCTAGGATTTTCATACATTTACTAGCATATGAGTACAAAAATTTTATCGAAAAAAATTATGTACTTCAGCAAATATAGTTCTTATATAGGACTACTTGAAACTGAAAACCGTTTTTTATTTTAATTAACCGTTGCAAAGAGTTTTGACTTCAAAGTTGGACTGAAAAAATCTGTTTTTTTGCTATTTTCCGACTTCAAACAGCCATAAAATTGCAGGAACAGCACCAAATGACTTGAAATTTGGCATAGAAGTCAGGTTTTATGTCCTCTACAAGAAAAAATTCACTTGAGAATGTAATTCGAAAAAGTCCCAAAATCAGTGCAGTTTTTAATCTCAAGCACATTTTCATATGCCTATAAGCCATTCCATGAATTCTTTGGATTTAATTGTTGTATCCTTTCAAAATGTCGAAGGTGTGACAATTTTCAGAATCGCCTGCCTTAGCAGAGAATATTTCGTCTTAACAAATCTCATTTTATTGTTCTTATTAATAACTTATTCTATATCCATCATTATTAGGCTGTCCATCGATTTTTGCCGATTTCTGTTCACTTTTTGGTCCCGATTTAATCTCTATAAAAGCGGGACACAGAACAAATTTTTAAGTATTTTTAAGAAAAATAGCTTCAAAAAAGCGGGACATTAAGAATTTTAGACAATATTATGGTCAAAAAAATGAGACTGTCAAAAGGACGCAGTTGGACAGCCTAATAATGATGGTTAGAAAACAAAATAAATATTTATTTCATAAATAATTCAAGTTTCTAAACGCATCGATTACGTGTTTTTCATATGAAATAAAAAAAATCATTAATTAAAGTTTAAATACAATGTTTTAAGACTTTTAACTGTTCGGCCGGCCAATAACTCGATAGAACTGAGCTAATAAAACAAACCCAACCTCTCTACGATGTTTGGTTAAAAAGTTTTTCTTGCCCCGAACAGCCGAACAAAGTGTATTATTAAGCTACCTTTTAGAAACAAGTTTCAAAAATGCGCTAAAAACTGTAATTAAATTGAGTGTTATTAAAATTCGACTTAATAGTCAATTTCATTTAATCATTTAAAATTAATTTAATTTGCCAACCCGGTAAACCCTTCGACACTGTTTTTTATTTTAAAATAAATTTTTCATTTTTTCCGTCGGATTTGTTTTGATTTTAAAATTAGAATAAAGTAATGTGAGATCATTAATCAGCAATTAGATGATTGCCATGGCTTTATGGATGTAGGAAAATCCCAAAAAATAATATTTGATATAAACCAAGCTGTGTAATAAAATTTATTTTAAATTATGTGCGTTCTATTATCGCAAAATATTCCTTCTTCTTGTTGATGCTGTGTGACCAAAATAAAAATTAAAATGATGTGTGAATGTGACAAGTGAGAACATTGCTTGATTATTCAAAATTATGCTGATTATTTATGAGAAAACATCAAAAGAAGGCTTAGAATAACGTGTTTTGGGGGTGAGGTGAGCTTTGAAAAGATAATTTTTGAAGAAATAGAGGAACTGAGAGTGAAATAGAGAACATACCACTTTTTTCCCATTTATTTTTATGTTTTCTGGACGAATTAAAACAAATTATAAAAGAAAAATGAAAAAAAAATAGAACACGTCCTCTGAAAAACTAAGCAGATTGACCGTCTAGCCTTTGAATCTCTTGAATTAGGTTCAGTAAAGACAACCCTTCGTAATATCATAATTTACTGTAAAAAGCAAATTTTGATAAATATTAATAAAATCTTAAAGAAGCAATAATGAATCGATAGACTCTCCTCTGTCTTAAGCCATTTAATGCAATATTTATTTTGAAAACTCAGTTAATTTTGAAAAATAAATTTTACTTTGTATTTGATAGGCAACAAGTCCATTTTTTGCTACATGCAAAGAGTAAATTAACTGAAAAAACAAAATAAAAATAAAACACAGTGAAAAAGGAGATAAAAAGAAGAGGCCAGCTTCAGAAGCTGCGTAAAGTTTTAGTTAATTCGCTACTTTGCTGTGTGCTTGACTGAATAAAAACCATCAAAAATGGCAGTCGCTGCTAAAAGTGAGTATTTTAAATGATTTATTTTGCCATTTTTTATAATTTTGTAGCTTGATTGATTTTGCTTTGGTTAACCTAGAAATTTCCTTTCAATTATTAACTCAGGGACTGGTTTCTTGAGCTATTTAAAGCAGCATTTCTAATATCAGATAGATTTTATTTATACTTCATTTGGGGCGTTCATCAATGACGTTACAATTGGCGTGCACAAAAATAATAGAATTTTTGGAATTTTCTTTTATTTTTTTTAAAACAACAATTATTTTAGGATGTCATTTATGAACGATCCTATATTGTATGAAATTTGATTTCATTTTAGGGTAAAATGTCCCAATTAGCCCTCGAAACCAACCTAAGTTGTTAAATTTTAAGGCTCATTAAAGTTCAACATAAGCCATAACATTTTTTCAAAGCAAAAAAAGCAACAAAAAATGTTCGCCGAACGTGGGGCTCGAACCCACGACCCTGAGGTTAAGAGCCTCATGCTCTACCGACTGAGCTAGCTCGGCTATTTATTTGATACTTCCGTTTTGGTATTTCATCCATAATAAATGTTCTCAAAAAGTATAAATATTTAAAAATTATGATCAGCTGTCAATTTAGTGTAAACCAGATGACAAATTCTGAACTCGCAAACCTAAATATGTGTCAGCAGTTTTGAATTAAATTCATCATAGCTCAATGACATTTTAAATGCTAATAATTATACAACACAATGTATGCAAACTGAGATTTCATTTTATTTCTCATACTAATACTCATCAAAGACGTGCTCAGGAATAAATTACTACCGGATGTTGAACATGTTACTTTATTTATGGGTTTAAGATTTTCAAGAGATTGAATTAGATAAGATTTGAGTATTTAACACTCTAGACCAACTATAATACTAGTTTCATCCCTAATTCTACGCCATTGTCTTCATATATTCACAAAAAGTCACTCATGAATTTCTGTTCTCATTTCCTTTTCTAGACGTTGCGATGAAGTCATCAAAAATCAAATGGTTGAGAGATTGTAAATATGAAAAATCCTTAGCAATGCATGCATGACCACAAATGTTATTACACTAAAGTTGACGAAAAAATCTTTAATTTGATAGTAAAAATCACATCCAAAACTAAATTTATTTTGCAGTAGACAATTTAGAGGTTAAAAGTCCTGACCAAAGACAAGACAGAAGTCGAGAAATTTGGTTCAAAATAAAATTATATCTTCAAAATCTTCCAGTTATTCGCAATATCAGACTGGACTTTAGATTCGGTGATAACAGAACAAGTGAGACTTTAGGAACTCAGCATGTGACGATTCCAAGAATTTATGAGATGGTACCAGACGTACCGCCTCCACCTGGTAAGTTTGAGAATGTTTCTTTTTATTTGAAATTTTGGAAGGGTCTGTTGGATTGAAGAAAGGGTTTCTGGGAACGAGGAGACATTTGCTGGATTGAAAAGGGGTCTGCTGGATTGAGGAGGGGTCCGTTGAATTGTAAAGGGGTTTGCTGGATTGAGGAGGGGTCCGTTGGATTGAAGAGGGGTCTGCTGGAGTGAGGAGTGGTCCGTTGGATTGAAAAGGGGTCTGCTGGATTGGGGACGGGTCCGTTGGATTGAAGAGGGGTCTGCTGGATTGAAGAGTGGTTGGTTGGATTGAAGAGGGGTCTGCTGGAGTGAAGAGGGGTCCGTTGGATTGAAAAGGGGTCTGTTGGATTGAAAAGGGGTCTGCTGAATTGAAGAAATGCATTTAAAGTTCATAACGGGTTTCTGGGATTGAATAAGGTTCTGTTTTGTTGAAAAGACGTTATAACAGTTTATTCAAATTGTCTAATGACACTCTTATTCTTGATTTTGATTAAATTAACATAAAAACACATCATATTACAAAAACAATATCCACCGATAACAATTCAAATGCTGAAATCATTGCAACATTGTAGCAAAAATGGCTATCAGTATTAAATTATATTTTTCTCAACAAACTTTTTAAAATGATTCAATGAAAATAGTAAAGAAATTTGTTTTTGTTTTGCAGTAATTCGTCCAGAAGAATGGGAGCAAAGTATAGGTACCAGAGACAATCAAGGGCTCGGATCGGTTCGACGCAATAATGAGATTTTTCAAACCAGCTCAACTAATCCTCCAACTAACCGACAGGAAAGTTATGAAATAAGTCCTTAAAGTGTATGCAAATTAACTATGAAGTCATTCAAATCATTAATAATACATTTGATTTCTATTTTTAGACCGATAAAATCAGTAAAATCCAGAACGAAACTGATTTAAAAATCCTGATGAGTTATAAAGCTAAAAGAGCCGATATGATTTAAATTAAGTTTTTTATGAATATTTTTTTTAAAAAAGATTTTTAAAAAATTACTGTTTGGAATTCAACGTTTTACTTCTTTTATCCACAAGTTCAATTCAATATTGTTTTGTAATAGTTTGTTAATATAAAATTTCATAACCAATAATCTGAATAAGTTCAATAATTTTATACAAAATTTTTATAATAAATTAATTAAGAATATTACTATCAAATATGGGTGTAGTCAGTTTAAGATGGTATAAGATGGCTTAATGAAGTCTAAGCCCTAAACATCATGTCAAATATTCCACTCAAAAAAGTAATCTAGCTTCCGTCATGATTAAAATCGTTTGAAATCTTAATAAGGGGCTGTTCACTTATTACGTAACGCGAAAAAATGCCTTTTTAGACCCCCCCCCCCTAGTAACAAAATTTGTATGAAAAAAAAATTTCCTTGTTTGAACCGTAACAAAATCTTAGACCCCCCCTCCCCCCCTAAAAGCGTTACGTAATAAGTGAATGGCCCCTAAGTAAACCTTATCGAAAAAATAAAAAAAAACCGACTTACACCCAATTTTCAAATGCAAAATATTCAAAAAATATCAAAAAAGTTTAAAACAATCACAAAATTCAATAAAAACTTTGACTAAATGTCAAAATATTTTTATTATTTTAGAAAAAAATCACAAAAATTGTTAATTTAAAAATTTGCTTGACAAAATTTTTTGCACAAAATAATAATTCAATCAACTTTTAAGATACTTCACATGGGTTTGTTGGATTTTCAAAGAAGTTTCTTACATCTTCAATAAAATTGTTGATTGTTGCATTGAAATTTGCTAATGACGGCGACTCAATGTTATCAAGACTTGGATACGTTAGAACTGAAATAAATTTTGTTTAAAAATTAATAAGTCTCGCGACTGATTGACTCTAGTTTTACTGTTCAATTAAATTAATTTTTACTTACCATTTCCAATTGATGATACGACGAGAATTGCAATGAGGCTGAGAACTTTAGACTTGAGCGACATGATGGCTGATTGAAATGTAAAGTTCTTCATACATTTAGTTCTTCTTTTTATAGCATTTAAAAAATTTTATTGTTTATTTTTTTATTTTTTTAAATTAAAATATTTTGAAAATTTTAAAAACTTAGCATTGAATTTTCTTGACATTTCAGCATTTTATTGTTTTTGTTTTCTTTTTAAATAATGACGTGAATTTTAATTTGAACCTAAAAGTGCTAAAGAGTAGCTAGTGATGTAACTCAACCAGCGAAAACAATCCTCAACCAAAAAAATTGACAAAAATTTACAATTAAGTTCTGCACTTTAAATACTTTTCTACTGTGTTGATCAGTGTTGTCCAAACTGAATGCACCGGCACTGGTGCACCGTAGATTTTTTTTGTCAATAATGTGAGCCACATGCTGTGTGTGGATGTGGTCATGGCTCACTCCTAAGGTGCCTTGGCTCATAAGCTTTCGACTAGGGTTTTCAATTCAAGGATTAAAATGGACTGAAAACCAGATTTGATCCCGGGATTACATACGTTTCAATCCCGGGATTGAAAACCCTACTTTCGACAACACTGGTGTAGCCATTTTCAAATTTTCCTTTTTCATAAATTTAGATTCTTCGACTGCTTAATGCGCGAGATCAAATCATAATTAGGCATTTGGGCAACGTTGGATTAAGGAACAGGTAAGGAACTTAAACTGTAGCGAGAGAAATAAGAACGAGAGCTACAAGATTACTTTATAATGGAATATTGTCAGAACGGACCTGAAATATATTACGTCACGCACACAGAAGATTAAAACGAGAGCCTGAATTTAATCAAAACCTAGATTTGAAGATTTGAAGCTTGATCCTACAGAATATAAATTCATAACATATAAACACAAATATGTAAAAAATGTGAATTATTACCGGACAGTATGTCGTCAATAAATGCAATAAAGTGCAATTAAAATGTTAAAAAGATTGAAAGTTTTTCATTATTTATAGCTCCTAAATCCAGGCAACCCACAAAAATTCTCATACTTTACCAACAGCTTTTGTAGTTTACTGTCAAATTTCTTGATATTTAACATTATTTATTAAGGGGCAAATCCGCGGACAATAAAAAGCTTCAAATTTTTGTTTTTCTCAAATTTTTCTTCTATTTGGCTATTTAAGTGATATTTTAATACCAAAACATGCGTATTTTCGACAAATGTACAACTTTCGATAACTTTGGCATGAAATAAATCATTAATTAAAGAGATATTTTGATTTTTCTGGCGTCAATCTCTCCTGCAATTGAAATTTATTTTCAACAAAAGCAAAAATTTTCTTAATTATAAATCTAGACAGCACCAGACTTGTTTTATAGCATTTCAAATTTAATTTTCTATCATATTCTTTTATCAGGTGTTAAAAAAAGTCACTTAATTAAAAGAAATTAAAGAAAAAAGCGTCAATCTCTCCTGCAAGAACACTTTGTTGCAAAACATCAGTTTAGAGTATTTTTTCGTAAAACACGATAAATTTTGAAAAGTTACAAAACGTTAAGATCATAATTAATTGCAATATCTTAATTATGCAGTGACTTACAGCTTGAATAAAGCTTTATTAACGATAACATACTAATTAATTGCTTAATTAATTAAAATAGTAAAGAATTGATACAATAATGTTTATTTTTGTTCAAAAATTGTAACGAGTTTTTATTTTTCAAATTTTTCCAAGTAGAGAAATATTACAACTCGCTTTTTGCCAGTTTCATAATTTTGCGGATTTGCCCTAAGGATCTTTTTAAAAGCTAAGTTAGATTTTACCATCGATCAGGATCTTAGTGCTTCGAAGTGGTTACAAAGCTGCTGATGACTGTCTTCATGTTACTGACGCAAAAGGTCCTCATCAGGGTTTAGGATATTCATATGAAGCTCAAAAAACTGTAATTTGTAATTATAATAAGAAAAAAAAATTAATCTAATTTTTGAGATTTCTAAGAATTATTGTTGAATAAATAAAAATAAAAACATTTCCAAGTAAACTAATTTGTATGATTATCAAAGCTTGCAATGCAATAAACAAAGGAAATCTTTCAATTTGTCAATTTTCTTTCAAAATAATTGAAAACTTTATCAAATCGCTGATACAAAAGTTATTGGGAAATGTTTTGCAAGTCCACGTATCTGAAAGACTTTAAATACTACAACTGATTACTAAAGCAGTCAATAAAGTTTAATTGAAGGAATCAGAAACTTAACAGACTAAATCTTTTACAGTCGTCCTTAATAGCAAAAGACAAAGTTTAAAATAAGTTAACAAAAATGAAAACAGCTCTTATTGTTGTCATATAGCAACAATATTTATTTAAAATCCTTATGTGATGTTTATGAATCTATTAGCTATGATCAGAAAGACGGAGATGTGCAGGACTTGGAATGAACATGTTTATGTTTGATTCAGCTGAGATTGAGGAAGCATTCTTTGAAAATACTGAGGACATTATGAGAGCTCACGTGGGAGTTTGGTGGATTAATGGATTAAGAAATCCAAAAACCAATGACTGTTCACTTTATCATGCTAATAGGATGCTCAAAGGACCACTTTATGATGAGTTTGAATTTATAAGATTAAATGGTCTTAATGGTATATCCAGCGGTGATTGTCTACGGCTCTCGGCTCATTTTGGTACACATCAAGGGTTAGAATTTGATTGTAATGCTAAAAATGCTGTTTTCTGTGAATATAATAAAAATCATTGAATAATTCTTGTGACCCTAATTATGGGGTGTCCATAAAATATTATCATGTCAATTTACTTTCTTACAATTTTATTTTTATTTGTCATCTTTACAATTTTATTCTATTTTAATTAAGTTGACTTTAATCATTTTGTCAATAAGTCGCAATAAAAGAACAAGTTTATATAGCTATAATTCTGTAAAGTCAGTTGCTAGAAGTCAACCAGCGAGTCTCCAATCTAAACGTGAAAATGAAATTTTTAGTGCTTTTTTTAATTTTATCGACTTCAACTCTCGGTAAAACAATCACCGATCAATATTTTCCATTTTATGAAAAATCATTACCAAAAACTGAAAACTGTGGCTATACAAAAGACCTTTTTGACAATGGAGTTTATTTGAAGACGGCATGCTTTGTGCATCAAAGCCTTAATCATGATTCAGCTAAATACAAATGTGCAGAATACAATATGAACTTATTTGTAATGAATAATGAAGTTGTGGCTTCACACTTACAAGATGCAACTCAAGAGTAAGTTTAAACTGTCTGCTTTAAAGCTTAAATTAAGCTTTACAAGCCTTTTATTTGAATTATAGTAGGTACCCAGGAATCAATGGAAAACTATGGATCAATGGCAAGCGCCAGACAGCTTCTAAAAGATGGCAAGTTTACAATATCGATGGAACTGTTCGAGGCTCACTAAATTCCAACATCAAGTTCTACAGCAACCATGAACTTGGAAATTGTCTGAGACTTTCTCCAAAATATACTGGAATTTTTGATACACTTCCTGGAAATTGTGCTGACACCGCTTATTTTGCCTGTGAACATTTCCAAAGGACACAAGATCCACCTGCTCTCAATACGAGTCCATGCTTGTATGTTCGAGATCTTTACAGTCACTCGAGCTATCTTAAATCAATGTGTGTTGTCAATCAGGATATTTTTTACGATCAAGCAAGACGTAAGTGTGCTGAATATGGAATGAACTTGTTCATATTTGACACTGCCGAAGTTGATGAAGCATTCTTTGAAGCAATTGATGAAATTATACAAGCATATCCAACTGGATGGTTCTTTGTCAATGGAGTAAGAGATCCAAAAACAAATGAATGGAATGTTTATTACTCAAATCGAGTTCTTAAAGGCAAGCTTTATGAAAATTTTGAATTTGTTCAAGTCAACAATACTTTTGGCATATCAAGTGGAAATTATCTTCGAATTTCTGCTGAGAGAGGTCCATATCAAGGTTTTGGTGTTGGTGTGACAGCTAAAAGTTGGCCGATTTGTGAATTTATCAAGAATTATTAAAAACTAAATTAACAATAAAGATGTCAGATAAGGAATCGGTTCGGGGAAGTTTTAAATCCTAGTTATTGGGCAGTAACAGGCTTTTATTTTCAAAACCAGGAATACACCTCAAAGCAAGCCCTTGTTTGCTTTTAATCATTTAATAAGCTAGTCTCTTGCAGTATTCAATTGTTGAATTCACAAAAATAAAATTATTTGTAATCGAATTCGTGTCATTTTTGACTGCAATAAAAAATAATGATTATTCTTTCTTGGATACACCCTTAATATCTGCTCCAGGGGCGTAGCCAGGAATTTGATTTGATTTGATTTTTGTGATTTTTTTCTTAAAAACCATAGTAAAATAAAGAAATTTCTGTTTACATTGGGGGATTTGTCTCCCCCCCCCCCCCCCTAGCTACGCACCTGCTCTGCTCTGATGTGTATTATACTGTCAAAAAATGACAACTTAATGCTTCTGTCAATATTTTACAATTAACTTGCTTTAAGTACGTGCAACTACTTTCCAAACACTTCTTTAAAATTCAGTGGAAATTTGTTATCTGTGTTTATCCTTTTCAATGATTTATTCAGGGTTCATTCACCATTGATGTTGATTACAAAATTAAATCTTCAAATTAACCTTTTTCAAAATATTTTAATTCAACAAAATAACAGAAAACAAAATAACTTCTGTTATTTTTTATTGCCTGCTCTAATTCAGTATTGGTAACCTTTTTTTATGACACGGCATCAGACGTGTACTAAGGGGAGGATTTGTGTGACATCATCAATCTCCCTACGGAACAGAAATTTCTTTACTTTGAATTTTTCTCGGGTTTTTGTGAAGAAATCCTAAAATCTCTAAATTTAAATTTTTTTGTAATCCGAGGGGGATGTAAAATAGGGGGGGGGGGGGGCTTTTATAAATTCCTGGATCCACCTCCTTGCACGGCTCACCTTAATGATAAGCCATAACCGAAACCGCAACACCTGCAAACAGTTCAAGGAATTTTTAGATTAGGGTAAGCCATCACTGCTCTAAATGATAGACGTCATTCATGAATTGCTCTAAATGTGACAGTTCTAAGTATATACTTTTAAATTTACAGCTTAAACTTCCTGTTGATCTAAAGCTATAAAAATTGCAAACAGTGAAGTTGAACTTAGATATAAATACAGATTAAATCATTCGAGGAGCTTAGAAGTTTGTGGTTCTCTAAAGTGAAAAAAAGGCTTATTTTTTGCAGTTAAAAGAAACAAGAGTTCAAGAAAAATTGGAAAGAATTTCACAAAGTTAATAAAATTGGACAGCAAAGTTAAAAATGAAGCTGATATTGCAGTTTTTATGCCTTTTAAGCTTAACGCTTGGTGTATTAAGCGAACTTGAAATCACACGACGTCCAACACCATCACCATATCCTGATATATGCAGCTATAATAAAGACTTATTTGATGATCAAAAATATTTAAAATCAGCGTGCTTTATGGAACAAAAATCAACTCAAAGAGATGCAAAGCATGCATGTAAAATATTAGGAATGGATTTGTTCATAATGCGTGATGAAATTGAGGCTTCACATCTTATGGATGCAGCTCAAGAGTATGTATGATCTTAGTCAATTTTCTATTGCTTGTCATCGGGTTAGAATTGAACTTAGAATTGAACCTATTATGCTCTAATACAGCAGTCATATAACTAATGTTTAATGCCATTTATTATATTCCTTATTAGAAAATATAGATCAGCATTCCCAGGAGGTAAAGATTTAATCTGGGTCAATGGAAATCGAGCATCACTTTCAAAACGTTGGCAAATCACTGACGTAGAGGGAAGGACTATTGATCGTTTAAATCCAAATATCCCATTTTATAGCAATCATGAGTCTGGAAATTGTCTTAGCTTGTCTCCAAAATATACAAAAATTTATGGAGTTCTTCCTGGAAACTGCATGATTAAATCGTTTTTCGTATGTGAACATCAAATTAGATCACAATCCCCACCCAAACCTGATTTAAGCCAATGTCTTTATGTTCGAGATGTCCGTCGGAATAAGACTTTATGTGTCATTGGTAAAAACTATGATTATGACCAGGCTAGACGTGCTTGTGCAAGCAATGGAATGAATTTGTTTATGATTGACTCTGCTGAAATCGATGAAGCATTCTTTGAAGCTACAGAAGATTTCTTTTTGCATTATCCAAGGAGCTCGTTTTGGGTTAATGGACAGCGAAATCCACAAACAAATGAATGGTTCGTCTATCGCTCGAATAGAGTTCTTCAAAGTCCACTTTATAAGGAGTTTGAATGGATAAAACTTTGGAATATTAATGGTGTATCAAATGGAAATTGCCTTCGTCTTACTAGTCAGTTTGGTCCGTATCAAGGTCTTGGTGATGTTTGTGATATGGCAGGATATCCAATTTGTGAATTTAATGGACGATTGTAACTTGTTATTTACATGAATCAACTGTTGCTTTAATATGAAAAGCAGCATTTATGAAAGCACATTACTAAGAGCAAAAATACTTAAGAATAAGAGCTATATAGTAGTATAGTGTATGTAGTATATAGTAAGAGCTACTTTTTATTCAAATAATTAAAAACTATTATTGTATTAATAAATTTTGGATCCAATTTGAGCGTTTTACTGTCTTTTCATGCCCTTTTTACAGTCCAACTTTAATAAGAAATAATAATTGCAAATGTGTTAAAAATTGAGAATAAAAAGAGTGAAAATATTCTTTCGATGCACATTTGTGCATGTAAATAAACAAAAAAATATTTAGCAATTATCTACCGACTGTAAAAGACAAAAGATAAAAAAAACTTCAAAAAAGATAAAATCGCAATAAAAATTGAACTTCGAAAAAATCAAAAAAATATCGCCTTTAAGTGCTGATAATTGAGTATAAATAGCATCGTAGTGTCGATAACATTAAGATTAAGAAAAGTAGAATGGGTTTTCTGTCCCGAATTCCTGATTTGATAGGAAAAAATCTCATTTTCAGTGTAAAGCTTGCTTGAAGAGGTCGCAAAATGGAGCAACTAAATGGAACTTGTGAAGATTTAACGTTCAATGAGAGTATTGGATATAAAAAGCAGGAAAAAGGATTGGCCACTCAATCTATTCATGCTGGACAAAAGCCTGAAAATTGGATGTGCCGGTAAATTGACTTGTGGACAAGCTTAATCTTTGACTTATTAATGCTGTATTTTTAGTGCCATAATTCCACCAATATTCACATCAGTGTGCTATGAACAGACAATTCCACGCAACATGAATGATTTTTTCTACACCAGACTCGGAAATCCAACACGATCGGTGCTTGAGGAATGCTTAGCAGCTCTAGATAAAGCCAAGTATGCAGTAACATTCTCATCTGGTGTGTCAGCAATCATGACAGTCATCACGACTCTTAAAAATGGCGACGGAATAATCGCTAGTAAACAATTCTATTCTGGAACTCTTGATGGTTTGGCAATTGCTGAAAGAATTGGATTTGATGTCCAATACATTGACTTTACTGACCTTAAAAACCTAGAAGATGCTCTGAAACCAAACACAAAGCTTATTTGGACTGAAACTTGTATGAATCCAACAATGCAAGTCATGGACATCAAAGCTATTAGTGATTTGGTTCATACTAAGTCAGATGCTGTTGTTGTGGTTGATAATACGTTTTTGACACCTTATTACTGTCGTCCATTGGAGCTGGGTGCAGACATTGCACTTTATTCATTAACGAAGTACTTTTCTGGACATTCTGATATTCTGGGTGGGTCAGTGACTATGAATAGTGATGAGTTGTACAAGACAGTAAGGTATGGGCAAGGTAGGTTGACATTTTTGAATATCTTCACTTCAATAACTAATTTATTGTCAATTTTAGGAGCCTTTGGTACGATGTTGTCTCCATTTGACTGCTACTTAGTCAACAGAAGTGTCAAAACTCTTGCGTTAAGAATGGAAAAGCACTCTGAAAATTCATTTAAAGTCGCCAAATTCCTAGAATCACATCCAGCAGTTGAACAAGTCAATCATCCAGCACTGAAGAGTCATAAAGGTCACGAAATAGCTATGAAGCAATTTTCAGGTCATTCTGGAGTTTTTTCATTTTATTTGAAAGGAAATTCTCACGAAAAAGCAATAAAGTTCTTTAAAGGATTAAGATTCATTCCAATTTGTACAAGTTTGGGTGGAATTGAGACAACATTGGCATATCCGAGGGAGATGTCACATCCAAAGTTTTCTGATGAGGACTGTTTTGCTATGGGAGTGACTTATGGACTTGTTAGGATTTCTGTTGGAATTGAGGAATGTGATGATATTATTAATGATTTGAGAGACGCTTTGGATGGAATTGAGAAGAGTGGGAAAAATGTTGAGAAAATTATTACGAAATTTGAGAGATTGTAATGAAAATTAAATAAGGTTTACGATTTTAATATCGATTTTTAAACTTTTATAAAAAATAAGAAATAAAAAAATTACAAAATATTAAAAAAAACTTAAAACAAACTTAAAACAATTTTAAAATTAAAAAAAAACTTAAAGAAATTAAAATAATTTAAAAATTTAAAAGAAATTTGAAAATCAGTTAAAAAATTTAAAAAAAATGAAAGAGTTAAATAAAGATTTTAAAATATTAAATATTGAATATTAATCCAAAAATTGCTATTAATCTGATTTTAACAACTCTACTTAGGGGATCTAAATTTGGATTATGGACTTAATGTTGATGATAAGATAAAAGCAGATATGATAAGGAAAATTAAGTTTGACAAATATTGTCAAAACAACCAACAAGCTTCAGTAATAATTGAACTGAACAAGTGAAAACAATTTTTTAAAAATTTGACAAAAAAAAATTAATAATGATGAAGTAAGTGTTAAAATTAATTAAAGAATTTTTTCAAATTATGATTTTTAAAAAAACTACACTAATTTAAAATTTTTGAGATTTTAAAACAAAAATTTAATAATTTCTTTGAATTGTTTTGGGAATAAAATTAGAATTGAGCCATTTTAAAAATTATTGTTTTTTGCTTAAAAATGTATTTAATAATTTTAACAAATTCTTTCAGCTATCATCATTTCCTCAAGCTCCTTATCATCGCCACCCTCGTCATTGCAACTATAGCTACAAACGAGGATAAAGACTACGATGCAGGATTCGTTGAACATCACGAAGAACTCCCAAAACCACAACCACATGTATTCCATCCCAAGCAACATCAAGAAGAACATCCAATAATCCCAGAACAAAGTGGATTCCATCCATTCAGGTCATTCTCAGTAACTGAAGCTTCCTTCTACATCCCAGTAGCTGTTGTCAGCGGTGTTTTATTGAATGTCATCATCATTGCAGCTCTTGTTGTTTTAAAACGCAGACGTGTTAGTTCTTACAGGAAGTTACAATTGAATAGAGCTACGCCAGTATTTAGGGAACTTCAAACTGAAGCTATATAAGTTTGAGATCAAAATTTGTAAGTGTGAGTCAGAGAAAAACTTCACTAAGATGGATCTTTAAGTAAAACTAAAGGAATGAAATGTTTTTTCGTGGGAGATTTTATGTAAAAAGTAATAAAATTTATAAATTTAAATAATCTTTTTGTTTGGAAATTTTCGGCATATTTTATGTAATTTAGGTCAAGTTCTGGTTATCGTTAAACATAAAAGATTTCAAACTTCCAAAACTTACCCAAAAACTACTAAAAACTGCAACATCACCCCAAACTACTACAATACGTGTGCAATCGCAAGTGCCAAATTTCCACAATTTCAACAAATCAAAAAGAAAACAACACTCAACGTGTGTGCGATTATCTCATTTCTGTCAAAACTCATTTTGATATACAATAAAGGGAGAAAATATGAAAACACTAGACATGTCTGTAGATACTTCGATCGATAATACTAAGTGAGAGTTAAAGTACTTTTTGTTGTTAAGTGATTAAATTAACAGAGATTTTGGTTTCTATAAATTTTTGATATATGGTTGATTGTGAAATTAAAGTTTATTAATTAAATTTATAATCAAATTAGGAACCTTATTAAATAGCCTTGTATACCCCTTTGTTCACTTGAGTATCTTCTTTAAACTCTTGAGTACCCCTTTGAACTCTTGAGTACTCCTTTGAACTCGTTAGTATCCTCTCTGAAGTTTTGAGTAGCTCTTTGAGCTCTTAAGGACCCCTTTGAAGTCTTGATTATCCCTTTGAACTCTCCAGTACACCTTTGGAGTCTTGAGTACCCCTTTGAGCTCTTGAGTAACCCTTTAAACTCTTGAGTACCCTCTTTGAACTCTTGAGTACCACTTTGAACTCTTGAGTATCCTCTCTGAAGTCTTGAGTAGCTCTTTGAGCTCTTAACGACCCCTTTGAAGTCTTGATTATCCCTTTAAACTCTCCAGTACCCCTTTGGAGTCTTGAGTACCCCTTTAAACTCTTGAGTACCCTCTTTGAACTCTTGAGTACCACTTTGAACTCTTGAGCACCCCTTTGAACTCTTGAGTATCCTCTCTGAAGTCTTGAGTAGCTCTTTGAGCTCTTAACGACCCCTTTGAAGTCTTGATTATCCCTTTAAACTCTCCAGTACCCCTTTGGAGTCTTGAGTACCCCTTTGAGCTCTTGAGTACCCCTTTAAACTCTTGAGTACCCTCTTTGAACTCTTGGGTACCACTTTGAACTCTTGAGTATCCTCTTTGAACTCTTGAGTACCTTTTTGAACTCTTGAGTACCCCTTTGAACTCTTGAGTACCCCTTTGAAGTGTTGAGTACCCCTTTAAACTCTCGAGTACCCCTTTGAAGTCTTAAGTACCCTTCTGAACTCTTGAGTACCCCTCTGAAGTCTTGAGTAACCCTTTGAACTTTTAAGCATCCTTTTTGAACTCTTAAATATCCTGTTTGAACTCTTAGGAACATCGTTTAAACTCTTAAGTGCCCCTTTGACTTCTTGAGTACCTTTTTAAACTCTTGAGTACCCTTTTGAACTCTTCAGTACTCCTTTGAACTCTTGAGTACCTCTTTAACCCCTTAACTCCCACTTTGTTGTAATGAATACTTATTTGGACTCCTAAGTTCTTCCACTTAAAGATATCTTTTTCAAACCACCACATTAAAAGCAATCTGCTTTTAAATGCACATACATATCTTCTCTCATTACTTTGTTAAATGATCGCTTCTAGATTATCGTATTACTCATTCTTAGTCGTCAACATAGCAATTTTGTTTTCGCTTCATTTCTTCTTCGTCATCAGAATAAATTGAAATAATTTTACTTTATATTTGCTATGTGAGGCATCTATGACATCACTCTTCGATACATTTTGTGTATTTTAGTTTCTCCTTTTCATGATTGATTGAATGTTCATAATTTCGCTCATATTTTTGCTCTTTCTCATTCTCTTCTCTCGACAGCTGACTGTCTACAATTTACTTACATCATCAACATGATTAACATAAGCAAACATTTTCGTCTCGAAATAATTCTCACATTTTCGTTCTTCCCGTTCTCGATTTTGCCATTGTTGTTGTTTTTTACTCAACTCTTTATTCTTAATTATTCACAAAATGCTATTCATGAGGGAAATATTGTAGTGTCTCGTTGACTCTCCGATGTGAAACTTGTCAAGACGCGATCGTACGCATTTTATTGTAAACATTTAATTTTCTTTGTTTTTATTGATGATCAATTTATTATAAAGAAGCTAAGTATTAAAGAATCTTCAATAAGTCGATTTATGAATTAGTTTTGACAAGGAATGTAACTAAGTATTGATCGAAAATAAACCAAAAAGGCTGATACATTAAAAGTGAGTATTGAACAAGGTTAAAATAATAAATTTTGTGTTTCAGGCGTCTTCACACCAGACATGCTCAGGTTCAAATATCTTCACACTAGGTTTTTTGTGGTTGTTGTTAACACTAAAGTTGTTAAGATTAAGGTGCGGAAAGAATAGTTCTATTTAGATGCAGGAGCCTTCACACTTGATTTTTAACATTCAGGTGCCTTCACACTAGATTCTTAACATTCGGGTGACTTTGCCCTAGATTCTTACTATTTAGGTGCCTACACACTAAACTTTAATATTCAGGTGCATTTACACAAGGGTTTAAAGGTTGTGGTGCCTTCACACTTAATTTTAATATTCAAGGGCTTTTAAATCATATCTTTAATATTCAGGTACCTTCACACTATATTCATATCATTCAAGTGACTTTACACTAGATTCTTAACGCTCAGGTGACTTTACACTAGATTATTAATATTCAGGTAACTTCACACTAGATTCTGAACATTCAGATGACTTTCCACTCGATTCCTTATATTAAAGTGCCTTCACATTAAAGTTCAAAATTCAAAGTATTGCCATTTACTTAATTATTCCAGATTATAAGCACCATGAACACATCAACTCGCAGTACCTCATTTACAATGACCATGCCAATGCCAATGCCAACATCATCTCCAACAATACCAACATCGCCTCTCCTACCATCAGCACCCGAATTTCAACCAAATGAATTCACGCAGTTTTTCAAGGTTCAAGACGCAAACACATCTCTTCCGTATCCAACAATACGACAACATTGTTATTACCTCAGACTTGACATAAAACGAGATTGGAATGCCGAATATGCTTCGAAAGATTCTCAAAAATTTCTTGAGTTGGCAGCTGAAGTTGAAAATGAGCTGAAAGTATTACTGACTGTGGATTCATCATTTAAAATATTCCTGATTCATGCACAAAAAGATCGCTGGTCACACAGACGAATTTTACTGACTTTTGTCATGCAAACGATGGTTAATTTTGCGAGTGAAAAGTTTGAGAATCTATTGCGAGAGCATGTAAAGAAGGAAGAGAAAATAATAAATGAGCGAGCGTATTTGAGAGACTTAAAAGTGAGAAAAACTTCGTATGCTGAGTATGAGCATTTGGTGAAGTTTGGATGTAATCCGTGTACTGTTTGTGGTGAGTTTGACTCTCTTTTACTCATTATTGAGATATTATGATCATTTTTGATTGCAGATCAAGTACTTAAGAAGCACAGGAAGATAAATGTGAACCATCCGTCCGTGAAAACTGACATTTTGTCATTCTTAGTTGTCATGCTGTCTCTTGGACTGTGCTTAACTATTGCTTTACTTGTTTTATTGAAATAATAATTTTATGATGCATTTTTGTACTTTTTTTATTGAGGATACTCAGGGGCCATTCACTTATTACGTAACGCTTTTAGGGGGGGGGGGGGGGGTCTAAGATTTGTTACGGTTCAAACAAGGAATTTTTTTTTTCATACAAATTTTGTTACGAGGGGGGGGGGTCTAAAAAGTCATTTTTTCGCGTTACGTAATAAGTGAACAGCCCCTCAGAAGAAATTGAATAAATACTCGAAAAGTTTTAAAAATTATTTCAAGGTGTTAATAAAGAGGCAGGCGCGTAGCTTAGGGGATTGGACAAAGGAGACAATTCCCAAACTCGCCTGGCCGTAGGCTAAAGTCAACTTTATCTCCGCTCCGGTTGATAATAGAATTTTATAAATTAATAAAGTTACCTTACTCATTTTAAAAAATGCGCTTTAATTTAGTAGTTTTTGATATTTCCTTACTTGTTTTTAATTACTCATTACTGCTCTTAACATTGATAACGACTTAAATTTTCAAAAATTCCTTTTCAAGAAGTTTCTCATTTGTTATTGTTTTATTATTCTTTACAGAAGTAAACATTAAAAAAAGGGAAGTTGAAAAATTCAAAAATAAACAAAACATTAAGTTTATCTGGTTCTAAAAACTAGTCTGAATCATCAAGTGTTAGGATATCGTTCAGTTTTACATTCGAAAATTAGAAAATAATTTTTTTAAAAATATTTGAAGTTATTTATTTGCATTAAAATGGAAAAGAAATGGTAAGCAAATTGAAATTACAATTAAGGTTGTTAAAATAATTTAAAAAATCATGAAAAAGTAAAAAAATAATTTAAAAAATTATCAAAAAGTGAAAAAAAATTTAAAAAATTATAAAAAAGTAAAATAAATATTTTAAAAAATTATAAAAAAGTAAAAAATTAAAAAAAAATTAATAAAGTTTGTTTATTCCTTTTAAATTAAATTTGATTGAATTTTAATTATGAAAAAATAAAAAGGTTTAAAAAAGTAAAAATAAAAAATTATCTAAAATTTTACAGGTCTTCAAAAATGTTAATCATCCTGATCCAAGCTCTCATCTGCATCACATCAGCATCATCCCTAAAAATCAACTGTGACTACAAGTTCAGCAGCTGGACAACATTTGAACGTTCATTCATCTGCGACGTAGCAAATGATCCGAAAATAATTGAAGAAAATACAAAAATTGATGAAGTCAACAAAGTCGAGCCAGTCGTGGGCTTCTCAATTTCATATAAAACTTGTCACTTCTTCCCACAAAACATTGACAAATTTTTCAAAAATTTAACAATTTTGGAAATTCACTCGACAGACCTTCAAGAAATAAAACAGCATGACTTGAAACCATTTACAAAATTGAAGGGGCTGTTCCTGTCAAATAATTCAATTCACATAATTGAGAAGAATATTTTCAAATTTAATCCAGACCTGCAAGTTATTTGGCTGAATATGAATCCACTAAAATACATGAATCCGAATGTTTTTGATCATTTAATTGGAATTAAGTCATTAAACTTCGTTGGCGGTGTCTACTCGATGGGATATGCTTTAACACCTGAAACAGTTCCAATGACAATTTTACACATGAAAGAAATTTTCAGTTTTCCGTCAGTCTTGTGGACTGACAATCAGGAATTGACAAATGAGCTGCACAAAGCTAAACTTTTATTTGAAATCTCAGCAGTTTTTAATGTTTTGATGATTTTGGTACTTTTATGGATGTTTGCGAGCTGGATTGTTGTTAAGTGCAAGAGAAACAATCGTGTTGGACATGACGAGTCAAAGACTTCATTTTCATTCTTTGAAATGAGCAGCATTCGAGAACGGCTGCAGACTTGCAATTTTAATTAAAATATTTCCCAAAAAGTTTCTCAAATTAATTAAAAATACTTAAGCTTTAAAACTTTATTAAAACAATCCAAATTACTTGAACAATTTTAGGAATAAATTTAAAAAATATTTCAAAAATTTCAAAAAATAATTTAACATTTTTAAAAATATTTTAAAACTTTAAAGAATTTCCAAAATTTAAAAATTGTCAACAATTGAAAAAAAATAAAAATTTAAATTACTTCAAAAATTGATAAAAAACAACAAAAATTTAAAATTGATTTATTAAAAATGTTAAATGAAAAAACTATTTTTGTTTTAAATAAAACAGTGTTGCAAATGTAGATGTCTACACTAGATGAAGAATGTAGATTCTTCAATAGTTTTTGTCTAGCTAAGAAACTTTCGTCACAAAGATCGATTCTACATGAAGATAGAAAATCTAATCTACACAAAGATTATTTCTACATAAAGATTCTGTCTACATAAAGATTCGATGTAGATGTCTACAATTCTAAATTTTTTCCAGGTCTACATCATAGAAGAATGTAGAATTGTAGACATCTACATCTAATCTTTATGTAGACAGAATCTTTATGTAGAAATAATCTTTGTGTAGATTAGATTTTCTATCTTCATATAGAATCGATCTTTATGAAGAAATTTCTGTCTCAAAATTTATCTGATCTAGACAAATGGCCAGAATGCAACACTGAAATAAAATTACAAAAACTCTTAATTTTTATTTTTTTATTAATAAGAAACGAAGCTTGAACCTCCGCATCTTCTACCTTTACCTTTTAAAAAATCTATTTTATCAAATTCAAAGGTTTTTCAGTTCGACATATTTCTTATTATCCTCATCAACTTCATAAATCAATTCATTAAATTTATATCCACCAAGATGCATCAAATTCCACCAAATATTCATAAAAATGATGATTCCAGCATGCGTCAAGACATCCTTACCATTCATAATTGGATAATGGTATCGACCGTTCAACGATCCAGTAACTAAGAAGCACACATAATAAACTATAATAAATACATTCGTCATAATAACTGATAACTTCAAATTCATTGGCTTTCGTGGCTGCAAAACTAAATCAGCAAATGTAACAAGTGCCACAAGTGAATGCAGCATGTGATTAATCGTTGGATCTAAAAGCTCTTCGACTACTTTGTATAAAATTTGTGTATGATCGATGAAGTAAACCATCCAGAACATTGTTGTGACGAAAAAAGCACTTGTAAATACCATCGGAAAGAACACAATGTCCATAGCTTTTGAGATTGCTGTTGTCAATTTTGGAAGTTGGTTTATAATTTGAAGGAAGTCATTTGTTGATGACAAAATGAAGTAAATTGTGACTGAAAACTAAAAATTTAATGTTAAGAGTTGTTAAATATTCATCTTAAGTAGTCTTAAGAGGGCTTTGATGTCCATGACAATTCCCACTAACTGCTAAAAAAACTGGCTTAAGTCCAGTCTGGTCTGAATTAAGGGTGCGGAACAGATCAAGAAATCATCAAACGCCAACAGACAAAGAACACAATCTCATTAAATCTGTAGATTTATCACTATAGTGACAATGCTCACATGTTAGCTTAGTCAGTGCATTTTAGATAGCAGCCTCTACGAGATCATGCTCTTTGTCTGTTAGACATCAGTCTGTTGATCAGTTTCCAAACCCTTAAAATCAACTTACAGCACTCCACGAAGTCAAAAATCCATAACACCCTAAATAAGGTAAAATAGATTTTTTGACAGTCCTGTCCATGTGAAAGAAGTAGTCTAATCCAGTATACACGTACATTACAGCAATGATAAGTCGGTATGTGAAGATTGGAATTGCTTTATTTGGCATTATTTCCATGATTGATTCCAGAAATGTGTTCAGCTCAAGTGACAAGGATGCAAACTGATGAATGACAATAGCAACTAGTTCCAAATGACAATATGCTGAATATAAAGTACTTATATAGCTCATATAATCACGACAATTGATGAATAATTAACATTGAGCTTAAATTGTCGGTTAAATTTCAGAATTTATCAATAATTTATAATCAAAGGTCATATTTAATCAGTCAGAGGTATGTATGTATGTTTATTAGCCATCTTTGTAAACAATAATAAAATATAATATTTAAACATTAAAAGAAAAATCTCAATTTAAGATGACACTGCATTTGCAGTTGTAATGAATTGATCTTTGGATTCAATTTGTGTAATTTAATCGATGTAATAAATACAAATTTTTGGATGATAAATCAATCAGAAGTTTGATGATTATTTAACGGATTTAAATTATTTGAACTAGTAACGGTAAAAAATATTTTAAATTTTGTGTACTAAGTTAAGTTCTAAAATAAGTGTGTATGTAAACAAACATTTTGTGTGAAAAGAACAAATTATTAATTGATAATTGAATAATCAGGAGAAATGAACGAGTAGGAATTAGGACCTTTAAGTGATTTTGTGTGTTTGAAGCTGATCAGGAGCCATTAAAAGGTCTTTCTTGTCTAAAAGGTATTGTTTAACTTCAAATTTAAATTTGTTAAGATTTTTTATTTCTTTCATTTCATTGCTCAGCTGATTATACAGAATTGGTCCAAGATAGCTAATGTCAGTTCCAATATGCCTTTTTTTTTTTGTGAATCTGCTTGGTTTTATATCTCCTGAAGATCTTCGATTGTTGCTGTGTACTTCAAATTTCAAAAGCTCATCCATATCGAACAACAGTGATTTCTTTAAATTTATGATCATTGAGGAATAAACAATTCTAATAACTGGCAGCGATTTATGGTCGTATGACTTATATAGGTCTATTGTAGGATGCCGTGAGTCGAGTCCATAAATCATCTTAATGCACCTGTTTTGTACTCTCTGGATTCTGGAAATGCCATCTTTTGTGAATTTCGTGTACAGAAACGAGCAGTAATAAAGATGAGACATAACATGTGCATGATAAAATTGAATCAGCATATCTTGGGGTAAGTGATGCCTTATTATAGAAAGAGCTCTGCATGACTGAGTTAACTTTTCTATTACGAGAGAACATTGATCTTTAAAATCAAACTTTTCATCCACTTGTATCCCAAGAAATTTATGTGATGATGTGTAAGTGATTTTAGTGCAGATAGAGTCAACTTAACTCTAATAAGTTCAGATTAGAAAGGTTTAATGTATGTTCAACCTTAAAACCCCACCTTGCCATTCCAGTCATCATAAAAACCCAAGATTTATTGAACTTTTGACCGACGAGCGCGCAAAACAAAAAGTTTTTAAAAAATTTCCACATTTTTTTCTTCTTAATTTTGATAGAGCACCTATAGCGAGCGTAAACAAAGATACAGATCTAAACAAATAATATCAAGTAAGTGAATATTTTGATAATTTATAGCATAAACACAAAACCCAATTTTTTTTTCATGTATGAAAAAATTTTATTTTAAATTATTTTTTTCACTCAAGGTTAAAATATTTTTAAACTTCCGTAATTCTGATCAAGACTGTCGATCGTACTGTAGTGTCTGTGATTGGCGGTTGTTCCTTATCTTTTTGTAATTTTAAGCTGTCTTCCTTCTGTTTAGATTTCCATAAAAGATTATTTAGTAAATCGCCGATGAAGAAAAAAGTTACAGGAACGAAAAGATTGAGTCCAAAAAATCCAATTCGTTGTGGCCAGTTAAATTTTTCTAGAATCGGATAGACCCACTCACTTGTGTAGACGTAGACAGCTAATGTCCATGAAATGTAAGCTAATGTGAATATTGTGACACCAAGTAGTCCACATAGATAACAAGCGTACTTCCTGTATGTCCATGACATCTCTAGGATCGCAAATATCACAATATTTGTACGCAGCATGTGACAGAACCACTCAGGAACCAGCTCATGCACTTCATTTGACACAACCAGATCGGGATTTATGAAGTAAAATATCCAAAACATAACACCGACATCGAAAGCTACTGGAAAGACTAGAGTCGTGTATATGTAGTCTTTAAACTTTTTAAATCTCGCTATGTGCTTTGAATTCATGTCCTTTGACTCAATAAAGTCGTTAATGAATGCCATTGAGAAGTACAGAAGTTGGAGAAACTGAAATTATTTCACTTTTTTGTTTAATTTATTTTTCACAATTTATTGTGTGATTTTTACTAGTCTTAGTCCTAGTCTTAGTCCTAGTGTTAGTCCTAGTGTTAGTCCTAGTCTTAGTCCTAGTCTTAGTCCTAGTCTTAGTCCTAGTCTTTGTCTTTCCATCATTTAATCAATAAGTCGCTTTTGTCAGTCACTAGCTCACTAAGTTTTAACTTATTCTTCATTTTTTCTTACCATATTCCACACATATAAATAAATGAACCGTCCACCGAACGAAAACTTTCTAAGCTGTAGCTCCTTCGGCGCAATGTGCATAAAATCATAGTGAACAGCGATACTATGATGAAAAATCACAATTAAATGGAAAAATGCGACGTAATTACTCCGTAAAACCATTAAAATTTGATTACTTTTCGTTATTGCAAAAAAAAATTATATTCAAAAAAACAGAAAAATCGCGGAAAAAATCTTAAATTGCGTGCAAACACAACGATGTGATGAAAAAGTCTGAGGTGTGAAGCGGAAAAGAGAGATTTTGAGGTGTGAAATTGAGCTCTCTTGAAGGTAAAAATTGAGGATTATTTGAGAAAATTTAATGGAAATTGAGATATTTTGGGGAGAAAATTAATTGATATTAAAGTAGAGGAGCCATGTGATATTTAATAAAAAAATACAGGAAATTGGAGGAAAATTTGCGAAAAGTTTCATGGAGAAAATACAAAATCTGGACAAAAATTTCATCTTATTCAATGATACTGTCTGTAATTAAAAAAAAACCATGATGATCATTAAGCGAAGGGGAAAACAATATAATGGAAAAAAAGAATCGATTGAGAATTCTCGACAATTTCAATCACGGTTCAAAATTTTTCGTCGATTTTTATTTATTTTTGACCATTTACAACAAAGCGTAGCGTCAAAAATATATGAAATTTTGATTTCTGGTCAGTACTTTTTTCCATTAGGTTGTTATCCCCTTCGCAGACTCGTAACAAAAGGGGAATTGGAGGGTCAAATCTTCGTTCGTCATTAGAAATTTCTTCGTTTTGTTAGGGTTTTTATGAAAAATTCGCACTCCAACCCCCTTAAATTTTTTCAATTCAACAAATCTTTCTTTATTTCAAATTTGGAATTATTGTAGTTTAAGTTACATTTCTTTGAGTCTTATTTTGACACCAGCCTGAATATGGCTTTAATTCAACTATATCTTGATTAATTATTAATTTTGATGAATGAGATTTACATATATCATGAAAATGTGGCATAAAAGGTTTAAAAAAAGTTGCCGAGCGAGAAAAAAAAAGCTTTTTTTTAAGCTTATGAACTACGTTAATAATTTCAATTCAAAAATTTTTTTGAGCCCCCCTTCCCTCTCTTCAAATTCCTGGATACGTGCCTGCTCAGGACGTTGGAAAGTTTGAAAATCTGAAAGAAAGGTTGCCAAAAAAAAAATGAAAAAGTTTGATTGATTTTTTTTTTATCTTTCTTTATTGAAATGTGCAATACAATGTAAGCTTTAAAGTTCGAGAAGGGTCAAGAGGGGGGAGGGGTTACAAGGACAGTTGTATTTAATAAGTTGTATTCAAAATCTTTGTCTTTAACATTATTTTAATTACATATTATTTAAATTCGTATAAAAATGTGATCTCAAGGAAGTCTAAAGTATTTAAAAGTCTACAGAACCCCAACGTTAAGGTTCCCCTTTCTAGGAAATCATTTTTTAGTAGCAATAACAATGCTTTTTAAGTAACTGTCATTGGGATAAATGTTGTTGTTTGTGGCAGATAACAAACGCTAATCTCATTCATCATTGCGTTAAATGCATCTGTTGTAAACTTAGTTCCATTAGAACCAACAAATTCCTTACTAATGCAATTATTCCACCTCAAATCGACATGTTTTAAATTTGGTTTATTGAGGAAAATGTCTGTGTTTAGAAAGCTAATTTCATTTGAATTGAAATCCACAGTTTCGAGCAATCCACAGTTGACAAATATGTTGTTCCTAATTTCAGTAATTTCATTTTTGGATAGAATGATTTGTTTTATATTTGAACAATATTTAAAGATTGATAAGTTATTTTTCAATAAATTACTATTAATGTCAAATATTTCTAAATTCTTTAATGGCTGCAAAATGTCTTCATTGAAGAAACTGATTTGATTATTTTCCAATTTAAGTTCTTTAAGTTTTGTCGTATGATTAAATGTATCTGAATCAATTGATACAATTTGATTATTGCTTAAATCAATAAACTCCAAAGCTGACAACTTCCAAAAATTATCCAATGAAATTTCCTTTACAGCAATATTTTGGAAAGTATATTTAACTAGATTTGGAAACACGTCAACCACATTAATTGGTAATGGCATTTCGATGTTTTTTAGTGTAATACTTTCAAAGACTTCTACTTCTTTGCTGTATTGATGATCAACATAGATTGGTGCAATGTTATTGACAATTTTAAAAGAAGTTGCTGAGAACACTTTTAAAATTCGACATTCAGTTCCATTGGTGCAATATTCTCGATCAAAGACCTCTCCGCTAATTGGATTCAAAGCTGGAAATATTAGGAAATGGAGGGAGTGTAGGCATTGGAGGGAATGAAATAGTTGGGAATGTTAAAAATCTTGTGACTGTTGTGGTAGTAGCAGGAAGTGATTTAGTGGTATATGAAGTTGTGGTGATTGGATACTCAGAAGAAGTAGTAACTGTTGTAGTGGGATTAGGAGCTATTGTAGATTCTGTTGGTACTTTAAAATATAATTCTTATTGTGCATTGTTTACATAACCTCAAAGTATCTATCTATTCACATTATTTAAGCAAAGACTAAAAAGTTACTAGCAAAACACATTAAAAAATTGATGATTTCGACTTAACCTCAAAAATTCATAACTATTCCTCATAAATTGAATTCTTAATCTCAAAAATTTGAATCTTAAACTCAAAAATTGGAATTTTAACCTCAAAAATTATAATTATAACCTCAAAAATTGGAATTTTAACCTCAAATATTGGAATTTTAACCTCAAAAATTATAATTATAACTTCAAAAATTGGAATTTTAACCTCAAAAATCAAAACTGAAACTCAAATTTTTGCAATTCAACCCCAAAAATTTGCAACTTAACCACAAACATTTTAAAGGTTCGTACCCTATAATTGGATCATAACCTCAAAAATTTTAACCTAACCAAGGGTGCAAAACTGATCAAAATAATCAAAATTTATCAAAAAGTATCAAGAATTACCAAAATGTAGTTATCAGTTCAGCACCCTTGAATCTAACAAGCTTGAAATTTTAGCTCATTAATGTATTTCGCAACTAAATCTAGAAAGCATGCAATATAATAACAAAAAATTTGAATTCAACTGTAAAATATCTGGACATAACTTCAGCTTTCTAGTAAATAAAACCTAAAAAAAGCGTAACCTCAAAATTAACCACAAAATCTCCAATTATCTCAATTAAAATTCAAAACTCACCACCAAAAATCCAGTTTTTATGATCGAAAAGATTGACGTAGCCAACTTTATATCCATTATCTTCAATGGTGCAATCATCTTCACATGGCTTCTTTATCACAATTCCATACAATTTTGCAGTAAAATTAATATCCATAAAAACTGGACCACCAGAATATTGAACACAAAAGTCGCTTAAAACTCTTTCATTGATCTTATTTCGGTAATGATAGAATCTTGACGCATATACATCGCCATACATTTCGTAGTTGTAAACTATTTTGACATTTTCTAGGTCCAAAAGATTTTGCTCATTGTTAACAATGTCAATCGTTATGTCCGAACTTGAATTTGCAGTCAAAGTAATTTTTGTAATATTTTCTACATCAGAATTTTCAATTGATTGAATATTGAGCCAATTATTGTGATCACTTTTAAGTCGGATGTTTTTTTCACTTGCTAATCTTAGGCAATTTGAATCTTGAATTAAACAGTTTATGTTGAGCCATACAGAATTAAGGAAATTTTAAACATACCGGTAAGAAGCACTTGATGGCTGATGAAGAATGCCCAACAAAGAAATTCGGATGTATAATTGTCCATTACAGCTACCATAAAATTATTAATCTCAGATTCAGTCGTCCACATGTTGTAATCATTTGAACTATAACTAAGAATTATTTTTATGCTTTAAAATCTTTTAAAAACTTATAACGTGAAATTTGGAGCGAAATCTAAAACCCAACCTCAAATTGTGAGTCTCGAAAAATTTGAAACTCAAAGTTCAATTCAAAAACTCGAAATTATGTGTAACATAACCTCAAAATCCAAAAAATAACCTCAAAATTCAAAACATAACCTCAAAATTCAAAAAATAATTTCAAAATCCAAAACATAATACCAATTTTTTTTTAAAAAACCTCAAAATCCAAAACATAACCTCAAAATTCAAAACATAACCTCAAATTTCAAAAAATAATTTTAAAATCCAAAACATAAAAAACATAATATCAATTTTCTTTTTAAAAAACCTTAAAATCCAAAACATTGCCTCAAAAATTCAAAACGTAACCCCAAAATTGAAAACATAACCTCAAAATCCAAAACATAACCTCAAAATCCAAAAAATAACCTCAAAATCCAAAACATAACCTTTTAATCCAAAACATAACCTAAAAATCCAAAACATAACCTTAAAATCCAAAACATAACCTCAAAATCCAAAACATAACCTCAATTTTCTTTAAAAATAATCTTAAAATTCAAACCAAAAATTCAAAACTTTGAAACATAACCTCAAAAATACTTACTTTCTATCACCACAAACAGCATTCCTTATTGAATCAGAATAGTAACCCAATTCAGTAATAATCAAACTATTATTACTTGCACAATAAGCTTCTGTCATGTGTCCCATTGACACTAATCCATGCAATGTATCTTTTACAGAATCATAGACTTGTTCGCCATATCCATTTATACAGTACTTATTCACAATCTGTCGTGCACAATACTGAAGATCTCCTAAATATTTATTGATTGTATAATCGTCAATAATGCATTCAATCGTGTCAATTTTTGTAATTGGAATATTAAATGAATGTAGACCCATCACTGTATGGAGGACAGTATCACTTCTAGTATTTTGATGTAAAGCAGTCTTGTTTAGCTGAAGTATCTGAAGTGGTAAATTAACTGAACGCAAATGAACAGTAAATTGAAGTGACTCTTTCAGTCTTAATAAAGACAAGTCTGATCCTAAATTATCTTCATTAAATTTCCAGTCAAAAAAGACATTGATTTCAGCAACTTCGAGTCTAAGAGAACCAATTTGACGATGAAAATCAGCTATAAAAAGTCCAGGAGGCAGTGGGTTCCTGTGATTCTTCTTTTGGACACACTCGGCAGCTGGAAAGTAGATGATTTTGAGTTTTTTTGTGATGGCATTTATAGATCTATTTTTCCTAAGTTTAATATGTCTTGATTTGGCCCTAATACAGCTCAAGCTGACTTTACTCAGATTAAATCAGTTTACCTTGAAATAAATCAATTCAAACAATCTCAACTTGATACCAGTCAACTTATAAAAGGTCAACTTGACTCTTTTCCGTTCAAACTAGCTCAACTTGACTAAGCTCAGTCTAAAATAGTTCTGCTGGAATTAAGTCAGTTTAAATTATCTCAACTTGATACTAGTCACTTAAAATCAGGCCAATTTGTCTCTTTTCAGTTAAAACTAAATCAACTTATCTAGAACAACTTACTCGGCCTTAAACAGCTCTACTTGACTTTACTTAAACTAGAGCAACTTGAATCAAACTAGCTCAACCTAGCTTAACTCAGTTCAAACTTGCTCAACTTTAATTTCCTCAGCCATAACATGCTCAACTTGACTCAATTAAATTAAAGACTAGCTTAACTTGAATCAAAAGAGTTCAAACTAGCTCAACTTTATTTCTAGTCAACTAAAGTCAAGTCAACTTGACTTTTCTCAATTCCTAGCTTTGATGACACATACTTACTAGTTAACACAAATTCAGGATGAATTATACTTCCAATACACATAATTTCATCAGTCCGTGAGTGTCTAACGATAGCGTTCCAAGGCTGGAACACCTCGCCAACCAAATCATTATTGGAATTACGCGAAACTCCAAAATAAATTCCCAGTGCGATTCCAATAACTGAAATGCATGCAACTATAATCAAAATAATCAAATTTCGCATGCTGCAAAATCCTTTTCGTTTTCTTTTGTCGTTAAATTTTTTAATCTCGCCATCAGCTTCGGTTTCGATATTTGGCAATGCTATTTTCATGTCCTCAACAACCTTGAACTCAAAGAAACTGAATAATGGGAGAAAATACTCTCTTATTTGATCTAATTTGTCTGTATTTTCATGATATAAAGCCAGAAGATGTGGAACTCGAACGATCAACTCAGCATGTCGTGTCTCTTGGTTCTCTTTCGGGATATCAAAGACATATCCCATAATTGGCTCTTTCTTTCGATTTTCATGACAATATTTCAGATATCCATGGAATGTTTTTGCCATTTTATGATCTCCATTGAAGTATGGCAAGCAATTATTCCTGTAGACCAAGAACATGGCAAAATGACAAAGCTCATGTGCTAAAGTTCCAATTGCTTCTTGTCGATGCTCTGGATCGAGTAAGAACTTTGCTGCTATATAGACTTGTCTGGATGTAAAAAATGATCCTCGCGTCTGCTTACTGGATGTTGGATCCAGAAACTGCACAGAATCTCGGTTAAAATCAAAAATCAGTTTAAAGTCTCGAGAAGCTGCAACGATTTGAAGGATTAGTCGAATTACAGAAATACGGCAAAGATACTCGATTGCTGACTTTGCGTGATTTAATTTCTCATTGACATTGATTGTATCGTGGCCAACGCTGGTGTTTGAGTGAAGGATCATCAAGAATTTTTCTGGTGGCTCTCTGGAATGTTCCAAGTGGATTTTTCGAAGTTCTTCACGCTGTTTATCATTTAATTTTGTTAAAATCTTGTCTATATCTTCTTTTGGACCAACACAAACATTCTTAGTCATGAATATTTTGTAAATGTTGAATTTTTCCTTTGACAGAGCCACAAAAGCTGCTGAAACGTTGTCACGACTATAAAAGTATCTTAAATTTGGATATTTTTCTAATATATTTTGCACAATAACTTCGTCATTGTTCTTCACACTTTTCACAAACTGATGAGTCATCTTCACAAAATCTTTCACCTCATTTGATGTATTTGCCTCATTAAAGTCAACTGGATATAAAGAATTTTCTAGCAATAATGAAAGTAAGACATCCAAGTGTCGGTTCTCCCAAGCTAAATCAGCTGCGATTTGGTTCTCAACTTGGAAATTCACATCAAATCCGATTTTTATGAGATCTTCCACGACGGGACGATTTCCAAGCTCTGAGGCCAGCATTAGAAGATTCTTGTCATTCATATCAACAAGAGAAAAAAGGGATAAGTCTGTAGATGACGTCATATTGGCATCTTGAGGGATACCTAGAATAATAAAGATAAATATCAAGTCTAATAAAATCAAAAGCTGATGAAAATTAGGAAGCCAGCCGGCCATACAGCTTACCTTTATTCCCCAACCTCAACGCTAGAAACAAAAATGAGTTTATAAAGCCATTCATTGAATCCCGATTTACAATATCCACATCAATCAATGAAAGTGACATCAATGGCATCTCCTCATCGGACTTCCAATAAAAACAACACTTTTTATCATCCAATGACTCAAAACACAACAAAAGTTTTCTTGTCTTATCAATTTTTGTTGATATTATTTCATACTGAAGAGGACTTAAAGTCGTGATTTGACCAAAAATCTTCAGTTTGATAGCAATTGAGTACGAAGTTTGATAAAACTTTTGACGTAGGAGATCCGATGAGATTAGATTTACGGCGTCATTGATTGTTGGGATATCATTAATTTCTAAAGCTTCGAAATCTGTTAAGTCTGTGATGATTTGAGGTAATTCATGGTCGATGTTTATGAATGATAAGGTCACAGCTTCGGAGAATATTCTTGGTTCAGGTTCAGTCATTGGTTCTGGATCTGTGAAATTATAGAAAAGTGTCAAGTTAATCTTCAACAGATCAACAAACTCAATAAGTTATAATCTGATTTTTGATCTTTTGGAACGGCAACATGGGTAGTAGGTAGGGTTACCATCTAATTTTCATGAAAATACAGGACTTTTGGTAAATTTTTACAAAATACAGGACATAGAGTAAAATTCGAAAATTAACGGAAATTTTCGTGAAAAAAATACAGGACCTGGAACAAAGTTTTCAAATTTAAACAGGACAGGGTTTTGAAATACAGGACTGTCCGTTGTAAAACTTCGCAGATGGTCACCCTAGTAGTAGGAGGTGCCGGTTCCCGATTAAACCAATACACCACCACAAAGCTCTAATCTTTCACAATACCAAATCCACTCGTGTCCTACCAAAACAATGAATCACAAGTAAATGTCGCGATGTTATCGATTTTTCATACTTAAGAGGATTTATTTCCTGTTTGATAACGCTTTAGTCACAAAATTTAACTTTCCACAATCACTTATCTTACTTAATTGAGGATTTTTATAATGAATTTTGATTTTACCTTCAATGTCCATCTTGATCATATCAAGCACTGAACCTTGATGGTCCTTCTTAAATCTTTTTGTTGAATGCATAATTTTATTATAATTATTTTATCACAATTCAAAGACTTCTTTCGTTCACAATATTCACAAAATGTGTGCTACATTTTACAGCATGTATTACAATTTATTGCTAATGTCTTTGATTAATTAATTGATTAATTTACTTGGCAAAACGACACAGCTTATTTATTTTATTTCAATTGCTTCTTTACGTTCATACACCTAAAATACAACTAAGCTATAATTTTCGACTTATCGAAAGATAAAGACGAAATGAAACAACAAAACAAAAATTCTGAAAAGTACTTTTTTTTATGTGAAAATTCAAGATAATTTTGGTGTCGTTTGTGAATGATGTCGCTTAAAATTTTATTATTTTTTGACTGACTCCTTCTTACTGATTAATCGTTTTTATCAGAGCTAGAAGTCGATATGGTTTGAGTCAACTCGAGTTGACTCGACTTGGCTCAAAACCGAGTCGACTGCATATTTTTCGAGTCAACTCGAGTCAACTTTGAACTCTGGTTTTTATTCTGTATTGAATGAAATGACACATGGACTAGACTTGACGGGCGTTTAGCTCGTGAGGAACAAAATTTGATTTGGTTTGACTTAGGAGTGTGGCTAGATATTTGAAAAATAGGGGAGGAGGGTGGGCATTGTTAAAATCCTTACAATTTCCCCAACTTTGCACCTTGCCTTATCTTTTTCTAGTTTGCTCAAAAGTTGAAAATGACTCTTTTTGGGGTCGTTACTTATGAAGTCTGAGAATTAGAGGGAGAAGTTCTAGGATTTTGTGACAGCTGAAACAAAGGAGATTTTAGGACGGGAAGGGGGGGAGAGGTTTTAAAAATCATGTTTTCTGACAAACGTCATTTGCGAACGACCCCTTATATATTTCAAATAATCTAAAAATGTTTATTCTGTGATAAGATTTGTGCTGTTTTTCCTCGTGTGGGTTTTAAATTAAATAATTTGCTTATTATTTGTCAAATTGATTTAAATTTCTTAATTTATTAAATTCAGGGGTGTAGACAGAAAATATTTGGTTCATACAACCTTAAGATGTAGATTAGGTAGAAGAAAGAACCCACCTGTGATCCCTAGCTAAACCGATAACAAACCATTACTCGCCGCCCCCCGTTCTCTCTTCTTGAGAAAATAATCTTTTACTTTCTATCCAACTCTCCCTCATTTCCCTTTTGTTGCGTCCCTGCCACTTCAGAAATTTAAGTGAAGATTCAATTTGTCGATAATTTTGACTGCTAATGCCAAACTATAATACATAGCTACCATATAGCGATATACTTTGTTGCTGATGAATTCATGTGAGTTAACAATTCAAATTTTAAGATCTAAAAAAATTTCACTATTATATGCATTTGAATGAGATTGAACCACCTTGGTACATTTACACTTTTTTTTCAAGATTATTCAAATATCAACTTCATTTGTCTCAGTGACTACTAATTGCATCAAGATGTCACTAATCGTCACAGATAATTGTTAAAACTAATCAAATCAAATCATTTATAAAGATAATAATGTACATTATATAAGAATTGAAAATGGCATCCATTGCCACTGCTTTCATGACATTATTCATGTACACCTCATGAGAAAAATATTCGGGTTGATAAGTTTAACTAAAGTACCATGATAGCCAACAGGGAATCACATTTTAATTTAATTTGAATTGTAAACATCCAAATAAATTAAATTTTTGAGCAGACAGTCACCGATTATCAGTGATTCTCAAACTATGTGCCGCGAAAATTTATAAATTAAAAAATTAAAGAAGTCCTCGTGTTATTGATCGAGGGACTTAAGCGCATTTTTGTATTAGCGATCAGTATTTGATTATCTAATTATTTTGCGTTAATTTATAGATCATTAGAAGATTAGAAGATCATTAATTTTAGTGAAAAGGGTTTCGAAAATTCGAATTTCTGGACGCACCCTGATTACAATTTTTAAAACGATAGAAAATAATTCAATTTTCTAAACGCACCCATCACGTGTTTTTCATATGAAATAAAAAAATCAATAATTAAAGTACAAATACACTGTTTTAAGACTTTTAACTGTTCGGCCGGCCAATAACTCGATAGAATTGAGCTAATAAAACAAACCCGAGCTCTCGACGATGTCTGGTTAAAAAAAATTTCTTGCCCCAAACAGCCGAACAAAGCGTATTATTAAGCTACCTTTTAGAAACAAGTTTCAAAAATGCGTTAAAAATGGACCATGGACCAAATAAAGTTTGAGAAGCACTGGATAAAGAAAGTATTCGCTGACTAAGGCATTGGTGATCAACCTTTGAGTATGTAAAAGCGTCCCGAGCGACAAAAAGGTTCAACCTAATGCAGTTGGGACTTAGTGTTGCCATTTACATTCATATTTTCACGCGTGTTGCAGCCATGACACCGTCATCGACTTCTGCTGGTGACATCATGTACAAACCGCTCATACATGAGCTTTGTTGTCGCTTGAGCATTTGGATGTCTTTAAGTTTATAAATAAATGAGGGGTGGATGGGGGAGGGGATTCTAAAAAACTTTGCTGTTGAGGGTTTGGTTTGAACTCTTAGCAATGGCACTGCTTCTGAAAAAGGTGACAGTGCACCTCAACGCAAAAGGTTATCCACCACTGATCACGTATAAAATCCACAAAAACAGAAAATCTTATCTAAATTAATTGCAAACATTTTTGAGATAAAAATTAAGGTAAATTAAAAAAAAGTTTATTTGCAACTTCGGAATCGCTATAATTAGCAAATTTATTAAATTGAATCAAAAAATTATTTTAAAAGAAATTCTTTTGAACTTGAGCTTTTTAAACTTAAATGTCTAAAACGACGGACACACTCGCTTCAATTCCACAAAGATTGTTGCCACGAATCATGCGGAAGTAACCTTTTTCGCCCCACCATGAGTCTGTTTGAATAAAAAAAAATAATTTTCGGCTTTTTTGGAATTATTAATTGCAAACTTACCCCAGCTGTTCTTTAACTTCCAGTATTTGACGCCATTTTCTTCGCCCCATCCAACGAGCATTACTAAAGATTAAGAATGTAAGATTACTAAGGAGTATTAAAGCTAAGACTTACTATGGGATAGTATTTAATGCTTTGCGAGGTTCACTGCTCTATTCATAGATTATATAATCGATTCTAAAGCAGTGACATTCTAAATAGCCCTTAGAAACTAGCTCAGATGTATAATGGCTATAAATACTTACTAGCATGTCCACCCATGTAGTTACCACTAGCAGACTTATAAATTCCACTAGAATAATCATAAAAATTGCCATAAACATTAAATCTCGTGTAAAGTGGTCCATAATTGTACAAATAAGTCCTGATTGTCTTCTCATTATTCTGTAAGTATGCATATTGAATGACTTTAGAGTTTGGCACTCTTGGACGTGACGAAGCTTGGCAATAATAAGAAATTCCAGTGTAAGAGTGAGTCTTCATGTAATTATAAGCAGCACATCCACCATAAACTTGTGAATAATCGCGATAAATTGAATAATCCCATCCACCAGCACATCCTCTTGAGCATTCCATTGCATCTTGTTCAGATAAGTCATAGACATTTGATCCATACTTGAGAGCCATTCGACTCTTTATGACACCAACAGCTGCAAATGCATAACAACTTCCACATTGTCCTTGACTTTTGACAGGTCCAACAATTGATTCTGGCCATTCAAAGTCAGTTTCTGGTGGTTCAGTCATTCTACCGTGACGACCTTCATTCTCAGTTTCATTGACCAATGGAAGCACCTCGTTCGGGTCTGGTGGATTTGCTCCAAGATAATTATCACTGAATTCATCTTCAGATAGATGTGAGAATGGATATAAGGTGCGGTTGAATGATTCTAATCCTTGTCTAAAGCGACGGTTCTGTTTGGCTACTGAACGGAATCTGTTGACGATGTTTCGTCTGATTTCAGTGAAATTTGAACGACGACGGAAATGAACTCTAAACTTTTTGGTATATTCTCTAAAAATTTCACCATCGTCTATGTCATCTTCCTCGCCGGGCTCTTCAGTTGTAGCTTCAGTTGTAGCTTCGGTTGCACTTTCAGTTGAAGTTACGACTATATCTGTATTTTGGCCAATGACATTGACTGCACAAATTGCGAGGATCAATAAGAAGAAAAGCTTCATTGTTTTTCTTCAAATGGGATCTGAAAATTTAATAAAAATTTGAATAAAGCACTTCCACAACCTTCAACCACGCAATAATGACAAGTTGTGCTAACAAGCCTATCATTTTAAGCTTCTCATTCGTGCAAATCTTCTTTGTTTGCTTTCATATCAGCGATGATGTTGAAAGTTTGATAAAAACAAAATCTTGCTTGTTTGATAGAACAAAAGATAACAGGAGCTGAGTCTATTGACTTATTATGGACGTGGAATAATAATAATTTAATTAAAATGTCTTCATTGTACTCGCATAAGTGATTTGTTTTATAATAATTCAGACGATTTGTAATTTTAGGGATTTTTTTATGGGATTTATTCATTAAAAATGCAATCATTAAACAAACTTGAATCCTTTTCAGGGGTGTAGCCAGGAATTTGAACAGGGGGGGGGGGGGGCAATTTTTTGGTATGGAAAACTTTTAGGAAGGAAAGATTTTTTCGAGATTTTCATAAAAAATTTAGCAAAATGAAGAAATTTCTCAAGACGAAAGGGGATTTGTCCCCCAAATCCACCCCCTGGCTACGCCAGGATTTGATTTAATGATTTTAATGGCGCCTAGCGAACCTGCTTGAAACACGAATTTCAGTGACAACATGCATTGAACCAGGACATGGAACAGACCCGAATGGCACAAGCGCCTGCTGGGCGCTAGATATTTATTCGATAAACCGACTTGTGCCATTCGGGAGAGATCATCCAACATCATCGAGACAGTCTTTTAAAATTGCATTCACATTCAGGTTGTCATAATCAGCTTGGTTCTTTTTTCAATCTTATTAGCACAAATTTACTTAAAATATCTTCAAAATTTCCTTAAACTTACTTTAAAAACACTCTTCAAAAAATCCTTCTATTTTCTTTCTAATTCCAACTTTACTCTGAACACCTTTTTACCGCAAACTGACTCTTCTTGTGCCTCAGACTCTCCTCTTTATACCCAAACTAATTGTTTTAGCCAAAAATATGCTAATCAACGGGATGTTTGTGTTATCAAAAGAAAAACTTTGCTTTATAAACTAAGATAAAAAAATTTCTGTTTGAATTAAAAAAACGATTTTTTATGCGACGTTTATTTTTTGCCAAAAATAAGCGAGCGGGATTGGAGTTTTATTGGATCACATTTTTTTATGTTATTTGATCCGCTTACACGACATTTATGAATGAATGAGAATGTTGGGAGCAGGTGGGTTATTTTGTGATAGTTTTATTGGAGTCAATAAAAGTAGACTAGCTTGTGTAATTATTAAGTAGTTGTTATGAAATTGGTAGTTCTTTATGATAAGATTTTATTCAACTTTGCCATTTGATTCACAATAAAAGTTCAATGTAGAGAAAGGAAGTTGAATATGATAAGGAACTGTTCACGATAACCAAAGGCGTAGCTAGTTGGTTAGGATTTGATGAAATTTGGGGAAGTTCTTCCAAAAAGGTTGAGTTAAGAGCTCACTTGTTATGCCCCTGTTTAAGGGTCAAATTCTTTAGTGGTTCAAGTTAACAAAACTCCAGAAAGTTCATGGACAATTTTCAGATCGCCTTTCTATTAAATTTTCTTCACATTTGTTCCATCTTTCTTATTTAATTTTGCAAATATTTACACAACATTTACGTTGAGTTGCTATTTTTATGATAATAAGATAAAATTTGGTGCCTGACTTTATTCATAAAAAATATCTCGTGACTTGCAATTAAGACTAAAAGGAAGTGTTTATAAAATTTTCTAAACAATTTTTTTCACTTTTTGTGTAGTTTGCGATAACTGATTAGTAAGTTTAGTATGTCACGTATCTTAACAGCATCCGAAAAAACTAAAACTCAGGAATTTAGATAAAAAAATGTTTATTCATACAAAATTATCATCATTTATAATAATAACAGTCAAGATAGCCTCAAACATTCAAATCATATCCTCTGCCATAAGGCTCCTCGCCATTAGTCGTCAAATAAAATTTCCCACGAAGTCTTTTGTCAGCTGCAAGACCCATAAATGCTGGAATGTCTTCTTTACACTCTGCTGAATCATTGTTTATTGGATCACATCTTTCAGATGGAAAGGCTAGAGGTTTGCGAATTGATTCAGCGAAAAACAGGAGAGCGCGGGTGTGACTGCAGCCGGCTGGAATAGAAAAAGATCAGTTTAGTTTATGAATCTTGAATTTATCATGGGTCATGTCTTCAAATGTTTGAGGAGAAGATGAGGTTTTGTAGTTAAGCGCAAATTGAATTTTTAGGACAGTATTAGTTGAAATATTCAACCATTCCCTTTCTATGTGACTACTAAACATGCATAGCCATGAAAAATTTAATGGGAATTGAAGCTTAATCATATAATAAAGGATGCAGAAGTTCACTTGATAAAAATAAAAGTCAAACTCACCAACAATACCAATCAAATTATTTCTAGAAAGACTCTCATTGATGCATCCTGGTTGAGATGCAAAACCGCCATTTGGGAAGAAATCAGCGTGGCCAACAGCCCATGGCATTCCTAGAATTCCTCCATCAGTGTGAATTATGTCTGTAAGATAAAATTGCAATTTAAGCAACTCAAAAGCTCAAGCAAAGATTTTATTGTAGAGTTGTAGCCTTAAATGACTTCTTACCAACAAACTTTGCATCACTTCTGGATATGTGAGTTGATGTGTCGCCATTCATGAACATTGGACCAGCTGGATCGATTCCTAGCAAAAGTCAATTATTTAAATTGATTTAATTACATGCAACAATAAGGAAAGGGAAGGACAGTGAGTATCAATATGGTCAATAATTACTATTAGTCCTTAAATGTCCAATTGTGTTCAACTTACCAGTTAATCTTGGTAACAGGATGCCCCAGTCTTTTAGAGTCTTTCCTACAAAACCTGCTATTTCAGCCTGAAATAAAAAAAATCCATAATACAATCAAATCAGCAAGATGTCCTTTTGTTGATGACATCAATTAACTCAATAGCATGAACTTTATGGCCGCTTGCAAAAGCAACTCTAGATTTTATAATTCATGAAAAATCTCAATTTCAATCAACTCACTCCAAGACTGAATCCAATTAAATGCATGTTCTCCAATAAAACACCAGATTTGACTAGAAATTTGATGAATCTTGAAATATATCGAGAAACTCGTGGTGCATTGTTGACAGCATCAAGATACCATGGAAATGCTGCAATTGGACTCCAATCGACCAGTATTACTGAATAATTTTTGATTTCCATAAATGCTGGAATGAATGTAAAATGTTATAAATAATCTAAGGATTTAAAGAAGTAACTGACCATCCTTAACCTTCATAGCACTCAATGTTGATGGTCCTATTGAGCTGTCTGTAAATCCATGAACAAATATCGCCAGCGGCATTGTCTTATTGAGATTTTTCAGTCCTTTTGCATCATTTAAGAAGATTTGCTTTCCATTTTTCTGATATTTTTGATTATAAAGGAAGAACTTAATGTCAACTGACTCTCGAATTTCGCAGCAATTGTCGCATTCACCACGTGGTGTTACTGTTGTGTGGAGTCTGTAGGTGCCTTAAAAATTGAAATGATACAATGTAAGGAAGTTGATATAAAGTTTTGGTCGTTTTATGGTTGGGAAACCCTGTTTACGCTTCTGGGGTTGGTTCTTAGAACTGTGATTAGGGGAGGGAATCCTGGGGACCTCCAACCCTGTCTTTTTGTTCAACAATATTAGATTTATCCAATTTAACCTCAAAAATCAACCAAATTTGCAATTACTTACATCACCTTGAGAGTTCCTGACCTAAGTCACTTGTCGTTCACACAACTTATCAATATTTATCAGTTATTGGAAATGTAAACTTGCTATCATTGTTAATAATTGACCATTTCAATAAATTACAATTATCAGCTTTTATTGCCGCACAACATATGTCAGCAAATTGAATTTGTGTATATTTTTTTATTGGAAAAAGATTGTTTGTAATCGCATTATTTGCGTGACTAGTCATAAGTCAATAATATTGATGTTTAAGACGTGAGTATGCAGGGGTGTTGAAGGGGTTTGAAATGTAATAATTTGTGTTTTAAGTTAAAACATTAGCAATCATCTATAATATTGAAGTTAAAGTATGAAAGCTCAAAAAGTTTTAATTTTAAGGTTAGAATTTACAAAGGAAGAAATTTAAAGGTTAGGTTTAAAAAATGGGATAATTTTAGGTCAAATTTAAAAGATTTAAAATTTTTTAACGTTAGAATTTCAAATTAATTATATTTGAGGTTAGAATCTAAAAAAAATGTTTTGAGGTTAGAATTTATAGAATTAAAATTTTTGAGTTGAGTCGTAACAAAACTCAAATTAAAGGTAAAATTTCATAATTGTTAAAATTTTGAGGTTAGATTTTAATTTTTTGAAAATTTGAGGTTAGAATCGGGTTTTAAAAATACTATTTGAAAGATTTCAATTCAAGATTTAATAGATTGTCAAAAAATCAAATTTTTCATCATATTGAGGTTAGAATCAAAGATTTTCGAAATTTTAAACTCTTGTTCCACCCCTGATCAATATTAATGAACCAATAGCGCCATGCTAGTCAATAAGAATCACATTTAAAAATCCCAAATATTTGCAATTAAACAAAGAAATTTTGACGGTCACTTGACAATACACTTGACACCTCAACATCATTGGACTTCACATTTTAACGTGTCTTTAATTCACATGACTTTCACGGAAGCTTGAAGACAATCAGCAAGAGTGTTACCAAAATTTTTATGCAAAAATAATAATTGGAAGAAAGGCCGTGGAAAGACCAAGAAAAGACCAGACTGAGCAAAATTGTAAAGCATCGAGCCTTGACATTGGATAATTGTTAACCGGCTTTTTGTTGTTTGACAGACAAATCGGCTTCATATGGAACCTTATTATGGTGAATTTTTAATCTATTATTTTTGATCAATGCTTGATTGTTTAGATTAAAGGCGGAAGATATGGTAAAATTGCTATGTGATGACGGAAACGTGTCGTTTTATTGGAATTTGTGATTTATGATGTAAGGTTGATTACGACTGCGTTAACTTTCCTCAATTGTATTTATTAATTATCTAAAATATATTTTGTCGCTTAATCAAGCAAAGTTGACTATTTTTAAACATTTTTGGATACACTTGGTCAACAAATGCTACAAAATTCAGTCTAATCAAAGTCATTGACAACAATTTCGTTATCAAAAATCTTTTCACTTTTACCGGATGCGTCAAGAAAAAGTTACTTCCGAAAATGACCAATTAAAAAGTTCAAATGAGAATTTATTGTTTAAAGCAATTAAATTTAATCTTTTTTGATCAAAACTTACTGATGAAAACTGTGAAAACAGAACACAAAGCTGCACTTTGAACTGATGTTGCTAGGATCACCATCGTCGATTCTTTTATGTTTTTAAGAATTTTGTTACTTTTTTGGAGTTTAATTTAGCTGTAAATACCAAAGTTATTATATTTACTTCCGTAATTGTGTTTGATAATTTTTATTGGACTTAATTTCTTATCAATTTAGCACACTTTAGTCATTAATATTTTGGCATAAATTGTTAGATGATAAAAGGTTTTGTATTGCACTTTTCAAACTGTTTTTTATTCGATAATTTTTTTAATAAATTCAAAATTTCACTCAATTATCAATTTTATTATTTTTTCTTATACTCAACTTGATTCACTTTAAGTTAAAACTTCATTGATTGCAGTACAATTAATTTCATAAAAATCCCAAATTATAATCAAAATTTCAATTTTCAAAAACAATCTTCAAAAGTCCCAAAAAGTCCTCTCACCGCTCGCGATGTAATACCGACTAAACTAAATTCACAATTGACCAGATTTATTTATTCTGTACGCAATTTGTTGATCATCGAAGCGATGAAAAAAAAAACGTCAATTTAAGTGAGAAGCTCATTTGCAAAGAGAAAGGTGAGTCACAGCATTGAACAGTATCGGAAGGTCAATCGATGATTTTTTGGTATCAAAAAGGGATTTTAATGAGGAAAATCTTACTCAGTGATTTAAAAGTTGTCTGGAAATGATAAATAAGGTTTTGATGGTTGGGGAGAGGGAAGGAAGGGGGGGTTGGTTTTGGAAGATATTGTTGAGAATCTTGGGCATTAAAAATTCCTTTTTAGCGTCATTTTGTGCCTTAGCTTAAAAAGGAAAGGTTGACCACCACTTTTATTGGTTTCCTGGGTCTTATATCACATATTGAAGTATATTTAATTTTCATATCAATATGTAGCCCCATTTATGTTCCATGAAACTTAGTGTCATAAAAATATGGTCTTAGAATAAAGTAGGGTGTCCGGAGTAGCCCTAGAATTCGGCCTCAGATCTGTGATATCCGTAAACCTCATCAAATGATAAACTCGACTTATTTCTATCTATTATGTTTATGGCATTGTCTCACGTTGTTTTAGTATCCATTGTGATCCAAAATATATTTTATTTGTGTATGGGGCTGTTCACTTATTACGTAACGCGAAAAAATGACTTCTTAGACCCCCCCCCCCCCTCGTAACAAAATTTGTATGAAAAAAAAAATTCCTTGTTTGAACCGTAACAAAATTTTAGACCTCCCCCCCTCCCTCTAAAAGCGTTACGTAATAAGTGAATGGCCCCTATGGGAATCAAAATATTATAAGTTGTTGCTCATTTCATCATGTTTGGGATGTTCGAGAACTTTATAATGTCAAAATAAGCTGAATTATATATTAAAAACTATATAATTTATTTTAGATTTTTATGTTTAGCACAAAAATATAAATTTTCACATCTTTTTGACCTTTTGGTCTCTTTAGATCCTACTAAATCTTTCTAAAGAAACCCTAAACGTTCAAATTTATTCTTTAAAAATTTCAATCAATTCAAGAAATTCAAACACAAATGACCGTTAAACTAAAATTTCAAATTCCCACTCAGTTCTAAAAAAGATTTTGTGTCTCGACTAAACCAAAACATCTGATTCTATTTTCATAAGAAAGTTCGCAGCCCCTTGACAAGATAAAAAGTTTCTTTACGATCACACATAAATTTTATAATTTTTTCAATCATTTCGTAATAGATAAGAAAAGTTTTTAATCGAAATTTTCATTAATTTTTGACAAATTCAAAGTTTTTCAAAAAATTCATCGAGAACATCACAAAAAGGGGAAACTTTTGGCTAAGATAAGAAACTTTTCTGCAACAAGTCATCGAATTTTTGTAATTTTTTAGTAATTCAATCAAAGCAATCGAGTTAAAATGTATTCAAGAAATTCAATCAACTTACTTAAAAGATTGCAGGTGAGACAATTTAAAGATTATTAATAAGGAAATAATTGTAGATTTGAACATGCGAATGACATAAAAGTGATGATAAGGTACAAAGTCCGTCAGTATGATCATAAGCTGAAGGGAATAGAAAAAAAAATAAATATTTTTGTTAAGGGAGAATTCAAGGTTTAATTGATTTCTAATAGCTTTATTGTATTATAGTTCTTGTGTGGCTATGAAATTGCATAAATATCGTGATCAGAGATGCTAATTTGCTTTGATGCTATCGCAAAATATTTTTTTTGAATTTTTTAGACTTCTCAAGGCAGTTTTTCGATAAATCTTGAGCTCTACTGTACTACTAGGTTCTAGCAAGCTAGTGTCAGAGCTATGACAAAGCCTAATCCTTAAACTTTATCTTTAGTCTTCAATATAAGCCATGTTCTAGCCTGCTAAACCCTAGAATGCAGGACAAACCAAACTTTAGCCTAGTAAACTCCACAAGTGCTCTTAATCACACCTCAGAAGTCATATCCAGAATCCTTACCATGCAGCAAATCACAATTCATATAACAAATTACTAATTTATTTTCCTCCATTTCAGGCCCGCTTACAAAGCACCTTAGTCATCGCCGAACACAACAACGCAACCCTTTCAGCAATCACACAAAATTCAATCACGGCAGCAAAGCAAATTGGCAATGATGTCACAGTCCTCGTTGCTGGCACAAAGTGTGCTGATGTTGCAGCTTCAGTTGCTAAACTTGATGGAGTTAAGCGCGTTTTGGTTGCTGAAAATGAAGCATTTAATGGATTTTTACCAGAAGCTATGACACCATTGGTTTTGGAAGCACAAAAGCAATTTAAATTTTCGCACATTGTTGCTGGAGCGTCAGCACAAGGAAAATCATTGTTGCCAAGAATTGCAAGTAAACTCGACGTAAGTCCGATTTCAGAAGTTATTGGAATTAAGGACGCTGATACATTTGTAAGGACAATTTATGCTGGAAATGCTGTATTGACTATGAAATCACTTGATGCTGTAAAAATTTTGACAATTCGTGGCACAAACTTTGAAGCAACTGGTGCTGCATCTGCAGATGCTCCAGTCGAAAATGCTCCAGCTGGTGAGTACAAGACAGACTTGACAGCCTTCGTCGGACAAGAATTGGCAAAGAGTGACAGACCAGAATTAACAGCTGCAAAATGCATCGTCAGTGGTGGTCGTGGCTTAAAATCAGGCGAAAACTTCAAAATTCTTTACGATCTTGCTGATAAACTTGGCGGTGCTGTTGGTGCCTCAAGGGCTGCTGTCGATGCTGGATATGTCTCAAATGATCTTCAAATTGGACAAACTGGAAAGATTGTAGCACCTGATTTATATATTGCTGTTGGAATTAGCGGTGCTATTCAGCATTTGGCTGGTATGAAAGACTCAAAGACAATTGTGGCAATCAATAAAGACCCAGAGGCTCCAATCTTCCAAGTTGCTGATATTGGACTTGTTGCTGACTTGTTTAAAGCCGTACCTGAATTGACTGAGAAAATTTAAAGCGAATTTTTCCAAAAAATGATGTGGATTTGCTGATGTTCTGTGGATCCCACTGGATGTGCAGTTAATTCCAATCCACAAAATTTTCCATCCCCGATTGCATTTCTTCTAAAAAAAATTAAAATAATTAGAATAAATTCAGTGTCGATAATTGAGAATCAAGAATTAGTGGCTGACATTTTTTTTCACATTTTTTTATGCAACAGTGAATTTAACTTTAGCAAGTTTGGTACAATAAATTCTCAATTATAGACATTGAGCGCCTTTCTGGAATTAAAATTAATTTTTTTGAAATTTTTTAAAATCTGTTAAATAAAAATTAATGATCGTAAATGAATGAAGCTTGTTATCTGTCATCTTTCGAGTTCCTATCTGAATCTCCCATACTTTCATTATTTCCGTCAACATTGGACCCTTCACCAATTTCAGATTCAATCTCATTATGCTGCTCATCAGCATCATTTGTGGCTGAGCTTTTAGGTTTTGCACAATATTTTCTGTACTTTTTCGGTAGTTTTGGTCTTCCTGACTGACACTTAATGCTGTGTTCTTGGTCTGGCTGATCATCATCTTCACTATCGTCACTTGAACTACTGCTTCCACTTTCTGATGACTCCTCGTCGTCCTGCTCTTCATTATTGCTATTTTCTTCATTTCCACTGTCAGCATCTTCGTCATCAGATCCTGATTCGTCGTCTTCTTCGTCACTGTTTTCTTCTTGATTGTCTTCGTCTGCTTCTTCTTCGTCATTGTCATCCTCATCTTCACTGCTGAAGTCATCATCATCAGTGTTCTCATCATCATCAATATCCTCAGCAGATACTCCAAAACAGTCAATAATTTCCACATTTTTAATTCGATTTTTGTAATCTTCGATGAATTTTAGATCATCATCGATCAAAATTGACTTTTTAATGACCAAAGTCTTTAAATTGAATGTTTTGTGGATCAAAAATTCGAGCAACCATTCAACATTTTTACACTTAATTATCTTAAGTTCCTCAATTTCACATCCATCTTCATACTCGAATGGTTTTATTGATTCAAGTTCGACTCGTTTGAGGGTTAGGCGCTTAACTGTTGGAATTTTGAGTGTTGGGATTGAACAATTTGAGATTTTGAGGTTATCTAATTTTTTCAAAGTTTCAACTTGAGCCACTTCCTCGACATTTTGTGAAATTACAAGATTTTTGACATTTTTGAATTTTTCTGACCATTTTCCGTCGACATCCTTAAGATATAAAGTCTCAACTGAGCATAATTCACTAAAATCCGAACACATGTTGTACATTTTGAGGGTCTTAAGGTTCCTGAATTTTCTGAATGGCGTGATTGCTTCATGGTTCACAAAACAGACTTCCAGATACTGTAAAGACTCCTTGTGGTTCTCCAAAAATTCCCAAAAATTGTAGCTGCAATAGTCATCAAAGTTCTTAAGTTTTAGGTTTTTAAGCTTGAATTTTAAAGACACCAAGCTGTCATCGTCAAAAAGTGATGATGTTTTATCAAAATGTTCCATTTTTAGGTCAGTCAAGCTTTTCTGAGCCTTCAGAAAAGTTTTAAGACCGCTAACGTCCTTTGACTCATCGTCATAATCTCTTCTTACATCCAGTTCTTTAGCTGTACATTCAACAAACAATTTGAAGACATCAATGTCACCACGGAAGTAAAAATAATCCAAATCATACTTTAAAAATGGATATCCATAGTCTTGTGGATCTGAATCATCTGTCGCATTGTAAATTGTTAAATTTTTTAAATTTTCGCACATCAAAAGCATTTGTTTAACGTAAGCAACGGCAAATTCACTACAATTAATGACTAAAGTATCAATATCATGTCCAATATCTTTGAGAATGTAAAGGAAGTAAATGCCTGAAAATCCATCTATGAAAAATCTTGTGTACTTTCGACTTCCAATCCACTCGTTGTTGGCATAATCAGATATAAATTGAATTTCAAAGTTTTCCAACAGTTTTGAGTTGTTGCTGATGATTTCATTAAATTTGTGGCATGTGAGGGTTAGGGATAGGAGATCTTCAGCTGGGAGGTAGGTGAAGATTTCGAGAAGAAGCTCTTGGGGAAGGATGTCCATTTGGATGCGATCGTTTATGTTAAAAAGATCTGAATTGTAAATTTTGTCACATTTATCATGACAGCATTGAATATGTTTTAAAGGTTGGTCAGGAGTGTAGCCAGGAATTTGAAGAAAGGGGGACCAAAAATTTTTTTGTATGGAAAAATTTAAAAGGGGGGGGGGGTGTATTTTTTCATAAAAACCCTAGCAAAATAAGGAAATTTCTGTTTACGTTGGATTATTTGTCACTCTGGCTACGCACCTGAGGTTGGTTAAACTAAGTTTAATAGTTAAGTTTGAGGGGACAACAACCTTAAAATTGGACAAAGAACTCTCAATAATATTCAATTTGATTTACAAATTTTCTATCAATTTTGCATCAGTTTAACCAAAATTTTGATCAAAAATGCTTCAAATTTCCCCATAGAACCCTCTTTCCATCACATTGTTGTCCCCTTGTCTAAACTTCAAAACAGCTATTCCTCTTACCTTTCACAATGTTATGAAATCACATAAAATACTGAGAAACTTACTTAAAAATATTCTTAACGACGCCTCAACTCTAGCAAATTATACACAATTGATGATAAAATGACAAATAATTGAATTTTTGTGAATAACAACCTTAATACATTTAAACAATTTTCAATAACAATATGTGAAACTTTAAAGGCAATATGTGTTTCTTGTGTAATAAAACAGCTGATCAAATAAGGTTGCATGTGAAGCTTTATCGTCTGTAGTGGTGGAAGAAACAAGCTTAAAAAACATTGGATAATTTTGGGTTTTGTGATGTCATGGACAAATGGACGGGAACTTTCCGGTAAGATTTATTTTTAATAATTTAATTAACTTTAAAAAAATTGGAGAACTTGTCAAATTTATGCAAAATTTTAAATTGTTTGAAAAATTTCCAAAAAAAAGTTTCAAAAATGCTCTAATAATAATTTTAAAAAAATTCAATACGATTTCATTTATCGATTCAAAAACTCATTTTTTCAACAAACATCAGTCCCTTAACATTCTAAGTTGACAAATTATTATTATATTTATTATGGTCCGTATTTAAATTAAAGGACCTTTACTTTTCCATGTATTTACCTTTTTAAAAGGAAAAGCCGTCTGAAAAAGTACTTAAACTATTTCAAACTGCATAAAAACCTTTAAGATAAATTTTTCAATATTTACATAAATTTTACAATTGTTTCTTTTCAGTTGTAACATAGCTAAGTTGACAAATTTCATCAGTATTAGCGATTGTGTGTGACTTCCATACCTTATTAGTAATCATGTGATTCGATGGAGCTTTAAATCATCCACAAATCAGAATCCCCACGCAAATTTCCACGAAGCCCCAAAAAAACGAAAATCACGGGTTTATCAAACCACCTTTTGAAAATGTAAATGGTGTTTTTAGAAACTGCTACTTTGAAGGCGCAAAAACCCTTGAAATATTCAAAATCTACTCGACAAGGAAATGCGAACTTGAATGCTTAACTAAATTTACCTAGAATTAAATGAAACTCAATGTGTGCCTTACTATGTGATCCGAAATCAAACACATAAAATATGTCACATCCAGAAGAATTACGACATTATTTTCAGAAAATATAGATTTTTGCAGAACCTCATTGAAGAAGTCATTAAAACAAAATTTCCAGATGGAATTGGCGATGATGACTATTACATACATACATACATACATTTCTGGCTTTACAGATCAATTGTGCCTCCCTTAGTTTGCGTCTGAAAAAGACTCTGTCGTTGGCTCCTCTCTGCCAATCTTAAATACCAAATGCTATGCTATCTCTGTCAACAGTTTCCTTCCAAGAATTCTTTGGTCGTCCGCGCATTCTCTTTCCGTCTACAAAATGAGACTTAAAGATTTTGTTAATTGGAGCTTCTTTAGGTCTCCTGATAATATGACCAGCCCAACGTAGTCTGTTGACCTATGACTATTACATGCAGCTACAAAAATGACTAGTTCTTAAGGTCAGAGACCCTCATGGACCAAACTGGACTGAACTGTATCGAACTAGAACCAATCATACCCAAATGAACCCTTGTGGATATTGGACTTAAATGGACCCAGGCGCGTGGACAGATGGGGAGGGGGTGGGGGCAAATCTCCCAACGTAAACATAAATTTCTTTATTTTGCTAGGGTTTTTATGCATGCAAATAGAGCATTATTGGAACAGATTAAATAAATAAAATAAAATTCAAACTAAATACGAATTTTTATTCAATTTTTTTATTTTACTTTTTATAAACTTTTACAGCACTACGAACAAAAACCACACCAGCAAAAGTAAAAAACAAAGCCGAAATGACTCCACAAATCACTAAAATCCAAAAATATTTGCTCCTTTTAATTTCAGTCGATTTAATTTTTGCTTTTTCAACTGGCTTTTCAACATTCTGACAATAGTCTACAATGGACTTCTTTAATTCATGTAATGATTCTGCTGTGTATGTGTCACTAAGACATCGATTTAGGTCAAGATTAAAAATATTCAAATTGCTCAAATGATCGAAAATTTTTGGATGAATAAAGTTGATGTCATTCTTCCTAAAATTAATCCAATACAATTTCGGATTGTACTTGAATAAATCGACTTCCAAGACTTGAATGTCATTGTAATCTAGAGTTAAGTACAGCAATTCAGGAAAAACTTTTAAATCAGTTTGAGTGACTTCCTTCAAATCACAATTCGAAATCATCAAGTTGTTTAATTTTGGGAATATCTTGTCGATTCCTGTCGGTAAAAACATGATAGTTTCTTGTGAAACTTTAAATTTTCGAATTTCCTCAACTGGCACAGATCTTTTTGCATCTGAATGATCTTTAACATTGTTGATCTCAACTCCACGTTCTTTGACTGTTACTGAACTTACAACATTACATTCAATAAACTCTCCTTTTGTGACATTTGCTATGTGATATTTATATGTTGCGTAGCTACAGGTGACGTCGATTGCATACGCAAGTAAGCTTAAGTTAATGTAGAGTAAGATGACTGCTAATAATATTTGGTTCCTTTAAAAAAAAATTGGATATTTGATTAATCCATTATTCGTTTTTAAAAAATGACCGTTAATTTCGGACGTCATAATTGAACGGCCCCAAAACGGAAAACAACATGATGGTAAAAATTCTGATTCTCCCCATTCACAAATCACTAGATTGTCAGGCTCGGATACTAGGTGGTATTTGGAGGTGTTTGGGGGTAATTAGCGATATACCGCTTAATTTCAGAGCCTGGCTGATTCATCATAGTGATGAGTTGATATCCTACTCTACTCCGCTTATATAACTTTATAATCCTATTCTACGCGAACTAATGTCTAGGCCAGTGTTGTCCAAATTGTATGCCGTGGTACACTGGTGTAGCACAGGGGCGTAGCCAGAAATTTGAATAGTGGGGACAAAAAGATTTTTTGTATGGAATAATTTAAGGATGGGGAGGGGGAGCGATTTTTGTGATTTTTCCATGAAGAAATTTCTGTTTATGTAGGGAAATTTGTCCTCCAAATCCCCCCACTCCCCGTTGCTATGCGCCTGGTGTGGTGTGAACAAATATCTAGAGTCAAAGTGTGACGTGGCTGAAAAAAGTTTGGAAACTCTTGTCTACAACTGCGCACTTTTGAGCTGGACAGTCCGGCTTTTTTGAAACTATTTGTACATGAAAATGCTTTGTCTGTCCCACTTTTTCAATGCCGAAATCAGAAACAAAGTGAATAGGGTAGGCATATGAGATTGTATATTATAAATAGAGAGCCATTGATTCATTGATCTATTGAACCATTGATCATGAGTTTTGAATTCAATACAACCCCTCCCCCGTCCTCCTCATGCAATACTTACATTATTTCCACATTGAGAAGATAACCACAAGCTCAATTATACTACACAGAATTAAATTATTATTATTATTATTATTATTATTTATTCAGTTATTAATTTAATGAAGGAAAAGCCGCGTGAAAAAGGATTTACACTTTTTCAGGTGGCATAAAAACCTTCTTTAATCTTTTCTTAATGTGTATATAAATGATTTTAAGTTTCAATGATATAAGAAAATATCGTTTAAGAACTTAAGACTAACGGAACATTTTTTTAAGCTTTAACGGTTAAATCAGATTTTAAAATTGATGTACTAAATTTTACTAATATTTTTTTGTGTCTCTGCTATAATTTTCGAGAGTTGTGCGTCTCTGCTATAATTTTCATGACTTGTGTGTCGCTACTAAGTATTCAAACTTATAAACAAAACAAAGAAAATCAACGTGAAATAGAGATCGTCTGAATATTATCTACATGGAATTTGGACTTATACGAAGAATCTTTTTGCTTCTTTCTGCTTTTTACACATTGACTGTTCAAAAAATAACATAAGACTAGGAAAATCAGGTAAGGGATATCTAATTATAGGAATAACTATTATGAATTTAAGCTAATTAATTTTCTTTGCATTTTTAGGTGCCCATTCATCCAAACGTTTTCAAATATTCATTGTTGAAACAGTTGGAAAGAAATTTTTCGTTTGCCATGAAGCGTCTTGTTTGGAATTTGAACGAGTGAATATGGACCGCCTTCCTGATTTCAATTGGTAAGTAATTATAAATGATTAAGTTCATGTTTGAAAATAGAAGGTTTCATGACTAAATAATTTTTGAAATTTAAATTCTCAATTGTCACGCAAAAATTGAATTTTAGCAAGAACACGATCATTTTATTATTGCTTTCAGCTTACCCTCGAACCGCTCTTAACCTTTTGAGTCATTAGTAGGGTGACTAGATATTTTTTTTTGAAAACAAATTGGGGGCCTGACAGAAAAAAGGACATCCCACGTGTCGTTGAAAAAAGAAAAAAAAACAGAGGATTTAACTATGTAAATCAAACAGATGGTCAGCCTAGTCATTAGCCATGTTTAAATTTTCATACCAACCTTTATCAAATCACAATCTAATCTTTCTTAAAATCCATCGATAAAAATTAAACAACGGTCGAATAGTGACAAAATACAGCAACTCAACAACCGAAAGTGCAGAAATGCCCGCATAAAGTCCAAGAAGTCCGCCAGCTTGACACAAAAAATCTTCAATTGTGAACGAAATTCGACGAACGAGCGGCAAAAATTTGTCATTTTTGTATCTGAATGTAATTGTCATTGTTGCATTGTCAAAATCCTTATTTTTACCTGGCAACTTCGTTTCAATAACATCAATATTATATTGAATGTCATTGCAGGTATCAAGGCATCCACATGTGTCGACGTAGGCTATAGAATTTGCGAATCGAATGTCTTTTTGATAAAAATTGAACAGCCTTAATGTGACATAATAATATTTGTCAATTGAACATATCGGATTGGTTAAGTTTCTGAGGACATAGTAAGGCACACATTGAGTTTCGTTCGTTTGCAAATAGAAATCAGCAAGACATTCCATTTCGCAGTTCTTTCTCGTGTAGATTTTGAACATTTTTAGAGTTTTTTCGCCTTCAAAGTAGCAATTTCGTTTTTCAGGTGTGAATTTCTTCAAGCTTTCGTCAGATTTGATGACTTCTGGTGTAATCAGAACTTCCAGGTCTTGTCCATAAAAAAAGTCAATGGAATTTTCATCGTCAATGTCCCGTGGCATCTCAAACGGTGAGTAGACATTGAAGAATGCAAATTGACAGACATTTTTGTATTGTGCACGTCTATTTTTAGTAAATGTAAACTTTAGAGATGTTTCCTTTTTTGCATGCAATGGATAGGAGTGGTAGGAGAGTACTGGGAGATTTTTTGATTCTTCATTGATGTCAAAAGTGATGGTCTCATGGATTATTGTAAAATTTAATGAAGTTCTGCGGGAAAATAACAGTTTAAGATTAGAATCATCAAGCTTTGAGGTTAAAATCACCCAAGTTTTTTAGGTTAAATCACAAAAGTTTAAGGTTAGAATCACCAAACTTTGAGGTTAAAATCACCAAAAAATGAGGTTAGAATCATCAAATTTTAAGCTTACCTGTTGTTAAACATCTTAACCGGATCGAGCATGTTGAATGAAAACCCAAATCCACTGCGTCCAATAAACTCTGTCATTTCGATTCGATACTTTTTATCCCAAACACCAGATTGCCTTGTCATCCAACTAAATTGACTAAACCTATACATGCTGTATAAGATTTTGTAGTCATCGAATAATTTGGATGCTCTAAAATACCTTAGTTGTGTCAGAAAATATTGATAGTTGCACATGAACGAGTTTGTGACGTATCTGAGAAAGTTTAGATCAATTTATATTTTTGATTAAAAATTAAAATGAGTCTCATACGTGTCAAAAACCTGTGTCTTCTTCATGATAAGAAGTTTTTGATTAACATTATCACTATTTGAATTCAAACTATAATCAAATTCAACAAGTTGTGTCGGAATCAATACTTCAGGTGTAAAGTAAACTGCTGGGAATGGAATCTGTAATGAAAATTAAGTTTTTAAAGGCATGATCTTCATGAATGTTGAAATATTTTTACAGTTTCGACTGAACTCTCATCTGAGTCGTAGGTGATGGCAATTGATGCTTCTTGCAACTTAATGTACATGTCATAAGATGAGATCCCACAGTAAAGAAGTGAAAAACCGAGAACCAGGACCCAAAATATTCTGAAATTAGTAATACTTATTCAGCAACATTAAAGTCCTTTATGTATTTTGATGAACCGCAGTGACTGGTAGAAGTTAAGAGTGATCTTAGGCTTGGTCTATCCCTAAGTTACAAATATGCTAATCTTGAAGTACACTATAACTGAGGATCCACTATACAGCACATTTTCACTTTAGCAGATATTTATGATGCTAAACATCATACTTACCTCTCAACATAATGTCTATAGTCCATAACAATTTGATTCATTCCATGAATAGTTGAAATGCTAAAGTAATAAGTCAAGTAGCTTAATTTTGACTTTCTCGTGTCAATTTGTTCATTTGCAACTTTGTTTCCATAACCTTTTGATACCAGCCACCCAAACATCAGGCGCATTGTAAAGTAATAAAAGATCTCAATAAATGAGGTTATGGATATGCCTAAAAACAATCCAAATGCACCGCCAGTGTAAGCAATGAAGTCAATCTCAGTAAATTGACGCTTAAGGACATACGGAAAATATGAAATTGTATTAAACTTCACTATTGTAAAAAGAAAATGATTTCGAGGTCTTGTGCGTTCAAGATGTGTGTCCAAGAAGTAAATTGGGATTGGTTTTCTGAAAAATTTCATGAAAGGATTAAGAACTAAGCTGAAGAGATATTTGTGCTAGATCAGAACTCCTTACATATAATCCGGTAAGATTCTTTTTACATCATAAACAATTTCTTTACAGTATGGAAAGCATTTGCATAAATCCGAACTATCCAGCTCTGATTCGACTTGTTTGTAGCATGCCATGTCATGAAGTCCACATACTTGAGTTGATTCTTCATCTGGAAAGGAAGAAAGTTAAAAATGTAAGATAATGAAGAGCTTTGAAGCTACTTTTCAGAATTTTTGAGGTTATGTTCCAGATTTTTTAGATTATGTTCATGGATCTTTGAGGTTAATTCCTAAGCTGACAAAAAGACTCACGAAACATAAAGAACTGAACGCATCCACAAACTTCTAACGTCCGATTGATGAGGCATTCTTGCTTGCAGTTCCCTTTTGTGTAAATATTGAAATACTTCAAAACTCGTTCATCTTCGTCATACTCGACACCATCAGCAACAAAATAGCAGCCTCGTCTGTAATTATTAATGAAAACATTCATAGTGCCGTGCCTCTGATTATCACAAATTAATCAGCACATTATCAAGATTGAAAAACAATTCTGACAACCTGAATAATTTTAAATGCAAAGTTTTCAACCAAAAGTCCTTAAAAAAAATACTCACATTGCTGACGCATGGTCCTTTAAATTATCATCAATTTGGATCTGCTTAGGTTCAACAATGAATGTCATTCGACTATCCGGATGGTTGTAAAATGAAATAGCATCTTTGTTGTAAGTCTCGTATGGACTATGTATGTAAACACGTGGCGTTGGGAAATTAAAGTATTCATAAGTTCGAGTCAGTTCTTCAACGGATGATTTTAATCCTTTTGTTAATTCTGAAATGTAAATAAAAAAATTGGACCTGGCTTCTGTCAAACTTATTGGATTTGTAAGGTTTGTGTCCTCCATTGGCATTGAAGGACGTTGATATTTTTCAATTTTTAAAGCATATCCAGTATTGTGTTTAAATCGGAATATTCTCGGTGCATTTTCAAGGTTTTTATATAAATTATTAGCACCGACTGTATTGAAGTTGTAACAGATTCCATTTGGTCCGATAATTTTAGCAAATAATGGCGCAATGAAGTCACTGAATGTGGATCTTAAAAACAGTTTTTGAAATGACATTGTGAATTGATTGATGCGGTCTGTGATGTCATTTGTTGGGATCCTTGAGATGTTGTAGGTCAGTAAGTAATCGTCAGATATGAGGAGGCCAATGGCTTGCAGGTTCTTTAATCTATTTTTGAAGAAAAAAAGTAAAAAGTTGAAAAAAATTGAAAAATCTTGAAATTTACACATCTTCAGATAGATCGTCAATAGTCATATCTTTAGTTTTCAATCTTTCCTTTACATCGTGATAAAAAGAGAAGGTCTCATTCCCATAACTTAGCAGATCAAAGCAAAGGGTCACTGCTGGAAATGGAATCTGTCAAGATTAGAATAAAAATTTGTTTAAAAATAATTTTAAATTCGAATTTGGGTTGAATTATCAAGAATTTTTAAATATTTACTAACCTGAGTCACAGGAACAGCAACATCAGATACATAAATCACAGTTGGATCCTCCCGAACGATCACCAGAATTTTACCAATCAGCAGTAAGCAACAAATGACTGAAATAATTGCAAAAATTGTCCAAAATATTTTCTCAACCAAATGAATGTCATCGCTGCTCAAATAAGGAAATCCGTGGATCGAAGATTCAGAACAAAATCTTTTTAATGATTTAAGTTGCATTTTTACGGTTGTTACTGTAACAAAGTAAGCTTGGATATGACATAAAATAACCAGAATTTTCATATTAATTGCATGCAAAATTTTATTCGTGTTGATTTTAATCAAAATTTTGTTACAATTTAAACATGAAAACAGGGTTTGTAAAATCTGGGTTTTGTAGGAGCCACTTACTTGATTCACAATATGTTTTGACGACTTAATATAAATTCTACATAAATCTTACTGGAACGGCTCCTGCTGAAAAATTCCTGTTTATTGCATTTTATTGGATTTTTAACTGGCCGCAATTTCCGATGTTATAAGGTGGTTATAAGGAGGTTATAAGTCCAGAAACTATAAGTCCAGAGATTATAAGTCCAGAAAATCAAAGTGATTAAAGGTTTATAAGTCCAGATACAAATTGCACCTGGACTTAAAAACCTCACGTGCAGTTTATAAGTCCAGGTACAAAAACAGCTGGAATTATAAACTGCACGAGAGGTTTTTAAGTCCAAGTACATTTTATATCTGGACTTATAAACCTTACGTGTGGTTTATAATTCCAGAAAAATTATAAATTTTACTTATAATCTCCCAGTGCGATTATAAGTCAAGATACATTTTTCTGGACTTATAATCTTTGAAAATTATTTGAAACTTATTTAACTTATTTTAAATTTTTTACTTTAAGGCAATTCTACACATGAATTTTTGAAAACTTCACACAAAGAATTCACATTTAATAATTTTTTCCTCTAAAGTACCTTATATATCCTTTTAAGCTGCTGTATTTCATTATACCCCTTGATAATAACTTATTAAGATTTTTTATGCCTTAATCAAGGATAAATTTCAATTCTTTGGAATTAAAAATTAAAAGTCAACTAGTGTATCGGGTAGAAACCCAATGCGGATTATATTCACACCGTATCATCAAAAGTCTTATGGATAGACCAAGATTTGCTCAGTATAAGTATGAAGGTATGAAGCTTGATAAGTCAGCTAAGCTTCGCTCAGCATAAGTTTGAAGGTATAAAACTAGCGAGTCAGTTGAGCTTCGCTAAGCATATGTTTGAAGGTTTAAAGCTTAACGAACATTCTTTAAAAGTTTTTTTAAAAAAAATTTTCATCCAAAGTTTAATTTTATAAAAATCACAGTAAACTTTTTTATTTGAAAAATTCGTAAGAAAGGAAAGTTTTTTGCTTTTTCTGAAGCAACGGCTGTTCCTACCTTGCCCAAAAACAATACAGCTCTTCTATAGAGCAGTACGGTTCAAATGCAAAAAACTAGAAGTCTCTAAGATGTCTCGTTATTGAGATTTCTTGCTGATTAACTTGCATGGTTGTTTGCTTGTTTACAGAAAGCGTATTTTGCGATTTTCTCAGCAATGCCACAACCAATTTGAAATCTGTTTTTTGCAAAAGATGTGAAATTCCAGCCATGAACTTTTTATCTCTGAACATTTTAAGCTATCTTGTTCCATTTCCTCACAAATTTTGAAAAACTGATTTTTCAATCTGAACAAAACCAATAGATTCACACGTGAAAACGGTGTGAACATACTTGCATTTTTAACGAATCAAATTCTCAAATTATATGGATCAAAAAATTCACAAAAAATGAAGAAAAGTTCAAATGAAATGTTCATTACATTTTATATAAAGTATAAAAAGTAGCGTTGATCGAAACCCAACTGGTGCTAGAGTAAAATTGAGAATGTATGAAGTCGAAAAAACTTCAGTCATCTTGGATCTTCTGATTGATTTCTTTTAAATCGCTAATTCAAAATGCTTCTAAAAGTGCTAAAAACATCAGCTGCTGCATTTAGGATTCAGTAAATATTTAGTGATAAAGATTTTTTATGATGTTCAACTTTAAGGCACTAGGTTCAATAACAGAAACTTAATAAAGAAAAAAAAATTTGAATAAGTTTCAAATAATTTTCAAAGATTATAAGTCCAGAAAAATGTATCTGGACTTATAATCGCACTGTGAGATTATAAGTAAAATTTATAAATTTTCTGGAAATATAAACCACACGTAAGGTTTATAAGTCCAGATATAAAATGTACCTGGACTTAAAAACCTCTCGTGCAGTTTATAATTCCAGCTGTATTTGTACCTGGACTTATAAACTGCACGTGAGGTTTTTAAGTCCAGGTGCAATTTGTATCTGGAATTATAAACCTTTAGTCAATTTTATTTTCTGGACTTATAATTTTATGTGCACTATTTTTGTATCTGGACTTATAATCTCTGGACTTATAACCCAGCATCGCAATTTCCTTATCCTTTCGTTCGTGAGCCAATTGACGATCTTTAAGGGCTTTCAACTCGTCAGTTCAAGCAAGCGAGCAGCTGCGACTCTCAATCAAGTAATCATCTGATTGGTTTTTAAGCGGTCAGTTCTTTGCAGATTTTGATATTCGTTTTTTAAAAAATACGGCTCTTAACTTACTTTGTGGATGATATCAAACTGAAAACACCAACAACACTTTTTAACAGCATAACACCTGTAAATTAATCAATGAAAATAAAATTTCGAGTACCACGACAGAGTACCAAGACTCATATGGAGAACTACCATCCAACCGATGAAGCTAATAAATTCATTTGCGATGGAAGTTCTCAATTGCTGGTAAAAAGTGGGAGCATGTCAAGGCACCAAATGGACCATCAGCTAGAAGTGGACACAGAATGATTTTACATAAAAAGAGAATTATTTTATTTGGTGGATTTCATGATAATAATCAGAGCTTTTTGTACTTAAATGATGTTTGGATGTTCTCAATGGATAAATATGCATGGACGAAGGTTGAAACTGATGAAATTGCACCGACAACGAGGTCTGGGGTTGGACTTGGTGTTGTTGGTGATGATAAATTTGTCGTTTTTGGAGGATATACTAAGTCAAGTACTAAAGGTAAGGCTGATTACCACTTATGTGGGCTTTAAACAGTTGTATGGCTTTTATTAGAGGAGGCTTTTATGGTAGTAAGGATGGTTTGAGAAGGCTCAGATATAAAATGACAATTTTGCCGCTCATTCGTCGAATTTTGTTTACAATTGAAACTTTTTCTGTTAAACTGACGGATTTCTTGGACTTAATGCTGACATTTCTGCACATTCGGTTGTTACGTTGCTGTATTTTGTCACTATTCGGCCGTTGTTTAACTTTTATCGATGGATTTTTGGGAATACTAGATTTGTATAAGTTTTTAGGGGAATGCAACTATGCAATATTTGAAATAAAATTAAATAAAGATAGAATAATAGAAAAATCAACTTTATTTTTGACTAAAATGTCATTTTAATGTTCAAAAGAAATTAGCAAGAAATCAAAAATATTAAAGAAAAATTAAAGATTGAGGTGAAAAAATGCAACAAACAGAATTTTAAGCTCTTGATGCCATCAAAACAGTCACTAAGAATGCGTCTTCTTCTTTTTTAAATGTTTAAATCTCATGTGAGCAAGGAACTTTGATCGATTTTTATAATAATTTCCACACAAGTCACATTGATGCGTAATTTCCGTATGAACACTAATTCGATGAGTGTACACAGCAAAATTATCCTTAAAATACTTTCCACATTGATTGCATTTCTTTGGATTTACCAAAGTTGCTAATCTTTTCGCTTGATTTTCATGATATTTCATATGATTTTTTAAACGCTGCATTGTTACTGTTGTATGTCCACAAGTCTCACATTTGAATGGTTTCGGACGATTCTGGTCATGGGTCGGCAAGTGTTGCTTCAAGTTTGCTTTATCTGCGAATTTTTTGCCACAAATCTCACAAATTACCGTTTTTAGGTCCTGATGGAAGTGCTTATGATGTCTAATCATTTCCTTTTTGTGTGCGTACTTCTTGCTGCAGATGCTACATTCAAGCTTCTTGTCGTGAGTCTGTTCGTGGCCGGCAAGAAGACGAATATTCCGAAAACTTTTATTACAAGTTTTACACTTGAAATTCTTACTTGAGTCATGGGTGTTCATATGAATTGACAAGCACTGGATTTTGATTTTTGCATTGCAGATTTTACAGCTTATTTTTTGCAGATGAGATTTTATGTGTTGTCTCAGTCTAGCCTTCTTTTTGAATGTTCTGGCATCAAAATCGCACATAAATGACTCGACTTTACCATCTTTATGTTTGGTCTTCATGTGAATGTCAAGAAAATATTCATGGTAAAATGTATGAAAGCACAAGGTGCACTTAAGGAGGCACTCTTTGATAATGTCGCTGTGGACTCGTTTAAGATGATCGAAAATGTATCCATTGTTTGGAAATATTTTATCGCAAAACTTACAATCGTTGATATTCTCGGACAAAAATTTTGAAAATTTTGGAATAGTTTCATATTTTGGCGGTTGTTTTAAGGATTTTTTAGGTTCTTTTGTAGAATTTTGAATTTTTGATGATATTTTTTTGGAACTTTTGGTTGATTTTGCAACTGTTTTAGGAGAAATTGCAAAATGTGATGAATTTTTATTCAAGATTAAAGAACTTTGATGTAATTTGGGCAGTTTTGTAGGAATTTCAATCTTAAATTCTCCTTCAGGCTCAGTTTTGATGTTTTTCAGCTCATTAATTTTAATCTTTTCCTCGTAGTTTCCAAAAATTTCTCCATTTTGATCACTTTTTCTTCCTTTAGGCGTCAATTTAATTAACATTGGTTCGGTTTGTGAATCGGAATCTGAATTTACAATTGATTCTTGATGGCCACTTTTACTTGGCATTAACTTAAAAATGTCAAAAAACTTCCTCGACATTTTTGGTTTAAATTTGATCTGTTTATGTTTTGAACTCTGATTGAATAATGAAAAATTTAAAATACCTGAATGAAAGTTTTACAAAGTTTAGCTAGAAAGTTTAGCTTCTTGCTCAGTAATTAAAAGTTTCCGAACCTTTTATTGGTCTATACAAACAAGTAAAGTACATTAATTTGGGTTTAATTGAGATTCTATTTATATCGAGCTACAAAAACAATTGCCTTAAAAACTTTTTAAAATTTCCAAAAACAAGATCTTGACTTAAATGAATTTCAAGTCACTAATCCTATTCAATAAACTATAAAACATGAATATATCATTTTAATCTGATAAAAACTAGCATCCAATTTTCCATAAAACATTTCAAAGCAATTCGAACTCACAGAACAAGTCAAACTGTGTCTAATCGCTTTAAAACTTTGGACTTATCCTCAAAGATCTTGGAACATAATCTAAGAAAATCTGTAACATAACCTCAAAACTTTTGTAGGTTTTTGGTTCAAAAGCGGTTTCCGCATAAAAATGGTGCAGAACTGATGTAGAAAGTCCAAGGATATTTGCCACATTTAAAGTTCTTTTCCTTTTCCTCGTGACTTTGTCGATAACTTTCCAAATGTCCATTTAAACTCTTTGCCACACACGTCACAGACACAACTTCGGTCGGTCTTTCATGAACTGTCTTGATGTGAATCTTCAACTTTGCTTCAACTGCTTTTTTAAAAGTTCCACATTCATGATCTCTTTTGTGAGTTTTAAGCGCTCGACTCGTCTTGACACAGAGGATGCAAAAGTCGCATTGAAATATGTTGTCTGTATGGACCTCCTGTCCTTGTATTCCCATTTGAGTTTTAAAGACTTTGCCGTCATAGTCGCAGGTGAATTGCTCAAGCTCAAGTGCTGTAACCTAATTTGGATGGATTACTGACATGAGTATCCTTAAACTTCCCCTCTTGTTGAATTTCTCTTTACAAAAGTTGCAACTGAATTCAAGGCCTGCTGTTCTCGGATGAAGGTTCTTCATTTACTTATTCATGCTCTTTTTGGTTAATTCCTTGCCCCAGACTTGACATTCGACTCCATCTAGAATTATTATTTTTCTTGGTGGTTTTTTTTAACCGATTTCAGTTAAGTCTGATTGATATGCTGGACTGTCAAAAGATCTGCTCCAATGTGACCAATGCGCAAAGTTTTGAAAAACGAGTTGTGCTTTAAAAAATTCAAACATTGTAGAAAAAATCTCAAAATAAAAGTGAAACTTAAAATAACAAGTTTATGATTGATTTGCAAAAAATAAAATCTCAATCAATTTTGGCAATAAATATCTCAAATTTCATATTTTCACAATCAAAACAACCTTAATAGCTATCAAATCAAGTCAAATAAATTAAAACCAAAAAAAAAAAATTTAAAAACAGTCAAAAACAATGTCAAGAAAAATATCTGAATTCTTCAGACCTCCGCAAAGTGTTTCACATCCAATTAGGATCACAAATAATCTTCAAATTAAAACTGAACCTGAAGTTTGTTTTGAAATTAACTTGGACGATGTTGAAGGAATAAAACCAACACTTCCAGCATCAATGAGCAGCAAATCTCAACAAATTCAACTGAAATCCGCAAAATATTTGAACATCCAAGAAGATAAAACCAACAAAATTCCAGACAACATCAAATCTAAGCGGAAACAAAACCTTCGATTCAATTTCCCAACAAAATCTCATCAGAATAAGTCATTACAATGTGGATTTTGCATTCAGAGATATGAAACGTGCTCCCAGCTAGTAAAGCATTTAAAAAAGGATCATGGTTTTGGACTAGCTAGCAAGTTTGAATGCGATTTTGATGGTAAAGTCTTTAATAAGAGATCTGGCATTTTAGCTCACATGAAATGTCATAAATTGAACGTAATTTGTAAAGTTTGCAACCTTGAAATGAAGTTTCTATCCCTAAAGGACCACATGCTGTCAGTCCACTCAGACGAGAGGAAGTTCAAATGCCATCTTTGTTCAAAAAGCTTCAAATTGCCGAGTGTGCTTAAGAATCATTTAATGAGTCATGACAAGCAATTTGAATGTAAAATTTGTGGTAAGAAATTCAGAAACGGACCTGATTTAAAGTTTCATATTAAGCAGTTCCACGAGAATCCGAGAAGCTTTAAATGTGAAATTTGTGAAAAAGGATTTTTTGATAAAGGAAATTTCAAAAAGCATTTAAAGACTCACGACAAGAACAGGGACAAGGCTTACAAATGTGATCGATGCAGCTACTCAGATGACAACAAGGCACACTTGAAAAAACATCAAAACTTTCATGCAAGATGGGATGCAAAAGTTGGAAAAGACGGTGTAAAATGTCCAAAATGTTCAGTCATGTTTAAGGATGAAAAGCATTTGAGCTTCCATATTGCTGTTGTCCATCCAAAAGTTTTATTCCAATGTGACTTGTGTGCGATGTATTCCAAAACAAAAACTAACTTTGAGAAGCACATGCGAGTTGTGCATTTAAGAAATAAGAAAGATAATGAATAATTTTGTAATTCATTCTTTTCGTGATGATTTAATTCTTAATTTTACTCTCACAATTCGCTATGTCAAGCAAGCGAGCAGCTGCGACTCTCAATTTAGTGATCATCTGATTGATTTTTAAGCGGTCTGTTCTTTGCAGATTTTGATATTCGTTTTTTTAAAAAATTTGGCTTTTAACTTACTTTGTGGATCCTAACACACCCACCCTCATCACTTTTTAACAGCATAGCACCAGTAAATTATTCAATAAAAATAAAATATCAATTAGAAAAATTCAACAAGCTCCTGTATTTGTAAGATTTATATTCAGCACAATTCCAGAATCGCACCGGCTTAGTGTTGGATTTCTAACCAATTTATCGTCTCGTAAGATTCAGAAAATCACATGCGACAATGCATAACTAATAGGAAGCAACTCAACTTCAAAAGGGTAGTTCAGTAAAACTGACAGAATCAGTTGGAGGTGATATAAGTTAAGGAGATGCCATTCTTCAACAGATCCAGTACAATGTAATTGAAACTTTAAAGTACTCATTCATGAAAATTTTTATCCAGACTCCATTGTTGGGTTGGTTTCAAGCTGGATCAAATTCCTCTCCTATTTGGTGTCTTCCTTTGTTGACTTGTTCGAATTGATTCAATTTAATAATTTCCTTTTTGGACCTAGTTTAGATCATTCCTCCATACAAAACATGCTCATCACAACTTACTCGAAGAACTGCTTTAAATTCTTCCAAATTTCTACAAATACCTTAGAAATGTCAAGACAAAGCTCATCACAGCCAAAACTTAAATTGCAGGAATCATGAGAAAAAGTATCATTTAACGGTTTCTTACGATTCAAAAATTAACGGTTTTCTGAAATTTAAATCATTGGCTAGTCCATTTTCAAAAAAATCTAGTGCACCACCGAAAAAATAAAGCTGCTAAAAAATTAATAATTTAAAAAAAAAATAATTATAAGAAATGATTATTAAAAAAATAATAAAACGTAAAAAAAATTTATTTTACCAATTTTTTTTCAATTTTGTGCATTGTTGAAACAAGTTTTCGTTGACAGATTTTACCAAGATTTTACTTCTTCAATCCAAACAAATTCCACGTTTTTAAATCGCTGACAAAAGGGACTTAAATCTGATTGAGTTAAATCTTTTTTGTTGAATCCTCCAAATTTAATGTTATTAACATCATCATCAGTCATTCCGGCAACATGCTTTTCTTCTATGCTGCTTGAGTCTGGTTTTATATTGCAGGTGTAGCCAAACAAATCACCATAAAATTTACATTTTAAGCATGCTACATATTTCAAATTAACAACACAAAGCAGAAAAGTCAACAAAAGTGCAAAAAACTTCATTTTTAAAAAATCACACGCGGAAGTCCAAAAGTTCACAAATGCCATAGAAAAATTCACAAACTTTCAAGCTAATCAGCACATCTACGTGTCTTTTTATTAAGTCCACAAATTTCTTTATTTTAAATATTTTCATTTCCTCAAATTTCACAATTTTGTAAAAGTTTAATCAACAATTTAAGGATAAAAGCTTGAAAACATCAAGAAAATGAGCAAAAGCATCTCCGAACTGATTAAAAGAGAACGAAGACTGAGAATATTGAGACTCACAAGCTGTTGTTGTTGTTGTTGTTGTGATTTTTGAGAGTTGAGACTTGTCAATGCTTCTTTTTGTTTACTCTCACTTTTGTGCTTATCACTTTACTTTGAGCGAGTCAATTTAATTGTGATGCGAGCCATAAAGCCTCAAAAAAAAGTTTAATGCAACAGAAATGAAAGCCATATTAAAAACTTTAGCCTAAAGTAGTGGTGGCCAACCTTTTTCGTGTCACGGCAAACCTTGTGGTTAAATCATAACCAAAACCGCACACAGCATACGGTTCATGGGGTTTCTAGAGTGTTTTACACAAGAGAGTGCCGCGGCACATGGGTTGACCATCATTGGCCCCAAAAAAATTAAACTGCTCCCAAAGTGTAAGCTCAGGTTGTTCCCTATTTAGGCTCCCTAATTATGCATTCGAGGTTTAACAGTGATTCTTTGTACTTTAGGATTGCTAATTCTATTTTGGACGCCCATGAAATTCCAACAAGAGCAACAGCAATCAGTTACATTAAAATTCGTTAGGAAATCCTTAAAAAAAATTTCAAGCATCAAAACAACAGCTGACAATCCACATCCAATCAATAAAATTACAAAAACAGGAATTAAATCAACAATCTTTAAATAATCCTTTTCATCTCGAGTTTGAGTATTCAGCACATCTGAGTAGCCAGTTGATACAAACACGTTCCACATGTGAGGCAGTCCAGCTTGAAATGACAAATCCATGTAATACTGAAGACGAGTGATGAATGGATTTAAGTAGCTTGCTTCCAACTCGATAAACTTCCATGTTAGTTCCTCTTGCAGGAGATAAAAGTAATCAGACACAAATTTGCCATTTTTAAGCTTTGAAGCTAGAGAGATTCTAGCAACATCACAAGTCCTAATAAACACATAACGCTGCTCAATGACATATTTATCGTCTTCATCTCCCATTGTTACTCCTGACAAGTTGAGTCTTGGCTTAATGTCTTCAAGAAAATAGGAATCTTTTAGTCCTGATTCGAATCCATTGTCAGCAGTTAGTTCATAACTTGATGCTACTAGCTCGTCCACAGTTTTGAGTCTACCTTCATGAGCTGGTTCAATCATAAATGACGTGATGACACCTTCATACAAATTACTAAGGATGAATACAGAGCAGCAGATGATGTTAAGCAAAACAGCAAGAACAAAACGATTTCGATGAGAAAAAGCAGCTCCTTGACGAATAAACATTTTAAAAATGCCAGCAGCAAGTCGCCAGTGAGAGTCGACAGCACCACGATCATGAAATAATTTCCAAACAGCAACAGTACTAATAATTGCAACAATAAAAACCATCCAAGTGAGTCCATCGAATGGTTTGATGAAGATTAAGTCAAATAATGCAGCTTTTTGTGGAATTGGAACTAAAGCACAGTAGCTCTTCTTATCGTATATAAACAGTCTACGTGAAGGTAATTTGACTGCTATAGCTGTGTTCAGTGTCAGGTCCATTTGACGTCTACCCCATAAAGTTATAAATTGTGATGAATTTTCCATAAGAAGGATCTTAAATCGTGCATTTTGGACGAGGGCGATGGCTTTAAGGAAATACTGTAAAGGTGTTGCAATTCTATGGTTAGTGATAAGTGGTGGCTGGTAATAAAGTGGCACTCTGTACTCATAACCTTTTAAATTCTTCAACTTATCTGGAAAAATTAATGTTGAATCATCTGGATTCTTGATTATTTTGCCTTCATACGCAAGCGAATACAGAATCTCATAAATTATATCACTAGATGGCGTCATGTGAACCATCGCAACCTGTAAAAATCCTAATTTTGTGAATGTTTCTAAACCTTTGGTTCTGTGCTGTATTGTCAATGATTTAGGCATGATACAAAGGACTTTAGCTTCATGATGAAAAACTGCTGAGTTAAGTTGACTGTCAATTAGATTTGTGACTATGTTCTGGTTTGGGATATAAAAATTTAAAATTAGATCTTCCCAAAGATCCCCCCCCCCCCCCCCCCCCCAGAAACTTAGACACCAACATTTACCTCATTAATGCTGTCAAAAATCAATATGATGACTGATACTTTCCACAACTTCCTTTCTAGAATTTTGGTATGAAAAGTTGACAAAACAACAACAGGATTTTCATCAGCAACACATTGAGTGATGTCTTGAACTTCTAAAGACATAGCTTTGCCTCCTAAGGTTCCTAGTAATACGTTTTGAGTCTCAACTTTCGAATGCGTAATATCGTTTGCGATTTTGCAGATACTTGTTGAGAGTTTGTCGTCCGTTAATGTTATATGGATTAACTTAGCTATACAAATAGCTGCGTCAACAATCAAGACACTTAATAAAAATTTAAGAATCTTCATAATTTTATTATTTTACTAGTTTCGAAGCTGTCAATATTGTGTTAAGCTGTAAAAATGAAACAATAAAATTTGAATTGATTTTTTTTTTAACTTTTATGTCGATGCTTACAATGCATTTATTGGCTGTGGACTAGGATGACCATCATGCGGAGAAATGGCATTAGTGGTCTAAATGGTAGAGCGTTGGCCTTCCGTGCCAAAGGTCCTGGGTTCAATCCCAGGCCATGTCTTATTTTCATTTGTTGGGTGTAGTATTGATGTCTTTGGCACAGAATATGCTTCATTTGCTAGGTTTACAAGGATATAATAGCATCTGGAAGATTGCATTACAGAATCTTGCGTACATGAATTATGACTAGGTACATTGCTTGGTACATCAGGTAAAATGACGTACTCGTGTCTTTGCAATGTTCCTTTAGCTGAAAGGCTGGACCTTTCACACATTTTGATAGGATGACCATCAGCACTTCTTAATTTTTTTTTTCTATTCTGTCTTAATTCTCCCAAGTTGGGCTATTACACATCGCTAGCCTTAAAGGTCAATTTGGGGTCAAGGACCACTGTAGGTGGCACTGAAGCTGCCTCTATCGCTCCAATTTCTAATGCCAAGTACAATACAGTGTCTCTGTCAACAACTTTTTCCCGAGGAGTTATTGAAGCTTATAATTGAGCTAAATCATCCTGATAAATATCTGGTCATCCTCCAGCAGCCTGTAATCGATTGTATAATCATAGATCCTTTTGCGTGCATTTAATATAATTTTATGTTTAATTCATTCAACTAGCAATTAAATGAACTGTCTGCCTTATTGATCAAAATTGTAAATTAAATGTGTTTTCAGCTATTCTTTTGTTGAAATTGAATCATTTACAAAATATTTTTAGTAAAAAGTTCCGTTTAAGTCTGACAAGCTTGTTAGTCAGTTGACAACTTTGTGTCAAAATTTTTGGTAAAATTGGCAATTATTAACTTTTATTCACTTATTTTCTTGAGTATATTCAAACATTCCAGCTCCAATTCTTCTCATCATCACCATAATACTTTAGATTTACCAAGATTGAGACAAGAAAAAGTTGGCAGTCAATTTTGGGTTGCATTTGTAGACTGCGATTCGAATTATTGTGATGCTGTTGAAAAGACGTTCGATAAAATTGAAATGATTAAGAGACTCATCAACAGATATCCTCAAGATCAAGCCTATGTAACTAGTTCCAATAAAGTCATGCCAACTGTGAGCATGAATCTCAAATAACACTCTAAGTTCCATTTCCAGCACTAGTGATTGTCTGTCTAATGTTCTAAGCCATTTGATGTACGGTTCTTTGAGAGTCGATTATAAAACGACTTCTGACTTTGTGGATCTTCTAAAAACGAAGTCAAATAATTCTAAAATTCTATTTTATGTTCTTCGTGCAACATGGAATGAGAATGAATTGGATTTTGTGGATATTTTGGCTAATAAACAGCTGGTGCGTGCGTTTAATTTGATTGAGAATTTTAAGCTATTGAACCTTAAAATTCTGAAAATAGAACAAAAAAAATAACCTAAAAAAATTCAAAGTTTCAAAAAATTCAAAAATTTAATAGTTTTTCATTTATTGATTCAAAAACTCATTTTTTTCAACAACATTTTTAATTTATAAATTCCTAATTTGAACTCACTATTGACAATCTTTCCTTCTTCTCCCAAGCTTCATCCCAAAACTTTAACAGACGTCCGTCTACATTTAAACAAAAGTTCCTAAAGTCCCTTAACATTCTAAGTTGAAAGATTTCATCGGAATTAGCGATTGTGTGTGACTTCCATCGCTTATTGGCAATCATGTGATTCCATTGCCATAAAAATCCTACAGGATGCTTCCTTGGCATACCAGAGAAGCTCTCATCATCAGAGTCACGACTTCCATTGCTTGAATTATTTTGAACACTTCGATTTATATAATTTTCTTTTTGTGGTGCTGAATTTGGCAACGATTGCTGCGTATGATAATAATTTTTCAGTCTCTTTTGTGATTTTAAACTTTCAGTTGGACTCGAATGTTGAACATTTCCCATACCAAGTCGTCTTAATGTGCTTCGTACTTTATTTGTTGCTGATGTTAAAAGGATAAACATATTACCCGTCACATGGACATATTGCCAATCTGGTGAGATGTCATTTGATCCAGTTTTAACCTCACTTTCACGTAAAACGAATCCAAAACGTTTAACAATTTCTTCCTGAAAGAGCAGCATTCGATCTGTCCAAGTTTCACGTTTAAAGTCCTCAAAGAGACTTGTTCGGCTCTGTTGAAGGCAATCAATGTTGAGTGGGATGAAGATTGGACCACGAAGAGGGTCTGACTTTTCAAATTGACTGAATGGTTCAGCTAGTGGATCACATGGGATCGGTACGAGTTGGTAGCCACATTGTTGTGCTTTACGGCTCCAGTTGTAGATCTGTCGGGTGCAAAAAACATCAAATTAGTCAACTTTGGTCATTAGAACCTCAAAATTATCTCAATTCGCTCAACTTTAATCAACATAACCTCAAAATCATCAGAAATACTTATTTTTGATTTTCGTAACCTTAAAATCATCCGAAGTCCCTCCAAATTTACTAATCATAACCTTAATAAAAGTCAATACTCACCAAATCATAAACAATAGGACCACTAGCCGTAACCCACTGAACAACAATCTCAAAAGCATTTCCAGGAATGAAATGTTTGTGATACCTGGCATGTCCCCATTCAGTTCTATCACTTTTTTGTGATAAATCAATTTCTAGATGTGAATGCCTGTATAATTTTCCATCTAAATTCTTTCTCTCAATTTCCTCCTTCAAAAATGATGGAACATCATTCTCACTTGGCGTTGTTACTTCCGTCGTTGGTGTTTGTGAAGCTTTCGTTGGTGGTGTTATGAATGCTATTGGAATCTCAACTTCCATCCATTCGAAACTAAATGCTTCATGATCACCAAGTGGTGGCTTGTAATCTGCTGAACTTATGTCTTGTGGGACAATGTAGTACAAATAAAATCCAGGCACAACTGGCATTTTTATGTCACCGCTCGCATGACAAATAAGTCGTTGATCTCGCATAGCTTCTAGTATCTCAATTGGATTTGTGACTCCTTCTACTCGATTATAGACCCACATTATGGCATCATATGATGTGAACACAAGAGATGGCATGCTTGGTAAAGGTTCAAGGAACCCAACACCGTTGTTTAAGTTGCGGAAGGCTTCGAAGATTTCAGTGATTGGTGATGTGACTTTGAATTTTGGTGGTTCTGGCGCGAAACTAAAATTTGGAAAGAATTTAAAATTATTTTTGCTGACGTAACCTCATAAATTTTGTACAAAATCTTCAATTTTGAAGACATAACCTCAAAGATATCCTAAAATCATCAATTTTCAAGACATTTCCTCAAAGTTTTCCCAAAATAATCATTTTTGATCACCTAACCTCAAAATTATCCCCAAAATCTTCAAATTCATTAATATAACCTCAAAAATAATCAACTCACCAATCATCGTTGTCCTCACTTTCTGCTTTAGCATTCTTCTCAGCTAGCTGAACCTGCAACTGCATAAACGTCGATCTCGTCTCAATCTTCGAACCTGATCTAATCGTGGAAATATTTGAGCTATCATAGCAAATTTTCATGATACAAAATTGAATTTAATCCCGCCAAATAATGAGATGCAAAATCCAAAAGTAAAAATGGTTTCATCGTAAAAAAAAATGAGCGAAAAACATTTAAAAAATGGAGAAGAAAAAGAGAAGAAAAAAGAAAAACCTTTAGCGACAAATAATTGATGACCTTTTTGGAGGTTATATGCAACTAAACTGAGTGGAACTTCCAGGTTGCCTACTCAGAATAGTTTTTTTTTGTAGGTTATTATGTTAGTGACGTGCGATAATTTTTTTTGTAAGCATGCAATTATGTTAGGGTACGTATGTGTTCAGTTTGGTGATTTTATTGTTATGAGTTGTGTATTAAATTAGGTAAAAAAATGCCTAACTTGTGAATTAATGTCTAATCTACCAAAAATATTGAAGATTTATTCTACCTTGGTCTTAATCTTTCCGGAAATTTGTTGCTTCCAACTCTTTCTCTAAACGGTGAATTTTGCGGTGCCTGAAAATTTTTAATAAAGATTTACAATTAATAATGATAATTAGGTATTCTGACAGCCTTGTCCATGAAGCGATGTGAAATTCTACCTTAAAAATAATAAAATTGATTGATGGAGAAAACCAGATAAAATTTGGTGAGAGTTCAGATATTATAAATGAGGGACTGAACTTTAAAATTGAGACAGTTTATTTTTTAAATTTTTGATGTGGAGGCACCTAAACCACACAAATCTAGTGTGTACCTGTACCTTGAGACCTTGGTGAGAAGAAACCTGAATCTTGGGAACTTAGTGTAAAGACACCTGAACCTATGGAACTAAGTGTGAAGAGACCTGAACCTTGGAAACTTAGAAGAAACCTGAAACTTGGGAACTTAATGTAAAGACACCTGAACCCATGGAACTAAGTGTGAAGACACCTGAACCTTTGGAACTTAGTGAGAAGAAACCTGAAACTTGGGAACTTAGTGTGAAGACACGTGAACCTTGGAAACTTAGTTTAAAGGCACCTGAAACATGAAAACCCGGTGTAAAGACACCTGAACCATGAACACTTAGTGCGAAGACACCTTAACAATGAAAATCGTGTGTGAATGCACCTGAACCTTGAAAAAACTAGTGTGAAGACACCTGAACCTTGGGAACCTAGTTTTAAGGCACTTGAACTTTGGGAACCTAGTGTGAAGGCTCCTTAACAATGAAAACTTAGGTGTAAAAGTGCCTGAGTCTCAAAGCTTAAGTGTAAAAGCACCTGAGAATGGAGCTTGAATTTCTTAATCCTGTTCTAATTGCCTTAACATAGATTCTAATCTAGTTTAAATAATTCAAAATGCAGTCAGCAATTAAGCCTTTATTAAGATTAATCTTAAATTAGTGTCATGTTAGTTCCTCAAGCTTAAGTTAGAACTTCCAGATGCATTTGTTGAATAGTTTTAGTGCACTATTAGATTTTTTTTTAAGTTTAAATTAGAAAATGTTCTAATATTGTTTTAAAAAAATCCCTCACAATCAAATCAAACCCCAAAAATATGAAAAATAATAAAAAGATAGAGATAGCATGATAGTGAGTAAGATAAAGATAATGATAGATGGATAGAGAGTGCAAAGAATGAAAATTAATGAGTGTGAAAAGTGCATGAAGAAGAATAAGAAAATCTTAAAAAGCACCTGATTTTGGCTCACAGCCGGTGGTCTTGACTGAATGCTCGTACTCGTACTGTGTCTTCTCCTTGTCAAGTGAGATGTTGTTGGACTTCCCTAAAGGTTTTTTGAATTTTTCGTGTCAGTTTATTTTGGAAATTAATTTTTTTTTGAAATATTTTGAATGTTTGTGAATTTTAAAATGATAAAATTTTGGAAGATAAATGAAAATCTTTGGCAATTTTTGGGGTTTTGGGGAAGCTGCTTGACAATGATGCGACCAGTTAGCACCCAGTTTAAGGATGCATTCTTAGGAATATCAAATTGTTTTGCATAGAAATATTGATTGTTGTGATTTAAGATTAGGGTCCTACTAGAGTAAGACTTAATTTATAACTTGGCTATAATCTTAAGCTCTATATTTGACCTTATAAACTCATACACCAAGAAACCTTAAGAATACATCTAAATATCACATCAACATGAGGCATCCTCAAAGGACAGCTCTTGGCTAAACCAAGCATTTCCCTCTAATGTTTGAAAATTACCAAAGATTTTTTTAAAATATTTTTTTAAAAAAAATAATAAAACGATTTTTAAAAAACTAATTTTCAAACTCAAAAAAATTTAGCATAAAAACTCAAAAGCTTCAATCAAAATCATTCCAAATTACAGCCAATTTGTTTTTGTTCTCTAAAAAGTTTCATGCGTCACTCTAATTTCTTAAATTATTCATGGAATGTTTAGGGTCGATATGTTGAATTTTAATTTTATTCTAGGTTAGGATGGGAGTGGGATGTGTAAAGATTTGTATTCTAGGAATCAGATCTATTTTTACTTTTGTATGGATAAGATTCTGAAGCTGATAGTTTGGTAAATCCTCAAAAGTAACTTAGATCGACCATTAAATAATCTAAGTCATACTTCTATGGCACCACTTTGCTGTTTATGCAGATCTGTGGTTGACGATATAGTAAACCATAACTTAAGGTTTGTGCTTCACAGTGTGAGCAGCACTGCTTAAGATCATACACTAAAGAATACAGTAAATCCATGAAAACTGTATTGCTTAAATTATAAACAATCTTTTGATGGATTTAGAAGGATGTGAGCATGATTATTCGGGAAAAGGAATTCATTTCTAAATAAATGTTGTACTTATTACTTAAAACAGCTTTGCTAAGTTGTATTTATCAATTTTTAAGTATAAACTGATCAAAAATTCAACATTTTTACTTAGAATAGCTTTATATCCTTAAAATATTATAAAATAGTAGTCTTACACTCACCCTAGGCTTTTTAACTCGCTTAACTTTGTTCAAATGCGTCTCAACAAGTCTCAAGAACTCCTCGACTTGTTGCTTCTGAATTGCCACAGTTGTTTCTTTCATGTAAATGTCACAATATTCGAGATTTTCATCCTGAATTTTCTTCATTATTGGATCTTCTTTGGGTAGGAGGTACATCCGGTAGCGCCAGTACTTCATTTGCTGGAGGGTAAAATTTTAATTTATTTAAATTATTTTTTTTGCAGTTTTTGAGAGTTTGATGCTCTTTTTATCGGAAAATCAACTGAAGATTAATTTTTCAGCTAGATTCGACTGAATTTATATCAATTTTTACTAATTTAAATATCTACAACCCTCCCTGCATATCCAGCAACTTACCTCCAATAGCATAAAGTCAAAATCACCCCTCGTACAAATATATTGATCCATATGATTCCAGTTAAAGTTCTCTAACTTTTCAGTAGTAAAATTAACACCAGACACCTCATAAGTGTCATGATTTGGTGCATGAAATCGATATCGATAGTCAACATTAATTGGTGGATACGGATGCCTTGGACGATACCTTGTGATCTTAATTTCTGATCCATAAAGTGTTATTTTATGAAATATTCTACCAATTGACAGTAAATATTCTTTAGGATGTTCGATAGCAACTGGAGCTACTAATGATGATCTTTGTTGGATGATTCCGCCACAGCATGGAGCTACTGGTGGTTTGCTGTGCGTGTATAAGTGCTCGGAGAGGATGATTAGTTGAAAACCCTATTAAAAGTGATATTATTAGTATTATTCGATTAGTAATGTCAATAGCCACAAACCTGTGACAATCTTTGTGACACTAGCTCCCTAAAGACTTCTTCAGTTGACAATGGCTTCCTTTGTACTGCTCGTAGCCTCATAAAGTCAGCATTAACATCGTCAGGTAGTAAAGTATAAATTGACAGCACATAGTCGTTGTTTAGTGCTCGTTTATCAGGAAAATAATCCGTGGTGATTGGAAGACATGCTGGAATTGTCAAAGACTTCCAGTCGACGCCTTATTGAGAGAAATTTTTTTAAAAAAAAATTTTGGAAATTTTTTAAGAAAGAGAAAAAGTTGAAAAATTATTTTTTGAATTTGAGGAAATTTAAAAGCAAATCAATTTAAAAAATTTTAATTCTAAACATGAAAATCTATTCTAAAACTGAAAAACAATCGTGCAACATTTAACATTTATGATTAAAAATTGGTGACCAAGCCGAAATTTTGATTGAATGTTATCTGAATGACATTGTATCCTGATGATTTTGGAGATCTAGTCACACTTTAATAAACATTTTGGACCAGACTTTATAAGGGTTTCAAATAAACTTCGATGTTTAGTAATTCGACATTAGTTCAGTAACGTAGCAAGGGAAGATCAGAGCTTTATCCTTGCTATGTTACTGAACTAGTTACATCAGTGGTGGATAACCTTTTCTGTGCTACGGTACACCTTCGTAGTAAGCTACTACCAAAAACGCAAACGGTTTACGGTTCGTGAGATTTCTCAAAGTTACTCGCGGGACACAGTTTGCCGCAGCACATTTGCAAACCATCACTGAGTACATCATTCAGATAACTCAATATCGAAAGATTACATAAAATTAATCACAAAAAGTAGGAGAACGAAACTATTCTAAAGAAACCAGATTTAAAAAACATTTTTTTTCGTGCCAAAATCCATAAAAGTTTTTCTTGTCATGTTGAGATGTGATGAAGTGCTTTAAAGCAAGCAAAGTTTTTATTTGTTACAGATAGTATTCTACTTTGTGGTGGATTTAAAATAATATTATTGTAATTTTGAGTAGCAATTTTTTATTGTTTTATCGAAGGACTCTCATGCACAAAAACTGGTTCTTTTTAATTGGCATAGTTAACTTCCAGGCAGAGTTGCGAAACAGGCACCTGTGACAGGTGAGAACCCTAAAATTCCTTGATAATTTATAAGGTTTTTCAAACAAAATCATACAAATTATCAAGGAATTGAACGGTTCTCACCTGTCACAGGTGGCCTGTTTCGCAACTTTGCTTCCAGGGAAAAGCATGTAAGTTATTAGATTCACGAAAAAAACACGCTCCGTTGCACATTGTTTCACTCCACACAGCTCGTTCACGTCGTCTTTCTATAGCTAAGACTCCCATCAATAGGATCCTTTCATAGACATTGAAAGCATCTCGATCGATCTTTATTTACACTTTATACGAGAAATTTGGCAACTCATATGTTATCTAACGTAAGTTAAGCGTGGAAGTTCGTGGTTTTTTAAGTAAGTCGTGTTTTTTCACTTTTAATGCAAAATTTAATAAATCATTTTCCTTTGAAAGCATCAAAAAGTCAGAAAAAACAGTCATCATGCTAACATTGAGCAAGCGTCGTGTTTTATGCCAGAACCTACGCCAGCAAAATGATTGTTTTTTAAACTTTTTGTTTTTGAGTCCTTTTCGATTGCCACTAGTTGAATTTTTAAATCTTAATAAAGCATTTTATGTGCATGAAAGTCCACTGATTTTTATTTATTTATTAAACACAAATTAATAACAACAAAAAGGAGCTTAAAGTTGACAAAAAAAATCAAGCAAGTCAACTTTAAGCTCTGATTTAAACAAACTTTCAGGATTAACTCAACAATTTTTTTGAATTGTAAAATTGTTGAATTTTCCTGTTTTTCATTATAAAGTTAATTTTCATACAAAAAACATGCACTATTTCCTACATGAGTTGTCACCTGATCAAAGTCATAATTTGAATTAATTTTGACTAAACCGATCATTTTTGAACCGAGCAGAATCCATGGTTTGGAACTCTTCTTTTGAAATTGAAATTATTTTATAAAAAATACAGAAATTTGGTGGAACAAGACTCAAAGAAATTAGAGAATTGAGCCTTTTGAAAGAGTTGATAAAGGAGCTTCATGATCCAAATAAAACCAGTTTCTCAAACTTAGATTTAATTTTAGACCTGACTACAGTCAACAGAATGACAACTCTAGTAGCAACAAAAAATAAAAATAATTTTCATAAAAAGCAAAAGATTTAAGATAGAAATAGAATAAAGAATCTGAACAAATGCAAATAGAACAAGGTTTTTCTGAATTTCCAACAGTTAATAGGATCTGGAAAATTGGAAAAACCTGGAAAGAACAGGAAAATAATAGAAAATTGGTACGCAATTGAAATAAAAGTAGAAAAAAATCTATTCTAAAAAATAAACTATTCTAAATTAAAATTAATTAAAGTTTTTTTTAATATCCGACCTATTATGATTCTTCCAGCTATTTTTCAAACATTTTTTTTGCCACAAATTTAATTTATTTTTTTTACATTGCACATTCGAGCGAGCCAACAGATGATGAGAAAGTGTGGTTGTGGATGATATTTTTTTTTTCGTTTTTTTATATAAATTAGCATTCATGATTTAAGATAGAATTTTGCATTCAAATAATTTGTTTAGGAATTTATTTTATACACCAGATGATGATGATGGTCACAGTTATGTGGATTATGTAGGTTTTTATTGGTTTTTGGCATCAACGAAAATAAAATAAAAAAAATGTTGAAAAAAGAAAAATTAAATTTTTTTTTTGAAAATTTTACATTATTTTTTTTAACTTTGAATTTAGTCCAATTGTGTTGTTGATTTTATAATTTGTAAGTTCTAATAACTCTTCAAATTTATGTTTGTTTTTATTAATATTTACACACATTTAGTACAAAAAAAATTTGAAAATTTCTATAAAGACACACAAAAAAGGGGGGTTATGGTTCATGAAATTCAACAAGAGACACTTCAGCAAAGCAGAAGTTCTAGATTTAAATTTCTACAATTGGACAATTTTTTTAACTAATTCGCAGTTAGTTTGAGTTTTGTTTTGAAATCAAATTGAATATTTGCAGCATAAAATTAATGTTTTGGACAAATTCTTCAACCTACCTGTCGTGAGTTGTGGTGTCCAATCTTGTTCACCTGTTGCACCCCAAAGCAGTGTCTTTGATGGAGTTGAGGTTGCAGTTATTGTACTAAATGATGAATTTAGTAGTGACACCTTTCGACTTTTCAAGACTATAAAAAGAGAAAATTAAAAAATTATATTATATTTGAATTTTTTTGATTCTGGTACATTTACACTAGGATTTCTAGGTAAAGGTGCTTTCACACTATACATGCAAGATTATGGTGCCTGCACACCAGTCCTCCTAAATCAAGGTGTCTTTGCACTAGAATTTTTAACTTTCAGGTTTTTTTAAACAAGAAGTTTAAGGATCAAATGCTTTCGCACATAATTTTCTAAGTTCAGATTCCTTCACACCAGGTTTTTAAGGTTCAGGTGCCTTAACACTAGGTATTTGTGGTTCAGATGCCTTATCATTAGAATTTTAATTTTCAGGTGCCTTAAATCTAGAATTTTAATATACAAGTGCATTCACACTAAGTTTTTAAGATTCAGGTGCCTTAACACTAGGTTTTTGAGGATCAGGTGCCTTAACATTAGGTTTTTGAGGTTCAGGTGCCTTAACACTAGGTCTTTGAGGTTCAGGTGCCTTAACACTAGGTTTTTGAGGTTCATGTGGCTTAACACTAGGTTTTTGAGGTTCAGGTGTCTTAACATTTGAATTTTAATTTTCAAGTATCTTAAAACTAGAATTTTAATATTCAAGTGCATTCACATTAAGTTTTTGAGGTTCAGGTGCCTTAACACCAGGTTTTTGAGGTTCAGGTGCATTCACATTAAATAACCTATTTAAAAAATGTTTACTTACATAAGCTATCATTTAAATAGTTGCCTCTATCGACTGGCGTATTGTTGTTACTGTATCTAAAGTCTTCGTCATACTTATCGATTGACCGTCCTGATAAGCTGCTATGCTGCTTTCTACCAATAGTTCCATTACTACTACTATTGTGATGAGCACACAATACATTATGAACATAATCATCAATGTTAAGGAAGCTAAATGAGTCTTCACGCTCTAAAGTTGGTTCTTGAATTTGTTTTGAAGGCACAGCCTGGTAGTGATGTTGCTGTATAAGGACACCCGTTGGTCCTTTTGGAAATATATGCGACCATCGTCTTCGATTTGATGTTAGCTTAATTGTGACATGACTTGGATCGAATGGATTGATTAAAGCTCGTCCGGTACGAACTGGAATTGCTTTTCTAGATTTTACTGTTGACAATGTTGACTGTGACATGGATTCACGGAGAGTTAATGGACCAGAATCATCACTGAAGCTATGTGAATGATGAATATCTGGATCTGACATCTTTCGGTTTCTCTGAACTCCATTATCCCAGTCTTTACTAGCCGTCATTGACATTGAAAGTGAATTATATCCATCAAAGCTTGGCACAGCAGATTTCTTAGCTTTTGGATTACTTTTTATTCCTGATGATGGAATCGCAAAGACTTGTGCATCATATGCATCATAATCATACAAAGAGTTATGAATATATTCTGTATTTGTGTCTGAATAAAAATTAATTTCATCTTTTAACTTCCGAATTTGTTGCTCCTCGATGCTTTCCTCGTCAAACTTTTTCATAAATGGAGGGAGTTTGATTCTCGGGATGAAGGATGAGTAAGCAACTTTTTTATTTGTTGAGTAAAAACTTAAATTAATCCAGTGAGGCATTGAATAGTCATCAACTGTGTTAAGTGATGGATCTTTGTTGTGGAATTTCAGGAGTGGAACAGCATGTAGGGGTTGTTCACCACAACATACGAGATCACTGCCGACACCGTTGTCGATTATCTAGAAGAATAAAGTAGAAAGATTAGGTTAAGGTATTTTCATACTTCACACAATTAATAATAGAACTAGAGTCACTATGTTCAGGTGCCTTTAAACTAGAGTTACTAGATTCAGGTGCCTTTACACTAGAGTTACTAGGATAGGGTGCCTTCACAAAAGAGTTACTAGGTTCAGGTGCCTTCACAAACGTGTTACTAGGTTCAGGTGCCTCCACAAAAGTGTTACTAGGTTCAGGTGCCTTCACAAAAGAGTTACTAGCTTCAGGTGCCTTCACAAAAGTGTTAATAGGTTCAGGTGCCTTCACAAAAGTATTGCTAGGTTCAGGTGCCTTCACAAAAGTGTTACTAGGTTCAGGTGCCTTCACAAAAGTGTTAATAGGTTCAGGTGCCTTCACAAAAGTTTTACTAGGTTCAGGTGCATTCACACTATTTTAAATACTTACCCTCTGCTTAGTGATATTCGTCAATTCCCTGTCAACTTCAAAGACACCAACGCCTGGCGTTATCACAACCGACAATTGTCCAGTACGATCAAAACTTCTATCCAAGTAATGCTTTTCGAACACATTCAGTGAAATATTGAGAACTTCCAGAAAGTTTCCCTGACTTGCTGTTGAGTTTGTTGCCGGTGGAATTATAAATCCCGGTCTTTCGTGATATTTCAACACAATATCCTTATAGGACGTAAACAGCCTTCTTAGTTGCACTAAAATTGTACTCCAATCATCATTTCGCTCATTCTGAATGGCAACACGATAAAAATCCTCAAAAAATCTTCCTTTATAGTCCATCTGAAGACAATCACGCATGTGAACTGGAAATTCTTCAAGTGACTTTGCAGCATAAAAAGTTCGCGAGAAAAGGACAATTGTGACTTCGTGATTGCTGCCTTGCTTCTTCCACTTTGCAAAGAGGTCTGTTAGGAAGCCATTGACAGACTTTTCAAAATAGAGGTCGCCGTGGATGTCAAAGTCCCACATTTCAGAGCTCATTTGGATGAAAAGGTAGACCATTGAGGTTGAGGAACGGAAGACAACCTGAAAAATGGATGGAAATTGGAAATGATTAAGACTTAAACTTGTAAAATAACAAAAAATTCTTTAAGCTTACCTTAGTATCTTCAGTGATGACACCACATGATACTCGCTCACCAAAGCTCCACATCTCATAGACTAATAAAAGAAAAAGTTTAGGATATTTTTGGTAAAATTGAGTGATATGGATAAGTTCAGGAACCAGAAAAATTTCTTAAAAAATCAATTCTAATTTCCCATGACATTGTTTCCCCCTTGAGTAATATCTCATTTGCCAACTTGAATCAAATGATCTTTAAAGATCTTAAAGTGAGAAATTCATGATTCAATATTATCTTCTAGCAACTAGCAACATTGTCTTAAATCAATATAAAATACAGTTTGCATCAACGACTGTGTGACAAGATGAATTTGTTTAGTGATTTACAATCAATTTATGTAAAATTGCGATTTTTATTTCTTCTTAACTTGAATAAATTTTTAATAAAAAAACTCAATTGAATGTCAATTAAAATGTGATTTTTATGGCGATGTGACTGTTGTGCATGCAGAACTTGATTCAGGGGCGGAGCTAGAAATTATTTGAGGACTTTTGCAATTTTTTTGGATGGAAGATAAAATTTAGTGGAGAATTTGGTATTTTTTTCTAAAAGTCGTACCAAATTGGAGATTTTTCTTTAAAAAAAAGGGTGTGGTTCAGGGGTCTCCTTTATTCTGGCTTAATTATTGACTATTATAGTGTGATTGTCAATTATTTCTAGAATTCAAATGCCAAAATTATGGACTAGCTGGCATCCAACCAACCTTCAGTGGACCATGGCATATAAAAGCTCCAAAACAGCGGCAATAGGTAAGCATAATGCTTTATGTCAGATTTTATTGAGTCTTTATTAATAAAGTAAGATTTGACTATGACACGGTTAGGTTGATCTGATTAGCATTTAAACCTGACTCATAGAAACCAAGTTATATAAATTATGATTTAAATTAAAGACTATTTACATTAAAAATGCACAACTAGACTTTCGATACCCATTAAGAATGCAAAATGGTCAAGATGTTCAAAACAATTTTCGTTAATTATTTTGACCGCTTTCCAATCTTTGATCCTTACTAACCATCCCTGGTTCCCATCAAAGATTTTAAACATATTATTGACCGTCCTAAATGCTGTTTATTTGACAAAGATCATTTCTCATTGCAATCCTAATCTCAAAACATATTAAATCAACATAAGTAAAAATATTTTAAAATAGTAAGCAGCAGTAGAGCAACGAGTACGACAAAAAAATGTAAACAGACGAGTTTAAACACGCGAGATTAATTACTTATTTCTAATTTAAATAAACTACATTGTGAAATTGTAGTATAAACTTAGCAGACATTTATTAGCATTGAAATAGATTTGTCTGAAAATCTACCGGTTTTTAAAGCTGCTGAGAATTTTTTCTTATCGCTGAATAATATTTTAAAATTGAAAATTCAAGGTCGGAAAGGCTGTTGACTCGAGAAATTTATGTGAATGGTTTTTTTTTGGCAAACAAATGTGTGATAAATAATTAAATTATTCATTGACATTTGAAAAAATTATATTTTTGATTATTGTAGTCAAACTAGACATCTTGACGATAAATGACTCAAATTTTAATTCAAAATGTTGCTAAATTATCATTTTAATGTATTTTATTTTGGCTATCAGGACTTAAAATTTTATAAATTGGCGCCATAAATTTTTGACACAAAAGCTTTCATTTTCATTAACACAAGCCAAATGAGCTAGTTTGTGTCAATAAGGTCGTTGACATTGATATTATTTATTTTGTATTATAAAATGTGCAAACAGTTTTATTTCTTAATTTTTATGGGAGTAAGTATGATGTGAATAACATATGGAAATAGACTAAACTGTGAATTTTTTGGAGTCTTATTTGGAGGTATATTTGAATTTTATAATATTCAAGTTTAATCAGTTTTTTGTTGAATTCAATTTTTTTAATGGTTTTGTAAAATTCGAATTTTATTGCTTTTTTAATTCAAAATTTAACAAGTTTAAAAAATGAAAAAAAAAAAACAGTTTTTTAAATTTGAGTTTTAAAGATTTTGCAATTTCAAATTTTAACGATTTTTTAAATTGAAATTTCGACGGTTTTTAAAATTAAAATTTTAACAGATTTTTAATAAGAGTTTTAAAGGTTTTGTAAAATTTAAATTTCAAGGAAATTCAAGTTAACATCCAACATCAATTTTAATTCACATTTAGCATAGGGGCTGTTCACTTATTACGTAACGCGAAAAAATGACTTTTTAGACCCCCCCCCTCGTAACAAAATTTGTATGAAAAAAAAATTCCCTTGTTTGAACCGTAACAAAATCTTAGACCACCCTCCCCCCCCCCCCCCCCCCCCCCTAAAAGCGTTACGTAATAAGTGAATGGCCCCATAATAAACCATACTTTTAAAAACTTTCTCAAACAAATCATCAACTTCGGCATTGCCAGCAATTTAAATTAATTCCCAAAAAAAGCTTTAATTTAATTTTCAAAGCCAAACAGTAAGCTGAACAGCTGTTGTGATTTTTTTTTACAGCTTCGCAACCCATAAAAATTTCCATATAATTCTCATTTTTGTCATTTCACAAAAATCTCATCCAGCCACACAGTCATGGCAACAACAAAGTAATAAAAATTTTTTTTTTTCGTTACTGACCTTGACAACGAATTGACTCACAGTATTCGATTTTCTTGTTTATGTAGACGCACGTGTTTGTGAGATGCAACTTGAGGCGCCACATTTCAGATCGTCCCATGTATTGGTCCTTGAATGTTCTGGAAAAATAAGAAGAAATTCGTTAGAAAGGAATTTTTTTTGAATGTATTTTTTATTGGCAATGAATCCATGAGACCCAATTTACTGTCACCAAGCTGTCACATTTAAAAGCTTTGGAATTTATGGCAAGTTTTACTAAAATTCTAGGAATTTAAAGCCTTGAGTATAAGTTTCAAATGAACAAAGAGCAAACTTGACAATTTTAAGTCTAATGTAGGTCAGCATATTGCATTCAAATGGTGAAATTGCAGTTTTTTTTTTATTATACTTTAAAGTGCACGTCATGCACTTCTGTATTTTATAAATATGAACTTCTTAATGGTGTCTCAGAACCTTATTGGTTTGGTTTTTTTGGTAGATTCTGTGGATTCATGTCTGGATTTTAATGTTTTGTGATAGATGTGAGATTATACTCAAATTGAATCCATCATTATGCCAGAGTAGCTACAGTTTGGTTCCAGATTAACGATTTACCGACTGGTAATACTTCTCGTCCATAAAATTGTATGAAGATAGTTTACATTTGTAGGAACGATTGCAATCGTCGTGAGCAACCGTCCGACCAACTTCCGACCAACCCCCACTCCCCCACTCTTCACCCCCTCCTGCCTTTCATACTTTATTGTCAATAGTTCTAGCCAAAAACAAAAAAAAAACAATCAAACAAGCTGACATCGATGATAAATAATAACTTATTCAATATCCATAATAATCCAGGCTGTCAATACCTTTTTGCCGATTTTCGGTCATGTCAAGGCGGACATGCTCCGATTTTAACTCTCAAAAAGCGGGACAGACCACATTTTTAAGTATTTTCCAAGAAAAATGGGTTCAAAAAAGCTGAACATTAAGGATTTTAAGCAAAATTTTGCTCAAAAAAGTGGGACAGTCCTGCTCAAAAGCGTGCAGTTGGACAGCCTCTTTCAATTGTCATTAAAATTTGTTTCCATCCGGTTAGCTCTCATTGAATATATTTTTCGATGTTAATATTATTTGGCATAATTGTCATAAACATGCACTTGAACTGATAAGAAATGTTCGGGTCGATTAATCACACATCAATGATTATCAAGTCTGTTGATTTTATTGCTATTTCTGTTACTCGATAGCAAGCGTTGATATGTTTTTAATGATTTGAGCTAGACTAGATGGTTGCTTTTTATTATTTGAATTTTTTATGATTTTTTCCAGGCATTTTTAAGTGCAGAAATATTTATTTTGGCACTACAGAGCCTTCTTACTTTCTTACTTCGCTGGCCGTACAAATCAATTCAGATCCATGTCCTTCTCTAGATTGCGCCTAAAGCTGGCTCTATCGCTGGCTACCGTTTGTCAATTACAGGACCTTCATTGAGATTTAAATCATTAAGTACTTTTGGTACAAAGAGCTAAGCTCATAACTGTGTTTTTTGGCACACGTGCCAATATCTCCACGCTCGTTGAGCAGTAAACAACCACAGACACTTCTATTCACAAGACAAACTTCTTATCTTTCTTATCTTTCCAAAGTTTTTCTTTTTTTTTCTCCCAAAAATAATTTACTGATTGCCGACTATCCAAACAGTAAACAAACACTGCATATAGCAACAATAATAGACTCATTATTACTGTTTTTTTGGTATCAATTTATTGTCTGTGGACGCTTATGTCAATATATGACACTTTATTGGTATCGTATGTCCTGAAGGCTTTTGTCATTTAATGTTGCTCATTATTTTGATATTTGAGTAATTTTTGTAAATATTTTTGTTATAAATTTGTGAAATTTGATGATTTTGTTGGATTTGTGCAGTGGTTGTTAACTTTTTGGTTGTTCCTCCTGCCCAATAACACCTGAATTCGAATATATCGTCATTGAAGCTAAGGCAGCAATTACAGCGCAGTATGATTTATTAAAACTGGTTGAGAGCTACTGAGACCGGTTTCAAGGATTACCCGGCTGATGTACTACAACATGGAGCAGGCGCGTAGCCAGGGGAAGTTTGGAGGGACAACTCCTGCGACGTTAACAGAAATTTCTTCATTTTGCTAGGAGTTTACGGAAAAATCATAACCCCCCCCCCCCCCCCCCCCCCAATTCCCTCTGAATTTTCCATATAAAATTTTTTTGTCCCCCCTCTTCAAATTCCTGGCTATAGCCCTGATATAGAGCATAAATAGACTTTATCTGAGCCTAAAACCTTTTGTGACAGCTTCCTTAACGTCAACAGAAGAATTTTAATTTTTTCCTAGCCTTCCTTTTCTTTACAAAGCTATAAATCCTCAGCAATTAATATTTTTTTAAGTATACAAAAATTCGCATATTTTTAACACTTGTTATTCGTCACGAATATAAATCATTTTTTACTATTTTTGTCTGGCTTCATACATATTTTTGCGTATTTTCACAAATGTAAACAAGAATTTATTCAAATTTATTTTTTGTTCAATACAAAAGTTGTTGATTATCAAATAAAGCAATTATTTTGACTGAATGGACATGTAAATGAGGAAGAAATCGTACGAATGAATATTGAAACTAGAAGGGGAGGGTAAGATGTAAGTTTTTGGAGCGATTTCGTCAGATTTTTGAAGATTTATGGAGAAATGATGAAATACAGGAAGATTTGTAGTCGATTGGGGTCAATCAAAAATGATAATTATCGAAATTTAGCATTGCAATTTCGAGTATAAATTCTGCAAAAAACCAAGGCGTGGAAACTCAGGATTAATCCTGAAAAAATCCGAAAAATCCTTAAAAAAATCCCTGAGCCAAAAAACATGAAAATATGAAATCTCTTTAAATCCAAAATGCATTTGATGAAAAGTTTCCGGATTTAAGGGATATCACATTTTCATGTTTATTGGCTCAGGGATTTTTTAAGGATTTTTGGGATTTTTCAGGATTAATTCTGAGTTTCGACGCTTTGATAAAAAACTTAGTTCCTTTTATGAGGTTTACTCCAATTTCAGCTTTATCTTCTTACTGTTACTAACCCCGACCGACTGATGAGGACTATTCTAATGATGAGAATGTAAATAAGCAGCATTATCAGGACATTATTGGCTTTATTAAGGACATTGGAATTCTAGCATAGGAGACTTGAGATGGTACAGCAGATCATCGATCGCAGTGCTGCTTTTGCTATCAGCAAAACCCTACATTACATTCTATTCTAAACCCGACCGACACAATGTTATTCGATAAAAAGTCTTAAAATATTGTAAATGGAGTCCAAAATCTGTTCGGCTTCCAAATTCTTACCAAATAAAGACTTTTGTTTACCGAGAAGGGTAGCAGCCTGATTTAAGAAGGCTAAGATGACTGAAATTGACTTCTAAATTTAGAACTGAACCCTTTTTCATGACTAAATGTCTGTCTTTGTCATTCAACTCAATTTAACAATAAAACCAGCTTGGGCTGATTTTATTGACCATCTTAGGATCCCTAATAGGGTCATAATTAATTCTAGAGTGAGGTCCTCCAGTAGCTCCCAAATCACATCCAACAGCACAATATGAACAACATCCAACAGTACAAAACTTCACAATTAGCAATTTTTGTCAATGAAAAATCTTATTTCCAGTTTGCGATCGTTTCCCATCACTTTTAAATAGTTTTTTTACTTACTTTTTTTCTTTGTTTGTTTCTAACCATGGAAAAACCCTTTAAAAAGTAACAAAAAAATTTTGATATGAAAATATCTGGCAATTGTCAAATTAAGGGATATGAGAACACCGAAGGAACTTGTTTGTTTTTAGTGATGAGATGAGATTTGAATTTTGAAAAGTAAGTTTGACAAATTTTCTTTAAATTCTGGTCCAGTTTTTTTTTGTTGTAATTTTTCATTGCCAATTGATTTTAAGTTAAACCCAGCTTAAATATATGATAGAATGCTGTTAGAGAACATAGAAGTTGGAGATTTAGCAGATGAATTTTTTAATTTTTTTATAGTTTTTTCAATTTTTTGAAATTTTCAAATTTGTTTTCCAAGTTTCCAAATTTTCAAAAAAAAACTAACCTCAAAAATTAAAAAATCACCTCCAATCCACAAACCCTCCAAAAAATAACACCAAATAAAAATCCTCAAAAAAGTACTCACATTTCAACACTGTCCAGTGCCACATTCAAAGGATTAACGACTTGCATGTAAACATCTCCATAATTTTTCAAATTAAATGTAAGAGCTATTGATGATTCGACACTGATGTAGTCAGGCCGTCCTTGAGTATCTTTTGTGTGTGACACTTGCAACAGTAGTCGGCATCGTTGCTTGCCAGTCTCATCGTGCTCATCTTGATGGAAAATTTCTACAATGTCACCTGTGTGAAAAATGAGAGAGAAAATTGATGAATTTTTGATCCAGAAAGTTTTTAAAAATAAGGGTTTGATGTCATTCTCCCAAATTTCTCGTCTACATTCCCGTAAAGCAGTGATGGCCAAACCATGTGCAGTGGCACAGCGTGGTCAAGAAAAAATAAAGATAAAGCTCACAAACCGTATGTGTAAGATTTTGGTCAAAGTATACAATCAATGTGTGCTGCGTAACAAAATAGGTTGTCCAGAACTGCATTTGCTCTATTTAAGACTAAGCTATTGATGCTTCTCGGTTACATATTAAGCACAACTATCACAACATTATGACATGTAATTTTAAAAACAAATATTTCAATTGTAAACATTTCATTCAAAAATAAACCAGATAAGTAATTTACACTTGTTATAATTAATGGTAGTTGAAATTAAAAAAAAAGCTCAGCTGACTTTTCTATATTTTCGTCTTTCTTGTTTCTATGTTCTTTATAAAATGTGATGAAAATTAAGATTCACAAAAATAAAAATGATTTTTTTTTTCAAAGATTTTTTGTTGATTTCGGAGGTGTTAATTGATGGATTTTGAGGTCTAAGCAGAGCTCGAGGTCGATGAAATTTTGTATGGAGTTGAGTCGACTCGGAGTCAATTCCGCCAAACAAAATCGATGAAAATCTAGAGTCGACTTCGAGCTTTTGGTCTAAGACTTTTATTTTCTATTTTTCAGCTGTTCTCAAAGATTTTTAAGGTATTTAAGTTGATTTAAGGATAGTCTTTCAAACATTTTGACAAAATTAAGGAAAATTTTCTCAAAATTTTTACAAAATTAATTAAATTTTTGAAGAATTTCGACGAAAAATACGAAAAAAATTAAGAAACTTTGATGAAATTCAAGCAAACGTAATCCTATTGACACCCTCTTTCTTGATGTGATGTCATTTATAAATGAACCCTAAGAAAAAATTGCTTTTTGCGAGCCAAAATCTTTTAAATTTTCTTAGTTTTTTGCAAATTTTAAGATAAATTTTCTCAAATTTGAGAAAAATATGAACAAAAAAAAAATTAAAAACTGATCAAAAAATCGTCATAAATATTTTACAATTTATCAAATCCAGCGCCACTTAGTAAACATTTTCGGCTAGCCTTCAACCAATAAAAACAAAAAAGTCACTTTTCATCTTCAAAATGACAACAATTTGTGAGTTTTAAATTGATTTAAATACGCAAATATATTTTTGAATGTAAACTTCCTCGAAAATTGTCAATTTTATTATTTTCTCTATTTTTTTGATTTTTTTAAATTTTTTTAAAAATCATTTTAATATTTTTTCTCCAATTTTCCACAATTTGCCACTTTTTGATCACAATCATCACCGATATTGCAATAAAGTTCTATTTATAATCACTCGATCCTCACCTTTTTTGATATTTGGATGCTCTTTCGGATTCAACAGCAAATCCTCATTGTACACTGACCTTTGGTGGTGCACAAGGCGATAAGGCTTCATTATCTATTTTATATTTTATTATTTTAATCACACAAAAAATTTCTTTTGTTTAAATTTTCTTAATTTTTCACAATTTATTCTCATTTACAATGCTTTTACTAGCTTCGCGTAGCTTACAACTACCGATTAGTGCGTAATAAAATATTTTTTGACTTATTTACATTTTGATTAGACCGTCAGATTTGAATTGTTGTGATGATAAAGTGCGATTGATGGAAATAAATAAAATAAAGTTAAAGTTTGATTGCAAAACGCGAAGCGCATTCGGATTCAGAATATTTTGTTCTGTAGTCAACTTCAGGTTGGTCAGTTCCCCTCATTGTTTTGCCGGATGTTTTCGAGCATCTCATATGATTTTACAAAAACAACAAGCATTGGTAAACAAAAGATCATTTTTTGGACAATTTTGAGTGAAATTTCGATTGACATTTTCTGGGGCACACTTTAAAGTCTTCCCCAGATTATTTTAATTTACAAAACCCCTGCCAACCCCAAAAATCCTAAAACTTTAATTTAAAATTATCCAAAAAACCCAAAACAAACCCAAGTTTAGTTAAAATTGCTTTCAAAAAGCGCTTTAAACTTTCGAAACTCAATCCACAGCTAACTTCACTTCGTCCACTTCCCCTCAACCAAAACTTTCGTAATTCTCATCTGACTCAAATCAAAATAAACAAAAGAAAAAAAGGAAAAAATAATTCAATTAGCAACTCCTGCGATGTTTAAAGCCTCAATATCAAGTTAACAATGTTCAGTGACAGTTCAACGGACATCCATCCGTTAATTAACAGCAACAATGACGATTTGGAGCCACAAATCATTTCACAATACGCACAGGAAGTTGTCGACTATTCATCATGTTATGGATCTCATGGAACAATCAGCTATTCAGCTTTAAACATTTGTGGACGTCCTTGCAAGTACCCAAGCTATGGTGACTTTGCTGAATGCTTCTCACTAAGACATTATGGACCGATTATGGATACAGAATACTCAGCTATTGATGCACAGGATAAAATTACATTCCATGACTTTGTTGTGATACAATTTGAACATTTTGTGTTGCCGAGAGAGATTAAGATTTATGAAACTTATAATCCGGGATCGGTTGTAAGAATTTATGCGTATTTGTGGAGCGAAAAGAAGTGGGAATTGCTGTGGGAGGATCATCCAGTTATGGTTGAGAAGAAGTCGAGGGAATTTTTTCCAAAGATAAAGAAGATCCAGGTGCCAACAAGGTGAGTTGATTGACTTTAGGGTTCAGGTGGCTTTACATTAGGTTTCTTTGATGCAACTTCAATAGAATTATGAAGCTAAGGTGTCGCTGCAATATAGTTTTTTTTGGTTCGGGTGCCTTTACAATAGAAATTTTAAGGTTGAGGTGTCTTTACACTGTAGTTTTTATAATCAGGTGCCTTCACACTCAATTGGTTAAGTTCAGCAGCTTTCACACTGGAAATTCTAATATTTGGATGTCTTACACTGTAGTTTTTTTTTATTCAGGCGCCTTTACACTTGACTTTTCATGTTCAGTAGCCTTCACATTTGAGTTCTTAAATTCAAATGGCTTCACATTAAAACTTTTTGGGATTCATCTGCTTTCAAACTGTTGTTTTTCGATTCAAATGTCTTCACAAAGTTGTTTTTTTATTTAGACGCCTTTACACTAGATTTTTTCGATTCAGACGCACTTGCACTAGAAATTTTGAATATCGGATGCCTTCATAATTCTAGTTTTTAATTCACGTGCTTTGACACTGTTGTTTTTTGATACCGGTGCCTTCACACTGTAGATTTTTTAATGACGTGCTCGCATACTAGACTCTTTAAAATCCAGAGGCTTTCACAATAAAATTGTGAGGTTCGGGTGTCTTCACACTCCAGTTTTTTTTGTTAAGTCGTCTTCACAATTGAGTTTTTAATATCAGATGACTTCACATTAGAATTTCTTAAGAGCAGGTGCCTTTTCACTAGAGTTTTAAGGTTCAGGTGTCTTCACACTTTGGTTTTTGATTTCGGTGCCTTCACATAATAGATTTCACTCCAATAAAATTTTGTTTTTTATGTCACAACCTTTCCATAATTGTCTTTCCATAATTTGTTCTCAACAATAAGGCTTCAAAAATCAATAACACCTCCGAACTTCACCTTGTGGCTTAATAAATCAATTCTTTCTTTTCTTCCACTTCCAGAGTCTTACGTCTCGAATTTAACTGCAGCCTCGTGGATTACTACATTGGAATTGATGCTGTTTTATTAACAGGAATTAAGGTTGTGTCTCCAGTCCGTCACCCACCAGAATCAAAAGTCATTATGGGATTAATTCAAAAGAAACTCGAAAATGTCAAATTTATTCCACAAGTTCCAGCAAATGATACAATTGAGGACTTCCTTAAAAATGATTTAAACAAGTTTGTTGATGATTTGAGGATTAATGAGTCAGAAAAGGACATAAAAGTCAGATGGAAGAAGGAAAAGATAGTTTTTGACATCCCTGAAGAGGTTCTGTTCAAAATCATGTCTTATTTGGACTTGCGATCGCTGTACAATTGCTCGAGAGTATGCAGGAAGTTCAATGTTATCTCAAAAGACTCACTGCTGTATCAGAATGTCAACTTAAAGTTCTATTGGCACCGAGCAGACAACAAATTAGTCAAGAGCCTGATGCATCGCTGTTTTTTGATTAAGAAGCTTGATATGAGCTGTTGTGGATACTTTGGAAGCATCAACGATGAAGAATTTGTCACATTTATTAGAGTTTGTGGTAAAAACTTGACTCACTTGCGTCTAAACTCAACTCAATTCCTAACAGGCAGATGTCTTCAGTCCATCGCATTCAGATGTTCAAATTTGATTGAATTGGAACTCCAAAATTATCACAGTCCAACCAATGAACGTGATTTTAACAATTTGACACTTTTGAATAATTTGGAGTCAGTCAATTTAAGCAGAACATCCGTTGACACTTTTGGAGTGACTGCCGTCATCAAATGCAATCCACGACTTAAGCATTTGAACATTTCATTCAATCAGCAACTTCAGATTGATCAAATTTGCTTACAAATGTCAATTCATGGCAAGAACATCAGATCAATTGATATGTGGAAGTGCCATCACTTGACAACAGCTGGATTGAGGGCACTGACTTGCTGTGACACACTTGAAGTCGTTGATTTTGGATGGAATTTACGCGAGGAATCAAACATTACAGAAAGTTTTAAGAACTTCATCCAAAATTGCCCAAATTTGACAAAAATGATCCTCGCTGCTGTTCGTGGCGTAGCTGAACGTGACCTTAACAACATTGCGACATATTGTAAGAATTTAGAGCATTTAGATCTGATGGGAATTGTTGGCATCACAAGTGAGGCTGTTCATAAAATTCTACAGGAATGTCCGCGTCTGAAGGTCGTTGATCTGTCATTTTGTGAGAATCTCGATGACGTCACACTGTTCAAGTGGGCGAGTGATTATAACGTTTGTATTAAGAGGAGTGAGGTTCCGAGTGATTTTTGAGAGAATTTTATTTTACATTTTTTTGGGAGGGTTATTTGTAAATGATGTCTGTGTCAGTCTTTGATTGGTTACTAGCGCTATCTGCTATATTAGGTATCCTACCCAACCCTATCCGAACCTACTCAATAAATCTTAAGGATTTGGTATTTGTGACAGCTTAGAACAACATAACTTCCCAGAGGAGCTCTAAATAGCAGCTACTGATAGACATCTGACGTCATTGATGAATGGACCCCCAAAACAACCTTATTTTATTCCGTGTGAAAATAGACATTTTAGCTAGAACAAAATATATGAACTAAAAATATGATATTTTTCTGAATATTAAATTAATTAAAATGTAAATGACAAAAGATTTTATGGAGTTTATTTTTGAAAAATAAAAGATTTGAAATTTAAATTGTGATTATTTTTCTGCTCAAGATCAAATTTTTTTAATCTAAAATTTAAGATCAAGTAAATTTACGTACGTAAAATTGATCTTGAACTTGGGTATTTTTTGCGTGAGTAAAAAGCTCTCAAGATCAATTTTACGTACTTAAAGCCACTTAAGATCAATTTTACTTACTTAAAGCTACTTAAGATCAATTTTACGTAATTAAAGCTCCTCAAGATCAATTTTACGTACTTAAAGACGTTCAAGGTCAATTTTACGTATTTAAAGCTACTTAAGATCAATTTTATGTATTTAAAGCTACTTAAGATCAACTTTACTTACTTAAAGACGTTCAAGATCAATTTTACGTATTTAAAGCTACTTAAGATCAATGTTATGTATTTAAAGCTACTCAAGATCAATTTTACGTAGTTAAAGACGTTCAAGGTCAATTTTACGTATTTAAAGCTACTCAAGATCAATTTTACGTACTTAAAGCTACTTAAGATCAATTTTATGTATTTAAAGCTACTCAAGATCAATTTTACTTACTTAAAACTACTCAAGATCAATTTTACGTATTTAAAGCTACTTAAGATCAATTTTACGTAATTAAAGCTCCTCAAGATCAATTTTACGTACTTAAAGACGTTCAAGGTCAATTTTACGTATTTAAAGCTACTCAAGATCAATTTTACGAACTTAAAGACGTTCAAGATCAATTTTACGTACACAAAAATATCTTAAGATCAATATCAAAATTTACGTACGTTAAAATGTTCAAGATCAAATTTCAAAAAGTTCAAATCTTAAAAATTGAATCATTACATTTACATTATAATGTCTATCCATAATTTTTCCCGCACTTTCTAAAGTCTCATTTGAATCATACGTTACAACAATTATTTGAATTTTTACTACAATATTTTCATAGTTACGTCCCATTCTCACCACAGCCGGTGTCCTAAAAAAGAATTTAAAATTCACAAAAAACTACGAATTTGTCAACGCATTCAGCTAGTCCAGCATCAAATTTCAAAGGATTCAGCTCAACTTTAATTCACAAACCCGCATGACAATCCCAAGAATTCTCAAAACAGCAAAAAACATTCCACATATGCCGGATTTTCAGCACCAAGTGACTCACCCTTAATCAAATTATTCACCAATCTCCAGAAAAAAAAGAAAAGTTTTCCATCAGAAAATAAACAAAAAATTTATTGAGCAGCAAAAAAAAATATTTTAAAAATTTCGTACTTAAGTGACTGAAAAAAGACATTTGAAATGTTTTGTACCAAAACGCACATCCTAAACTGCTGTTAAAGCGCATCAATCACGATGAATTGTCGAAAAGCAGCTCAAAATTATGAAAAAATTTTAAATTTAAATTTTTGTGCAATTTTTCATCTCATTTTTGTAATTTTTAACTTAACAACGGAATCTTTTGCGGCTGGTGCATGCGACAGAACCAGAAAAGTATTTGAAAGTGTCAGCTACGGTGAAATTACGGATGGAATCAACACAAACTACACTCAGGTCAGTGTGACTCATTTTTTGTTTACTAAAACTCTTCTTATTGGATTTATTTTTTAGGATTCGCATTGCGAGTGGCTGATTAAGGCTGACAATTCCAGTCAATTTATAACGCTGAAATTTCTATCACTCAAAACTGAATGCTCATATGATTATGTAAGTTTGAGAACTCGATTCTTAATCCGACCTTTGGCCTTGATCAATTTTCACATCAATTAGCACACACGATAGTGGATGGGATGATTATTGTGTATCTGGTATCTTTATAGGCTGTTGAGTGTGGGATTAATGTGATAATTAAGTAAACAAGATTAATATTACGTACGTAAATGTAAACAAGATCAATGTTACATACGTAAATGTAAACAAGATCAATGTTACATACGTAAATGTAAACAAGATTAATATTACGTACGTAAATGTAAACAAGATCAATGTTACGTACGTAAATGTAAACAAGATCAATGTTACGTACGTAAATGTAAACAAGATCAATGTTACGTACGTAAATGTAAACAAGATCAATGTTACGTACGTAAATGTAAACAAGATCAATGTTACGTACGTAAATGTAAACAAGATCAATGTTACGTACGTAAATGTAAACAAGATTAATATTACGTACGTAAATGAAAACAAGATCAATGTTACGTACGTAAATGAAAACAAGATCAATGTTACGTACGTAAATGTAAACAAGATCAATTTTACGTACGTAAATGTAAACAAGATCAATGTTACGTACGTAAATGTAAACAAGATCAATGTTACGTACGTAAATGTAAACAAGATCAATGTTACGTACGTAAATGTAAACAAGATCAATATTACATAAGTAAATGTAAACAAGATCAATGTTAAGTTCGTAAATGTAAACACGATACAAGAACCAAAATTTACATTTTATCATTAATTTTTGCTAATTAAGACTACAAACATTATTAATTGACCCAAAATTCTCAAAATAGTCTTCAAATTCCAAACTTTCTATTCCAGATCTTCATCTACGATGGAAACTCCTACTCATCCCCCCTCCTTGGTAGCTACAGTGGACAAACTGAACCATTGGATATCACAGCTTACTCTGGTTACATGCTCATCCTCCTCTACAGCGACACAAACTACAATCTCGATGGTTTTCGTGCCGTCTTCTCAATAACAAATTGTCTCAACAATTGCTCATCAAATGGACTTTGTATTAATCATTCGTGTCTGTGTACGGACGATAACACAGGCAGTGACTGCAGTATTAAGGCTTGTGATTGTGGCGATAAAGAAAATCGTGGATTTTGTGACAAAAACAATTGTAAATGTCTGAATGGATACACGGGTCAGACATGTTCGCTTCATCCGATCAATTCCGAAGCTAGTCAGTGGCATTGGTTGTCGAATTTGACACAAAGTTTCACGCCACGAACAGCACATACTGCAATATATCATGAAAAAACTGATGCTGTTTATTTATTTGGAGGTTATGATCTGAATCGAGTGCTGGATGAGATGGAAATTTTTAGATTTAAGGATAACAAGTGGGTGGATGTGAATGGAAGTGACATTAAACCAAAGATTGATGAAAAGTCTATAATTAAGAATGTGCTGTTGCATGATAAAGTTGATGTTGGCATATCAGATGGATCGTGGTTTCGAGCGGCATTATTAGCGCATGTAAATGCACCAAATAAGGATGATGAAGTAGCATCAGTGGACCAAGATGATAAAATCATGCCATCACCAAGATATGGACATGCTGCATGTCTAGTTGGTGATATTATTTTAATTTTTGGCGGGAAACTAGCAAATGGAAGTTTATCGAATGATTTATGGATGTACAACATATCAAGCAGTACGTGGGAGTTGAGGGGGATCAACTCAACTATATTCCCACCCAGGCTAACTAGACATACCTTAACTTATGTAGATACAAGTCAGTATGTCTACTTATTTGGTGGATCACAAGAAAATGGCGAATTTTCATCGCAAATGTTCAGAATTAAAATAGACTCAACTTCCGATCAGTGGGAGATCGTCTATCCTAGAGGTGGCAAGTCCTTTGACTACAGAATTGTCGCACACACAACAACATTCCATAAACCATCAAACTCACTAATCATCTATGGTGGAATTATAGCTGGCGTCGCAAGATTCTCAAAACTTTCAGACCGAATGTTTTCATTCAACCTTAACGAGAATCATTGGACAGAAGTATTCTATCCAAAAACAGCACTCAGGGAGACAAGCATACCGCGAGAACGTGCATTCCATACAGCAACAATAGCTGGAGATTATCTCATCATTTTTGGTGGATATTCACATCGACATAATAAGGAAGAGATTTGTTATGACAATCAGATGTATTTGTATCACTTAAACTGCCATTTATGGATTAATCAGGAAGCTCTTGGAAGTGACAGACAGAACTATCCAAAAAGACAAGGTGTATTTGCTCATGCAGCTGCATTAAGGAATGATTCACAACTTCTTGTGATTGGTGGCTATCATGGGAATGTAAATAATGACTTTTTAGCATTTACACTTCCTGACATGATGGTACCAAGCAGGAACACTAGTGAAGGATCAATTTGCTCAAACTATAAGTCATCGACTGAATGTATATCCAATCCACTATGTGGATATTGCTCATCAGATGCTAATTGCTATGCAAGAACTGTGTCTACATGTAATACAAATCTACAGACGACTAGATGTCATGGAGTATGTCCATCATTAAGGGATTGTCAATCATGTCTCATTCATGGTGATTCAGACATCAATAGCTGCAAATGGTGTGTCCAAAATGCAAAATGTCATCACATTAATGACCGTGAACCGTGCGGGGAAAGTGACTTTGTGGAAAAAATATCATATCAATGGTGGGGCAAGTACGGAGTTGAGATTGGTGACAAAAGTCAATGTTCAGCCATGGATCGACCACCTGGACTAACTTATATGAAATATTTATATCCATATGACTGGAACATGCCAGATTCAGTGACAATTGTCAATAGCACATTGGTTGAATTCAGCACAGCAACAGCACCGAGCATTGATTCATCAAATAGTGGAGAAGTTCTAGCACGTCTTCATGGATACTTAAGGCTTCCAGATGAACAAAAGGAGATTGTCAAAGTTTGTGGAAGCTATGCAGACATAACCTTAAAAGTGTCCCTTGACGACGAATCTTTTACAGTCGCGAACTTCTCAGCCGACCAGAACATCTGTATAGCATCAAAATGGAACAAATGGAACCAACAGAAAGTCCTGATTGATCTACAAGCTCGACGTCAACAAAAGTCACAGATTCACATCCACAGCAAGGTCGCTTTACAGAACAATGCGACCAAAGCCTTCACATTTGAGTTCCTTGAACCATTTTCAAGTGGAAATTGTGAAACTTACACGAACTGCTTCCAATGTCTTAGTGACAATGCCTGTGGATGGTGTGACTTGAAATCTCAATGTTTCTCAAGAACTGTCAATGAGTCATCAAGCTGCACTGATGGAACTAATTGGAGATATTTGATTCTTAAATCTGAGCAGTGCATCAACTGCAGCAACTATATATCATGTCAATCATGCAGCATGTCTGATTATTGTGAATGGTGGAATGATGACAAATGTGAGCGTCGTGGACGATCAGTTAGTGCCATTAAAGATCCTTTTGAATGTCCATCACAATGTCATGAACGAACAAACTGCACAAGCTGCTTAAATGACAAAGGAAAGTGCGTTTGGTGTCAGGCAACAAGTCAGTGCTTTAGCTTTTCAATCTACACAAGTGAATTCCAGTTTGGACTGTGTCGTGAGTGGATTGATCAGTTAATAGTGACGAGTACGATAGATATTAATGGAAATTATGGACATCATCAATGTAAAGCTTGTTCGATGTATTCGAATTGTTCTACTTGCTTAAGAAGCTTGAATTGTGGATGGTGTTATATGGAGGAGAATCCAATTGAAGGTCTGTTAATGATGTTTGGAATATTTGATGTCTAAAACTGTCTTTCTTACTCAGGTGCTTGTGTTGATGGTGACTTTAGTGGATCAGCCATGACTTGTGATGTAGCTTTAAATACGACAGAACCAACAATGTACAAGTATGAAAGCTGTCCTGATGTTGATGAATGTGGTCTTGGGATTCATGACTGTAATGTTAATGCTGAGTGCTTAAATACTCACGGATCTTTTAAGTAAGTGATCAAAAATTCAATTTTTTGGTGCAATTTCTAGTAATGAAAATTGTCTCTAAAGCTGTCAATGTAAGAAAGGATTTATTGGAGATGGAAAGCGAAAATGTGACAAAACCTGCGATGAGAAGTGCATTCATGGTCGCTGCTCAAACTATCCTGAATATAAATGCTTGTGTAAGTTTAAAAAAAAATCTAGTCAAAATTTATCAAAATCATAAAAATTTCTTTTCACTTAGGTGACCTCGGCTGGACTGGATCTGACTGTTCGATCAACTGTAAAGTGAGTGGATATTAAGTTTGAAATTTTTGAATTTTTTAAAATTTATTTCTTTTAATTTTTTACAGTGCAACAACCACTCAACTTGCATGAAAGGAGTTGGCATCTGTGATGAATGTCAAGATCATACAGAAGGCGAATATTGTGATAAATGTAAACTAGGAAGCTATGGTAATGCAACATATAGTGGATGCTTGGCATGTGAATGTCATGGTCATGGAAATGAGGTGCTAGGGAAGTGTGATCAAAAGACTGGGAAGGTAAGCTGAATTTTTTTTTTTTGGAGGGATTTTGATTGAATTTTAACGAAACTTGTTTAAAAATTGTCAAAAAATCAAAACTTGAAGAGAAAAAATTTTCAAAAATTTGTCAAAAAACTCAAAAATTTGTCAAAAAATTTCAAAAATTTGTCAAAAAATTTCAAAAATTTGTCAAAAAATTCCAAAAATTTCAAAAACTTGTCAAAAAAATTCAAAAAATTGTTAAAAATTCAAAAAATTTGTCAAATAATTTCAAAAATTTGTCAAAAAATTTCAAATTTTGTCAAAAAATTCCAAAAATTTGTCAAAAAATTTCAAAAAATTTCAAATATTTGTCAAAAAATTTCAAAAATTTGTCAAAAAATTCCAAAAATTTCAAAAACTTGTCAAAAAAATTCAAAAATTTGTCAAAAAAATTCAAAAATTTGTCAAAAAATTTCAAAAATTTGTCAAAAAATTCAAAAAATTTGTCAAAAATACAAAAAAAAATTGCAAGAAATTCAAAAATTTGTCAAAAAAATTTTAATCGTTTTTAAACGTTATTTAAAAATTTAAATTTTATTCAAAATTTATTCAAAAAAATCAAAAGCACTCAAATTTTTCTAAAATCAATTCAATGTCTTCCCAACATCTAGTGCTTCTGCATGGAGAACACTGAAGGTGACAACTGTGAAATTTGCTCAAAAGGCTTCTACGGCGACCCAAAGAACAACGGCAGATGCTACCTTCAATGTCAATCTCGAGCCATGCTTAAACCTGTCAAATCTCAAGGTATTGGTTCCTTCAAAAATCATCCAGGTGTCTCAGAATGCCTCTGGCTCATCAAATTAGAACCAAAAATCATCAATGAGAGTCTGATCATGTTTGATGTTGAGGATGACATGAACATCACGTGCTCGAACAATGGAATTTATGTCTACAACAGCATCTCTGAATTTTCAGACAATTTTGGACAGAAGCAGTTGCTTAGTGTGATTTGTAAGGAAGGAAATGCTGTGAATATTGCAAGAGAGTCCAAAACTGGTGAAATGGCAATTTACTTCCAAAAGACATCAACTTATGAAGCATTTAATGGAATTTTGAGTGTCTATAGCTGTGCATTAGGAACCTGTACACATCCTTATACTTGCGATAATTCAACAAACAAATGCAGATGTCCGGATGGATTCAAAGGATCAAAATGTGACATCGAAGTCTGCAAGTCAAACTGCAGTTTTGGGCTTAATCAAGGCTTTTGTGACACTATTAGCAATCAATGTGTCTGTACTGATGGATATGCTGGCGATGACTGCTCACAGCATGTTAAACAGACATCAATAGTCATCCATGAACTTTTCAATACCTTAACAGTAAGCAAGAACCTTTCACATCTCAAAAAGACACTTCCAAGATTTGGACATTCTGTCAATGCTGATCGTCGTGGATTTTTATGGATCTTTGGTGGATATTCACTGTCCAATGGAGCATTAAATGACATCAGGCAGTTTGACACAAGGAATCGAACATGGATGCAAGTGACAGTCGATGGAACTCTTGCAAAAATGCCACTCGGTCGATACTTTCATGCTGCTGAAATATCAAAGCAGTCAATCTACATCTACGGTGGATTAAGCAATGAATTTGAAGTTCTTGATGACTTTTGGGTCTTTAATGTTCACGAACATCGATGGACGGAAGTTGATGTTGATTCTGGGAATCAAAGTTTATGTAAAAATGTCATTTGTGGATCTCCTGGTGCACTAGCTGGACATACACTGACTGCTGTTAAGGATGAAGAAAATGAAGCTTTGATTCTCATCGGTGGATATAAAAATTCGACAGCTGTGAACGAAACTTTACAGAAAAGTTTAGAAACAACAACAGAAATTCCAGCAATTGAGCCTCAAAATTTGAACTTTTCAATCGTTTGGGAATTTAATTTTGAAAAGAAAATTTGGACAAACTTGAACATTAGTGGAAATGGACCGAAATTAATTTTTGGACACTCAGTTTCTTATCATTCACAGTCACAAGTTTTATACATCTTTGGTGGATATCAGCTGATTAATGGAAAGATTTTGATGTCTAAGAACTTGTTCACATTAAGGAAGTTGAATGGAAAGTGGTTCTGGAATGTCCTGCCTGTATTTAATGAGCTGAACAGACCTGAAGAGAATTTACCACGAGGAAGGTTCCTGCATTCATCTATAGCTTTCCAGAATTACATGTGAGTATTTTTGGGTTGATTTTTAAGGTTAGGATTAGAACTGGAATTTTTTAGGTTAGTTGTAAAACTATTGGAACTTTGAGGTTAGGTTCAGATTTGTAATTTGAGGTTAGGTTGAGACTGTAACTTTGAGGTTAGGATCCAAACTAGAATTTAATGGTTGAGAACTGGAATTTCAAGGTTAGGTTTGGAACTAGAATTTTAAAGGTTAGGTTTGGAACTGTAACTTTGAGGTTAGGATCCAAACTAGAATTTAAAGGTTCAGGACTGGAATTTCAAGGTTAGGTTTGGAACTAGAATTTCAAGATTAAGTTCAGATCTAGAATTTTGAGGTTAGGTAAAGGACAGCAGTTTTTAAGGTTAAGTTTAAATTTTGAATTTTAAGGTTATGCTAAAATTTCCTTCTCTCTCCATCCAGGATAATCCACGCCGGAGACACAAACCCATCAAATGCATCAGATTTCATGAATGCTTACATCTACAAATGCAATTCTTACATCCGACTAACAGAAGGCATTGAAATAATCGGAAACTCTCCATCCTGGATCTATTCACAAGCTGTAGCAGTCGAAACTGACTCGGACATCAACAGCTTCTATGTCATCGGTGGAATATCGTCACAGTTCAGCATCCATAAAGTATCGATTCCATCTGACATTTGTCAACTTTGGAGTGGATCAAAATACTTTTGTCGACTCAATCGTGGCTGCTCATTTGCAACAACAACATCAGCATCAAGCAGTTCTAACATAACTCGATCAACTTTGTGCTTTTCAAGTGATCAAAAAGAGACAAAACAGAATGAATTGACATCATCAGCATTTAATTGGGGTGCAGTCTGCGATGAACTATTGCTGAGTACCAGAAACTGCACTAGTTTTGTCACATGTGATGATTGTGCTGCATTGTTTCCTTATGAAGGATCATCAGCATGTCAATGGAGCACAAATAGGAAATGTTATGTTGACAAGAGACCTAAAAATGAGACAGAAGGAACCACGCCGCAGTTCTGTGCCTCAACTTCCGAAAAAATGACACAAAATATATCAAATTGTGGACAATTTTTCAACTGCAGTTCCTGCTTGGATCAAAATTGTGTCTGGACATCCAAAAGTCATCGATGCATGGAAAAGTCATTCACACCATTATTATGTTCAGGTTTAACATGCGGTGCCATCCTCCAAATCCCATCCGAATGTCCAAAACCTTGCGATTCCTACAAAATGTGCAGTAAATGCTTAACAAACTCAAATTGTGGATGGGAAGCAGGAACTGGAAATGGCAATGGTCAATGTCTTGAAGGGAACATCAACTATGCTTATGAAAAGTATGAACAGAATTCATGGAACTACCTGACATGTCCACCAGAAGATGAATGCACAAATGAACATCATAACTGTGATAATGTGACAGAAAAGTGTGTTGACTTGCTGGATGGATTCAAGTGTGTCTGTGCTGATGGCTACAAGCCAAGCTATGACAAGGAAGACATTTGTGTTCCAATTTGTAATCAAGGATGCTTTTTCGGTACCTGTGTACATCCAAATGTCTGCAAATGTGATTTTGGATATGTTGGTGCTAATTGCTCAATAGCTTGTCAATGTTCTGGTTTCAGCGACTGTGCAGGACCAGAACAGCTTGATGTATGTCTTAAATGCATGAATCATACTCGAGGATCGCGATGCGAGAAATGTGAAAAATTTTATGTCAAAAAGGATGGAAAGTGTGAAAGTTGCAGCACATTTTGTCATGGTCACACAGAAATTTGTGTCTCCTCGGACTTAAAAGACTCTAATGCAACAGTTACAGAGCTAGAAGAGATAATATCTGAAGGTCCATCAGCAGAAGACGCTGTATGCTTAAATTGTGGAAATTTCACAAATGAAAGACGCTGTGAGACATGCCTTAATGGCTACTTCCGTGGAACAACAAATCTCAATGAAAAGTGTCGTTCGTGCCTTTGTAACGGTCACGGAAATGAATGTGATCCAGTCACAGGTGAAAAGTGTAATTGTGGGAATAATACTGAATCTGAACAGACATGTCCAGCATCGACAAGTAAGACTGACAAGAACACTATTCAAATATTTCATTGTTATATGACTCAATGTACTAAATGTAAAGATTCATACAATGGACATCCAAAGAATGGACATCAATGCTATAAGCAGATCACAATTGAGTCAAGAATGTGCATTAATGAAGCAAAGCCGATTGAAGATTGTGAGGAAGCTCTTGAGAGTGGAAAAATGCAATTTTTCCAAATCCAACCAAGATTTTTGAATGTGGACATAAGGATACAAATAGATGTGACTGATGGGGAGATAGACCTGCAAATGAGCTCAAATGACGATTCATTTATTGTCATGACAAATCAATCCAATGGATTTCATGATGTTTTCTTAGATTCTAAGTATCAATGGGTGCAAACAACCTACGAGGATGATGAAAATACAAGCTTTATTCCAATTGTGATGTCAGCTAAGAAGTCGGAAGGTTCTAGTTCCCCAATAATATATAAAGTCATCGATCGATTCGCAAATGATGCAGCTTTGAGTACTTACATAACCTTAAAGCAACACAATGCATTACTTAGAGTTTTTGGCATTAAGAACCGATTAGTCATAACTTTACCGCAGCATATCCATAATCTTAGTGGAACTAGGTTCTTTATAGCCATTCGTGCTGTCAACAATGCTGTTTTTACGACTGGAATCATTTATTTTAGACAGGATCAACTGCATATTGATCTTTTTGTATTTTTCTCAGTATTCTTTTCGTGCTTTTTCCTATTTTTGGCTGTTTGTGTTGTGATATGGAAGGCTAAGCAGGCGGCTGATATGAGACGAGCGAGGTGAGTTTAGGGAACTGGATTTTTAACCTCAAAGTCACTTTCTGAATCCTAACCTCAAAACTCTTACAATTCTAACCTTAAAGTTCCTTTTTAAATCCTTACCTTAAAGTTCTTCTCTGAAACTCAACCTCAAAAATTTTGATACTAAAACCTAAACGTCAAAAGAATCTAACCTCAAAATATATCTTTTTTCCAGACAACGCTACGCTGTAGAAATGCTCAACATGGCCCAGCGACCTTACTCATCAGTCCTACTAGATGTGACGCCAGAACTTCAACCAGAATCTCAAAGCTCTCCAAAGACCATTAAAAAATCTGATAACTACGTACCGGTGGCAATAGAGACTACATCCGATAATGTTGCAGCTATTTGTACAATTTTTATAAGACTTCCCGAAACAAAACTGAAAAGACGACCAGTTTGTATGGGCTCAGCGCTGATAAGTGCACCAAAACAAAATGCTTTTCTTAACAAACCAACTCAACGGGTAGCTCAGCATATTATGTAGATAGTTGTTATCACTTGGAGTGTTCTCATTAAGTCCTAAATTTTGTCAATGAACAATTTTTCTCTCGCATTTGAAAGCAAATTAAATTCTAATTATGTAGTTAATGTACAGACTCGAATGAAAAAAAAAATTATTAATATAAGAAAAAAATATTATTTATAAAAAAAGAGGAACTTAAAGTTGTTTAAAATAATTTAAATGTTTAGTGGAAAAAGATGTATAAAATAAATAAAAGAATGACATGAAATGAATTTTCATAAAAAAAATAATTTCTTTAGTAAAACATGGAATTAGAGCTAGGCAAGGGGGACAGTTTGAAGATTGATCCACACTTAGCATTTAACTAGGGTTACCATCTAATTTTCATGAAAATACAGGACTTTTGGTAAATTTTTTCGAAAAATACAGGACATAGAGTGAAATTCGAAAATTAACGGAAATTTTCGTGAAAAAAATACAGGACCTGGAACAAAGTTTTCAAATTTATGCAGGACAGGGTTTTGAAATACAGGACTGTCCGTTGTAAAACTACGCAGATGGTCACCCTACATTTAACTTACAATTATTTACCCAGTTCTACCACTAAAAGGTAGAATATCCAATTAAGATTAAAATATGATCCTATGGGATACCCTGGAATATCTTATCTACTGATAGCTACCCTAATTAGGACTGGGCAAGGTAGTTCAAGAGACCCGTACATAACATAGTCTAGATCAGTGGAGTCTAACCCTTTTTTGTGCGACTGCACACTTTGGTGATAAACCGTTACCGAAATTGAAAGCGTTTTTTTTGGAATTTTCTGATTTTATTTTGCGGCGCACTAGTGTGTCCGGGCACATGAATTGACCATCAGTGATTTAGATGAAAATAGTCTAGAGTAGGCGCGTAGCCAGGACGGGGGATTTGGGGGATAAATCCCCCAACTTAAACAGTTTTTTTTTTATTTTGCTAGGGTTTTTATGAAAAAATGACAAAAATTCCCCCCTCCCATTAAATTTTTCCATACAAAAAAAATTTTTGTCCCCCCCCCCCCCCTCTTCAAATTCCTGGCTAGGCCCCTAGTCTAGATATAAAAATATTATAAAGCATGTTATTCACTCTAGTATGCGAAATCACAGCACGGTTCAACCAATTTATCAAACATGACCCTAAAGACCTAGCTTAAAAATACAAAGTTCCTTATAAAAATATCTTCATTTACTTTATTCATTTCCTCAGTTCCAAATAACAATTTTATTATTTTTTTTTCTTTTTTTTGTTTTCAAAAAAATATTAACAAAAAAAATTTAAATTTTTTTTCTTAATTTCCAGTACAAAACATGTTAATTTTTTACGTCTCCATTCCAAACTCCCTGCTCAAAACTGTTAAATCTTTCTTATCAACATAATCTTGTAGATTGTGCCTTCCAGCCAGTGAGATGCACATACGCAACGTTGACCAAAGAGTATCTGACATCTGATTATTCATATTATCAATGTTAATTCCAGCTCTTTGTTTTGAACTCGCTTGATGGTTAAGTGCCAATAGTAAGTGCTCAGCAGCTTCCTTATAGGACTTTAAGTTGATGCAAACAACACCAACATTGTATCTAGCTCTTATAAATCCAGGTTCAATTTCTAGTGCACGCTGGTAAGCACCGACAGCTTCAATTGGTCGATTTCCATTAGCATAACTGGCACCGAGTCGGTTCCATAGCTTTGCATTCTCTGGAGAGATTTCGACAGCAGCTTGAAAGCAGTCGACTGCTTTGTCGTACTCAGATGACAGATTGAAGAGGACACCAAGAGCTTCTTGAACATCCGGATCGAAATTGCCTGTTGTTGCATTTTGATGCACTGCTTTAATAAACAAATCTTGTGTCTCTTGCAGGTCCATTGCTTTTATCCTCGATGTTGTGATCTCTTCAATCCCTGACGCCTCATCAATAACAGGCTGAGCTAAATTTGTGTATTTTGGATTCGCTCGAAGCCAATTATTAAGCATTTTTAATGCCAAACTTTGATAACTTTCATTTGTGTAGGAAATGGCGAGGGATATCAGCACAGGTAAGTTGTTTGGCTGCAATTCCAGTGATTTTTTCAGTGCTGCTATGGCATTTGGATCTTTTTCATTTTCAGCTTGTGACGTTCCTAAAAGTTTCCATGCTTCGGCATTTTCCGGTTCCTGCTTCACGGCACTCTCGAAGCATAGCACAGCAGACGGGATGTCACCTGCTGATAGGAACGCTTTTCCTTTTTCTAAGGCATTTTCCACATCAATCATTGGATTATTTTCATCAAATTTATATTCTTTATATGGATCATAGTAGTCACCAACATCATTAAGCCATGGATGTTCCTGGCTGTTATCCTCTGATGACAACTTCTTCCATTCATCTTGTAGACGATCCCAAAATTCTTTATTATATTGCTCATTAAATTCTTCTTCTGCTTTCTTCGTCTCCTCGAAAGTCGCTGTCCAATCTTCTGCGACTTTTTCCTCGTCTTGCTTTGTTATTGCTTCTACTTCTTTAAAAAAGTCATCTGCCGTTGACTCTGATTGATGTTGTTGATCGAAAAACTTTTGTGTCTCGGGATGAGGAGCGACTGCTGATGTTGATGGAAAGAATCGACTGTAGTCTGGTCGCTGGTATGGACGGTATTGGTTCATTGATGTCGATGGCAGTTCATTGACACTCCAGACATTATTTGAGACGTTTGTGTAGTTCGTCGAGAGGGATTTTTGCCAGAACTAAAAAATTAAAGAAATGTTGATTTAGAATTTAATAAAAATTGAAAGTTATAAGCCAAAATCTGGTACTTTTCTGGCTTAGAATGAGAAAATACAGTTGAATCCTGGCACTGAAGCTTAAAATCTAGAACGTTACTGGCTCAGAATGTAAATTTTACAAATAATTGTTGTTTAGAAGGTGAAAAATAGTACGATTAAGGCGCAGAATGTGAAAATCTACTACATATCTAGCTCAAATGGTAGAAATCTAGTACATCTCGTGCTCATAATATAAATAATCTGGTACACCTCAGGCTCATAATATGAAAATCTAGTACATATCCGGCTCAGAACGTAAAAATCTAGTATATTTCCGACTCAGCAGTAAAAAATCTAGTACATTTCTAGTTCAGAAGTAAAAATTCTATCTCAAGTATGTCACAGACAAACAAAATCTAGTTCAAATTAACTTCAAATGTAATAAATCTAAGAAAATCTAGTACAAATTTGAATTTGAAGCTCTAAATCTAGTACATTATTAAGCCATGAAGTTTTAAACTAGTTAAAAATCTTCATTCGAATAAACTGGATATTTACTGTCATTTCCATTGTAAATCCCAACCAGTCTAGACAGAAGAAATAAAAATGATAAATAATGACTTTATCTAGCACAAAAATCACCAGAATCATCTCTAATCACTAAAACACCAAAATTCATTGATCTCAAAACTCACCTCAGCAAACGAACTATCAGCGCCAGCCTCCAACGGCATCGCCACTGGATTAACTGTATCTTGAATAACTTCATTGACCTTCGGTCCCATAACTGGTTGTTGAACGATTCTATCCATTTCTTGCATCTCCTTCAGCAGCATGTCCATTCTAAAAGTCTAATTAGTGCATTGATAAGCATTTTTGATCACTGTACAAAGTCCATGTCTACTTACACCTTCAGGTTGAAAAGTTTTTTCATGAAAATTAGCCGAAATTCCTTCATCTCTGAGCGCTGTATCGGCTGTCATCTGCTTCCCGAGACGCATTAACGGGTTCACATTGCCACACTCATTCTCCAGGACGTCCTTGAAGTTCATTGCACTTGGAATTTTATCAAAATATGCAGGAGAAAATTTTTTTTATTTAATGTTCTGTGGGCTGAAGTTGAAATTTAATGTCTGAGTTTCGTGAGAGAAAAAGAAGAAGAAAAATAAATAGTCATGAAATGCAGAAAGTTTTTTGATTTTTTCAAAACCGTTATAGATTTTTTTGGAGCATTAGAATTTATTTGATGTGATTTCTGATCTTTGTGAGGATTTCTTATTGGAATTTTATTTTTATTGCTTTTGTGGGTCTTATCATGTCACAATGGAAATGGTTTGATATCTGTGGATGGTATCTGATATGGAATTAGCTTCAATTGTTAGTTTTAAGACTAGATTTTGTGATTTTGTAGAATTTTGATTAGGGCTCGTTCACTTATTACGTAACGCAAAAAAACGAGTTTTTAGACCCCCCCCTCCCCCCCTGTAACAAAGCGTAACAAAATCTTAGACCCCCCCTCCCCCCCTAGTGCGTTACGTAATAAGTGAACGAACCCTTACACTATTCTTGAATTTGGTATGTATTTGGTCAATAATCTAGTACCTTTTAAGGAATATTATAGATCACTTATAAAAAGTTCTAGATTGGAGATAAAACGTTCCAGATTACGCTTAAATGTACTAGATTATAATTTGATGTTTTGATTAATAACTAAGTGCACTAGATTAATGAGATATTGTACTAGATTAATGACTTCATGAACTAGATTATTGACATATCACACTTGATTAATGATTTATTGTACTAGATTGGTGACTTAATGTACTAGATTTTTAACTTAATCTACTAGATTAATGACTAAATGTCTTAGATTAATGACATAATGCACTATAGCAATAACTTAATGTACTAGATTGATGACTTAATGTAACATGTTAATGACTTAATGCGCTCGATTGATGACTTAATGCACCAGAAATGATTTAATGGACTAGATTAATGATTTATTGTACTAGATCAATTATTTAATGTACTAGATTAACGAATTAATGTACTAGATTATTTACTTAATGTACTAGATTGATGACTTAATCTACTAGATTAATGACTAAATGTCTTAGATTAATGACATAATGCACTATAGCAATAACTTAATGTACTAGATTGATGACTTAATGTAACATGTTAATGACTTAATGCGCTCGATTGATGACTTAATGCACCAGAAATGATTTAATGTACTAGATTAATGACACTTCTTAATACACAGAAACTGCTAAATTGTTTTACAAAAAATCATAGCAACTTAAAATCGATTTTAAAAAAATTAACGGATTCTCGAACATTCAAATCAATTTCGAAAATCACCAACACAGTTACAACATTAAAAACAATAGAGGAATGCGATCAATAAACAATTTTTACAAAATTTTCTCTTTTCAATATAAAAGTAATTAAAAATTGAAAAAAATCAATCAAATCTTAAAGTTTTTGAGGAAATTTTCTATTACTTTAGCTGTCAATCAAATTTTTCACTGACAATTCATAAAATTCTGGAAAATTTTCTCAAAAAATACTCAGATCATCTAAAAACTTATTCTGAATCTTTCTCAATTCAGGTAGTATTAGTCATTCATGGTTCAATGCTAATTATGTGAAACCTGATTTTATATTGCAACGTCAGTTGAGCAGAAAAGTCAAAATGGTGAGGCAAAAAACACTTTTTTATTCTATTAAATCCTAATTTTAAATTAACTTAACTTTTTAGTCCAAATTGACCGATGAACAACGAACAAGCCTGTTGCAGCCACTGTTAAATTCTAATGGATGGTCAATGGTCGAAGGCCGTGATGCAATTTACCGTGAATTTTTATTCAAGAATTTTAATGAAGCTTTCGGTTTCATGACACGAGTAGCCTTACTTGCTGATAAGATGGATCATCATCCAGAATGGTTCAATGTTTATAATAAAGTTCAAGTCACGATGTCAACACACGATTGCGGCGGGTTGAGTGAACGAGATGTGAAATTAGCCAATTTTATGAATGAAATTTCTAAAATGTAAGAGAAAAAAAAAATCAACTTGTTGAATGTTGTTGTGGTGTTCTGCAAGGTCATGTGTTGGAATTTTTGATGGAAATGTAGCAACAACAATGTCAAGGACGGATCATTGAGATTGACAATAAAGTTTAAATTCTTTTAAGTTTGTTTTGAGCTTTCGGTGAAATTTTTTTGTGTTTTTCTCAGGGCTCGTGAGGAGTAAAAAAAATTTTGATTTTCTAAAATCAGTTATTTATGTGATTGAAAAAAATCATGATTTTTCAAATCTACGTAAATCTTTAAGGAGGATTTTATTACGTAGACAAAATCCCTGCGTACTGATTTTGATTACGTAAAAACCGTTAGGATTTTAGTGACGTGAAGTTGAAATTGTTTACATTTTTTGGGAACTATTGTTAAATTAAATAAAATTCGTGATGGACGCAGAAAAACTTTTTCGATTCCATTTTACTTATTCACAAAGCAATGGAAAATATTTTTGTCGTCATTGCAGTGCGAGATTTAACTGTATTAGAAAAAATAATGAAATGCTGCATTCAGCCAAGAGTTTCTGCATCCGTAAAAAATTTTGATATTTTTAAGTTCTTGAAATTTAAATATTCCTAGACAGCCTTATGTTAGATACTTGTTTGGCTGTTGCTGCTACTCCTAGTAACCAGTCTTCTGTAGAGCGATCAATCAGTGAATTACGATTTCTTTTGAGTCACTTACGATCCAATCTATTGTCTGATTCCGTAGAAGACATAATGTTGTGCCACTTAAATTCTTCGTTATTTTCTAACATTACATTATGAAATTATTAAACAATTTCAATTTCACGTCACTAAAATCCTAACGGTTTTTACGTAATCAAAATCACTACGCAGGGATTTGGTCTACGGAATAAAATCCTCCTTAAAGATTTACGTAGATTTGAAAAATCATGATTTTTTTCAATCACATAAATAACTGATTTTAGAAAATCAAAATTTTTTTTACTCCTCACGAGCCCTGGTTTTTCTTGCATTTTTTGTGATTTAAACTTTCAGACTTTTTTAAATTTTATTTATTTGAAAAAGTTTATTTTATTTAAAAATTTTTGAATTTTATTTTTCAAAAATTATGAAATTTTTTTAAACATTTTTAAGAGAATTTAAAAAAATGAAATTTTAAATTTCAAGAATATATAACAGCAATAGTTACAAAAGTCATGAAATTCTGCAATTTTCTATTTTTTCCAACTTTTCCATAAATTTTAACATCAGTCAAATATTCTCCATCAGGTGCGAATGGTAAGTATAAGGTTGAAATACTGAAATTCGGGACAACGATCTTCGTCTAAAAATATGAAAAATTTAAAAAATAAAAAAAAAACTAATTTGAATTAAGGGGTCGTTCACTTATGACGTCTATAATTAACGGTCATTTTTCTATTGTAGTTTTCTAGTTGACCCCTTCTCCCCCTTCCCCTCCTTCCCTGGAAGTCATAAGTGAACGGTCCCTAAAACCTAGCAACCTTTTTAATTGGACATTTAGTAAGAATTCCATTTTTTTCAAACTCCTTTAAGAAAATTTGTATAAAAATCGATGCAGCTGTATTTTTTTGAAGTTTGCAAAGTTCCAATTTCGTGTTGATCAAAACAATTTGATAATTTTTGTCATCACCAGCAATCGACTTTTTAACTTGAAAAGTCATCTGAAAATTAAATTTTGAATAAAATCTGCAAGTTTTAAAATAATTTCTTACTATAAAGTCGTTGATTTCTTGCAAAATTTCACATTCTGCTGTAAAAGAAAGCGTGGTGAAGTCATCGGATGAAGTGTAAGTTATATTTGATTTTATGACGTCCTGGTCTTTTTTTGCTTCAAACTTGACTATTTTAATTTTTTTACCATTGCAAAATGTCTTAAATTAAAAGTTTTGTTAACATTTTAATATTTTTGTTATGCTTAAACAAAATTCTTACATTCCAAAATATAAAAATAAACAGAAAATGCTTAATGAACTTGTTTACTATTTGCATTTTGATAAACTAAAGAGTTTTAACAAAAATAATAATATTTTACAATTAAAAATCTATTAACTGAAACAAATATTTGAATGTTTTAATGACACTATTTCCTTATTTTGCAGTTTAGACTATTTTTAGATACACAAATGTATCAGCGAAATGTTTTTTTAGTAGAAAAACTCATTTTATAAAGCTCATAAAAGATTTTTTGGTAGAAAAATTTAAATCAGTGGTGAACAACCTTTTTATGTCACAGCACAACTTGGTGGTAAGCCATGATTGACACACGGCACACATTTCATGGGCTTTAACTATTTTGTCGTGTCACACTAGCGTTCCGCGACGCATAGGTTATCCAAAACTGTTTTAAATGATCCTCCAAGAATTTGAGAACCCCTGTCCATTAGAAACTATGTAGCATGTCTTACAAGATTTGACTTTTTAATAATTTACAATTTTTTAAAAGCTCTTTCATATCCGCCAAAAATGGCATCTGCACATTCATTTGCTGCACTGGAAGCACCATCTGATCCACTATGCACTGCGCCTGCTAATGCTGCTGTACCTGTGGCAACAGTTCCACCAACTGCGACAAATGGAGCCGCTAAAACAAGACCCGTGCCTTTTACAACTTTACCTAGAAAACTTCCAAATGAATTTTCTGATTCTTTCCTTTTTCTTTCTTCTTGTTCCAATCGTTCTTGTAAAGCATTTTGATTCTTTTCTAGTTGCATCTGATAGTTCCTCCATTCCTTCTCTTTTTGCTGTCTTTCTTCCTCAGCTTCTCGACGTTCTTGTTCCATTCTAGCTTGAACCTCTCTAAATTCAGCTTCCTTTTGTCTTTGCTCACGTTCTGCTTGTTCCATTCTTCTTCTTTCTTCTTCTAGTTGGATTCTGTGTCTTTCTGCTACCTTATTTAATTCTCTGAACCTTCGCTCTTGGACATTTTTGAATTCTTCGTAAATTTCTTCAAGCTTTTGATTAAGTTGGTATTTAAAGGACTCCTTCTGTTGCCTGTCACCCATCTTGTCTTCATCGTCGTACATTTGCGTTGCTAAGTACTTCCCTCTTTTATGAGCTTTTGGGATATCTTCCTCATGCTTTAAATCGAAATTATAAATCCCTGCCTTATACTGCTCGATACACTTCTTGATCAAGTTGCTCATGTTGCTCTCAAGGATGAATTGATATAAAGTTGGCGTTTTTGGAATTTCGCCAGACTGGAACAGCTTTAAGTATCGCTGGATGTACACTTTTACTTCCTTTACTGCCAATTTTTGTGAATTAATCTTTTTTAATGTCAATTTTTCAGGCATTAAAAGATGTTCGATGACATGTTTCAGCTCATTCTTGAATGTTTGATCCATTTTGGACCATTTACCATCGTAATTTTTGGAGCCTGCAACATCCATTCCTGGATATGGCAACAAACAACAACCAATTTCTTCAAAGGAATTTTTTACAAATTCTCGAACTGAACGTAATTCAGGTGCATGTGATGACTTGATTTTGAGGACTTCCTCTTCAAAATATTTCTTACCACCATTAGGACCGAACTCATAGTCATCAAAGTTTTGCCAGTCACGAATAAGAAATGTTAAATTTTGAAATGGCTTTCCATCCATTCTTCCATTTTTCTTTGCATTGAACTGCGCAAATTCAGTGGCAAATTGTAAATATTGAAGCTGATCTTCCTGAATTTGCTGCTTAAGATTGAGGACTTGAATTGATGAAATTAGAGTTCCAAGAGCAAAAATTCTTGAATTATCAGTTGGAGTTGAGTCGTTGTCGAACAATCCTTGCGTATCCATAATGAAGATTGCAACTTCCTCTCCAGTTCTATCTATTGTGTGGAGGAAGACATCACTCCAAATATTGATGCCGATAGTTTCCCTTTTAGCACCTGAACGCCATGAGAATCCTTTAAGGGGTTCATCAGGTTTGCCCATCCAGTTGTTATCTTTTCTGAAAAAGAATTGAGTCGGTTTGCTTGGGTTGTTGATGGACGGGAACTTAAATGAAAAATAACATAGTTATTGAGTGTATTCTTATGATAAATGCAGCATGCAGCTTGCATTAAGCAGCATTATAATACTCACATGAGCGTAGAGGAACCGCAAGCAATAGTCCAAGAAGAAACTCTTGCCACCTCGAAATGCTCCAATTAATGACAAAATTACAACTTTGCGATCTTGAATTTCTGGATGATTAAAGATCTTTTCAAGTTCTCGGTTGTCGACGATGACTTCCTTATTATCTGAGAATGTTAAGATGCTAATTGGCTTTCCATGTGGATGAGTGTGATCCATTTTTGATGACTTTACTTGACTAAATTAATTAATTAATAACTTAGCTCTTTTGTCGTGTTTATGTGAAATTAAATAATATGAAAACATATAACAATAAACTGATGACTAATAAACCAAATCAAGTGTTATCTTTCAATTGATTAAACCTTTATAAAAGTTGTGCTCAACTATTTAATCAAAAATGTTGTCGCATTCTACAAAGAAAGGCCATTGTTTATAAATGGAACCATGTAAAGCTGCTAGAAATTATAGGAAATGTGATAACAGAAAAGATAAGCAAAGGTTTGGTCGATATTTATCATGTTATACAGCCTTTACATACGGTTTCTAAATTTTTTTTATTTTGTCATATCATCAAGATTACAAAAGTTAGGTATTATATTAATGCTATTTCTTAAAATCTTCATTGAAGTTGTTATAAAATGTTAAAATAATCAAATCTTTAGTTTTGTTATGCGACAGCTTTCCCTAGCGATACCCACTTCCAAACGTCCTGCAATTAAGGAATATTGTAACTCTAAGACTCCCACCATTCTTTCCATGCATTTCCAAAGGCTCCAAAAGTAGCTTCAAATGTTTCTCTGCCTTGTTTATCAAAACCTTCGCGTCCATCTTGAATTGCACCTTTGACCATAGAATAAACAGTTGCAACCTCTGAACCAACAACAACAAAAGGCGTTGCTACTACCAGACCAGCTCCCGAAACAACTTTTCCAGCATAATGTCCAAATGAATTTTTTTCTTCATCCAAGCGTTGTTGTATAGCAGCACATTCATCATCGTGTTTCTTCCTGATTTCATTCAATTTTCTTTCTGATTCTTCTGCGGCTCTCTTGATGTCACGAGTCATTCGTTCTTGAGCTGCTTTTAAGTCAGCTTCCAATTTAGCTCGTTGTTGTTCAGCTTGTTTCTTTATTTTCCTTTCTTGCTCAACTTTAGCATGGCATTCATCTTCTTTCTTTTTTAATTCTTTAAATCTTTGTTCATGAATATTCTTAAACTCGCTGTAAACTACTTCCAATTTATTATCAAGCTGTGCTTTATATATCTCCTCATGCTGCTTATCACCGATTTTTTTGCTATCATTGTAAAACTTTAGTGCTTCATACTTCCATTTCTTATGGACGATCGGGATACTTTCTAAATTTTTCAAATTTTTATCATAAAAAATTCCTGTTTTATATTTATCGATGCAGTCCTTGATCAAACTGTTCATGTTACTTTCAAGCATAGACTGAAAAACTGTTAGTGCCTTTGGAACATCACCAGACTGAAATATCTTTAAATATTGTTCAATGTAAACTTTGACTTGCTTGACTGTCAATTTTTGTGAATTTAATTTCTTTAATGTCAAATTATCAGGCATAAGAAGATGCTCAATGACATTTTTAAGCTCAATTTTGAATTTTTCATCCATTTGTGTCAAACGTCCATCAAATTGAGGAGAAGTGGCAACATCAGTACCTGGGTATGGCAATAAACAACAACCAATTTGATCAAATGAATTTTTTATATATTCACGAACTGTTTGCAATTCTGATCCTTGTGAAGGTCTAATTTTAAGAACTTCATCTTCAAAGTACCTTTTTCCACCATACGGTCCGTATTCGAATTCATGACAGTTTTGCCAGTCACGAATAAGAAATGTTAAGTTTTGAAAAGGTTTTCCATCCATTTTACCTTTATTCTTTAAAGTGTATTGAGCGAATTCTGTTGCAAATTGTAAATATTGAAGTTGATCCTCCTGTACCTGATGATTAAGGTTTAAGACTTGAATGGAGGAGATCAAAGTTCCAAGAGCGAATATTCTCGAATTATCAGTTGGTGAAGAATCTCTGTCGAAGAGTCCTTGTGTGTCCATGACGAAGATCGCAATGTTCTCACCATTTAGTGTATGGAGGAAGACATCACTCCAAATATTGATACCGACAGTTTCCCGTTTTGTTCCTGCGCGCCATGAGAAACCTTTGAGCGGTTCATCAGGCTTGCCGATCCAGTTGTCATCTTTTCTGAAGAAGGTTTGAGTCTGCTTGCTTGGGTTGTTGATGGACGGGAACTTAAATGAAAGATAACATAGTTATTGAGTTTGTTCTACAAAATCTTATGATAAATGCAGCATGCAGCATGCAGCTTGCATTAAGCAGCATTATAATACTCACATGAGCGTAGAGGAACCGCAAGCAATAGTCCAAGAAGAAACTCTTTCCACCTCGAAATGCTCCAATTAATGACAAAATTACAACTTTGCGATCTTGAATTTCTGGATGATTAAAGATATTTTCTAGTTGACGGTTGTCGACGATGATTTCCTTACATCCTGAGAATCTTAAGATGCTAACTGGCTTTCCATGTTGATGAGTATGATCCATTTTTGATGACTATTTGAGACTGAATAAAGGAATAATAATTTGGCTTATGTCTTATAAAGTGAATATATAACAAAGTGATTGATGACGTCGATGCTGTATAACATTAAAGTTATAAATTTTAAGCGGCATATCTGTTATATTTGTTATACTTGATATAAAATGTTATAAAGCTTCCACGTCATCAATTACTTTGTTATATATTCACTTTATAAGACATAAGCCAAATTATTATTCCTTTATTCAGTCTCAAATAGTCATCAAAAATGGATCATACTCATCAACATGGAAAGCCAGTTAGCATCTTAAGATTCTCAGATAATAAGGAAGTCATCGTCGACAACCGAGAACTTGAAAAGATCTTTAATCATCCAGAAATTCAAGATCGCAAAGTTGTAATTTTGTCATTAATTGGAGCATTTCGAGGTGGAAAGAGTTTCTTCTTGGACTATTGCTTGCGGTTCCTCTACGCTCATGTGAGTATTATAATTCTGCTTAATGCAAGATGCAGATTTAGCTATTATTGCACGTTAATTATCATTAGACTTAGTAAAATACATCCAATAACTATGTTATCTTTCATTTTAGTTCCCGTCCATCTACAACCCAAGCAAGCACAAACAATCATTCTTTAGAAAAAATGACTACTGGATAGCAGGTCGAGATGAACCCCTTAAAGGATTCTCATGGCGTGCAGGAACAAAAAGGGAAACTATCGGAATCAACATTTGGAGTGATGTCTTCTTACACACAATGGATAGAACTGGTGAAAAAGTTGCAATTTTCGTCATGGACACACAAGGACTCTTCGATACCGAGTCAACACCAACTGATAACTCGAGGATATTCGCGCTTGGAAATCTGATTTCATCAATTCAAGTCCTCAATCTTAAGCAGCAAGTTCAAGAAGATCACCTTCAATACTTACAGTTTGCGACTGAATTTGCTAAATTTGCACTAAAGAAAAATTTGAAGCCGGAAGGAAAACCATTCCAAAATATGACATTTCTGATCAGAGATTGGGAAAATAATGAGGAATTCCGCTACGGTGCCGCAGGTGGACATAACTATATCAACGAAGTGCTCAACATAAAGCAAGATCAAAGTCAGGAATTAAAAGAAGTCAGAAAGTCAATTTTTGATTCTTTTGAACATGTCAATTGTTATCTGCTGCCATATCCAGGAGAAGTAGTAGCTGGATATAAGAACTACGATGGTCGATGGTCTGAAATGGACACAACATTCAAAGCTGAGCTGAAAAACTCAATTGAGCATCTTTTACATCCTGATAACTTAGTTATCAAGAAAATAAATGGTATAGACATAAAAGTCAATGAAATGAAGCTATATCTTCAAGCCTATATGATATTATTTCAATCAAATGAAATTCCACAGGCACTCAGCGCCTATGAGTATACAGTCGAGAGTCACATGAATAATCTGATTGAAAAATCTGTCAATGACTATAAGCTTACAATTTATCGAAATGCTGACTTGATTAATGCACAAAATAGACAGATTGTCCATGAAAAGTGTAAGGAACGAGCCTTGCAGCAATATAATGCTGAAAATAAAATTGGAACTGCTGAGCATGACTATAGATTCAAAATGAAGTTGACAGAAGAAATTGATAAAATTTTCGGTTATTTTAAGCAACAGAATGAACAAATTATTAAGGAAATGGAAAAGGAACGTGAGAAATTTCAAACTATACTGGACAGAGAGCAGCATCAGCGACTAGAAGCTGAGGAAGCAAAGAGGCAAATAGAAAATCAGTTGAATGAGCTAAGAACACTGAAAACTAAAATGGAAGCTGAAGAATATGAAAAAAGGACGAGAATGCTGCAAGAACGAGTTCAAGCTGAGCAGCAACGGATGCAGGAATATGACAGCAGGTTTAAAGATGAACAAAGTTTTAGAAAAACGCTAATGGCGGCAATTGGAGTGACTTTAATTGGCATTGCTGCTTTAACAACTGGTGGTATAGCAGCTGGTGCAGCCGCGGTAAGTGAAACAGTTGTGGCTGTAGGTGGTGCTGTTACTACAGTTGGTGCTACTCTTAATGCTTGCTCAATTATGTAAGAATTAAATATTGTAAACTTAATAAAAATAAAATACAGCATAAGTTTATACAACGGTTCATTAAGAATATTATGAAAAAATCTTAAAAATTGACACAGTCATCAAAAAGTTTCGCATCTTCTTGGACTTTCCAAACTTCCCATAAACTTTGGTTTCTAAGAGAACTTCTCCTTCTGGAATAAATGCGATGTCGCTGATGGAAAATCGGAAATTAGGCACATTTATGACACCCTGGAATGGTAAAAATTATAAGAATATGAAAAATTTGCTACAGGCAGCAAATCAGCTCAACCTTTTTTAAAGGACATTTCAGATCAATTCCATTTTTTTCAATCTCTTTCAGGAATATTTGCAAGAACGGCGATGCTACCGGATTTTTTTGCATCTTGCAGAACTCAAACTTTGTATTCAATAGGATGTATTGATAGCTTTTGTCACTTTTGTCTCTAGACGTTCTAGCTGAAAACTGAACCTGCAATATTAAAGACTAATAAGTAACAAGTTTTGATAGCTTTTTTAAAATGAAAAGTACCACAATGTCGTCAATGTCTTGGAGGAACTCAAAATCAACCGAAAATATCAAAGCTGAAAAGTCATCCGTTGAAACTTGCGTCAAGTTTGCTTTCACGACTTCCTGGTCTTTTTTGAACTCAAATTTCAATGTTTTGATCTTCTTTGCAGACACTTTGTTCTGAAAATGATTAATTTAAGTATAAATAATAGCTTTTTCCTCAAATTAATCCACAAACTCAACTAAAATGATCATTAAAATACTAAAAATGACAATAACTTTGATTTTTTTCATCCTAAATACTGCAACAACTTCAACAAAATGAAGCTCAGACTGGAAAGTAGCACTACAAACTTCATTCAACTTGTAGAAAAACAAAAGAATCTCAAAATAGTATCAAATTATCCAAAATTAAAATAATTTGATCAAAATTATTAAAAACTTTAATTGAACAAATCCGGTTAATTTTATCACAAATTTGCAATTAAAAAATTAATTCATCATGAAGTAATCTTTACAATCATTTGAGTCATGAGGAAATTTCGAAGCTTCTTGACACTTCCAACTCGCCCATACATTTTGAATTCTGCCATAATTTCTCCATTTGATATGATTGGAAAGAAGCTGACCGGGAATCTCAGATGTGGGATATTAATGACGCTCTAGAAAGAAAATAATTATTGTTATTCAAGGGCCGATTTCTAAGGCTGTCCCGGGCACTTTACCCTAGTCTCAGATTTATTTTATTTATATCCCAAATTATGGAATATCGAATTTTATTTTTGCCATAAGATATCCCGGGTAGACCTAAAAGCCGGTTCTTCCGGCCTGATAACGAGGCATTTTGATATTGTTTTGAATATTTGGAAGTGGGTTCAGAGTTGTGCAATTCCGATGAAATATGATCAAAATATTAATCAGTTCCGCACCATCAAATTAGATAAAAAAGGAGAACAGGAAAAGGTTGGAATCGGTTTAGAAATGGCTTTTCTCTTAAAAATTAGGGTCTAGAATGTGAAATTGAGGTAAAGAAATAAGAAACCAAGATTAACAAATAGTTGACTGGGAATTTATACATCTATGGCATGTAGAGCCAACGGAATATAGTTTAAGTGCCAGGGGCGTAGCCAAGAATTTGAAAAAAGGGGGACAAAAAATGTTTGGAATGGAAAAATTTAAGGGGGAGGGGAGGATTTTTGTGATTTTTTCATAAAACCCCTAGCCAAATAAAAAAACTTTCTGTTTACGCTGGGGGATTTGACTCCCTAATCCCCCCCGCCCCCCCCCCCCTGACTACGCACTTGCTAAGTGCATCAATGTGATTAGCAATCGACTACTTTTACTTTTGCAAATTTAACAAGCTGCAATTGAACCTTGTGCGACTAAAATAATCTCTAATTTCATACCTTTTGTAATGGACATTTTAAATTGATTCCATTTTTCAAGAGTTCATTCCAAAATCCTTGAAAAAGTATCGATGCAGCTGGATTACTTTGAAATTTGCAAAAGTCGACTTTTGTGTTTAACAGAATGTATTGAAAATCTTTGTCATTTTTATCTCGGGATGTTTTGGCTGTAATTTGAATCTGAAAGGATTTATAAAATTTAGAAAGATTGTGGTCGCTGATTAAAGCGTTGATCTTTTTTTATATAATGGTTAGCTAGAGAATCTAGGGCGTACAACACTCTGAAGTACCCCAAGTAGTCCATAACTGTAACAAGGCATACCAACCCGACCGATCCCTAAATCATTTACCAAAACATCACTTAATTGCTGCAGAATCTCAAAGTCAACATGAAAAATGTAAACCGTTGAGTCTTCAGCTGCTTCGTATGAAATATTAGCTCTACAAACTTCCAAGTCCTTCTTTATCTCAAATTTGAGAATTTTTAACTTCTTTGAGTGTCCAAAAATCTAAAAAAAATTGAATAAAATTATTTTTGCACATCTTATGCATCAAATTGCCAACTCAACTGCAAAAAATATAATAAATGCAATGGAAAGGAGTAAATTCCTTCTTGACATTCTGACTTGCGATGGGTTAATGAGAACTTTAACATCTGTAATGATTGCTAATTATTTCTGTTAAATGCCAAAAAATTATGATAATTATTCATATCCGATCTAATGTTTATGGTTTTTCGGAGAAATATTTAATATAATTTTAATAAATTACCGTAAGCCAACTTTCAAAGCAGAGGCGTATTGAATCTTAGCATCGAACCAAAAGTAATAACATTGATAAAAACAATTTAATTTAAAAACGGAAGCAAAATGTTTAACATTCTAATTTTACAAGCTTTTCAGCTATAAAAGTTAAATTGTTCGATTCCAAAAACTTTAGTTTATCATTAGACAGCTTTAACAGTGACTATCACAGCAATGAAGGTTTTAAAACCTTTAATAACCATCACTTTTATCCATCAATTCCTGTACCTTCAAGTGACTGCTCAAGTTCTTCACTACAGCTTTCAAGAAGTTTTGTCAAATGATTACCGATGTGACTTCCTCTTTGTGTCATTAAAAGAATCATTCAAGAATGCAACGGAACTGTCAACTCCACATCTGCCTGACAAAACTGATGATGATGTGCAGTCAGTTGAGTTTCGTCATGGAGCTTTTAGTTTAAAATTTCCATCAATGATTTGTGACAAGTTCAAGAACCTTAAATCCATCAATATGGAAAGTGGATTTGTGGGAAAAGTTGACGAGAAAGTGCTTGAAAACTGCACAAATTTGGAAAAATTTAGGATGAATTCCTTGTCGGAGGATACATTGCCGGAAAATTTATTCAAAAACACTACGAAATTGAGGATGCTTTATATTTTCAGCATAAGCCTGAAAACATTATCTCGAGGAGTCTTAGCGACTGTCAATCAGACATTGACTGACTTAGAATTAAGTATCAGATCAGATTCTTTCACATTCCCATCGGACTTTCTTGTTCCTCTATCAAATCTTAGAAGTTTGGAATTAACAATCGGAAAATTGACTAACTTACCGCCAACATTCTTTGAAAATTCTGAAAAATTGGAAGTTCTTCGTATGGTTGAGTGCAACATTCAGGACCTTCCAAAAGACATCTTTAAACCATTAGTAAATCTCCAAGAACTAGACTTATCAAGAAATAATCTTAAAGTTGTCCATTCAGACTCTTTTGGATCCCATCCATCATTAATGACTGTCGACATTTCAGGATCTCCAACATCAATTGATCCAAAGTTATATCAATTGCCAAGTTTATTGTATGTTCGAATGCCAATAAGCTGTGGTAAAAGTATTTTAGTTGAGGATAATTTAAATGGAACTAAGATAAAGATGAATAGTGATAAATGCACAGCAAGCTATAAACCACGCTACTGAATGCTTTTATGAATAGTTAAAACTTGAATTTAAAATAAAGATAAAATTAAAAATAAAGTATAAGTTTTGGGGATCTACAGGATGATGTTTCTTAGACATTGTCGGGCTGCACGTATTCACATCTGGTAATCTGAATTTTTAAAATATTTTACTTTTGAGTGCTGTTAGGATTAAAAAGACTAAAGATCATATATATTCGAACCCAGGCTCGGTACTACTTAGTTTCCGAGCCTGGGTTCGAACAATGATTTAAGATTTACTATTGTGTAGTTCAATCCCGATGAGAATTTTATTGACAATATTTCTTATTTTGCTTAAGTTTGAATTAAAATGATAAGCTAGTCTTAATCAGAAATTAACACACTTTTGACTTGAATCTAGACACAAAATTCTCTTAACCAGAACCAAAAGTAAATAATCAAAAATAATTATTCAATTGATTAGTTTATTGCCAAATTTGCCTCTTTGATGTTAAATCAATAAGATGCTTATCGTGGCTTATAATTCTTAGTACAGTCATTGTCTTGATTCTTGGTGATAGATTTATCAAAATTCAGTTCCAATCGTTCATGCGTACCACAACTTCCAGCAAAACTTACATACAATAAGCTTGTAAATTGATAAAATTTCGGATCAAATGACACTAAATTATTTCCATCAAAGTCAGCAACCATCAAATCTGGATGTGATCCAAAGGAATCGGCGTGAATTGCTGTTAACTTGTTAGATGATAAATCAATGTATTGTAAATTTTTTAAAGGTTTAAAAATGTCTTTTGGAAGGTCACGAATGTTACACAATGGAATGCGTAGATTTATAAGATTTTGTAAATTTTCAAAGTAGTTTTGTGGCAGATCCACAAGATCAAATATTTGAAAAAATATAGTTTTCAGATTTGTCAATGAACTGACAAAGTTATCTGGAAATCTGAATGAATCCGAAGCTATATACAGGGTAAAGCTAGTCAAAGTCTGATTTATGCTTGTAAAAATATTTTTCGATAAAGTTTTTAAGGTTCTACTCTTGATGCTGACTGTATGAAGCTTTGAATTTTTACTAAACATTTTTTCATCAAGTCCATCAATGACATAAAGGAAAATTCTCTCCAATTTTGTGCACTTTTCAAATGCTTTCTCTCTGATTATTTCAACACTATTGTCTATAAAAATTGATAATACATTTTTAAACTTGTCACAAATCATCGATGGGAATTCTTGGAATGTTGATCCAGGAGTAAAATAAATTGAAGTCACACTATCGTCAGTTTTACCAGTTAAATGTGGTTTTGACACTTCTGTGATTTTATGAAACGGTTGCTGTAATGTTATAAATAGGCAGTCACATCTGTAGTCAGTTGATGAAGCGTTTTTAAAGTTGTAATGAAAAGTTTGTGCTGAGACATTTGGAAGATCCAGAAATAATTGAATTAGTAGCAAAACCATTGACAATTTCAGAATCATTTTAGATTGAAACTTTAGTCGGATTATCCAAAAATTAAAATGACAGTCTTTTTATCTACGGAAAGCTAGTTTTATAGACAACAGAGTCTAATTTTATTGTTTTGTTTGACATTCTACGTCCTGTTGTTAACAGTTTTGTCATCGATTATGACCACTTCTAACCTTGATAGCCATTCTTAACCATGACTTTTTGTTGTTACTCTTTAAAGCTAGCTCACTCACAGTCTGATCCCCTATGCAAAGCAGGATTGTGATACAGGCACCTGTGCATAGGTGAGAACCGTACAATTCTTCAATAATTCATAAGTTTTTTTCAACAAAACCATAAAAATTCTAAAAAAAACCTCACAAATTATCAAGGAATTGCATGGTTCTCACGTGTGCACAGTTGACTGTATCTCAACCCTGATGCAAAGAACACTGGTTTAATCAACAGCCTCTTACTCTTAAAGATGTCGAATTGCTAAGTGTAAGCATCATGAAATGACGAGAGCTTCTCAATCCACCTAATATTGTAGCTTGGAATGGTATGTGATAATCAGGCCTTCATTAATGATGTCCAACATTTAGGGGGAGCAGAGAGGAGAGAGAGGAGGTCTAGATCTTGGTAGAGTCTCAAACAAAATAATTCTTTTATCACCCATATTTTATGACAAAGGGCAAGGAGTGGTCAAAAAATTTCATTTTTCAATTGACTTTATTCATGAATAGGCCATAAAATGAGATGATCATATGCTGGACACTAGTTTGCAATTTTATTTAATTCAATTCAACATTTTACAAATTAGAAAAAAATCATCGTGGTCTATAGTTCCTGGTACAGTTGTTGTTTGCATTCCTATTCCTTGTTCCATTCAAACTATCATCAGCTAGTGTTCCTTCATGACAGCTTTCAGATAAGCTTACAAAAAGTAAGCTCGGGAATTGATAAAATTTCGGATCAACTGAAATAATGTTGTTGTCTGAAAAGTCAGCAATCATTAAATAAGGATGTGATCCAAATGAATCTTTATGAATTGCTGTTAGCTTGTTACTCATCAAATTAAGAATTTGTAAATTTTTGAGTGGTTTGAAGATGTCTTTCGGAAGGTTTCGAATATTGCAACTTATCATTTGAAGATTTTCTATGTTTTCCAAATTTTCGAAGAAATCTTGAGGCAGGTTTACAAGATTCTCAATAAAAAGCTGCAAAGTTTTTAGATTTGTCAGATTTGTGGTGAAGTTTAGTGGAAATCTGAAAGAGTCTGAATTTATGTGTAGATTAAGGACAGTCAATGTCTGATTTAAACAAGCGAAAACATTTTTCGAGATGGTATTTAAGCTGCCACTCAAGATTTTTACATTTCTAAACTTTAAATTTTTGTTAAAAATTTTATCGTCCAACTCATTCTCATGAATAGCATAAAGCTCAAGTTCCTCCAAATTTGTGCATTTATCAAATGTTTTGTCGCCGATCAATGCAGCAACAACTCGTTTCATAAAAATTGATTTTAAATTTTTGAACTTGTCACAAATCATTGATGGAAAGTCTTGAAATGAAGATCCGTCCTTAAAACTGAAAGAAGTTACATCATCGTCAGTTCTGTTGTGTAAATGTTGTGTTGACAATATTGTGCTGTTCTGGTATGATTGTTTAAATGACATCAATAGACAGTCACATCTGTAGTCAGTTGAAACGACTTCTTTGAAGTTATATTGGATGACTTGTGCTGAGATATTAAGATCCGTAAAGAATAGAAATAATAAAAGAACTTTAAATATTTTTAAATAAATCTGAACCATAACTTTATCCTCAATGGATTCGAATGACACATCAAATATAGATTTTACATTTTTTAAGTGATAAAACCCATGAAATTGACATGTTTAACACAAGAACATCAACAAAACTGATTAAAAATGCTTAACATTTTAGTTTGACAAGAGTTTAAGCTATAAAAGTTGGATTGATTAATTCTACAATTTAAATTGAACAAAAGACAGCTTTGGGGATTGAGGAAGCACATGTCTGACTCCGAAGCTGACCAAATGTCAAATGTATACCTTCTCATGGTATCCCTTGATACCGATGTTGACCGAGAAAAATGCCGAAATAGGTTCTTTAAAGCATAGATTGAAAGCATATTCAAGCAACTTTACCTCAAGGGTTGCAAAATCACAATCAGTCTGGGGGTCGTAAGGTTTACAACGAAATATTTCCGAAATTAACTTGTACAAAGAAAGCAAAAAACAGCTTAAACCATGAATATTGGTTGATTCAAAAGATCATTCTAACTTCAGCATTTAAATTCCTAAGAATTTAGAAGTTAAATGAATTATAAATAATAATAAAATTGATGCTTAACATTTTGCATCCACTTTTGATCGTGTAAACATTTGTGTGATTTAAGGCAATCGCTAAAGTTGACCAATAAGTCAAGTTTGCTTTAAAAAGTCAACACACGACCCCAAAACATTCTAAAGTGAACAAAAAACATTGAAAACATTATTAAAACATTAAAGTCAAACCAAAAACATTGAAGATCTACAAAACATTCAAACACTGACAAAACATTCCCAAAAAGCCATCAAAACAATAACAAAAGCATTCAAAAAGTTTCAATTTCACAAAAAATCCACAAAATTAATTCATTTAAAAACTAAAGTCAATCGAAATAAAGCATTAATTCGCACCACATCATCAATAAGATGTCCAAACAACCAACAATCCTCAAAAAGGCAGACTCATCACGCCAACAAAAGCAAAAACCAGAATCAGCACAGCCAAAAATCCTCACAAAATCCACACCAAAAGAAAATGTTCAAGTTCCAGCTCCAGTGACTGTCCAACAGCATCAAATCAGAAAGGAACCAGAACTTCAAGTCGAAGTGATGCCAATGAAGTCACGACAGCGCTTCATGTATCCGCATTTTAATATTGATCAAAAGATTTTCGAATATCTTGACAATGAAAATTCAGATTTCTTAGTCGTAGCTGCAATTGGAGTTAAAAATGTTGGAAAATCGACACTGATGAACATCATAGCTGATCAGGAGTATGTTAGGATTAATCCAGATGCAACTTATGAAGCATTTGTTGATGAACATGAAACATTTTCAACAAGAAAAGAACAAATTTATGATGGAAGTACAGTTGACATGTTCATAACTACAGACAGGATCTTTGTACTCGATACATCTCCATTAGCCAACAATGTCCAACGACGTGACATGATTGTTGCTGAAAGTGATGACCTTAAAATGCTGATAATGTTGTTTCAAATCTGTCATTTAATTATTGTTGTCCACAATGGATTTCCAGACCTGTCTCTGCTCAGACTCATCAATTCTGCAGACTCAATGATCCCATCCGATGTCAAGCACCGACCAAACTTTGTCTTTGTTGGAAATAACTTACAACCAGGCACAAAGTTACATCAAATTGATCCAAAAATTCATGCTGGATGCAACTTGATGATTCCAAATCTTCACAGCCAATCAAATAGCTTTTATCATGACATTCCACAAGTCATACAGGATTATCAAGAGCAAGTCTTTATGCTGAAGAGGTACAGCATGATGGAAGACGATGAGGAGATATTTACTGAAAAGAAGTGGTCACAGAGGGTGCTGCAAGTCATGGAATCGATAAAGAGTGACTACTTTTTGAGGAAGTATGATGGACTGAGGGATAAGTATCATCAACCTGTTGAGACTTAAAGCTGAGTTTTGAAGTGATTTTTAAAGGATTTGAAGTTTTTATTTGAATGAACTTAAGCGGATTATGATTATGCACTAAGTGCATCCTTAGGCAAGGTATACTAAGGATTAATAAGCCATACTTTTTGAATTGACGATAAGGTTTGACATGATTGGGTTTGTGTACCTGATTGGTATTAAAATGACACAAGGCATTTAAAAGGTGCAAAAATGTAGGACCTACTTGGACTTAGGTTGACCTGAACCTAAACATCATCAAATCTAGCTTCACATTAGCCTTAAGCCAGCTTGTTAACAAAATTTTGCAACTTTTGTAAATCTTGTGCCATATTAAGTATATTCTCAAGCAACACAATCAAGTATATACCCAATTGTATACTAAGCAACCGCCCATCTCCTCACACAGAATGTAAAAAATAATTTTCTTAAAAAATCAAAAATCAAATAAAAAAACATAAAAATTATTAAATCGAAGCAAGTTTTCCCCTCCCAACCTTCATGCCCAAGTAATACATTTTTCCTCTCGCGAATCCATTGAAGTCGGTCGATAATACAGTCGAGTAAGCTCCCATGTTGTTAAAAATCAGCCAATCTCCGATCTCGACCTCATTCATCATTATATTTTCAATTATCTTGTCTCTTGAACTGCACGTACATCCCCAAATTGTTGATAATTTTTGTTCTGCAATTTTTGATGAATTTTCATGGATTTTTGACTTCTTGATGACTGTAACATTCACAAATTGATTGTATGAGTATATAGATCGGAAAGATCCATAAACGCCATCATTAATGAAATAGTGGACATGTCCATTTTGAGAGTATTTCTTCAGAACTATTTGGGTCACGATAGACATTGCGGATATTGCAAAATACTGTCCTGGTTCTGCGATAATTTTTATATTTTCGTCATTAAAGTTCCTCTCAATCGCTGAATTTATAAAGTAAGCGTAGTTTTTGAGAAGCTTGTCATCATGTCCCATAAATCCACCTCCAATGTCCACAAGATGAAGTTCATATCCATAATTCTTAGCATAATCAAAAATCTCACGAACTTCATCAATGGCGTGTCCAAAAACTTCATAGTCAACTGTTCCTGAACCGACATGAAATGAGACACCGATGAGATTCAATTCCAGTTCTTTGCAAATTTTAACTAATCTTCGAGCTTCCATTTTAGGCTCAGCACCGAACTTCGATCCCAATTCAAAAAGAGACTTTGCAGCATCAAATCTGATCCTCAACACGACTTTAGCTTTTGGATGGAACTGCTTAATTTTTTGAAGTTCAGCTTCAGTATCGAAAGTCATTTTTTCAACTCCTTTTTCAGCTGCAAACTTTAAATGTGAAACTTGCTTGACTGTATGTGCAAAAATGATCCTCGATGGATCCACGTAGAGCTTCAAAATTTTTTCAATTTCATTTTTTGATGCGCAGTCAAAGCCAGTTCCGCAATTTTTGAGGACATTTAGGATGTTTTCATCGTCATTGCACTTTACAGCATAATGTGGGATGATCTGGGGTAGATTTTCGATCCAATTTTGATACTTTTGTTTGACTTGATTGAGATCCAGGATGTAAAATGGATCGTCGATGCCATATGAATGATTTCGATCAATTATTGTGGTTGCAAGCTTTAGGATATCCATTAAAGATGGAATATAATTAAAAACTGTGGCAAAATGATGAGTTTGTTTCAAATTTATATCAAATTTAATGTGATAAGTTTAGAAAAAAAATTCTTATTAATTTGTTTTGCCGACATTTAAGTTGGAAACAGCTAAAAAATACTCAGAAATCATTAATATTACGAGAATCATACCTTTAAATATCATGTGATGATATCAAGCTAATGATTTCCATTAAAAATCGTTACATAGATGTCGGAAGTGTTTCACAATATTGCTCTGAAAAATGATTCTAATTTGGTTTTTTTTTTAAAAAAATAAAAAAATAAATTTGATAGGTTTTTAAAGTTTATTTTAATAAAATGCATAACATAATGATTTAAATTGTGAGTATTATTTTTGATTTTCTTAAGTAATCCTCTCGAATCTTCAGTTTACCAGTGGTAGTTTAGAAGTTTTTGAGAAATTGATCCATATGAGCACCATATATAAACGAAACTTCATGAGATATTAATGGCAGTTATATGTTAAAATATTTTACCTTAAAAACAGTTTTAAAACTTTAAAAGCCTTCCAAAAATCGAATTTTAAATTTTTAACTATTGACACTTTCACAAAATCAATCTTTAATTTTCTTTCGTTTTTCAACAATTTCCTTTTTCTTATCATCCTCATATTTCCTTTTTGGTGAACAGCTCCTCCATCTGCAAATTTTATTCTCATTTTCTTGCTTTTTCATCTCCAAAAATCGTCGTTTTCGGTATTCGACCTCAAAAACCATCGCATATAACTGCTGAACTGTCCTCTGAGCGCATCTCATTGATGACTTTTTTATTGTTTTATTGTCAATTCCATTTCTTAGGATGTCCTTGATCGTTGAGAGTAGTTTGAGAATTTCATCGTCCATAAGCAGTTCCTCACTTAGGAAAAACTTTTTCTTCTCCATTTCTGCAGCTTTGACGTAAATTTTTCGGATTGAATTCTCAAAAACTCGAATTTCATCTTCAAATGCCAAAACTTGACGACAAACTGAAAAGACTGACCCGGGAGCATCAAATTCGTACCTTTTTGGATCTAAAATTTGTTCATTTGTCATTGAATGAAGCTCATCGATAAAGCAGCGCTGTTTTCTTGGTCTTCTTGGGATTTTTGGGTCACGAATGCATGACTCGATGAAATTGTCACTGTCGGAGTCGTCGAGAAGCTTATTTTTGGTCTTTGACTTGCCAATTATTTTAACCATTTTGTCTTCGTAGTCTCTGTGGATGACTTCTTGTGTCAGGTTCAAGTCCTCACGAAGTTGAGCATTTTTACGATTGATTTCATCATAATGAAGCTCCTCGAGTCGCAGAATGAAATATTTGATCCATTCAGGCTTAAAATTGTAACTTTTACTGTCAATTTTAAGGTCGACGATGTCTGGATAGCGACGAATGTAATAATTTTGCCATTCTTCAACGTACTGCGGATGCTTTTCAGGATTTTCTCTCAATTTTTTGTAATTTTCGTGAATTTTTGCCTCGGAAATGTCTGAAGATTCGTAAAATTTCTTTAATCGAGTCCTCAAACTTGAATTTGGAATTTCAAAAAAGCAGCAATTTTGAGTCTGCAAATTGTCATCATCAAAATCGATGCCTTCAAGCAGCATCGACGAATTTCCGAGTGATTTTTCATTAAAATTATTATTTACTGTGTTGATTGACTTGACAATTGAGTCTTTGCATGCCTCGAAGACTTTAAGGCTGTATTTCTTCACTTTTGGAATGACTAAATAGATTTGAAGTCGCTCAGAGATTTTGGACAGGCACTGCTCTCGAAAAGTTGAGATTGTGTTGAACTTTTTACTCGCATCGAGGATTTTCATTGTTGATGGAAAATTGAGCTCCTGAATTAAATAAAAAAGGAAGTAAAAAATAATTAGAATTTTTTGAGAAATTTAAAATTTCATGATTGAGTTATTTTATGCGACATTAAAATCAATTCTTTGACTTTTTCATATTGTTATCAGTTCTTTTTTAATTGAAACGAATTTAAATTTTTTTATGGATCACAAGGTTTGATGACCCATTAATTTTAAGAATTATTATTTTGAATTTTATTGATTTAATTTTTTTTTTTGATTCAGCATGTAGCTTGTAAACTAGACGGATATGGTTAAGTTGACTATCGACTTTTGTCTGAAAATTGGGACACTCTTAAATATGTTTCACCTTCAGTTTTAAAAAGGGACTGTTCCGCTTAAAAGTAGGCAGTTGAACAGCCTTGTGATGATCTTAATTGAACCTTATAATTACTTAATTTTTTTATTACAGAAGAAATCCGAGAATATTTTGCCACGAAACATTCAAACGATTAATTAAAATATTTAAACGTTTAAAATTTTCCACAAACTTTCAATTTAAGCATACTAACTTTAATAAATCAGCTATTTCTTAATTTTTTTTGCACTTATTAATCCAAATATTTTTTAAATCAATATTCAATTTTTGATGTCCTTTTACGAATTAATTTTAATTTTTTTTTCTATTTAAAAGTTATCTACAAATTTTAAATTATATGCAAGATTCAATTTTTTGAAAACAATTTTTAATATTTTATTTTTTTATCGTTTAAAGTTAAACTTTTTTGAACTTTTTAACTTTTACTTGTTTTAAATTTTTATTTCATTTTTTTAAAATGTTTTTAATTTTTTAAAGTGTTTTTCTGATACTTTTTTTAAAATAAACTATTCTTATTTAATTTTGTTTTTAAATTTTTAAAAAAAAATAATGTTTTAACTTTTAAACGTTCACGACTATTTTTTTATTTTAATAAAAGTTGCAATTTAAAGTGTTTCGAACCTGTTTTCTTAAAATGTCTCCTCAAACTGAAATTCAAACAAACTTGAATCAAATTTTTAAACTATTGAATATCACCATAATCAGCATCCACAGCCAATCCTGACTTAAGCTCCGCCTTCAGAAATTTCATTCGTTCCTTCTTGATTATGTTTTTGTATTTGAATTAACAAATTTCTATTAATTTATCCATATATTAAATTACATCAAAAACAAAAAGAGAAAACAACTTAAATTAAATTGGAAGGCAATAAACGATTGCGGCTGGAGAGCGAGAAAAAAACGATCGTTTAAAAAATTATTTTCTCTCAAATTTTAATTGCTCGTGACTCTTCGTGTTTGCTATCTTTGCATGCGAACATTAGCAAAAGTTGTAGTACAAATATTTACATGAAACAGTTCTCAGACTTTATTTTTTAATATTTAATTCAACATTTCTGGGTTTATAAAGTATTACTTGTGAGGTTCTGTTGATTTATTTATTTCTAAATTTAATACGGTCAAATCGTCTGGTTTCTGAGTAGTGTGGTTATATGATTTGTGAGAATTTATATTGATATCTGACGATTTTTGATATAACTTTACAAGCAGTTTAAAACTTCTTTATGAGGATTTACTAAGCGCTTTGCTTACATTTGGTTCGGTAACTGGAAAGTCGTTAGATTAAATCTTGTTTTGTAAATCATGAGATTAATGGCTATAGATCTTGAAATGGGTCAGACACTTAGATTTTGGCTAAAGAAATTTGAACTGGAGCTTTAAGATTGCTTTTAAAATGAATTATTAAAAAAAAACCGGGATGAAAATCTCACGTCATGCTTACGCTTCATAATTTTTTGAAAAAACTGATCGAATGATCGATGATCGAGCGACCATTTTTCAAGCGATCTTTGGTCGAAAAATGATCGTTCGACCACGACCATTTTTGGTTTTTCTGATCGTCGGTCGACAATCTTTCGATTAGTTTTTAAAATAAATGATCGAACGATCGACGGTCGAGCTACCAATTGTCGATCATAATCTATGGTGTATTTCTTGGCTATCTGCATGCCTTTTAAACATTTCGGATGTAACAAATCGCAAAGCCTGATCCAAAACTTAAACCCCTAAATTCTCACTTAAAAAAAACTTTACCTATTCAGATTAATTGTGATCCAGAGGTGCGCTAGGGCGATTTGCAGCTAATGAGAGTTTTAATGAGTGAGGATGCGCAAGACCACTGCACTCAAACCTAGACCTACAATGTATAGTAGAATCCGAACTACACATTTGCTGACATTTCTGACTGTAGTAGGCGCGTAACCAAGGGGGGGGGGGGATATTTTGGGGGACAAATCCCCCTAAGTTAACAGAAATTTAATCATTTTGTTAAGAGTTTTTTGAAAAAATCATAAAACTCCCTCCGTTCCCTCTGAATTTTCTATTTCATTTTTTTTGTCCCTACTCTTCAAATTCCTGGCTACGTCCCTGGCCTGTAGCATACAAAGGAAGGCGGTTAGCCTCATTTCCAGTACATATGATTTGAAAAAGGACAAGTAAAAAATTTCTCATACCCAGTCTTGAATTCATGATCGCTATGTCGGTATAGCAATAATTAGGTACCGAAGTACTAAACCATTCCGTCACCGAGCCAATTCAGCTCACTTTTTCTTCATTATTCATTTAAAAAAAAACTTCACTAATAGCCACTTAAATTCTTTTAAATCTTGTATTTAAAGTCACTCATCATCATTTATATCAGCTCATCAGTCTTTCAATTCAATCATAAATCAAACTCATTCTGAACTAAAAAGTAATATGATTCTACTCTAGATGGAACTCATTTATGACTATATATATATATAAAGAATTGCCGCCTGCAAAGTTATCAACATATAATGCAATTGACCTGCAAGACACAATATAAACAATTAAAGTGACTTCGGAGAATTCAAATGTGATTAAAAATTTCTGCAAATCATGACGGAGTTAGGGGTCGTTCACTTATGACGTCCGAAATTAACGGTCATTTTTCTAAAATGAACAATGATTTCCAGGAATTTCTGTTGTTCTTTTCTTGCTGACCCCCCCCCCCCTGGACGTCATTAGTGAACGGCCCCTTATTTTCTGTGTATGTTTAAAATGGTCTGTGCTGTTTACTGTTTATAATATAATATTAAGGCTTTGATATGGCGCATTACAGATTGTTCTCCAGGAATTCGTTTAACGATAAAGTAACATGCGCGCCTAACAGAGACGAAGCTATTGGGGAAAGGGGGAGGCTTGCAGGCAAACTGAATTTATGTTAATGCTATTGATTGTTCTGATTGATAATAGTCAGCAATGCTTACTTGCAATTTCCGATGATGGGATGACGTTAACTTTCTAATCAGTGGATATGTTTCGACAATTGTTCACAAATGAAGACTTAGGCCAAGTTTGTATTAAATGACCGCCAAGCTTGACATATAAAATCATGCAATTTACCGAACGAACCCCCAAAATCACTCCCTAAACTTCATAAACTATTTTTAAATAAACAGGCAGAATAACTTTCAACAATCTCACAGGATTTAGCAAGAAATTTAATATTAAACATCGAAATATAAAGCAGCAACCAGCTATCATTCGACAATATTTAAGTCTCGTGAATTATTTTTCAGCATTTCCTCTGGGAATTTCCGTCAAACTCGTGACGTTTATTTTATCATTCACGTTTCATATTTCCTTAAAATTATGTAATCTACATAATATATAAATGTCATGTTGGCTAGAGTATTCATTCAAATAAATAAAAATATTATGTTTATAGAGTTGACCGTCTGGTGATTAATGATGATCTTTTGTAAACATTAATACGCTGGTCTTTAAATTAAGACCCATTTGATTTGATTTGATTTCACTTTATGAGATTTATTCTGAGAATTTTGTTATATTTGAATTAATTCGGTTATCAATTCATCTTTTTGTTTTTAAAAGCATATTTTTTATTATTTTTCCTGCGAACTTAGTTAGCTACAGAGTTCAGATGATTGTTATATTTCTAGATGGTGTGAAGCTGAGGTTAAGTGTATGCTAAGCATCCAAAGACAGGCTTGAAAACTTCTCAAGAAGCTCAACAACTCTGGCTCAAACGTCTTACTTTAAACATTGAAAATTGAGAATTTCACAAGAGTGAATTGTGCTTTATGTTTATCAACTGGCATTTAATCATTTAACACTAATTATCTATTAAACATTTTCTTCGTATTTTGTGTCACATGAGTTTGAAGAAATGGTCTAATAAAAACTTAATAAGCGTATTAATTTTTGCGATAGCACATTTACATGGAAAATCGAGCTACAACTTGTTCAATTTAAATAAAATCTTTCATTTGAATGAGTTTGTACTGAATTTTGGGTTTATTAAGGGCTCTGTAATAATTCATGTCGATGTGGCACTAACATAAATACGATTTGCAAAGTTTTCAGCTTTCATGATAAGTCAAAAGCATGACCTCAACTTAAGGCACCTGCAAATATTTCTAAGGGGAAAACAACATGATTTTAATTATCATGCTATTTCCTCTTAAATCATTCAATCATTCATTATTGTGAAATGAGGACTTATTTAAAGGAGCGCAATCAACAATTTGCGCTGCAATACGTGGAACGCCTGGATCCAAATGGAAAATTGGATTAAAATTTAACACTTGGCACTCTAAATGATACAGTATTTAAGAACTAAAGTTTATAGGTCATGGATGCCCAGGTGGCATCGCACCCCCTCCTTTGGTTACCCGCTATGTTACTGCTTCTTATGTATCCTAATATTGTCATAAAGTAGTGGGGATGAAGGACAATTAAAGGTCGTGGAGTGCAAAAAACATGAATGGTCAAAGAACTCATGGAATGAGGCTGTTGATAGAGACAGTGTTGCATTTGGAATCGGCAATAAGCAGTTTAAGTACTGTTTTAGGGAGCTTTTTTCCATGGACGAAGGAAAATAATGAATAAATTCAAATTCAAATTCAAATCACAACTGATCTGTACGACCAGCGAAGTAAGTAAGTAACTAAAGTGCATATAAATTGGAGTCATCGACCTTGAATTAAATAAATTATTTCATATTTATAGCAATTTGAGATAATATTTCATCAGAATCTGCTCTTTTTCACTCACATGCAATCTAATATTGCAAATGTTTAACCTTAGTGACACATAAAGTTACATTTAGAGCTAGCAGCAGCAAGGAATTGGTTTTTTTTGGCTCTATGGTCACTATTAGGCACTTTTATGTAGGATCAGTTTCTAATATAACTCGAGACAGCTTGTCATATTCTCAGATTAGTCTGGATCTTAGTCAGGATACATAACTTCCATAACCAGTAAAAGAGACCCTTTACTGCTAAGTCATTACCAACAAATTTTATTTAAAAATAAATAAACTCACCAAGTACTTAATCATATGCTCATGAGTCGTCAAATGAAATATGAGTTCCAGTTCATTGCAATGTGTATCACATAAAGTGCAGTAGAATGGCCTCAGAACATTATTAAGGTCATCAAACTCGATAATGTATTCTAATCCAATTAAAGGTTTGTTGCTCTTGCTGATTGTTTTGATGAATAATGAATCACAGTTTTTGTCGATAGTTGTCGACCAAATCATTTTTTTTTTTTAATAATTTAATTCTATTTAGATTTAATGAATGATTGAATCTGTAAATGAGGAAAATTTATCAATTTTTATGAGTTTTGAGAATAAAGAAGGATTTTTGAAAGTTCACACAAAAGCAAGGGTGCGAAACTGATGATCACATTTAGATCATTTTTGATCATTCCATCAGTTCCGTACAAAGGTACTAACGTACAAACGTTTATAACAGTTCAAACATCGAGAAAGTCTATTGAAAACCACTTATTTTTAAAGGAATTACCAATACAACCATAAAGATTAAAGTGCAGGATATAATTTCGGTATTGTCCAGTTTTTGGTCTACCCGGACTACTCAACCCCAATGATGGTCAATTTTTATTGAAACATCTGCGTGTAATACAATGATTTTCAATTTTATGTGAGAACATCACAATTAGATATACAAACAGACTCTAAAAGCCTTAGATAGTCCCCAAAAGCACCCCTAATGGTTAAAGGGAATCAAGAGGCTATTTTCAAGAGCTCCTGATGTCAACTGACCTTAGAATCCATAATTAATGCACCAATCTCCAAAAAATGTATCAAATTTTACTGTGAATAGCAAAGAAACCAGCCCCAAATTTTATCATTACCGGCTTTAATTGAAACTGCTTCAAAAATTGGTACAAATGATTTCGAATCCGTACACGAACTAAAACTTTTCTGAACACATCACAACGATTTCTTTTTTTCTGAATTTTCCAATCTCTTCTGACCTTTCCTAAAAAAGTTATCAATGGATTTTATTATACAATTTTTTTTACGATTAAAAACGATTATTAAACAAAAATTAGCCTTTAAAATCAACTTGTTCACAAAAAAAGAAGAAATTTAAATTTTTTTAGCAATTTTGCACAGTTCAAATGATCACCGATGTGACATATAGCCTCAGTAAGGTCACAGATAAGAAAATTACTTAATTTTAATCAATTTAAAATGCTTAAATTCATTCCGCAAATAATTTTGTCTACCTTATTAAATGAAAAGATACAAATACTGAACTAAACATCTGCTGATGGTGAAATTCAACAATTTTTTTTTTCATTCGCTCGAGTGTCTGTCAAGCGTCTAGCATGTTTATTTTCAAATTGAGTTTTTATCAGATTGGAGATGGGGCACTTTACACTTGTCATACATGGAAATTAATTTACAGCATTTATTGAAATTTGTCAAATTTTATTGTGCTTACAATTGCCCCAGAACCCTTAAAATTCCTCAAAAATCACTTCTTTTCTCACAGAATTTCAAAATAATTCAAAAAGTGCCCACAACTTGATTTTTGTTCCGCTCACAATGTTCTCATCAATTTTTGTTCATTCAATTCATTCAGCTAGTCAGTGGCAGCATGGAAATTTAAGAATTATTTTAAAAAATTCAAAAATATAAAATATAATTCGAATATTTGCTGATTTTGGTGACTAAGTTATTAGCAGTAAATTTGATTTATTCAAACTTGAGGGATTAGCCATAACCGAAGTCGCACACAGCGCAATGCAGCTCGTGTCAGTTTCAAAACATTTCTACGGCACACAAATAGGACAACACTAATTTAGATATTTGAGAAATTTGGTACGCTAATAAGTAAGCGCATCTAGTTGGGTCAATTGAAAGGAAGTTTACTTAAAAAATTGCATATTTCCAGTCAATATCCTTAAAATTGCTAGGTTCATTAAGTACAAGGAGGTGGTGGATCTTGAATAATGGTTCTTGTTTTTGGATTCTTGGCCAGTGTTTCTCAATCTATTTGGGTCGTTGAGCTGCAAATCATCCGTTTACATTTTCGCTCCATGCTGTCAACCCCTTTTGGCACATCTAGGATTTTTAATGACATATTTTGAGATTATAGATCTTGTTTATCAGTCTTAGACGAAGTCAATGTCGGCATGTTATTCAAATTTTAATTAAGTTTATACCAAGGTGTGGAAATTATCTTAAATATCCCATTTATCTCATATATCCCAAAAATAATCCCTGAGCCTGTATGCATTAGAATTGAGATATCCCATCATATCCTAAAATTTTACGTCCAATACACTAAGGATATGTTGAGATATCTTTATTATCGTGCATACATGCTCAGGAATTTTTTGAATATTTTTGGGATATGTGGGATAAATATGATATTTGGGACAGTTTCCACGACTTGATTTATATACATCATACCCAGCTAATATTCCCAAACTTTATCTTCTTATTATAAAAACTAGTAATTTTTAAATCCTTTCAAAAAAGTCTAGTCTTAATTTTCTGAATCTCACAATTATCATAAATTATTCAAATTAAATAAAACTTTTGTTCCTTTTGAACTTTGCCGAAGCTCTAATTTTCTTCTGTCTTATCAGACTGAATTTTACTTCATTTAAACTAAACTTTATGGCTTTGTCGGTTTTTATATAGAGCTGAATTTAATAAAAAACGAACGCAATAAGTAGAAAAGGAACGAATTGGTGACAAAAACCCGATTGTATGGGATTTTGACAGCATAACTAGTATTGTACAAAAGATGAATGAAAATGTACTTTATTTTTCTTAATAATTCACAATAATATTTTAAAATATGCATCAGCCCGAAAAAAACTCAAACTCCCTCAAACCCCTCTAGCTACATGCCTGCTTTCTGTCACATATTAAATATAATATAAATTTACTGAAATTAATGGATGTATTACAATTGAGTGATAATATTGAAATTGCTGTAATTTTTTCGATATATTGTACACAGGCACGTAGTCATGGGGGAGGGCAGGGTTGGATTTGGTAGACAAATCACCTTGCGTTAACAGAAATTGCTTAATTTTTCTAGAGTTTCTATAAAAAAAATTACATTTTTTCTGGCTCGTACGTAACCAAATTGTTTTATTGACTCTATGACTCATCGTACAAATTGTTTATTCATTGTATAGTTGATCTAGACTAATAAACAAATTCATTTGAAATGATTTTTGTGAATGAATAGTAAATTTTTAAATATTTTTTTTATGAATTTAAATTAATTAGATTTTTTTGAAGTGTCATTGATGTGCATGAATCAGTATTTTAGACTTTTTTCGATCCATATTTAAATTTTCTAATTCTAATTTAACATTTGCTATTATTTGACATTTACAACTCACCTTTAACTTTCCAAAACGTAATTTAACTTTTAAATTAGCTAAATGCGAGTCACAACTCGATCACTGACTGTCGACTAAGGATGATTTTAATAATTTGAATTGATATTGCAAAATTAAAAATAAAAGCACATGCTTTAAATAATGAAAAAATCAATACTAGCTGGCAAGAAAATAAGATTCATAGACACAAAAACTTTATTATTTTCAATTTATGGGTTTTTTGTATAAATGGGATTTTTTTTTCTTGGGTTGAACTAGTTTAACTAAGTTCCTCTGACTACGCATCATTATATTTTATATTTAATAATCACTTTTTTTCTACATCGTAATTACACTTATGCCACGTAATAATGTGGGATCGTTCACTTATCGCGTCTGTTAAAAATATGATTTTTGACACTTTTTAAGAAAAGCACAATAAAATTTGTGAATTTATGTTTAAATAGAAATTTTATGAAACTTTTATTAAGCACAAATGGTGCTAGATGCACAAATGATGCTTCTAGCACATGACTAGAAAGAGAATAAAGTTTTTATAAAACGCTGTTACTCACAATTGTGTCCTCGATAAGAGGAACTAAATGTGCCATTGTTTACAATGTAAAAAAGCCATAACGATGCTCTGGCTTCTCAAATTAATTGAAATAATAATAATAATAATGAATGATTGAGCTTAACGTATATAACTCGACATTACAGAACTTATCATTTTATCCTACCTTTTTTTCGAGTTATCCTGATTTTATTTTTTTTATTATAATTTTTCACCTAAATTTTTTCAAATTTTTAAAAATTTCAACAAAATTTTTTTAACAAATTTAACTTTAAAAAGTTTTTTCTCAAAGTCTCTTTTCAATTTGTCTGAGAGAAAGTAGATTTTATATTGATGCAAAGATCTTTTGTGACTATGCTTATATAGACATGCTCTTACTCGGATTTAAAATAAAGAATTTGATTCAGCCTTTTAAAAACTTATTCAATATTCAAATATAATACAACAAGAGCGTAGCTAGAGGAGGAGCTCTATGGAGCTCGAGTCTTTCAACTCAAAATTAAACTCAATTAACTAAATAAAATTTTTCTTGTTCTAGCATCGTTCGGTCTTAAAACCAATTTATTGACCCTTTAAACGTCAAAATTTTCATAATTTTTTAAGGTTAAATTTGTTTGCCATCCCCCTCAAATTTTAAATTCCTGGCTGCTCTCCTGTTATATGATCGATTTAAAATCAACCACATTCATTTAAGATCGGATTTTTTCCAATCATCTTCTAGATAGTTCAATTGATTAGTTCTGGAAATTAAAACTAATTTCAAAAAAATGTGATTTTTTTTGTAGATTCAAACTTATTTAAACTAATTTAAATGCTTTTTAACTAAGGGTCATTTTAAAAATAATATTTAAAAGAAAATAAAGTTTGAAATAAAAAAAAATTGATTTTGTCGTTTTAAACGGATTTAATGGAGCAATAAAAATAATTATAATAATAATAGTATTAGGAGATCAAAAAAATATTTGTGTCTCTAGCTTTTCGTTACAGAAAGTTCAAAAAACCACAAAAAAATCAATTTGCTATCAAAAGTTCTGAAAACTTCCAAAAACAGGCTTCCACGTGTACGTAGATAATTTAATTATTTATAAAAATATCACCATTTTACTACTTCGATATGAAAAACTAGACATAAAACTTTATGAATAAATAAATGTAATACTTCAATAGGGTAAATGACTTTGAAATTTGCGCAACCTTGAAATTTGCGCACTCGTATGAAAACGAAAATTTTAAAATTATATGTAAAAATGTCACTTCTGTTCAGACGATCAATGGGAAATGTTTGTAGAACACCAGCGCAGATGTTTTTGCATCATTTTTAGTGATATTGAACCATTAGGAAGCTCAATAATTTGCACCCGAAAAATCCCATACAAAAAAAATATTTGTTAAAAATTTGATTTTGGGATGTATGTGATAGATTTAGTTGAGATTTTGGTACCAAAAAATGAAGATCTGACGTTGCTTCAAATTATTTTGATGGTGCAAATTCAAAAGGATGAGTAGAACTGCTTTAAAATTCCATTTTAAAAGTTCCCATTTTTGAACCTTGAATTTTGCGCAAAATTTTCTGAAAATTTTGAAATTTGCGCATTTTGTATCGTAGAAATCGACAGAAAATTTTGTCAACATTAATTAATATTTAAATCCAAAAATGAGGATTTTAGAAGGATTGTTGATGAAATGGATATGAGGACATAGGACAAAAATTATGCAAATGATTTCTAAATATTTATTTCAATAAAAACGCCAGCAAACGTCAAGAAAACCTTCAAAAATGATCAAATTTGAGCACTTCAAGGAAACATCCATGAAGGTCCTGTTTAAGTATGGAAAGTCATCAGTTAATAAAGAATGGAGACAAAAATATGTTTAATGCTTAAAATATTTTTTGTTTATTTGATATGTTATAAATAAATCCTGACATTTAGAAGTGCTTTAAAATTGACATTTGTTTGATATTTGATATGTGAGTTTTGAACTGTTCTTGTCAGGGCTTGAAATAAATTTTCAAGACATGTTTTTCTTGATGTCTCTTCTTGACATGAAATTGAACGAGCTAGCCACATATACACCAACCACAAAATAAAACATTCTTTCTTGTAGAAATTCTTGATCAAAAAGTTCTTAAAAATTTAAGTCCATGGCTCCATTTTTTGCTTGAATTTAGAGTTGATGCACCAAATAAATGTAAAGAAAAATGTTTGTTTACACATTTTTCTTTAAAATATGTCAAAGATTGCTACTGAAAAAGTGCGCAAATTTTAAGATTTTTTTGCGCAAATTTCAAAGTTTTCTGCGCAAATTTCAAAGTTCAACTTTAAAAGTCAAATTTCTCTGCATTGACGCAGCAGAGCTTCCTTTACACATATAAAGAAGAAAATATCTTTGATTCCCTGCATTTCAAGACCATTAGTTGGACTCAGTTACAATCCTCCGAAGAGATTGAAGCAAATGAAAATTTCATGTGTGAAAATGCGCAAATTTCAAGGTCATTTACCCTAGTAGAAGTGTTTTTCTATTTGATATTTATTTCAAAAATTCCTAAATATCACCATTCGTATGCTGTATTATTAACAAAATTTTATTTTTTAATGACGTCAAAATATTTGGAAAAAACAAAAAGACTCAAAATTGGTGATTTACAGAATTATTTTCATTTTATGTATTAATTCTTAAATTTTAGAATTCTTTTTCCTATTTGTTAAACTTATAGACTTAGCTAAGGATTTAGTTTTAATTTAATTTTAATCAAATCCTACAAATTATGTTCAACAATTAGCAGTGCCAGGTACATCCCAAAGAGTACGCAAAACTAATTACTAAAAGAACACATTAGCTAATCATCCGATTATGTTTACAAAAGAATCTTCTCAATATTTTTACGTTTGGAAAATTTTCTGTAGTTTTTGACTCAATAAAGGTTCGAAGTTGTCTACGTTGTACTTAAAAATTGCTTCAAATTTTTAGATAAATACCTGGTCAGCTTAGTTTTATCCAAAGCAGTGACGCGTCAAGAGTTTCAGACTTTCTGGACCAATTTGAAAATTATCAATTCGATGTTTGGATTATGGAGACCTCTATTGGACAATTTTTGTGCTTTCTGGAGAAAAAAACATGCTTCGGATATTTTAGTGTCGAATTTTTCGACATGTTTAAATTTAGTCGACCTAGCGTTTGAATATTTTAAAACCGTTAAAAGTTTGTCAATTTTAAGATTTTAAGCATTAATATTTAAATTCCTGTTTTTTTCTGGGGTAATTTTTGCTAAACTTAATTAAACACGAAGCTGAAAATAATTATCGTTTGCCCACGCCTTGTTTTTGCCAGTGTTTGCAAGAAATATTAATGAAAATTTAAAGGTTTTTTGAAATTCAAAGCAAAAAATAACGAATTTTTCGACATGTCCGTAGCATGACAAAAAAAAAATTTTTTTTCTTCAGGACCCAAGTTAAGCTCCTACTCCAGATTATCATACCACTGATCAAAAGCTTTACCTTCAAGCACTACAGACATTGCCTGGGCATCCCCAAAACTATCCTTCATGAATCATGATAGGATATACCTTAAAAAAGTGTACATCCTAATTGCTTCAAGTTTTTTAGTATAAATTAATGATTAATTTTATAGATTAATATATATATATATATATTAATTATATATATATTAATATAAGATTTTATTTTTGAAGATAATATTTAAATGACTCGTAGCATTAAGATTTAAAATAATACATTTTTTCATTAATATAATTTAAATTAAAAATGATTAAAGCTTGATAATTTTAATTGCTGTGATTTTATTTCCAAAAGTATTAATACTGACATTAAAGAAGATGAGCATTTTTGAATATAAATCATATTTTAATTAAGCAAAAATTGCTGACGACATGAAAAATTTCAAAGAATTTCTTTAATTTTTTTTTTATTTAAGTTTGAGTTTAAAGTGTGATGAGACAAAATGGCAATTAGGATTTGGAACTGCTAGATACCAACTTTAGGTGTCAACTTATTTAGACCATCGATCTGTCAAAGTAAATGAGTAAAGTGTTAAATCAAATTTATTAATAGAATTATATTTTTCCTGCAATTTCTTCAGTTTCCTGCTCCGATGATCAAGTTTAGGAATCATACAATTTCTTGGTAAATAAGCTGAAGTTTGTGATATGATTTTCAGAAACTTGAGATAATTTATAATACAAGCTAAAGTTCCATAGAATGAGTTAATCATCACAAAACTGCATGAACAAATCTACAAACATTCATTCAATGTGATTTGGACTTGGCTATCCATCGGTTTTTGTTGGTTTTTGGTTAATAGGCAAACAGTGTCCGGATTATAGTTTTAAAAAAGCGATAAAGATCAAAAATTAAAGCATTTTTCAAGAAAATTTGGGACAAAAAAGCGGAATTTAAGGATTTTAAGCATTACGTTCTTTAAATTGGACATCCCAGCATTAACCTTAACTACACCAATTTCTAAAGAGCTCATGAAATTGGGCAAAACAAAACCTTAGAATTGTAATTATTGTGTAGATTCCCTAAAAAACCCTTTCATTCACTCTACCCCTTCCTGCTAGCCACTCTTCCATATATTTCATTATTTTTCCTAGAAATTGTGCATTTTATCTCTCATTCAACTAAAATCATAGTCAAAACTATGTTGTTCATAAAAGTCAACGAATCACATTCAACCATCATTAAAATTTGTATTTGCATAACCAATTTTTTTTTTGTGAATTAATCTTCACCCAATCAGAAACTCAGCTTGTATTAACTTCAAAGCGTATTAGTGCTTAAAAAGGAATTTCCTGTTATTAATTTTAAATTTTCCTTCACTTGATGAATGTCTGGGGAGCTGAATTACATCAGATTTCATCTTTTTTGAGAATTCACATTGGCAGTTGAAGCTAGTCATAGTGGGGATGACCAGTTTTTTTTGAAAAATTTAAATTTATTTATCAAAAAAAAAAATAAAAAATGAAGAAGTTTCTCTCGACGAAGTGGGATTTGTACCCAATTCCTTCCAACTGGTTTATGTTTTAATCTAGAAAAAATAAAGCAAATTAGAGACAATTCTAAAATGAGAAATTCATCAAAAAGTCATCTAGTTTCAGCTAACTTCCAGTATCGCTCAATTTATTTATGACTCGTTGTAAAAAATACTTCAAGGCTGTTCCTTTCTTTGTCATGAAATTTTCAAAAATTGCTTGCAATGCAAATTGACAATTTAAATTTTTTTAAAAAAAAAACAATTAAATCAGCACATCAAGCTAAGTTTCGCAATTTTGTAATCAAATGAAATGTTGAAATATCAAACTCCTGCAAAATATTGAATTTCAACTTGTTGCAAATTTATTGTGTCATCAAAAATAATTCAAAAAATTTTCGATTGATTTTTAAAATATAAACAATTTGTTTTGCTATAAAAACCATTTGGTGCCTTCAGGCTTATCATCAGTCTGTGTTCTGAGTTCTTAAAGTTGATAAATTGCTGTGTTTAGTGACCAAAAGTGAAAAAAGGTGAGTTATTGGTGTCTGTGCTTTTGTGACATGATGTGGATTTTGTGATACTCCAAAGTCTTCTGAGTGTATGATTAGTATTGCTCAAATAAAATTTTGAGAAGGATTGTGACGAATGAAAACTAATTTTTTTAATTTCAGTTGTTTTGAAAAGTTTTAACTGAAATTTTGCAGACTGCCAATCGATCAGTTTTCCGATACAACATCGGATTGAAATTGAAGAATTTTTCAAAAACAAATCTAATTTGCATCAACAATGTGTGTTTTGGTATCAATGCAAAACCTTTTTCTGAAAAATTGGTGGGTTTAAATTTAAAAAGGATTTTTTAAACTTTGCTTAATGTTTTTTTTTAAATTTTTTAAAGTTTTTCTTTAAATTTTGTTAATGTTTTTTAAAAATTATATTGACACAAAATTTTCAATTTTTGTTTTTAATTTTTTCAACTTACAAAACTATGTTTAAATTTTTTTAATTTTTTGTAGCTTTACAAATTGTATTTAACTTTTTTGAAATTATTTAAGATAACTTTTAACATTAAAACATCATCCACACACAGGAATTCAAGCTATCAACACGCAAAAAGATTATCAACGGACAACGTACTCATAATATTGGAATAATGGTCTTCACCAATGTCCACAAAGCAATCAGAGTTGCTAATTTTATAGCAAACATTTCAATTGTTCAATCCGACGGCAACTTACATTATTTCTGTGAAGCTGATCTTCATAATTTAATTGAAAAGAACGGATTTGATCAAAGCTGGAAGTCGACTATTAATGCAGATGAAATTTTTGCTGACGAAAAGAATTTTTTGGAGGAAAAATTCACTGGAACTTTATATTGCAGTGAGTTTAATTAAGTCTTTATTTACGGAACGTCCACAAAGTTTACTTTTTCTACTGAACAGCTTGAAATGACTAAAAACATGACAAAAACTACTGCAAAGACTAATCAAAGACTAGAAAACTATGAAAGTTTTGTTAACAATCTATATTTCAGCAACATCAAAATCACATGCTCAGATGGAAATACAGTTCATGCCAATAAATGCATTTTAATGGCTTTTGGTAACAATTCTAATCAAATAGATGCAAAACCATCTCAAATTTTTCGCTTACTGATTGAAAGTCAAATGGATGAAGACGAAAGTGATGAAATAAAAATTTCAGATGTTGATTCCAAAGTAATGTTGGAGATATTGAGATTCATTTATACTGGAAAGGTCAATTATTTGCATAAGAGAGCAAAAGACTTGCTCGATGCTGCTAATAAGTTTAATGTTGTGGGTTTAAAAGAGGCTTTTGTTAAAGTTATGGAAAAGCAGTTGAGCATTGAAAATGTTGTGAAGATTTTGGAACTGGCTTATGAGCTGAAAAGAAATGATTTGAAGGAAAATTGCATCGATTTTATCAAATTGTGAGTATTTTATGTCACTAGCCATTCCACTCCATATCCCATACCCTATCCCATACCCTATCCCATACCCTATCCCATACCCTATCCCATACCCTATCCCATACCCTATCCCATATCCTATCCCATACCCTATCCCATACCCTATCCCATACCCTATCCCATACCCTATCCTATACCCTATCCCATACCCTATCCCATACCCTATCCCATACCCTATCCCATACCCTATCCCATACCCTATCCCATACCCTATCCCATACCCTATCCCATACCCTATCCCATACCCTATCCCATACCCTATCCCATACCCTATCCCATACCCTATCCCATACCCTATCCCATACCCTATCCCATACCCTATCCCATACCCTATCCCATACCCTATCCCATACCCTATCCCATACCCTATCCCATACCCTATCCCATACCCTATCCCATACCCTATCCCATACCCTATCCCATACCCTATCCCATACCCTATCCCATACCCTATCCCATACCCTATCCCATACCCTATCCCATACCCTATCCCATACCCTATCCCATACCCTATCCCATACCCTATCCCATACCCTATCCCATACCCTATCCCATACCCTATCCCATACCCTATCCCATACCCTATCCCATACCCTATCCCATACCCTATCCCATACCCTATCCCATACCCTATCCCATACCCTATCCCATACCCTATCCCATACCCTATCCCATACCCTATCCCATACCCTATCCCATACCCTATCCCATACCCTATCCCATACCCTATCCCATACCCTATCCCATACCCTATCCCATACCCTATCCCATACCCTATCCCATACCCTATCCCATACCCTATCCCATACCCTATCCCATACCCTATCCCATACCCTATCCCATACCCTATCCCATACCCTATCCCATACCCTATCCCATATCCTATCCCATACCCTATCCCATACCCTATCCCATACCCTATCCCATACCCTATCCTATACCCTATCCCATACCCTATCCCATACCCTATCCCATACCCTATCCCATACCCTATCCCATACCCTATCCCATACCCTATCCCATACTCTATCCCATACCCTATCCCATACCCTATCCCATACCCTATCCCATACCCTATCACATACCCTATCCCATACCCTATCCCATACCCTATCCCATACCCATGACATCATTAAATCAGCGATTTCAGAACGATCAAAATATCGATATGAGTATGACCTTAGTAAAAAAATAACTTTCTCGATTAATCAGAGAGACAATAAAGGCCCACTTTGAGTCCAGCAGTGCAGCAACGAAGGTCTCGTCCGTTCTAATGCGAAATGGTGAATTTTTAAAAAGTAGTTTTTTTAAAGGTAGATCTTATACTTCTTTGGGTTGATTTCTGAACATATATCAAGTTTTGTAAATGATTGATATATTTGGGAATAATTTGCTGTAGAAGAGTAGAGTAGAAGAGCAACTGAATGGAGAATCGGACGCATTATTAGGGTAGGACCTAGGTTTTGAGTCAACCCGCCCCCATTCTCCCTCATTCATCAGTGGTTATGAAAATTTAAAAAAAAAATTCTTAATTTTTTTGTTCCAATTTATTTATTTTTTCAAAATTCTATTTTTCCATCAATTTTGGTCCAAAATTCATTTAATTTTTTCAAATTTTTCAAACTTCTAAAGCATGTAAATAATTTACCATCAAAATATTTTTCTTATAAGTCCTTAAAGTGTCTCGCTTGGTTTACAATTTTTTCCGCTTTCAATATTTTGACCAAATATATTTAAAGCGTATACACTGACGATTAATCCTTAAAATTTTCATCACTTCCTGACTTAATTTCTCTTGGAATCCCAATTGTATTCCTCAACTTCAGATTTATTTCTTTAGGGATTGATCCTGAGTCTATACACCAGTGTTGTGCAAACTTTTTGAGCCACAAAACACCTTAGGGGTAAGTCATGACCGAAGCGGCACACAGCATGCGAATCGTGTAATTTTCAAAAAATTTCAACGGTACACTAAGGTGGCGTTGCACACAGTTTGGGCAACACTGCTTTACATCTTGGACAATTAATTTAAAGTTTAGAGTCACTCAGTGGAAATTCTCGTTTCTATTAATAAATTTATTTCAAATTCTTATTTATAAAATTTTGCTTATTTTATTTCATTATATTTAATATTCCGTCTTCTTATTGGTGGGGGTCATTTGCAAGTGATGTTCATGCTACCTCTTTGTTTTGATTCATAGGAAGAATCAGATGGATTTGGTTGAAGTTGTTGTCTCTTAAACCAGCTTTTGTTCTGATAATGTATACTCATATCTGGATCATGTTTAGCTAGGAAAAAAGCACACCACAGCATGTACTATACTCTCGAACATGAACATCATTAGCAATCGACCCCCTGCAAAGTTATCACCAAATTACTATTTCCTTTTTTTCACTCAAATTCTTAATCAAAATCTTAAAAATATTCTCAGATTCTTAAATCCTTAAATCCCCTCATCATGAAGTTCTAGCTTTCTTTGCCTCAACTTTCTTAATACTTTCACTCAATTCACGATTCTTCACTTCAGACTCATCTAATCGTCTCTTCATTGAGCTCATCGTAGTCTTTTGATCTTTCATAAATTTCATCATTTTATAAATTTGCTTCGATTGATTTTTAATGACTTTAGACTGCTTTTTATAAAGCGACACTAAAGTTGACATTTTGGACTTCTTTCTGGATGTTCTGCTAAACGATGAAAAGTCCCGATCTGGCGTTGTTGGAGTCGAGATTGAAGTACATGATGTGTTCCTTGACATTGAAAATAATCCATCAATTGACCCACGTGGAAACATATCAAAAACTGACGGAACAGCTGTTAATGGCTCAACTCGATTCTTTTTCAAATCAACTGCAATTTTCTCATCAAAATGCTCAATGGCCATTGATGAAATGTCACGAAGTTCCTGCAGGATTTCATGAGCACGCAAATTTTTAATCTGTTGGTCATTGCTGTTCGAAATTGATCGAAGAATTTTGTAGCACTCGTCGATTATCTTTCCTGGGATGAAGCAGGAGCTTCCATTCTGCATGTGCTTCTGGTAGGTCATGGACAGCATTGATAAACGAGTTTCGATGCATGTCAGGACGTCAGAGTGTTTGGCAAGGTAATGATTTCCTGGGAATGAGAAAAACAATTGCAAAAAAATTAGGTTTCAAAGCTTTTTTAATTGGAAATTTAAATAAAATGTGAAAAATTTAAAATCTGAATAAAACTTATTATTATTTTATTTTTTCAAAACTTTTTTATTTTTTTAAATTTTTAAAATTTTTTATAAATAATTTATTTTATAAATATTTCATTTATTTTTTTTTGCTTTAGTTTTTTCTTCAAAGTCGTTTTTATTTTTTTTTCTTAATCCAACAAGAAACCCGAGCACAACAATTGGCAATAAATTTATTATTAAATATGTTTCCAGAACTAATTCGATAGGAGGATTCAAATTTATCATGCTAGATGCATTTTGGTACTTAAATGTTGCGACGACGTCTACAGAATAAACAAAAATACAAATTTGGGGATTTATATTGCTCGGGATCGTCATTTGTCAGGTTTGAAAACTTAATATTCTTCAATTTATTTTAACAATTTTTTTAAATTTTAACTGTCGTCTTACCTTTGGGGATGTTCACATGTGACGTCACTGTGAGACCCCCCTATCCCTCTGTTAAAAAATTTATAAAGAAAAATTAATTTTCAGTACTAAATTTAAGAAAAAACTGAAGCATATTTTCACGCAAAAGCCCCACAAAAATTTGATAGACATCATTAATGATTGACTCATTAGAATCAGTGTTTCTCAAACTTTATCCAATCAATAATCTTGAAAAAACCCAAAGAGGAAAACCAACATAATAGAAAATTCCTGATACACGCTGCTGTATCGCAAAGAAAAGTTTGAGCAGCACTGGACTAAAAATTACTTCCTATTGTAAATAATCTCGAATTCGCGACACTTTAAACCCTTTACTTTCCCCTCATCATAATGTTATTGCCTTTTTTGCATTAAATTTCAAAATACTTTCACTCAATTCAAGATTCTTCACCTCAGACTCGTCCAATCGTCTCTTAAGCGTATTCAGCGATGACTTTTGTTCCTTCATAAATTTCATCATTTTACTAATTTTCTTGGACTGTGCCGCAATGATTTTCGACTGCTTCTTATAAAGGGACATTAAATTTGTCATTTTTGGCTTCTTTCTGACAGTCCTAATTATTGGAGGTTCAATGGCTGGCGTATTTGATGATGATGAAGTTGAAGTAGATGATGTATTGCGTGATGATGAGCACAAGTCATCGTTGGAAGTACTTGGGAACATGTCAAAAGCTAAAGGAATTGTTGCAAATGCCTCAATTGAATTCTTTGTAAAATCAACTGCAATTTTTTCATCAAAATGGTCAATGGCCATCGATGAAATGTCTCTAAGTTCCTGAAGAATTTCATGAGCCCTTAAGTTCCTGATTTCTTCATCGTTGCTGTTCGTAATTGATCGAATAACTTTGTAACATTCATCTATAATTTTTCCAGGTATAAAGCATACAAGTCCACTTTGAATGTGCTTTTGATAGGTCATGGACAGCATAGATAGGCGAGTTTCTATACAGGTGAGGACGTCAGAGTGCTTTGCTAGGTGATGGTTCCCTACGAGTGATGATAAAAAGGGGTAAATTATTTACTAATCAGTTTAATTAGCAAATAATCAGCTTAAGGGATACAGAAGCGCCTGCTCTTTAGATTTCTGAAGTTCATGTATTTTCACGCAAGAGTTTTGAAGTTCAGGTGACTTTACACTGGATTTAATATGTTCAGGTGACTTTACACTGAATTTTATAGGTTCTGGTGCCTTTACAATAGAGTTTAAGATTGAGCCTCATTTTTCAGCTACCTTCACACTAGATTTTGGAAATTTCAGGTGTCTTTACACTGGGTTTTATAGGTTCAGGTGTCTTTACACTGCATTTCAAAAATTCAGGTGCCTTCACGCTAGCGTTCAAGATTTAGTCAATAACACATTAGAGCTTTAAGGTTCAGGCACCTTCACACTAGGTTTTGAATTTCAGGTGCCTTTACACTAGATTATTAAAGGTTCAGACACCTTCAAAATCATTCGTTAGGGATTCACTCACTTGACTAGCTTCAAAACTTTTAAAAAAATTATTATGAATGTAAAGTCCTATTTGAGTCAGAACCAGTCAAGATATTGTCAACATCTATTCATTGAAAGTCAAAAAGTCCCTTAAAAATAGCTAGCATCGTAGAAGTTAAAGTTATAAAACAAATAAGCTTTAATCACACAAATAGTGCATCATGTTATAATTATTATAATTATAAATCCACGAGAGAATTGACAAAGAAGCTGAATATACACATCCATTCATCCTTGACCTACATTAACATTATTTTAATCAACTATATTGCTCTCGTGTCTGAGGAGTCAGGCGACAAGTAAAAAAGCTTGAATGAATTGAATAAGCCAAATTAGATTTTTTTTTTATGTGATACATTTTTTCCCAGTAAATAGTCTCGTTTGAGCTCACTTTACACGTTGTTAAAGATTATTTTCAACGGAATATTTTTTATTCAATAAAAATTAAATTCCTTGAATTAAGATTGTCAGCTTTGTATTAAAATATCATCATTTCGTACACGACTTAACTCCCTCATTCACAACGCAAAAATTTCACCACTTGAGTAAATATAAAATAAGCTATAAAATTAGTACTCACTTCGTTCTGACTCTCGTCTGGGTAACATCGCCTTAATTCTCTTCATGTGTTTTGAGTGATAACTGAGGAGCTTGTAGAAGCCATGATTTAGTGCTTGCTTGTTGATCTCGTTGAACTTTCGGCAGACCTGAGAAAGTTAAGTGAGCAGATAGTGTGGCATTAGAATGTGTGAGTCACAGAAAATTAGAATTTTCAATCAAAGGCTAGTTGCATGCTATTTATAAGCTATTTAATTGAAATTGACGACCAGGATTACAATTATGCTCTTTAGGATCGTTATTTTAATGCTAATTGACTATCATAGATGGTCCAAGTAAGTGGGTGGAATTAGACCAAATAAAAGTTGAAATTCTTTCATTCAGTGGCTTAGCAAAGCAATTTCAGTGCCATTTCTGCTCCAAATATCCTTGCTCCGCCCCTGTAGCCAGTTCCATACTCTTCAATATCCTGAACTAGCAGAAGGGTTCTAAGGATAGAGCTGTCTTCAGACGATCTGTAATCGCGGCAATGGGCCAATGTGCACCCAGCCAAGGTAACAAGTAAATATTTGAAATAAACTTCTAAAAGGATCCATCGCATTTTACTTTAACTTTGAGTGACATATGACTTGATAAAAAATCAATAAAGATGAATTTTGCAATTATTTGCTGATTTAGTTTATTTTAATTTTGCGCCAGCCTCACTTTAATTTAAAAACATTTTTATAGTGTCAATTGAAGCAAAGTGTGACGTTTCATAATTATTATTGTCAATTATTGTACTTTATTTTTTGTTTTTAAAGCTACTTCATTTACAAATTATATTATTGAATACTTACAACTCTTGACTTTGCTATGTCATCATACGAGAGATATGAAAGTATGATTTCAAGTACACAGTCTGGAAGCGACAAAATGTGCATGTTTAGAGATCCTTTTTTGGCGGTTTAGAGAAAAATTGCAAATTTTGATGTCTGTGTGATGTTTTCACTTGTTGACTCAACTGTCAGTTGCACGATCTAAAATGATTTAAAAATTGAACAAAAATTAGATTTTTGAATTTTTTAAGAATTGAAATAATCTGAAAAATCTTAACAATTTCAGTGTAAATTGAGACAACTTTCAGAAATTTTCGCAACAAAAATTGATGCTTAATTTGAGCCGTGCTTTTGTAAATTGCAAAAGATTTCCATAACACTCGAAGATGATCTGTAAACTTCTGCAGCAGTCTTTATCTACGTTCTTTGAGCCAATTTATAATTAAACCTACTATTTGCGTGAAAATTCAAAAACTTCAATTTTTTTAAATTTTACTGACTTTACAAATTCTTCCAAATGCTAAATAAACTTGCAAAATTAGACTCAAAATCATTGATTTATGCTGAATTTTCTAGTCAATCTGTCTGTTAGCCTTGACAAATTTTCATTTTTTTTTACTCAGAAAATACTTACAACTCAGTTTAAGATTTTCACAAACTTTCTCCGATTATTTTCCATTTAATTCATAAACTTTGTCTTCTTTTTATTAACTTTTTCAACTTTTCACACTTAAATTTCACCTTAAATTGGCAAAAATTTACAATAAATAATTCAGAAACTAAAAAATATTCGCGATATAAACAATAAAGAACTTTCTGGACTCGGAGCTAACTTCACGTCAGATGCGAAACTATTTTTTTTGCATCACTTCTTTTGAATCTCTTTTGTTTACAAACAAAAGGAAATTTTATATTTTTTACATATTTTAGTTGATTAAGATGCATCAGAGATGGAAAAACTGCCACAGGAACTGATTCTAGAAATTTTTGAGCACTTGGAAGTTACGGATTTAATTAATTTATCAAAAATCAACACAAGATTTAAAGAAATTGTCAGAAGCTCACCGAGGAAATGGAAATTTAATTTAAAATTTGACAAAAAAGGTAAAATTGAATCGGAGCGGACACAAAGATTTGGTCAACTTACTGTTAAGCATTTCAATCCACGATCCCACCAGCCAGCTCTTCAAATATGCGGATCCAATATAACCAGCATTACATTTACTGGAAGTGTCGTGACATTTCCATTTGCTGGTACAGAAATCAAGTATCCAGACATTGCAATGATTCTCAGAATCTGTCAGAATCTACAGCATGTAAAGTTCGAGAACCTCATTGTCTGGCCAGAAGTCATCAAGCATATGCCACAAAATAATGGAATCCACGTGGAAATTATTGAAAGTTCATCCTGCATCCTTGATTTGTTCTTGAAATGTCGAGTCTCAGCACTTTGGATAACATCAAAGGATGGCGAGTATGGAACTGGAATTCGAGGCTTCCTCAGATCTCAACCATATCTTAAGACAATCCTCTGTCAGGGACAGAAAGTCCTTGACCTGTTTTACGCGATGGGCAACAGCTACGGCGAAAACTATGAAGCACTTCCGTTTCAACTTAAAATTCTTTCAATGAGAGATGTTTACTTTAAACCTTATTATATGGACATACTAATGCCTAGTGCTAGTTCACTAACATACCTGACAATAGCTGACATTGATCCACTCTGGCAGCACCACTTGCTCGGCGACTTTATAGCAAAATGTTCAAATTTAGAGGAGTTAAGTTTGAGAAATTTTGCATTTTTGAGGCTCAAACCACCAACGTCAATCACACGAGTTACACTCTGTGACTATGTTGGACCTGCTCAATGGATTTCTGACTTAACAAATTTAAAGTCTTTAGTCGTGATGAGTCAAACACATTCGGTACAGACTCATGCGATGGAATTTAATTTTGCTAAAAATTCAGCTCTCGAAAATGTCACAATATCATCAGCAGTGATTAAAAGTAGCTTGGATATGCCGTATGTGAAGAAACTTAAGCTCAAAGACATTCGTGATATTCCAGATGGCCAAGAATTAATTAGAAATTTGTGTAGAATTGAGGAAATTCAGGTGGAAAATTGTGGAAATGTGACAGATAAAATTGTCAAGGACATAGCAAGACGAGCAAATAATGTGCGGAACTTGAGCATATGTGATGGAACAATAACGAATGAGACTTTGCGGTATGTTAGGGGATGTTGTGGGAATATGAAGGATTTTGTTATGAGAAATGTGAAGGTTGAGGATGAGCTTGTGGATTGATGTTGGGGAAGGGGGGAGAGTAATAAAATCTGAAGATTAATATTTAAATGTTGAATTAACTTACTAACTTTAGATAGGAATTTTACGACAAATAAGACAAAAAAGATTAAAATAATAAATTAAAGGTTTTCTTAAATAATTTAAATATTTTGCATTTTTGCTTATAAGTTAATTATTATTTTCAGAAATCTGTATTTTTAGAGCAACACTGAAAATTAATGAGATCGGAGGGAGGGAAACTACCCCAACCCTTCCCTGCCTACGTCTCTGTATGGATATTCTCAATATCAAATGAGCCTTTCCACGCGAAAATGAGACTCGGTATTTTTTTGGTTTTGGCTCAATAAAACCATAAATAATGGTCCAAACTATAATATGTTATATATTTTTGGAAAGCGCTCGAGTTAAGCTTTCAATGTGGGTGAAAAAAAAATTAATTATATTATCAAGGGTTGGAAACTTTCAGGTTTGAAACTGTCGATCAACATACATTTTTGCGCGACACGCTGTGCTTTACTCTTTAAAGCAAACAGGATTTTTTTAATTGAATTAGATTAAGTAAATAAGGTATTAATGCAAAAAGGAAAGTTTTTCAAATTATTCTGCTTGGTTTTATTAAACTGAAAAGTCTTAAATCAGTAGTCTAGGCTGTCCAGAAAAAAATCCAAATCGACTTTAAAAGCTAAGCTTTCATTATTAAATCGTGACTTACAATAATCATGAAACATTTTAAAAAAAGAAATAAAAAGAAGTGAAAATGAAACGTTGAAGAAAGCTTTGTAGCCAAAACGAAAACATGAAATTTCAAGCAGTTGTGGCCGAGTGGTTAAGGCGTCTGACTTGAAATCAGATTCCCTCTGGGAGCGTAGGTTCGAATCCTACCAGCTGCGAATTAATTCGAAGTTGTTTGAAAATCTTTTTTTTTGTCGATTTTTTTTAATTTTATTAAAAATTATTGAACTTTCACCTCAAATCAAGCATGATTCTAAGTTGACGACTTGTGCGAAAAATCAAAGAGCATAAGTTTTATTTAAAAAAATTTAAATTAAGATTCTTAAACAAACATTATAGGGGCTGTTCACTTATTACGTAACGCGAAAAAATGACTTCTTAGACCCCCCCCCCTCGTAACAAAATGTGTATGAAAAAAAAATTTCCTTGTTTGAATCGTAACAAAATCTTAGACCCCCCCTCCCCCTAAAAGCGTTACGTAATAAGTGAATGGCAACTTGGGTATAGCCATGCAAATTATATAAAGCAGTGTTTGCCAACTCACATGCCGCGGTACAATTTACTAAAACTATGTTCCTATGTGGAGCTTAAGTTACAACAAAAGGCTTTCCATCTGACTATGATTCAGGCTCTGTCACCTAGTTTTTACAACTACTCTGTCCACATATTAAGCTGACATTCTTTTATTACTGTTCTGCGCAAAGTAGCTTTTGGAGCTCCAGGGCTTCTTTTTCTTTGCGGATTCTAACCAAGGGAACTACACCGATACCCCAGTGAGCCACGAAAAAAAATGGAAAATTCCTACGAACCTTGTGCCGTGGACTGTTGTGGTTTACCATAAAGTTGTACCTTGACTCAAAAGCTTTAGACAATGCTGATCTACAGTATTGCCTTGTAAAGTTAAGGATTTATAAAATTGAATACAATCAAAGCCCTGATCAAAGCTCATGAAGGTCAACTAGTGCTGCCAACTTCTTAAGCCTCACTCCTAAGGTACTAATATGATCAATCTGTCACTAAAATCCGAAATATTTTATTAAAAATCTTTAAAATCCATTCAAACAATGTTAAAAACATTAATAACTAGTCAGTTTATATTAATGATGCAACATTGACAACTTAACAACTTTGATAATTAAATTAGTCCAATTATCAAAAAATGCTCACACGACTGTTTTATATTAGATTTTTGATCCACAAAAATTTATTTTGTCATCATTTTTAGTTTTGGATTTGGATTTGATGAGTCTTGTTGTGAAGAAAAATTAATAAAATATTTTTTTATAGAAATTTAAAAAATTAAGGAAAAATAACAAAACTTTGAAAATATGAAGAAAATCCACCTCGAAATTCTCCAAATTTTTTTCATTTCACTTTCAATACTTCATGTAAAGTCAGCAGAAAATTGTGGACATTTAATGAAGAGCAACGACAACAATTCAATCGGTGTTAATTGGCCTTGGCTTTCTTCACTTTTTCATTATTTCAATGGTCAATATTTCTGTAGTGGAACATTAATAAGTGATCGACATATTTTGACTGGTAAGTTGTGTCTTGTTAGCTTTGTTCAGGATGCAGTCAGTTGCTAACCCGAGCGGCACAAGGAGGCAGGTGTCAGTCATATGACTGTTATATGATCGTTTTGAAAAGGCAGATAACAGTTATATGACGGTTATTTGGTAGCAATTATATGACAATTTTATAAAACTGTTATATGACTGCCATGTGACTGCCATGAGAAAAAAATTGATCACAGTTACCATTGTTTTTTGGAAAATTATGAAAACCATTCAGTTGAAATCTAGATTTTGAAGTGTAAAGTTCATTTTTTTGTTACTCTTAAAATTTATATCGGTGAGGAATTAATAAGCAAAATAGGGTGGACTTAGTAAAGGGTGAGCAAAACATTTAAAAACTTTTATTTATATATTATTTTTTCATTCATAATTATTATATAGGAACGAAAATTGGCATAAAAGAAATTTCAGGACACATGCATCTTTTTCAATACATAATCAATCGAAGTGCTCCAGGAACTTTTGATGATTTAAGAGCAGGATCAAATTCTTCACATACAGGAATCCCCAGAGCACGATGGGTTAAAAAGAAGGCAGAAAAAGCCGTAAAGCTTATTGAATTTTTTTTCCATTTTTTTCTATTATACATTTTCATAAATAAACAGAAAATTTTAACCCCTTAATATTTTGTAATTTTTTAAATCCATTTAATTTATATTTCAGCCTTAACAGCCTTTAAAATGCCATGTAATTGATATGAAATTGCCACAAAATTGTCATCTCATTGCCATATAATTGCCATTTAACTGAAATTTGATAAAAGTACTGCCATCTGTGCCTGCCATAAAACTGCCTAGAAACTGTCATATAACAGTTTCCGTTTTGTGTCAATTTTTATTGATGGCAGTCATATGGCAGTCATATGGATTACTTTATCATACTATTTGGTTGACATATCGTCAACATCGATAGCAGTTATCTGTCATATGACTGCCATAAGGCAGTTTTTATTGCCATCAAACGATGGCAATTGACACGTGGCAGCTGACATATGGCAGTCATATGACAATTATATGACACCTTTGTGCCGCTCGGGTAATCAATATAATGCTGACTAGGGATTCTAGTTTGAGTATTTTATATGAAAAAGCACAAGATTTCGCGTAAGAAATGATCTTGTTAAGCCATTGAATGTAACTCGAATGATCTTATTGCTTTATTTTTATTGTTTTGACTGTGATGCAGCATTTAAGTCACAAACTGAAGCTACATTGCATACCCTCTGCCTGCAGAAATTTTTAGAGTTATCCCTAGCCATAATCTCAACTATGACCAAGAAATAAACCTTAAAAACAGTCACTGAACGATCTTAAAAATTTCTATTATTTCCTTCACAGCTGCTCATTGCTTCAGCGGATCAAACTTCTCAACTCCACATCAGCAAGTCTTTGTCATCCTTGGTCACAACAACTTTACTAAAATCTCACCATTCGAACAAATCAAAAACGCAAGTGACATCAAAATTCATCCAAATTTTAAGAAAATCACCGGAAATTATGACTCAGACATTGCAATTTTGACTCTTAATGACCCAGTGACATTCACAGAATATGTCCAACCTAATTGCTTACCAAAGCCAACAAAGAAGACAGAATCAAATGAGCTCAATGACATTGCAATGTCAGGCACAATCATTGGATATAAAAAATCTCATGAAAATCACCAAATTTCATTTTTTGAATCAAAAGTTGAGAACATAACTTCATGTCTTTATGGTGACGACATCTCATGCTCAATTTATAGCGATGACTTCAACTGTAATTCAGTGTCTGGCAGTGGATTTTATGCTCAAAAAGACAGTTCAGCTGGTTACAAAATTTATGGAATTTTCTCAAAAGGAATCAACCAAGATGCTAGTGAATTTTGTGGATTGAATAATTTTGTGATTTTCATATTCGTGGCTCAGTATGTTGATTGGATAAAGTCAGTGATTAATGAACCATATGTAGGACAAAAGAGGGAAGGAAAGGAACTGAAACCATCAAGTGAAATATTTTGCGATTATCGATGGAATTATGAACAGTTGAGTGGATAGCTTTGAGGGTTTTGGGCTGGGATGTGCTTATAACATGTAATATCCAGACATGACAGAAATGGCTACAAAATTCCCAAATTCAAAGAACCTTTGGATCAGTAATTCAAAGCTGAAGTTTGTTGAGAGAACGAAGTTGCAACCTTGGACAAATTTGACAATTTTTTGCTTTAATGAGAATGAAATTGAGGAATTTGCCGACGATACTTTTGTTGATTTAGTGAATCTAGAAACATTGTGGATTTACAGCAACAAAATCACAGATTTAAGTGAAATTCTGTTTAGAAGTCTTACAAAATTGAAGATTTTTGATGCCAGAAATAATTTAATCACATATTTACCTCCAAAATTGTTCTCAAACAATCCAAACTTAAAAGTCGTCAATTTTAGTTTTAATTCATTAAAGAAAATTGACATCGACTTTAGTGATTTTAAGAGCATTAAATGGATTGTTTTTGATGGTAATGAGTGCATTAAAGCTAGTTATTGTAAGATTTTTGACTGTTTGAAGTCTATAAAGCAGATGCAGGGGGTGATTGATAAAGATTGTTGATGAATTGTTGGGAATGATTGGCTTAGGTTTGGTTTAAGGTTGGAATATGTTGATAAAATGATAGTTTAAGCTTAGGATTGAATAAATTGGTTATATTGTAGCTAATAAATAAGCAAATGAAGCATAAGTGAGACTCTATTGAATAGTAAGGATGACTTAAAAAAAAAGTCCTGAAATAAAATTAACCCTCAAATGGCTAATTTGAATATATTTTATTAGATTGTCTCAATTAAGACATACAAACAGGCATACAAAGCTTAACTTATAGGAAATAAGCATTCCCTAAAATTGAACTTAATCTAAGAAATAAAATTTTTAAACAAAAGAGGTCGGTTGGTTTATATACGGTAAAAGATGAACTGCATCTAGTGTACCTTCAAGGATATGATATCATATTTATCCTGGTTCATATTCTGGAGTACTCTAAACTTCACCTGCATACACCTAATCCATCATCCAATATTATATCAAGCATCCGACCCCCTTGAATCTCCTTCATCTCCCCTCATTCCGTATCCATATCCGACTCATCCTCACTATCATCGCTGTCATCATCGTCATCATCGTCATCACTCTTATCGCTATCTGATGAATCCTCACTGTCACTTCCAAGCCACTGCAGCGACGGCAAATTACCAATATGTGTCCTCCATGCATCACATTTATTCACGTCTAATGAATAAAAGTCACATAATGTGTACTGCCGACTTCCTTGCTCATAACTTCCACCGAATATCCATAAATTATGTCGAACGACTGCAATAGCTGCATTCATTCTTGGAGATGGTCCACCGACATCTAATTGGGAGGTATTGGCACTTGTGGATGATTCTTGTTTGGGTCCTGCGACTGTGACTGTAAAGATACCGTCTGTTGTTGTTTTGACATTCTGTGATGGTGCTGCAGCTGGTTCGTCTGACATTTCTGTCTCTACTTCCTTCTTTTTCTTGAGATCGACTTTTCTCCATGCCATGCCACCTCCTTGAATGTCTAGGAAGTGGATTTCATTAGTGAAGAGTCCTCGAAGGTTCTCGTCGTCTTCTTCTGTGTCCATAACGCCACCAAAAATGTAGATCTGAATTTAGAAAGTTTGAGTTAAACAAATTGGTGGCTTTACGTGATTTTTGCTTATCATACCTTTCCATTTGGAGCTGTTACACATGATACACCACTTCTGGGAGTTGGTCTTCTTCCACCTGGTTTAGTTGAGCTCCACTTCCATTTGCCGGGTGTTTCTTGCAGGATGAAGGTGTCTGCATGGGTCTGACCTCGCTCACTTCCAGCTAGATTATTGAAATTAGTATGAGAGGATTATTATTTAAGGATGAATATAGGATCTTAAGGAGTAGCAAGTAGTTGTTTAGCAAGAAGATGGCTCTTCCTATTCCAAGAGTCAGACACTTATCCAAAAGTTGTACAATATCCAGATGAGAACCTGATTTTTGCACTATCCTAGGGTCCTGGTTTATAAGATAACTTAAAAGACAGTCAGAGATAGTAAGCCTTAAACCGAGTATCGAGTTAATAGGCCTTCTCATTCTTACTACCATAAAGGCCTCTAACCTATGCCATACAACTGTTCAAAGCCCACACAAGTGGTAATCAACCTTACCTTTAGCACTTGACTTAGTATATCCTCCAAAAACGACAATTTTATCATCACTGACAACACCAAGTCCAACACCAGACCTCGGTGTCGGTGCAATTCCATCAGTGTCAACCTTCGTCCATGCATATTTATCCATTGAGAACATCCAAACATCATTAAAGTACAAAAAGCTCTGATTATTATCATGAAATCCACCAAATAAAATAATTCTCTTTTTATGTAAAATCATTCTGTGTCCACTTCTAGCTGATGGTCCATTTGGTACCTTGACATGCTCCCACTTTTTACCAGCAATTGAGAACTTCCATAAATCTCGATAGTGATAGAACTGCAGTCCAGATGGAGATGCAAATTCACCTCCAAAAATCCACAATTCACCACCATTTGCAGCTGTGCTGATCATTTGATGACCACTGCGTGGTGTTGGACATGGCGAGCACTTGATGACTCTCCATTCATTTTTGTTTGTGTTGTAGCTGAATAAGTCACCAAAGCATTCAACTTTGGCTCCGTTAAAGAATTCACCACCATGGAAGTAAATCATGTCATCTAAAGATGCGACTGCAAGATTTGACCGTGGTGATGGTGGTGCACAAACTGATTCTGAATATTCTGATTGGGTTTGGGCTTGGAGGGACTGGACCATGTTCTCGATGTCATCCTGGAATGCATTCAAATTAGAAAATTGATTTTTTATTTGTTTTTAAATTTTCTTACCTCGCCGAGTTTCTGTAAAAGTTTCTTTTGTTTTGCTTGCAACTTTTTGTCAGTTTTTGCATTTGTTTTCTCAATTCCGAAGCCTTTTTTCTTTTTCTTGTCCTTCTTGCCCATGTTTGACTTTTGTAGCAGCGCTGTTGTTTGAGATTATTGTGTTTTAAGCTATGTGCTCTTTAAGATAATGAAACTTTTACACAAGACGATGTTGTGGTGCCGGTGTGATAACTGAAATCAAAACAAACGAGGAACAGGAGATGCGAACAACATGTGGAAGAATTTTTCGCTTCAATTTTTGTAGACTTGGATTTTTTAACTTTAAATAAAAAATTTCCGGTAATTTTATGAATTTTCAATTTATATTTAGCAAAAAGCTACTGTAAATCCAAAAATTTCTGGGATATAATTAGATTGCTGAAATCTAAATGTCCTTAAATGCATATTTTTTTGATTAATAAATTATAAAATCATCATCTTTATTTTGACTGACTTTACTCGTAAATGCTGATGTAATTGTCCAAAACTAAGGTTCATTAGATTCATGAACTTTGAATGTGCTGTAAAAATAATTCACAGATAAAGTCGTTGTTGCATATTGTGGATATGGCTCGATGAGCATATCTGTAGTAGATAGACCTGAGCTCGTGGTGATCTGGTTATATGTGTGTGACGGATAGTCAAAGTGAGATAAGTACCTCGATGGACGAGAGGCAGAGATCTTTGATCGAGTGGTCAGAAATCGCCTCTTTTGAGGTCGTGGGTTCGATTCCCATCAAAACATGACATGTTTTACATTAGTATACACCAGGAGCGTGTATAGATAGCCAGGAATTTGAAGAGGGAGGACAAAAAAATTTATATGGAAAATTCAGAGGGAAGGGGAAGGGGGGATTTTTATGATTTTTTCATAAAACTCCTAGCAAAATGAAGAAATTTCTTTTAACTTTGGAGGATTTGTCAACCATTCCCCCTCGGTTATGCGCCTGGTATACACATATGGCAGTTGTAGTGAGATCTAAACATATGGCTATGCTGTACATCTGATTCGGCCAATTTGTGGTCAAAAAACGGTATTTTTCGCAATTTCAGCTCTCTGAAAAGCAGGACAGACCAAATTTTCAAGGATTTTGAAGAAAAATGGGTTCAAAAAATGAGACATTAAGAATTTTAAGCAAGATTTTGTTTATAAAAGCGAGACTGTCGCGCTTAAAAGTGTGCAGTTTGACAGCCTACATAACTGAAAGGGGTGTTAGACATCTGGCAGAAAGTAATTCCTAGGAATTCCTAGGAATTTACGTAGTTCCTAGGAATTTTTACGTAGAGATTTACGTAGGCTCCTAGGAATTCCTAGAATTCCTAGAATTCCAAGGAACCTTATTTTAGGAACTAAAATTTTTAAATGATTACTATGATTTCCTAGTATATACTAGGATTTCCTAGAATAGCTCATTAAATCTTGGATGAATTTCCTCAAAATCCTAGAAGTTCCTAAGATTCCTAAGGATATAAAATGAATTCTTCAAGAAATTTCCTAATACTGAAGAATTTGCTAAGGATCCTTAGGATCCTTACAAATTTCGAGGAATTTTAGTAAAGATATTTACTTTTATGTCCTGTTAATGTTAAGATTTGCAATAAACTAACGAGTGCTTATTAAAAAATTGGAGAAAGTCCTGGTGTTATATATTGTTTTATGTTTCAAAAATATTCGTTCGGTCAATAACTCGAAAGAACTGAGCTGATTAAACAAACCCGAGCATGGTTAAAAAGTTTTTCTTCGCCCGATCAGCCGAACACCCGAACAACCAAACAAAGTGTACTAATAAGCTACCTTTAAGAAACAAGTTTCAAAAATGCGGTAAAATTTTTTAATTGCTAAACCGTGTAGAAATTCTTAATTTTTGTATTTTTTCATTAACTTATTTAATTATTCCTGTTACTTTACGTATGAATTTTCAAGGAATTCCTAATTTCCTATAGGAAATTCCTACGTATTCCTTGGAAAATCTTACGTAAAGTAACAGGAATTCCTAGGAATTACTTTCTGCCTGATGACCATGAGCCAACTGAAAGATAAAAGATCACAATTTAAAAGAAAATTCTTTCGTTTAAAAATAATTATTTTTTAATTCAACAAAAATTTAAGATCTTTACAGTTGTTAAAAATAAGTTTTCAATGTTTTTGATTTAATTTTTTAAATTTTACCTCCTTTAAGTAGATTCAGTTTCCATATTTTAAATTTTTTCCCCGTCATTTATGTTTAATTTTAAAGAAACTTTGACAATTTTTTTTTAAAAAAATTAAATAAACTTTTTGTTCCAATTTTATTCGATTTCCTTCTGGCACTTTTTGTTAATAATTTAAATTTTTTGAAGCCTAAACTTAATAAAATATTTATGACATTTGTTTCGAAATGAATTTCAAAATTTTATAGACTCAAAAAATAATTCTTAATAGTTTGCCTTTAGAATTAAGATTTTATGTGCATGGTTTTAAGAAATAAAGTTAACTGAGCACATTTAGAGCTTTTTAAATTTTTTTCTATCTACAATTCTATTTTTTTGTCATTTTTTTTGAATGTGAAGCTATTTTCAATTGGTTTCAACATTTCATCGTACAATTCTTATTTGTAAAATTCAATCAACATCAATTCAAAGACAAAAATGTTGAAAATGGTCGGGTCTTTTGTATATGCTTTATAAATCCTAGCTTTAATTTGAATTAACAACAAAATTAATATCAATTAATTTGATGGTTAGGGGTTGACCTGTTGTTGAATATTAAATCTTTTCTGTCTTTTTAACATTTACTCCATCTCTTCCTCCACATCCTATCAACCTAAATACATAAACAACTCATCAACACCCAACTTAAGTAACAAATTACAAACTTAATCTCTCAACTTTAATTCAAATCTTTGACTTCTGAAATTCCCACTGTTGTGTCATTGACATCGAGTCACAAACAGCTGCATGCACGAGATTCTTATCGAGATTTTTTCGATCAATACACAAACCGCTTTGTTCATGTTTAAATTGTTTGTTGATTGTATAAGTCCACGTGTCTCCAACCTCTTCGTCACTATTGCACGGAATCATTAAAATATATTTGGTACTTCTACGATCATCGATGGTTGCACAGCTTCGTTCCGTCCGAAGGATTTTGTTGTATGTGTATGAGAAGAGCTGCGATGGGGCGATGTCATGCTGGAATGAGAAGTTTTGAGGTTAGAAATTGTGATTTTGAATATTTAAGGTTTTTGAGGTTAAGCTGACAATTTCGTGAATTTTTAAGCAACGTTTATTATTTTTAGGTTAGAATTTTACTCTAAATTGCAAGCAGTCTCTAAACAGCAACCCCAACTCACCTTATAACAAGAGTAAACCCCCAAATTGTACGCCTCATCAATATTCTGCTGTAAATCATCAAAACAATAACGATCGTCATCTAGAGCTGATACCCTTCCATAATTGATGACATTCCTAGTTGGAATGAATTTTTCTGGGTAAATATTCCTCATGTACCACTCGAATGATTTGCATTTAAGTTTATTCCTGAGAACTTGTCGATGTGTGACATCACCAATGTCTGGATGGTTCCTGAGGTCTGGACGGTTCATGTAAAGGAGCTATGAATTATTAGAATTATTAATTTATATCTAGATTTATAATAAATTCATTAAAAACTTACTTCCTGATAGTCATCCATCCACACAATCGCCATCCTCACAGTATTAATTCCGTGAGTGTCTTTGTCGTTTGGAAAACTATATGGATGGAATTCTCGGAAAATATGTCCGATTCTACTACAAGGAATTGTCTCTAGAGTTCCACCGCACATCCAAATTCTAAATGACATCTCGAGATTCTCACCGCCCCAGCTGTGGGAGGGATGGGAATTATTATTAGTAATTTAATGGAGATTAGATATATTTTGAGGATAAGAAAGGATTTGAAGAATATTTGAAGATGAGTAGCAGGAGGATGCACTCTTTTTTGATGTGGGGAAGTCAAATGGTCCGTCTGTCTGTCTTGCTGTTCTTCTTTCTTTGTCTTTAGTTCCCATTCTCACCGATCTCAATTAAGTAGTCACACTTACCCATCCATCTGCTCATCATAGCTGCCTATTTCCCAGAAATAATCTCTAGATATTGCAAAAAGTCCCCCAGCCATTGTCGGACTGTTTGTAGGACATATTGCGATGTCATCCTTACATTCTTTCCTCTGACGCTTTCTCTCCCTTTCTGGGACATCTGTAAGTTCACAAAAATGTCAAAATGAAGCTACAAAATGTGTCAAATTAAGTCTTACCATGCCAATCAAAATGACCATCTAACGTAAATCCACCAATTTGGAATGTATCATATCCATTTGTGCTATAATAAAAATTCTTTGCTTCTATCACATCTATGATTGGTACTGAAAATGAAAATTAAGAGTAAGTTATAAGGTTGAATGGATGATTGAGTGACATTTGACTTACCTAAGACACTTGTGCGTTTTTCTTTGATTCTCTGCACTAGTGGTTCCAGCCATTGTACAACACATTCACAATGTGCATCAAGAAATACGAGAACATCAGCTTTAGCTAATCTGGCACCGGCTAAACGTGCTCGAATCAAGCCCAACCTGAAAGTAGAGAAAGAATGATGTGAAATTGAGATTTTGGACAAATTTTCAGGTGTTCGTCAAAAATGACGTCTTAATTAATGTAAAATAGACCCTCTCCTCTTATAATAGATCTCATTAATGAATTATACTCCAAAATAATAAAAAGCAAGCCAGGAACAAAAGAAATCCTTCAAATTCTAATCAATAAATCCATTCATCCAACCCCAAAATCACGTAAATCAATCAACATAAATTGTCCTTTCCACGAAAAACAAAAATAAAATCAATCAAACTATCATCAAAAAGGTATCACATTACAAAATTCATTGCTAGCTTTTGTCAAAACACCCCTTAACAAAAAATTATCATTCAACTCACACGTCAGTCAATTATTGAATACAAAAGCTAGTTCATTTGATTGTCCCACACCCTTAAATTCAAGTAACAATAAATAACATTAATGACCACAACTTGTGTCCGTCACTCGAATTCATTAGCTTAATACGAGTGAATTGATAGCTTGTAATAAATGCCATTAGTGTAACTGCCACCATCAAATAATTCCATTAGGTACAAAAAAGAAAGAAAATGTCTCGTAATTTTACTTGATTTAATCACAGTTGGTTGTAATTTCACTGATTGAATTATAACAATGTCATTAAGGCACATTTATGGTTTATGAGAAGTGGTATGGATGAGGTAGGGTGGAATTTGTTGAATTGATTTGGGCGAGAGTAGAACTAAGTTTGTTTGTAGATTCCCAAAGTATATAAGCAAGCTAATTTTCAGATCAGCTCGACCCATGCTAGTATTGAGCTATATTTGATTTAAGCTAGCATTTAGCTACGCTCAAACCAAGCTAGTATTGAGCTACGCTCGATCTAAGCTAGCATTTAGCTACGCTCAAACCAAGCTAGAATTGAGCTACGCTCGACTTAAGCTAGCATTTAGCTACGTTCAAACCGAGCTAGTATTGAGCTACACTCGACCTAAGTTAGCATTTAGCTACGCTCAAACCAAGCTATTATTGAGCTAAACTTGAACTAAACCAGCATCTAGCTACACTCAAACCAAGCAAGTTTTTAGCTACACTCGACTTAAGCTAGCATTTAGCTATGCTCAAACCAAGCTAGTGTTGAAAAAATTTCAAATTTTCAACGTGAATCCAAGAATCTTCCCACAACAGAGCCCATCCATTCCACCACAAATTCATCAACACAATTAACATCATCAAACTTGTAACTTCATGCTCAAAGTCGCATAAAAATTAATGCGAACATCAACAATACAATACAATATAAACCGAATAAACAAATGAAAAGCACAAACAAAGTCAGTCACTTGAATTTGTAATAAATCCCGTTAATTACACATGTAGAAAGAATTGTAGTGCACAATGTATATGTCTGAATATTATGATAATTAGATTTATGAGAAATGTAATTGTAAATCATGAGAATGAACATGTTGAAGAAGAATGCAGACATGCAGGCTGGGTAAAGTTGTTGATTAATGTCGACCTGCTTTTTTAATGCATTTTTTTGTGGCTGGAAATTTTTTTTTAAATTCTTAAACCATAGAAAATTTTCAATTGCATTGTTGCATCAAGAATAAGCGGTAGATTCTCATATGTTGAACGTGTGCCATTCAGCTCGATGAACTGCATAACAATAGAAATTCAGAATTGAATGAAGATTTCAAAAGAAAGTGGAAATGAATCATGTGTGAAGATTAAAAGGAGAAAACCATTGTTGAATAAGTTTTATGAATTAATTTTCATTGTTTGCTTGTGACAAGGCTTGATTGTTTAGGAATTAGCTTAATATTATGTGATGATGTTGAAGCTATTTGAATTTCGAACACGCTTCTTAATTGATTGCACGTTTGAGGTTATATCCCGCTAGATTTAAATAATTACATTGCACTGAATTGCTGCAGATTGTGAGTGAAATCAGGTTTTAAAGAGACTACTCAAAAATAACGTAAAGCCTCAAAGCGGCGACTCAAAAAAGGTAAAGCTTCAAAGCGACGACTCAAAAATGAAGTAAATCTTCAAACCGACGACTCAAAAATAAGGTAAAGCTTCAAAGCGATGGATAAAAAAATTAAACTCAAACCACAAAGCAACGACTCAAAAAATGAAATAAAGCTTCAAAGCGACGACTCAAAATAGAAGTAAAGCTTCAAAGCGGTGACGCAAAAAATAACAAAAGATTTAAAGCGACGAATCAAAAAATGAAGTAAAGCTTCAAAACGACGACTAAAATCTGAAGTCATATTTTAAAGCGACAAGTCAAGTTTCAATAAAATATTCAAAACCTTTTTTAATTTCAGTCGCAACTTCCATAAAATATTCAGCAGCTTCTGCATTTCTTTTTGTATCATCACAGGATGTGGAAGTAGGTTGAATGTTGACAATTCATCCTCCTCATTCTCATTCCAGCAAAAAGCATTTCAATTACCCAAATAAAAATATCAACAAAAAAAATTCTTGTTTGTTTTAAATTAATTTTTAAAAAGCTTCAATTTCGCCTCGAAGCTTTTTGTATTTTGTATTTTGCTCTGCTTTATTTACTTCCTGTGCCACATATAGATTCAGAAAGTTTGCTCGACTGACGTAAATTGAAATACGATCAAAAAAGTTGCGAATTGTTTGCCATGCAGCATTTCTATTAATAGTCAATTCCAAAAAAAAACAATCTCAAATGACACAACTGCAAGACTGTCTCAAAAAATATACAAATTGTCATCAAATACAAATCAAAATCGTATTGTAATTAAGAAATTATTCAAACAACTTTCATGAAGACGACAAAAAAGTCGTCATTTTAATTTTTTACGAGATGTGTAGAAAGTAATTTTCTATAAATATTGAGGCGATTAGCATTTCGTGTTGCGGAGAAGACGTTGACGACGGTGATATTGTTGATTATATTGGATAGATAGACAGAAAAGAGATAAAGAAGAAGGAGAAGGATTTGAAATTGGGAGTTGATTGCTTAACATGTGGTTTTGCTTTGAAGCTCGACTTCAATTTGAGGCGTTGCTTTCAATGTTGCTTTCAACTTTGAGGCGTCGCTTTGAAGTTTGACTTCATTTTTGATACTTATTTTTGAAGTTTGACTAAATTTTGAAGTGTCGCTTTGAAGTTTAACCCAATATTGATGCGTCGCTTTGAAGCTAGACTTCATTTTTGATACTTATTTTTGAAGTTTGACTAAATTTTGAGGTGTCGCTTTGAAGTTTGACCCAATATCGATGCGACGCTTTGAAGCTAGACTTAATTTTTGAGACGACGTTTTAATTTGACTTTAGTTTTTAGATACTTATTAATCAGCCCACTCTTAGGTATGTTTCAACCAAGTTTTATTTTTTGTATGTACAGGTTTGAGGAACAGAAACATTTTTTGACCCTACATTTCTAACCCAACTTTAAAAGTTCATCTAGACTCACCAAAAAATATCAAACTCAATTCCAAACCTCACTCTAAGAATTTGATAACAAAAAAACATCAAAAACCATCAGCCTTTCTGTCTCATCATGTTTTTCTTCTCAAAACAAGAAAGTAGCCGAATGTAAAGATGAACTAGGCACGATAATGTGTGTGGGGAAATTCAAGCTTGACGTAATCAAATGAAAGGAAATAAAATAAAAGTTTTTTGTTCGTCGCTGATAATTTTGAAATTGGAACTTTGTATTTTATGATTGTGTTGGCTATCAAGCAGCTCATCTTGAGTATTTTTTGTGACGACATTTTGAGCAGAGATGGAAATATTTGAGTAAAAATGTTGTGTATTGATGAATTTGCATGAAAAGCTTATGGGAATTTTTTGGTGAGATTTTTGAATTTTTTTAGGGTTTTCGTGGATATTAGTAAGCAACTTAGCAGTAGTAATAACTCAGTGATGAATTAGGAATATCTTATAAATTTGCAATTTAGATTCATATATCTTGGATTATGTAATATTCAAGTAGGTTTCATAGATTATACTAACTGCGAGGGGGGAAACAACATGATGAGAAGCAGTTTGTCAAAAGTCTTCAATTTGCACCAATTATCAAAAATCATCATCAACAGCAGCAAAAGAATCTCATCAAAAAAACATTTGCGAAATCCAAAACGACATTCTTTTAAACGTGAAATGAAAAGTATCACAACAAGTTTTTTTTTCGCTTGCTTCTTTACGCTGAGCATTTTAATGACACCAGACGACCTTGACCTTTTTGCAAATGGAATTTCATTTTCTATTCGGAGCATTTGTTGATGCAGCAATTGTTTTAATAATGTGAAAAGTGGTTCACTTGTTGAGTTTGGTTTGGTCATTTTTGAGTATTGAGAATGGAAGTGGGGTTTGGGTTTTGGTATGTTGGCATGTGAACTATTGTTTTGGTTTGGTGACAAATTTGGAACTTTTGGTGCTTCTTTTTATAGTTTGACACTTCAACAATCGAGTGCGTACAATAAAGGCTTAAAATCAGAGTTGCGATACAGGTCGCCTGTCACAGGTTCTGGTGACAGATCTATCACAGATAATGCCTGTTAACTGGCACTGCAATCGCCTGTGACAGTCGACATGTATTAAAATTCTGCTTAAAATCCACGAGATGCTTAAACTTCCACATAAATGCCTCAATTCCAACAATATCCTCAATATTCATTAAATATTAATCGAAAGATCCACAAAAAAGTCAACAATTCTGTTCGGATTATCTCAGAACTTTAACCCAGCAACAAGCTAAAGGTCAAGCCATGACATTCCATTCCATATGAGCAATCAATCAGCCCCACAGAGAATAAAATTGGAATTGAAAATTGACCTTTTTTGTTGTTCTGAAAATTTTTTTCTCCCTCCCAATTCTTTTATTGTCTTTTTTTGTCAAATCTTTTATTCTTGTATCTTCAGGAGTTGTTTTGTTGATCATTAACATTAAACCCAATTTTACAGTTCCTTCAAAATCCAACAGCCACTGAAATCCAAGCAATTGAAGGTTCCCGTAACAAACGAAATGTAATTGGGTCCAGGCAGAAGTGTGAGGAGGAAGAAAGGTATGTTTAAAAAACAATAAAACTACCGAAAATTACAAAAAGCTTCAGAAGGAATTGGTGTACCAATTATCAAGATCCAGGCATTAAAGTCTGATTCTAAATTGATTTTGAGACCTTTAAATGAGACTTTTGATCCTTTTTCGTGGCATTTGTAGCTTAATTTTTTTTTACTTTTTTAACAATTCTTTGGGTTATTCTCAAAGTTCTACTAAGTTCAATCCTGTCATAACTTAACATCCAACAACACACCCCTTATGAAAAAAAATAATCCATAAATTGATTTATGAAGAAACCCTCAAAAATGAAATTAAATTTTTTTCTTTATCCATCCTTCCTCAAAACAATTCCTTCAATTCAGCTCAAAAATTCAAAGAAGGTCGAACAAAAAAAAAACTTTTTTTGTTTGTTTGTGAAGAAAATGAAGAAAAATTTGCTGCCGAATTTAACATCGATAAAAAAGTTATTAACTTATGACAGTCGAGAAAATGTTTTTTATGCGGAAATTTTGTTTGCTTTAATCCTCGAGAGATTGTGTGGGTTGGGGTGGGGATTTGTGTTTTTGATTCTTTTGGGATGCCTTTTTTTGATGAATGGATAAAAAGTTGAGGTTGAGGGATTTGAGAATGGGGAAATATTGAAGATCTCTTTTTTGGATTGGAGGTTGAGGAATTTGGTTTAATATAAAAATTAAGTTTTTTTTGTGGGTCTTGTGGTGAAATGTGAGACAATTTAATGAAATTTTTGAGTTTTGACTGAAAATGTTGGGGATTCTAAAATATATTAAGGACCTAAAGCTACCACACATCTTGTTGATCTTAGTCTTTCGTTCTACGGCCGGTTTCTTTGATGACTATTTGCATTCTACTTTAGAATTCAAGATTAGCTTCATCTTGGCCATATTATGGATCTAGCAACCAACCTTAGCTAAACTAAAGGCATCCTAAATTGTCTCAAATCTACAATGTTTATCATTGAATGTTCGTGCTTTTGAATCTTCAAATCCACACTCAAAATAGTCCCATTAAAATGATTCACGCATGTTCCTCATAGCAAGGAACCAGCTATCATACGCACAACACAATACTCAGTTCCTATTACACAAAAAGTTCACCCTCATCACCTTACCACCTTCATCATCATCATCATTCCACCACGGCACAACTCACTTTACCGTAAATAGGAAAATAAATAATGTAACATAATCGAGAATGTCAACAAGAAATGAATGCAAAAAAAGAAAAGCGATATCATAAAAATGTCATGTCACAAAGATCAACAAGACATGAAAGCTGATCTGCCTTGTATCGCGTGTTGCTAAAAAGAGGAATTGCGAATACTTTTTTTTTTGCTTGTGTATATTTGGCGATTCATTAGGGAGTGATGGAACTGAGGAAGTGTGTAGAAGAATTGGAGGTTGAATTGTGTGTAATTTGAAGATAAAAAGTATTGAGTTATTTTAAAGGTTGAGGAAGGGTTGGGGATCGAAGAGAAAATTGTTTTGCCATTCGAAGAATTTTTACATCATTTTTTTATTAATTTTGCAAACATTTTGGTAATAAAGCTCATCAAAGTTGTCAAAACTATGTCAATTTTCTCATTTGACATCGTTCAATGGCGCAGAGCATTACTTTAAGTCTAAAAGGCACCAAAGTACACTAAAACCATATCATCACACTCTAATCAGCTTAATTTACCATAAATCAACTTCAAAACGCCTTAAGTTTACCTCGAAACAGTCAAACCAACCCCAAGAACCTCAAAACCGTTAAACCAACCGCAAGAACCTTAAAAACCAATCAAATTCCTCTTAAAACCCATAAAACCACCTCAAACATTTCCAACTTACTCCAAGCCACCTCAACTCGAATCAAACCAACCAAAATTCAGTCAAACACACTCAATTAATCACAAAACAAATGTTCAATGACAAATTTAAGTAAGCATGAAGTATAAAAAAGTTAAAAAAGTAGAAAATTAAGTTGGAAAAATTATTAAATTATATCAAAAGTTTACGTTTGGCTGGGTTTTGTTGACTCTTCTTTCATGTTATTTATTATGAAAATTAGAAAATTGTGAAGCAATGATTGAAAGTGAAATTAGCAGTAAGTGGTGGTATGAAGGTACTAATATGATTGATGGGAATTGGTGTGGATAGATTTTGAAGATAATTTTTATTAAATTTCTAGTTATTTAATTATTATTAAAATTTGAATCAAGATTTAGGTTAAGATCAATCATTAGTGTCAATAAGAATGATAGCCGTCAATCGGGGATAATTGCCTCAATCCATACCTCATACCCATCTCTATCAATCAATAGAGCTAAACTTCCTAAATTCAACAAAACATTCAAATTCAATTTCATTTCTAAAACTTTCTTGCCTTAATGTCGTCATGCGAGTCAACATTTTACAACAAATTGTTTAATTCTTCTCCTAAATCATGTGTTAGCCGTGCCTCGGGGCACAAATGTCATGAACATGAAAGAGGAGCTGAATAGGAATGTCAGAAAGAAATGCGAACGAAAAAGAAGAGGAAATGAACAAATAAAAAGATTTAGAATCTACACTTAATTGTTACTTTTTAATTCTATTTTGCTGGAGGAAATGTTCGATGGTTGGTTGAAAAGCTTTGGTGTCTTTTAGTGAGTTTTGAGCAGTTTAGGGTTGGTTATTAAAGCTACTTGGGTAACTTGTCGATTGTAACTGGTTAATTTGGCTGATATCTTAGTGAAAAGCATTGATTTTATGATTTTACGGATAAATACTCCCAGCTCTAGAAACTAACCTCGAACTTATCAAATTGACTCAAATCTTGAAAAAGAAATCAAAATGCTGAACTTTTCCAATCGATTAACACCAAATTACCCAATTAACATCTAAATTGTATCCCATAAATATCGTAATCAGCTGTCGAAGTCAATTCCAATATTCAAACCAATTCGCATCATTCAATCTCACTTAAATTAAGCAAAATCTTTTTCCACATACTTCGATAACTTTAATCCAAATTATGAGCCAAATCTAGCTTTAAAAAATCAATTAAAACAATCCAAAAAGTTTTTTTTTTATTTTCTTCTGTCACAATTTAATTCAATTTCCGCACTTTTTCTTTTACATTTTTTTTTCTATGCCACGGTAAGTGAAATAAATCAAAGATTCGCGATCGCCGGTTATTGACATTGAAAACTATTCTTACATAAACAATGATGAAGTGAAAAAAAAAATTTTATTGTTCGTCACTTTGAATTTGATGAATGTATAAGTTTTTTTTAAAGAATTAATGGATTGGAGAAGACATGAATGAAGAAAGATGTTTAGAGTTGAATGGCGATTTTTTGATTTTTTTCAGTTTTAAGTTTTTTTAATTTTTTGAATGTTTTCAGGAGTTTTAAAATTATAAAAAAATTCAAATTTTTGAAATTTTTGATTGTTTTTGAGATTTAAAAATTTTTTTTTATTTTTTTTTAATTTTTTTTCAAGATTTAAAATTTTAATTTTTTTTTCTCAATTTTTTCAGTTTTGATTTTTTTTTAAAAATTTAAATTTTTGAATATTTTTATTTTCTTAATATTTTTGATTGCTTTAAAGATTTTTTTAAATTTGCAAATTTAAATTTTTTTTGATTTTTAAATTTTTTATCTCAGTTTTGTCCAATTTTGAAAAAATGAATTCATAACTTGATATTTTAATTGAATTTTTAAAAACAAAAAAATATTTTGAAATATTTTCTTTATTTTTAATTTACTTAAAAATTTCAAAGTAATTTTTTAAAATAAAATTCAATCAATAATCAATAAATGAGTAACAGCCCAACACATGCAAAATTAAACCAGAATTCATGAATGAAATCACGAAAAAAAAAGCAAACAAAAAAGAAAAGAAATAAAAATTTACACACAAAATCCAACTCACCTATTTTTAAGCCGTAGCACCTTAACTTTATCACTAAAACGTGTTTTTACATAATAATCTAATTTTCCTTTAAGCTCAATGTTACTGCTACCGTCATCAACAATAATGACCTCACGTAAGAGCCTTTCGGGTGTCGTATTGATAACACTATGAACAGTCCTCACTAATACACTATATGGTTCATTAAAAAATATTATAATAACACTAGCAGTTGGAAGTGACGAAATATCATAAAATTTATTACGACATGACGGATGTCGTGCATCGGGTACCGTTCGATTATACGAGATATGATTTGATAATTCCTCATTTAATGCAATTTTTGATAATTGCAATTCGCCCTGTGCAATGTCATCGGGGTCAGTTAAATGTGCAATTTTCCCCTCGGCACCAAGTTTTGGATTCTCTTGTTGCTTCGCCAAATCCAGTTGAATTTCAAGTTCAAACTTGTTGCTTCCAACAGCAGCAACAGCATCGGGCAGAATGAGATTATTGACTAGTTGATTCTCTGGCTCTGATACTTGATCGATATTTATCTCTTGGACGAGATGATGTGCTTGAGGTACATTGTTATTATTTGATGATAATTTGGTCCGTTCACTATTATTTGTTAAGCCATTAAAATTATTTAAATTTCTTATGTAAAATATGCACAAAATGAAGACAATTACGATGAGAATTATTTTTGAATAAAATGTTTTTCTTAATGAAATCATTGCATTCGAAAGACGTGGAGATTTTTAATCATTTTTTAATTAAATTCAAATTTCTTGTCCACGTCGAGTTTTTTGCCACAAAATTTTTTTATTATTTTTGACTTTGCGATGATGACAAAAAATACAATAAAAATGAGGAAAAACGAAGCACTTTCGACCGAAAATGAAAATAAACTAAACAAAATTTATATTGTAATAATGTTGGATATGAGCTGTGTTGTGTGTTGATTGCTTTTTTGGAGACTAAAGTCTCTTGTTATTGTTCGCAGGGTTCAACATGTGTGGGATGCAAAGACTCTTCTGAGAGAATCTTGTGAGAGAGAAATTGATTTTTAAATTATTTTTAACCGTTAGTTTTTGGGACTTTGATGAATTTTCATGTGTGACTGTAGATGAGGTGTCAAGCTAAGGTTCTAGTTTTTGATGACTTTTGACATTTATAGAGCATGTTAATTTTGTAAGCCAGTGATGGTCAACCCATTTTTTTTCGGGAAACTAGGGTTACGAGTGTAGCCAGGAGGGTCAGGATCCCTCCTTAAACTTTTGAACAACAGCAAGAGCACGGTGTTCATTGTGTGGTTTTGGTCATGACATACTTCCAAGGTGTGACTTGACACAAAAGGGTTGCCCAGCACTGCTTTAAAATGATGACATTGTCATCCTTTGTTAAATAGACGTAATTATTTTAAATTCCTTCAACAGACATTTTGAAAATTTTTTCATTCCGATAATATTACTTTACAAGGAATAGAAGCCCTCTTAGAGACCATAAGCATAGCCAGCTTCTAATCAATGAAATAATTGGAGTGTATTGACTTTCTAATTGATTTTATTTCTCTGTACAGTGCTTTGAACTCACGTGAACCTTTTTGAACCCTTCAAATCTTTTTTTTTATTTTTTAAGGATACTTCAAAACAGCATAAACCTTTCTGAGCCCACGGAACCACCATAATATGCCTCATAACCCTGCATGATTGATTAAATCTACTAGAACTGGATTAAACTATTTTCAATTTAGATTTTGTGAAATATTCTAGTTTAGTAAAACACATTGAAACCTTATGAGCCACACAACTGCCTTACCTATTCATTATGGCTGTAAAAATTCTGTGTCACATAAGGTTCATCTAATCCTTCATCGTTGAATTACACTTATCGTAAAAAAGATGAAAAATATATCGTGGAGCCAGGATATCGTCAGTTTAGAGTATGTTTCAAACTTGCCTCGTGCCTGCTTCTTCTCTTACTGTGTTACAATGCATGATTTTCAATATCAATCCATGAACAAAACATAAAAATCACAAAAAAGAAGAAAACAAAGTGAAAATGAAACGTTCATAAACGCTTTGTAGCCAAAATGAAAATATGAAATTTCAAGCAGTTGTGGCCGAGTGGTTAAGGCGTCTGACTTGAAATCAGATTCCCTCTGGGAGCGTAGGTTCGAATCCTACCAGCTGCGAAATTAATTCGAAGTTGTTTGAAAATCTTTTTTTGATGCATTTTTTGACTTTTGCTTTTATTTAAGATTTTTTTCAAGTAAATTTTGAAAAATTTTAATTTTCAAAATTGTAAAAAATTCGCATCAATTCGTCAACTTTCCGTTACAGCACACAAGTCTAAATTATACACTATATCCATACAATATACACAAAGACGACACCAAAAGGTGCTAATTTGCAATAAAAATAAACAAATAAATTTCAAAAGAAATCTCACAAGTTTTACTATTTCTCTCTCAGTTGAATATTGGACCTACCGGAGACAACACAGGAGAATTAAAATCATAAATAATCGAAAAGAATTAAAACAAATTTTTTTTTGCGTTCATTGTTTGCCATCGGCACGTGCTAGACAACATGCGATGTAAATAAATCTTGTTATGTTGTGGTTTCTTGTATTGAGTGTCAGTTTTGTGGAATAAAGTTGACAAAATCAGATTAGTTGTGGATTAACTACCAAAAATTGTGATTTATGAAATAATTTGCTAAACTGTGCATAAAAAATTATCGAAAAAAAAGTTGAATAACTTTCAATTTGTACTAGTCAAAAAAAAACTTAAATTAGCAGCAATTAGCACTGATTTTTGTCACTAAATCCTGAAAGGTGTTTAACAAAAAATTGCGTATTAGCCATGCATTTTACACGGTAAGTGTCAAAAAAAATAATAATTTAAAGAAATTATTGACTTGACCCAATATTACCTGAGTAAATACGCAACAAGTGATAGTTTTGTGATATTTGCATAACGGGTTCAATGATCGCGACTTAAAAAAGTCTCGTGTTTGTTGTGGGGAAAATCCAGAAAAATTACGATGACTTGAGACAGGGGATGTAACTGCTGTAGTCGATTTTGGAAGTAATATATATTTTTGAAATCTTATTAAATTTGAGAAATTGTAGGTTAGGACAGGGAATTTTAAACCTATCAGATCGTAAGGCTGAGTTTTTTTCGTCTTTATTAGGCGCGTATTAATAGGAGGGACTCGCCCCCTATTAACGTTTTGAGCCATGCTTTGAGAATCTTGTCACAATTCGTGTGCGCAAGATGCCGTAATTGTAGATCTTCCTATAACTGCCATATGTGTATACTAATGTGAAACAAGTCGGATACGATGGGAATCGAACCCACGACCTCAAAAGAGGCATTCTCTGACTACTCGTTCAGAGATCCCTGCCACTCGGCCACCGAGGGAATTATCTCATTTCGGCTATCCGTCATAAACATACAACCAATTCAACGCGAGATCTATGCTCTGGCCTATCTACTACAGATATGCTCTTTGAGCCATATCTACAGTAAAGAAGTCATGTGCCAAAGACACCAATACTGCACCGAGCTTCGTAACTAGAACGGTGAAATGGAAAAAGAGCTTCGAAAATTAGACTTGGTCTTGGGATTCAATCCAGGACCTTTGGCACAGAAGGCCAACGCTCTACAATTTAGTCCACTGATGCCAATTCATAGCTAAACCGTGCTCTTGCTCTTGTTCAAAACGCTTAAGGAGGGGGGTGGGGGGCAAGACCTTTTGGCTACGCACCTAATATTTATGTTAAACTGTACCTGCTCATGTTGACAGATCTTAATTTTTTTCATCGAACATTAAGATCTCAACATAGTTTGAAATCTTCGGGGTAATGTGATATGAGTGTGTGGGAGGAGGTGGGGGTGTGCTGAGTTGTTTTCGTATGAACTTGTTCTGATCAATGTTGTGTCAATAGATTGAAAATGTATGTTAAGAAATAGGGAGGGGTGGGGAAGTGCATGAAAATTCCCTGCCTACGATTTCAGCTCTACTCAACAATGTTTACATGATTTGCACTATATTGTGATAACAACTGCTAATCTATGTAGCATCACGTATGAACTTTAACTTGAAAAGCTCAATTCTTACTTAAAACTTCAACAATTTACTAATATTTTAACAATTTCATAATTTTCTTGATTTTATTCTTCACACAACCAAGGTCGTCCTCCTTAACAACGTTAATTTTACTGCCAACAATATTTACATTTAGAATTATCGCCGCTTTGAACATTTTTTGTGACTACTCAATGCAAAATTTTACTTTGTTGACCAAAAATTCAATTTATACATGCACTGTTGTGGATATCAAGCCAGTCACTGAATCAAGACTAGAGATAATTAATGTTTTTGGAGAGCATTCAAACAACAGCAAGGACGAGAATGTTCACAGCATTAAAATTGAAGGAAAACCTGTGAAATTCTTCCCAAAAAAATTGGAAAGTTTTTTCTCATTTTTGAGCATAATTTCGGTAGTTTCGTCCAACTTGACAGCCATTAGGCAGGAAAACTTGACACCGTTCACAAATTTAAGGCTGCTTGATCTTCATGATAATTTGCTTGACTACCTGCCAAGGGACCTGTTCGTCTACAATCCAAATTTAGAAGTTATCAATTTGAGCCGTAATCGAATCTCAAATATCGATCCAGACATCTTTGACTATCTGAACAACCTTAAATATCTAAATTTAGAGAACAATGAGTGCATTTCGGACATGGAAAATGACACAAATGGAGTTAAAGCTATGATTAATGAAATCAAGGAAAAATGCAACAATTGCGACTTTGAGCTGCAAAAGAATCTCGAAAGATCAATTGACAGTCTTAAGAGTTCCTATATTTTACAAGTTGATGACTTTAGAGCTGAAATTGACATGCTGAGAGCTCAGAACTTTGAAATCACAAAACGAGCTCAACTTTTGAATGAAAACTTGTCAAAACAAAATGAAAAATTGACAATTAAGCTTGCAGAACGGAAAGTGACCTCAAATCGAAGGATTTTCTTGCTGACAATCATGCTAGTCATCATGTGCTCGCTGCTGATCATCTTTACAATAGTTATCATTTATTTCATATTAAATAATAGATGTACTAAGAGTAAGGAGCTGAGAACACCAGAAATTGTTGAATATTTACCAAGAATTGAGGATAACATCATTGTGAAGAGAAGTCACAGGCAGAATAGGCTGAGCGAGAATCTGTACGAGGATATCAATGGGAGTGTTTATGTTATCGAGTCAGGTGAGAGGAAATTTTGAGAAGTTCTGTAAAATATTAAGCTAATTTTTGACATTTTTCATTTTAGCTTACGACCGGCTGCAATATTTTTGAAGAAAAATCTGTAAAAAAAAAAATAAAACGTGAACAATAAAGTTAAAAAGCTATTATTAAATTTAAAAAAGATGTTTTTGGAAGCAACGCTGTAAAAATTAATAAATCTTAAGCCACGTTTTAAAAAATATCATTAATTGTAGAGCGACGACTCAAAATATTAATCATTCTAAAGTTTGATACAAAAAAATTCATATATTGTAAAGCGTCGCTTTAAAAAGTGATCAGTTATAAAGCAGTGCTTCAAAAAGTAATCAGTCATAAAGCATCGCTTCATAAAGTAATCAGTCATAACGAATCGCTTCAAAAAGTGATCAGTCATAAAGCAATGCTTCAAAAAGTAATCAGTCATAAAGCATCGCTTCAAAAAGTGGTCAGTCATAAAGCATCGCTTCAAAAAGTGGTCAGTCATAAAGCATCGCTTCAAAAAGTAATCAGTCATAAAGCATCGCTTCAAAAAGTGGTCAGTCATAAAGCATCGCTTCAAAAAGTGGTCACTCATAAAGCATCGCTTCAAAAAGTCAATAATTATTTTAAAGAAACGCTTCACGAAGTGATTATTTGCAAAGCAGCGCTTTAAAAGTCTAATATATAACCAAAAAACATTCAAACAAGTAAATTTTACATAGAAAAATTTAAAAATTTTATTTAAATTCACTAGCTACACCCGCTTGTTCCTTTAAACCCCATTACGTATTAAACGCATCAGCAGGTAAAGTTATAATTATTGTGTCATCCTTAGAATTGAATATGGTCTGCTCAATCATATGAATTTTTGGTCTACTAGACTCTAAGGGTTCTAATCCAGCCTTTATTCTCTTTATTTTCTCTTCCTCAACTTTCCGTTCAAGAATCTCTTGCAGCTCCTTAGCATGAAGGTTCTTCCGATGTGTGTAATAGTTTGTGGAACTTGCAAACTCTCTTTGACAAAATTCACACTTTTTAACTGTAGCTTTACCGCCGTGATTCTGAGATTTATGAATAGACAAAGCTCTTTTGACTTTAAAGGACTTGCCACAGTCAGGATGATCACAAATGAATGTCTTAACATCGCTGTGCTTAGTCATCATGTGGTTCTTCAGCAGTGACTCCTTCTTCGTCACATAATCACAGATGTCACATCTCATATCCACATTTGTATGCAGCATCAGATGTGACTTCAAACATCTCTTATTTTTCAGCCATTTTCCACATTCTGAACACTTAAGTTGGAACTTATCTCGATCCTCACTGTGTAGTGTCAGATGTTCTTTATATGAAGTTAATGTTGAGAATGACTTGCTGCAGATTTCACATAACTTTCTAGTCTTGTTGCTGTCTGAATGATGAGCGAATTTCTTATGAGATGATAGAGATCCAGCAGTTTGGTAGTTTTTGTTGCATATGCTACATGTGTGCACTTTCCTTTCAGTCTGGTGCTTCATGAGGTGATTTTTGAGGGCGTTCTTCCAAATGAATCGTTTGCTGCATCTGTGGTTGGGGATAGAAAGTTGATTAAACTCTGGTTTGATAAAAATTAAGGGGTTATCTTTAGTGGTTAAGACTGAGTCAGGGGAATTTTCTTCAAAATACTAAGGTTCATTGAGAAAGACTCCCTCTGAGCTACAATGATGAAGTATAGTAGTAGTGGTGCTTTAGGGTTGTGTCTTTAGAATGAACGTGGATAACATCCCAAGGCTAGCACTATATACAATACTCCTGAAGAAGTCAACATCATATTGAAGCACCAAGCTACAGAAAGAGAAGATGGCTCAGCCATTGTTCAAAAGAGACTTCAATAAATTCTACAAAAATTTTCTAGGCTTCAAGATCCCTTTCTCAAGCCTGGACACACAAAACACATTTAATACTCACAAATCGCATTCCAATGGCTTCTCACTATCAGGGAGATGAGTATTTTGATGAATTTCCAGGAACTTGGGCCTCGACACAACATAATCACATATTTTACATTTAAAAGCTTCTGGCTGAATGTGCTTCACAAAGTGCCATATTATTTTTGTCATTTTGTTCAGTTCCATAGAGCAGCAAGTCACGTAAGGCTCTCGTTCTGGATGTGATGTTCGATAATGACTGAACAAATTGTGAATTGATCGAAATCTTTTATTTTTACAGATTTTACAGGATGTGTTGTAGAATGTTGAGACCATTCGGATGAGTCGCTTACTTTTGTAGATTAATGAGCCATTGTCAATGAGTTTTGTAGGGATTCTTTTGAGTGCTTCAGCTGATGGAAAGTCTTCATCTTCTGGATCTCTTAATGCTTTATATTCCTCATCATTTTCATAAATTTCGCCATCAGATACTTCAAAGTTCTCTTCATTCTCCTCAAAATCAAAGGACCTATGAGATTGCTGGTCACTCAATGCATCATCTTTGGAAATAAGCATTGAATCCTGTCCATCAATATTCCTCCTAAGTTCCTCAAAAGTCGTCTCAGAAATTCCAATTTTATCTTTTACATGCGATCGAGTTCGAACTGTTGACATGAAGACCTTTTGTGATGTATTTTGAGGTGTTTCAAGATTTATTATTCTTGGCGGTTCCTCAATCACATCAGGTGGCTCTTGATAGACTTGAATTTCAAACATTTGCTCAACTTCTTGTGGCTGCTCATCTTGCTGCTCATCTGGATAAATTATCTTCTGAATTGCTTGGATTTTTGTGGCAAAATTGTGAAAGTTGTCGATGGTTTGTGAGCAGTGGAAGCAGATGTGGTGGTGGGATGTGTTTGGGATCTAAAAATTAGATTAAGTTGGCTTAAAAAATGCATGAATTTGGTTTAAAAGTGTTGAAATCTAGGTTAATAAGCAAAAGAAATTTAACGGTCGTTTGAGATTTAAAAAGTAACGGTTGTTCAAAATTTTAATTCGAGTTTAAGAACTCATAAAGGCAACATCTAAAGAAAACTAAAGGAAAGAGTATTTTTCAATACTAACAAAAAACAAAGCACTTATAAGTGCTATTAAAAGTAAAGGATTTTTAATTATCAAACTTCAAAGTGGAGCTTGAACAGGAGGTAAATTGGGACCGGTTTGAGGAGGAGCTAAAGACTTGCTCTACTCTCAAGTCTGAGGAAAGTTTACGGGCAATAGAAGCTGAAATTGAAGAGCGTGAAGTCGTACTTTTATCACACTTAAGGGATCCGGTCAAAGTTCAGCAACGTGAACGTGAGGCCTCGACACGGGGGACACAAAGAAGGCTTAATAGAAGATTCCAGCCATATCAATCGCAACAATCGCAACAAAAAGTGTAAAAATATATATATATATTAACATATATTAAGCAGAAATTAGAGGTTCCTTACAGCTTAAATCCTCATAAATCCACACAACCTCATTAAGCTCTTCAAAACCGACAAAATCCCTAAATTTTTATCTCAAAAACTCACCTTAATATTCAAATAATTCTCAATTTTTACAAAGTATTCTGTACTTTCATCAAAAACACCCAACATAAGCCTCCTATCCGATTGATAGTTGCACAACCTACACTTTGTCATCTCTTCGTCCATTTTAGACGTCCAAATTTCTTTACTTTTCAAAGAATTTGTCAAATTTTACAATTTTTGCGGTGTTTTGTTTATGTTTACATTTGAAATTATTTTCAATTTAGCAGGGCAGGAAGCTGCGCGTGTAAAGACATCGTCACTAATACAATCACATTATGCAATTCTATGCAAACAGCTGTAGTGTGATCGTTCAGAATTGCAGTGTAAATGTGCAACTTGATGTAGGTCATCGACACAAGTTAGTAGGCTGGATCAAAACGGAGTTGATATTGCTGTTCTGTTGGATTTTTTTAGGGTTGAGGATTTTTTGTTTCATAAATTTTAAGAAAGTGAGCATCAAGTGAGCTTAAAATGAACTTATTTTGTGTTTATATCTTGTAATTTAAAGATGCTCTAATGCAGCTAGCCCGTAAAAATACAAAAAAATTCCAATCAACATCATGGACACCCTTCCAGAAGAGCTTCTGATCAACATCTTTTCATACTTACCATTAAACTGCATCATTTCACTTTCATTGAGTTGCAAAAGATTTTGTGAAATTATAAACTGTAGCCATGAGTTGCTTAAGGTCCTTACTGTAAAGTTCTCAAAAGAAACTGCAAATTATGAATGGATTGGAAGTCGAAGCTACACAAATGTGACAATACTCGAAGATGGGATGGAAAATTTCTTAGAAAATCAAAAATTTCTTAGAGATTCTTTAACTAAATTGACAGTTTTTGACAAAAGCTTGAGGCTTTCGACATTTTTGGATGTTTTAAGATGCAGTGCTAATTTAAAGGAACTGGAAATTAAAGAAAATAGTGATGACAGCATAAATAGTACTGTGCACCAGCTGCCAAGCTTAAAACTAGACAAAATCAAAGTTAAAGGTGAACTTAAAAGCCTGAAACTTCTTAAAAATTGCCAAACAAGACATCTTCATGTTTATTGGAGTTCCAAAGTCAGTCAACAATCGCATCATCTAGCAGAATTCTTAATAAATCAGACAAACTTAGAAGTTCTAATCCTTGAAAACTTCTCAGACTTTTCATTTCTTTTCCCTCAAAATCTGCTGCATAAAGTTCAATTTAAACTGAAAAAGCTGTCGATCAGAAGTTGTTCCTGTTTTTACGTCATCAAATTGAAGAACTTTCTGGATCTACATATTGATTCCTTAACTCACATTGAACTAGACTCATACGGACATCGAGAATCGGAGTTACTAAAATCATTTAAAAACTTAAAGATCCTCAAATTTGGCACAGAATTTTTAAACATTTGCGGATCCAAACCAATCAGATTTTTCATTCCACAGCCAATTTTGAATCTACACAATGATGTCTTGGATTTTGAGGTTCTACCACAGATTAGAGTCCTCGAGGTGAAACATTGGAACAAAAATTTCATCAATTATTTTAATTATTTCCCAAATATTGAAGAACTTACAATTAATGGAACAAAAAGTGAATTTTATGTTGATGTTGATGGATTTAGTGAATTAAAGTTATTGACAATTTCTGCCAAAAAGCTCACGAGAAAGTTGATTATTCCAAAAAGTTGTAGATTTTTAAGAATATTTATTGGTGGTCAGCTTAAAACTGTTGATGATTGTGACATAATTAGGAGGAAAAATTAATAAAATTTTAAAATTTAACCTTTTTGTTTAATTTGACCAGCCAAGATAGATTTTCTTCAAAATTCATAAATCCTCCTTTAAACTATTTCTGGCTCCTGATTTAATGATCATGCAGTTTAAAGTCCTTATTTTGAAGTTTTTGAGGGCATTAAGCTATGCTACTAACAACACAAGCAAACAAAATACACACATGCAATCTTCATCATGCAGCTGTAGTCTGTAGATCGAGTAATAAAAATATTGCGATGTAACGAGATGGGTTTAGTAGGTCGTCGACTTTTGCAGCTTCAGTAACTGAACGAAATAAACGAAAAGCTGGTGGAGTTATATTTCTTTGCATTTTTATTTGTGAATTAATTTAAAGGAACTATTAAGGATACGATTTTAGTAAATTTAACGTCTACAAGCTAAAATAGGAAACATAATAGTCTTAAAGGTATGAAAAGCTCAGTTTTTGGCATATGGTTTGGTTGCATTAACTGAAAATTGTCTATTTCATTCTCTGAGCCCGGTTGCTCGTTATGCACTTTAGGTACCTTATTACTAGGGTTGGATATACTCTAGTAGGAGTGTATAACTAGCAACCGAGCCGTGGATTGATGCATTGTGCATTGTCCCTCAAAAACTTGAGAACCACTGAGCTAAATCCATTAAAAATGATAATAAACTTTTAATTTGCTGCGAATTGAGGCATTAATACCAAAATTTTAAAATTCTTATTCTAATTCTTAATTTCTTTTTCCACTAAGGCATGGAATCATTCCCAGAAGAGCTTCTCATCAACATATTTTCATACCTTAAATCCAAGGATATCATTACCATATCACAAACATGCAAAAGATTCTCAGACGTAATAAATTGCAGTAAACACATCATTAGCCTTCTTACTGCCAACTTCTCGAAAGCAACAGCAAAGTCTGAATGGATTGGAAGCCGAGAGTACTCAAATGTGATGATTGCTGAAGGCGGGATAGAGAAGTTTTTGGATATTCAAGAAATGTTCGGTCACTTTATCAAAAAACTTTCGATATTTGTCAGGGATTTGAAATTATTAGAATTAATTGAGATTCTTAAGCTATGTCCAAACTTAAAGGAACTGGAAATCACTGAAAAATCTCCAGATGATGTTGATTTCAGTACAGACCAGCTGCCATCCTTAAACTTAAACAAAATTAAGATTCACGGTGGTCTTAAAAGCTTAAAAGTACTTGAAAATTGCCAAACAAAGGAGCTTGAAGTCTGCTGGAGACCACGAGTATATCCATCTGTATGTAAACTTGCTGACTTTCTGGTGACTCAGAAGAGCTTAAAAATATTAAAACTAGATTACTTTTCTGAATATTCTTTTGAGTTTCCTCAAATCTTGATTGAAAAAGTTCAATTTAGGCTGGAAAAGTTGGCAGTTAGGAACTCATCAGATCTTTACATTCTGAAATTAAAGAATTTTATAGATTTGCATGTAGATTCGCTAGAATTTCTAGAACTAGATTCCTATGGACACCGAGAATCTCATCTTTTGCAGCCATTTGTTAAACTTAACTCGCTTAAATTCAAGGCAGAATATTTTAAAATTCACGGACCAGTGTCCCCAACAGACATGATCTTCTCAATCCTTTCTGGTGCCAATCAATTCCCAGATCCATTTTATTTCAACGTTTTGCCGCTGCCACAAATTAAAATTCTCAAAATTGTAAATTTGGAAACAGATTTTGTGCATTATTCTGAATATTTTCCAAATCTTGAAAAGTTTTGCATTTATGGACGCGAAAATTAATGTTTTTTTAAAAAATTTTTAATAAAATAAAAAATTTAAATTGGCAAAAAGTTTTTTTAATTCTAGCCATTTTATTTTTGGAAAATTAACGGGGGGAATGGGGGGGGGAGGAGGGGAGGTAGTTTTTATTCATAAAAACCCTTAAAAAATGAAGAAATTTTTTTACAACGGACAGTCCAGTATTTCAAAACCCTGTCCTGTATAAATTTGAAAATTTTGTTCCTGGTCCTGTATTTTTTTCACGAAAATTTCCATTAATTTTTAAATTTTCCTTTGTGTCCTGTATTTTTTTAGGAAATTTATCATATGTCCTGTATTTTCGTAAAAATTAGATGGTCACCCTACTACTCTCTGCCAATCGTCAATTATTAAATTAATTCTTGAATTCGAATTTCGAATGAATAAAGAATAAAGAGATTATGACTTATGAGGTCGAATTTGCCATAATTGACATGAATTTACTTAAAGATCTCAATCCTTCAATGTTCAATGAAATCGGAAATTGCTTCCAAAGTGAGGAATTGTCAACGCAACTTTACTGAAAAATTTTTCACACCAATTAAATTGGAAAATGAGAATAATTTCAAATTCATAATAAAGCTTGACATTTTCAAGGCACAGATATTAGCTGAAAAATTCAATCTTCTTATCGAAAACAATGTCATCGAGAATAACAAAAGAGCTCTATTTGATGTCCAAAAATATAATCTGATAAAAAATGAGAAAATATTCGAGCAATTTGATGAGATAAAAGCTGAAGATTTTAAAAAATCAAATTATGACAAAATCATCGAAAAACTTAGTTCAGGTGATCGACAACTTTTAATGAAACGAGAAAATGAATTTGCTGTGAATTATCAAAGTCTTTGTATTATTGAGTCAGACCCATCGTGCAATATCTTTGGTGATGATGAAGTTTACAAGGATGCTTGCCTTAACTTAATCAAAGCAAAATTCCAAAATCGACTTGCAGACGAAGTTATTCATCTAGAAGTTAAACCACACACGGAACTGCTCTGCATAATTCGCAATCCTCAATCTCACTTAAAATTTTTAACTTTGCCATTGAATAACACCAAAAATCACTTCTAAATAAATTTATTAAAATCATTTACGATAAATTAAACTCAAAACATTTTTTTTATTTTATTGGACATTCTTCATCATATTTTAATGGCAACATTGAGCTGTAATTCATTCCTTTTTCCCCATAAAAGAATTTTTCATATCCGTAAATGTTTTTCCAATCATTCAAAGCTGTGACATTTTCATAAGTAAATTTCCATCTCTGATTTTGATCGTCTATATTGCAATGCTTCATTACAAGCTTAGAATTTTTAAAATCTGCAGTTATGCATTCTCTACCCTCATCTGATCCACTATTAATCATGTTATATTCTCTGTAATAACTCCAATACTGATTTCCAGTAAGACTATAATGACATCCCATAAAGTTCATATTAAATCGGTCAAGACAGTCTTCAGAAAATCCAAAAATTATATTTTTGTAAAAGCCTAATCGAAAGTATTGAGAAGAATTGATATCTGCACTCTTTAAGCACTTTTTGAGTCTTGCTGTTTTATCATTTTGACCTCGATCAAAATCAACACAAAACGATTCATTTTTCAATGATTTAATTTGACCAGATGCAAAAACAGGAACCGATTGATTGATAGGATATCTCATTGTCATTTCTGGTATTACATAGTCTAGAAAATATTTAAAGTTTTTGCACTTCAATCGTTTTCGAACTGCTTTTACATGCGTCAAATCACCAGGATCAATTTTGTCATATCTTTCTCGATCTCTGTCGTAAACAACGTCTTTATAGTCATCAAACCAGACTTCGACTAGTCGTTTAAAGTTTCTCCCTAAATAGTCGTATGGAATATTAGCTCTTGAAGGATTATGTCCACGAAACGTGTGAGTTATGCGACTACAAGGAACTTCATAAAGACCGTCAGCACAAAGCCATAATTTAAGACTGAATTCATAATTTTCAGCTGCATGCGATAATGAAATAGGATTTTTGTAAATAAATGTAGCGAACAGAGTCTTATTTAAAGTTGCGAGGATAATCGACCTTCAAATTGTTTTCCCCTCAACTTGAGCTCGTGACAAAACTTACCATTCCAAATCCTAAAATCTCTGTCATATCCGTCAAGTTCTTCCATGAAAAATTTTCTATCAATCGCAAATGCACATCCAAGAACAATTGGATTCGGATATGGTTTCAGTTTGTTAATGTCATCCGGCACTTTTCTGATAAATTGATGATAAATCAAATTCCAATCGAAACCTTGAAGATAATGCAATTAAAATTCTGATATTTTATGTTGCTGAGGCAGAGGCGTAGCTGGGGATTTTTAGCGCATTTTTGAAACTTGTTTCGAAAAGGTAGCTTAATAATTCACTTTGCTCGGTCGGCTGTTCGGGCGCTGAGATCTCCTCAACCAGACATCGTAGAGAGCTCTGGTTTGTTTTAATAGCTCTGTTACTATCGATTTATCGGCCCATCGAATGCTTAAAAGTCTTGAAACAGTGTATTTATGCTATAATTAATGAATTTTTGTTTTGTTTACAGTGTAACCTGCTCAAATTTTATTTTACCTCTATAATTTCAACATTACCTCTATAATTTCAAATTTTTTCTAACCGTTGTAAAATTTGAATTTCAAAAACCGTTAAATGATAAACTTTTTTGTATAGAACAAATTATTTAATTATACTATAATTAATTTTTTTGTAATGCAACTTATAGCGGGAAAATTTCAAATTATTTATTGACCGTTGAATAATAAATCCTTTCTGTATAAGCATTCATTGTAATTATTTGTTAATTACACTAATATTAATGATCTTCTAATCTTCTAATGATCTATAAATGAACGCAAAATAATTACATAATCAAATACTGATCGCTAACACAAAAATGCGCTTAAGTCCCTCGATCAATAACACGAGGACTTCTGTAATTTTTTTCAAATGGTTGGGCGGGTGTTCGAGTTTCTTCAAAAAACCCTAGGCAAATGGAAATATATTATATATATATACAATATATACAAATATATACAAATACAGGGGGTTCACTACCCCCCCCCCCCCCCCCTCTGCTGTCCAGCTTAGACCCTGTGCAGAGGAATTTCTTTGGTCACTAGACATCTATTTATAATACTAGGCTATTCCGGACCGCCCGTCGCTCCCGTTATCAGGGTGTACATTAAATTACTATTTTGTAAATAACTGTAAGACGCAAATAACCGTAAAGCTTTTAAGGTCAATCTTACTACAAAATTTCCACATGACTTCACAAACCCCTTTAAACTCGGACCCACCTTACTCCACACCTGACATCCACCTCCACCTGACACCCACCTTTTCAACACCCCCCAAATTATTGGCTTCACACGATTTCACTAATGCCTTCACACGACTTCCGTTCAAGAGTCAGGGAGGGAATTGGGTGTTTATATTATAGATCAGTGTTGTCCAAACTATGTGCCGCAGAAAATTTTTGGTAATGACGCGAGCTTCATGCTTTGTGCGACTTTGGTCATGTCTTCCCCCTAAAGTGTGCCGTGGCTCAAATAACTTTGGACAACACTGTTATAGTTTGATAAGGATACTAAAAATGCACTGTATATTAAACCACGTGACATGTAAAATTTGATCGACCTAGCTTGTATTTTGGCAATTCAGCTCACGATTACTTCTCCAGCTTTTTTGTTATGCAAGAAATGAATTTTTAACGCCCTTGCCCCTTCTTTCCTAAAAAGCGATCGTAATAAGTGAACGAATGGAATCTTAAGTTTGGAAACATCTCCGTTTAACTTAGCTTATTAATCTAGCTTGTTACCTCCTCGATCACTATAAAAAGACGCTCCATCAACCTTGAATGTTTCAGGGGAGAAAAAGTCAATTGTCGGATTTGTTGCAAGCCTTCTATTTGCCTTTATTGGTGCTAATAAAGGCGGGAGCCAATTAATGTTAACTTCTGTATGAGAACTAATGGAAATTTTTCAAAAAATTATTGAGTTACAGATTTTTTCAAAAGTAGTCTTACTCAAAAAATACTAAAACTTCCCCAGTTGCAATTTCAGCACCCTCCAATCTAGTCACAATTAACCCTTTTCGTTCTTTCAAGTTCTTAATTCGAATTGTCGTTGTTGGAAAGTTATCATCGATGTATTTCTGCAGTGGATCATAAAGTTCTTTATTTGAGCTTAAGTCGTTGACTAAAATAATTTCGTGTAATAATTCTGCAGGAGTTCGATTAACAATTGAGTGTAATGTCCTTTTTAAAACGCTAAACACTTCATTATAAAATATAATTATGATCGATACACTCGGGAGCTGACTGGGGTAGACATAATTTTGACAATCTGGATGTCTTGTGTCCTTTATTGAACGATTTACACTGATTTTATCAGAAACGACAGTTGCAAAACCGGTTTCTTTTAAAAGTTTATTATTTAGTTCAATTTCAGCTTTGTCAGTTAAAGTGACAGCATCTCCATTTTCTCCAAAACCTTGTCGTCTCATGTCTTTATAAATTTGCTCATAATTATGCCAATCTCGACACTTTTTTAAAGATTTAATTTTGACATTTAAACCTTTTGGGATTTTAATATTGTAATGACTTGAGAGATTCAAATAAATATTAAAACCAATCAATATTATTATTCCTAAGATAACAGTAAGCAATAGGAACCGATATATTGAACATTTTAATTTAATCGATGTTTTTGCTTTAAGCGTTCGCATTCTACTGAGTTTGATAATGATAAAGTGTGTTTAATTTGTATGATATCAATAAATGTTCTCTTTAAAGTGTATAAAAAGTTGATAACTTTCTGATAGGTATTCAAGGGGGGTCAACATCACCTCAACAAACAAGGATCATTAATTTGTAAGATTGTTCCTAAATTCCATCATTGACAATGCATCATAAAGAACAAGACACTTTGGAGGCTCGTATTCCCGAAAAGCACAAGTCGGTTAATGAATCAGAAATCCGGCAACAAGCTAGTGTGACTCTGGCATGGTGCTTTCTTTGATTTAAATCCAGCAGAGTCACATTGGCTTGATGCTGGATATTTAATCGATTAGCCAACTTGAGACATTCGGGATTAAGTCATTGGTGATAAAAGAGTCCAAGGAGACAACGACTTGTATACATTCGATAAGCAACAACTTTGACTACTCACTGGAGATCCAGTGAATGATTTAAGAAACCCAATGTGCTTTTTTTGCAAATAATGTCAAAGAGAATCTCAAAAAACACCAAATTAAGTATATAGAAGATGCTTATACGTGCTTTATGGTTAAGATTTATCGAACAATTAATCCATCTTTGGACCTAAGAAGGAAAAAGAAGGGGAATGCAATGGGGAATTGTATCATTTCTTTACAAAAGCTGATATCGTAAAGCAAATCAAAACAAACATGCTCCGATTAGCTGAACATGTTTATTGGAGATTTGTGAAATTCACAGTCTACAAATCAAACATTTTAGATGTCAGAAAAGCACGTAGACGACCAAATAACCCATGGAGAAAGGTTTTTGATCGAGACAGTATTGCATTTGGTATTAGAAATTTCCAAGCTGAAGCAAGCTTCAGTAGACATCTTAGGAAGTCCATTGATCACAATTGATCTGTTTGGTTGTCGAAGTAAGTTAATAAGTAAGGTTGTTCTAGAAAAAAGTCTCATATTCCAGACGAACTTTAAAACTACAGCTTAACCAAAGTTTCAAACGCTGTTACCAAGCCGAAGACTATTTGGTGTTTTGTCGAAAATTTTTAAATTTTAATACTTATTTCTTAAAATTGCCTTCCATTTTTATTTTATTCTACGCATTGACTTTTCGCAATGACAAAACACGTGTCACAAAATTTTCTGAAACAATATCAATATAGGTTTTTTTGTTTATCAGTAAAAATAGCAATAACTGAAGTATTTTGATATCAAAAAAAATTGAATGTGCAAAATTTATTTATTTTTAGAAATAATTTAAAATATTGCTGTACTTTTATCTTTAATATTGCACCTGAAAACATTATTGACATACATTTGAAAATGTTTTTATTTGGTGCTAATAATTTTACAAGAAAGTCACTAAAATGTCAATTGCTAGAGTTCTCAATAACAGACAGAAATTTCAAAAGTGGTAATTTAAGTTGAAAAAAAATGCAACAAAAAAAGATTTTCAAACAACTTCGAATTAATTCGCAGCTGGTAGGATTCGAACCTACGCTCCCAGAGGGAATCTGATTTCAAGTCAGACGCCTTAACCACTCGGCCACAACTGCTTGAAATTTCATATTTTCATTTTGGCTATAAAGCTTTCATTTCCTGACTAGTTTTATGATTAAGTCAATTTTAATTATTATTGTTAGTCACGAAAAAAGAACATGTTGTCATTAATTATTTGATCAAGCGGACATACATCAAGTGGACGTTCAACTGAATTTGAAACATGGAACAAGAAAAAAGGTCCAAAAAATTAACTTTCTCTTAATCCAAAATTTCTCTTGGCATCAAAAGATCTCCAGAATTGCTTCAACAATTGATTCTCTCAGAAGAGCACTAAAATAATTTCGAGAGCCAAACAGTCCTCTCCTTATCATGACTCAGTGCATTTACATTTAAAAAAGTAATATTTTTATTCATTATTCAGTCAGCCTTTAAACCACCAACAAGTGAAAAATAATTGTAAAAAAAATAAAGTTTTGTGGTTTTCCGATAATTTAATGGAACAAGAAGATTTTAGTGAAGCTACAGCCGTAGTTGGGACTAATAAGAACTTAATGAATTACTTCGCTGATTTTTATTCAACTTTATTTCACAATAGAAGAGAAGAAATTCTAGTAGGTCAGTTAAACTTGTTCTCACTTGATTTTATGAATATTTTCTGTATCTTTTTTTAAATGACGTTAATTTTCAATGACTCAATCTTTTGTATGCGGGTCATTAGCGTGATCCCTCGTTCAGATTTAATAACCAACTTAGTCATAAATATTCTTATTAATTCCAGAATCAACAGCAGAAATTGACAAACTTCCACAAGAGATTCTCCTCAGAATCCTTTCATACCTAAAAGCAAAAGAACTCATCGCCTTATCCAGCACGTGCCGTCGCTTCTCAAATCTCATCAACACTAATGACTTCTTACCAAAGCTAACCCTTCGAGTCACAGAAAGCACAAAAAGATCTCAATGGATTGGTCACAGGAAATACAAAAAGCTTCTCGTCCTCAGCGAATCCATAAATTTATACTTCAAACTTCCAAAGACCATTGGAACTTATGTGACAACTTTGAATCTTGATTGCTGGGAAATCTCAATTTATGAAATTAAAAAGGTTATTAAATTATGTCCGCATATTAAGGAACTGAGTCTCATGTATCTTGTTAGAACTGGAATTCCACCTGAAATTACTAAAAAGGAGGAAATACCGTTGACGTGGTTGGATAAGTTGTCACTTCAAGGTAAGATTTGAACCTAATTAAAGCAAAAAAAAGCTTCAATGCTCATCCAAAGCCTTAAAACCACAATTAACATCTTAAAACTTCACTTCCAGGTGAGCTCCAGATCGTCAACTGCTTAAAGAACCTCCAAGTCAAAGAACTCATCATCCATCGTCAAAGTGACTTCGAAACTCATCTTGATGATGTCGCCGAATTCATAATGAATCAAAAAGACATGATCAATCTTGAATTGTATCACATGTACTTCATATCAAGTCTATTTCTACGTGACGAGATGAAGCATGTCGCTTTCCGACTCAATAAATTAATCATCAAATATTGCTCACATTTTAGTTACTTCTGTTTCGTTTGTTTTGTTGCCTCGCAAAAGGACTCAATTAAGTTTATGTCTGTGGATGATTTTGGATACGACATGATTAAATTTTTGATGCATTTTAAAGAAATGAGGACGTTAAAGTTAACGCTGACTGAGGATTATCAGATTGCTGAGAAAGACATGCTTGTGATGATGAGTCATGTTAGGAATACAATGTTATTGCCACAAGTTGAGGACTTAGAAATTTGGAATTATTGTCATAATTTTATTCATCATTTTCCAAATGTCAGGAAGTTGACGATTTATGGAACTGACTTAGACTTGAATTTATGGAATTTTAAGAATTTAGAAGACTTGACTGTGATAACAAAGAACCTTGAAAATCCTTTAGAATTGAATGAGAATTTAAAGAAGTTAAAGCTTATAATGTACGAATATCCAAAAGATCATAGTCCATTCAGCTACGATAGCTGTAAATTAGAGGATTTGACATTAATTGGAGCTAAGAATTTAGATTGGATTAAAAACTATTTGGAACATCCGAACACGAATTTAAAGAACTTGAGGATTGAAAGATGTCTAGTTACTGATGAACTTAAGGAGATCTTAAAGATTCATGAAAATAAAATTAAAAGATTTGAAATTATTGAACAGGATGGAAAGGAAATTGAGATCTTAAGGAGACGACTTATATGATGGAATATTGAGTTAAATAAATAAAGTTTAAATAAAAACTTTAAATCTTGCTGTTGCATTTTTAAAATTTTTTAAGCAGTTTGTAGCAACAGCAACTTCGGACAGTCAAATAACTACAAAATTCAACTTATTTTCACAACCACAAGTGGTTAATATGTGAGAATGTTGAATGAATTATTTATTAATATTCATATTTTTAGGCTTTACAAAGAGAAGAATAAGTGGTTGTGCTGTTGATGTCATCATTTAGTTGCCACAGCTTAAACTTATTACTTTTATGGGGTTGTTTGCATATTTCTTAATAACCAGATCCCTCATCGGAACCTCCTTCTTAGCCCCTCGAAATGTTGTAAAATGTGGCAAAAGCACATCACAAAGTTGTTTAGGTTTGATGCATTCAGTTTGTTGATCTTCCTTCATTACAGATCCGATGTCCTTCAAATAGTCTCTCTTTTAAATTATTATCTCTTCTCTCAGCTCTTTCTCTGCACTTGTCAGTAAATTCTGTAAATAGCCTTAGCAAGAGAAAATGAGGAAGATTCTCTAAAAAAGGGAATGTAAGAGAATGCTGGAAGTTACGAAATGACTGAGAAGAATAAAGAAATGCAGAATGCAAAGTTAAACTTGCATGTGTTCACAGTTCTCCGGGGAAAGTCTCGAAATACTTTCAAGTTATGGTAAAATTTAAACTTTTTTACTAAGCTTCCAAGTTTTTGGGGTTCAGGGTTAAAACCTCCCCACTTATTTCTGAAAAAAAGTACAAATGTCAATTAAATTGCTATCACTAGCCTGCAAAAAATCTCAAAAATCATCAATGAATGTCCAAAAAATTTAAAGAATTTCAAACTTAAATTACATCAAAATCAGTTTTGAGTTCGCAAGCCCTTCAAAGTTTGAACTTATGAATATTCAAACAAAAACCTTTTTTTAAATTCAAGATAAAATTGCGTGCTTTGTGAGAAACTTAAGAATTACCCTTGGCTGCGGGTCGATCACTTATGACGTCCTAAATTAAAGAGAAGGAGGTCAAGAAGTTTGTGACAGTTCAAACAAAGGATTTTTTTTTTGTATATATGTACAGTTGGTGACAGGAAGGGGGGAGGAGGTTAATAATCATATTTTTGGACGGACGTCATAAATGAATGACCTTTTATAAAGCTAAAATCAAATGAAATCCTGGACAGGGGCAAGAAAAACAAGAATTATAATTGACATCATATATAACATTTAAGGGAGTCTGAAGTTTGTAGCAAGAGGGTCTAAATATCTCATTTTTTGATGGACGTCATTTATGAACAGCTCCCAAGTGAACAGAAAATTAAAAAATAAATGATTCTCATATTTTTTTTTATTTTAAGTCAAGTTTTATTTTATCTGTACAAATTTTCCAGATTTGAAACTTTATTCAATATAGCCACGCCCAAGCCAAAAATGGTGGGTTTGTTTCAAAATATAGTTTTTTCCATCATGCTTGATTGCAATTCTACCAACGTTACCGGCAATGTATTTAGGATAATTCTGCATTCTTCATCAATTTGTGATCCTTTAATCCTCAACAATTTTAAATTAAGTTTTTCATCATTGAGCAATTCCTTAATCCAATTCAATTTACCAAATCCCTCCAAAGTCAACTCCTCAAGTGAGGTTTCATCAAAACAAAATGGCGGCAAATCTCGACTGAAATTTTCTGTCGTAATTTTTAAATATTTCAAGCATTTTGGTATTTTGAATTGTTTGCAGCATTGACAAATGTTGATGTCCAGGAATTCCAATTGAGTAAAGGGTTCCAAATTAACAAAACAAACATTTTTGTGGATGATGAGTTTTTTGAGGTTAGGAAAGTATGGAACGATGTTGTTACAAATATTTGTGGTTGTCAGGAATTCAACTTGAGGTAGAGCGTTGATATATTTGACAGGCAAAGGAGTAATGTCTATTAATTGTCGATAATATAAATAATCGTAATCTGGAATGACAGAAAAGTCAAGTGCCGCCCTTTTTCTATCCAAATTGAGGCTCAATTTGGTTAACTTTAGGAAGTTTTTCAAAATTCTAGCAATTTTATCCCCAAAATCATCAATTTCCAAAAATTCCAAAGAATCACAAAACAATGACAAAAAGTTTTCAGCATTTTCTGAGCCATCAAGTTCACTTTTAGCAATCGTCAAGTTTTTAAGTGGAAAATAAACATTTTCAAAAATTATCGGAAATACAAATTTTTCAAAATTAATTTTTAACATTTCGAGTGAATTTCTTGATTGTAAGAATTTTATGATTTCTTGAACTTCAGCATGCCTAACTTCGATGTCTGTAAATAAAGTCAGCTCCTTAACCTCACATTTTGTGAATAATTTGAGGGCTTGCAACTCATTTTCTTCATCTTGGCTGATTGAAAGCTTTTTGAGGTTAAAGGTTGGTAAGTTTTTGATTTTTTCATCGAAATTTTTAATTTTTGACACTTCAATGTTGAAATTTTTTAAATTTTTGCACAAATTAAGGATTATATCCAAATTTTCTAACGTTATTTCACATTTTGCGATGGTTAAGGTTTCCACGTGGTCTCCAAACGTTTGTAAAATGTTTTTTGATTTTTCAGGGAAGCTGTTTGATGTTCCAGAATTCACCGCTGATGTTCCCACCTCATCAATTTCAGTAATTGCAATTTTTCCTCCAATTTCTTTAAACTTTTCGATTCCATGAGTTGAAATTAGAATTTTCTTGTACTTTCGGCTTCCAATCCAGTCCAATTTTTGAGTATAACGATCGAAAGTTGCTGCTAGTCTATCGCAATTGTTATTGACAATTTTCGAAAATAACTTGCAAGTTAAAGACAGAGCAACTAAATCAGCTGGGTCGTTGAATGAGAGTATGTTGATGATAAGCTCTTCTGGAAGATGATTCATGATGATTTTGTAATTTAAAAAATAAATCAAGGTATTCGGAATCGATTTGGAAGTATAGGATGATTCACTTTAGTTTGTAGGATCACAATGAGCAGAATGGCTGAAATTAAAATTCACTATTAATTTTTTTGGTAAACAAAAAGAATACCAGTCCGTCAGTCCATCAATCCCACAAGTATTATAAATCTAGTGCGTCAAAAGATCTAGTACCTCAAGATTTCTAGTACAGAGAAAACACTAGTTCCTCAAAAGTCAAGTTTCTCAAAAAATCTAGTATATCGAAAATAGAGGATCGCAAAAACCTAGTACATAAAAAATCTAGTACCTCAAAAAACTAAAACACCAAAAAATCTAGTACCTCGAAAATCTTGTTCCTCAAAAAGTCAAGTTTCTCGAAAAATCAAGTCCTTCAAAAAATCCAGTACAACGAAAAATCAAGTGGCTTAAAAATTCTAGTACATCGTTATATGGCACTTACAACAATACCAAAGTCGGATTGTAAAATTCAATGAATATTTTCGTTATTAATTTTTCGAAACCTTTTAAATTCCTGAACCTAGGATTAAAATAAGTTTTGTTTAAGATGAGAATCAAAAATTGAAAAAATAAAACAATTTTACAATTTTAAATGGATTAAAAAATAAAAAAAATAATTTGAATTACTAGAAAACGATTTTTTTTTTCAATTTAATTTATTTGATAATCTACATTAGAATTGTGTTTGTGCTCACTTTGCTGAAATTTAAGAGCATTTACCACAATTGAGAATAAACTCACAGACAGACGAGGACTTTGATACTAAGTTAATTTAAGATGATTCTAGACTGTGACATGAAAGTAATTTCACCATAGTTGTAATAATTTGACTATACATGCATGAAATCATTGCAAAAACATCCGAACACTGATAATTGAGTATGAGAGCAACTTTTTATTTTCATGTGACAATTAAAAGGAATTAAGATTAAAAAATTTAAGAAAAGGACAAGCTGTTTACAAAGAGAAGAAGTAGCTCCAAACGGCTGAGAACTGTTTTGTCCAAAGGATCAAAAAATCCTTCAAATTATAAAATTACAAGCAAAGTTACGCAGTAAGAATAAATAACGATTAATAATTTTTATAAATGTTAAAAAAAATAAAAATAATTGAAGACAATCCAACATTGTAAAAATATCAAAATTCTAAAACCGTTGTAGAACTTTGAAACTCATTGTCATCTCAAAATTTTGCGAAATTTGTTCACAAAACTTCAAATTCTACCAAAAAACATCACAAAAACTCACCATTTCATTCACTTTTCACCGAAGAATCTACAAAATTCCACAAAAAAACCTTGATTCTTAATTTACATGGACTCTCTCACCAACACATTCAAACCAAATAAGAAACTTTATAATATAGAAAAATATCAAAACAAAGAAAAAGTAAACATTTGCCTGAAAAACAAAGAAATTTGATCAGTTTTTGACGTTCTGAGTGATAAAATGGATCTCTTGCTGGCTGACAATATTGGATACGATGTGTGGGAAGTCGAGGATATTCCATCAACAGCTGAATCAATTGTAATATTGGGAAAGACATATAAATATAAAGACTTGGATGAAATCAGAGATGACGTGCAATCGAGATTGTGGTAAGTAATTTTGGAGGGCTTTGAAGGGTGGTTTTGATGAAATTAAGAGAGTTTTTATGCTGAATTTTAATTTTTTTCGCGAAATTTTGAATATTTTTGAGTTTAACATCGCAAAAAACCTTCAAACTTGAAAAATTAATTACAAAAAGATGACAAAGTAATTTTTAACACAAACTGTTTTAGGTGCACATACAGAAAAGGATTCCCACCACTTGGGTCAGTTCAATACACGTCAGATAAGGGCTTTGGATGTATGATGAGATGTGGACAAATGCTGCTTGCTGAGGCTTTGATTCAGTCACACATTGGTGAGTTATTTTAGAATTATTGATGTGGCAAATAATGATGAATCTGGTTTTGGAGGCAGTTGATCTTTAAAGTTTAGTTTATAGTGGTCTTAAAAGTTTCATAACCTTTGGTCAATGATTGATATTTGTCATAGTGGAGATCGTTACTGAGAGTATCCTGACCATTGAGTAAGAAACTGATTCAAGGATTGATTATTTGTGAACCTAAGTGCATATCTTAGAGCCACTCTCAAGGCCTGGACCTGCTTAACGTTATCTGAGGAAACTTTTGATCCTTAAACTAGTTTGAACCATTAACGCTAAGCCACTGACTCTCATTTGCTGAATAAATCTACAAAAATCAAAAACTTGCATTAAGCATTCCAAAATTTCACAAATTTCAGGACGAGACTGGCGATGGACGTCTGACACAAAAGATCCAACATATTTGCAGATAGTAAACAAATTCGAAGACACAAAAACAGCTGTTTATGGCATTCATCATATTGCAATTATGGGGCAAGAGTCTGGAAAGAAAATATCCGAGTGGTACAGTCCTAATGTGATAGCTCAAGTGATAAGGTAAGAATTTTAGTAAAATGTGTAGTAGTGAGTATGCTATGTCGGTTGCTTGGTTCGTACCTACACGAATCTTCCGATTTAAACCTGCTATAGAGTATACAACTACCCTTGACCTATGATGATGGGTTCCTATTGCTCCACTATGAAGCGTAGGGCGTCCACAAAGCATTTGAATCGCACTCGATGCTAGGCCAAAGCTGCTATTTCCTGTAGCATCTTGTTCAGTTGCTCCGCCTGCCGTTCAACAGTTGTACGTCAAGTAATTCTCTGTAGGCACCTAGTCCTATTTCCTTGGTCATTCCAGAAGATCGCTACCCTTGATCTATACTATCCTATAACTCTACACTAGTCCTAGTCCTGTACAGTCTCAGGGGACCTGGAGAAATATAGTTTCAGACAGGGGTGTTTGATGGTTTATGTCTAAGATAAGTGCTTATTTTAAGCTAGTGTAACATACATAAGTACTAATAAAAATAGGAACCCATCACTTAAGGTCCTTAAATCCTATTTATTTAACCCATGCATGACTATCATTAAATTCTAATTTATTTGTTATCCCACAGAAAACTAGTTCGATTTGACGAGTTCTCAAACCTTCACGTTCACGTAGCTCTCGATCATCAATTAGCACTAGACGATATCATAGAAGTCACATCCCCACTCCTCATAATCATCCCACTACGACTTGGATTGACTGATATTAATCCAATTTACATCCCAGAACTTAAAAGATGCTTTGAAATTCCTGGAAGTTTAGGAATCATCGGTGGTCGACCAAATCAAGCACTTTACTTCATCGGGTATGTTGGAAATGAGGCATTGTATTTAGATCCACACACATGCCAGCGATCAGGGAGCATTAACAACAAAGAATCACAAACTGAACTCGAAATGGACGAGACTTTTCATCAAAAACATGCAGGCAGGATCAATTTTAGTTCCATGGATCCGTCAATTGCTGTCGCATTTCTTTGTAAAACCCAAAAAGAATTCAACGATTTAATTTCAAATTTAAAAAAGCCAAAAGACTCAACAGAAACTCCACTTTTTGAGATTGTTGAAGAACGAGCGCAGCCATGGGTATCAACGTCCATGTCCAGTAGAGATCTTGAGCACGATTTGAGTGTCATTTGTGGTGATCAAAGTCAAGAGTTTGAAAAACTTGATAAAGAGACTGAAGATGGTGTTGACGACGAAGATGATGACGGTTTTGAAATTATTGACTAAAATATTTACAGAATTTGAGTTTTCTTTTTTCATGTCACACAGTGCTTTAAATATTGATAAATAAATTCATGTTACTTATGCTGCCCATCCTTGAACCTTTTGTTGTGAGACTAAAAATATTGTAGATTTTGATGAATGTGCATTAATTAAGGCAACTTAACTTAGTGGCTCTAGTGTGAAGATGCCTTTATATGACACTGGTTTAAAGGCACCTTAAACTATTGCTTTAAGTGTGAAGGCATCTAAGACACGTGACTACAGTGTGAAGGCACCTGAATCTTATAATTAGTGTGAAAACACCTATACCAATTGACTTTATTGTAAAGGCACCTAAACCAAGCAACTAAAGTGTGAATAAACGTGAACCAATTGACTCTAGTGTGAAGACATCTTGAACAGGTGACCCCAGAGTGAAGGCACCTGAATTAAGTAACTAGTGTGAAGGCACCTGTATCAATTTGCTCTAGCGTTAAGGCACCTAAACTAAGCAACTATAGTGCGAAGGAATCTTAATTAGGTGACTTCAGTGAGAAGTGACCTGAATCTAGTAACTTTTGTGTGAAGCCACCTGAACATTGACAATCAAGTGCCAAGGCACCTGAACAAAATTGCATCAAAATTGCATCAAATCTACAAAAAATTCACAACAAAAATGCATACATATACAGAACTTAACTAAATCGATTTAATTAATCCAAATTTAACCGCCACTTCCAGTCATATCCAAATATCCTATAAAAGAAGCAATTTGTATAGAATAAAATAAAATTATGGTCAAAAGCGCATTTGAGCTCATCTTTACTTGCAGATTTTATTCATGAATGTTGCTTTGATGTATTTATTTTAACTCAAGGGGACAACAGCATGATGGAAAAATGGATAAAATAGAAAATTCTCAATGATTTCTCACTTCGATGGGAATTGATGGTTGATTTTTAAAACGATATAAAATCTAGTTGGACCTTAGTGAGAATTCAGCATCAAAAGCTGTTCCCCATCATGATGGTGCCCCCTTGTGAAAACCTTAAAAATAATATTGTAAATTTAAAAAATATTTTTATTGTAAAAAAATTGAAATAAAAAAGTTTTTGCATTTTAAAAGAATAAATCTTTAATTAAATTTGAATTTATTATAATTTTTGCTAAATAAATAGAATTTTTTTATAATATTTTGATCACAAGTTGAGTTCCATAACTTCAATTCTGTTGTATTTTTGCATCTGCACGAACTTCAGGCTAGTTTTTGGTGGTTTTCTAGTTTTACTATGGAGAACTTAACTTCATTTGGTTTACAAATTTTGCCTGTGAAATTTTCAAAAAATTTCAAAAAATTTCCAAAAATAAAATCAAAAACAAAATTAGTAAAAAATCTTTAAATAATTCAAAAAATTGATTTGGACACAAAAGATTGATGGAGTTATTACATTAGTAACCAAAAATGTTCAATATTTTACACGAAAAACTGATGACAGCTTGCTTATTTACTGTAGATTAACATATTTATTGTGGATGAATTAAGAATTTATTGACCTAAATTTACTGAAATATCTGAAAAATAATTTTTTTGATGAATTTTGAAATTTTTATTTTGCAGAAGTTTTTAATTTTTAAATGCATGCAATTTTGACAAATGACGCTTGAGGAATGTTAATTGTTTTAAAAATTAGGGTCAGGGATGCAAGAATGATTTAAAATTCTCTTAAATTTTTCTTACAAAAATGATCAAAAAAAATTTAAAATTTCCACAAAATAAAAATAATAAATTTTTTCACAAAAACACAAAATATTTTTTTATATATCCAATTTTTAAAATTGTAATTTTATTTCTTTGCCAATGTTTTAAATGCCATAGATTAGGGATAAATGTTTACCTGATTTCACACATAAATCTAATTCTAGACTAAACAGTTTTAGAAGACAACTTGAACGATAGTTTCTTTAAGAAGGATTTAAATTTTCCATAAACCCCAGAATTTCTTTGGATTTAATTTTTTCATTTCCACAAATTTTTAAAAATTGTTTGTGAATATTTGCACTTAAAGTTGACTAAATTTGGAAGCGAAAGTTTTGCAAATATTTTTGAACACAATTTATTTTTTGGTTTTTCGTTTCTCAAAACTTTGTTTTAAAATCAGTTAAATTTGAATGAATTTTTTTTTAAATTTATTAAATATCAAAATATTTTCTAATTTCGTCAAAATTGTCTTCTTTATCAATTTTATCAATGCAAACTTGAATGACACAGGAGAAAATAATTTGGCTTGAAATTAGTGGAAGGCCAGTGGTAGGCAATCTTTTTTGAGGTACGACACACCTTGATCGTAAGGTAAGGCTTAGGCCGTTGGACATAACTCTGAGCAAAGCTTAAGAAATCATTAAGCTATGCTAGAATCTACATTCATCGCTAGAGACAGAAACACAAGTTTGTTAAACTGCCTTTGGATAGAATCCACAAGGAAACCGACGGCTTAGAAGCTCCAAAAGCTGCTCCAGCCTCATAACAAATTATTCACAACTTGTGTCATTCAAGAATTAATTTCAAGAAAATTATTGCATCAACAAAAAAAATATATTTTCTCCATTTAAAAGTTAAAAAAAAACTTTCCAATTAATTTTTAAACTTAAATGTTAGCCACCTTAAAATGTGATTATTATTTTTTTATTTGATTATTGACAATTTTAAATTTTACTTATTTTTAGCTTCATGTAGTTAAAACTTGTTTTTGGATGATTTATGGCAAAAAAGTATGTTGTGACTTGATTTTAGCTACATGAAGTCTGACTTGAAGTTGTTGTACAAAAACAAAATTTATTTCCAATTTATATAAAATGCCAGGATTATGAATGTATGAAATGATATTTTTGGTCGATGGATGAATCTGAAAATTCTTAAAGATGTGCAAAATTATCGCTACAATCCCTGTTGTGGAGAAAAAAAAGGAAGAAAAGAATTTGTAAAAATTTAGAAATTTAATTGCCAATTGTAAAATTACGAATTTGAAGATTTAAAGCTGGTAATTTTGAAATCATAAATCGAAAATAAAAGCTTAATTTTAAAATAAAGTAAACAAAATAAAAAACAAATTTGAAAGCAAAAAAATTAAGGAAAGCTTGTAAGAATTAGTAAATAAATTTTTTGAAAATTTATATTTTTTGCAGAAAGAAATCGAACCTAAGTTCAAAAGCAACTTTTTAAGTTAAAATAGATTTTATTAACTTTTGATCCAAAATTTTGAAAATTTAAACAAAAAATTGTTTAACGGCAGCATTTAGTAAAGCTTTGGAAGTGTCGTTTACAAAAAAATAAATTTTTTTGAAATTTGTAAAAAACTTAAAAAATTTGGATTTTTATAACAAATAAACCAGTGATGGTCAACCCAAGTACCGCGGCACAAAAGTGTGAAATGAAAATCAGAATTAGAAATTGTCACTAACCGCATGTTCTGTTCGGTTTTGGTAAGGGCTCGTTCACTTATTACGTAACGCAAAAAAACGAGTTTTTAGACCCCCCCTCCCCCCCCCCTGTAACAAACCGTAACAAAATCTTAGACCCCCCCTCCCCCCCTAGTGCGTTACGTAATAAGTGAACGAACCCTAATGGCTTATCACGAATGTATGCCGTGGTACAAAAAATGTTTGCCACCACTGAGTCAGTGTAATCAAAACTTTTTTGTGCTGCGGCTCATCATTAGTGGTAGTCTACGACCGAAAAAACACAAAACATGCAGTTCGTGGCTTTTTCTGTTGCACACTAGAGTGCCGTGGCACACAGTTTGGACAACTCTGACACAATTGATCTCCAACTGCAAATTGACGAAATTTCCCAAATCTGTCATCAAATGAATCCATTAACAGCCATTTTGACAAGAATCCACGATGACACTGACCTGGCAAATCTACTTTATCACTTTGCCTATTTGAATCTCTTCTTGAGTATGTTCAAAAGCTTACAATAATTGCTTAAATTTTCAAAATTTTGGATATTTTTCTTAAAAAACTAAGTGCTTTTTTAAGTAGTTTCTGACTGGCACAAGTCGGTTGATCGATCAGAAATCCGGCACCAAGCCGATGTGACTCTAGCATAGTGCAAGATACAAATTGAAGTCAGCACCATGCTGGCTGGGTGCCGGATGACAATTCGATAAACCAACTTGTGGTTTTCGGAATTATAATTCTAAAATATATATTGTGTTAGTTGCATCAACATTTACTTTATCTTTAACATCAGCTCATTAATTTTGTTTTTACTTTTACGTTATTTCGTTTGGAATATCAACTAAAATAGATAAAATTTCTCAATTTTTTCACTAGGGTTTTCAGTTTGAGAAGATTTGATTTTAAATTTGTAGAACTCTTTAGGTATGAAAAAGTTTTCTTTTACAATAACTGAGCTTCAACAATTAACAATTTATAAAGATTATCAAAAATATTAATTTTACCAATCACCAAAGCTCTGGTTAGCAATTTTAATCAAGCGATAAAGTTTTTTGTAAGTTGCATGTGGTCCTTAAATCATCACAACAAGCTGATTTGAGCAAACAGCTTTCGATTTACAAACAAAACTCATTTAAACCTTTTATAGAATTAGCTCAATCTTGATGATTTAATGTTAAGGTTCAACAATCAAGAATCAACGTCCCCAAATAGCTCAACTCGGTTAATCAATCAGAAAGCAGGCATGACTCTTGCATGCTGAATTCGATTTAAATCTTGCACCATGTCAAAGTCACTCCGACTTCTGCTATTTGGGATCGATACATTTGTTTTTAAAAATAAGATTCAATCTTATTGTGTAGAAGAATCTTTGAATATTTATCTAAAATTATTCCTTTTTTGGGATTCTTTATATGAATTATCTTTAACAGCACCATTAAATTCTCTTTTTTAAATATTTTTTTTTTCCATTTACATTAATTATAAGTTATTTTAAACCATTGGCTTAGCTACAGACTACGCCCTCAAGTTGTAATGTAGTTAAATTTCTATTTAAATATCTGATACGAACAATTCATGTTCGACAGACTTATCGAAAGTCTAGGGGAGTTATAATATGCACGTTCGAAAAGTTTAAATTTGAAAGAAACCGTTACAATTTTAGTGATTTTATTAGAGTTCTTGGGGGTATGAAACTTCGAATTTTGTATGGCAGACAGACAAATAAGACATTTTCACAAGTTTTCTTGGAAACTGTAACGGTCGAAACTATCGAATTGTTCGTATCAGTTAAATATACTTCACTTAACCTAAGTACTACGGATTAGGTTTGTTATTTTTTTCTACCTTTTCTACTGAAACTTAAAAAATTTTGAAAATAAAAATAACATTAAACCATAACCAAATGTCTAGTCTAAGGACGTCTACTAAATGCTACTAAAAAAATCTTTTGTTTTGTTTGTCGTTTCTGTTCAATTTTAAAAGTTTTGATTTTTTAATTTTTTAACATTTTAAAAAACTAAAAACATGTTCACAAAAATTGAAAATTTTGTGTGAATGTGATTCAATATAATTGAAATTTTAAAATAAAACAAACTATATGTTTTATGTTTTTCAAGAAAATTTAGGTTTTTAAAAATTCAAACTCTTAAAATTAAAGTTTGTCAAATTCAAAAAAAAATAATTCTATTAATTTGAAAAAAAATTGGTTTTTACAATTCAGAAAGTTTTTTTTATGAATTGAAAATAGATAAATTTTTAAAATTCAATGAAAAGAAAGTTTTTTAAATTCTAAAATTTCAACAATATTTACAAAAAAATTTCAATTTTTTTGAATCCATCTTTTAAATTTTAATTTAAATGTTTTAAATTTGAAATTTAAACCTTTTAATTTTAAAACATTTAAATTCATTTAAAATTAAGATTTTAAATTCTAAAAAATGTCATTTAAAATTAAGATTTTAAATGTTAAAAAAGTTATAAATTTTTTCAAAACTTCAACATTTTAATCAAAAAACAAGAATAAAATGATAAAAATTCAACAAAATTTATGAAAAATTCTGTTCAAAAAATGACACTTTTAAGAGAAATCTCCAGAAAAGTTCCCAAAAGAAAATGATTGAAAAAGTGTGAATTTAATGAAAATAAAAAGTGAAATTAACATGCAAATTAAGAGAAAAAATGAAATGATGAAAGAAAAACAAATAATTTTTGACTATTTTTTCCTAAAATATTTTAAGTTTTTCTTCTGTTCTTTTTTGTTCGTCTGATTCACACTAAATTATTTACAAAATGATAAAATTTTAAAAATATTTGTTGTCTTGCTTAATAACAGAAATGATAAAAATAACATGAAAGTTCAATAATATGGTACAGAAATTATGATAAGAATTAAGAATTATATATAATAGAAATTATGTGCAAGATTATTTGTGATTTTTAAGAAGGAACTAAAACTTAAGAAACGTTTTTCGTAGAGTTTTTGAAGTCTTTTGGTTGGTTAAAGTTGTTGAGTTGAGTTTGATATTTTTTATATAAATTCTTAAAAATCTGAATTCTTAGAAAATTTAATAAAATCTCCAGAACTAGCTTATTAAATTTAATTAAATTTAAAAACCGGGTTTTTTGAAACCACTTTTTAATATCTCGATTAAGAGTTGATTTTAATATCTTTTTCAATTTTAAGTCGAAATTAGTGAATTTTTTTGCGAACTTTTGTCAAAAGACACCCGATTTCTTTACATTTGTCGCATTTTTTAAGAGTTTTTGAGATTAAATGAAAATTTCTAGTTTATTCTTTTCTGCGACGACACACAGTTTGAGAATCTCAGGCTTGACACTTGTTGGATTAGTTCTGAGTTTAGTTTGGATTTGACTTGATTTCAATGCAGCAAGTTCAAAACTTTTACAGTATCATTTAAAAAGGACAAAAATAATTGAAAAATATAATATAACACGGAATTTTCTAGGTTAAATTAAACTTACAATTAATTTGTCTTTTTTTGGAGGCAACAAATTAAAATATTGCTCTAAAATAATTTTAATAAAATATCTTATTTTTTTCGGTTAACATTTGTAAGTGATTAAGTTAAATTAAAATATTTTAGCACCGTATTTTTACAATTTTTTTTCAATCACATATTAGCTTTGTATTTTGTCAATCTTTATACATATTATAAATTAATAGCACCTAATAAGTACAAGACTCGACTTCAGCACCTTTGGTTTCATTTGTTAAAGCATTTAAAATATAATAAAACTTGTTTTTGTCATTTTATATTCTAAATTGGTTAAAATAAAGTACAACCGTTAATTACTACTTCTTTGGTATAAAACCAATCAAACTTTGTCCCTTTTGGCTTAATATCAATATCTTTGATGTCCCAGACGACAAATAATTCTCATTTCTGTTCATTTTTATCCCTAGTTCTGAATGTACAGCCAATAATTTACATCCATTACCACGATTACAACCAAACTTCAACAGCCAACTTTAAATCTTACTCATTTTACAATAAAAACCTTTTCTGCATTTAAAAAGTCACCAACAAATCTCAAAAATCTCATCCCGAACAACCCAAACCAATCAAAATAAATTCTACGAAAAAAATCTCACAACTTTTGACTGAAAGAAAACTTTTCTTTCATTTAATTTTCATTAGACTAAGTTTAGTGCTACTTACATATGCTCTGGATGCATTCTGATGCAGTCTATGAGTTGGTCTGGTTTAATCTCATTTGTACAAATTCGGTGGATGGCCGTGAAAAGTGGGAATTTGTCTTCCATGCTCTTGTTCTTCAACATGTAGTTGACTTCGAGGGCTGTGATTGGACCCTACAAGAAGATTTTTGGGTTTTGTTGGATTAGCTTGTGACAAGTGACAAACGTTGGTCGGAATTTATGAATATCTGATCAAATTCTGCCATAGTTATTAAACTTTGAACAGATATCAAAAATCCGCTCAAAGTCTGCCATAACTGCCAGATTTTGGTTGAAGTTTGGGAAAATCTGGTCAAAATTTGGCACATCTACCAGATTTTGGTCCTAAGATTCGACAAAATTCTGTCTCAACTGTTTAACCGCTCATCCTACCTGTAATTTTTGACCATTCAACATCTCCTTCTCCAATTCAGCAATACTCTTTCCAGTCTTAACAAAAGCTTCACTGCACTTCCTGTTACGTCCACCATAGCATGTTGTGATCAAGTCAGCAACACCGCATGACTCAAAGAATGTTGCCAATTGACTACCAGGGTAGAAGACATCAACAAACTTGATCATTTCCATCAATCCTAAACGAATAACGGCAGCTTTTGTGTTGTCGCCAAGTCCAAGACCATCAACGAAACCAGCACCGCAAGCAACGATGTTCTTAAGAGCACCACAGATTTCAACAGCATCAACATCATCGCTGACAACAACACGGAAGTTTGGTGTTTGGAATAAGTCACGGAGGATTGGTGCCATTTTCTTGTCCTTGACACCAATTGTGGTTTCACAGAACTTCTCGTCTGCAACCTCATTGGCGAGATTGGCACCCATAAGAACGGCACATGGAATTTGAAGATGCTTTGTGATGATTTTAGAGATCAATTCAATTCCACCTCCTTCGGCAACATCGAAGCCCTTGATTAATGAGAGCCCAATTGCTGATGGCTTTATCTTGCCGACTAGAGTAAGATAGAGACATTTTGGAGTTAAAATATAGTTTTGTGAAAAGGTTTCAAATGTGAAAAGGTTCCTTAACACTATGGTTTATAGGTTTAGTTGCCTTCACACTAGGTTTTATATTTTCAGACGACTTTACAATAGGTTTGATAAAATGTGGTGTCGTCACATTAGTGTTCATAGTTTCAGGCGTCTTCACACTAGGTTTCATAGATTCAGGTGTCTTCACACTAGTCATTTGTTCAGCTTCCTCTAAACTAGGTTTCAAAAGTTCAGGTGAATTCACACTAGAGTCATATGTTCAGGTGCCTTCACACTAAGTTTCATATGTTCAGGTATTCACAATGCATAAAAATGCTCACATATTCACCTAATCTTATTAAGATCAACAAAACTTCCTGCAACGCCCGACTACCTTGAATTAGATTTGAATGCCAAAACAACGTCAGATAACTAATATTTTTAGATAATTATATAAACAGAATTTAAATCTTTTCGCACATTTATTCTCGCTAATTTATGTCACACAAATCTAGAACCTGTTAGCTTCTCATTTCCTTCTTCTTATTTTATTTGCATTTTCTGCTCCGTCTGTGAGTTTGTTTCTCTTTTCGTTTTCGTCGATATTATCAAGTCGTAAATTTTTTGTGTATTTATTATACGGTCGATGACCCGCTTCTGGGGAGTTTTTCGTATGAATTTATAATTTGTCAACTTTTTTGTTTTCGCTTTTTGTGCTTCTTGATTCAAAATGAATGAATGAATTTAAGAAAAATTTTTATGACAATCATTTTCAGGCGTACGAATGGCTTCATAAATAAGATGAAGTCGTCGAGTAGAGATAAAAAAACGTGAAATATTGGAAGCACTTTTGCTTTTTTGATATACTATTGTGCAATATAAATTTTTATGACATAATAAACGTTATGAGATTATCGTGTTGCTTTATCGGAAGCTTGTGAGAAAAACCTTTTTGTGAATGGAAGCAGATAAGATTATGCTGACATGTGCTGAGCAATTCAACATGTGACTCTAATGCAAAGACATCTAAACGTTAAAACTAGTGTAAATGTACCTGAATTTTTGACACTATTGTGAATGCACCTGAATTTTTGACACTATTGTGAATGCACCTGAACTTTTGACACTAGTGTGAAGATACCTGAACCACAAAACTAAAGTGAAGGCAACTTTAAATTTGACACTAGTGTGAAGGCACCTGAACATTTGAAATTAGTGTAGAGATATCTGAACTTTCGACACTAATATAAAGTCACTTGTACTATTAACACAAGTGTGAATACACCTGAAAAGTTAACTTTAGTGTGAAGGCACCTAAACACCTCGGGAAAAATCAAAAGAAATGTCAAAACCTACCCAATTGAGCGCCAAGACCCTTGATAAATTGATGAGGGATAACAAAGATAAGAATGTCAGCATTCTTAGCTGCCTCAACAACACAGGGAACGGCAACCTTGAAATTGAAAACAAAAGAATACAAGGTTAATAAAAAGAAAAGAAAATTTGGCAACAAGTCAAAAATTAAAGTGCATCTAAAGAAATTATATCACAGATAATTTAATGAGGATCTAAATTCACTATAAATAGTCAAATTTGATGTAACGAAGAAATCGAAATATTAAATTAGCTTTGCTCTCGATTTTTATGAAGGTTTTGAGATGGTATTGCATCTGTTTTGAAGGTTTTTATTGCTTTTTGGTTACTTTATTTATTTGTTAGATTAATTCAAGTAAATATGTCATTCATCTGTTGGTCTAGTTAATACCAAAGCAGAAAGGTCTGATGTCCACTTCGGGACAATTAAGTAACATTTTAGTAGAAAATTGAATCAAGTCACATTAATTGTGATGTGTAATGACCAGAAATGCAACCGGTTTGAGTCACAAACTGTCGTCGTTAATCAATTCCTGACATTTTTAATGTTTGTCATGCTTAAAACACATGATTAATTCTTTTGAACTAGATTTTTATTTAATGTTATTGTTATGAAGTTGCATTTGTGTTTAGAAGCAAGCTTACTGCAAGATAAAGGCTTATTCGGGATGAAAAACTGAATATTACTTAATTTCAATCCCAAATGAACTTGGCAGACGCCACTGACCATCTAGCTATGTGTTAAATTAAGTGATCCTCCAATTTTTACACTCTACCTTCCTTTTTGATTCAATTTGGACATGACAAAGCTAATCCATCCAAAAACAGATAAACTTTCAACCTTCTATAAACTTACTAAGCATCTAAAGGAAGGTCAGTAAAAGGAATACTGAACCGCCAACCCAAAGTTCAAATTAAATGATTTTTCAACTCATCAGACGTCCCAGACAACAAAGAAGAAAAACAAGTAAAGTTCAATGAATCAAAAAACGAATCAAAAAGTGTTGATCACTAAAAATGCTCAATTTGATTTAATTTAATTGTAGCATCGCTTTGTTACTTTGAGCTTTTAATGAACTCATTAATATTTTGAACAAATTTATTGACTCAGGCAATTATGCGAAAAGTTTTTGAAGACAGCAAAATTTTAATGAGCTAGTTTGATCAGTTTTTATACTCTTTTGGCCATTTTTAGCATAAAAGTTGATAATAAGCTCTTTAAGTTTGGATTAGTTGAAGGGAAAATGAGACAGAAGCGTTGCTAAGAGGTTCATTGGGTGAAGGAAGCTGCTGTTGATATTATAAGTATTCTGTGAACAGTATCGTATTTGGGAGCAGTTCAGCAGATATTGTCGCTGCGTAGGAATGGATCAACATCTATTAATGAATAATTACTGTCGTGAATAACAACATAAGGTCGATTGTAGTGTTAAAGCCTTAATTTCCTTTAAAATCACCACCAACTACGAGATAAAGCAAAGCTTTCCTTTCGACACTACACCGAGGGTGCAGGATTGACTAAATTGATCAAAAACTGGTTCATCACATTTGCTTTTGACCTCCTTACTCTCCCAAAATCATGTCCCTTACTACTGAATTCCCCCATTACAGAATTTTCCATTATTTATTGCTTTTTCTCAAACAATTATTTTTCCTCAGCTCAGCTTGTGCACTTAACAATGTAAAGAATATCATAAAATAAAATGAATACTCACGACATTTTCTGGCAATTTATGGCCTGGCAAGTATTTTACATTCTCGTGAGTTGTATTGATGATTTCTGTGAGCTTCTTGCCGTCAATCATTTCCTCGAAAACGTACATTGAAACGCGGTCTGTAATGAAAAATTAAAATAATTGTTTTTGAGGTTAGAAATATTTTAAATTATTTTTTTTCGATAAAAATTGACAAAATTGAGTTAATCTCAAGTGTGCGGAACTGTAGAAATGGTCAAAAATTATTTAAAAAAGTTTCACACCCTTGGCTAGTTTTGAACAATTTTGAGGTTAGAATGGAATATTTCAATATATTAATGCCCTTTAATTTAGTTTGCAACATTTAAGTTTATTAATTTCTCCAACTGACCTCTCAAGTTCTCGCCACATTCATTTGTCACTCACAACCCAGCCCCAACTACCAACCAATCACAATTCATCCTAAACCAAATCACTCTACAGTCACGCAACTCTATTAATAAACTGTCTCATTTTTATCACCATAGCCTACTTAGAGAAACTTATCAATGAATCATGAATAAACAAATTCAAATTTAGTCATTATTATTTGCTCTTAATTCATCGTCCATTAATCAATTTCATCAAGCTGTGAAGCCACATCGAAATTTTTCGTCTTGTCCTTGTGTCAATTATTTGCTTTTGAATCCTTCGAATCATTTTCATGACGTAGATTTTATTCCATAGCAATTTATATGGAGATTATATGGAGCTTGACTTTAAGAAGGATGAAAAAAGATACTTTTTAAGAAGAAGTAATGTTTGGTTGAGTTGAAGACATGGAGAAGATGAATAAATGTTTATATAAATCACTTGAAGGCACGAATCATGTGGCAGAAGATTGTGGAAGCTATATTAAAACTTATCGATCAAATTCTTGTACTTTTTTGAAGTTAGCACAACTTTAACTTTAGTGTGACGGCGCCTAAATCTTAAAAATCTATTGCAAAGGCACCTGAACCTATAAACTAATGTGAAGACACCAGAACCTGTTAAAAAACTAGTGTGAAGACACCTGATCCTAGCAACTCTAGTCTAAACATTAGCACTATAGTGTGAAGGCATCTGAACATAAAGAACTTCCTAAACTTACAAAATAGTTGTACGAAGTCACTTGAACCTCTAACTTTCCACAAATCAACCTCACAAATTAAATATCAAGCCACACAGCAAATAAATTGCCAAAAAAAGAAACCCAATCTGTATAATTTGTTTTTACAAAATTTTCATCTTATTGATTGACTTTCTCATCGTAAATAAACGACGCGTGGGCGACTAACTGAAATTACAGCCACAAATCAACAGTTTACAACTTGTTGCTTGTCATATAAAAATACATTTTAATTCTTATCACATGCCTCAGTTCATATGACTACAGATGATGATAAGGAAGGAGAAATAAAATGTTATTGAAATTTTTATTTTGTGGACTTTTCTCGCCGGTAAATGTTTGCATGGAAATAATACGAAATGATTTGCAATTTGTCGGCGATAACAGATGTTTTGTGGGTTCATTTTATGTGTAAAAAGTTGCATTTGCTGATAACTTGATTACTTTGAGCTGCAGGTTAGAAAATTTGAAGGTTCAGGTGCCTTCACACAACCATTGTTAGATTCAGATGCCTTTACACTAGAGTTCCTAAGTTTTGATGTTTTCACCAGCTTTACAAAACCTTTATATTAGAGTTTTCAAGTTCAGGTGTCTTCACACTAGCGCACTTAAGTTCAGGTGTCTTCACACTAGCGCACTTAAGTTCAGGAGTCTTCACACTAGGTATTTGAGGCACTTTCACACTAGAAATTTTAGAAACAGGTAACTTCACACTAGGTTGTGATTTTTAAGGTGCCTTCACATAATAAAACAATTTTTAACTCAATTAATAAAGATAGAATAATGCATAATGTTTAGTGTGAAGGCACCTGAATTTCAAACTTTTAGTTTCCTACAGCACAATAACTAATCCCAAGCCCTCATTAGCTAATCACTCAAATGAAATTAAAAAAGCCATAGCAAGTAAAGCAATAACCGATAATATTCCATTGCAAAACAATTAAAATAGTAAACAATACATTAACCCAGTAGCTCTCATGCTCCACTCAATTAAGACGTAAACACAAAAACTATCGCAATACAAACACAATTTCCTATTCTTTCGTAATATTTCAATCCATAAAATATAGAACAAAGACAGCAATAGCATCCAGAATATTCTACAAATAATTTTATAATTGTCTCATTGCTCTAAATGTCAAAGAAATTGAAAGTTTAAATGCCTCGCGTGCATTTCATCATTTTATGCGGGTCTGTTCCGCATTTCTTTTTATTATTTTGTGGCACACTTTAAACTTTTTTTATGGTTTTATGTCTATATTGGTGGTTATCAGTTTATATCTATATGATGTGATAGAAGTGCGCCAATACGTTCAGGATTCAAGAGGTTTTGTGATGTAATCAATTTTTTTCATGATGATTATTTCTACTTTTTGGTGGGTTTAGTGCTTGTGGATATTATTTTGTGGACGCTTGAATTTAAGAACTTAGTGTGAAGGCACCTAAACATTAGAAACATAGTGTGAAAATAACTGAATTCTTAAAACCTAGTGTAAAGGCACTTCAACCCTAAAGTATAAGTGTGAAGACACCCGATTAAAAAAAATTACAGGTGTGAAAGTACATGAACTTCAAAAACTTAGTGTGAAGGCATCTGAACTTTATAATAATAGTGGGAAGACACCTAAATCATAAATTTCAAATGTTAAGCCATTTGAATCTCAAGACATTAAATTGTAGAGACACCTGAACCTCGTGACTATAATGAATAGACATCTGCACTTAACAACGATAGTGTGAAAACACGTTAACTTCAAAAACCTAGTGTGAAGGCACCTGAACTTTTTAATCATAATGTGAAGACAGCTGAACCTAAAATATGTAGTGTAAAGACACCTAAAATTTAAAAATAATAGCTTATAAACGAGAATTTAAACCTTGAACTAGAATAATGCTTAAATCGCAAAAAATAATTGCATCTTCTAATACTAATCAACTGAATATACAACAAAACGTGCCAAAAGCTAATTTAAGTATCGTGAAAAAAATTCATATTTTTCTGTAAAACTCTCCTTCATAAATAGAACGTGACTGTTAATAATGGCAATAATTTAATTACATTTAAAAAAGCTTTGACTGAAATTTTTGAAGGGATTAATTTGGCTTAAATGAGTTAGCCTTGGGTGGATTGATAAGATAAAATTTAAACTTAGTTATCTAGTTCTTTTGGCAGCTCCAAAAAATGTTTCAAATTGAAGCACATTTTAATCAAATTTTCTAGCAATCTTGAAAAAAGTTTCCATCAAAAAATTCTACACGAAGCTTTATCAAATTGTCAATTTATTTATAACATCAGACACTCGTGCGCCCCATCAATTACCAAATCAACACCAACAGCTCTAAAACAAGCAATTCAAAAATAAATAACCCGACGGCAACAAAACACAACATCCTTAACCTTCCTCAATGTATTATAAGAATTATTCGTTGCATAAGACCTTGGCCTTAGCCTTCACAAAATTTATATGAAAATGTGAAAAAGATTTGTTTTTTCTCTTCTGACGAAAGCTTCCTGTCGTTATGGTGAAAAAAAGTTATTATTTTTTTGTGTTTACGTTGATTGTCAAAAGAGATATTTGAGCTTGTAAAGGTTCACAGTCTGTTTCCGCGTTGCTTTTCCTTGGCATTTAAAAATTTTTTGAACTCGTGTGTGGAAAATATTTATCGATTTTCGAGTCGATAAGGAAAACTTTAAGCGCACGCGATTGCAGAAAATTGCAGTTGATGTTTAAAAAAATCGATATTGCTGGAGTGTGGGCTGATGCAGAGTTGACTATGTGGCTTAGATCTAGCTTAGCATTAGCTCAGCTCTAGATCAGCTCCACCTCAGCTCTAGCTCAGCTCCACCTCAGCTCTAGCTCAGCTGTAGCTCAGCTCTAGTTCAGCTCTAGCTCAGCTCTAGCTCAGCTCTAGCTCAGCTCTAGCTCAGCTCTAGCTTAGATCTAGCTCAGCTCTAGCTCAGCTCTAGCTCAGCTCTAGCTTAGATCTAGCTCAGCTCTAGCTCAGCTCTAGCTCAGCTCTAGCTCAGCTCTAGCTTAGATCTAGCTCAGCTCTAGCTCAGCTCTAGCTTAGATCTAGCTCAGCTCTAGCTCAGCTCTAGCTCAGCTCTAGCTTAGATCTAGCTCAGCTCTAGCTCAGATCTAGCTCAGCTCTAGCTCAGCTCTAGCTCAGATCTAGCTCAGCTCTAGCTCAGCTTTAGCTCAGCTCTAGCTCAGCTCTAGCTCAGCTCTAGCTCAGCTCTAGCTCAGCTCTAGCTCAGCTCTAGCTCAGCTCTAGTTCAGCTCTAGTTCAGCTCTAGCTCAGCTTTAGCTCAGCTCTAGCTCAGCTCTAGCTCAGCTCTAGCTCAGCTCTAGCTCAGCTCTAGCTCAGCTCTAGCTCAGCTCTAGCTCAGCTTTAGTTCAACATTTTCTCAGCTTTAGCTCAAAATTTCACAAGCAAAACTCAAAAGTCATTCCAAAAATCACTCAAAACACCTCTCAAGTCCCCCTATCAATATACAACAAAGCCATACAAGAACAATTAATGTCAAAAACAAGTCATACAACAAGGAAGAAAATTCCAAACGTGTGTTTATTGAGTAGTTCAAGTTGTGATAAATTATTTCGCTCAAGTGGTCCGATTACTACGAAATATTTAATACAAGTAGTGATAGAGACATATCTATAAGTAGTAAGCACTTGAATTACGAGATTTAGAAGGCATTATACCTTGCTTATGGGGATCATTGTTACGTAGGGTAGATGTGGTAAGGGGTTAATACATGTTAATGTGGTATTGGATGTTTGGAATTAAATGAATCATTATGGCAAACTTGAGTTGCACCCCAACTTGATCTTTTTTTCAAATTATTAGAAAATATTTGCAAAATATATCAAAAAGTTTAAATTTCATATTTCTACAAAATTCAATAAAAAACCTTCAAGACCTTCAAGATAAGAATACCAAAGGCGACACTCATGACTTTAAATTTAGTCTACATGACCCAGTTTAGATTAATTTGGCAACAAATCATCATCAAGTTCATGCTCTCGTAATCCATTTATTTTGATGAATAAGTAAACAGAAACTTTCATCATCACCGAGAACTTCTTATCAGTAAAATATTTCTACAATGTTGATTATGTTCTAGTTTTTACTTCCTTGTGATTGTGTTTGAGTGGAAAGTTCTACATAGAAATCGTTTTCTGTTTTTGCAGATAGAAAGGCTATCAAGGTTCTGGTTGAATATCCACCTGGCAGCGTATTCATTTACTTTTTGTAATACGTAAGTAAAAAACTTGTCTAAAATAGACAATTTGAGGTAAGATGAGTGTCAAACTTAGAATAATTAAGGACATACTGGTGTGTCATACTTTATAATTAGAAAAAAACTGTAATCGAAGGTCAATAATGCAGGAGTTTATTAAGAAAGCTATTAATCAAAACTAGAGTTTAGATATCTTTTAAAAAAACAATAATTTGTAGGGTTCTTTGGAGAAAAAGCATTTTTAAGGCTAGTGTTGTAGTTCGTCTTAACTAGAACTAATTTCTCTGACATCGGTCTTAACTGGTTCATTTTTAAGACTTAAAAAAACACATGCAAGCCAAATTGCTATTATTTAAGTCAATTTGCACACTCTTGTCAAAAATCAGTACTGGCGTGGTCGGTTTTGTCTAATATTAGCAGATTAGTATCAAAAAGAGTGATGTAGCTTGCTTTTTGAAGCTTAAAACAGTAGTGCCCAACCTTTTTTATACCATGCCACACTTGGTTGTAAGCCATAACTAAAACTAATTACAGCTTATGGTTCGTGGGATACCACAAGTTTTTCACGGCATGCTAGAGTACCTTAGCACAAGGGTTGAACATTCCTGGCCATAACTGACATTTAAGGTAAACGTATAAGGGGCCGTTCAATTATGACGTCCGAAATTAACGGTCATTTTTCAAAAAACAAACAATGGATTTCCAGGAATTTCTATTGTTCTTTTCTGTCTGACTTCCCCCCCACTTCCCTGGACGTCATAAGTGAACGACCCTTAAGCGCCTAGCATTATTCTCTTATTAAACAAAATCTGTGACCCGTTTGAAGGGAATATCAAGTCTCTTTGTGATGAACCCTGAGGCCCTGACCCTAGCTCTACCCCCTTAGCTATGCCACTGTCATCTTAGCAAATCCATCTTTTTCCAATCTTTAAAACCCACTTCACTTTAAAATATTAAATTTTATCTGCACACATTCACAATTTTCACATTAAATTTTCTCTCTTCACAGCTTTTTCAAGTTCAATGTGCAATTCCCTCCCAACAACAACAACAGCACACGACTTATAATCATCACTATATGTATATGTAAGAAAAATATGAAAAAATCTATAAATCTTACCTTCATACTGTGGAAGTCTTTTTGCATTAACGCCAACAATCTTAGCAATTGCTGAGCCCCTGATTGTCGTTGATTGTAATAAATAAGAAGTAAAAGAAAAAATTAAAATAGTTTTCAAGTGTCACAGTTGCATAATGTTGCATAACAATCAAGAATAAAAAGGCAGTTGGAAAAATTGCATGTCTTGGACCTTGAACTTTTTCACGGACTTTTTTCAGATCGTTCAAAAATAATTTTTTTTTTAATTCCGAACAGAAAAAATAATTTTTTTTTGTTGCGTCGCTGATAAGCTCAGCCACGATGTTAAGTAAAAAAATTTTTTGATAAAAATTCAATAACTTACCAGTTGCCAGATCCAACGATACACACGGATGTCTTAGACATATTTTAATAGATTCTTTAAATTCACAAAAAAACAAAGAGTCAAGTTCGAGGATGAAAAATTACGTCTGTTTTGCACGGCGAAGTTATTGGAAACAAATGATTGGTACGGAATCACAAAACAGAATAACATTCACTCGACGACCGAACAGATGATTTTGCTTCTTTTTTGTTGTTTCGTTTTGGCTTCTGCACGACGAAAAGTTTCTTCTTGCTTTTTGTTTGTTTGCTGTCAGCTTAAAACTTCTCGACCCTGGCTGAAGCGCTTTTTAATTTATAATTCTTCCTCTATTTGTTTTATGTCCCAATTTGTGTACTTTTCCACTTCTGTTGATTTTTTTGTGAGTTTTTCTCTTAGTCGGCAGTCTTCAAGTGGTTTTCGTGGTGCAATGAGATTAGATTTTGTGGCTTTATGTGTGATTATTTCACAAGTTTACGGGAAAAATGTGACAGATGATAAATACACTCCTGTTGTGGTAAAAAAGATGACTTTTGTGATGTGAAAAAGATTTTTGATTGTTTTTGTTGTGATCGCGGAGACAAAGAAAGTTTGATAAGATTGGAAGTTTGTGAAGGTTTTTTTGAATAATTTTGAGCAGTTTGTGGTGGGCAGTTGCACAATTTTGATTGATTTTTGGAACAATTCATCAAAAACTATGCAAGAATTGGAATTTTCATCAAACGTACGATTAGTTGGAGCTTGTGAACCATTTTTTATGTCTAAAATCTCAATAAATTCTCTTTAACATCCACAAACTCTTCCTAGACACCCACAAACCCTGATAGACTCCAACAAATTCTCCATTTACATCCATGAAACTTTTGAGACCCCTTTATACCTTCCTGGACAAGCCATGAATCCTTTTTGTCTCTCTCAAATCCATTTAGATATCCATAAGCTCTCATAGACATCTAAACAATGATTTTAAGGACCTAAAACTTTACTGGATTCCCCCAATCACCTTTTTGGTATTAGCAAACTACGCTGGATACCCAAAGCAACTAATTCCATAGCGTTATCTCTCTTAGATACCCATTAATCCATTTATGCATCTACAAACCCAATTTAGATACTCAAGAGCTCTATTAGACACTCTTAAGACACTCAAAGACTTCCCGAGACACTCTCACCTACCCCAAAGGACCCACAATCCCTTATAATGCCCTCAAAACCCTACCTCTAAGCCGATCAAACAAGCCAAAGATCTCAACCTCATGATTTCTCAATACTTCAAAGCTCCAACGTTAAGCAAACCAAAACAGAATCCAATCTAATTTCTGCACAACATTCACAAAAAAATGAAAAAAAAAGTTGTAACAAATTGCAATTGAAGGTTTTTATTCGTGCTTTTAAATCTTTTTAACAGATGTGGCATGGCATGGGTGACTCATGCTGCTTTGTATTCTCACTCGGGTCACTTAAAAAGTTGATTGAAAGAACTTTGGATAATCGGATTTATGTAAAGTCACTGGAGATTGGTGGATCGTACATTAGGGATTATGAGTCAGGATACTTTATTCATCCTGATAAGCAGGTGAGTTGTTGTGGTAAAATTTGATTAAAATTGCTAAATATGAACAAGAGATCCTTAATCTCCTTCAATGGGCCGGTTTCTGGGTCTACCCGGAGCAAACAAGGGCAAAACTGAAATTCGATGTGCTTCAAAATGGGATATAAATAAATTAAATCTAAGACTAGTGTAGGGAGCTTTGGATTGCACTTAAAACCGATCTTTGGCTCTGCCCCTGGCACTTGGTCATACCTAAGAGCTTCACATTTTAAAGGTCTTAATCATTGGTTTATGACTAGCATTTCCCAGCTCACAGCTTAATTATATGTATACTTCAAAGTGCAGTCCATCGACTTTGATTCTATGATAGAATGCTCCCAAAAGCCATTTACCCAGCCTCTGTCCAAACCCCTTTAAATTATAATTAGGCTACAAAAACCAAACCCATCTAATTTCTAAATCACAAAATAAAACATAATTGTCAGTAATTTATGTGAGAGAAAAAAATGTCATTTTTGAGAAAGTTGCGACATTTAAATGATCATTAAATTAAAGTTTCAATGTAAATCTGCCGGCAAAAAGCATAAACAACATTTATTTTATTTAAAACCGAGCATAAAAAAAATTATTTAACTGAAGTAGCAAGTTCATTGAAACTTTTATGCGTGATGTGATGGAATGATTGGAATGCGATACAGCATATTGGGAGTCCCGAGAAGCACAAGTAGGGGTCGGTTTCTAAGCTTTCCTTGGGCTTCTTAACATTAAATCGATGCATTGTGTTTTAGAACAATTATATCCAATTTTTGTTGTGCCACGGGACACCTTGTTGTTAAGCCATGACCAAAACTGCAGACGAAATATGGTCCGTGGGATTTTCTCGAGTTTTTTTTTCGCATTTTTCCGAATGGGATCTCTGGTCAGTCCTCTAAGCTACCCTTAGTACACATCCATGTTAGTACTTACTTACTTCTTACTTCCTTGGCTAAGGGCCTTGGCTGCGGGTCCATAGCTGCTTTCAGAGTTCGTCTAAAACACAACTTCTGCCAGTTTCTAATATCTAGCACATTTGCATCGTTGCTTACACATCCATTCTATGAGTTCTTCGGTCTACTTAGAAATCTCTTACCATCCAAAAATTCAGCTGGTGTTACTTTCAGCACTGATGAGCTTTCTGGGCGTCTGTTTGCATGCGAAGCCCATCACAATCGATTTATTCACAGCACCTTCACTATTCAGCCTTCTGGTACAGCTAATATAATTCCATCACATATCCATGTTAGCTAGTAATATCAAAATGACATGAAGATGTGAGGTTCCAAGTCTTACGCAGCATAAATTATAAATTATAAGTTGCTCGGGTATGCAATGCAGCAATGAGACTAAAAAATAATGCAAAGATGAATTTGATGGAAATAGTCAAGTAATTGAGCTTGAAACTAGAGGAAATCTGCTTTACAAATAAGGCATCAAAACTGGTTAAATTAAAATAAAAGTTTTAAATTATTTCCATTTTTCAGTTTCTATTTTAAATTGAAACTGCAAATAGAAATGAAAATGAAAGCATTTTTCTTTACTTCTGTCTCATATTTGCTTAACGAATTACTTAGTGAAGTGAAACTTATGTTGAATTTGACTCCCTTGCGATCAATTTTTATATAAAATCTTAGACTTATGTAAGGAGAAGCGTTTTGGATTTGATGAATTTGTATTTTTGGCTTGAAAGAAAAGTTTCAATTTGGAACTGAATTGAATTAAATTAAATTGTACAAAATCACCCTACTTTAAAGTCATCTAATCGATGTTCATTCAAATAAAGCCAACGAAAAAATTTCTTCAAACAAAAGAAAAAATTCAATAATCGAATTACATAAAAAAAACAATCTTTTGTGCATAAATCGAACGAAATTGAATCACTAAAGCCTTACGTCACATTTATGCAAATCTCTCATTTTGTTACCGACTGGCCAGTAGCAGTAAAAATTTTTGAATTTATTAATAAGCTTATTTGTTTAAATTAAATCAATTTTAGAGTTTTTTGCTGCATTGAAATATTTAAAATGAATGCAAAAATTTTTGTGACGAACTAGTTGACCATGGGTTAATATTTGGATGTCAATTTGATTGTTTTATGTATTTGACAGACTTCGATTAATGTTTTTTGTCTTTAAATGGTTAAGATTGAGATGAATTGCATAATTGTACTGAGTTAAGCCCGGAAATCTCGCCCTGCAGACTCACCTCTTTATAAGTGTATTATGTAAAGTCACTGGACCATACCATTCAATTTGTCTAATTGCTATGTACCATTAAAGGGTGCTTCATCAATGATGTCTGAACAACAATGACTGTTTTCAACAAAAACTATTGAGTTCTATAAAATGTAATCTAATGCAGTGTTGACCAACCCGTGAAAACATTTGAATTACTCCACGAGTCGTATGCTTTGTGCAACTGATGACATGGCAAACCATTAGGTTGGCAGCCACTGTTTCAATAAATGCAGGGGGAAAACTACTTGATGGGTATAAAATTGAATTGGAAATTTCCCATTTTTTCTTATTATTTGATTGGAAATTTGAAATTTCCCATTTTTTTAACCCATCAAGTAGTTTTCCCCCTGAATAAATTAAAAATTTATTTACGAATTCACACCCCCCCCCCCCGGTTCAGGTCCATGTGACGTCATTTATGAATGTCCACAAATATCAATCCAAATCCACAAAGACCAATTTTACTGCAGACTGTGTTCAATTATTGCACAATTACAAAATAAAACAAATAAACCAGAATCGTGTCTAGTCTGAGTAGCGACCCTGCACCAAACACACATTCACACAAATCTAGCTCAAAGCTACTCGTTGTCAATGAACTTAACCAAATAATTTATGGATATTCAGTTGTTTTTTTTTTGCATCACTTACTGAACATTTTATTGCAATAGTTAAGAAAGAAAAAAAATTAAACATGTTTTTATGCGATGATCGATGAATTCACAGCCACAGACTTTGCATTTTGACCTTCGCTTAGTGATTGTGGTGAAGAAAGAGAGGAAAAAGGATTGAAATTGAATTAATTGCATGCTTTATGAGTTGAAGAACTTTGTTGGGAGCTTTGGAATCTGTTTTTAATAAAAATTATTTTTTTACTATTTTCTAAACTAGATTGAAGACGCCTGCATTCAAATCACAAATGATAAGAATTTAAAGAATGGTTTCAATGCCATTGGATTCTCACAAGGTTCACAGTTCCTAAGAGCACTCGTGCAACGATGTCCATCAGCTAAAGTTAAGAATTTGATCACGCTCGGTGGACAACATCAAGGTATAGTTTAATATAGTGTTTGAGAGGAATAGGGGGTTATATATATAATGTGTGAGAAAAAGTTTCAAGCCCCGCGCTTAAAAACGTGGAAAATTTTCATCAAATTAATTAAACAGTTTCCAAGTCGTTATTAGTTGAGAAAAACCTCTTAATAAGTGCCAAGGGTTGTGTTTTCCTCAAGGAAAATGAGGAAAGTCAAAAGAAAGCAAGATTTGTCGCCAAAAATTGATTTGGACGAAAGCCCAATTAAATCTAATGAAAATTCCAAGAAGAGGAAGCAATCGCCTCAGAAAGAGGAATCATCGGTTCCAGTCACAACAACAACTTCAGTCAAGCCAATATTTGTGCAATGCAGTCTCAAGGATGTGAGAAAATTAATCTCACTATTGAAATTACAGGTTATGCCTGCATATAAAATTTCATCATCAAATACAACTCAAGTAATTGTCAAGTCTATTGAGGATAAGGCCTCAATAATAAATCTTCTGCGGTCTCAAACTATTCAATTCCACACCTTCTCCGAGAAATCGGAGAAAACAAAGTCATTCGTTCTGAAAGGATTTTACGAAACACCAACGAATGAAGTACTAAGATTACTTCAAGAAGCCAAGGTTTCAGCTGTCAAAGTGACAATTCTCGTCAAGAAGCCCGAGTTCACCTTTTATCTTGTGCATTTTCAAGATGAAAGTGTGAACATCAACGTGCTCAATCATAACCACCGTAACATCGACAACATCATCGTCAAGTGGGAGAACATCAAGAAGGGCAACAAAAGCCCAACGCAGTGCTTCAACTGCCAACGTTGGGGTCACTCATCTCAAAATTGTGGATTTAAGTTCCGATGCGTCAAGTGCACGGAAGTTCACGGACCAAATCAATGTCAACGATTCACTCGTGATGGAAATGCCAAGTGCATTAATGTAATGGCGATCATGCTGCCAGTTATAGACTGTGCCCATCATTCATTTCGTATTCCAAAAGAATCGAAAAGTCAAGAGCCAAACCACAACTCAAAATGCTGCCACAGATATCAAGTCTTTTGGACAGTAACAATTTTCCATCGTTAAGCAAACGACATCAAGTTTCTGCTCATTCACAACCAGTGAATGCTGCAAGTAACTCATCAGCAACATTTCAAGAAGAGATTAATCAGCAACAACTGATCAATAATATCAGTTATGCAGAGAAACTCAACGAAGCAGTAAAGAATGAAAGCCTTTTCAAGAAATTCACAGAAGCTCAAGAACGTCTAAAGAGAATCCCCAACATTGAAGAAACAATAAATCAGTTCTGCAGTTTCGTCGACGAAGCCGGAAAGATCCCAAAGGATGCACCTCAAGGAACTGCATTTAAAATCATGGTGAAGTATGGCTTCATGAGCTGCCCACCAGCACCGAACAAGCCAGTTCAAAAATAATTTATTAACGTAGTTCATAAGCTTAAAAAAAAGTTTTTTTTTTTTTTTTTTTTTTTTAAATCTCAATCATCAAAATTAATAATTAATCAAGATATAGTTGAATTAAAGCCATATTCAGGCTGGTGTCAAAATAAGACTCAAAGAAATGTAACTTAAACTACAATAATTCCAAATTTGAAATAAAGAAAGATTATTATATAATGTGTGAAGGGCCCAGCCTTTCAGCTGGAGGCACTGCGATTCAAATTAGAACAGAATCTATTGTACCACACCCTTTAGACCTACAGTTTATAGTGGGATCCGAACCACTTGCAAGCTCTGGACATTGCAAAGACACGAGTACGTCATAAGACCTGATGTACCCTGCAATGTACCTAGTCACAATCCGTGTGCGCAAGGAAGTCATCCAGATGCTAGTATATCCTTGTATACCTAGCAAAGGAGGCATATTCTATGCCAAAGACATCAATACTACACCCAACACACGAGCCGAGCTTCGTAACTAGAGAGATAGGGGGTTATGTTTTTATAGGTTAAGGCAGTGGTGTCAAACCTTTTTTGTGCCTTGGCATCCTGAGTCGTTAGCCATGACCAAAACCGCACACAAAATACGTTTCGTGGGATATCCCAAATTTTTCGGCACTCTAGTGTGCCAAGGAACACGGGTTGGGCATCACTGGGCTACGGTCAGATCTAAAATTAATTCAATTTAAAACGTATTTGATTTTTTTTTATAAAATTTTGAATTTTTGAAAAAATCTAAATTTTTTGAAAGTTTTTAAGTTTTTTGATTTTTTAATTAATTTTAAATTGTAATTTTTTAAATTCAATTTTAGGCGTCTACGGCCTCCCAAACTGTCCATCCTTAACCACAAAAACCTGTGAATATCTCCGTGAGATTCTGAACTTCGCAGCTTACGCCGGTTGGGTTCAACGAACTCTCGTCCAAGCCACATATTGGCATGATCCAAAGAACGAAGACATCTACAGAACCAAAAGCACATTCATTGCTGAAATCAACAATGAAAAGTCAGTCAACCAAAAATACATCGACAGGCTCCAAAAATTAGAAAATTTCGTCATGGTTAAGTTCATGAATGACTCGATGGTTCAGCCAGTTGACAGCTCATGGTTTGGATTTTATAAGCCTGGAAGTGATGTGGAACTGATGACATTAGAACAAAGTGATATTTTTACAAAAGAGAAGCTTGGACTGAAGAAAATGAAGGAAGATGGAAAGCTTAAGTTTATTGAGATTGAGGGGAATCATCTGCAGTTTAGGAATGAGTGGTTTATTGAGAATATTGTTAATGCTTACTTGAAGAACTAAAATAAGTAATTAAAATAATTTTATGAGATTAAAGGAGACAAATTGCTATTTTATTAAAAAAAAAAAAAATTAATGAAATAAAAAAATTAATTGAATTTTTTTATAGGTAGTTCGTTTCCAGGGTTATTAACTTACAGCATGGATTATTTAAAAGACTGAGAGCTAGAGCATTAATCAGGGTGGGATAACAAAATGATCAAGTGGACGCCTTACTTGAAAAAGCTATCCTTGACTTAAAATTCTTAATTTCTTAACTTTAATGCAACAACAATTGGACTTTTTAATTCAAAATTCGTCAAACTTGGTGCTAGTTCCAGTTTTTCAGGTGTCTTGTCACAAACTTCAAATGTAAATTTCCTCAAAATGTTAAAAAGCAGCAACTTAGCTTCCATTAGTGCAAAACGGGATCCGATACAGACCTGTGGATGATAAATAATTTAAGATTAAGTTTCAATCAGTTAAAGCATGAAACTAATGGCCTAGGCTAGTGATGAGAACTCCATTGGACTCTAAAAAGCTTAACTACAATTCCAAAACTCACCCTAGGACCGGATCCAAAAGGCACATAAGCACCATCAACAATAGATCCTTTCCTCTCATCACTGAACCTTTCTGGATCAAACTTTTCAGGATCTTCATAGTATTTTGGGTCATGATGGATTGCATAAGTTGGTATAAGTATGTTGTCGCTTTCCTTTAGCTTTATTGTCTTTCCATTGTCTAGTTTGAGGTTGTAATCCTTGCTGCACTCTCTTGTTATTTCACCTGCTGGTGGCCAGTACCTTAGAGCCTCACTAATGACCATGTCCAAGTACTTCATTTTATGCAGTGCTTCATATGTGACTTGACTTCCATCTAGAGCTACGACAACGTCATCAACTTCATCGATAAGTTTCTGCTGGACATCCTTATTCTTAGCTAATGAGTATGTTGTAATTTGCAGCAAAATGTTGGTTGTGTCGAATCCAGCAAGGAAGAAAATCATTCCTTGTGCCATGTAATGCTCATCAGTCCAATTTGTCATCTTTGTGTTCTTTGCCTTCACATCATACTCAATATTAGCTGAGAAATTTGACAATTCATCCTCATTGACTTCATTTTCCTTGTCTTGCATTTTAAGTTGACCCTTTTTGGCTTGCATGAGCAGCTGAATGACATCGGGACGGAAGATTCCATTCTGCTCACGTTCCTTCATCACTTTGACGATTGCGTTGTAGAAAAAGTCGTAAACATCCTTTCTTGTTAATTGAAGCTTAAAGATCACATAAAGCTTATGAGCAACCATGAATACAATGATTTTTAAGAACATCCAAAAGTCAACTTTTTGAAGATTCATTGTAAATTTGAAAAGCTCGCTGTCTTCGTTCTTGATGCAGTCTCCCTTGAATCCTAAAACTGCTGAGCAGATCCCGTCAACTGTAAATCTTGAGAAGCTTTCCTTACAATTCATAATCATGCTTCCTGTTTCTTTAGCTTTTTCTTCAAAATGCTCAGTAAAGTCATTTGTACAATCAGCTAAGATCCCAAACATCATCTTCATTTTACTGCTTGTAAATATTGGACTTAAGATGTTCCTCATGTTCCTCCATTCATCATCAAACAATGTAAACAACATCCGACCGGACAGCTTATCCATATCTGGATTAAGGTTCTTATCATGATTCATAAACGTGTCAAAATCTTTGGTTGTAATTTGCTTAACGAGTGCAGGATCGCGAATCAAGAAGGATCTTTTGGTAAGACTGAATGATGGGATGATCCTGGAATTTATGTGAATGTTAAAAGTATGCGCAAATTGTAATTAAGGATCTAATTTTGATTGGCAATCCTAGAATCCAACCTGTTACTCAACAATCCTGTTTTGTTCCTGGTTACCTTAAAACCTTCATCAAAATGAGACAAATTGTGATAAAATAAAAATTTTCGATGCTGGGTTATAAGTCCAGAAACTATAAGTCCAGAGATTATAAGTCCAGAAAATCAAAGTCAATAAAGGTTTATAAGTCCAGATACAAATTGCACCTGGACTTAAAAACCTCACGTGCAGTTTATAAGTCCAGGTACAGATACAGCTGGAATTATAAACTGCACGAGAGGGTTTTAAGTCCAGGTACATTTTATATCTGGACTTATAAACCTCACGTGTGGTTTATAATTCTAGAAAATTTACAAATTTTACTTATAATCTCCCAGTGCGATTATAAATCCAGATACATTTTTTTGGACTTATAATCTTTGAAAATTATTTGATATAATTTCAAATTTTTATATTCATACCGTATTCACGTGTGAATCTATTGGTTTTGTTCAGATTGAAAAATCAGTTTTTTGCATTCTGTGAGAAAACAAAGCAAAGAGGATTTTGTTTCCCCTTTTTATTCTTGTATTATTTATATCTTAAATGTTAACATCCAGATCGAAAAATGTGATTTTTATAAATTTTTACACGTTACTGTACCTTGTTTTCTATTCAATCTTTTTGTAAAAGGTAAAATCATAGCACAATGATTCAGAATCGAAAAAAATGTTCAAAAATTCAAAAATTTCATGTTAATTAAACTTTGCCTTTTAAATGCCAGATAAAAGATCTTTCCTTTGTGCATATCCTTTAAAAATATCTCGTTCCTATTTGCTGTCTAACTCCAGAAATCATTAATTTAATCCAGAGCTGCGAAACAGGCACCTGTGACAGGTGAGAACCCTACAATTCCTTGATAATTTATAAGGTTTTTCTAACAAAACCATACAAATTATCAAGGAATTGAAAGGTTCTCACCTGTCACAGGTGACCTGTTTCGCAACTCTGATTTAATCTCACCCAAAATTTGTTTACAATTTGAGTATGAAAAAAGAAATGTGATTTTTTCTACTTTAAGTTGTTATTTGGATGTCTTGAAAGCAGTTGCTAGCTAATTTAAGCTTAGCTCTACATATTAAAACAACCAACTCAATAGAAATCTGCTTATTAAGCCTTAAAAATGGAATTGAAATCTGAGTATTTTTACAAAACTTAAACTATTCATAAGTTAAAAAGTCTTCCAAAGACCTCTCTGAAACCTATATAAATCAATTAAATAAGCTTTAATCTATCTCCCATATTACTGAGGACATGCCGTTTGATGCCGTTTTCGAGATATTTGCGATCAAAGTTTACATAAAATTTCATACAAAGTTTGATCATGCACAATATTTTTTGATAAACTTTTACAAACTTTTGATAAAAAAACATGTTTATCCTTTATATTAAGGACTGATTTTTTGAGCAATGAACGAAAATATTATGTAGAAGATGCTAAAAGAATCAAATCAAAAGAAATCAACAAAAACTTTCAATTTTCTAATGTGTCAGAAAAATATTGTGCACAAGGAATTTTTGAACATTTTTTCCGAATCTGAATCATTGTGCATAGTCAAAACCAGCAGAATTTACGAAAAATTACATTAACTGTAAGGACAGCTAAGCACTTGTCTAAGCTATAAACACCATCTGTATTTACAACTGTTTTTACTTATACACATTAAACTACAGCTGTAAATTGATTTTAACGTAACGACGTAAGTTCATCTGTAATCTACAGCTGTAATTTTAGTACAGCTGTAATTTGATGCTAAATAGTATAGGGTAAAGATTACTATCAAAAAAGTGCGCAAATTTCAAAATATTTTTGCGCAAATTTTAAAATTTCTGCGTATATTTCAAAATGAAAACTTAAATGTCAATTTTCTCTGAATTGATGCAGCACAAAAACCTTTACATGATCAAAAATAAAAATATCGACGACTCTCAACATTTCAAGACCATTAGTAGGTCACAATGTCAATTCGTCGATTAGTTACAAGCGTTTGAAAATTCCAAGTCTGAAAACACGCAAATTTCAAAATGATTTACCCTATATGGTACCAGGGGCGTAGCCAGAAAATTTTTAAGGGGGGGGCCCATTTTCGAAAATTAAAAAAATTGTTATTTTGTATCCTTAAAGCTATATTCATTCTTCATAAGTTTAAATATTTAATTCATTATTCATACATTAAATATAATTTTTCGTGCTGATTTTGACATTTTTTTCATCACTTCCTCTACATTAACTGGTTCTTCTCTAAAAATACTTAATAAAACAATTATCAGATTTTCGTAGGGGGGGGGGGCCGGGCCCCCTATGCCCCCCCCCCCCCCCTGGCTACGCCCCTGTATGGTACTTTAGAGGAAAAAAAATCAGAGAAATGTGAATTCTTTTTGTGAAGTTTTCAAAAATGCATGTGAAGAATTACTTTAAATGAAAAAATTTAAAATAATATCAAATAATTTTCAAGGATTATAAGTCCAGAAAAATGTATCTGGATTTATAATCGCACCGGGAGGTTATAAGTAAAATTTTTAAATTTTCTGGAATTATAAACCACACGTGAAGTTTATAAGTCCAGGTATAAAATGTACCTGGACTTAAAAACCTCTCGTGCAGTTTATAATTCCAGCTGTATCTGTACCTGGAATTATAAACTGCACGTGAGGTTTTTAAGTCCAGGTGCAATTTGTATCTGAACTTATAAACCTTTATTGACTTTGATTTTCTGGACTTATAATTTTCTGTGCACGATTTTTGTACCTGGACTTATAATCTCTGGACTTATAACCCAGCATCAAATTTTCGATCTTTTTTGTGCAAATTCCTAAACAGAGTGGAGTTTGGGAGTATCGAGCCATACAAATTGCCTTTCTAAAAGCAAGACTTAGTTCTCAGTGGGGCGGTTGGATAGGCAACAGACAAGATATTTGGAATATTTTTTTGTGAGGGGTTATGTTCGATTCCCACCAGAAACCGATCTTTTAATAATTATATAAAGCAGGATCTTCCAATCTTTCTTGGTCAGCGATACAGCTTGATGGTAAGCCATGAACGAATTCGAAATTCACTGAGGTATGTTGCCCATGTAACAAGGAATCCCACAATGCTTACGACATTTCAGGCTGTTTATTTAAAATATGATTGTCAGGATCGACAGGAACTTCAAAAGCTACTTGGCGCAGAATAGTGATGAAAAAATGTCAGTTTACGTGGGGACAGAGAAATTGTATAAACTAGGAACATAGTCAGCAACAGGGTCAGATAGAAAACCTTTTGTTATAACTTAAGCTCCACAAAGAAACATTGTTACAGGAAGTAAGAAAGTTAGATCGATAAACGCATAGCATAGAGTTTCATTAAACAATATTGAACTTGAATAGCTTGAATTTTTCTTCTTCTTTATGTTCAGCTGCTAAAAATCATAAACATTAGTCAGCATTCCATTCCTAACAACGATTTCAAAAATATCGTTATCAAAATTTATCAATTGACCCTGAACACATATTTATAAATTTGGGAGTTCTTATCACATTTTGTGTCAGCTGTGCTTGGTGGGAAAGGGGTCGTTCATAAATGATGTTGATGAATAAATGGGATTTTTGTATATCCTATCACATAATTTGTTACAAAATATTCATTGCCAAATGAAGTAGCACACCGAAAAAAACTTTTATAAATGTAAGACATCATTTATAAATAGACCCTAATGATTATAAAGGTTTATCGAACTTATTGTTGATTTTTGTAACATTATTTTCATAAAATCATGAAATCACATGTTTTAAATTGTCGCATTTTAATTCGAATTTTGTTACTAAAGTTTGGGTTGGACTAGCTACCAGATTTTAAGCATTACTGTTCCTATCCTAGCAACCTAGTTTATGCTTTCAAATCTTAAAACATATCTTTATATTTAATCACTCACTGTTGTCCCTTAAATCGATTATATTGATCTGTTATGCTGTTCATAAAGTGCTCTTTAGAACTAAATATTTTAAGCATTGTCATCCATCCTTTAAGTGCGCCTTCATATGGAATACCCATGCTTTCCAAGTCATCATAAATTCCTTTAATTTTTCTATAAATAAGAAATCCGATAAATGTTGTGATCCACACTATTATCAAGGTTAAATCCATTGTTGTGCAATTTTTTGATGAATTTATTTTTGAAACCAAGTCTTGAAGAATAAAATTTATGTCCACTTAAATTAATTTGACATTTTGTTCTGAACTCTTTTTTCTGACTGATTAAATTGGTATCAAAAATATTTCTTTTACTCTCGCTCACCTTTAAGAGAGGTTTGGTGTTATTTTGAGTAAAAAGTCTTAAGTTTGTACTTGTGTGCTTATCTTATGATATAGAAAAGTTCTTCTGTATCTAAGGGGCATTTACAAATGATGTCTAGGAGCCAGAACAAGACAGAGTAAAATTTGTAAAACTTTGTCAAAAATTTTATTCATTTTTTTAAATTTCAATTTCTAAGCTTCAACTCGATAAAAATTTTCTCTTTTAATTCAAAGTTAGCAAAGTTTGGTGCTAGTTCAAACTTTTCAGGCGTCTTGTCACAAACTTCGAATGTAAATTTCCTCAAAAGATTGAAAATCAACAATTTAGCTTCCATTAATGCAAAACGGGATCCGATGCACACCTGTGGATGAGAAATATTTTAGGTTAGGTATGTCTGAAACAGACAAAAGGTTCACTAGTGATAGTCAACATCCTTAGCTACAACAACAAAACTTACCCTAGGTCCATATCCAAATGGAATATAAGATCCATCAACAATTGATCCCTTCCTCTCATCACTGAATCTTTCCGGATCAAACTTCTCAGGATCCTCAAAATATTTAGGATCATGTTGGATCGAATAGATTGGAAGTGACACGTCGTCTCCAGGCTTCATTTTGATTACTTTACCGTTATTTAATTTCAAATCGTAGTCACGGTTGCATCCTCTTGTTGTTGCAGATGCTGGTGGCCAGTATCTGAGAGCTTCACTAATAACCATATCTAGGTACTGCATCTTATGAAGGGTTTCATAGCTGATTGAAGCATCGCCAAGACTTGCAACAACTTCGTCAACTTCATCGATTAGTTTCTGCTGGACGTCCTTATTCTTAGCTAATGAGTAAGTCGTGACTTGAAGTAAAGTTTGTGTTGTATCATATCCTGCAAAGAAAAAGATGAATCCTTGTGCCATGTAGTGCTCATCAGTCCAGTTTGTCAACTTTGTGTTCTTTGCCTTCACATCGTACTCAATATTAGCTGAGAAATTTGACAATTCAGCTTCGTTGACTTCATTTTCTTTGTCTTGCACTTTAAGTTGACCTTTTTTAGCTTGCATGAGCAGCTGAATAACATCGGGACGGAAGGTTCCATTCTGTTCACGTTCCTTCATCACTTTGACAATTGCGTTATAGAAAAAGTCACGAATTTCTTTTGTGGTTAATTGAAACTTGAAAAACTTGTAAATATTTGCAAAGAAAAAGAATAAAAGGAATTTAAAGGTTGACCAAATGTCAACCGGCTGCATTCTTACTGATAACTTGTACAATTCACTATCTTCGTTCTCAACACAATCTCCTTTGAATCCCAAAACAGCTGAACAGATCCCGTCAACAGTAAATCTTGAGAAAGTTTCCTTAGAATTGATGACCAACTTTCCAGTTTCCTTGACTTTTTTCTCATAATGAACCATAAAGTCACTGGCACAGTCTGAAAGGATCCCAAACATCATTTTCATCTTACTGCTTGTAAATATTGGACTAAGTGTGTTCCTCATGTTGCGCCATTCATCGTCAACTAATGTGAATAGCATTTTGCCTTGCAAGCTATCAATATCCCCATTGAAGCTTTGATCGTGATTGACAAAAGAATCAAAATCCTTAATTGTGATTTGTTTGATTATTTCAGCATCACGTGCCATAAATGATCGCTGTGAGAGGTTGAATGCAGGAACGATCCTTGAAAAAATATTCTTATTGTCATTTTTAAACAACTAAAATTTAACTTTGATTCAGAACAGCAGGGGCTTATTCAGTATGTTCTATGACATTGGGATAAGGAATAGACCCTTAAGGATTTGACCTTCTTTAAAGCTACGATGAGTCCTTTACTTGTAAATTATTTCTGATGTAATCTTTGTAATCACAAAAAATGATAGAAGTACAGAACAAAAATTATCAAAAGAACCAAAAATCATCAACAAGAGCTTAGTTGTTGCTTCAACTTTATCAGCGTTTTTTATCATTCTTAAAGGCAAAGCCTAAAAGAAATGATATTGAAATATTTCATCACTTTTATCTCCTTTTGTAATGACAGACTAAAATCACCTAATGCAAGTGCTGATTCATGAAGACAATTCAATAAAATGACAAATTAAATTGAATAAATCAAGAACCTCCCACGTACCCCAATGTCACTAATTGAGCCACTGGCTAAAAGAAAGAACTACTGCTGATATCAATGTCGACTCAAGTTGAATCAGAATCGAGTAAAGATGAACTTTGACTTTTGGGAACTCGGATAAAGTGCCGGATAAATTACATCTAAGACTAAGAAGAAGGAGATTTTTTTGAAGATAATCCAAAAAGCGCGAGTTAAATCTAATGATGAGTAGAAAAGCTTACTTACTGCTGTCCTTTAAATTTCTTATATTGATCATCAATAAGGTAAAAGAAATGCCTCTTCATTAATAACAGCTCAATTATACCCCAGTAGCTATTAATTGCACCTTCATATGGAATTCCATAGCTTTCAAGCTCTTCATACACGATTTTGGCTCTTTTGTAAAGGAACCAACCAGCAATGATTAATATCCAAATTATTATCAATATGATGTCCATAATTGGTGAATAAATTGGAAGATGATGAGATCTTTTTCCAAGATATATTCTCACGAAGCTAGTCACTTTTATTAAATTGACAACTTGATCTGAGTAAACTTTGATCAAAACTGATTAGATTTACGCGAAAAGCGAGAAAAAAAATCATTTTCTTGCTCTTATTCTCAATAAATTTGAGAGTTTTGTTTCGTTGAAGAATTTTGAGTATGTGTTCTCAGGTTCTGTACTAGTATGCTAGATAAAGGACTTAAATATCAAGCAGAAGCTTAGCTTATAGCGGGTTAATTGTCCTTTTTGGATGCAAGAGTCTATAACCTTTTCAAGGAACAACTGTGCAGAATAAGAACTATTTGGAGTTCTGGAATGGTTGGGTTTATTTTTTGAAGACCGCTAGCTTTGAATTTAACCCTTTTTAACCTCGTAATCAACAAGTAATTGATTAGCAACCTTTATTACTTTTTATATTAAAATGCAAGCTTCTTGTGCTTTACTAAAAACTATAAAATTCTTTATTTCAATCCATAAAATTTCTTTACAAATTTTAAATTAATTTTTTTCCCTCAATTTCTCGACTTCAGTTCCACAACAACTGGCTGTTTCAAGTCAAAATTGGCAAAGCTTGGCTTTAAATCAAACTTTTCAGGCGTCTCGGCACAAACTTCGAATGTAAATTTCCTCAAAATGTTAAAAAGCAGCAACTTAGCTTCCATTAATGCAAAACGGGATCCGATGCAGACCTATGAATGATAAATAATTTAAGATTAAGCTACTTTCAGTTAAGTCATGTAGCTATTGTCTAGGCAAGTGATGAGAAGAGGCTTTGAACCCCATCGGACTCTAAAAAGCTTAATTACAATACCAAAACTCACCCTAGGACCAGATCCAAATGGAATATAAGATCCGTCAACAATTGATCCCTTCCTCTCATCACTGAACCTTTCAGGATCAAACTTTTCAGGATCCTCAAAGTATTTTGGGTCATGATGGATCGAGTAAATTGGGATATTCAAAATGTCACCGCTCCTTAACTTTAAAGTATTTCCATCACTTAATTTCAGATCATAATCTTTGCTGCATTCTCTATTGGTAAGTCCTGCTGGTGACCACATTCTGAGAGCTTCACAAATGACCATATCCAAGTACTTCATCTTATGGAGGGCTTCATATGTGACTTGACTTCCATCAAGAGCTGAAACGACTTCATCAACCTCATCGATTAGTTTCTGCTGGACATCCTTATTCTTAGCTAATGAGTATGTTGTGACTTGCAGCAAAATGTTGGTTGTGTCGAATCCAGCAGCAAAAAAGATGAATCCTTGAGCCATAAAATGCTCGTCTGTCCAATTTGTCAACTTTTTGTTCTTTGCCTTCACATCATACTCAATATTAGCTGAGAAATTTGACAATTCAGCTTCGTTGACTTCATGTTCCTTGTCCTGGATCTCAAGTTGACCTTTTTTGGCTTGCATGAGAAGCTGAATGACATCGGGACGAAAGATTCCATTCTGTTCACGTTCCTTCATCACTTTGACAATTGCATTGTAGAAGAAGTCATAAACTTCCTTTCTGGTTATTTGAAGCTTCATTAGGACGTAAAGTTTTCTAGCAAACATGAACAAAAGAATCTTGATTATTGTCATTGTGTCCACCTTTTGGATTCCTTTCGTGAATTTATAAAGTTCACTGTCTTCATTCTTGATACAGTCACCTTTGAATCCAAGAACAGCTGAGCAGATCCCATCAACTGTGAATCTCGAGAATGATTCTTTGCAGTTCATAATGACTTTTCCTGACTTTCTCATTTCCTCTTCGTTATGCTCGATAAAGTCATTCGTACAGTCTGAAAGAATCCCAAACATCATCTTCATTTTGCTGCTTGTGAATATTGGACTTAAGATGTTCCTCATGTTCCTCCATTTATCGTCAGTCAATGAAAACAGGATGTTGCCTTGCATTGTGTCCATGTCCTCATTAAAATTCTTGTCATGATTGACGAACACGTCAAAGTCTTTAATTGTGATTTTTTTGACAATTTCAGGATCCCGTACTAGAAATGATCTCTGTGAGAGGCTGAATACTGGAATGATACTGAAAAAAGTCATAGTAAATGATTAGACGTCATTTTTAGATGACTTAATACTCACGGCTGCCCTTTAAATCGATCATATTGGTCCATTATGGCATACAAGAAATTTTCTCTCATCAGAAAAATGTTGACAAAACCTTTGTAGCTTTCATAAGCACCTTCATATCGCATACCTAAGCTATCATACTCATCAAAAGCTTTTCTAAACTTCCTGTACACAAGCCATCCTAGGAAAATTGATATCCAAATTATTATTAGCATGAAGTCCATGTTTTTGATTGATTTTTCTTAGGATTTAATATTTTAAGAACTTTCTTAATAAAAACTGCTTCCACTTTTCTTAGTTTAATTCTTAAAACTGAGTTGAAATAAAATTCTCAAGTTGATTTATATGGAAAATTGATTCTCAACGCTCTCAAATATTAAATTCTTTTATCAATTTCATTCATGTGTAAGCCATGATTATAGAAATTGCTTGTGTAGTTGTTATGCTTCGAAGTAAGGTTTTATTGATAGACATCGGCATACGGTAGCTTTTACTCGGAGCAATCAAGGGGGTTTACTTAAATTTAGGGCCAGATGACCAATACATGTGTGTAAAAATTTGGGAAGTCACATGAACAATATGCCGTGTGCGTTTCGTTTGTTGTTTCCCGCCTAATTTTGCCATGGCACGAAAATGGTTGGCTACCACTGCTATAGTTGATTCAATTCTAGTAAGTATAGAATCCAACCTATTTAGGTTTTCAGAAGTTGAGCTTAATAAATAATCTAGTCAGTGGCGTTGCCAGAGTATCCTTCGTCGACTTCGAGCTCTGCATTTGATGATTCTTAATCGTTAGTTTTGCTCTGCTGCCTACAAAATGCACGAAACTGTTAATTTTTTTGTTGCAATTTTTAAAAGCTTTGCGATTCAATTAGATTAGAATCTGTTGTGCCATATTCTTTAGATTTACCGTTCATTGTAGAATCCATATCATTTGCAATCCTTCAAGTGATTCAAGACATTTGAAATAGCTTCTTAATGCGTTCAGTTCTAGTAGCCACCTGAGTTTAGTAATTCATTCTTTGTGCCTACTCAATTGAAGTTGTGTTCATGTAAACAACAAATTTATCACTTTTTGAACTAAATTTATTTTATTTTGTCAGAATTTCAAGTTGAAGGTCATTTATTGCGATATTCCCAGAGTATTCTGAAAATGATACGAGAGAAAAAATGAGTAACAAAATTAAAAGGTCGTATAAAATATTTTGTTTTCATTTGAGTTAATGGTTGGCACGATGAGTCAGTGGTAAAGAAATTTGAGTTGAGTTAAAAACCAAAGAACCATCGACATTAGAAAAATAAATTTAAAATTTGCGTCAAATGTTATGAAATTGAACACCAATTAGTAAACAATTTTTAGAAATCAATTGTAAGTTGCTAGAAAATTTTCATCAGTTTTGTTCAATTCTTCTTATCAGTTAAGAATTTAGCCATAATCTGCTTGATAAAATATTTTTTTCTAAGTGCCCAGTTGTCAATCTGCGATAATACATGCGATATAAACAAAATATTATGAAATTCTTGCTGTAAATGTGACTCACAGATGTTAAACATTAGGTTCTGTGCTAAAATCATGTGACTTGATTTGATATGGCTGAATGGGGTCTAGATTATATTATGCACTATTATATTAACCTGAAGCATCATTTTTGAGCATGCTGTCCATCAGTTTTTGTCAATTTTTAATCAAAAAGCGGGACATGTCACTTCTTCAGTTCTAAAACCGGTTAAAATAACAGACCAAATTTTCAAGCATTTTCCAAAAAAAAAATATGTTAAAAAATTCGGGAATAAGAATTTAAATTATACGAATCAATTCTGAAATTGTAATTGAAATACTTCCTTGAAGTTTTACCAATAACTTGATGTTTCGACAGGAACTGAACCAAAAATGAAGGGAATTACTGCATTACTAGGTTAAATATGAGCATATGGTCCAATATGGATGTAAAGGAATTAGCGGGACTGCATTGTTCCGTGGAACTGAGCCCCTTCTGGAAAAGTCATGAAACGTTAAGAAATGGAGAAAAAAATTTTTGGGTATGTCATATTGACTGGAACTGCCAAATATTTTTTTCTGCATTTTTCAACGTTTCATGACTTTTCCAGAAGAGGCTCATAACCGCCGAACTAAGCAGTTCCGCTAGTTCCGAAATTCTAGATTTGAAATATAATTTGAATTGAAATAAAATTTTATTTAAATTTTAATTAAAATTCTGAAATTTTTTCAATGCAATTTCTATTCTTGAATTTTAATTCACTAATCTTTTTCATTCATAAAAGAAACAATTTTTCTTAAAATAGACCCAAAAAAACTTTAAAAAAAGATTCCACACTGAGCAGTGTCGTCATTTTCACATTCTCAAATTGATAAACACAAATAAAAAGTGTGAGAGCGCCGGTTTTGAGCTCAACAAACTTGTTATAAATTGCACTTTTGTGAGAGGATTGACTCAGACTAAAGAGTAGACTTTGATGAAAAAGACGTATTTTTTTGTGAAATTCAGTTAATTTTTGTGGGCGGAGTGGAGTGCAAGACATCTTGAGTTTATGAAAGATTAAGTTTATTGTTGATAATAAAAAAAAAATAAAAACTCGTGCTGTTTATTAAGAATTTTCGATAAAAAAAATCAAGTTTAAGGCCAAGCGGTTATTATCTTGTGTAGAACTTAACATATTGCAAAAACTATAAATTCCTGACTATAAAAATGGATATTTTACTTATAATAATTTGGATCGTCATCTTCGTTGTTTGGTATTATTACGTAAAAATTAAAAGACGATACGATGAGTTCGATGGATATGGAATTCCATACGTTGGTCTGTTTGAAGGATGGAAGAACATGTTCAATCTTATCACATTAAAGGAAAGCTTCATCGATCTTATTGACAAAAATTACTTCAAACACAAGGATCAACAGTGAGTATTCATTTTTTCAGGGATATTATCTTAGACCAGTGGTGGACAACCTTTTTCATATCACGACAAATCCTGTTTGTAAGCCATTACAGAAACCGCATACTGCTTATGGCTCGTGGGATTTATCGAATTATTCTCACCACACAAAGGTTGGCCATCACTGTCTTAGTTCAAAAGTGTTTAGCTGATTGTCAGTAATTGATTAATCAGTTCCGCACAGTTGATTTTAATACAAAATTAAATTTAACCCAATTTTTTTCCAGAATCGTCCCAAGCTTCGATTTATCCCAACGAGCATTGATGCTCCGTGATGCAGAGCTAGTCAAGCAAATTACAATCAAAGACTTTGACTTCTTTGTTAATCATGACAGAAACTTTAATGAAGAAATTGACAAACTTATGGGAAAGATGCTTGTTGTCATGGTTGATGATGAGTGGCGCAACATGAGAAATGTCTTAAGTCCAATCTTCACGAGCAGTAAGATGAAGATGATGTTTGGGATCCTTTCAGATTGTGCAAGTGACTTTATTGAGCATTATGAAGAGAAAGCTAAGAATGGAGAAAAAGTCATCATCGACTGTAAAGAGACGTTTTCAAGGTTCACAGTCGATGGAATCTGCTCAGCAGTTCTTGGATTCAAGGGCGATTGCGTTAAGAATGAAAACAGTGAGCTCTTCAAATTCACAACAACTTTACAAACCCCAACATTTAAGGACAACATGAAGACTTTACTTTTTGCATTTGCTCGCAAACTTTATGTCTTATTGAAACTTCAGCTGACCAAAAAGGAAGTTTATGACTTTTTCTACAATGCAATTGTCAAAGTGATGAAGGAACGCGAGCAGAGTGGAATCTTCAGACCTGATGTGATTCAGCTTCTCATGCAAGCCAAAAAAGGTCAACTTGAGGTCCAGGACAAGGAACATGAAGTCAACGAAGCTGAATTGTCAAATTTTTCAGCTAATATTGAGTATGATGTGAAGGCAAAGAACACAAAGTTGACAAACTGGACTGATGAGCACTACATGGCACAAGGATTTATCTTCTTTGCTGCTGGATTCGACACAACTCAGCTATTGCTTCAAGTCACAAGTTTATGTTTAACAAGAAATAAAGAAGTGCAAGAAAAATTAATTGAAGAAGTTGACGAAGTCGTTGCAAGCCTTGATGAAGGTCAAGTCACGTATGAAGCATTGCATAAGATGAAGTACCTTGATATGGTCATTAGTGAAGCTTTAAGGTTCTGGCCTCCAGCAATATTGACAACCAGACAATGCGAACGTGATTATACATTGAAGCTTAATCATGGAAAGAATCTTAAGCTTGAGAAAGGTGATATGTTGACTATTCCAATCTATGCCATGCATCATGACCCAAAATACTTTGAGGATCCTGAGAAGTTTGATCCCGAAAGGTTTAGCGATGAAAGGAAGGGATCAATTGTTGATGGATCTTATGTGCCTTTTGGATATGGACCGAGGGTGAGTTGATTATGTTGTCGTGATGATTGATTTGCTTTAATGTAGCTACTTCAACAGTAGTCTTAACTGCTTGTTTCAAAAAGCATTTAAAAGAAGCTATTTTAAGCACTTCCTTCTTTTGGAACGTTCCTGAAAAATTGTATTTATATCTAGTATCTTACTAGACATCATGTCAAATGTTCCAATATGGTTCAAGTTATTCAATATGCTATATAAGCTGCTTATCAGTTTACAGACACTAAACCTAATTTTATTCTTATCCACAGGTCTGCATCGGATCCCGATTTGCATTAATGGAAGCAAAGTTGCTGCTTTTTAACATTCTAAGGAAATTTACATTCGAAGTTTGTGACAAGACACCTGAAAAGTTGGAAATGGCCAAGAAAATTGGACAATTTGTATTCGTGGATCCAGTCGTTGTTGAGTTGAAGCCAAGGAACTGATTTTTTATCCGACTGTAATTTTTGAATTTTCATTTATTTGTACTTAATGGTAATAATTTGGATAATGTTCAATAAAAATTTGTATGTACAAAAAACAAACTCTCAAAATTTTTTATTAACATGCTTTAAATCCTCTCCAACTCAAAATTGAGCAAATGAGAGACAAAAAATGTCAATTGCCGAGAATTCGCTCAGAACGCAATGTCGTTTTAACTTAATTGGACGTAATTGTGAGAATATTTGCTTGATGTGAGTTTTGTTTTTATTTTGGGATTAGTTTTATTAATTTTGTCAAATTAGAGACAGTGTCATTCAATTTGTTCAACTTTGTCTAGAATCTTATTTGATAAATTTCAATTTTTAAGAAAGATTTATTTCAAATAAATCTAAAATTTGTTATCTACAGACTCAAAACTACAATAAAATGAACATTTTGCTAATAATAATTTGGATTTTAATCGTCGCTGGATGGTTTTTGTACCTAAAAGTCAAAAAAGTCTATGAAGAGCTTGAAAGCCATGGAATTCCATACGAAGGTGCAATCAAAACCTACCTGAATTTAGCTAAAATTTTCACAATGAGGAAGCACTTTTCGTACATAATTGATGAACAGTATACGAAGTTTGAAGGACAACAGTAAGTATTTTGGCATGATTCTCGATCATTAGAGTACCAAAGGCCCTATTATGGCTTTTATTAAGGTTCAAATTTTAAAAACCAGATTGATTTTACCAAATTCTTTCAAAAGCAAAACCAAAAAATGTTGAAAAAAAGCAAATCATCCCCAGCAAAGATCGAACCTTACACCTCTCTTTTGCCGGTCAAGTGCCCAAACCAGGCGCATATCAAGGAGAGTCTTGTCCTCTTCCTAAGCGTTTTAGGCCGTGCTCTCGCTGCGGTTCAAAGCTTTTCAAAACATTTCCCAATATGCTATTGTGCCATTGGAACTGGCAATTTGCCAATATATGTAAACCACTCTTTTTTCTCTTCCAAAAGTCACTAAAATACAAATTCTTTTACAGAATCATTCCAACATTCAGCCTTACCACCCGCGGATTTATGATTCGCGATCCTAAACTTGTCAAACAAATAACAATTAAAGATTTTGACCATTTTGTCAATCGTGACAGCAATCTTAATCCAGACATGGACAAACTTATTGGTCGAGTAATATTTTCCCTAGCAGATGATGAATGGAGGAATATGAGGCACACACTAAGTCCAATGTTTACAAGCAGTAAGATGAAAATGATGTTTGGAATCATATCAGAATGTACAGATGACTTTATTCAGCATTATGAAGAGAAGGTCAAAAATTCAGACAAATTAATTATAGACTGTAAAGACTCGTACACGCGATTTACAGTCGATGGAATTTGTTCGGCAGTTTTGGGCATTAAAAGTGATTGCGTTAAGAATGAAGACAGTGAAATTTTTAAATTTTCTAAGCTGGTTTTGGACTTTGGGTTTTGGTTCATTTTTAAATTCTTCCTGCACATGCTTGCTCGTCGAATTTACGTCTTTTTTGGATTTCAATTCATCAGAAAAGAAGTTTCCGACTTCTTCTACAATGCAATCGTCAAAGTGATGAAGGAACGTGAGCAGAATGGAATCTTCCGTCCCGATGTCATTCAGCTGCTCATGCAAGCCAAAAAGGGTCAACTTAAAGTGCAAGACAAGGAAAATGAAGTCAACGATGCTGAATTGTCGAACTTCTCAGCTAATATTGAGTATGATGTGAATGCAAAGAACAAGAAAATGACTCATTGGACTGATGAGCATTACATGGCACAAGGATTTATCTTTTTCTTAGCTGGATTGGAAACTACGAATGTATTGCTGCAAGTGACAACTTTTTACTTAGCTAAGAATAAGGATGTCCAGCAAAAGTTGATTAAAGAAGTTGATGAAGTAGTTGCAAGCCTTGAAGGAGATCAAGTCACATATGAAGCACTCCACAAGATGAAGTACTTTGATATGGTTATCTGTGAGGCACTTAGAATCAGTGCTCCAGCTGAACATGCAACAAGAGAATGTGGTAAGGATTATAACCTTAAATTAGATAATGGGAAGACTATTAAGATGAAGAAAGGAGATATGCTAGCTATTCCGATTCGAGCTATTCATCATGATGAGAAATACTTTGAGGATTCTGAGAAGTTTGATCCTGAAAGGTTCAGTGATGAGAGGAAGGGATCAATTGTTGATGGATCTTATATTCCATTTGGATTTGGTCCTAGGGTGAGTTTTGGTGTTGTAATTTAGCTTTTTAGAGTCCAATGGGGTTCAAAGCCTCTTCACATCACTAGGCTACATGATTTAACTGATTGTAGCTTTACCTTAAATTATTTATCATCCACAGGTCTGCATCGGATCCCGTTTTGCATTAGTTGAAGCCAAATTGCTGCTTTTTAATATTTTGAGGAAATTTACATTTGATGTTTGTGACAAGACACCTGAAAAGTTCGAATTCAAACCAATTATGCGACATTTTGAGCTTAAACATTTGATTTATGTTGAGTTGAAATTGAGAAATTAATTTGAAAATGTTTTATGAATATTGAGTGTCTATTTGTGTATTTAATCAATGAGCCGAACACTGTTTGAGCGCTTAGACCTTCTCTGTCTTACGACTGCATTAAAATAAAATCATTTTGTTATTGTTTTCATATTTTTATTAATTTTTTAACATTTATTATTTGAATAGTACATTAGTTTATTCCGGATGATCACGTTTCTTATGATTTCTGAGTGAATCTCTCTTTGCATAACTTCTATTGCATATCTCACAACTAAAAGCCTTAATTCCTGTATGAACATGCATATGCTGTTGAAACAAGAACAGCTTTGAGAATCCTTTACCGCAAACCTAGTAAACATGATTAAAAAACGTTAAAAAATTATCAAAATTATTAAGAAAACTTCAACTTACAGCACAAGTATGAGCCTTCTTCTCTTTATGAATAATAATATGTGACTGATAAGCCTTCAAATTAGGACAAACTTTAGCACAAATTTCACATAATCTTGGCGCTTCCTTCTTTTCCCTCTGATGTTCCTTAACATGCTCCAACAAATCCAAATGCGACTGAAACTTTTCATTACAATGCGTACATCTATAAACACAATCACGCTTGACAATTCTCTGATGTGCTGACTCCATATGAGCCTCAAGATCAAACTGATGATTGTATTCCTTAGCACAGACTTCACACATGTACTTCTCTTTTGGTCGATGCGATGACATGTGATTGTAGAGAGACTTTTTATTAAGGAACGTTTTTCCACATTCTTTACAGTTGCTTTGCTCGTTGTGACAGATGCGCGACTTCATGTGATCAGTTAAGGCTTCAAAATTTGTGAATTTTTCACGACATTTTGCACATGAGAAGGCGATTGGAGCTTCGATGATGATTTCTTTGCAGTCAAATGATGTCTGGAATTGACAGTTTAATGGAAAATATAATAATAAAGGTTTTAAAGCTATCAACTTATGACTACAAATCTATTGCTTTAATTGAACAATCTATCTAACTTCAATAATTCTAATCAAAGTTCAATCTGGTACTTAAGGATGACAATCTAGTACTTAGAGATGACAATCTAGTACTTAAATATGACAATCTAGTACTTAAAGATAACGATCGTGTACTTAAAGGTGCCAATCTAGTAATTAAGGACGACCATCTAGTACATAAAGATAACAATCTAGTACTTAAAGGTGGCAATTTATTACTTAATGATGACAATCTGGTACTAAAGGATGAAAATCTAGTACCTAAAATTTTTGTTCTAGTATTTAAGTTTGGCAATCTAGTACTTCAATTTGTCAATCTGTCAGGTTTAAAAATCTAGTATTTAAACTAAAAAATAAATTTTCTAAAAGTTAATTTAACTCCTTACATTATTAGTGCTCTTTTCCTTTGGTGTAGCTACAGCTTTCTTCTTCTTGGCACTTCCACTGGCTCTGGCCTTACTGATGTTTCTAGTTCCTTTCTTTTTCTTTGACGCTGGTTCATAATTGTCATCTGACAAATCTTCATCATCCTCTAAAAATTCCTCGTCATCTTCACTTTCTGGCTTTTCTACATGAAATTCTTCATCCGAAGATCCATCGACATCATATACCTCGTCATTATCTTCATGCAGTTCCTCCAACTCCTCAAGTAAGTCTTCATGTTTTGTTTGTTTTGGTTCAATTGTCTGGTTAATTGCACTGACCTTCTTGATACTTATTGTTCCTACTTTTTGGACTTTTTCTAGTGCTTCACTTGTTGATAAGGATTTTGTGCTTACGATCTTTAAGCTTGATTGAGTCTTTCTTGATGATCTCGTTCCTTTAAATTTAATCTGAACTTCTAAAATTTTCTGAATAAAATCGAATGAAATTTTTGCTTTTCCATAACACAACTGACAAACACTCGATGGATATTGTGGCTCTGCTGTAATGCTAATTTCTGGAACATATTCGATGAATTTCTTTACAATTTCATCAGATATCGATGATATTAGCTTTGTTGTGGATGAATAGCAAAATCTACAATTATTTGCTGACATTTTTAATGACAAATTCTAAATTTAATTTCAATGTTTACGTTTTTTGACTAAAAGTCGGTTTCAAAATGCGAAATAAGAGAGAAGTAAAGTTGTGGTCGTGCTCGGAGAGAGAAGTTTGTGTACGTGCAGAAATCAGGTAAAGTTGAGTGTCGAAAAGTTTCTTTGATGGGCGGGAAACTTTAAAAATAGAAATAATAAAATAATAAATAGTTTTTAAAAACTAAAGTTTCTGAATTTAGATAATTTGACTTTGTAACTTCAGAAATTTAACTTATTTGAAGAAGTTATTACTACATTAGATTTTTTTTTGACAGTGGAGCAAAGTTTCACTGTAAGTGTGTATTACCATTTTGAATAATTGATTAGGTTTTGCTTCGATTATCCAATAAGTTTAGTTTCGATTATCCGACTAGGTTTGGTTCAATTATCCGACTAGGTTTACCTTCGATTATCCGACAAAGTTGAGCTTCGATTATTAGGCTAGGTTCAGCTTCGATTATACGACTAGTTTTTAGTTCAATTATTCGACTAGTTTTAGCTTCGATTATCCGACTAGATTTATGTTCGATTATCCGACTAGGTTTATCTTCGATTATCCGTCTAGGTTCAGCTTCGATTATTCGGGTAGGTTCAACATCGATTATCCGACTAGATTTATGTTCGATTATCCGACTAGGTTTATCTTCGATTATCCGTCTAGGTTCAGCTTCGATTATCTGACTAAGTATATCTTCGATTATCCGTCTAGGTTCAGCTTCGATTATCTGACTAGATTTAACATTAACTTTAAATATTTATCAATAATTCAAAACTTTTAATTGACAATAAAAACTGTAAACTCTTCAAAAAAATTAACACGCAATAAATCCAGCAGCATTTCCACATGATCTCAACAATCTCATTCCAACCGTCAATTTAAATCCATAAAACCAAATGAAAACAGTCATCGACACGACCACATTGAAAGAATTTCCATCGACACAAACACAAAGAAAGTGCCAAAGGGGTCAACAGCAAACGACGAATCTTCACTATTTTAAACAGGGGTATTCGGATGTAAGTAATTCGTAGTGTCACAAATTTTTTTCTCAATTTTCGTCATTTCTTGTGAATAATAAGCATTGATTTATCATAATTTACCAAAACTAGTCATAAGTACATCACAAAAGTCTCGAGTTCGGGCGAAAATTATCGAATTGCAAGGTGAAAATTAGGAAAATAAGTGGAAGTGAAAAAAGTGTGCGACGCCATGTTGATTTTGATGAAAATTTTCCGAATTTTGTAATAAATCGCCGATGATCTAATATGTGACGTGTGACAATGCTCATAATTGTTTGCATCCAAGCTGCACTCGTTAAATTATGAATGAAAATGTGACGGAAAAATTCGTCAAAGTGTAAAAATTGTGAGAAAAAGATTTACATCGAGTGCAGTTGTGAACGTCATTTTTAGTGAATTTTCGGCAAATTTTCAATCAAATCGAGCTAAAACTCACAAAAGTTTAACAAATTCCATCAAAAAAGTGCAAAAATTTCTCAAAAATGTGCAAAATATTGAAAATTTAAGCAAAATTTCTTTGTTTTTGTTGAAAAAAATGTGCCCGATTCATGGATTTATTTTTTCCAGCTGACACATTCAATTGTGGATGAGATTCACATGACATGCCGTCAGTGATGGAATCAAAAATGCAAAAAAATAAACTTTTTTTTCTGTATTAATCCACGATCAGCATGGCAAAAAAAAATTTTTTTTTCTCTCTATTTTATTTGTGAATGTGTAAAATATAATTTGAATGAACAAGAAATCTGTGCATGTGTAGGACATAGAATCATATGTGTCTTATGTAGTATCGTGAGGTGATTTTGTCAGGTTTTTGAAGATTTTGGATATGAATTGTGGAGCTGATGAGGATATGTTTTGGTATTTTTTACAATGTTTTGAGGTACTGCTGGCATTGATGTTGATTAGGGTGTCATAGCTAGCATGTTAAGTATGAAATTGTGTATTTAATTGACTGAGCTTATCATCCTTTTGTGGATCCTGTTTTGGGAAATTCCTTATAGATCACTAGTATCTAATTGCTGACTTTAATCTCATTTTTTTTTTGACAATTTATAAAAAAATTGTTTACCGATTTTTTAATTTTCTTAAAATTTTCTGTTTTGTGATTTTTTTTATCATGTTCATTGATCAACTTCTGATTGTATTGTTAGCACGCTTTAAATACTATTAAGAAGTCAACCTCAAATCTGATTCTTGTTCTCACAAATAAGTGAGCTTCAAATTATTTTCCTAGAGCCTAGACATTTACTCAATCAGCTTCAAAGCTGAATTATCCTATATAGAATCAGTAAGTTGTCAAGCTAAGAGCTTGAGATAGCGCTTTCATAGCTTCATGCTTTATTGTTCTTAATTATCTGCCAGTTAAGCTGGTTTTGGAAGCTTTAATCTCATAATACCAAATTTGCTCGACTAGATATTACTAATTGCATCTCTTGCATACTAAGCGCATGCTACTCTATTAAAAACCAGAAATTGATGATGATGAAGATGTCCTTTGAAAAGTGAAGCCTTTGAATCTAACACGATTGCTAGCTAAAGCCATCTGTTGAGTTAATAACCCTGCTGAGCCGCTTCTTTACAAATAGACGAATGCCAAATGTCAAATTATTTCGCACAAAATTCCCCAAAGGATATCCATTTCACATCTTCCGTCCACATTCTCATTTCGCGAAAGTTTTGTTTTCCTTTCTTTTTATGACTTTTGCTTTTAATTTAATATGCAAAAATTTCTTGCGTATTTTCTGAAATAATTTTCGCACAAAGTCACTGCAAGAAGTAAAAAATGCGGGACATAAGATTGATAAGATGATGCAGAATGACAATTATTGAAGAGATACTTCAAATCAGGAGCAACAATATTGCAAGATATAATTTTGGAATGAAAGAATTTTTGAATGTCATTTTTGTAAGATTGAAAAGATAATTTATAATTTTTTGAATGCAAAACTTTAAAAAAATATTACTTTAAATCAGTGGTGGACAACCTTTTTAATGCTACGGCACACTTGATGGTAAGCAAAGACCAAAACCGCAAACAGCATGCAGCTCGTAAAATATCCCAATTTTTTTTTCAAAGCTCATTGGTGTGCCACGGCACATGGGTTGGACATCACTGCCCTAAATTGCTCATTGTCACCGCAAAAAAAATAATATTTTTTTTAATTTCCGCAAATAAATTTCTCAATTTAATTCATTTTTAAACTTTACAATCGTGTTCGGTGTTGACAATTTTTTTGATAATAATTTTTATGATAGTAGGCTGCAATTGTATTAATGTCACATTATATAAAATTGATATCAATGAAATTATTTGAAACTTAATGACTTTGATGTTATTATTATCGCAGTTAATGATTTTTGTGGGAAAATTTATTGAATTGTCAATTTTTTTGTTTATGAATTTTGAATATTTAAATTTTTTTAATTTAGAAATTTTTCCAATAATTACGTTAAGATTTAAAATTTTTGAAATTTTAACTTTTTGATTTGAAATCATACGGCCGATTTCACCAAGGTGGATAATCCTCATTTTCGGATTATCTATTTCTTTGATATGAGAAAAATCCAAATAATTTTTTTCTGATGTAGAATTACTTGTTCAGTAATGATCAAACGAGTTTGAGAAAAAATCTTTTTATTGTAAAGTGAATATAGCGAAAAAATAATTTTAGTATATGGATTATCCTAGGATAATCCTGAAGATTATCCCAATTTTCAATCTTGGGGGGACCCAGTTTTAACATTTTGGATTAATTATGTGGATAATCCTAGGATAATCTTTTTTTGTGAAATCCATTGTCAAAAAATTATTTTTTTCAAATCCATTTTTTCTGATTCACCGTACAATTTTAATTTTAATTTATTTTTAATATTTTTTTTCAAAATTTCTCAACTAATAAAAAGAAACTCAACTTTAATAAATCATCTCAAAATCCACTTTTATTCCCTTTAAAACTTGCTAATCAGGTCATCATCACCACACACTTCTCACATTTGTTCTTCCTCAATCCTCTTAATCTTCTTGTTCGATTCCACTTAATTCCTTCAATCATTACTTCATCATATTGCTCATAAATATCACTTAGTTTTCTCAAATGTTAAGGTCAATTGGTTTGTTTCATGTGTGAATAGATTTGTATGATAATTAGGATGATGCTTTGGAGTGACTTTTCTCGAGTGTTTTTGTGTATGGCTGTCTTGTGTCTACAGTTCTGTAGCCGGTATGATTGAGTTTGTATGAAAAGTCAGAATCTTTATAAACTATGCATGTCAATATTATTGTTACCTCTTGCACATGCTTTTTGTACTTTAAGGGATTTTGGTAGTCAATCCTATGAATATTCTCAAGAATACCCAAGGTACCGACTCTGCTGTCAATAGAAAACAAATTATTGACAATACAATGTTAAACACAATTAAATTCGATTGAAAAAATAATGAAAATTGAGAAAAATATTATAAACATTTAAACTAAGTCAAATTCTCATAACTTTTGACCAATCAGTCATCACACATTAACTTATCAACTTTTTTCCCATTCTTTATACTTTTAGGAAAATTCATCACAAAAAGTTTAAAAAAAATTCATTAAAAACGTTTTTTGTTGAAGAAAGTTCTTTAGATTAAAGACAATCGTCGCAATTTGAAGGTCAGGCTACATAAAAGAAGATTAATTAAACAATTGACGTGTGTGTGCAGAAGAAGAAAAGAAGCTATTCGTAACTGAAAGAGGTGAGAAAATTGAAATTTGATATGAAAAGAAGGAACATTTTGACCAGAATTAATGAGCTATTGCTTGTGGGTTTTTTTTTGATAGCTGGATGCTGCCAGAATTTTACTGTTATGGCTGCATTCTGTTATCACCTTGCTTTCATAGCTGAATTCTTTCAAAACAACGCTTGCATGTCTAATTTCTGTCAGAATGTTTTTATTATGGCTAAGTTGAGCCAGAATCTTTTTATTATGGCTGAGTTGAGACACAATCAAGTTATTGTGACTGAGTTGAGCCAGAATCTAGTTATTAAGGCTAAGTTGAGCCAGAATCTTTTTATTATGGCTGAGTTGAGCCAGAATCTAGTTTTTATTGCTGAGTTGAGACACAATCAAGTTATTGTGACTGAGTTGAGCCAAAATCTAGTTATTAAGGCTAAGTTGAGCCAGAATCTTTTTATTATGGCTGAGTTGAGCCAGAATCTAGTGTTTATGGCTGAGTCGAGACACAATCAAGTTATTATGACTGAGTAGAGCCAGAATCTAGTTCTTGTGGCTGAGTTTGTTACGGCTGATTTAAAACTGCAAAAACTAATGTTAAAATCTATCTCATTTAATTTTAGCGTCTTTTTGGTCAAAAATAATCGTTTGATAAAATTCAAATCTAAAAAAATCCAGTTAAAAAAACTCACAGAAACTAATAATGACGGAATCAATTAAATTCGGTCCAGAATGGCTTCGCAATAGCGTTGCCAATGTTATAACACCACCGCAACAGCAAAATCAACAGCATCAACAGCCACAATCACCATCTTCGGATAGTATCATAAGTCGTCCCGTACTATCCGATCATCGTTATGGGCGCGAAGAAATGTTGAGTCTGTGCGATAAAACGGCACGTTTGCCTGAAGCTCTGCCAAGATTTCGACGTCTATTCGTTGCTGATTGGCAAATGCCTTTAGCATTACAGCCAAATAATGATGATGAACAGATTGGATCACGTGGACTGGGCGGAACGGGTACACCACCATGGGGTGGTACTCACATTCGTCCTTTGATGCCAGCAATGGGTGGTCGTGGGACAGGGATCATACGAGGTGGTGCTATAGAAAGAGGACGTGGTAGAGGACGAGGTCTATATCATGGCACTGGCTACACACGATCAACGTCACTTTACGATGAGGAGGGAAGACGATGGTTAGATCGTAATGGTACGGAAGGTACGACTGAATGGAGTGGTGGTAATGCTGTAAGTCCTCGTAAGGAAGGATTCTCAAGGAATTCTCTTGAGAGTTGGAGGAAAGGAACGAGAGAGGAGAATGAAGAAGGTTGGAGGAGTAATAGTAATGGAACTACGGCATCGACTGGACAACCGGCACGGGATAAATGGAGTAAGTATTTAAAAAGTGCTCTAGACACTCTTAATTAAAAGTGATTTTCTTACTTACAATAATAAAATTTTCTAGCACGATCAACTAGCTGGCGAGACGGAACAAACGACAATGGTCTATCAAATGATATTGATCGAGCGAATGGTCCGTCGCAACCATCAAATCATCAAAATTCATCGTCACCAAACAGCGGTGAGAGTGGGGGTGGTGGAAATGGAACAATGGTCAATTCTTCAATGGCTCCAACAAAACCGCAAGCGTCTTACAAAAAGTCATGGGATGATGACAGTAATCTACCGGAGTGGGCAACAGAATCCTTTGATTATGGCGGGACGTTTGACGCGACAGGTGCATTTCATGATAGTGAGCGGGTTAGTCATGAGGACGATAAAATCAACGAGAATATACAGAAGGCTATTAACATGAAAAAGCAACAACAGTTGCAACAACAGCAATTGCAACAACAACAATTACAGCAACAGCAACTACAACAGCAGCAACTAGTTGAACCACCAGCGATAGAAGAACCGACCAAACTAGAGGAGTCGCCTCCACCGCCATCGAAATTTATGGACTTCCTAAAAGAAGAGTCAACGAAACTGAAGGACGAAATTCAAATTGTAGCACCCGAACCGTCATCATTACCACCACCATCAATTCCAAGTAATAATAGCAATCCTTCGTCAGCGCCTATCGCTCAAATGGACAAAATGGTTGAAAACTTTGTGGCACATTTAATTATGGACGATGATACGAGTAGTGGAAGTGCAGCTGTAAAACAGCCGCTTGCACCACAAATTGAATGGTTTTATCGTGATCCGCAGGGTGATACTCAAGGTCCATTTTCATCGAATGATATGTCTGAATGGTACAAAGCTGGCTACTTCCAGGAATCACTTATGGTAAGACGATCTCTTGACACAACATTCGTGCCACTAGGACATCTTGTAAAAATTTTCGGTGTGTCAAGGCCATTCATATCAGCATCACTTGATGGCGGTCCACCAATTCCACCTGTCATTCATCCCGAAATTATTGATCCATTTAGGATGCAACGGATGATGACACAACCGACACCTCCATTGCCAACTCCACAACCGACACCCGATGTAAATAATTGGAGTATGATGACAACCGAACAGCGAATGTTTCTCATGCAATTGGCCCATCAGCGACCTCCACAAGCGCCACAAATTGATCCATTTAATGTTATGAAGCCACCACCTCAGCCACAAGCACCACCACAACAACCGCAACAATCACAACAGCAACAGTCAACGCCTTTAGATTTGAGACGTTTGATGAGCGGAAATGATTTCTTTCAAACAACAGCACCGCCACCCGTAGTGCCACAAACGACACAAAATGAACCCGATCCTATACAGCAACTGATTATGCAATTGCAAATGCAACAAAAGACTGGCGGCGATGCCGCACAACAATGGATTAAATCATCACAACAGCAACAACAACAACAGCAGCAGCAACAGAATCAATCACAACAACCAAATGTCATGATGTCTGGAGTGAATAATGGTAATGGTTCGTTAGATTTGAGCTCACTGACTGCCATGCAAGGCGGACAATCTTCAGTTGGAAGTCAGCAGCAAGTGAATCAACAAGGACCGTCGAGTGTTGGGAATTCGGTTAGTATTGAGGTCTTACGCTAATCAGTTTTAGGTTCTAATTATGAATTAATTCTTTAGATGGTCCAGAACACGTCGTCAACCCATTGGAATGCAACGCCACTTCCCATTTGGGAGATGACAGGTTCAGCTCAAAAGGAACAAAATCAGCAGTCACTTCAACAACAACAAACGTTGCAAGAAATTCAGCAACAAATGCGTCAACATCAACAACATCAGCAACAACATCATCTCCAACAACAGCAACAACTTCAACAACAGCATCAAAATCAATCGGAACCTGATATTTTACAAAATGGTCTCATGGACGATCCATCGAATCAAATGCAAATGCAAAAAGTGGAGTCAAAGAAGAAGAAAAAGGAATCGCTCACTGGAAAGGAGCATCAACAGCAGCTGCTTCAACAATTGCAGAATGCACAATTAAAGGAGCAACAGGCAAAAGAGAAGCAGAAGCAAAAGGATGCAGAAAAGCAAAAGAAAGCAAATGAGAAGCAAAAGAAGGAAGAAAAAACAACTCAGCCAGCAGCACCGGCTCCATGGGTTGGTATGCAAAATATTAGTGGAACAAGTCTCTCAAAGATTCAAAAGACCGAAGCTCAACGCCGTCAGCATGAAATTGCAGCCCAAAAAGAGCGTGAACATCAGAAAATCGAAATTTTATCAAAAATGGAAATTCGCGATGTCAAGTGGAACTTGCAAATGCCGCCGGCGGCACAGGTTAAGTCACTCGACGAAATTCAAGCTGAGGAACAAAATGCTTTAGTACGCGAAGCAGCAATCGCGAAACGTGAAAAGAAGGAAATTGTTCAGGTTGTTGGGGATATTTGGAATTCAGGTGCTCACTCGATGGCCTGGCAACAGCCAAAGACATGGAGCGGTGCACAAAGCAATGCTGGATTCTGGGAGGAACCAACAAAACCAGCTGTAGTCCCTATGAAACAGCCACAAATGCTCAGCAAAAGTCAAACAATGGCGACAATAACTACTGCTAAAAAGCAACAGCAACAGCAGCAACAACAAATGATTCAACAACCACAACAACAACAGCAAATGATGCAGCAGCAGCAACAGCAACAACAACAAAAGAAAATTGAAAGAAATGATAAAAGGACTGTTAAGGTTGAGAAGAAGAAGGATGATAATAATAATGAATTCACTATGTGGTGTACACGTACGTTGAGTGCTATGAATGGAAATGTTGATGGTAAGTTGACTAGATCTTTGGGACTTTTGGATTTAATATTGAGTAAAGAATGGTTTCGACTAGGAATTGACAATTGGTATTGCCTAAAAGCAGGTCTTTAGGATCTATAGGAACTTTTGGAATGAGCGGGGCTTCAATCTACCCGAATGGCACAGGTCGATCAAAAATCCGGTACCAAGCCGGTGTGACTCTGGCATGGCGTTAGATTTAAATCGAAGCTAGAGTCATGTCAGCTTTGTGCCGGATTCTAATTCTTTTAACAGACTTGTGCTGTTCGGGCTATTGAATAAGATCGATTTTAGACTATGGAATGGTTTACAGGTTGGTCTAGTGCATGACATATGAAAACCTATAGAATACTAGGGAGACTATATCCCGAGCAAAACTTTAAGATAAACCTAGTCTAGATCATAAACACTTATTTTATTTATACAACTCTTTTTTATCAATTTTCTCATTTACTCCCTTTAGTTCCAACATTTGTGAGCTTCCTTCAAGATATTGAATCGCCATTTGAAGTAAAGGATTACATCAAAATGTACTTAGGTGAGTCTTTAGCAGTCGATTCTCAAATCCAATCTTTATTAACAATCCATAATTCTTTTTAGGTGAAGCTAAAGAATGTTCAGAATTTGCAAAACAATTTCTCGAGCGCCGCAGCAAGCAACGCATGCAACAACGTCTGCAAAATGCTCATATCGATGACATGTGCAGCCCAGCTCCGGCTATCAATCCTCAGGCCAACAATGACTTCCAAGAAGTCAAAGTAAGTAGACGATGGCGTTAGACAGACAAAATAGAACAAAAAAAAATTAGCTGTTGAAAGATTTGTTGAAGAAGGGTAATGGGGGAGAGGGGGGGGGGGGAAAGGATTGGGAGTAAAAAATTTGTGAAAAGAGCTAAGTTTGGGTAGATGTCTCGATTGCATCATAAGATTGAGGAAAAGATTGAAATTTTGGCTATTATAGCTTTTGTAGGTTCCAAATATTGTAAAAGAGGGGTCATTCAGAGGGGTCAATATGTTTCTTTGGGGACAGGGGAACTAGAAGAAGCTACAGAAATAAAACATGAGAAAAGTTAAAAATTTAAAAATGGAAAAGATGGATTAGCTGAACAATGAGACTGAAATATGTTGTGAGGGGGCGAAAATGTGGTAATATACTAGGAAGGGGGGAGGGTAGGGGGGGGGAAGTTAAAAATTAAAAATAATCGAAACTGATACTTAAATGAAGATTGAAGAGATTTTGAAGAAGAATAGTAATAAATGCAGCAAAAAATATTTAAAAGGGTCTGAAACTACGCATAAAAGGGGTCTAAAACTACGAAAACATTGTCTGACCACGGATTGATTCGCTGATATTACAAAACATAACTAAACTAATTGAATATCCATAGAAATTAAGCTTAGAATTGTATACTATCTGTTCAAATGAGTTGTGACTCATAAAATGATTGAATTTGGCGGGAATTCAGATAAACCACCAAAATTCGGTCAGTTTTATGAGCCACAACTGTTCAAAAGCTTTCTAACTTTTACGGCAGAACAAACAAAAAAAAATTCATTTTCATTCATTAAAAAAAATTCTCTGCATGAAAAATAATTGCATTTATCCCAATTAAAGACACATGATTAGCATAAGTCTTAGAGAATGTGCATCTAACAGAGCTAAAACAAATTTACCTCCCCACTCTCATTTTTGTCAATCAAATTTGCCTCACTTTTCATCAAACAAAAAAAAACTTCTCTTCTTCTCATTTTAGGGCAAGAACAAGAAAGTAAAGTCGAAGAAAGTTATGAAAGCTGTTGACAATCGTATCTTGGGCTTCACAGCAACAAGTGCACCCGACCGAATCAACGTCGGTGATCGTGATTATGGTGATGTCTAAAAATCATCTTGTCAAATTTCTTTTTTTTTGCCTAGCAAAATTCTCAAAAAAGAAAAGTTTTTTTATTTGAGAATTTTTTGTTTTTGAAAAAAAAAAATATTTTAAAAAAATATTCACGATTATTACAAAAGAAAAACTTATTAAATTGCAATTCAATTTTTATAAACAGATTCTAAAAAATTTTATATCAAATCGAGTTGCAAAAGTGCTGCACTTTTTTGTTGTGTTGTTTAATGATAAAATTTTTCATTTTTTTCTTTCTTCAATTTGAGGAAATTTTTATGAATTTTTTTGTGTTATTTTTGAGTAATTTTTTATTTGCAATTGCTGCCCATAATAAAAACACGTTGTTGACATCAAAAAGTGAGGAAATTCTGATTTTTTAACCATCCTAAATAGCTACTGTTGTGAGATTTAATTGGAATAAAAGACGATTAAGCAAGAATAGTTGATGAAAATGTAATTGAAGGAAATTTGGAGGATTTTCAGGGGAAATTGAATTTTTTTTGAGGTTATGTTTTTTTTGAAATTTAAATTGAATTCAAAATTTTAAACACAATTTGAAGTTTTTCATAAAACTGGAGAGATTTAATATCTCACAATTAAGTTGAGGTAAGGTTCGAAAAATTTAAGGTTAGGCTTAAAATTTTAAGGTTATAATTCAAACTATTGATGTATTTTCTCTAAAATTTCGAGGTTATAACAAACTTAAGCATATTATTTTCAATATAATTGAGGTTAAGTACTAGGTTTTGAGGTTATAATATCCCAAATCGACTAAAGCAATTCAACAGCTTTCTGCCTTAATTCTTCTTATAGTTGCTATATTTGAGGGGTTTGATGATATAAATGAGAAGAAGTAAGGTTGTATTCCCAAAATTGAGGTTATGTCTGCATCCATATGAGTTGATGAAACAAGACTTGAGTTTACGATTTCATAAGTTTAAATATCTTATTTTTGAGTTTAATCAAGAATGATTTAGGTGAAATCGGAAGAGTGAGGTTAGAATTCAAAAAGTGGGGTTATTTGAGACAATTGAGTGTTCTAGAAGGTCCTGAAAATCAAATATTAGATCAGTAACCTTAATAAGCATTAGAATTTTAATAAAATTATAAATTGATTTTATAACCTCAAATATTTTGAACTTAACCTCACACAGTATAAACTCAAAGTTTCAATTTTTCTCCTCAAAAATGAAATTTTAACCTCAAAACTTAAATTCGAACCTTAAAATTGAGACTCTAGCCTAAAATTCCAACATTTTAACCTCAAAATTTCATTTAAAATCTATAAAAAATGTTCCAAAATCCTCCAAAATTCCAACCCTTAAAATTCAAATGAATTACGAAAAAAATCTTGAGCAAAAATTATAATCTATGAGAAAAAAACTATGAAAAAAACTATGAAAAACTCTATTATGAAAAATCTAAAGGATATTTTTGACGAAATTATGAAGAAAAACATGAAGTTAAACATGAAATAAAATGAATTAAATGAGATGAAAAAAATAATTGTGGTGAATTAACAATCTGAAAAACTACTGAGAGAAAAGAAAATAAATAAATAAAAGAAGAACTTGAATATTGAAAAATTTATGAGAACAATAAAGAAATGAAAAAAAAATATGAAATGAAAATTTAAAAATGTGTTTTTAATTCTTTTTAATTGATTTTTCAGGTTATGTTAAGGTAAAGTTGACAAATTTAAAAGTTAAGTCAATTAAATTTGTTCGGAGGTAGTCAAATTTGAGGTTAGGTTAACAAAAGTTATAGTAAAAACATTATTTTTGAGGTTTACATCTCAATTTTAGAGGTTAACATCTCAATTTTTGAGGTTAACATCTCAATTTTTGAGGTTCAGATTTCAATTTTTGTGTTAGGTAGGGTGACCATCTGCGTAGTTTTACAACGGACAGTCCTGTATTTCAAAACCCTGTCCTGTATAAATTTGAAAACTTTGTTCCAGATCCTGTATTTTTTTCACGAAAATTTCCGTTAATTTTCGAATTTTACTCTATGTCCTGTATTTTTCGAAAAAATTTACCAAAAGTCCTGTATTTTCATGAAAATTAGATGGTAACCCTAGTGTTAGGTTAGGTTTGGATCTCAGTTTTAGGTTATGTCATCATTTCTCGACGTTACGTAATTCAAATTTCTAATTTTCTGGTTTAAAACAATTTAAAACTTTTCAAAAAAAATTCTTTTATTCAAAAATTCCAAAACGTCCATAAAAAAATGTGCGAAAATGTCATAAAAATGAACAACAGCTAACAAAAATGCAATAACAACTAAAATGCTTCAAATAAAATGCCAGCATTAGCTTCTACTGATCCTTGATTGAGAATATATTCCCATTTGTTCCAATGCAAGCACTGAATGATTCTTCTGCAATATGCAGATCCTTATGAGGTGGAAGTGCTCCCTTGTGGAAGGATTCAATTCCTGATTTTAAACAATAAATTGCTTTTGAGACGTCTTCAGCCTAAAATTTAAAAAATATTATTAAATTTTTTTGCTGAGAATAGTAGTTTTAAAACTGAGCGTTTAAATAGTAGCTTTAAAGCTGAGCATCAAATTAGTAAATTTGAAGCTCAGCGTCCAAATAGTAGCTTTAAAGCCTGAGCATCAAAATATTAACTTTGAAGCAGAGCGTCAAAATAGTAGCTTTAAAGCTGAGCATCAAAATAGAAACTTTGAAGCTGAGCGTCAAAAAAGTAGCTTTGAAGCTGAGCGTTAAAATAGTAGCTTTAAAGCTGAGCATCAAATTAGTAACTTTAAAGCTGAGCGTCAAAATTGTTACTTTAAAGCTGAGTGTTAAAATAGTAGCTTTAAAGCTGAGCATCAAAATAGTAACTTTGAAGCTGAGCGTCAAAAAAGTAGCTTTGAAGCTGAGCGTTAAAATAGTAGCTTTAAAGCTGAGCATCAAATTAGTAACTTTAAAGCTGAGCGTCAAAATTGTTACTTTAAAGCTGAATGTTAAAATAGTAGCTTTAAAGCTGAGCATCAAAATAGTAACTTTGAAGCTGAGCGTCAAAAAAGTAACTTTTAAACTGAGAGTTAAAATAATAACTTTAAAGCTGAGCATCAAAATAGTAACTTTGAAGCTGAGCGTCAAAATAGTAGCTTTAAAGCTGAGCATCAAAACAGTAACTTTGGTAATAATTAATCCATAATTTACCTCCATAGCTTCAGCTGCATCATAAAACTGATTTTCAGCCTCATCAATAAATCCCATTTGGACCTGCAATGACACAACATTCTTACACTTTGGGCACTTGACGTTCTTATTACGATCTTGTGGATATGGAAGGAATCCATCACATCCATCAGTTGAGCACTTGATTCTTGACTTGTTACTCATTCTTTCATAAACTGGCCAGTTTTCCTTGCACGGCTTACATGCACACTTAAACCAATATCTTGATGCTAAGCTTCTTTGTCTCTCTTTAAGTGACATTTTTGTGAAAATTGGTCCATAATTTTCAGCTACAACTTCATTATCAGCATGTGGTCTGATTGTATTAAGGATCAAAGTATCTCCACTAAAATATCTTGTAATGCTCGGGTAGCATTCATGATTAAACATCGCACCGACTTCATAGATTCCAACACCAATGTAGTTTAGCTTAGATTTTGAGAATAAATGTCCAGTCGTGAGCTTCTCGTAGATTTCATGAGCATTAAACTGCAATGACTGCAAATATGCAAAGATTAATCCACCAATTTTCATCTCATTTGGTGTCGGTTCTGCTGATTCCGTGGTTCGACGTCCAAAAAATTCAGATTTCTGAAGAACACGAAGTAAAAAGGTTGACATAAGGCAGCGTCTGAAGAAGTCTTCAAGATTCCTCATCGAGTCATGAGAACAAAATATTTTCTTTACATTTTCACCTTCTTCGAGTGCTTTTTCAGGTGTTCCTTGTTTCATAATGATCCTAAGTGCGATATGGCATAAAATTGACATTCCAGACCCAATCAGCAAATCCAAGTACTTGCATTCAAACTTATGATAAGTCGACAACGCAGCATCGCGGCATTCAACTGAACAGAATGCAATTGAAGCACAGCTGGTGCATCCGATTGGAGCAATAAGTCGTACAAAGCAGTGATAACAGTGAGTTCCAAAGTTCTTAGGATATAAACAAGCTCCAAGTGCCTTCTCAACTAAGACTGTCTCACCAACTTGAATTTCACCATTGGCAACAAAATATCGACCTGCATCTGGTGATTCTTGAAGTTTGATGCATGTTGATGTGCAGCGCTCTAGTTTTGATGACTTTGATGGATGTTCTTTGAGGGGTGGAAGGCGTTTTTGGGAATCTTGGAAAGGTTTGATGTCACCAGATTTTATTTTTGATTTGAGTGCATCAACTTCACGGATAAGTACATCACGACGGAAGTCGTCAGCTATTAACTTGTGGTAAAGGTTGATTGAGATGTCAGCCTTTTTGTCTTCGTTGATCACTGGAAGGATTTTTAAGGAACGGTTAAAAATCTTTTGATTGTAAAAACTCAAACTGATTTTTGGACAAAGTGTAAAGGCACCTGAATATCTTTTGACACATTGTGAAGACACCTGATTTTTTGAAATTTATTGTAAAAGCTACTGAACATTTTTGGCTCATTGTGAAACACCTGAATTTAATTAATATAGAGTAAAAGCAATGCTTACAAGCATAAACCTTAGACAACTTTGCGTAATATTCTGCATTAGTTTTGACCGGAAGTCCACATTTGACAGCTAGTTGAAGATCTTTTAAAGCATAAACTCCATTATTCATTCTATAAAAAACCTCAGCTCGTTGTAGTAAAGCCAATGCTAATGTTAAGCCATTGTCGATGTCTCTGTCGTCATCTACAAATTTAAGTTTAAAGAACTAAGAGTTTACGATCCCAAAAATCACATCCATACCCTTCATCGGAGCTCTCATGACGGCCTGACTAGCCAAAATTAAGACTTTATCCAAAGGCACCTGACCACGACCCTCGTCATAAGCCTTCACTAATTTAAGAACCTGTTCTCGCTTCTGCCATGAAAACATTGAGTCTTTCTTCCTAAACACCTCAGCGACATGCTCAAGAGTACCGAGAATCTCCCAAGAGACTGTCGGATCGTTGTAGAGAAACTGAATTTTTTCATAATCGCTCTCACATTTTGCAAAATAATTTTTCAGCCAATCTTGAAATTCTTGATCAGATTTGAAGCTATTGATAACAGTAAAGCAGAAACTTGTGAAGAATCCATGCTCGTTGGATTGAATTGTCTTTGCGCTGCATTTTTCACGGAAAATCTTGTCAATATCCTCAAAATTACTCATTCTGTGATAGTGAAAATTAGAAAAAAATGTGCAATTGACGAGGTAAAAATAACGCGTGACCGATCGAAAGTAAAAATTCTAACTGAGATGAGATGAAAGATTCACGGTAAAAACTAAAAATAAAACGAGTGAACGAAACATTTTTTCGGTGTGAGAAGAGAAAAAATAAATAAAAATAAGAAAATTTGAGAAAATGCGTAAAAGAAAATGCAAGAAAAAAACATGAGGAAGAAAAATTGTTTTTGTTTACTTTATTTTGAGAGCATGTTGCTTATGAATTGGTGCAAAATGATATTTCAGAGGTTCTCAAACTAAGTGCCACGGCATGATGAAATTTTGTGCATAAAAGCTCAATTACTTCATAATTTAACTTAACAGTTAAGACTTAACCTCAAAAATTGGCAACCTAACCTCAAAAATTTTAACAAAACCGTAATTTTTTAAGCATAACCTCAAAAATCGATAGAAGCTTATAATTTTCAGACATACATTAAAAATTTCAAACTTAACCTCAAAAGTTTTCAAAAACCTCAAAAACTTTAAAAAACCTCAAAAATTTGATACTTAACCTTAAAATTTTTAAATTTTAAAATTTTTTTTAAAATATCTCAATAAAGTCCAAATTTTTTAACTTTGTTGGTTAAAATCAATTAATTTATTTAAAATGCGATTAAAAATACAATTTCTTTAAAAATTTAACAATAAAGTTTGAATCTTCAGAATCACTTCGACCCCCACGTCTTCATTCCAACCATCTTAATCAACTTTCCAGGATCACCATTGAACATCTTTTCATCCAGCCATGGCATCATCCTTGACTTCATGTGCCAAAATGCCTTCTTCTTCATGCCATAAAGATCAAATCGACTTCCATAAAAGAAAAGTTCAACTGCATTTTGGTCATTAACGGATTCAGTGACTTTTGCAGCTGCAATTTCTTTGAGTGATTCCATTGGTCTGCAACATGATTCGATGATGCTCAGGAGCTGCTCAATTTTAAAGCGGGAATCATCAGCATCGTAAAGTGCATTAATGTGCTGATTTTCACTAAAATTTGCCTGCTTTAAATTTGATATTGGATCTAAAATTCTCGGTCCAATTGAGTGGATTAAGTTGCAGCTAAAGTCAATGAACTCAATGTTTGGCGTGTATTCAAATAAGTCACTGCCTAGATGAGTTAATCGATTGTTGACAATTCCAAGATACTTTAATTTTGGATAAAACTTTAAATCCTCTTTCGTCAGTTCCTTCAAATTGCAAGAAATCAGCTCAATAACAGTCAAATTTGGATAAAATTTTGTCAAATTTCTCGGAAATGTTTTAATTTTGCACGACTCGAAAGTCATTGAGACAACATCGTTGTCAGTTCTGTGAACTTTATGCTCGCCAAGGAATTTTTTAATTTGTTGTGGATCTGAAATTTCTATGTTGTTGACGAAGCACTTGTAAGCTACAAAGTCGTCAGAAAACTCACATAAAACTTCCATTTTTGACTTTTTGTTTTAAATTTTCAAATGAAGTCTTTACAAACAGATCCTTTTGATCAGCCTGCAAATTGAAGACTGACTCTGAAAAAGTTTTGTAATTATTTAAATATTTATTCAGGCTTTCCAAGGCTACCTAATCAAAAGTTTCCGAATTGATAAGAAAGTTTAAAAAAATATTAGTTTCAAGATTTAAAAATAAATTGAGATTGTAAATTGTGCAATTATTTAGGCTTAAACATACACAAACAGCACACCTTAAATGGCAAACTCATCAAATAGTGATGACAGTCCGGCGTAAAGGCTAGCGAAGAGCTAGAATTTCACATCGGTCTGGTTTCACTATTTTGAGACTTTTTAACGCATTTTTGAAACTTGTTTTTTTAAAAGGTAGCTTAATAATGCATTTTGTTCGGCTGTTCGGCTGCTCGGGCGAAGAAAAACTTTTTAATTAGACATCGTAGAGAGCTCGCGTTTGTTTTATTATCTCCATTACTATCGATTTATTGGCCCATCAAATGCTTAAAAGTCTTGAAGCACTCTATTTATGCTATAATTATTGAATTTTTGTTTTGTTTTCAGTGTAACCTGCCCAAATTTTATTTTACCTCTATAATTTCAACATTGCCTCTATAATTTCAATTTTTTTCCAGCCGTTGTAAAATTTGAATTTCAAAAAACTGTTAAATGATAAATCTTTGCTGTATGGAAATTTTTTGCAACAAATTCATAATTAGATAATCAAGTACTGATCGCTAACACAAAATTGCGCTTAAGTCCCTCGATCAATAACATGTGGGCTTCTGTAATTTTTTACATGTTGTGTCATTAGAAATTAATTTATTCAACTTTATTTAATTTAACAATTTTTTAGCATGAATTTCCATAGCCAATTCCTTCAGTTTTCTGTTCAATACTTTTCCAGATGGTGTCATCGGAAATGCTTCAACAAAATAAATTCCACCAGTAATTCTTTTTGCTTCGGTAACTCTTGAATTCACAAAATTCATCACAAATTCCTCTGTCAGTTCAATATTTGCTTTATCTTTGATTACAAATGCATAAATTATGTCATAAAATTCTTCATTATCAAAAACTCCAACAACACAACTCTGCATGACTCCATCAATTTCATTAATCACTTCTTCTAATTCAATTGGAGTTACTTTGATGCTACTCTTGGATTTTATCATGTGCTTAATTCGATCTAGTATGAATAAGTGACCTTCATCATCAACATAACCGATGTCACCTGATTTGATAAATCCTTCAGTGCCAAATGAATTTTCATAAGTTTCTGAATCACTATAATAGTTTGAGAATGGAACTAGCGTCTTGAAGTGCATCTCACCGACTTCATTTGGTCCCAAAGGCTGTCCAAACTCGTCAACGATCTGAAATTATTTATGAATTGATTAATGTTTCGGACTTGAACTGCAAAAGAGTCATAAAACAACTGAGCTTACAGCCAGCCATTCAAACAACCACCCAACTAATGACAGAATATCTAGTTATCCAGTCAGTACTTACCTTAATGTTAACATTATCAAATGGATATCCAGAGCTTGAACCTTTTGGACCAACTTTTCTAGTACTCGAGATGCAATCACATTCCGTACATCCATATCCACACTGTACAACTGCATTTGGAAAAATTGGCATCAAGTCATTAATAAACTTTTCAGAAAACGATGAACCAGCAACAATAACTGCACGTAAGCCAAATAATTTTCTCAAGTTGCTTGATTTTAGTAGCACTTGACCAAATCTTGGTGCACAAACTGCAACTGTGACTTGATGACGTTCAATTATATCCATCCAGTTGATAGGTGTTATAGGTTTTGTTGTGATTATAATTTTGAAATTATACAAGGCAGATGATATCAAAAACCAGTGAAAACTAACCCAGTATGAAGACATGCTGATGATGTTGACATCTTGGTTCACAAAGTTAGTTTCAACAAATGGAATAAATTGAGTTATGACTTGTTTGTGAGATTTGCAGATTCCTTTTGCTGCATTCGTTGTACCAGATGAGCAAATTATTAATGCAATAGTGGATGAAATGTTGGGTAAGTCTGGAAATCTAGAAAAAAATTGGGAGAAAAAAATTATGACATAACCTCAAAAAATATATAATCTTACTCAAAATCCTCAAATATGTCATCCTCAGCTTCCAAAATCTCATCAGCGCTGATAAATCCTTCAACTTTCTCAACAACTGTGAAGATTTTTGCATGCAATTCCATTTTTTCATTAGCAATTTTCACTTTTTTCACAATTTTTCCATCACAGAAAATAATTTTTGGCCTCGTCTTTGACCACATGCTGCAGATATCATCAATGTCCATCACAACTGCTAATGGATTGACTGCGACGCCCAAAACAAAGCAACTGAAGATTATTGGTGCCAAATGTTCAGAATTCGATGCATTTAATCCAAGAACGTCGCCTTGTTTGAGTCCTGATTTTGAAAGAAAGTTTAGAAACTTTATGGACCTTTTGTAAATGTCCAAATTAGTCAGTTTAATGCCTGAATCATCAGAGACTTGAAAGACATTTTGTGGTGATTGAATCAGTCTTTGTAAGATCAAGTAGCCAAGATTAGCTTCCGTGTTGTAAATTGGTGTGAATTTACGTCCACTCCAAACTTTTTTGACTGGATCATATGTACAGTATTTATTTTGTTCCATTGTCTTTTATAAAGAATTTAAAAATTTTTATAATTCTAGCAAAAAAGAAGTACTTGAAAATAATTATCGTGCTTAGTAAAGACTCATACAACAACTTTATCTGACTGTTTAAGACTGAGTAACAAAGCTGAATAAAAAATTAATAATGAAAATTTCATTTTTAAAGTTTCACAAGTTATTACCGATAACGTCTTGTTTGTATACAGCACAGATAAGCTATTATCAAAGGCATTGTATTGAATCACTTTATGCTGTGTAAGCAAAACTATAAAGCTTGTTGCCAAATTTCGATGAATGCGACGAATGAAAGATTCATAAACTGCATTAAAAAAATAGTTGTTGTGGTATCTTAGAAGAGTTTAATCTTGGGCATTAATCTACGTACCCTAGCAGAAATTTACTAGTAATTTACTAGTAATTCACTTGATAACTTTCCATTTGCTACTTGCTATTTACTAGTCAAAATCCAAGTTCAAATCATCGCCAAAGACCCGCATTTTCACTTGGTAATTGACTAGTCAATTCGCTTACAATTTAACTAGTAATTTACTAGCAAATTTTTAAAATTTAAATGAATATAACCGTTGATTTCCACGTGTTTTTTTTTTTATTTTTTTTATTTGTGTAAATTATTGTAAAAGTATTAGTGTGTACTTAGTTTAAGTTAATTAAAGTACACTAACACTATGAATAAAAGCAAAAGACTTAATTTAATTAAGTCGAAAACTGATGAACACCCATGACTCGCACGCAAACCTGAGGAAGATAAATAATTAATTGAAAGTCACATACAAATTTGGATCGACCTTATAAAGGTGATTTCTGCGCGCTCTTGTGAAGTATATGGCAAATGCCAAATTTAGAACAAAATTTTATTTGACGCAAAAAATTCTTTTTTTGATGATTTTTCGTAGGATTCGAACTTAAGAAGATTTGATCAAACATTTTACATGGTAATTTGCTAGTAATTTGCTAGTGAATAGCGAGTGTAATTTTCTAATAGTAAGTTGTTTTAATAATTACTAGTAAATTGCAAGTAGTAAAATAGAAAGACTAGCAATTTGCTAGTTAGTCTTGCTAGGGGCTGGAATATGTCTACATGTTACTTTCAGCATAACTGGTGCTGTCGGATTATTTTTCACATTATTTCAGCGCAAGCATGAAGAAAAGTTTTGAAAATCTATCGAGCAACTTGACGATTTTGTTATGAGATTTATGGACATAACTATAAACTATAGACATCATAATTGGAGTCATTTAAGGAAAATTCTTTTCATCCTTGGAACTAATTATGGCATTGCAGCTATTTTATTCATGGCTGACTTCAAGCTGTCTGATAATTTTAAGAAATCTTACGTGGCAGAAGGAGACGACGTCCGTAACCGCATTAGACTGGCCAATGCTTTTGGCTCATTACTACATGTCTAGACCTCCCCCCGACTTTCGAGACGACTGAAACTGAAGATCTTCAACTCGAACGTCAAGCCTGTACTTCTTTACACATGCGAAACTTGAAAAGTCACAAAAGCTCTTACACAGCGCATCCAAGTTTTCATCAACAAGTGTCTGAGAGCAATATGTGGCATCTACTATCCTCAAACAATAAGAAACACAGAGCTATATGCAACGACTAAACAACAAATCATTGCAGACGAAGTTGGGAAAAGGAAATGGAACTGGATTGGCCATACATTAAGGAAAGACCATACAAATATCGCAAGGTAAGCGATCTTCTGGAATGTCCAAGGAAATAAGACTAGGGGCTGACGAAGAATTACTTGGCGTACAACTGTTGAACGGGAGGCGGAACAACAGAACAAGAAGCTGCAGCAAATAGCAGCTTTGGCCCAGAATCGAGTGTGATTCAAATGCTTTGTGGACGCCCTACGCTTCATAGTGGAGCAATAGGAACCCATCATCATTACGTGTCAGCAATTTACTTTTCTCTCCTTAATCAGCTGAATATTAACAAATATGTCTTTTACATTACACTCATCAATAGCTGATTAAATGTTTTGTGTGATAATTATCATAAAATCAGAAATTGTGACTACAAACTAATAACTGTTCCACGTGTCTACCTAATCATATGGAAGCTTTCAAAGAAAATTGAAAATCGATTTAATTGGACATTGTTCTGTATGATTAATAACACAAATTCCTTGTTACTTTATTATGGATCTATTTTATCATCAAGTTTAAAATCAGATGAGATCAATTTTACTCACATCATTTCAATTTTGTCAACACAAACTACATTTTCGTTCATACTGCAATAAGATTTGGAATATTGTGAGTAAAATTATTTGAACTGTTTTCACTTTTTATGGGTATTAAGTTGATTCAATCGTCTCCCATTTCACGGCAAGTATCTCCAAGTTCTTTCCAAGTACTCGTGGTAGCCAGCCAGCCAGTTAGACAGTTAAAAATTGAAATTCAGTAAAAACAGCACCCTGAAATACATTTAAAAATTAAAATTTACTATTGTTCTAGGAAAAGAAGCTCAACTCTGAAATTACTAAAACTCATCATAAAGAACAGTCACTGCATGGATTAATTGAAGGACTTTTGCTGCAAATTCTACATGAGAAAGTAAAATTTTGCCCAAAAGGAGTCTTTTCATTGAACTATCGGCAGACAATTGTTATGATTTCATTTGGTACAACAATTATTGTGACTTCTCTTCAGATTACTGTTTCTGTAGAGTAATGTGAACATAAGAAAATGTAAGAGTGGTATCGCCCATACTGATCGTCAGACCATCGCGATGTGGTGCATGCTATAGCAGTGGGAGTCAAGGATGTTTTGTAGTCAACAACCACCTTATTTTCAGAAAGTTTTTAATTGATTTTATTGAATTATTTTGCTCCGAACCAAAACAAAAAAAAAACTTACTGGCTTCGCCCCTGATGGAAGTGTCTAACCAGGCATAAATGTGGATATAAAAATGTGACGGTGCAATACTATGTCGTGGTTATGTCAAATTGAACAGTTCCTCAGACTTTATCTAGATATAATTTAATTTTAGATGATCTTTAAGTTAATGCAAAAGCTATCAAAATGTATCTAAAAATCCATTATTAATCTTATTATACCTGCACACAGTATGTTGTTTTGAGACTTATAAACAAAATAAAGTTTTAATAAATTCAAAAATAATCTCAGTTGTGCAACATTTTCAAAGAATATAAACTTAATAAATCTTCATCATTAATCTAGTTCAAATGTATAATTCAAACAATTAATATTCAAAAATTTTATAACTACAATTTTTATAACGGTTAAAAATAATTCAAATTTAAACCGTCAAATCTCAAAACACCTCAACAGTCACGAAACTATTTCTCGCATCACCGCCAATTGAGCTACACAAGAAGAAAACTGAGCGCGACAACAAAAACAAGAAAAATAAGTCACACACAAAAAAAAAGTTAAAAATTCTTCAAGAAATCATTAACAATTTAAAATGACGTCAAAATGTTCGGTAGCAAATTGTCATTTTCAATCTAAAGTTTGCTTCCACTCACCACAAAGTCGTCCGCATTTGGAGTTGTGGAAGAAGATTTTGAATATAAATGTTGATAAATTTTTTGTTTGCGATCAACATTTTGAGGATAAATTTTTTCGGATCGAGAAGCGATTGACATTCGATGCATTTCCGACACAATATATTGGGAATTTTGAGGAAGGCAGCAGCGACTTTTGTCAATGCTGCATGAAGTCATTTGTAAGGAGTAAATTTATCACTCAATATGAGCCGAGAGTCACGATTGATGAGAAATTGCAACAGGATTTTACTAACGTTATTGGGTGTGAGGTGAGTTTGGTGTCGAATTTGATAATATTTTGAGAATGGTTTGATGAGCTGGATGTGCAGCTGGATCAGATTAATATCATAACTGATTATTTAAGTAAAAATGGTGGTCTAAGGAAATATCAAGCAGGATCATTTCCATTAAGCTCTAAAAGTTTCAGTTTTTTAGGTTAATTTGAATTTGAGCTGGATAGAATTCAGTATTGCTGAATTTAGTGTATTTAGCACTGCTGAACTTTGCCAAATTCAGCACTGCTAAATTCTTTTAAATTCAGCACTGCTGAATTCTTTTAAATTCATCGTTATTAAATTCAGTATTGAATAACTAAGCGTAATTCAAAATTCAGCATTTGATAGAATTCAGCACTGCTGAACTTGACCAAATTCTGCTAAGTTTGCTGAATTCAACTCTTCTTGAATTAGCTGAATTTACTACTTTTTGATTTGGGTGAATTCAGCATGGTTAATGGTTAAACTTGACTAGCTCTTTAGACAATCCCTTATAATTTATAAATTCAATTTTAAAACCCATCTAATCAAACTCCTTCTATCCACTTTTAGATTCCATCCGGTGTGATGTGCACAAAATGCTTCGAGAACATTAAAACCTTCCTGAAATTCCGATCAGAAGTCCGTGAAAAACAAAAAGTCCGCGATGAAATCTTTGAATTAAAAACTCAGCAAGAAACTCACACGGATTTTGATCCAAATTTTAAAATAAAAGAGGAACCAAAGGATGATGACGAACTAGAATCAACATTGGATATCCAAGAAGAAACATATTCAGACCCAATGATAATGAAAATTAAGGATGAGCCAATGGACGATGAGGAATTTGTGATAAAGGAAGAGAAAATTGATCTTGGATGTGATGAAAATTATCTAATCAGTGAAATTAAGGCGGAACCAGAAGAGATGCAGGACACAACAGCAAAACCAACATCATTTAAATTTACACAAGCAGTTCCAAAACAGAAAATTCTAATTAGAAGACCGACTAGTGGAATGGTTGTTCGGCCAACAAATCTTCAAAATTTTAAAGTTGTTCAGCCTCAAAATGTCGTCAGAGTAGTCAAACGAGCAGCAAGTCCACAAAACTCTCAAAAAATAACAAATTCGCAAGGAACAATCAAAATTTCTCAAGTTCAACTTTCCCAAATGGAAAATTCAACAAACATGCTCGGATACAAGTGTCAATACTGTCCAAATAGATTCATTGAGAAACGATTTGTGGTCGATCATATCAAGCAGAAGCACACATTCCCATGCAATCAATGCACTTCAGTTTTTCCATTTAAAATAACTTTAATTAAGCATCAAATGTCATTTCATGGAAATTCGACAGGACAACACGTCTCAAAGTCAGCAGCTTACAAGCATGTTTGCAGAATTTGTGGATTGAAGTTTTTATCAAACTACACGCTTGATGCTCATATGACTCAGAGGCATCAGAGGGCCATAATTGAGGAGAAGATGAACTCTCAGGAAGATAATGAGAATATTATTATTATTGTAAGTATTATTGATTGTAATTTCTTAGTTGTGTTCCATTTAATTTGTATATTTTTGAATTCTTATTCGAATGCCCCTCAAAACCTTAGTTGTGTTCCCCTTGAATTCTCCTCCTTATTTCCTTTTATGTCTCCGTTGTGTTTAAAGTCGAGGATCCTTTCAGCTTATGGTTGTGAAGTTGCGAACTCTTAATTTAATAGCTTTGTACCCTTTTAATTCTTATTTGCACGCCCTTTGAGTAAGTAGTTTTGAACCCTCTGAATTCAAAGTTTTGTACTCCATAGGTCTTAGTTATGCAGCCCTACGGTTTTATCAGTCTACCATTTAGGAATTAGCTATGCATTCTTAATTTTTCAGTAATAAAATCCACAAATTCTTAGTTGTGTACCCCGTTATTTAATACCTGCGTATATTTTGCCTTTTTTTGTTGCATCCGCTTTGAAATATTTGCTGATTATCACTAAGTTCTTAGTTTTGTACCCTTTAAGCCTTAGTTTTGTACCCTTTAGGTCTTAATTTTGTATCCTTTAGGTCTTAGTTTTGTACCCTTTAGGTTTTAGTTTTGTACCCTTTAGGTCTTAGTTTTGTACCATTCAGGTCTTAGTTTTGTACCCTTTATGTTTTAGTTTTGTACCCTTTAGGTCTTAGTTTTGTACCCTTTAGGTCTTAATTTTGTATCCTTTAGGTCTTAGTTTTGTACCCTTTAGGTCTTAGTTTTGTACCTTTTAGGTCTTAGTTTTGTACCATTTAGGTCTTAGTTTGTACCCTTTATGTTTTAGTTTTGTACCCTTTAGGTCTTAGTTTTGTACCCTTTAGGCCTTAGTTTTGTACCCTTTACATCTTAGTTTTGCACCCTTTAGGTCTTAGTTTTGTACCCTTTAAGTCTTAGTTTTGTCCCCTTTAGGTCTTAGTTTTAGGTCCTGAAGTTCTTAGTTGTGTACCCCTTTAAAACACATTTGTATGAAAATACTAATAACTTTTTCCACTTCTTCTATTTACAGCGACCACTGGTGATCCCATCAAAGTCATCAACCTCAGGATCATCAACATTATTAAAAAAACTCCCAACAACACCAAAGCAACAATCATCATCACTTCCATTTGCCATAAAGAATGAAGATTATAAACCAATCATTAAAATCTTTCCAACACCAACTCCCGTCGTTAAGAAGCCAGTCAAGACTTTAGTAAGAAGAATTTTAACACCAGTTGGAACTACAAAGCCACCTCAACATGAACCAGTTGTTGAAGATCCAGACGGTATTCCGTGCCTTGATTGTGGATTATTGTTGAGACCTGATAAGCTATTGAAGCATCGCATGGATGCTCATGACCTAAATACACACAATATGTATTATTTATGTGACATGTGCGGCACTGAGATTAAGGGAAAGACACAACTTATCAATCATATGACAACGAAACATTTAAGCGCAAATTTTGTTCGATGTGAATTTTGTGATGGACTTTTTGACAACATAACTGACGTGATTTGCCACAAAAATCTTCAACACAATTTTAATGGAACCAGATACACGTGTCACTTCTGTTATAAGATTTTTAGTAATAAAAGAGAAATGATTTTGCATCGAAAGGCTCACTATTCGGAAAAGGAAAGTCGTCAGAAGTTGGCTAGGGTCTTTTGTAAGAAGTTCAAGTCTTATGAGCCGAAGGGTGTCGAATATAAATGAAAATTGGTAAAAAAAAGTTTTAATTTTGATAGTTATTTTTAAAAATTGATGGAAACTAAAGGAAATCCAAAAAATTAATAAAATTTCAAAATTAAAACCAGCTAGATTGTAAACATTTGGAATATAAATTGTAAAAACTTTGTAAATTTACAAAAAAATGCCTCATTCGAAATAAAAAGTTGAAATTTTTCAAAAAACATAATTATGAATATTTTTAAATATTTTTTATTTTAAAATTTCAACGGCTGATCTTTTAACTTTTATTTAAAAATTAAAAAAATAAAATAAATAAAATTAAAATTTATAAGGGCAAATCTATGAATAAACGGTACTGTAGAAATCGACTTGAAATTCTTCTTAACCCGATAAATTCAAAAAAACCGTTAAGTTTTAAATAAAATTGGGTAAAGACTTAAAAAGATAAGTAAAGACTTAATAATTGTATTAAGTTTAAATGAAGATTCAAAAAGTACATGTTTAATTAAATATATTTTGAGTATTCAAAAATTAAAAGGAATTTTCAGTTTCAAACGAATTTTTGTTTTGCAATAAAAGGTTGCAATGTTGACAGTGAAACGCTTTTAAAACAGGAAAAACTCATTAATTCATTAATGTACAAATGTTCTCATAGTTAAAAATAGTGATTATCAACTTTCTTTACAATTTAAAAGTTTAAAGAACCAAAATCAATAAGACATTTCAAAGAAATTTGCAAATATTTGATTTTTTGACAAAAAAGTCTTTCGTAGATTTGCCCATAAATTTTTTAAATGTTTACAATTTTTTAAACTCTTTAAAAATATTGTTAATTATGTTCACACCGTTTTCACGTGTGAATCTATTGGTTTTGTTCAGTTTGAAAAATCAGTTTTTTGAATTTTGTGAGGATATGGAGCAAGATAGCTTAAAATGTTCAGAGATGAAAAGTTTGTGCCTTGAATTTCACATCTTTTGCAAAAAACAGATTTCAAATTGGTTGCGGCATTGCTGAGAAAATCGCAAAATACGCTTTCTGTAAGCAAACAAGCAAGCAAGCAAGTTAATCAGCAAGAAATCTCAATAACGAGACATTGTAGAGACTTCTAGTTTTTTACATTTGATCCATGCTGCTCTATAGAAGAGCTGTATTGTTTTTGGGCAAGGTAGGAATAGCCGTTGCTTCAGAAAAAGCAAAAAGCTTTCCTTTCTTACGAATTTTTCAAATTAAAAGCTCACTGTGATTTTTTTTTATTTTAAATTAAACTTTGGATGAAAAAAATTTTTTTAAGCAAAGAACCAAGAAGGAAATACATTTTCAATTTTGGACTAGGGGCTAGGGATTGTGGAAAACAGCTGTTTTTGAAAAACAGTCAATTTTCGGTTTTTGATTTTTAAAAACAGCTGTTTTCCTGTTTTTCTAGAATTCAAAATAAACTGAATTATCCTAAGTGTTTCTCTAAGATAATGCAACTTTTTGGTGGTTATAAGCAGTTAAGCATACATTTTAGAGCTAAGCATTATTATTTCTTATTTTTTTTATGTTAATTAACTCTAAAAAATATAATGAAATATAAAAATGCAAAAAAAAACCAAAAAAATTTATACCTTTAAGTAACATTGCATTGTTGCATTGTAAACGTTTCATAAGCTCTAATATTCTATTTGAAATATTCAATAAATCTTTCTGAATAAAAAAATATCTTGTAAAATTGTTGATTATATTTTTAAACTTTAGTAAATGCTACAAAAGGTTCAACAAATTTAAAATTTCGATTGCAAAATTAATAATGATTAACCATAAATTTGATAATGATTTCAAACCTATTAAACATCTAAAAAATATTAAAATACTAAATACATTTCAATTTGAAATGCTAGAAAAATAAATTAAGTTCTTCAAAAAATTAAGAAATTTTTTTTTCTGCAAGTTTCATGTAAAAATGAAAAACAGAAAACAGATCTGTTTTTGAGACCTGTTTTCTGTTAACAGATTTTTGTCGAAAAACAGCTGTTTTTCTGTTTTCTGTTAACAGATTCCCCAAACCCTACTAGGGGCGACCCTAGTCAAAATATTTTTGTCACTTTTTTCTTCGAGGGTTTATCCAAATTGATTGAAGCTTTGCATAAATATTCTGGTGCTCAAAACAAATACAAATAAAACATCCTAAAATTTTTTTGACCAAAGAACCAAGCAGGAAATACATTTTTTATTATGAACTAGGGACAAGCCTAGTCAAAATCTAGTTTTTCGCTTTTTTTTCTTCGAGGATAAATGCAAATACAGTGAAAAGTAAATTGATTTTCTATGGTATACTTCGGTCAAAAAAATTTTAGGATGTTTTATTTGTATTTGGTTTAAGCACTAGAATATTCATTCAAAGTTTCAATTCATTTGGATAAACCCTCGAAGAAAAAAGTGACAAAATTGATTTTGACTAGGGTCGCCCCTAGTCCAAAATTGAAAATTGATTTTCTATGGTGTACTTTGGTCAAAAAAATTTTTTGGATGTTTTACTTGAATTGACATTTTTTTGACATAAATCACACACCAATATTACTTTTTGTAATGCATTGCTTAAAAACATCGAAAGCTAAAATTTCGACTAACCCACCTGAATTTTGTTCTTACTCTTCACTGTGGAAACCAAAAAAAATTTTCTTTATCTTAAAACACTTGAAAAAACAGCGACACAATTCAGGATTAATTAATTTTTAATAATATTTTAACATTTACGAGAAAATGTGGTTCAAATAAGTGTGAAGTATGGCCGAGATTTGGACCAAAAACTGGTTATACTGGTTCGTAGTGTTCCCGAGGGTGACAAAATTCATATGGGTCTCGGCCGTACTTCACGCCCACCCTTCAAACTTATGCTGAGCAAATCTTGGTCTATCCATAAGACTTTTGATGGTACGGTGTGAATATATCCGCATGGGTTTCTACCCGATACACTAGTTTATTAATAAATTTTATTAATGTCAATTTTATATTATTTGATCAAAAAAAAAAAACAAATTCTTTCATTTTTCAGATTGTAACTTTAATTCAACATTGTTTTGACATGTCCCATTATTACTATAAACGAATTAAATGCTTTTATCATCAAAGACCAACTTAACCTCCAATTAATTTTTATTACTTACATCAAAAACAAAAAAAACATTACAAAAAAAAACATAAAATTCAAAACTAACCCAAAAAAAACCTTCCAATTAATGACATTTCTTCAACATCATCGTTATTTTCATAACATAATTATGCGTAGGAAGCATTAAACATACAAAAAAAACATCAGTTCCATAAATCTCCTTTCTTGTTGTCTTGTCCACGTCGCAGCATATGTGAAAACGTATCAGAAAAATATTTTCGGAAGAACAAATTTTCTTTCATCTGTGAAATTTTTTTACTATTTTCTACGAGAATTTTTGTTGTGAGAAATGATAAGAATATTAAAATGTTGAAGAAATTTGTTATTTATGACTGTCGCAAGCCTCTTAATTGGATTTTTAATATCTGCTCATGAAGTTACTAGGAAAGAGTTAGTAGGTAATTTGAAGTAATTTTTAATAATTCAAAAAAATTCAAAAAAGGTTTTAAAAAAAGAAAAGTTGGATTTTTCTGACCAAAAAAAAAATTAAATATTTAAAAAATTTAAAATGTTTTAAAATAAAAAATATAAAAAGGTAAAAACTTTGAAAAATTGAAATAATTAAAAAAAAATTGAAGAATTTTAATGGAAATATTTGAAAATTTTAAAATATTTTTAGAATCAAGAAAAATTAAAATGAAAATTGAAATTGAAAAATGCAAGAAAAATGGAAAATTGATTTTTAAAGTTTCAAAAATTTAAAAAATTGAAGAAAAAAAATTAAAAATTTGAAAAATTGAAGAAAATAATTTAAAAATTTCAAAAAATTCACAATTTTTTAATTTTACAAAGAATCTAATTAAAGAACAAAATACCACAGCCTAAATTATTTAATAACCAATTGTTCTTCATCCGCAATTTATTAATTAATTTTTATATCTGCCGCCTGTCGTTGTCCATGTTTGGAACCCCATCTGTAAATAAAACAATAAAAAAATGGACAGTAAAGCTAAAACTACTCCTAAAATGATCCATACTTGGCTTCTTAAAATATTCAAATTTTTATTTCTTACACTTAATTTTACAATATATTCTGTATTCGCTACTTAATGTACTTTTGTTGTTCATCGATTTAGATTTCATATTTGTTTATTTTAAGTATTAAATTACCTCCTATGTTTAACTTAATAGCTCATTCATTGATAACTTTTTATGGCACTCACATAATCAATAAAACATTAATAAAATAATAAAAAATCATCTTATCGTCATTTCTTCAGCTCCCTGTAGATTCTAATGCTGATGTAGCAGGTAAAAGATTGAAAAATCACTAAAATTGGCGATGGTATAAAGTATGGAATACCATCCGTTGATTTTTCGTCAGCCAAGATGAATATAAACAACACGAGGTATGCAAAACAGAGCACAAATAAAATTGCAGACGTTGCTATAAAGTAAATTGTCTGATTCGGCTTACGCTGTTGGAAAAATAAATAAAAAGAAAATTAATGAATTAAGGGGAAGAATTAAAAAAAGACTTTGTATGGTTGATGTACTTATAATTTTTGCAATGTGTCTGTCGCATCAAAAAGATATTTATAAATTTTGTATGATTGAGGGGTATACAACTGTGATTTAAGGGTACACAACTGTGATTCAGGGTATGGAGTAATGAGGGGTACAAAACTATGAATCAGCATTAAACATTTATGATTCAGGGGTGTACAACTTTAACTCAAGGTCCGCAAATAATATTCAAGGGGTGTACAACTATGAATAATAAGTTCAAAATTATGATTTAGGAGTAAACAGCAATGATTCAAGGGGTATACAATTACAAATCAGAGAAAAACAACTATGATTCAAACGATGGACAAATGTGATTCAGGGGTCTACAACAATGATTCAGGGATCAACAGCTATTATTCAGGGGTGTAAAAATATGATTCAAGTGGTATAAAACTATGATTCAAGCGATATACAATTATGCTTCAGGCGTAAAAAAATTTAATTCAGAGAGACACAACTTTGACTCAGGGTTATAGCTATAAAAGGTATACTATAAGGGGTATACCACTACGATTCAATGAGTACACATTTATGATTCAGGGGTTTAAAAATATGATTCATTTTTTCACAACTATGATTCAGGGGTATACATTTCTTATTAAAGGGGTGCAAAACTGTGACTTAGGGATCTAAAACAATGATTCAAGGGGTACACAACTATGATTAACACAATCATCCTCAAATTTCTCATCATTCTCAACGAGTCACAATAGCTATATTTCGCATTAAAAAAGTTATAAAAAGTTTCGAACAAAAAGAAAAAACAGCAAAAGGAAGAAAGAAAGCAACGAAGACCATTTGTTTTAATTTTGAGTGGTCTCAAATGTTTACAAACATCTTTCTCAGCAATTAATTAACGACTTATAGTGAAAACATAAATTCATCAAATTACATCAATGCAAAGTGGAATTTGATCATTTGTTTTTGGTGTTTCTGTGACGTTTCGTTTGTGGTCTGCTTTTTAGACTTGTTGATCGACTCAAGACAGATGATTTGATTTTAAGAGATATAAAATTAATAGCCTGAATTTTAATTACTCTTTTGATCCCCTTGATGAATGATTTAGTACGAATATATCAAGTCTGCGTGAGTACCGACATTAATCATGTTGAGATTTTTTTGAGTATTTAGGCATGTCACTATGGTATTTGCTGAGGAATTCTTCCATATGGCTTGAAATTAAGTTAAACTTTTTGCTTTCTATGAAATGTAAATATTGAGATGCATGGGTGGAAGGCTATAAACTAGATGCAAAAAGTGTGTTTATAAATAAAATTCAATGTGCAGAATTTTGATGTAAACAAAATGCTTTAAAAAATGCTTAGCTTCAACAATTAAGTGCGAAATGATTGAAAAGATGCAATAAACTTAATAGAAAAGGGTGTAAAACTATGCGATATTTTACAAAAAGGGTGTGAAACGGTCACATTCTACAAAAATGAAATTCAACTTTGAAATGTTTTAGTCTAAAGGTGTGAAACTATGAGACATTTTTGATTCAAGGGTGTGAAACTACGAACCATTTTCGATTTAAGGGTATAAAACTATGAAACGTTTTAGCTTTAGGGGTGTGAAGCTATTAAACATTTTGATTTAAGGGTATGAAACTATGACATATTTTGGATTTTAGGGTGTGAAGCTGTGACATATTTTCTATTTAAGGGTGTGAGACTATGAAAAATTTCAAAAAGAAAATTAAGCTCATAGAATGATTAATCATTTTAAAAAAATTCCATCCGAATCCCTTAAACTATAAAGTATTTCCGTTTCACGACCCCATTTCTAAGTAGTGAATTTGACCGGAAAAATGACATCAACTTTTGCGACATAAAAGACAATTTCTGATAATGCTAATAAATTAATCACAGAACTTGTCGGATCTGTCACATTATCAAAATTTATTTGATGTTAATTAAAAAAAATAAGTCTTTTCATTCTTTGATTGCTTGCCGACACACATTCTGGTAAGAAACAGAGAACAAAAATGAAATAAATTACCGTCTTGATTGCATCAATGAAGATCGTTGCGGCAAAGAACCATCCAAAAAATGCTATTATGACTGCAAGAACTGGTTTTGTTTCTGGAATTATTAATATTTTTTATAGATCAACACGATTTTCTTGGTCAAAATTTCACTAACCAGTTACAATTTGAAAGCACCAAGCACCAATCAACACCGCCGCCAAGCATAAACTGATAAGTTGATGGATTCGCGCGATAATCACACCAATTACCTCGGATGACAAATTACTACAAACTCTTCCGTCTGTCATTTTTTATTAAACTGAAAAAGAATTTTAATAGTCGCACAAGAAGAAAGAAAAATTTTCCAAAGCACGAAGCTGATTGGATGTGAGTGCCTAAAAATATACAACGTGAATAATGTTTTAACTGACTTTTGAAATTGATGGACATTTTGTAACGGTTGAAAATTATTTAAAAATATATTGAACATATGTGGAGAAACATTTGTGGGGTTCTAAGCAACTTTGGAGGGAGTTTTGCATCTGTTTTGGTTTTTTTCAGCTACATAGGAGGATGATTGCGGTTGCAATGTGTGCTTGTTTGTCAATCAATTGATTGTAAACTTGAAACTAAATTATTAAAATGAAAAATAATTTGTTGCGCCAGAACCTTAGACGAAAAAAATTTTTGTGCCAGAATTTTAGACGAAAAATATTTTGTGCCAGAATCTTAAACGAAAATTATTTTTGTGCCAGAATTTTAGACGAAATATATTTTAAGCCAGAATTTTAAACGAAAAATATTTTTGTGCCAGAACTTTAGACGAAAAATATTTTTGTGACAGAATTTTAGACGAAAAATATTTTTGTGTCAGAACTTTAGACGAAAAATATTTTTGTGCCAGAATTTTAGACGAAATATGTTTTAAGCCAGAATTTTAGACGAAAAATATTTTTGTGCCAGAATTTTAGACGAAATATATTTTTAAGCCAGAATTTTAGACGAAAATTATTTTTGTGCCAGAACTTTAGACGGAAAATATTTTTGTGCCAGAACTTTTGACGAAAAAACATTTTGTGCCAGATTTTAGCCAGAAAATATTTTACGGCAGATTTTGAGCCAGATAATGTTTTTGTGCCAGAATTTTAACGAAAAAATATTTGTATGTCTAAACACAAGCCAAGTTATGAACAAAAAAACCATTGAAAATATCCGTTAAAGTTTCTATAATTTTTATTACAATTTTTACAATATTTAAATATTAATGTTTTCTGGAAGACATTTGGTATATATTGTACATCTTGGAACTAACCTCCTTTACAATACATTTTTCATTTCTAAGGTACTAAAGTTATTAATATTCACAATACTAACTTAATAAAGTTTTTTTTTTCTCAGTTATATCAACATAAATAGATAGGTGTAACGGGTCGGTTCAGTGTTTCCTGCTAACACTGAAGGCACTGTGACTATAAGTTTGTGTTTTCAACGGAAACTCCCTCTAAATCTTTAAAACTGTCTGTCGACACTTGAGCTTGCATATAGATTGCAATTCTCTTTGATCGATTAGTTAACATTGTTATGATGATAACGGTGGGTAGTTCTATTACTAAAATTACTACTAATGGAGAATTGATGAGTAGGTCGACTTTGCCACGTAGTAAAATTATTAGGATCGATAATATGCTTAGGAAAGTGAATAATATGAAGCACGATAGTAAGTAGAAGACGTTTAAAGAGAAATCCCACTGAAAATATGAGAAAAAGTTGGTTATTGATGTGAAAGATATGAGGTTTGGTGGATGTTTGGTTTATATAGACTTTTTAGCGAAACTTCGTACATGCGAGATATCTTTCGGATATCTAGTCATTCTAGAATCCTAGCGGATTTTAAATCTTGCTAGAATTTCATCAGAACTTTGGTCAAGTCAAAATTGTGACAAATCTTGGTTCATGCCAGAATTCTGACGGATTTCTGGTCATCTTAGAATTTCTACGGATTTTTATGCTTGCCAGAATCCTAGCGGATTTTTAATCTTGACAGAGTTTCATTCAAATTTTTATCAATCCACAGTTTTATTCTATATCTGATAACTTACTTGTTTATGAATAACTGCCATAGTAAATTTGGTGGAAGATATTAGATACATAAAAGCTACAATCATTGCTAGTAAAGGTATACCTAAAAATAAAATAAAAATAACTTTTGTTAGCATTTCACAAATTGTTCCTCATTGTCGTTGTCAATCTAATCAATATTAAAAGAAACAACAACAATTTTCTTTCCATTTATTCCCATTAAATGATGTCCATTTAGAAATTTTATTTTTGGTACATTTTTCATGTTGCTGGACAAGATTATTGCACCACTTCACTCGCTGAGGTCTGTCTATACTATTTTGATTCGGTACAAAGAAAACTTTAAGTAATATTTGAATAAATTGAATAAGTTTTGCAGCTAGGGAGCTTTCTGAAGGCTTGACTCTTTGCACTATACTTCTGTGAACATTTTCAAACTTAGTCAGAAATGCTTATTTAAAAATGATGTCACAAAAAATAGAGAATAGTTAAAACTAGTGAGCTTAAAACTTAGAATTTGACATTTATTATTATTTTTAAACTTTTTCTTCTTGGTTTGAACTTTAGCTATCAAAACAGCTTCCAGACCAGTCTGTCTGTTCGTCTGGCTGACCATCTAGCTTCTCTTAATAGGAATTTAAATAATTACAATCTACGACGTCATTTTTTAAGAACTCTGAATTTAAAACATAATAACAGAAATGCTTAAAAATATAATCCTCCTGCCTGTCACACTGTGTCACACCAAAAACAACCCCCCAACCTCACCCTTAATTTTGCAACACAAATTCTTGCATCACTTAAAATTTCTTGTTCAATATGTAAAAAAATCTAAGAAATTGAATTCAATATTTCTAGCAAAAATAGTTTTTTTAAGTCTTTGAAAAAAAAATTAAATTGTTCTAGAAAATTTCAAGAATTTATTTATTTTTTCTTGTCAACTGTCTTCCCCCCACCATGAAAAAAAAAGGGAAGAAAAAAAATTATTTTCATCTCCGCAGTGATTTAAGAACCAAAAAAGTCTCTTATCTGAAGCAAAATTTCTCATCTAAAACCACCGAAATCAATAAATTAACCCCCTTTAACTAATCCCCTCAATTTTTTTCTTCATCTCAGCATCCAGAACTTACCACTAATCCTTCGTTCATATATAAACAATCCAACTATAAATACTGCAATATGAAAACTTAATAATGTGTGAAATATTCCAACAATAATTCCAGCAAATTTCAAATTGCGATACGGCTCGTGTCCAGTCATCTTTTTTATTTATTTAATTTATTGTCAACTTTTTTAATTATTTTTTTTAATTAGTCTTGTTTTGTTTATTATAAAATTAAGATGAAAAAAATTATGCGTGCGTTGTGAAATGAAAAATTCGTGAGAGTCGAAAGGATAACGAAAGGAAACTGAAAAAGACTTTTTTTTATTGCACTCAAAAAAAGGTTTCTTCTTGTTTTGTGAAACTTTTTTCGGAACATGATGTGTTGGGCATGCGTCGGATGGGATGGAATGGGAATCATTGGATATTATCTGCAGATTGGCACTTTTCGAGTTTCTTTTCTTTGTGAAATTTGAATTTTAATTTGATTGTTAATTGAATGGTGATTTTTAGGGAATTTTTGTAACGGTTGTTGTGAATTTGAATTTTTTTCATTTTACAAGTTTTAATTCATTTTTGAGATTAAAGATCGGATTGAAAATTTGGTGCTTTATGTGCCTTCATTTGCTATCTGGATGAATAAAGATTCTGAGAGTAAAATTAAATAAGTTAAAAAAGGCTGGAAAAAAATAATTAAGTTGAAAAATTATTTAAAAGTTCACAAATTCAAAAAAATTAAAAAAAATTAAAAAGTTGAGAAATTCAAAGATTAAATTAATTCAAAAATGCTTTACATTTAAACAAATTAAGAAAAAAATGAAATTTAAAATTTTAACGAAAATAAAAAATATTGAAAAACGTTGAAAAGATTTAAAATATCCAAAAACGCAAAAAATAACTTTAAAATATTTCTTTATTTGTTAAAAAAAAGCTGTAAAATTAATAACAGAGGTACACAGTTGACAATATTTTAATAAACTTTTAAGATGTGAACATTTAAGATTTTTATATTGGAGGCACTCAAAGTGTTAATATTGTTTTGTCGGACAGCAAGCATTCATTTCAAAATATTCCAAAAGACTTTTTTTTTGTAATTTATAATTTTTTGTCATAGGTTTTACAAGACTAGGTGCATTTTATGATTTTTCAGGGTCAACATTTAGTTTTTACAACTGATAAAATACTCTTGTTGACCCTAAACCCCCTCCCCTTATCCTTCAGGAGTCTAAGACTGGTATTTTGGCATACAACTATTCCTCCTCCTCCTCCTAGTGAATATGCTAAGTTAAAAACCCTAGAATATGTGTAGGATAGAAGTCTTATCAAGAAACCAGCAAAGATTTTAATTTCTAGACATTACCACTGTCATTCTTGAATATAAAACTAAGGTTTACACAAAAAAGCAACCCCCTGACTGCACATCTCTCCTCCATTTATGCTGCCCACACTAACATTGAATTATATAATGTATATAAATTTATAATTTTGTTTTGTTCATTTAAGCATTAAGTTTTAAACTTTCTGTACGTTCAACAATGCTTGATCTAACTTTGAATGCAACATAGACAGTAAAGAATTGAATCAAAAAGACAACTGGTGATGGATAGAAGTAGTATGGATTGTAGCCCGAGAAATCTCCAGCAATAAGACTTTCAAGTAGTAAATAGAAGTAGAATCCACTGACTACCAGCAAGATGACAGAGATTACAATGAAGAAGATTGTCTGACGTGAATTATTCTGGAAATTAAACAGAATTTAGTATTTTGTAAAATTTAATTGATTTGTGTCTTACCGTTCTTATTGCCACTACAAATCTTGTTGCTGCAAAGTACAGAATGACTGCAATCACGACAAAGATTGACAAGAAAACTGTAAATAGAGTAAAAAAATAAAGTTTTAATAATTATGGAAAAATGATTTTGATAGATGAACTGAAGAACTGGTCAGAGATAACAGAACAGATAGATAGTAGAATAGTAGGACAGCCAGACAGACGCACAATACTGACAAAAATACTGACTAGTACAGGTTGAGTTTAGAAGAATAGATGAACAGACCTTTCAGTCAGTCACTGACAAGCTAGCAGCCGGACAAACAAACAGACTGACTGAAAATCTCAAATCAAAACTGTTCCAATTCCACCTAGTTTCACTCTCGCAACTTCAAAAAGAAACCCAAAACTTCTCTCTCGCGATCATAAAAAAATTTACGACTTCAAAAAAAAAATTCCATCTGTGATCTTATTTGATCTAAAATTATCACAAAATATTTCTAAAGAATATTCATTCACATCGGAAAACTAGCCATTATGTTTCACGCTTAGACACACATGACATCTACATTTCCAAATGGCCTTGAGAACATTTTCTCATTTTTATTTTTTATTGTTTTTCGTGTAATAAAATTCGACTTACGCCAATGGATTCCAAGAATAAAGCCGATGATGCATACAAGAACAACTAAGACACTCAGCACTCGATAAGTGATTCCAACAACTTTTCCAGTTTCTTCGACGTCTGCCATTTTTTAAGATGCAAAACTTTTAATTATTTTAGATTTCTAAAATTGCGTATGTTCCGAAAAATTGAAGAAAAAAAAGTAAAATGTTTGACTGCGATGAGTAAGCAGCAAGAACTGAAGATAACTGAGAATAATTTGTTTTTGGTTCACTTTACTCTCGCTATGCTCAATTTTTAATTAAATATTTTTCTTTTTTATTTGTTTCTCTCCGCGCGTTAAGCTTGCGTAAGATATGGGAACTCTCTTTTTTTAAATCGATTTTCACTCTCTGGATGACTCATTGGCAGGCTTTTTGGCGCCAATCCCTTAAAAGTATTGATATTTTGACGGATGTAAAAGTTTGACTGAGATTGTAAGTCACTGTATTTTTTGGTGTTTGGTTGTTTTTTTGGTAAATGGCACACCTTAAAGCCACTTCATTTATCGTAATTACTTTAATCAAAACTTTGTTGCATTTCACATATTGAGTTAAAGATAACAAGCTATTTATAGAGCAGAAGCTACAGTTCAGGATTACTTACTTACTTACTTAATGTCGCCGGAAGCTGGTTCTATCGCTGGCTACCACTTGCCAAATTCCTATACCAAATGCAATGTTGTCCCTATAAACAGCCTACTTCCACGAGTTATTTGGTCTTCCACGTGCTCGCTTGCCATCTACAAAGTCAGACTTGAAAAAAGGCAGACAGTTCAAGAACAAATACGTTAAATATTAAATCATATTAAGCACATGGCTTAATCTAAAACTATGATCAAGGCGTATACACTCGAAAAAAAAAGTTGGAATTTTCTGGGATTTTCGGGGAGTTCTTTGGGATTTTTGGGGATTTTCGGGGAGTTCTTTGGGATTTTGGGGATTTTCTGGAATTAATCCCAGTGCGTTGTCCGATAGTGCTTCAAACATGCAATTCATTCAAATCTTAATTCAGTTTTGATTGATCCACACCTAAAACTTTTTTTTCCATCGAGAGAATCCTAATCTGAGATACAAATTTGTTTTGACTGAGTTTTTAAACGAGTTTTTCAGGGATCATTAGGAGCTGCTCATAACTTAAGCTGCATTAAATCTCTCAACGAAATAAATTTCATCAAAACCTGATTTTATCATTTGAAACTTCATTTTATTTAAAATATTCAATTTCGTTCTATAAATTTGAGTAATAAAATCTTAAAATAATCTCAAAAAATGGTCAAATTTAATTTGACTTTATAATTTTTTATTTTAAACTACAAATCTAAATGACTCTAAGATAAAATTCAGCTACCATTCAGACACTAAATTCTCTCATAAGCACTATCAATTCTAAAAAGTTTCACAAGAACGCCAACGTTGACTATACATGAGAATGTTTGGAAGGTAACAACACTCGTTATTATGGCGAAATCAAATAATGTCAGTGGATTTCCATTTTCTAGTTTAATTGCAATGTAAACCCAAAAGTAGATGATTAATGCAACTTCAAGCAAGATTGATAAAATGACAAAGAGAATCGTCCATCTGTAGTTCCTCTAAAAGTAAGAAATACTGCAATTAGGATTAATAATAATTTAATAAGGCAATTAGTGTGATCTGTGGAATTTGTAGCACGCTGATTAGCTTACAAGCGGACATAGTTGCTTACACAGTAGAATCTCTCAGGATTTTCTTTGTCAGTTCTTACTATTTTGATCCAGACTCGGAAATTAGGTGGTTTTCCCGCAAAATACAGCCATTAAAATACTGCCTAGTTTCCGAGCATTGATTTTGTAAGAGACTGTTCAAAAATGCTGAAAAAATGTCACAAAACTCCAGAAACCCTCTTTCTGATCGTCATTTATGAACAGCAGTTAACTACTTGGTAAAATTTCATCAAACTTACTTTAATAATAGCCGTCACAAATATGATTGCTCCGAAAAAGTAAACTACAGTAAGGACCAGTAAGGCTGTTGAATATTCTACAATAAAGAAATCAAAAGAATTAAAAAATCAGGTAACAGATGTTTTTTACAAACTAGACCAGTGTTGTCCAAACTGTTTGAGCCGCGGCAGGGGCATAGCCAGGAATTTGAAGAGGGGGGAGGGAATTTTTTGTATGGAAAAATTGTGGGGGGGGGGGGGCGAATTTTGTGATATTTTCATAAAACCCTAGCAAAATAAAGAAATTTCTGTTTAAGTTGGGGGATTTGTCCTTCAAATCCCCACTGGCTCCGCGCCTGAGCCACGGCACATCTTAGTCGCTCACAGCATGCGGCTCTAGTCATTTAAAAAAAAATTTACGGCAAACTGATCTAGTTTGCACAACACTGATCTAGATGATAAAAAAATGTAAAGATGGCATACGAGAGAAACTGACAGAACGGGTTGTTGTCTAAAATGTTTAAACTAAGCTTTTCTCCACAAATTTAAGTTCAATTCTTGGTTAAATAACTTTCTCAGTTTTTATTAATGGTGCCGGACGGTTTTTAAAGCTCCCTAAGGCACTCTTCGATATGTCAATTGAATATAATTAATCTGCGGCTAGGGAGGGTGCCCCGAATAGCTCAAGTCAAATTTAAACTTCTAAACGAGTTGGCTCTTTGACCTTAATCTTATAGCCTAGTGTCAACAATTGACCATTGACAATCTTTTCATATGTTCAACAAAAAGAATTAAGATAACAAAACAAAGAAAAAATGAATCAAAATTCATACTTGCAAGTGCTGAAAACTGCGTAATAAACCATATAGCACTAAGGATCACATGAGACAGTCCGACAAAAACGCCAAATTTCTCAAAAGTTGGAACAATATCAACCATAATTTCACAATAAATTAAATTAACAATTAAAATTTGAGTATTAACAATTGCGTTTGAAGTTTATGACTAACAAATGGGTTCATGCTTATCATGAAGAAGATGTGATAAGACGCTGAATTGCGATAAAAAATAATAAAAACAAATAAACTGGTAAATATGAAAATAAATATTTATTAGACGCTGATTTTTAAAGCTTTTTGGTTTGTGCTGTTTTTATTCTGAATTACTCAAGACGTAGAAAGACAAAAGAAGAGCCGAATTTGGTGTAAATCAATGCGTCTTTTAGATGAATCTAAAAAAATCTCTAAAGCCTTTCATAACCTCCAGCAATCCTATACATTTTGATATAAACTCCAAAACTGACAAGACATGTATATGTAAAATATCCAAGCAATCCCAACGGAACGGCTAAATTGCAAAACTCTTTGTTCGTTTCTCCATCAAGCTGCATTGCGATGTGGGCGGCAAAGTATGAAATTATTACAATTTCCATTATTAGTGACATGAGGACAAACACTGACACCCATCGATGATTATGCTGGAATGAGGAGTTAAATTAAGATTTTAAAATTTGAAAAATTTAATGCAAGGGTGTAACAATATGATTGAAAACAAGTTAAACAACTTTAAGGTTAAGTTTTAAATAACCATTGACGTTAGGTGTCAAATATACTTTGAGGTTATGTTTCAAAGAAACTTTAAGGTTAGGTTTTAAATTAACTTTGAGGTTAGGTTTCAAAGCAATTTTGAGGTAAGGTTTAAAAGGAACTTTGAGGTTAGGTTTCACAGCAGTTTTGAGGTTAAATTTCAAAGAAAATTTAAGGTTAGGTTTTAAATTAACTTGGAGGTTAGGATTCAAAGCAATTTTGAGGTAAGGTTTAAAAGGAACTTTGAGGTTGGGATTCAAAGCAATTTTGAGGTTAAATTTCAAAGAAACTTTGAGGTTAGGATTCAAAGTAATTTTGAGGTTAAATTTCAAAGAAACTTTGAGGTTAGGTTTCAAAGGAACTTTGAGGTTAGGTTTCAAAAAAATTTAAGGTAAGGTTTTAAATTAACTTGGAGGTTAGGTTTCAAAGCAATTTTGAGGTAAGGTTTAAAAGGAACTTTGAGGTTAAGATTCAAAGCAATTTTGAGGTTAAATTTCAAAGAAACTTTGAGGTTAGGATTCAAAGTAATTTTGAGGTTAAATTTTAAAGAAACTTTGAGGTTAGGTTTTAAATTAACTTGGAGGTTAGGTTTTAAAGCAATTTTGAGGTTAAATTTCAAAGAAACTCTGAGGTTAGGTTTTAAATTAACTTGGAGGTAAGGTTTCAAAAGGAACTTTCAGGTTAAGTTTCAAAGAAACTTTGAGGTTAGACTGTCAAAGGAACTTTGAGGTTAGGTTTCAAAGAAATTTTGAGGTTAGGTTTCAAAGGAACTTTGAGGTTAGGTTTCAAAGCAGCTTTGAGGTTAAATTTCAAACAAAATTTAAGGTAAGGTTTCAGATCATCAAAACTAATTCCAATTACATTGTTTTTTCTTTGCTTTCATGCGACTTACTCTTTTGATGCCAATCACAAATATTGACGATATAAAAAACCATAACACAGCAATTGTCATGAAAATTATGTCATATCCTGAAAACAAACCCAAAACTTAAACAATAAAGTCATAAAAAATTCAAAAAATATTCATACTTACTCACAATTGAATCCCCAAACAGCCTGATGAGTTCAAATGTGAACCACCCAATGCTTAGTAAAATATGCGACACACCTGTGTAAATGCCTAATTTCTCGAATGAACAATTAAGAACTATATCTGCCATAGCTTAATTATTGTTTGAAGAAGACTTATTTTGTTTTGATGAAAAATATTGCCAAACTTTGTTGTTGTAGTTTTGTTTATTTTATTTATGATTAAAGTTTTATAATTTCTTTCAATTTTAACCCAATCAACACTTTCTTCACATTTAACTGGGCTATTCTTAATAAATTAAATATCTATTGTTTTCCACAAAGTGCGTATTTTGATGCTCAGCTGTATTATTTTGTTATCACTAGTATTTATGCTTGTTTACCTTAGACTGATAAGACGCTGAATATTGATGAATAGAAAAAAATGGAAACAATACAAAAACAACAATTAGTTTTGATGTTGATCAGATTTCGGATTCATTGAATTATTGCGAGTAGCTTAAGCAAATTCACTAATCTGATTTTTTCAAACCCGATTTATTTCTAACCCTAAACTGTTCATGAACCTTCGGTTTTGCGATATTTTGGTGACTTTGTTCAATTTCATTCAAAATTGGATGGACCTTAGCATAATTTTGATAACTTTTCTTTATTAATGTCACTTTAGGCTTCCTGATATTCTGTCTATAAACTTTGTACCTCATAGTTGCAACAAAGTAACCAGCTTCCAGGACAAAACAAGCAAAACTGCATCCACAACATCCAAGCCAAATGAAAAATCCAAAATCTAAATTCTCAACAGTAAGAACTTTTGGTTCCTTTTTAACTCGAAACTTCATCTTTTCACCCATTGCATCTTTTATGATTTTATCCATAATGCCAGTCATTGTCCATGCATTAATGACTGAATTTATAATGAAAAGGTAAAAATTGTTTCGATAAAATTGAAAAGTAGCACGCGTGACGAAAAATGGATCCGGTAATTGATGCCAATTCTTGGATTTACCTTCCGCTTTTTCAAAATAATTAAGCATGTAAAGTTGAAAAATTAAGCCCAACTTTGCTGATGAATTCTGTGCCTGACTATAATAAATATCAAAAAAATCATCTTGATCTATAACTTCTAATTCTGGCCAATTTATGTCACCATTTTTCATGACATCCTTATACATCACATTATGATCTCTGGCTAATAGTTTGTAGCCTTTTTGTGCCATTTCTTTCATTGAGTTTGGTGGTGGACGTCTTGGTGAGGTTGTCATAAACTCAAACATTTTACTTTGATAGCATGTCCGAAAAATGAGGCAAAAAAGGATGAACATCATGAGAATAAATCGTGAAAAATGCAGTCTTGGATCTTTAAGCTGTGGAATGCCAAAAAATGTGCTGATGACATTCAATGCTGGACTTTTGACATTCGGACCATAAAATAATCTATGAATAGGCTCAGGCAGAAAATAAATGACAAAAATTGTCAAGAAGGCAGTGAAAAATGTAAAAACTAATAAAATCCACGTTATCTTATCAAATGGCAGCAATAGCTTCTCATAAGATGAATAAACTTGTCCAGGTGTGACTAGAACAACCTCAAAGATATCCAAAAATGTTCCAGTAAAGTGAGAACTTTTGAAATCTCGATTAGCTTGTGCTTCAATGCGAGTAACTCCAAAGCAGACATTTGGCAACGTCAAATTCCAGTCAATTTTTGGACTTTCAAAAACTTTAGTGCAATGGAAATCATTTTGATCTTTTAACATTTCAATTTCATATCCGGGCTTATAGTTGAAATATCTTCCAATGTCTTTAAATAATTTTGGAATAATTCCAATGACTTCAAATGAATTTGCTGATTTTTTTAAGCCCATCCAGCCTTTTGCATAATTTATATGGTAAGCCGTCCTCATCACCAATTCACAGCTATGAAAGTTTTGGAATTTTTCATAGATTTGAAGTTTTTTCTCCCACTTTTGTGTTGTTTTGTTGAAGATATTTAAAGTTATTAGCTGTGGCGTATTGCAAGCTGTTTCTGTATAATACTCAATGGTTGTCAGGTAGAGCAACTCCTCGTCATTAATCAGGAGATACTCAAAAGCTTCCATGTCATTCTCCATGTATGTCAATATTCGAAATACAATTTTTTTAATGTTAGACTTGATGATTTCAAAGCTACAATTCTCAATGTAAGTAAGAATTTTCAATGGCATTGGATATTCATTTGTAGCATATTGATGGATATGAATGAATCCCAAAGTGCTGCATGAATACACAAATATTATTGATGAAATGTCGTACATTAAAATATTCTCGCTTATTGTGTTGACTTTGCATGAGAACTTGTGATTTTCTTGTGACAAAAATTTAGTATGTAGAAGTTCTGAATAATTCTGGTCCTGCTTATTGTCGTAGAAAACGTTGAAAAGTTGGTTTTTATTGAAAAACGTGCCAAAAACTTCGTTTAAAGCAATCAAGTTTAGTGACAAATTAGGTGATTTAACATAATTAAATCCACAAAAGATGTTTGAAATCAGTGAAAAGTAGAGGAAGCTCTTGAACTTCATTTGTTTGATTAATCAGCCTGGTCTACACTTAATGGAAATGCTGAGCAAAATTTAAATGTTTTTTTTCTTCAAAATTTACACAAATTTGAATGCAAAGTCATCAAATGAAACACCAAATGCTTAATGTTGGCGCTTAAAACAATTGTACTAAAAAAATAGACATTAATTATCAAGCAGTTGAAAGTAAATGATAATTACAACACTGATTAACAAGCGCTAGTGTCTCGACATGGTCTAATTATATTAATGCTCTTTTGACACGTGATTATTTTTAATCAGTTCCACACTCTTGACAGCAACAGTAACTAATTGGTTAATAGACTAATTCATGAAATATGTTTTTGAGGTCAAGGCAAAGGAGAAAATAACATTTAAAGCTTAAAAAGCTTGAAAGAAGAGGTAATAGCGTGAAAAGCGTAGGAAGCAAAAGTGCCTTGATATCTCAGTTGGCAAGGTACAGTTCACAAAAGTTGGTTGGGTTCGAATCCTACGACCAGCCTAGTGATTTGTCAGAAGTTCTGATACTTCGGCTTCTAAGGTTCAGCAGTGTAAGACGTAAAACTAAGAATTAGGCAATGTGAGATGTAGGAACGAATTATGCAGATAGAATGAGAAAAATACGAGAAGAACCATGGCTTTTACTGGAACAGACCTGGAGGCATTGTGACCTACTGAAAATTGGAACGATTGCCGACATGAACACTAGTTCTAAGACTTAAAAACAGTTTATTGGCTGCTGGACGCACAACTGCTTAGTTGCAACTGCATCATCTCCTGCAACCCTCAATGTTTTATCCTCATAATGGATATCCTTACATGAAAAGAGCAGGACCTCTCGATGCAGGCCCACAACTAATGCCACATCATCCAACCAGTATTCCATTCTGAGCTAGCGTACATAATATAGATTTCTGATACGAACAATTCATGTTCGACAGACTTATCGAAAGTCTAGGGTAGTTATAATATGCACGTTCGAAAAGTTTAAATTTGAAAGAAACCGTTACAATTTTAGTGATTTTATTAGAGTTTTTGATCGTTTTAAAAAAGATTTAGCTTTATTATGCTTATCATGAAATGACTACATAATATTTTCATCTATATTTCATATAAAACTTGTTTAATTTAAGTTTTTATTTATTTCTAATTTTCGAAAATTTCGAACTGCAGGGTATGAAACTTCGAATTTTGTATGGCAGACAGACAAATAAGACATTTTCACAAGTTTACTTGGAAACTGTAACGGTCGAAACACTTGAATTGTTCGTATCAGATAGATTTAAATATAAAATTGTAGCGCCTAAAGGTTTAATAACACTGCTGCACAATTTAAGATGAATACATTGAATTGAAAAGTTAAAGAAAAAGAATTCTTTATGAACGGGCTTGTTTTTTACATTCCTAAACTTCCTGTCAATTCTTTTGCTTATATTTTATACTAGATCACACATAGCAGCAGTGCTGTTTAAATCATCCTCATTTTATTTAAATGAAAAACACTAGCCGGGTCTTTCAGTAATAAATGCACTTTGCTGTATCTTTGTAGCAACTCCTTATATTTACCTGTGGTCGGCAAAGAGCTTATAAAATCAGTTGAAACTTTAAAGATTTGAATTTGAATTTTTAAACATTTCGGACGGTAAAATTTAAATTAATAAAGGAAAAACTTTATTTAATCATAATTTGTTTTGTTGCTTTCAAGTCATTTTGCTAATAAATAATATAGTACTTTTTGATATTCAAAAAATTAGCATTAAGTAGCTTAATTCACTAGACTTTGAGATTTCTCAAAATAATTTTTTCCTTCGTCATGTTTGTTTACATTTTGATGAAAAATATTTGAAAAAGAAAACGCGAAATTTTATCAAAACCAGATGAAATATTGAATTCATAAACAGTTTTAAACAAAGAATGTGTGTCTATTTTATGTTTAAAATAGTAATTTGTAAGAAAACACAAGGATTTTGGCTGAAAATTAACAAAATTTTCTGATTGGCTAAAATTCATAACGGATTAAGTTCTAAAAATAAGGACTACTAAAAAAGTACTAAATCTAATTGTTCTAAAAATAAGATCCGTTTGCCTACCACAGATATTTACCTATAGTATATAAGCCAGAATATATACCCAGCTATGCTCTTAAAATTGGGCTACAAAGTTTGTTTCATAACTATGATAAAATGTGTCAAATCAAAGGTTTGGTGCAGTAATGTTTGGAATTTGTCTCTTCGAGTGCAACTTTGGAGGCAATGGAACCATTTTTTGGCAGCTTAAAATGTTCAAAAACTTTCCTTTTTGTCACTATTTGCTGACAATGTGAAACTTTATCCACAACCGGATAGACTTTTTCATAATGTTTCGTTACCAATGTCATTTTAGGCTTCCTGGTATTCTGTCTATAAACTTTGTACCTCATAGATGCAAGAAAGTATCCAGCTTCCAGTACAAAACAAGCACAGCTGCATCCACAACATCCAAGCCAAATGAAAAATCCAAAATCTAAATTTTCAACACCAAGAACTTTTGGTTCCTTTTTAACTCGAAACTTCATCTTTTCACCCATTGCATCTTTTATGATTTTATCCATAATGCCAGTCGTTGTCCATGCATTAATGACTGAATTTATAATGAAAAGGTAAAAATTGTTTCTATAAAATTGAAAAGTAGCACGCGTGACGAAAAATGGATCCGGTAATTGATGCCAATTCTTGGATTTACCTTCCGCTTTTTCAAAATAATTAAGCATGTAAAGTTGAAATATTAAGCCCAACTTTGCTGTTGAGTTCTGTGCCTGACTATAATAAATATCAAAAAAATCATCTGAATCTATAATTTCTAATTCTGGCCAATTGATGTCGCCATTTTTCATGACATCCTTATACATCACATTATGATTTCTGGCTAATAGTTTGTAGCCTTTTTGTGCCATTTCTTTCATTGAGTTTGGTGGTGGACGTCTTGGTGAGGTTGTCATGAATTCAAACATTTTACTTTGATAACATGTCCGAAAAATGAGGCAAAAGAGGATGAACATCATGAGAATAAATCGTGAAAAATGCAGTCTTGGATCTTTAAGCTGTGGAATGCCAAAAAATGTGCTGATGACATTCAATGCTGGACTTTTGACATTCGGACCATAAAATAATCTATGAATAGGCTCAGGCAGAAAATAAATGACAAAAATTGTCAAAAAAGCAGTAAGAAATGTCAAAGCTAATAAAATCCACGTCATCTTATCAAATGGCAGCAAAAGCTTCTCATAAGATGAATAAGCATGTCCAGGTGTGACTAGAACAACTTCACGAATATCCATCAAGGGAGTAGAAAAGTGAGCACGATCGGAAAATTTATAAGTTTTTGCCTCAATGCGAGTAACTCCAAAGCATACATTTGCCAAAGTTAAGTTCCAATCAATTTCTGGATCTTCATAGAACGGGATGCAATGCAAATCATTTGGATCTTTCAGCATTGCAACTTCATACTGAGGCTTATAGTTGAAATATCGTCCAATGTCGTCAAACAATTGTGGAATAATTCCAACAGCATTAAATGAATTTTCTGATTTTTCTAAGCCCATCCATCCTTTGCCATGACTAAATTTGTATGCAGTCAACATAACAAGGTTACAGCCATGAAAATTTTGGAATTTTTCATAATTTTGTAGCTCTTTTGCCCATTTTTGAGTTGTCTTGTTGAAGACATTTAAAATTATCAGCTGTGGCGTATTGCAAGCTTTCTTTGTGAAATACTCGATGGTTGTCAGGTAGACCAACTTTTTGTCATTAATCAGGATATACTCAACAGATTCGACGCCATTCTCCATGTATGTCAAAATTCGAAATGCAATTTTTATGATGTTAGACTTGATGAACTTATAGCTACAATTTTCAACATAAAACAGGATCTTCAATGACATTAAATATTCATTAAAGGCCAATTGATGAGTATGAATGAATCCAAAAGTGCGGCATGAATACACAAATATTATTGATGATATTTCATATATTAAAATATTCTGGCTTATTGTGTTGACTTTGCATGAGAACTTGTGATTTTCTTGTGATAAAAATTTAGTATGTAAAAGTTCTGAATACTTCTGGTCCTGCTTATTGTCGTAGAAAACGTTGAAAGGTTGATTTTCCGTGAAAAATGTGTCAACGGCATCATTTAGAGCTTTCAAATTTGACGATAAATTTGGAGATGGAGCATAATTAAATCCACAAAAGATTGACGAAATCAGTGAAAATAAGAGAAAAATTTCAAACTTCATTTTTTTTAATCCTGAAAAGTTTTGACCTTTTTTCCAATTTTTCTACATTTTTTCAATAATATTTTATTAAATCCAATTCAAAAGACATCAATTGAACAACTGTGCTTAAAACTAAACCTTTTAATATTGTCAAGCTCTAGTCCACATGATAAGTTCTACACTGATCAACAAGTACTGATGTCTCGACATGGTCTAATTATATTAATGCTATTTTGACTTATTATTATTTTTTATCAGTTCCACACTCTTGACAGCAACAGTAACTAATTGGTTAGTAGACTAATTCATGAAATTTGTTTTGGGGATCGTTCCCTTACGACGTCCGAAAAAACGGTCATTTTTAAAAAAAACAATGGATTTTCAGAAATTTCTATTGTTCTTTTCTTGCTGATCCCACCCACTCCCCTGGATGTCAAGAAGACCGACCTTTTTAAGGTCAAGGTAAAAGAGAAGATGACAATTAAATCTCAAGAAACTAGGGACAAGAGCTTATGTTGTAACTTGAACAGATTAGATCAAATAAAATTGCTGTGCTACTCTAATTGCATCCGTTACATTTCAATGATATACTTTAATGCAAGGACACTTGCAAAAAATCCACAACCGTAGCTACCTTTCCATTTTCTATACCATAAACCTCATTGTCGGAACTAGGCTACCCTGTTTTTTAACGTCCGAGGCAAAATTGAAAATTCATGCCTCTTTGTTTGAGATTATTGAAAAAAAAATTGTCGCATCCTGGGTTAGGACCCCTGTGGCCCTCCTTGCTATGTCATTGATAAACCTACACCTACCTCTTGTATAATATGGTTGATGAAGTAGTAGACATAGGTATAGGTACATACACTTGATCAGTGTTGGGAAACCCTTCTTAAGTCATAGCACATCTTAGCCATAAGCCATGACTGAAACTGCCCCTCTTCGCAGACTGTCTTGAATTTGTGTTAACCATCATTACTTTAGAAAATGCCAGAGAAAATGTCACTGCTAGGACAGAAACACAAATTTGTTATACCGCTCTTGGATGGAATTCACAAGATAAAAGACGCCTTGGAGCTCCAAAAGCTACTTGGCGCAGAACAGTAATGAAACAATATCAGCTTAAAGTACGGACAGAGAAGTTGTAAAAACTAGGTGACAGAGCTACCAACAGAGTCAGATGAAAGACTTTTTGGTGTAACCTAAGCTCTATACAGGAACAAAGTTAAAGTAAGTAAGTAAATCACTGTTTTAGATTATGATAAGGTTTAACTAGTTTAGATGCTAGTGACGTTATAAACCAAGATACCTATCACAACTGTCAAACCGATTGTTTTGTGAAAGGTTTCAACTATTCATGTGCGACTTGACAGTCAATCAAATCCTTTTTTTTTTGGTAGCCTAAAAACTTCTCTTTTTTTCATATTTTGTTGACTAGATTCACCATCATCGAAACCTGGATAGACTTTTTCAAACTTTCTCTCTACCAACATCATTTTTGTATGCTTCATATAAGCTTGACACATCATCGAGCAAACCTTTTCCAGCACAAAGCAAGCAAAATTAACCACACAACATCCAAGCCAAATATAAAATCCAAATTCTAAATCCTCAAATATTAAAACTTGTGGTTCATTAAAAATTATGTTTTTCTCCTTAGAGCCCAATCGCTTATTTAACATCACATCAATAATTCCAGTCGGGATCCATGCATTCAAGAATCTATTAATGATGTACAAATAGAAATTATTGTTATGAAATACAAAAACAGCGTGCGTATCAAAAAATGGATCAGGTAATTGATGCCAATTGTATTTGTCATCTCCATTAAGAATATTCAGCATATATAGCTGAATAATTATGCCTAATTTTGCTGATGAATTTTGTGATTGAGTTTCGAAAATATCCCAATATTCAGTATGATTTACAATGACTAGTTCCGGCCAATCTCGATTGTCATTTGTCATGACATTGTTATATGTGATTAAATTATTTCTAGCCAAAAGTTTGTAGTTTCTTTCAATCATTTCCTGGATGGAATTTGGTGGCGGTCGTCTTGGTGTGCTTGTCATGAACTCAAACAATTTACTTTGATAGCATGTCCGGAATATAAGGCAAAAAAGGATGAACATCATGAGAATAAATCGTGAGAAATTTAATTTTGGAAGTTTGTCCTGTGAAATGCCATAAAATGTGCTGATGACATTCAATGCTGGACATTTAACATTCGGACCATAAAATAAATTATGAATTGATTTAGGCAGCATGCTAATAATGAAAATAGTTAAGAATGCAGTTGCAAATAAACAAATAATTAAAATCCACGTCATTTTATCAAATGGAAGTAATAGCTTCTCATATGATGTATAGGCATCACCAGGTGTAACTAGAATAACTTCATTAATATCCATAAATGGTATTGAAAAGTGCAAAAGCTGGTATTCTTTGTATGATTGTATTTCAAAGCGAGTAACATCAAAGCAGACATTTTCAAGCTTTTTGTCTGAGGAACGATAATTTTCATCAAATGTGCAGTGATACTCATCATATTCTAAAGATGCAGTGAAGTTCCATTTAGTCTTATAATTTAAATATTTTCCAATCTCTTCAAATAACTCTGCTATAACTCCAGATGCTTGTCCTGAATCTGATGTCATCCAACCTTTACCGTAACATTTGATATCTTTTGCAAGCATCACAAGCTCACAGCCATGAAAGTCTCGAAATTTTCTATAATTCTGAAGCTTTTTGTCCCAATTTTGTGTTGTTTTATTGAAGATATTTAAAATTATGAGTTGTGGCTCATTGCATGCTGCTTCTGTAAAATATTCAATAGTCGTCAGATACAGCAGCTCGTTATCATCAATCAGGACATATTCAAAAGCTTCCATATGGTTACTTAAGTATGTCAATTTTGGCATTATCAACAGGTCTTTTAAGTTCGATCGGATGAACATTATATCGCAATTTTCGACATAAATTAGAAATTTTAAATCTAATGGCTCAATATTCTCAAAGATTTGACGATAATGAACTGATGTATAGCCAATGCATGAATACACAAAATTAATTGTCGATATTTTATACTTTTTATCATAAGCTTTTAACACGTCTATGCTGTAGGCAAACTTTCCATTATTTTGAGATAAAAACTTTTGGTGCATAAATTCTAAATACTTTGACGACCGTGTCTCTTCTACAACAATATCAAATCGTGTGCTGTTTCCATAAATAATGTCAACTACATCATTGAGTGCTATCAAACTTGATGCTTCCAACTTAATCTCACAATTAATTATTATTAATAAAATAAAAAATAAAAATTTTTGGACCACATCATAAATGACGTCGACAGCCAAATGTCATCCAGGAATTCTTTTCATCTTTTTTTACAGATTCGATAAAAATTAATTTAAACTTTTTTTTTATGAACTATATTTTTTATTGCTTTATTAAAGACGACCAGCAAGCTACTGAATAGATTTTGTTAAAATATAATTTATTCTTTCTAGACATCGATTGATCAAAAGCTGTCCAGGTGTAGGCTATCCAACTGCACAATTTTAAACGGACAATCCAGCTTTTTTGAATAAAGTCTCGCATTAATCCTTTTTTGAATCTACTTTTTTTGGAAAATGTTTGAAAATTCGGTCAATCTCGCTTTTTTAAAAGCTGAATTCCAGACATTTCCTGCTTTTTGATAAAAACCGATGGACAGCCGAAAATTAAGCGACATGTTCAAAAATCTATAAACGACCAATTAAGTTGTTGATTGAAATTGACAAGTTCTAGGCAAAAGTATAATTCTAAAACATAATAAGCCAATTGTGAGTAATAGAATCAGAGCGATAGCCTCATGTGATAAAGTTAATGACTTCAATCTTAGGTCATGTTAAGTTTTAAGAGCTGTAATGTCTTAATTATGAAGCTTCGTTCATGTGTTTGGTGTTGTTTTGAGGTCTTTAGCACATAATTTGATAAAAATATCCTTTGACCTGATTCTGAATGTCTTCATAACTGCCTTCAGCTCAAAAGGGTGGGCCCTCCTTAGAATTTACGTTTTTAAAGACCAATCGTATTGAGATAAAATATCGTTTGTTCATTAAGTTCAGCAAAAACGGTCATTTTTCAACAAATAACAATGCAATTCTCAGAAGCTATCGTTTAAATCTTGTCTACCCTGCACGTACAATACCATGGTACCAAAAAAAAAATAGTTTAAAAAATCCTTGACTCCAGCTTACTTACTCACTTCGATGACATTACAGATCAGTTGAAATCCATAGCCTCCCTCAGATGTCGCCTAAAACTGGCTCTATTGCCCGCTTCTGATTGCCAATTTCCCCCCGCTTAACTTCTTTAAAAATCTTAGCATTGCCTCTAACGTAAGAAGGATTGCTTCAAATTCAAATTAGAATCAAGGGTGACAATTCCCCACCACCATTCAATTAGATTTAAGCAGTTAAGTCCCTTGCTGGTCGAATAGGTAAGTAAAGTGCTTGGCTTAAATTTGGTATAATAACTCAAAACTCATCTGCATGAATCCAGCCACTCCCAAAATTGTTCTTTTTCAGAAATTTAGATACTTCGACTGCTTAATGTACAAGATCAAGCCATAATCAAGGCGTGGAAACTATCCCAAATATCCCATTTATCCCAAAAATATTCAAAATAATCCCTGAGCCTGTATGCATTAGAATTGCGTTGGGATATCTCAATTCTAATGCATACAGGCTCGGGGATTATTTTGAATATTTTTGGGATATATGGGATAAATGGGATATTTGGGATAGTTTCCACGCCTTAGCCATAATTGTGCATTCGGGCAACGTTGGATTAAGGGACGGGTCAGGAAGTAGAAGTGAAGTGCGAGCAATAGGAACGAGTGCTACAAGATTACCCACGAATGGAATATTGTCAGAACGAACCTGAAAAGTATCACGTCACGCCCACTGAAGATTGAAATGAGAGCCTGAATTTAACCAAAACCTAGTTTTAAAGATTGTAAGCTTGATGCCACATCACCATAGAAATATAAATTGCATCACTAATCAATGTAAAAAGTCAGTTCCGCACCACAATAAGAACAAATAATAAATTTTTCTTTAAAATTCTTTAGACACTTTGTAGCTGTAAGACGTCGATTCTGCTTTCTTGACAGGTCTTCTCAATTTTATAAACAAGACAGTGCTTACAAAAAGTGTGATTATGTGAAAGGTGAATAAAATTGGTGCCGGTAAGAAATAAAATATTGAATTGAGTTTTCCTTGTTTTCGGATTGCAAATATTGACAGCATAAATCCAATGACGCCTAAAGTCACAAATCCAGTGGTTGCTATGAATTCAGCTGCGTAGACGTATTTAAGTTCCTTAAATTAAATAAAGAAAAAGTAAAACTGAAAATAATAATTGAGATTAAATAGTTTCGTACCCTTCTGATAGCTTTGATGAACATCCATGATGTGATCAGCCAATGGGCACATGTAAGTATCAAAAATGCACATGATGTGATTCCTGAAAGCATAATCGACTAAGGTTACTAAGTTTGTTGTAAAAAGTGCTACAAAAAGTGGATATTTTTGGAAACAAATGCAGAATAATTTAATTTAAATGAATCCCCAAAGACTTTAACTTAATTTATGTGACACTGACTCTCCCAACAACACAGGATATAAAAGTGAAGGTTAATTCTTTATGTTTATTGAATTAAAAAACCATTTTTTAAGCAAAAAATTGAAAAACTTTTACGAAATGAAAAAGAAAATGCACAAAAAAGTTGAAAAAGTTGAAAAAGTTGAAAAAGTTGAAAAAGTTGAAAAAGTTGAAAAAGTTGAAAAAGTTGAAAAAGTTGAAAAAGTTGAAAAAGTTGAAAAAGTTGAAAAAGTTGAAAAAGTTGAAAAAGTTGAAAAAGTTGAAAAAGTTGAAAAAGTTGAAAAAGTTGAAAAAGTTGAAAAAGTTGAAAAAGTTGAAAAAGTTGAAAAAGTTGAAAAAGTTGAAAAAGTTGAAAAAGTTGAAAAAGTTGAAAAAGTTGAAAAAGTTGAAAAAGTTGAAAAAGTTGAAAAAGTTGAAAAAGTTGAAAAAGTTGAAAAAGTTGAAAAAGTTGAAAAAGTTGAAAAAGTTGAAAAAGTTGAAAAAGTTGAAAAAGTTGAAAAAGTTGAAAAAGTTGAAAAAGTTGAAAAAGTTGAAAAAGTTGAAAAAGTTGAAAAAGTTGAAAAAGTTGAAAAAGTTGAAAAAGTTGAAAAAGTTGAAAAAGTTGAAAAAGTTGAAAAAGTTGAAAAAGTTGAAAAAGTTGAAAAAGTTGAAAAAGTTGAAAACGTTGAAAAAGTTGAAAAGTTGAAAAAGTTGAAAAAGTTGAAAAAGTTGAAAAAGTTGAAAAAGTTGAAAAAGTTGAAAAAGTTGAAAAAGTTGAAAAAGTTGAAAAAGTTGAAAAAGTTGAAAAAGTTGAAAAAGTTGAAAAAGTTGAAAAAGTTGAAAAAGTTGAAAAGTTGAAAAAGTTGAAAAAGTTGAAAAAGTTGAAAAGTTGAAAAAGTTGAAAAAGTTGAAAAAGTTGAAAAAGTTGAAAAAGTTGAAAAAGTTGAAAAAGTTGAAAAAGTTGAAAAAGTTGAAAAAGTTGAAAAAGTTGAAAAAGTTGAAAAAGTTGAAAAAGTTGAAAAAGTTGAAAAAGTTGAAAAAGTTGAAAAAGTTGAAAAGGTTGAAAAGGTTGAAAAAGTTGAAAAGTTGAAAAAGTTGAAAAAGTTGAAAAAGTTGAAAAAGTTGAAAAAGTTGAAAAAGTTGAAAAAGTTGAAAAAGTTGAAAAAGTTGAAAAAGTTGAAAAAGTTGAAAAAGTTGAAAAAGTTGAAAAAGTTGAAAAAGTTGAAAAAGTTGAAAAAGTTGAAAAAGTAGAAAAAGTTGAAAAAGTTGAAAAAGTTGAAAAAGTTGAAAAAGTTGAAAAAGTTGAAAAAGTTGAAAAAGTTGAAAAAGTTGAAAAAGTTGAAAAAGTTGAAAAAGTTGAAAAAGTTGAAAAAGTTGAAAAAGTTGAAAAAGTTGAAAAAGTTGAAAAAGTTGAAAAAGTTGAAAAAGTTGAAAAAGTTGAAAAAGTTGAAAAAGTTGAAAACGTTGAAAAAGTTGAAAAAGTTGAAAAAGTTGAAAAAGTTGAAAAAGTTGAAAAAGTTGAAAAAGTTGAAAAAGTTGAAAAAGTTGAAAAAGTTGAAAAAGTTGAAAAAGTTGAAAAAGTTGAAAAAGTTGAAAAAGTTGAAAAAGTTGAAAAAGTTGAAAAAGTTGAAAAAGTTGAAAAAGTTGAAAAAGTTGAAAAAGTTGAAAAAGTTGAAAAAGTTGAAAAAGTTGAAAACGTTGAAAAAGTTGAAAAGTTGAAAAAGTTGAAAAAGTTGAAAAAGTTGAAAAAGTTGAAAAAGTTGAAAAAGTTGAAAAAGTTGAAAAAGTTGAAAAAGTTGAAAAAGTTGAAAAAGTTGAAAAAGTTGAAAAAGTTGAAAAAGTTGAAAAAGTTGAAAAAGTTGAAAAAGTTGAAAAAGTTGAAAAAGTTGAAAAAGTTGAAAAAGTTGAAAAAGTTGAAAAGTTGAAAAAGTTGAAAAAGTTGAAAAAGTTGAAAAAGTTGAAAAAGTTGAAAAAGTTGAAAAAGTTGAAAAAGTTGAAAAAGTTGAAAAAGTTGAAAAAGTTGAAAAAGTTGAAAAAGTTGAAAAAGTTGAAAAAGTTGAAAAAGTTGAAAAGGTTGAAAAGGTTGAAAAAGTTGAAAAGGTTGAAAATATTGAAAAAGTTGAAAAAGTTGAAAAAGTTGAAAACGTTGAAAAAGTTGAAAACGTTGAAAAAGTTGAAAACGTTGAAAAAATTGAAAAAGTTGAAAAAGTTGAAAAAGTTGAAAAAGTTGAAAAAGTTGAAAAAGTTGAAAAAGTTGAAAAAGTTGAAAAAGTTGAAAAAGTTGAAAAAGTTGAAAAAGTTGAAAAAGTTGAAAAAGTTGAAAAAGTTGAAAAAGTTGAAAAAGTTGAAAAAGTTGAAAAAGTTGAAAAAGTTGAAAAAGTTGAAAAAGTTGAAAAAGTTGAAAAAGTTGAAAAGTTGAAAAAGTTGAAAAAGTTGAAAAAGTTGAAAAAGTTGAAAAAGTTGAAAAAGTTGAAAAAGTTGAAAAAGTTGAAAAAGTTGAAAAAGTTGAAAAAGTTGAAAAAGTTGAAAAAGTTGAAAAAGTTGAAAAAGTTGAAAAAGTTGAAAAAGTTGAAAAGGTTGAAAAGGTTGAAAAAGTTGAAAAGTTGAAAAAGTTGAAAAAGTTGAAAAAGTTGAAAAAGTTGAAAAAGTTGAAAAAGTTGAAAAAGTTGAAAAAGTTGAAAAAGTTGAAAAAGTTGAAAAAGTTGAAAAAGTTGAAAAAGTTGAAAAAGTTGAAAAAGTTGAAAAAGTAGAAAAAGTTGAAAAAGTTGAAAAAGTTGAAAAAGTTGAAAAAGTTGAAAAAGTTGAAAAAGTTGAAAAAGTTGAAAAAGTTGAAAAAGTTGAAAAAGTTGAAAAAGTTGAAAAAGTTGAAAATGTTGAAAAAGTTGAAAAAGTTGAAAAAGTTGAAAAAGTTGAAAAAGCTGAAAATGTTGAAAAAGTTGAAAAAGTTAAAAAGGTTAAAAATGTTGAAAAAGTTGAAAAAGTTGAAAAAGTTAAAAAGGTTAAAAATGTTGAAAAAGTTGAAAAAGTTGAAAAAGTTAAAAAGGTTAAAAATGTTGAAAAAGTTGAAAAAGTTGAAAAAGTTAAAAAGGTTAAAAATGTTGAAAAAGTTGAAAAAGTTGAAAAAGTTGAAAAAGTTGAAAAAGTTGAAAAAGTTGAAAAAGTTGAAAAAGTTGAAAAAGTTGAAAAAGTTGAAAAAGTTGAAAAAGTTGAAAAAGTTGAAAAAGTTGAAAAAGTTGAAAAAGTTGAAAAAGTCGAAAAAGTTGAAAAGTTAAAAAGTTGAAAAAGTTGAAAAAGTTGAAAAAGTTGAAAAAGTTGAAAACGTTGAAAAAGTGAAAAAGTTGAAAAGTGAAAAAGTTGAAAAAATTGAAAAAGTTGAAAAAGTTGAAAATGTTGAAAATGTTGAAAGGGTTGAAAAAGTTGAAAAAGTTAAAAAGGTTAAAAATGTTGAAAAAGTTGAAAAAGTTGAAAAAGTTAAAAAGGTTAAAAATGTTGAAAAAGTTGAAAAAGTTGAAAAAGTTAAAAAGGTTAAAAATGTTGAAAAAGTTGAAAAAGTTGAAAAAGTTAAAAAGGTTAAAAATGTTGAAAAAGTTGAAAAAGTTGAAAAAGTTGAAAAAGTTGAAAAAGTTGAAAAAGTTGAAAAAGTTGAAAAAGTTGAAAAAGTTGAAAAAGTTGAAAAAGTTGAAAAAGTTGAAAAAGTTGAAAAAGTTGAAAAAGTTGAAAAAGTTGAAAAAGTTGAAAAAGTTGAAAAAGTCGAAAAAGTTGAAAAAGTTGAAAAAGTTGAAAACGTTGAAAAAGTGAAAAAGTTGAAAAGTGAAAAAGTTGAAAAAGTGAAAAAGTTGAAAAAGTTGAAAAAGTTGAAAAAGTTGAAAAAGTTGAAAAAGTTGAAAAAGTTGAAAAAGTTGAAAAAGTTGAAAAAGTTGAAAAAGTTGAAAAAGTTGAAAAAGTTGAAAAAGTTGAAAAAGTTGAAAAAGTTGAAAAAGTTGAAAAAGTTGAAAAAGTTGAAAAAGTTGAAAAAGTTGAAAAAGTTGAAAAAGTTGAAAAAGTTGAAAAAGTTGAAAAAGTTGAAAAAGTTGAAAAAGTTGAAAAAGTTGAAAAAGTTGAAAACGTTGAAAAAATTGAAAAAGTTGAAAAAGTTGAAAAAGTTGAAAAAGTTGAAAAAGTTGAAAAAGTTGAAAAAGTTGAAAAAGTTGAAAAAGTTGAAAAAGTTGAAAAAGTTGAAAAAGTTGAAAAAGTTGAAAAAGTTGAAAAAGTTGAAAAAGTTGAAAAAGTTGAAAAAGTTGAAAAAGTTGAAAAAGTTGAAAAAGTTGAAAAAGTTGAAAAAGTTGAAAAAGTTGAAAAAGTTGAAAAAGTTGAAAAAGTTGAAAAAGTTGAAAAAGTTGAAAAAGTTGAAAAAGTTGAAAAAGTTGAAAAAGTTGAAAAAGTTGAAAAAGTTGAAAAAGTTGAAAAAGTTGAAAAAGTTGAAAAAGTTGAAAAAGTTGAAAAAGTTGAAAAAGTTGAAAAAGTTGAAAAAGTTGAAAAAGTTGAAAAAGTTGAAAAAGTTGAAAAAGTTGAAAAAGTTGAAAAAGTTGAAAAAGTTGAAAAAGTTGAAAAAGTTGAAAAAGTTGAAAAAGTTGAAAAAGTTGAAAAAGTTGAAAAAGTTGAAAAAGTTGAAAAAGTTGAAAAAGTTGAAAAAGTTGAAAAAGTTGAAAAAGTTGAAAAAGTTGAAAAAGTTGAAAAAGTTGAAAAAGTTGAAAACGTTGAAAAAATTGAAAAAGTTGAAAAAGTTGAAAAAGTTGAAAAAGTTGAAAAAGTTGAAAAAGTTTAAACTAAATTTTATATTTTTAAATTTAAGCATATTTATTACTGATTGTCCGGTGCACGATTGTATAATCTTCTCCAGCTGCAACTATTGTTTGTGTCTTGTTAACATCTTCAACAACTTCAACAGGATTGCAAGGCTCAAGCAAAATTCTTATATCAATTTCCAAGCTAAAAAATGCACTTATTATGAGGAAAAAGGCTTCAAATTGACTAATTCTTGCCACAATTATTCCCAATTTTTCCATTCTTGTGAAAGCTGACCAGTTTTCTTCAATCATTTTCTCAAAGTTTAAATAAATGAATTAAATTTCCAATTTTCTATTAATTATTTATCAACATCGACAGTTGAAAATACAAACTATGACTAAATGAGCTTTTACTTTTCATTTTGCAATTTTTCAGAATAAACCAAATTTTTTCAAAACCACAATTCAACTTTTTAACGGTCAAATTATATTCAAACTTAAAAAATTCAAAACTCTACAAATGTTTTTAAAGCAACTTTTAACAATATTTACATCAATTCTCAATTTTAAAATAGTAAACAAATTATTTAAATTCTAAAAATCTTCAAAAAATTAGTCAATCAAAATGGAAGCCTGCTCCGTTCCAAACTGCAAACTCAAATCAAGTCCAAAATTTCACTCGCCACAAAATGAAGCTAAAGCAAATTTATGGAGAAAAATTCTCAAAATCAACAATATTAAATTTTCAATTTGTGATCAGCATCTTTCGATCATTTGTCAAAGTTGCATGAGATCTTTTGAGCCTAAACATTTCAACAATACTGGAGCTATGTTTGTGATTGCTGAGAGATTTAAGGATATCTTTAGGGATGTTATAGGATATGAGGTGAGTGTTACAATACTAATTGTGGTAAATAATACAACAAGGAATGACTTTGTGAGAATGGAATGGATTGGATGGCTACCAATTACTCAGCCAGCTATACAGACAGACATACAGATGATAACCAAGCTAGCAAGGGTTACACAATTGGTTTTTGGAGCCCATCTGGATCTACATGCTCAGATTTTAAGTTTTGTTATATTTATAAAAGGATGTTTAATGCCTTCCATGAGCTGAACAGACAGAGGTTCTGGTGTAAGAAACCCTTTAGCTTCTTCTTACCTCATTCCAGATCTAACTCCCCATGCTTCTTCTATCATGACCAAAATAACAAGCATATAGACAGCCTTACTAACTTCAATTTAATTCCTTTCTAGGTTTCAGTTGGTGTTGTCTGTTCAAAATGTCACAATTGCATAACTGATTTCGCAAAATTTCGCAATTATGTCAGGAAACAGCAAGAGCTCAGGACGGAAATAAGTGAAGATTATTCAGAAATGCACAACAATGAGCCAAAGGAATATACCCAAATTGAATTAGAATCCATTCAAAATGAAGATGCTTACAATGAAGAGTCACAGTTTGAAGTTGTGGAGTATCAAGATGAAGAATATATTGTTGAAATGGCGGAACCTGATGAATATTATGAGGATAATGCAGCCAATGGATTAGAAGCAAAGCAAGAAGATGTCGAGGCTACAATTAAATCTGAACCAATGGATCATGTTGAATGTACAATCAACGAGCTAGTTGATATTCAGTCTTCAAAGAGACTTTATTCAGCTACACAAGATAACGAAGAATATGAAAAACCAGAAGCAATAATTAAAGTCGAGCCAATTGAGTATGAATATTCAGATCTTGAGTATCAAATTCCTTCAAATGATTTACAAAATGAAATCGAATCACAATCAAATCACTTTCCTAAGATTTCAAATCCACGAACATTACCAGCTTCACAGAACTTAAAAAGAAAGATTTTGCATCCAGAAACATCAAAAATCTCAACAAGTTCACCAAATTTAGTCCAAGCATCCTTACGGTCCGCACTAGAATCATCAAAACAAGCATCACCAGCGTCAAAACGAATGAAATTTCCACAAAGAAGCCTAAAATGTCAATATTGCACTGAACGATTTGACAACTGTGACTTAATCTTAGAGCACATTGAGGACAAACATAAATTTCAATGTCCAACATGCAACACTTCATTCCCATTTAAAATTAATTTAATTCATCATCAATTTATGCATCATAAGGAGTCGACAAAGGAGCCGAAAAATAAGAATCCAGTGGTTTATAAATACTCGTGTAGTCATTGCATGATGAAGTTCTCAACGAGTGACAATTTACAGATTCATATGAAGCAGCAGCATAATGCTGAATTGAACAAAATTAAAATTTATGTTGAAGAAGAACAGGTAGGATTGGAAATTAAATAAAATTCTAAATTGAGGAACTTAACCTCAAAATTGAGGGCAATAACCTCAAAAGGTGGAAACCTAACCTCAAATTTTTGCTACCTAACCTCAATTTTTGCTACCTAACCTGAATTTTTGCAACCTAATCTTTAAATTGGGCTGCTCAACCGAAAATCAGGTGACTTTACTTCAAAATTGAGTAACTTAACCTAAAAAATTGAGGAACTTAACTTTAAAACTTGGCAACTTAACTTAAAATTAAAAGACCTAACCTTAAAATTATTTGACCCAACTTCAATATTGATAGACTTAACCTAAAATTTAAGCCTCATAACTGCGTGACTTAACTTAAAAATTCTGCTAATTAACCTCAAACCTCAAACCTAACCTTAAATATTTTTAACCTTGTCCTAAAATTGTGCTGCTTAACTTAAAAACTATTAAACCTAACCTTAATAGTATTAAATCTTTCTCTTCTGTTTTGAGCATTAGACCTAATCTCAATATTATTAATCCTAGCCCAAAAATGGGTTGACCTTACCTTAAAACTGCTTAACCTAACCTAAAATTGGGTAACTTAACCTCTAAATTGGGTAACTTAACCTCTGAATTAAGTACCTTAAGTCCTCAAAATATAGCTCCCCAGCCTTATAATTGGGAATCTTAAACTCAAAATTGCTTGGCCTAACCTCAAAATGTACTTAATTATTTATTCATTTACAGACTCCACCATCTCTATCGAGTAGAATCCTGAACTCATTCAAGAAGGCAAAGCCAGGACCATCTGGAATTATAAATATCAAGAAAGAAAGTTGATACAATGTCATCAAGCTGTCATGATAAACATGTTGCAATCCCAGCAGGCAGTTCATAGTTCGATAAGATGCAATCTCCTTAACATGAATTTAAGACATCAAGATTGATAAAAAAGAAATTTCTTTTTGAATAAAAAGTCATTTATAATAAAAACCTTCGAAATTACTGTTAAATTTACATTTTATTATGCTTTTTTAACAATCCAAAATCAGTTTTAACGGTTCGCATTCTGAAATTTGTCCATCCCAGTTATCTTTAGAAGAGTATCAATAGTTTTCTTCTCCCTTTCATCTCTCATAGCTAGTTTAATATCTTTGTCATTAGTTTTGACCACTTTGTAGTAAATTGTCTCTATAAATCGATAAACTGGAGTCGGATACTCGCAAATCTTCAGAACCTTTTTAATATAATCTTCCTTTTGCTTTCTCTCGTTTTGTGCCTTCTCTCTTTCGAACTTTTCAAGCTCATGCCATGGTTTAGGTTTGAATTTATAAACTTTAATTAATTCACACATTTCCACAGGTTTGGTGTCGTTCCATCGAGTCAATATTCTTGGAATTTTCAAACATTCAGTCTTGCCGCCATAACAATGCTGCTTGATTTCTTGTCTGAGTTGTTTAAATGCAGAAACTTTTGCGTTCATATTGATGCAGACATTCTTCTCAAACCAGATGTATTGTAGGTTCTTAAGTGGTTTAAAGAGTCCAAGGCCAATACGCTTAATGTTGTTTCCTGAGAAATTGATGAGCTGAACTTTTGGGGTGTAGATGAAACTGAAAATAGATTGATTTTGTTAATTCGATTCGATTAGTCGAGCAGAGTTCGACAAGAGTTTGACTTGATTAAGCGACTAGAGTTTGACTTGATTAACCGACTAAAGCTTGATTTGATTAACCGACTAGAGTTTGATTTGATTAACCGACTAAAGCTTGACTTGATTAACCGACTAGAGCTTGACTCTATTAACCGACTAGAGCTTGACTCTATTAACCGACTAAAGATTGACTCTATTACCCGACTAAAGCTTGACTCTATAAACCGACTGAAGCTTGACTTGATTAACCGACTATAGCTTGACTCGATTTACCGACTAGAGCTTGACTTGATTAACCGACTGAAGCTTGACTTGATTAACCGACTAGAGCTTAACTCGATTAATCGACTATAGTTTGACTCGATTAACCGACTAGAGGTTGACTCTATTAACCGACTATCTTGACTCGATTAACCGACTAGAGCTTGACTCTAATAACCGACTATATTTTGACTTGATTAACCGACTATAGCTTGACTCGATTAACCTACTAGAGTATTTCTACTTACGTGTCGCCAGGAACATATTCAATAGCATTAAGACTATAGCTAAGTTGAAACATTTGCGGAAATTCAGCCAAATGATCTTTCGATATCGTCTTGATATTGCAATTCATAAAACTCAATCCCTTTAAATTTGGAAAGAATTTACCAATTCCATTTGGTATGAAAGTTATATTCTCCTTATGCATGAATCTCAGTGCTTCAACTTCAGTCAAATTTCCACCAATCATGTGCTCGCCTCGTACATCAACAACATAACCAGGCGATTCATCAAGTTCAAGTGCAGTTCCTTGACATTCGTAGACTTTCTGCTTAAAATTCCAATCCCATTCATTATAACGGCATTTGATCACAAATGCATTTGATAACGAGATCGATAGTGTGAGAATTGTGAGTACTAAGATAAGGTTAATGACACGTCGCCTAGAAATAATTTGTAGATCATTTAATTTAATTTAATTAAGAATTGCTTTCAAATGTTTTAAAATCTAGATTTTGCTCAATTTGTTTAATTAAAATTTAAAATTTCTCACATATTTAAAGTTAAAACTTCATTAATTATCCAAAAATAAATCTCTGTCTTTCCCAGCTACTGTTCACTCCACTACTAAAAAACCCACGAAAAAAAATCTCTTCAATTTTTTTTTTTATCACAAAAAATATCAACAAAATTTTAATCTCTAGTAAAATTTGATAAGCGCACAAAAACATTGAAATTATTAGTCAGTATCCACGTGGACGACGCTGAATTGTGCAATTCTAAGTTTGTGTAAATACAGAACCATTGCTTGGGTAGTGTTGAATTGTTGTTATCTTATCTCCATTCTTGGATAATTCAATAAAAACTTGTTAATAGATTTATTACGCTTGGGAAATTCCTTAACATAAAATCAAAAGTGGACGTGTGAGCAATTCCTGAAGGGGTACGCAGATATAACATTTTGTGGTGTGAAATTGTCAAAATAAGGGGTATGCATACATAATAAGTTTAATGCAGCTGTGACAGTTTATGGTAGGTGACCCTGACAATCAAGGATTTACAAATATTACAATTAGGGGTAAGCAGCTATGTAGCTTTAGCAATAATGTGTATGCATCCAAAATAGCCAAGGATGCAACTATAAAAAGTAAACGTACGAAGCTTTTACAAAATGGATGAAAAAGGTATGATAATTAGGGGTACACAGCTTTTACGAAAAAGGGTAAGCAGCTGCAACAGTTGAAGCTATGTTCTAGGCGTATGAAGATATTACAAAATGAAGCATAAATGTATTACATTTAGGGGTACACAGCTTTTACAAAAAGGGTATAAAACTACTAAAAGGGGGAAACAGCTTTTACAAAAGGGTATAAAACTACTAAAATGGGTACACAGCTTTTACAAAAGGGTAGAAAACTACTAAAATGGGTACACAGCTTTAAAAAAGGGTTTAAAGCAATATCAAAAACTGTTTACCCCAGCAACGGACCTTTTATCTTGACGACCAGAATATGCAGCTACGACATGTAAAGGCGTTATTGGTTACAACATGGCTATAATAACTAAAAATAATAAGGATAAAGCTGTCTTCAGATAATATCTATTGCGCGGCAATCGGCCCACGTGCGCCCCAGCCAAGTAAGTAAGAAGTAAGTAGTATAATAACAACAGCTATTTACTCCAATACTACATATCTACTTAAACAGTTCAAATCTCAAACAAATTAACTAATGTTTAGCATAATAAATACATTCTGTAATTAAGTATTCAAACTGATTAAATCAGACAACTTGTTTTACTTGATAATTGATGTCTGGTTTTTGTTTTCAATATTATCATTAACACTCATAATTTTCCTTCATTTCGTTTGAAGTTTTTGTAGAAGAAGCTTACAAAATGCTTTATTCGGTTTCAATTTTACCATTATTTATCATTAAATCCGTAATTTCTCAAAATATTTCATTACTTAGTATCTCAATTTGTGAGATTATTGACAAATTCTACACAAGATATTCAAGAGATGTCAACATTATCGATTTTGGCAGTTCACAAAGTGAATTAGTTAATAAAATTATGGAAAATCTGAACGATTCGATGACTGTGACACTTATTAAGACACAAAACCCTCAAAATTGGACGCAGTTGATTGAAAGCTAGTCAATCTTGTTGTTTAACGACTTTTCGACTTTAACGGAGTTCAACAATAAAGATTTAATTGCAATTTGGTATATTAATCCTATAAAAATTCTTGTTTACTGTCTGAATGCTTCAACACTGGATATTGCTAAGCTTAAAACTAACCTGGTCATTCCACCTTACTACTACTTCATAATCTTTGACAAAATTGATTTAAAATTCAAACTTTTTACATTTGAGAATCGAAATAATCTCAGATATTGTCACGAAACCCAGCGACTGATGCAAATCAATAAGTTTTCGAATAAAAATCGCATTTGGATTAGAAAGCCAATTTTTCCAAAAAAATATCAAAACTTTAATGGCTGTAAAATGATCCTGGCAGTTCCAGAAGAGACAAATTTTGCGAGATTTCGACAAGATGACAATCAAAATTTGACTTATATTCGTGGACCAGCGATTGATATTATGTCTTCTGTATCAGAATCTTTAAATTTTAAGCTTGTGTTTACCAAATGCATATCTAGAGATTGCATGAATTACCAGATGGAACAAAAGTATCAAATTTATAATGTTTTATTGACATATGCATTAGATGCAAAAGGATTGAGTGACGCAAGTGGTATGGGATGGCTGGGTGTTATGCTTAATATTGATTGTACGTGAGTATCCCAAACCATAAAGACATGTCATTGCCTTAATTTAAAGCTTAAACATTTCAGCCCACAACTTTATGTACCACCTGGTGACCTTTATACATCATTTGAAAAGATTTTACTTCCATTCGATAAAGAAACATGGATTGGATTAGCAATCACTTTTACATCAGCTGTTCCTACAGTTTTCATGACAAGTAGATTATCGAGCAGCATGAAACACTTTATCTGTGGCTCAGGAATCAAGACGCCAATTTTGAATATATTTCGAGCCTTTTTTGGAATCGGACAAACTCAACTTCCAGATAGAATTTGTGCTCGAATTATTTTTATGTCATTTGTGTTGTGGTGTTTGGTTATTAGGACAGCTTATCAGGGAAAGTTGTTTGAGTTTATAACAACAGCTGTTCGAAAGCCTCAATTAAAAAGCTTAGCTGAATTGCGAAAGAGAAACTTCACGCTTTATGTAGGAGCTAATGAGCTTGAAAATTCAATGATCGATACAATGAAGCAGATTTTTGAGTAAGTTATTAAAAATTTTGATAGGCTTTGTTCATCTGAGCGTGTGTCAAGCTGAGCTTTTGTCAAGCGGAGCGTGCTTCAAGCTAAGCGTGTTTCAGGCTGAGCGTTTGTCAAGCTGAACGTGTGTCAAGCTGAGCTTTTGTCAAGCTGAGCTTTTGTCAAGCTGAGCTTTTGTCAAGCTGAGCTTTTGTCAAGCTGAGCTTTTGTTAAGCTGAGCGTTTGTCAAGCTGAGCGTTTGTCAAGCTGAGCGTTTGTCAAGCTGATCGTTTGTCCAGCTTAGCTTTTGTAAAACTAAGGTTGTATCTAGCTAAGTGTTTCTCAAGCTGAACGTTTGACAAGCTGAGCGTGTGTGAAGCTGAGCGTGTGTCAAGCTGAGCTTTCGTCAAGCTTAGCTTTTGTAAAACTAAGGACGTATCTAGCTGAGCGTGTGTTAAGCTGAGCGTGTGTCAATCTGAGTGTGTGTCAAACTGAGCTTTTGTAAAACTAAGGTTGTATCTAGCTAAGTGTTTGTCAAGCTGAACGTTTGTCAAGCTGAGCGTTTGTCAAGCTGAGCATTTGTCAAGCTGAGCGTTTGTCAAGCTTAGCTTTTGTAAAACTAAGGTTGTATCTAGCTGAGCGTGTGTCAAGCTAAGCGTGTGTCAAGCTGCGCTTTTGTCAAGCTTAGCTTTTGTAAAACTAAGGTTGTATCTAGCTGAGCGTGTGTCAAGCTGAGCGTGTGTCAATCTGAGCGTTTATTAAAAAATCTATTTATTTTGATTTAAGCCTTCCCATCATCGAAGTACCAAATGATGTATATACAGACATTTACACATTTAATCTCACAGATCCATCATTTACCGGAACAATTTTAACGTGTGACACTGAACATGATCTAACCTCCTTCTATATCGAAACTCTTCTTCCAAAGAGGTTTATTTCAACACCAATCACAAAATCTAGCTACGCAATTGGCTTAATGTATCCAAGTTTGTGGAATGAAAGACTTGAAGAGATAATTGAAGGACTTGTGACTGGTGGGATTATCAATAAGTTTTTAGAACAGTATACAAGATCAAAATGGAACTTGATGTCAGCTGAGTTTGACTCAGAAAAAATTGTTTTAAATTTAAGCCATCTTGGTTTTGGGTTTCAAATATGCTTTTTGTTGTTGTTCCTTGCACTCTTAATATTACTTGGCGAATTTTTTATATGCAAGTGGAAAAAAATTTATTGTTCTGCAAACTCAATTTTGAGGTTATGTTTGTTTTGGGTTAGAAAATTATTGATGTTAGCCTGTAAAACAATTGAATTAATTTTTATTAAATAAAGGCATTGGTTTTGGTCCAAATGTTACATTAAATTTAAAAAATTACAAAGATTCAAATTGCATTAGATAAATGACATAGAAATAAAATCTAGGTAAACTTAGTCAATAAATGTGTCTCTCATTTCATCGCCCAAGTCATTTTGAAGTTGTTTGTTCTCATTTTCTTTTATTGTTTCAGTTCGATCTTGATTCCTTTTAGGAGAAGTATTATGATTGGTCTAAAATGAAATGCAATGAGTAAATTCAGGTAGTTGTAGTGACGATTATCTTCCATGGCGTCGACATAAATTATGCATAATTTATGCATAATTTATGCACAATTTATGCATAATTATGCACAATTTATGCACAATTATGCACAATTTATGCATAATTTATGCAGATTTTATGCAGAATTTGTGCATAATTTATGCAGAATTTTTATGCATAATTTATGTATAAATTATGCATAAATTATGCATAAAAATTATACATAAATTCTGCATAAAAATTCTGCATAAATTATGCATAAATTATGCATAAAAATTCTGCATAAATTCTGCATAAAAATTCTGCATAAATTATGCATAAATTATGCATAAAAATTCTGCATAAATTATGCATAATTTATGTATAAATAAAGACAAAAAATCACACCAAAAAAGACTAAGTTACTGGCTTGTCTATAAAATTATAAGTTATACGTTATGGTTAAAATTTAAGGGTTAACTCCATGTTTTATCAGCAGTTGGTAAATGGTCCTTTTTGTGCTGTTACCAAAATGGTTTATATAAGACACAAGTACAGCGCACACTCATGCGGAATAGTCTTGGCCAGCTTAGTAACTTAACGTTGTTGAATTAAAGCTTGTTAGTTTCTTATAAAGTACAGTAGTAGAAAAGGAGTAAATCGATCATTTATCACAGTAATGCCGGACTCGAAAATACTGTGACTCGATTGTTTGTCGATTTAATTGTTTATTTCTTTAGTTAAAATTTAACATTCAAGTGCAACCATAAAACTTACATATCAGTTAAATATTCTCCGATTAAATGGTCTACTAATAGTTAGCGTAAGCGTATTTGTATGCCCCTTGAAATCAAACTAGAAATTTATCTCACTTGGTTAAGGGCAATTCCATGAAATAGTGTCATTGTTTACATTTGAGTTTGATCCAAGTCTATTAAATGAGAAATATTATTTTTCAAATATTTCTTTGTACTCTTATTTTCTTAATGTTTTACTCAACTTAAACTATTTTTCATCCTAAAATGAGTAATTCTAATTGGTTAAACATTACGTTAATGAAAGATACATTGAAAAAATAGAATTTTAAAATTTTGAATTCTGTATTTTTTCACGGAATAAATCTCTCCGTTACTTAGTAACACTTTTTTAAGTCACATGGAAATTAATATTGTAGCTTTATTAAGCACTTTTGAATTAATTTAATGCTAGATTTTGGTAGCTTGATAATCAATCTTTGAGTTGTGACAGTCTTTATTATTAACAAATTGCGGAAAGGAGAGAAAAATCACTTTAAGTGAGTCTCCAAATTATTTTTACTTCGATTGTGTTACTAAGTAACGCCAAAAGAATTGAAATAATTCTTTAATTAACCACTTTAAGTAAGCAAATTTCAGTCAATTATGTAGAAAATGTTGTTTTTAATGGCCTACGAAAAGCTTATTTGCAGTTGAATAGTCTAAAGATGTAAAAATCAATTTGGAGAAAAATTTGTAGACAAATCGTTTCATGGAATTGCCCTTAAACTTTAATAAAATTGAAATGTTTCTATAGGTATTAGCGTAATTATTTTTGAGATAAAAATTAATTTATTGTTTTGGCTTTTGCCAGCCTTAATTCCTGATGGATATGCAAACCAAATGTTTGTGATTTGTAGAAGAGAAACATAGGAAACATTTTCAAGAACTTTAGTATGAATTTAGGCATCCAGCTTTATAAAGCGTGAAAAGTAAGTAAACATCCCTAACAGACAAGTGAGTATATTCATGGTACCGTAACATAATCAAGAGTCGATGAAAATTTGTATGGAGTCAAGTCGATTCCGCCATACTCGTGTTTTGCTCAAGAGTCGAATAATCGGATTTATGTGATTTACAAAATCGAGAAACATTTTTGTTATAGGTTTTACTTTTGGGTTACTTATGTTTAATTTAATCAGCATTTGATTGTCTATTTATTTTGCGTTCATTTACAGATCATTAGAAGATTAGAAGATCATTGATTTTAGTGCAATTAGCAAATAATTACAATGAATGCTTATATAGAAAAGCTTTATTATTTAACGGTCAATAAATAATTTGAAATTTTCCCGCTAAAAGTTGCACTTCAAAAAAAATAACTATAGTATAATTAATAATTTGTAGAAATGAATTTCCATATAGAAAAAGTTTATCATTTAACGGTTTTTTGTGGTTCAAATTTTCTAACGGTCAGTAAGTTTTTGAAAGCTTTCCGCCAAAAGATTCACAAAAAATCATTAATTATAGTATATTTTTAACAATTTAATATCTTTAATTCTTAAAATAAATTGTTTATCATTTAACGGTTTTCTGAAGTTCAAATTTTGTAACGGTCGTATGCATTTGAAAGTATCTTGCCAAAAGTTACAGTAAAATCATTAATTATAGTATAAATAACAGTCTGTTGCAAAAAATTTTCATTTAAAAAGGCTTTGTAATTCAACGGTTTTTTGAGATTCAAAAATTTTTAACGGACGGATTTTTTTTAGACATAGTGAGATATTAAGCTACCTTTTCGAAACAAGTTTGAAAAATGCGCTAAAAATACATTTGAATAGCCCTTAAAATTACTTTTACAACCGTATATAACACTTAATATTAAATATCACACATTTTGCAAAAAACATTTTGCTCCACTTATTCAATTTTTAAAAACTTTTCAAAAAATGTGTCAAAACAGTCAAAAACTTTTTTCGACATCACTGGAGTACAAACCACAAACATGATTCCTCATTTTAAAGGTAATTTTATACACAATAAAACGCCATAAAAGGTTTTTTGATTAATTTACAATTAATAAGCCAAAAAAGAAGTTTAGTTAAGTGTTATATAACTTTTATCAAAATTGTGACATCATTTACTAATTTACCCCAACGTTTTCAATTGTTAGTTAAACTAGATTAAATCCAAATTTCAAAACTTATAAGAGATTTAAATATTTGAAATTCAAAACTTTGACCTCTTCAAAAATGATGTAGCCCTTAAGTAAAAAAATCCAAAAACCTTTTAAAGCTTCATCGATTTTTATAAGGTACAAAACTAGATATCAAGCTTATTCTCAAACAGATCGGAAATATGTTTTCTAAGAAGCATACATTTCTAAATTTTGAACCGATTAAACCGATTCAAATTTTTCAAAAATGTCGGCATTAGATAGCATCTTCAGAGTTATTTCCATCGATATATACTATGAATAGGAAAACTAAGTTATACGAGAGTATTTGAATAAAATGTGGGAAAAATGGAGTTTCAAAAAAGTTGAAATAATGATTCAAATAAAATTTGGGCAGGTTACACTAAAAACAAAAAAAAATCATTAATTATAGTATAAATAAACTCTTTCAAGACTTTTAATTGACCGACCCCGGAACAATACGATGAATCTGAGCTAATAAAACAAACCCAAGCTATCAACGATGTCTAGTTAAAAATAAAAGTTAAAAATATTTGATGTTCAAGAATTGTAATATAATTAAATAATCTACATAATTTATGCATAATTTTTTGCAGAATTTGTGCATAATTTATGCAGAATTTTATGCATAATTTTTTGCATAATTTATGCATAATGATATGGGTTGATTTCAGGATAGTTTTTCATAAAAACCTTACGAAAAAGTAAATAAATTTTTTTTAGCTAAGGATATATCAACCAACTCCCCACATCCCCCCCCCCCCCCCTCCTTGCCTCACCTTAATCTTAAACATCATATCAGTGAGCGACCCCTTACCTCATCCTTGAAAATGAAGTTAGTCTTCAAAACTGTTTGATTATCGATAAAATTGTTCCTAATTATGTGAAGCTTAACTTTATAGACATAATATTCAGTAATGCATACAAGAATGCTCACAAAATATCCAAAAAGCCAAGCTAAGAAAATAAACTTAAAGTCATTTAAAGTCAACAATATTTGATAATCTTCAATAATGTCCAAATCCTTCAAATCATATCGAAACATGTTCTCCAAAAGCTTATCAACAATTCCACCAACTACAAGCCTTGAAATCATCCTCTTAAATTGATCATTATAAAAACTTCTTGATCGAAATCCAAGTGCATAATGTGGCTTTTCAATTGGAAGTGGAATGAAGCGCTGATGTCCTGGAACTCGATTTTGAGTCCTTCCTAAATTATGTTGAATATCGCAAATGTACAATCCATAAGTTGGCAGTTCATCTTTGTTTAATTTCTTATATTCTTCAATGAATTCATAAAGGTCTATGCTTTGCATGTTCAGGCTGTGTAAAAAATGATTTAAAAAAAAAATATTAAAATTTTAAGGCGGTCCACCAGCACCATACATACCCAGTCTTATTTTTAATGAAATTCATTTCGTCTCTTTGAAGTCGATAACTTGAGGCATAAACTTCAAAGTTTCCAGTCAAAAAATCTTCAAAATTGATCTCAGGCTCTAAAGTTTTAAGTGACTTAAAAGTAAACAATTGTCCATGATAAATTGATCTTATTATTAACAAACAAATCATAAGGATTATCACAATTAAACTCAGAAAGCTTCTCTCGATCTGTTTAACCAGCCTTAATCCAAAAATTGTCCAGAATACTTTAAGAATTTGCTGTCCACGTGATATTTTACTTAAATTATTCCTCATTCTTATCATCACGACGAAATAAGCAACCAGTGTCCACAGAAATATGAATGTCAATAAGCTAATCCACACGTCAAGTGTAAATGACTTTATCATAGCTTGCAAATGGTTGTATTTCATATTTTTGGCACGAGATAAAATTCCTGGACTAAAATAAATAAATAAAAAAAAATTGTTAAAGAACTGCACTAGGCAATGCACCAGGCTATGTCGAAAACATCAACAGACTAAGGCAGTCGGCTCAACAGTTAAAATTCAGTCAAATTTCAGGTCTTTTGAAGTTTTCAGTTCAAAATAGCTTCAAACTACCTTCCTTACTTAAAACTATGTCATAGTAGATCAATTGTAATTCTTGGCTTCTCAAGACAACTGAAACTGCATACTGTAGTGCTGTCCAAACTTTTTGACTCACGGTTCACCATAGGGACAAGCCATTACCGAAGAAGCACAGAATGTGGCTCGTGTCATTTTAAAAAAAATATGTGCCGCGGTACACAGTTTGGACAACACTGGTCTACTGCAATCCAAGTTTTTAAACTTAAGACAGTCCTGTCGCAGTCTTCAAGTTAGTTCTAATCTGGTTCTTTTTCTGGGATAGTTAAAGAATGGTGTAGTTGAACCAAAAAATCCTACAAAACCAGAGCTCTGCTGGTCTAAACTAGTGATGGCTAACCCGTGTGTGATGGGATTCTAGGTCACCGACACAACGAGAACCCGAGAAATAAACTCGTGGTTAATTTTAATTAATTTAAAAAAATGTTTTTGGTATGAATTTGTAAACAAATTTTTTTCGTGAACTTTTTTTAAGACAGACAATAGTTAGAACATTACATACTTCTTGACGCCCCCCCCCCCCCCTATGTTACATTTTGTTACAATTTTTCAAACCCCCCCTCCCCCTTAAAATTGCGAACGTAATAAGTGAACGGCCCCTATGCTGTGTGCGGTTTTATTCATGGCTTACCAGCAAGTGTTCTGTAGCACAAAAAATGATTGGCAACCACTGGTCTAAACCTATTAAGAGGTGTGCCTTCATGCCACGGGCAGGATGGGTTAGTACTATTGTAGTGGGTAGACATAATTCCGTCACAGGTTGTTGAACAGTTTCAAAATAAGCACAACTAATACTCACATGCATTGAATGTTTAAAATCTGATGATTTAATAGTCTATACATGTTATACGTCCGTTGATCAAGTGTTACCAACTCAAGAACATTTTCAATTTTATATTTTCCACTATCCAAGTCATTACAGTCAATTTTGTAGCATTCATCCATGTCATACGAAAAATAAAATTCAACTGAAAAAATGTCCAAAATTTCTAAAGAAACCTCATTTTTGGATATTTCAAAATGTTGGCTGATGTAGTTGAGTCCAATTGTAGCAATTTCAATTCTAAATCTTGTAGTGCAGTCTAAAACTTTTGGAATGGCTGGAAAAATTTCCGGTAAGATCCATTTCAGTGATTTTGGATCAAATTGATTAAGATGCATCAAATCCAAGTCCTTAAAGCATTCATCATTACGATAAGGATTATTTACATACGTGTAGATTGAATAAGTCATACGATTCCTCAATAGATAGAAAATAGTGTAAGGCCTCAGCCAATTAGACCTTCTAAAGTCATCAATACTAACATCCTGTATATACACAAGGAATCCAACATCAATTGAGTAAGTTTCGCGTAGTAAAAATTTCGCACTATAATTCCAAAAATCACTGTAATTGCGAAATAAAAGAATTTCAAGATTTTCTAAGAGCCAAGGACTGGGTCGAAGATTTGTTTCCAGTGTCACAGTCATCGAATCTTTAACATTTTCGATTATTTTACCAACTAGTTCACTTTGTGTTCCACCAAGATCGCCAATTTCGACATTTCTTGCATGTTTTGCGTAAGCATTTTCAATAATTTCACAAATTGCGATGCTTAAGAGAGTTGTGTTCACAGGATTTGAAGAATTTGAGCTGTTTATTGTGATTTTAAAAGAAAAGGTGTTTAAAATGCAACTTAAAATGATTGAAAGTGAAATTAAGTTAAGTTTCATGGATCAGATGTTGATTCTTGAGCTGTTGATTGACTATTGTGACTTACAACTAACATTTTAGCTTGCATATCGGCAACTGACTAAAACAAAGTTTGTTACTAAGCATTTTTAATTAAAAATGACACGCGAGAGTTGCTTAAAGGTGTCTAGACTTTTGACAATTAAGCTCAGGGGTGATTTCTTGAATTGATTCGATGCTAAGATGCGTAGCAAGGGTTTGATGAGATATTCAAAGGAGTTCTCAAAACAGCAAACGTTTCTTAATCGACTTCTAGTCTAACACAAACTTACAAAACCTCAAATTCCTGTTTTTAGATCCTCTCTTTCAGTTTTGCACTTTTTATAAGTAAACAAGCCAATTTTTGGTCGAAAGGTATAACAAGTTCCAATTTCAGCTCTAAAAAATCCGGACAACCCAAATTTTAAAGCTTTTGCCCAAATAAAAATTTTAAAAAAGCGAGACTATCCCGCTCAAAAGTGCGCAATTGGACAGCCTTAACCGATTTTCTGTTACTTGAGTTTTGAGTATTGAGTTTGAGTTCAAATGTAAATCCTTATTGGCACCAGCCAGTAACGTCGTTCTATTTTATCAACATAGTATATTAATATTTAATGCCATTCTGCTTAATTAATTTCAATTTAAATCCAACTGGTTGTTTGATTAAATCTTTTGTTGACATGATACTTATTTTGTACCATAGAAACAACCAGAACTTTATTAATTGTCATAGCTCATGAATTGATGATAATTATGACTAGCCAGGAATTTGAAGTGGGGGGGGGGGGGGGGCAAATTTTTTTTGTATGGAAAACTTTTTACAGTTCGAGTTTTTTCGAGTTTTTCTTAAAAACTCTAGCAAAATGAAGAAATTTCTCAAGACGAAGGTGGATTTGTCTCCCAGGCTACGCGCCTGTGATTAGTGTTAAACTCTTTTCATATCATATTAATGATAAGAACTGTAACTTACATCAGAAAAAGGTGGCAACAAAGCTAATATTAAGATCCCGAACTAAGTTGAGGTTTTTTGAAAATTTAAAAAATTCGGTTTTTTTAATTTGACAAAAGTTTGGTTAAGAAATCAAAAGTTTATTTGAATCGTAACAGCTCAACAGCTTCTCCAAAAACATTATTCATGCTTAATACTAAATGTTTAGGTTCAGCAATCAGATCTGATGTTAATGAAACTCCCACATTCTCAGCAGAACCAACATTAGTGCAGTCAAAGACCAAAAGTGTTTTTGATGCTTTTAAAATTCCTTTCACAATTATTAAATGAGACTTTATAAAATATTTAAAAACATCAATTTCAACATTTTTCTTTTTTTTTCAGCACAGAAAAGATAAACAACTCGACTAAAAACACCAAAAATGATCCATAAAGTGCGATAAAGCAGATCTGAAATCCAAAACTTAAATGTCTTAAATTTAGCATAATTGTTTCAATTTCTCTTATTTTTGACATTAAATTCCATTTAGATTTTATGATTTTTTCAACATAATGATCAATAATTCCGCCAGACAAAAGTCCCTCAATCGCTTCTTGAAGTCGTTCATTCCAAAAATTTTGATAAAATAGTCCAAATGTTAAGTATGATTTGCTAATCGAAAACGGAATTGATCGATGCGGCAATGAAGTTTGTTTGTAGTGAATTAGTAGTTTATGCTCAATATCATTGTTATAGACTGTTCCACGAAATGCTGGATTTGATAAAGTATTTGTATAAATTTCATCAAATTCTCTTAAGTCGACGACTTTTGTGGTGAGGCTGAAAAGTTTAAAAACTAGTATAGTTGAGGCAACATGAGATTCAAAAAAATGTGACTAATCAGTTCCTTCTATGCTTTCTCGCTATCGGGATCGGGATCGGGATTTCCCGGGATTTACCGATCCCGATCAATCCCGGGATCCCGAAATTTATCGGGATCGGGATTGAAAATCCCGGTTTTTTAATTTAGGAAATTATTGATGTTTTAGAACCTGCTAAATACGCGACAGAAGAATTATTGCGTAAATCAGACGATTTATTAATTGCTGAAGGAACAATTAACTTTTTGCTAGACGAATTGTTGCTACAAGGAACATTATTGTCTCAAAAGGTTTACGATATGAATTGCGCTCGCATAGGTGCACGAAGAAATGGAACATTAATTGACTTAATACTTTACCTCAATATATTTCTTTAGACAAGCATTTTAAATCGTCAACAAAAGCTGCAATACATAAACTTGGCATTGACTTATTGAAAAAGTATTTTGTCAAAAACTCTACAAATGGAGCTATGGAAGCTTCAACATCCAGTGCAAATCAAATCCAACCGTCAAACATTTCTATTCGAGATAGACTGAAACTAAGCATATCTGAATATACATCATTAACAACAGATGCAGCAGCAACAGAACCAAATAACTTGAAAAGAGAGTTTAATTGGTATGACAAAAATAAGAAGAGAACCGTTTTATTAGATCAACTTTACGATGCATTGATAACAATGCAGCCGACCTCAACTCAAAGCGAACGAAATTTCTCTATTAGTAACAACATTCTTACAAAACAAAGAAAACGTTTACTTGACAAGAATCTAAATGCAATTGCATTTGTTAAAAGTTTTTTCATTAATGCTTAATTTTTATTATTATATTCACACCGTTTTCTATAACCTTTAAACTTACATCTTTATCAACATTTATTTTCTATTTTTGTTTATGTTCACATTTTTCAAAGGAAACATGGATTAAAACATCTACCTTGTAACACATAAATTATAACTAATTAATTAAGGAATAAATGACCGTATAAGTAGCAAAAAAATATACAATTTTTTTTGGAAAAAAAAGCAGAAAAATGCTGTTTTTTAAATTTTTTTACATATTCGGGATTCCCGGGATTTCCCGGGAAATCCCGAAAAATTTCAATCCCGATCCCGATCCCGAAAATTTGTCGGGATTTCGAGAAAGCATAGTTCCTTCTTACCCTGTTTGATTTTGAATAAAATTTATGACGTGCACGCTAAGTTGAGCTCTTGTTCCGAATAATGTAAAGTTCTTGATCTTCAATTCCTCTAAAGTTTCAATTTCTGGTCGTCTCACTGATGTTATTATAAATTGAAATAATTTTCCTTGGAACGCTGTCTTGAGCATCAAACCACTTAAGATAAATGAGATTAAAATTATTCGAGTAAAATTAGTACTTGGCAGTAAAATTTGTTTGGTTTCTAGAAATTGCTTTGTCAATATTCCTGCAAAGATTGAGAAAATAAAGGTTATGCTGATGCTAATCCAAATTATGGTGTCGAACGGTAAGAATAATTTTTCAGATAATAAATCATTAGGTGGAATCAACAGCTGTGGTCTGAAATGATTTTAAAAAAGTTTTATACATTTGATGCTTGAAGGGTTGAGTTCTTTGAGCTGAAAGCACTATCTAGTAGAAGTTTTTTGTTTATCCTGATTTATCTAGCAAAACGATCTATAATTCAAGCAAAATTCTGGTCTGTCCTTTGAATTACAATCAAGGGAGACATGTTTTTTACCGAAAAAAAAAACACAATTCTACAACCAAGCTACGTAACTAGAACGATGAAGTGAAAACGGTGTTTCTAGTACTTGAAAACTTTATCTGAGATTGAACCCAGAACCTTTAGCTAGTAAGGACAACGCCCTATCAGAGTTCGAAGTCAATGAAATTTTGGAAGGAGTTGAGTCGACTCGAAGTCAACTCGGCTATATAAAATAGATGAAAATCTCAAGTCGACTTCGAGCTCTGTGATCTACCATTTAGGCCACTGATGCCATTTCCCTGTATATGACAATAAAAAAGCAATATATTATTTTTCAACACTTTTGACTTCCCGTGACTTCTTGTGAACGTCATTTAACTTCAATTTTATGCAATTGAAAATATTGTTACATCACTGACTTCCCAAAATCCCTTTTTGACTATCCTTTGACCTTTCTTGACTAATTTTCACCTGCTCTTGCCAAACCCATGCTTCTTAAAAAAACCAAAAAGTATTCAACTTACATGACTTGAATGCCAATCAATAACTTTCTCCACATAAATAATTCATCTGAATTAGCATCAAAAGACGACAAATACAAAACATTATTAATATGTCCAACACGATCATTTGGAGCTGCACATGCGAAGGAACTGCACATCACATAATTGAGTTTGAAATTTAAGCTATCAGCAATATCAATAATAAAGTTTTTTAGTGGTCCTGCTGTCTTTATGATTCCATATTCAAGTTTGAATTGTAGAAAATTTGAGTTTCTAAAGATGCCAATAAACATGTTGCAGCCATGAAAGTTTATGTATTTGCGATGAATAATTGGCTGTTTGGTCCATTTGTGATGTGTTGTTGAAAACTCATTGGATTGAACAAGTTGCTGAAGATCGACACAAATTTCGGTGTTGTTAAGGTTCTCGAAAGTTAAAAGTTTAAGTTTTTGGTCTCTTGTCTCATAAACTATAAAGTAGCAGTAAGGAATAATCGATAAAGTTGTGTCAATACTTGTCAATTGCCAATTAGTCATATTTTGACAGTAAATGACAAATCTTATTGTATTTATGAACTGTATTTCGATGGAACTGTCAATTAGGAACTCAGAGAAGTTTTCGAAGCTATTAAATAGCAAAATTGATTGATGTTATAGCTTTTTTGGCCGTTTTTGAGGATCCTGGATCTTTCTTAATGTCACAGTCATCGAATTGTTGAGATTTTTCATAATATTGCCAACCAATTCATATTGTCATCCACCAAAGTCAATAATGTCGACATTTCTTGAATATTTCGAATAAAACTTGTCAATAATTTCACAAATTGAGATGCTTACGAGGAAAATGTTTTGAAGATTTGCAGAATTCGTGAATAAAAAAATTAAAATAATTTTCAAATGAACCATTTTCTGTGGTTTTAAAAGTAAAAATGATTTATTAATTAATTTGTCAGTTGACGTTGAGTTTTTCTTCGGGTTATTCAAAAATTAATAAGCAGCATTAATCACTTTTATACATCTTTTACCAAAATTTATAACTGCATGTTTAAGGACAATTAATTAAATTTGTTTTAACATATCAGATACAAGAATGTTTGTAGCTTTTATTCTTAAGTCTGAATCAAATATTATTTTATTGATTATAAAGTGGTGTTAGTGTCCAGAATGGCACATGCTGTATCTCAAGAAACGAAGCATGACCAAACTGTTTGATGGATGACCAAAAATAACCTATATAAGGACAATGTTCCGTTTGAGTTGCAAATCGATTGGACATATCCCGTCCGCGTACGTCCAGAACACTTTCGATGCACTTCACTTTTGTGACTGGAATAATTTATTTATAGACTAGCAGTGGAGTTCCAACAATTCCTGATCTAAAATACCAACTTCAATTTTAATGTAGCTTTTCGATCAACAGCCGAAGGTTTTAACTCTCAGAATCATCAGTATTGTCAAGATCATGTCCTGTTTTATCGATTTCTTTAATAATCTCGTCCAAAATTTGAATTGAACTCTTTTCTGACTCTTCTTCAAGAGTTGGCACCTGATCTAAAGTTGATTCCCAACTAAGAACTGATTTCGAACTATTAAATAGTTCCTGGTTTAATGTTTTAGTCTCTTCAACAGCATCTGGCTTTGCATTTGTGATTTGAATCAATAATGTAGACATAAAAATCATGCAATGCTCAGTAAAATGGTTAAAACTGTTGTTAGAATTCTCTTTAGTTTGCTTAATGCTTTCCAAACATTTTTGAACCCAAAAAGAAGCAAGTTCAAGTAGAAAAACCAAAAATGCTAAATAAAGTACAAAAAAGCAAATTTGAAATCCAAAACCAAGATGACTTAAATTCAGCACAATTTTGTCAGTTTCAAAGTCCTTCCTTTCTGAATTCCAACCAGTTTTTGTAAATCTTTCCAAAAACATATTAATAATTCCACCAGTTATAAATCCCTCAGTTAATTCCTGAAGTCTCTCATTCCATAAATTTGGATACATAAAGCCAAGTGCATAATTTGACTTGGATATTGGTGTTGAAACGAACCGCTTGCTCATTGGTTTTTTTAGATAAAATATATTCATTTCATGTTCAATATCGCACGTTAAGACAGCTCCAGTAAACGAAGAGTCTGTGATGTTATGGATATAAACTTGCGTATATTCTACAACTGGTATGAAGTTAGGTTTGAGGCTATGAATGAAAAAATAGAAGCCGAAAGTCATTACAATGATTAATAAGACTTACTTTAAAACTCGTTCAATAAACTTTTTTGTCATGCTTGTTTCCTGATTTTTATGCAAATAAAGTGTAAAATTTTGATGCCTTAATTCTTCCAATGTTCTTAATTCAGGCTTTCGAATTGCTGTCGTTGTGAATTCAAACAATTTTCCTTGATATGCTGTTCTTACAACTAAGCACCACATGATGAATGAAAGGAAAATTAATCGTGCAAAACTTTCTCGCGGCAGTTGAGTCTGTCCGATACCGAAAAATGCTCGAAATATGTTAAATGTTGGAGTTTTGATTGCTGATCCAAAGACAAGACTTCTGACATATTTGGAGAATCTATAAATGATTGAAGTTACAGCAACAGATGATGCAAAGGTTACGAGTAAGCTGATCCAAGTCTCGTTATCAAATGGCAGCAATACCTTCTCAAATGATGTGTACAAGTCACCAGGTGGGACGTAAAGTTGTGGTCTAAAATATATAATTAATTAATAATATCAAATCTTCACAATTTCACCATTAAATCTCTCAGGAAGCTCAAAAGCATGCCTCTAAAGGTAGATCGGGTAACCCAAAATGTCAAGGTTCCACCTCAAATAGCCTTTTAAACATTAAAACTCACGAGCATTCAATATTCAGCATCACATTCCTCCAGCATGGGTTAACATCCATATTAAGAGCATGAGCTTCAAGATTTTTTGTACTTAGTAAATTATATAAATAAAATTTTTCTTTAATTCCGTCCAAACATGCCTGATCAAAACATGTCAACATCATTAGCGTGAAATTTAACTCTTTTGCAATAACTGACAAAAGCTCAATAATTGGACCATTTGGTTTTTGATCTTTGTAATCGATTCTGAAGAGATTGGATGTAGCAGACAAGCTAATGACCATTTTACAGCTGTAAAAGTTTTTGTATTTCTTTGGGAAAATTGGACTTTTGATCCATTTTGATGATTTTGTGGAAAATTCGTTGATTTTAATCAGTTTTTGGCTTTCATGACAGTATGTCAAGTCATTGCGGTTCTCGAATGTGTAAAGATTGATGTTTCTATCCAAAATGATGAAAAAATAGAACGGCGGAATAACCAAGTCAGTTTTGATGCTTGAAAATGCTGACTTACTTCCATTGACTACATAAACTAGAAGTCTGACTGGATTAATGTACTTTAAATTCAATAAATCTTTATAGTTGAAGTTCTCAAACGTTGCAAAATCATCAAACAACAAAATTGTTTGATCTTCAAGCTTTTTATTCCAGTTCTGTGGATCCTGGATGTTAATCAATGTCACAGTCATCGAATTGTTGAGATTTTCCATTATTTTTTCAACTAATTCACTTTGTGAACATCCAAAATCGATAATGTCGACATTTCTTGAATATTTTGTGTAGAAATTGACAATTATTTCACAAATTGACATGCTGAGAAAACTTATGTTTCAGGAACTGACTAGTTTTATAGAAAATGTCAGAAATAGTAAAGCAACTTGAATAATGTCCTTCATTCTAAGTCAACTCTAATGAAATTCTAATGAATGAATAACAATTTGAGCGTTTCGATGGCCATGACAGATGTTTTCGAGGTCAATTGAATATTTAATGAATCCATGATGCATGATTGACTTAATCTCTGTCTTGGTCCAGGTTGACCAATTAAATCCTTGCCATGTCGACTATATTGAGCGTAGATATTAAAAGATGGACAACCTGGATCAATGTTTTTGCTTTTTATATTGTCTAAATCAAGCTGCTAATCTCATAATAACCAAAGTGGACATAACAATAATTTTCTAAGATGTTGCTTTTATTTTGTGTAGTTTTCTAAAAATGCTGATCCGATAAACTGAAAGTTCCGCCAGAAATACCAAAAATGCACCATAAATGGCAAAAATACAAATTTGAAATCCAAAACCGAGGTGACTTAAATTCAGCACGACTTTGTCCGATTCAAAATTGCCACTTTCTAGATTCCATCGAGACTTTGTGAATCTTTCTAAAAACATGTTGATGATCCCGCCTGTTATAAGTCCCTCAACAATGTCCTGAAGTCTTTCATTCCATAAATTTGGATACACAAAGCCGAGAGCATAAGAAGATCTAGAAATTGGTGTTGAAATGAATCTTTTAGCCATCGGTCTTTGCATATAGTAAATACTCATTTCATGCTCAATGTCACATGTTAAGACAGTTCCAGTAAATGTAGGATCTGTGAGGTTTTGCAGGTAAATTTGTGAATAGTCTAATAATGGAATGAACTTCAATTTGAGGCTGTTAAAATGATTAAATAATAAAAATGTTAGGAAATTAATAATGAGCGCTCCACTATAAAATGGGAGAAGCTGAATATGTCCAGATTCATTACTTACTCAATAATTCTTTCCAATAATCCCTCAAATGAGCTAAAATTTTGATTTTCTGGCAAAAAAAGTGTAAAATTTTGATGCCTTAATTCTTCCAATGTTCTTAATTCAGGCTTTCGAATTGCTGTCGTTGTGAATTCAAACAATTTTCCTTGATATGCTGTTCTTACAACTAAGCACCACATGACGAATGAAAGTAAAATTAATCGTGCAAAACTTTCTCGCGGCAGTCGAGTCTGTCCGATTCCAAAAAATGCTCTAAAAATATTAAATGTTGGACTTTGAATTGCTGATCCAAAGAAAAGATTTTGGACATTTTTTGAGAATCTATTGATGATGAGAATTACAGCTACAGATGATGCAAAAGTCAATAGTAAGCTGATCCAAGTCTCTCTGTCAAATGGAAGCAAAACCTTCTCAAATGATGTGTACAAGTCCCTTGGAGGGACATAAAGTTGAGGTCTGAAATTAATTTTGAGTAACTTATCTACAAATAGCTACAAAACACATCAATTAAGGTACATCAGGGATCTGGGAACACTATTCCTTACTTAAAGGATGTATCACAGCAATTTAATCAATAAAACTTACGAGCATTCAATATTAAGCATCACATTCTTCCACCAAGGTTTTGTTTCTATGCTGAGAGCATGAGAATCAAGATTTTGTGTACTGATTATATTGTAGACATAATAACTTTTCTTGACCTTATCAAAACACTTTGGTTCAAAACATGCCACAATAGTCAGTTCAAAATTTAATAAATCTGATATTGTCAGGAGTAAATTAACGATAGGTCCACTTGATATTTCTTCTTTAAAGTCGATTCTCAAAATATTTGATTGGTCGACAACGCCAATGACCATTTTACAGCTGTAAAAGTTTTTGTATTTCTTTGGGAAAATTGGACTTTTAATCCATTTTGATGATTTTGTGGAAAATTCATTGAATTTAATCAGTCTTTGGCTTTCATGACAGTATGTCAAGTCATTGCGGTTCTCAAATGTGTAAAGATTGATTTTTGTATCCAAAATGATGAAATAATAGAACGGCGGAATAACCAAGTCAGTTTTGATGCTTGAAAATGCTGACTTACTTCCATTGACTACATAAACTAGAAGTCTGACAGGATTAATGTACTTTAAATTCAATAAATCTTTGTAGTTGAAGTTCTCAAACTTTGCAAAATCATCAAACAATAAAATTGTCTGATCTTCAAGCTTTTTAATCCTGTTCTGAGGATCCTGGATGTTAATCAATGTCACAGTCATCGAATTGTTGAGATTTTCCATTATTTTTTCAACCAATTCACTTTGTGAACATCCAAAATTGATAATGTCGACATTTCTTGAATATTTTGTGTAGAAATTGTCAATTATTTCACAAATTGAGATGCTCAACAAGGAAATATTTCAGGAATTTACCAACTTAAAAGAAATTGAAATTGAAACTAAAGTTATTAAAAATAAATTCTTCATTTCACGACTGTTTATGATCAAAACCTGCTGACAATTAAAGTAAAAGATATATTTTTCGACTTAAAAGCAATAAAATGGTAGAAAAAATACATGTCAGATATTGTCCTTAATTAAGAAACTTCTTCTTCGGAACTAGAAGCGTAGGAAGGGGTTTAAAAGGACAGAGTGGCAGATGGACAATTAGAAACTGCGATGTGGAGTTGGACAGTGTTAAAGTGAAGTTTAAAGGCTGAGGATTAGTAAAGTTGAAGTTAGGAAATCATTCCTCAAACATTGTCCTTAATACACACTGATACAGCTACAAACGGTCCCTGAAACTTAATACAACAGTGCTTACATCCAAAAAACATTTATTCCAATACAAAACAGATTGAAAATCATTTTACAGCTAATAGAAACTTGTCAGTTAACTTTGGTATAGCTTGAATGACGTCTTTCACACAAATTCAATGAATTTTTAATAGCTCAGAAATTGAGAAGAAGAAGACGCACTCGTGGCACTCAATCAAGTAGTTAATCTGAATCCAAATCGTCAATAACTTCACCTAAAATTTCAATCCTATTTTGTTCATCATTAGTCTGCCTCTTTTTAATTGAATTTTCAGGAACATCACTGAAGAATGTGCGAAACTTACTCAATCTTAAGTCAAAAAACGTTCTCCAACTTAATGGAATTATTCTGCAGATTTGACTGAACATTCCTCTAAAAAAATCTCGACATGCTTTTACTTCAGATTGATATTCAAGCATCTTCCTCTTAATTTTAATCATTGACCTGTGAACAATTAATTCACAAACAAAAACTATTAATGCTGCATATGATGCAATAAAGCAAATTTGAAATGCAAAAGTTAAATGTCCTAAGTCTAATAAAGTTCCTTCTATCCCCAACTCATTCGACTTCATGTTCCACTTTGACTTTGTGTATCGATTCAGGAACATGTTGATGATTCCACCAGTCACAGTGCCCTCGACGATCTCTTGAAGTCTTTCGTTCCATAAATTTGTGTACACAAATCCAAATGCGTATTGAGAGTCTGCCGCTGGTGCTTGAATCGAATGTTTTGGTGTTAGAGTTTGTGTCGTGTGAATCAGTAGGTCTAATTCGACTTGTGTCTCAAATAATGCTGCAAAGAATGATAGATTTGAGAGTTGTCGAAGATGTTCTGCTATGCTGTGTTGGCTTAAGACGAACATTTTATCATACATGAGGCTGGTGTTTAGGTCTCCAATAGGCACCCTAAGAGAAAAAAATTAAATTCAATGTACTTTAAAGTAAAATTCAAATGATATTAATCTGAGACTGGGGTCAGGTACTAGGAAGCCAAAAAAATTAGGATTTTAAAAGATTAATGTGTTGGATATCTAAAGTTGATACCGAATAAGATTTCAACCTCTTTCCATCACGAAACTTAGCTTAAAATTGATAAATGTGCGCCATATTTAACTCCAAACATTAATGTCTCCCCAAATATGACGCACGAATATTTTTTCCGCACCAAAATTGACTTACATTTCATGTTTAAGTGCTCTCGATTTATTCCAAGAAATAAACTTAATCGGAATATTTTGGCTTTTAAGATCCTTGAATGTTCTTGTCTCTGGCCTGAAAATCGCAGTTGTTGAAAACTCAAACAATTTTCCATGATAAGCAGTTCTTAATATAAAACACCAAAAAATGAATGAAATAAAAATGAGCCGAAAAAAATCCTTATTTGGCAAGATTAATGATCTAGATCCAAACGCTGATTGTAATGATTTGAGAATCAGATTTTTGGTAAAATATTTTGACAGTCTAATTGGAAAGAGAATGATTGTTATAAATAATATGATTGCCATAAAAATCCAAACGCTGGTGTCAAAAACAATCATAAATTTTTCAGATGACTTTAACAAACTACTGCTTGATAAAAAAATACGTGGTCTGAAAATAAATCAAATTTGACTTTTTTAGATATTTTTTGAGCTGAGCTAGAGCTGAGCTAGAGCTGAGCTAGAGCTGAGCTAGAGCTGAGCTAGAGCTGAGCTAGAGCTGAGCTAGAGCTGAGCTAGAGCTGAGCTAGAGCTGAGCTAGAGCTGAGCTAGAGCTGAGCTAGAGCTGAGCTAGAGCTGAGCTAGAGCTGAGCTAGAGCTGAGCTAGATCTGAGCTAGAGCTGAGCTAAAGCTGAGCTAGAGCTGAGCTAGAGCTGAGCTAGAGCTGAGCTAGAGCTGAGCTAGAGCTGAGCTAGAGCTGAGCTAGAGTTGAGCTTGAGCTGAGCTAGAGCTGAGCTAGAGCTGAGCTAGAGCTGAGCTAGAGCTGAGCTAGAGATGAGCTAGAGCTGAACTAGAGCTGAGCTAGAGCTGAGCTAGAGCTGAGCTAGAGCTGAGCTAGAGCTGAGCTAGAGCTGAGCTAGAGCTGAGCTAGAGCTTAGCTAGAGCTGCGCTAGAGCTGAGCTAAAGCTGAGCTAGAGCTGAGCTAGAGCTGAGCTAGAGCTGAGCTAGAGCTGAGCTAGAGCTGAGCTAGATCTGAGCTAGAGCTGAGCTAAAGCTGAGCTAGAGCTGAGCTGGAGCTGAGCTAAAGCTGAGCTAGAGCTGAGCTAAAACTAAGCTAGGTCTGAGCAGAGCTCCTCTAATACTTACATTGCTGGAACATTAATCATAACATAACGCCATCCAAATGAATCCATTTCAAGAGGAAACATGCTCAAAATTGGAAATGCAAAAACATTATAAAAAATAAACATTGATTTTTCCTCATTGCAATTGTATTCATCACAGTAAAATATTCTAACTGAGAAATTTAATTTTTGAGCAAGGACGAATAAAATGTATCCAAGTCCTGCAAATTCATTTTCGACATGTGTTCCTGTCAATTTTGATGGTAAAAATGAATTTGATTCTTGAACTCCTAAATGCATGATACAGTTATAAAAGTTTGTATATTTTTTTGGAAAAATCGGTTTGGTCAGCCATTTTTGAGTGTCTGTTGTAAATTCATTGATTTCCATTAATCGTTGTCTCTCATGGCAAGCTTCAAGGTCATTTCGGTTCTCGAATGTCAAAAGCTTAAAGATGTTCTTGTCTTGATCAAAGACTATAATGTAGTAGAGTGGTGCAATGTTGTTATCAGACGTGAGATTTGAAATATTATAATATGTTGCAAAGGGACAATAAACAACAAATCTGAATGAATTTATGTATCGCATTTCAACAAAATCATGATTTGTGAACCAATCAAAATATTCAAAATAGTCAAACAATAAAATCGATTGATGTTCAAGTTTTGTGTTCCATTTAAGGATGTTTGGGACAGAAATCAGTGTCACTGCCATTGAACTATTGATATTTTTCATAATTTCGCCGACCAATTCATCCTGTGTGCCACCAATGTTAATAATATCTACATTCTTTGAATATTTCGAGTAGAAATTCTCAATAATTTCACAAATTGAGATGCTCAGTAAGGTGATGTTTACTTTGTGTATTGAGGAGCTTACTTTGAATGACATCAGAATGAAAATTATGATTTTTAATATTTTGTTGAACATTTCGTGTCATCTTGCTGTGAATGGTCGAAGACGAATGAAAGGCAATTGAAGAAAACACACACTTGTTACTGTCTTATTGAAAATCGTGCGTCATATTCTGGGAAAACATTAAATTATCCAATTAAGTATGTCAAAGTATATCAAACAAAATATCAAGATAAGCTTAACAAGCATAATTTGTAGAATTTGAGTCTAGACGAACTGCTGATGTTTAGACTGAATGAAACTAAGTTAATGCAAGTCTAATCTTTTGTTAAAGAAGAGACGAAAGGATTTGTTTTGAAGCTTGAAGTGTTGTCTAGAACTGCTAGATCAATTCTTCGGGTGGCTTTATTGGTAGATTCATTTCACTTATGATCGTCCCACATATATTTTTAATCTATACCCTTTTCCTATCCTGCACCTACTCCTGTTTTGCACCAATTGCTTTCCTTCACCTACTCCTGTCCTGTATATATTCCTATCCTGCACCTACTCCATAACATCACCTAAACTTATCCTACAACTGCTCTCCACTTTCCCTTTAGTCTACACCAGTGATGGCTAACCCATATGCCGTGGAACACTGGTGCCCCACAAAATATTTAAAAAATCTCAAAACAGTGGGCTGTGCAAAGTTTCTCTCAAATCTTACCACCACTGGAAGGCCGTGGCACAAAAAAATATTGTGCACCACTGGTCTACATCCATTCCTATCTAAATCTTTGACATGAATTAAAAGATATGATTTTAGGATAGAGTAGATAACGAATATGAGTAGCTACCCCGAATAGCTTAAGTCGGTTAATTGATAGAAAACCGGCGCCCAGCAGTCATTACTCTGGCAAGGTTCTGGCATCGATTTAAATCCAGCACCATTCCAGAGTCACACTGGCTTGGTGCCGGATTTATGATCGATATACTGACTTGTGCCTTTCTATGATAGAGCTGAGGTAGGTTTATGATAAGAGAAGGTATAAAATTAAGGGTTGAGAGCATGATTCACGTTACTTACTTACTTCGCTGGCCGTACAGATCAATTGTGATCCATGGCCTCCCTTAGATGGCGCCTGAAGCTGACTCTGTCGCTGGCTTCCGTTTGCCAATTAACCATACCAAATGCAATACTGTCTCTGTCAACAGCTTCTTTCCAAGAGTTCTTGGGTCGCCCGCGTGTTCTTTTGCCATCTACAAAAACATTCTTAAAGACTTTATTAATGGGAGCTTCAACAGGTCTCCTAACGACATGTCCAGCCCAACGGAGTCTGTTGACTTTGATTCGTCGTACGATATCAGCTTCATTGAAAAGCTGATATAATTCTGCGTTACTCCTGCTTTTGTAAAAGTCACCTTCTCTCTTCGGTCCAAATATAATTCGCAAGACCCTACTCTCAAATACACCAATTGCGTTCTCATCTGCGATAGTCATATTCCATGACTCAGAACCGTACAACACTACTGGGCGTATTAGTGTCTTGTACATCACTAGTTTGGCACGTTATCAAGTCCAAATCATGTTTGATTTAAATTTCAAAATCCACACAAAAATTAACGGACAAAAAAATTTCAAATTTGTTGCTCAATCTTTCGAAAATCAGCAAAACTAATTCGGTCAAAAAATTATTGTAAACATAAACAAAAAAAGAATTCATCACAAAAATCAATTTTTAAATTAAATTAAGAACTTTCAATAATTTTTATAGAACAAGCTAGCCAACAATTCCACCAAAAACAGCGAACAAATTCAAAAACTCCACAAAAGTTCCTAAGAACCTCACAAAAAAATGGAAACAGAAGACATTAAGGATGTCAAATTAATTTATCACGCCATCGAGCCAGTTCGGAAGATTAATCAAGCAACTCACAAAACAGTCGTTGTGGTTGGAAAAGAGCACTTTCTCATGTGTAAGCAACTTATGCAAGATAATGCTGCAGACGATGACTTTGCTGTCCTCCTCAACATTCCACCCCACAAAGTTCGATATTTTAAACATAAAATGCAGCTTTTTGAGGATAAAATCAGAGCGAGAAGACGAGCAGCTAAGCTAAACAAGCGCAGGAGACGACGAAGAAAGACAAAACCGGAAGCAAACATCAATAGATATGTCAGGAAGAAGGAAATGTCTGCCGAAGAACGATTTAAATATGCCAGAGAATTAATTCTTGAAAATTATTCAACCAGTGAAATATCAAAAGTATTGAGAGTCAGTGAACGTAGTGTAACTCGATTTCGGAAGCGACTAAAGGAACAAAAGAAGAAATTACAGGAAGAAGGCAAGCTGGAAGTCGATCCAGAGGAGGAGCAAGAAGAATACAAATTTAAATTTCTCAGTGCTGATGTGAAGGCTGAAAAAATTGCAGAATTATATGCGAAAGGCATGGCAGCGACAGAGATTGCAGAGGAACTGAAAATTAGCGACAGAAGTGTCAGGAGATGGAAAATTCGACTGGACGAGATGAAAAAGAATCCGGAAAAGTATAAAAAGCAAATGAAGAAGGAGAAAAAGGAGGAACAACCACGACCGGAGCCTAAGAAGCAGTACTTAAAGTCGCTGGATCGTGACATTATTGATCGTGCCAAAGCCTCATTTGAACGTGGCGATACCAACAAGGATATGTGCGCTTTACTTGACTTACCAATGAACACAATTAAGAAACTCACTAAAATGATCTCAAATGGAACCATTGATACATTAATTGATGACACTTTGGAACTATTAGCAGCTAAAGGGCGTGGTAAGCTTGTTAAGCCAGAAGATATACCCAAAAAGAGAATAAAAGTTGAGCCGAGAGTTGTGAAAAAAGAATTAGAAATTAAAAAGGAGGTGAGAAAAGTAAACAAGAAAGTCGTCGATGATGATGATGACTTCTGGAATGATGATCCTTGGAACGATGACGACGATGATGATGACGATGATGACGAAGATGATAGCAGTGATGATGACAATTTACCACTTTCGAGACTGAAACGAGACAGCTTTGATGATAGCTTTAGTCCAGAGAAAGTGAAAGAGGATAGAGTTGTTGTGCATGATGGTGAGTACAGTGATCTTCAAATATTGAATAGGGTATGGTATAAAGTAAGGCATAGGACTAGGATAGGACTAGGATAGGACTAGGATAGGTCACTAGGAAAGGTCACTAAGATAAGTCACTAGGATAGGTCACTAGAATAGGTCACTAGGATAAGTCACTAGGATAGGTCACTAGGATAATTCACTAGGATAGGTCACTAGGATAAGTCACTAGAATAGGTCACTAGAAGGGGACTCAAATAAAACAACAATTAAATAAAATTTAATTCTATCCACAGTTGACGATGCAGATCCTCTCGACCCACTCTCGTGTGTCATCATTGAAGAATCGCCAACAAAACCAAAAACAATTAGCCGTGAAGTTCCAAGAAAACCAAAAACAACCCTCGGTAAACGTGAAATTTGCATTGCAAAATGCCTACGCGAGAAAGAAATCCGAACGATGGACATTGCGATGTTGATGAACATCAGTGAAAGGTCAGCATCGAGATTAATCCATAAAGGAAAGGATCTAGCGGAAGAGGATATAGATCAAGAGATATTGGATCATGTAGATAATTTGATTGAGAACCGAGAAGAGATGATTGGAAAGAGACCAGCACCAGCAGTACAAGTTGTGCATGAGCCCAAAGTTCAGGATGATTCGAAGAAAAAGACTGCATTTAGAATGTTGGCGATGAATGTTCGGGTAAGAAAAATGAGATTTAAGCAATTTGGAGTATGGAAGTCATATTTTTCAATTTTATTTTTAGCCAAAAGACATCGCAAAGATCCTCAACGTCTCAGAATCAACAGTTAAAAGATGGAAAGAGAAAATGGAAACAGAAAACACGCCCGGAGCACATGAGATATTCAGTAATTTGTTTGCAATCAAGACAGAGCCTCTGTATGGAGAGGAAGATGATGGCATATATTGAGCTGTTTTGTAGCTTCTGTGAGATATTTTAAAGGCAGACGAACAAGTTTAAGAAAAAGAATTTCAAAAAGTGACACCGGTTTAATATTTAAATTGTAGATAAAAACTTTTGAGATTAAAAAAATAAAGATTGATACATAAAATTGAATTTAAGTTTGATAATTAAGATCTGAAGTTAGATTTCTTCGAGCTGGTTTGACTTCTTCGAGTGGGTTTGACTTCTTGGAATTGGTTTGACTTCTTGGAATTGGTTTGACTTCTTGGAATTGATTTGACTACTTTGAGTTGGTTTGACTTTTTGGAATTGGTTCGACCCCTTACAATGAGTTTGACAATTGCTTAAATCCTAACAAAACCATCTCAAATTGCGAAATTTCAAAAGATTCAAATTTTCCCGCCCAAAACTAAAGGATTTCCGAAACCACGATCACTTGCTCAGTCACATTGTTTGGTAACTAAGCAACAAGGAAGAATGTGCAAAGTGAATAAAATTCTTAAAGAACAGCTGTTCATAGAATTATTTTTGAGTAAACAAAAGCATTAAAATTATTTTTTTCCATCCAAATGTGAAATTAAAAGGCTTAAAAATGCGAATCTACTCAAAATTAGTGTTGTTTGTATTCTTAGTGCTATTTATTTATTTTTTATTTTATTTCAACGACAATTTAATTACCAAAAGTGAAACTGAACAAAAACTTCAACAAAAATCGCAAGACATGTTCATAAATGTTGCAGTTGTTGTCTGCGGCACCGAACGAGTCGATGAATCTCTAGTCATGATGAAATCAGCTCTCCTATTTAGCACCAAAAATACGTCAATTAATTTCGTTATTGTCACGGAACCAAAACTTAAAGAACTTTTTGAAGCAAAAATTGAAAATTTAAAAGATTTTGCAAAGTTTTCATTTGAAATTTTTGATCTGAAATTTCCGGACGATGACAAAGAGACGTGGTTGAAGCTATTCAAGCCCTGCGCGTCACAACGACTGTTTCTGCCTTCTCTACTACCTCATCTTGACTCATTAATTTATGTTGACTGTGACGTCATTTTTCTCTCATCACCCGACCTCGCCTATCTACATTTTAAGTCATTTGAACACTCACAAATCTCAGCGATGGCTTCAGAAAGTGAAAACTTTAATACCGGATGGTACACGAGATTTGCTCGACATCCATTTTACCAACCTTTTGGAGTCAATTCGGGTGTGATGCTAATGAATCTTACAAGAATGAGAAATGTCAATTTTGAGGGGAAAATTCAACCAATTTACCAAAAATATAAGAATAAGCTTGCATGGGGTGATCAAGACATCCTCAACATTTATTTTAATGAACATCCACATGAGATGCATCTGATGAAATGCGAATATAACTACAGACCTGATCACTGTATGTATACATCACAATGTGATGTTTCTAGTGGTGTTAAGATTATGCATGGGAATCGCGGATACTTTCATAAAGAAGGGAAGCAGAGGATTTTTAGGGAATTTTACAAGGCTATTGAGGAGGTAAGGATTAGTTTTTAATATAAAATGTAGTGAAGGCACCTGAACTTAAGAAACCTAATTGGAAGTCACCCGAACTTAGGAAACTTAATGTGAAGGCACCTGAACTTAGAAAACCTAATGTGAAGACACCGGACTGAAGGAAACCTAATGTGAAGGCACCTGAAAGTCTTGTTTCTAATGTGAAGACACCTTAACTTAGGAAACCTGATGTGACAGCACTTGGAGGAAATTTAATTTGAAGGCACCTGAACTTTAGAATCCTAATGTGAAGGCACTTGAACTTAGAAACCCTAATTTAAATGCACTAAATCAATGGTGAAGACACCTGAAACTAGAAATTTTAGTATTAACGAACTCAAACCTACAAAACTTGAATTAATTCACAATGTTTCCATACTTTTTCAGTATAAACCACCAGACAACCCATGCAGTCACATTGTAAAAGCAATCGAAGAGCAAGTAATAGTTTCTGACACATCGAATTGTAACGAATTAATCGACGAATTTTTATATAATCCAAAGAATCTATTTTGTAAAAATGAAATTGAAAACCAAAATGAAATTTTTTTACGAGAGGCTGAGTGAGAAACTCTATTTTATGTGACAAATTACCGAAATTTTTTAACTTTGTGAAGGCTTTTTTTAGTTTTTTAGTAGCAACGAATAGTATTTTGATGATTTAGGTTAAGTTTTGATCATTTTCGTTTAGTTAAGTTATTTATAAGGATTTTATTGGTTTTGAATTCGGAAACTGATGGCTTAAGTTGATACAAAGAAGAGATAATTGATGGATAGGAAAGTATTCTGCGCTTAAAATATTTTAAAGAAGAGCTTAAAGTCGACATTTTATATGATTTTGAGTCTACTTGACTTGATATTTCCATTGATGAGTCGACGTCAAGCTCTGCATGCAAGCCAAAGGTATAAATACGTAAAAGTCGTGAAAGAAATTTAAGGGTTGGACAGCTGATGCTGAAACCTAATAATTGAAAGAAGCTCAACACTGAAGAACCATTTACCAAAAAAAAAAAAATTAAATAACCTCAAAAATAAATTTTACAAGTTGAAAAAAATTATAATTTAACAATTCAAGACAAAGTTTTTAAGACAATAAAGAAACAATTTTTGGATAATTTTTTTATTCCAATACATACAATTGTTTTAAGTTCGCGTTAGTTCATTTTTAAATATCTTACAATGTTTAAGGGACCATAACCTACTTCTAATAGTCAATAAATCATTTAAATTAGAGGAATCAGAAGAAACTGGTAAACATGATAGAGGGTCGTTCACATATGACGTCTGAAATTAATGGTCACTTTTCAAAAAAAGATCAATGAATTTTTAGGTATTTCTATTGTTTTTTTGCAGACCCCCTTCTCTGGACGTTATTAGTGAACGTCCCCTAAGGTAAGCAGTAATATGTCGTTAAAGGGGGTTTATGGATCCAATGAGTAAATGTTGAAATCCAAACATACCTAATCCTAAATACTTTTCTGTGTCCTACAAGAATCTTGCAATTGATATAATTCTTAGCGCAGATCTAGCTCTCTTTGTCAATTAGAGTTGATATCATGGTTTTAAGTTGACGACCTTCAAAAACATAAATTTCCATAAACTTGATCATAATTTTTAGGACTTCCAGCTATAAATAATGGTAAATCGAGATGAAATCGAAATTAGCAGAGCTTTTTTAACATGAAATTTCTCGTCTTTCTTTGGTTGGAGCTGGAATTGAAGGTGCTAAATAGATTTTTAGAGCCTAATCCGAAACGAACTGAAAAAATGACATACAATTAGTTAAAGTTCTCTAAAACTTCAAGGTTCAAAACTTACTTTGTGAAGTCCGACGACTTATCAATCACATGTTCAAATTCAGCAAAGCTCAATGATCCATCATCGTCCAAATCAGCTTCTTCGAGTATATTTTGAATTAGTTGCTCCATATCGAGGTCAGTAAACTGATTATTAAACCCAATTAGCCTTTGAATAACTTGTTTGAGATCATTTTTACTTAACATATCGTCTCCGTCAAAGTCAAAGATTCTAAAGGCCTGAAATAGGTGAGAAAGTTGAGTTTTATTGTGTTTGATTAATCCTTGATAATTTGAATTGGCTCAAGTTATTTCAAATTGATTCCACCTCGTCAAAACTGATTTAAACTATTCAAAAATATTTTAAAACATTCAAAACTGATTCAATCTAGTCCAAAACTGATTCAATTTAGGCCAAAACTGTTTCAATCTAGTCCAAAACTGATTTGATCTAGTCCAAAACCGATTCAGTCTAGTCCAAAACTGACTCAATCTAGTCTAAAACTGATTCAATCTAGTCCAAATCTGATTCAATCTAGTCCAAAACTGTTTCAATCTAGTCCAAAACTGATTTAATCTAAGCCCAAAATTGATTCAATCTAGTCCAAAACTGATTCAATCTAGTCCAAAACTGATTCAATCTAGACCAGAACTGATTCAATCTAGTCCAAATCTGATTCAATCTAGTCCAAATCTGATTCAACCTAGTCCAAAACAGAGTTGCGATCTGTCACAGGTCAACAAAAACAGCCCACCTGTCACAGGCCGTTACCTGTTCACAGGTCAAATTTTTTCGCCTATCACAGGTCTGACCTGTCAAAGGTTCTACCTGTCACAGGCCGTTACCTGTTCACAGGTCAAATTTTTTCGCCTGTCACAGGTCAGACCTGTCAAAGGTTCTACCTGTCACAGGCCGTTACCTGTTCACAGGTCAAATTTTTTCGCCTGTCACAGGTCAGACCTGTCAAAGGTTCTGCCTGTCACAGGTCGTTACCTGTTCACAGGTCAATTTTTTTCGCCTGTCACAGGTCTGACCTGTCAAAGGTTCTGCCTGTCACAGGACGTTACCTGTTCGCAGGTCAATTTTTTCCACCTGTCACAGCTCTGACCTGTCGCAGGCCTCACCTGTGACAGGTCGTCACCTGTTGACAGGTAGAAAAAATCTACCTGTCACAGGTTTGACCTGTCACCTGTCACCTGTCACCTTTGACTATCGAAATTTTTTTCTTCTAGTGAAGTATAAAGATTTCATACAAAATTCATCAATTTTTTTGCTTCCTCAAGTCACGAGTTCAAATCTCACCGCAAGCAACTTTCTTTTTTTGCATTTTTATGATTTGTTTTTAAACTTTTTTGATATAACATTAAGTTTTATGACAAACTTTTCCATTTTCATATTTTATATCTTCACTTTCTATATTTTAACATGTATTTTAAATTTTTTCCATATATTTTCATACAAATTCAACTTTTTTTGTCATATTTTAGTTTACCAAGCTGAAATCTGACACAAAGACACTTTTCCTAGATCTGGATGTTCTTAAATCGTAATCTTGGATTATAATTTATTATATATTTCGACTTTTTGCGGTCTCGAATGACAAAGTCTATACTAGTTTTAATATTTTATGCCATTTTATGATCCAAGATTACGATTTTAGAACATCCAGATCTAGGAAAAGAGCCTTTGTATCAGATTTCAGCTTGTTAAAATAAAATATGTATAAAATATTGATAAAATATGACAAAAAAATTTAAATTTGTATGAAAATATATGGAAAAAATTTAAAATAAATGTTAAAATATAGAAAGAGAAGAAATAAAATATGAAAATGGAAAACTTTGTCATAAAACTTAATGTTATATCAAAAAAGTTTAAAAACAAATCATAAAAATGCAAAAAAAGAAAGTTGCTTGCGGTGAGATTTGAACTCGTGACTTGAGGAAGCAAAAAAATTGATGAATTTTGTATGAAATCTTTATACTTCACTAGAAGAAAAAAATTTCGATAGTCAAAGGTGACAGGTGACAGGTGACAGGTCAAACCTGTGACAGGTAGATTTTTTCTACCTGTCAACAGGTGACGACCTGTCACAGGTGAGGCCTGCGACAGGTCAGACCTGTGACAGGCGAAAAAAATTGACCTGTGAACAGGTAACGACCTGTGACAGGCAGAACCTTTGACAGGTCTGACCTGTGACAGGCGAAAAAAATTGACCTGTGAACAGGTAACGACCTGTGACAGGCAGAACCTTTGACAGGTCTGACCTGTGACAGGCGAAAAAATTTGACCTGTGAACAGGTAACGGCCTGTGACAGGTAGAACCTTTGACAGGTTTGACCTGTGACAGGCGAAAAAATTTGACCTGTGAACAGGTAACGACCTGTGACAGGCAGAACCTTTGACAGGTCTGACCTGTGATAGGCGAAAAAATTTGACCTGTGAACAGGTAACGGCCTGTGACAGGTGATCTTTTGACAGAAACTGTCACCTTTACCTGTGACAGGTACCTGTCGTCGCAACTCTGGTCCAAAACTGACTCAATCTAGTCTAAAACTGATTCAATCTAGTCGAAAATTGATTCAATCTAGTCCAAAACTGATTCAATCTAGTCCAAATCTGATTTAATCTAGACCAAAACTGATTCAATCTAGTCCAAATCTGATTCAATCTAGTTCAAATCTGATTCAATCTAGTCCAAAACTGACTCAATCTAGTCTAAAACTGATTCAATCTAGTCCAAAACTGATTCAATCTAGTCCAAAACTGATTCAAACTAGCCTAAAACTGATTCAATCTAGTCCAAAACTGATTCAATCTAGTCCAAAACTGATTCAATCTAGTCCAAAACTGATTCAATCTAGACCAAAACTGATTCAATCTAGTCCAAATCTGATTCAATCTAGTCCAAATCTGATTCAATCTAGTCCAAAACTGATTCAATCTAGTCTAAAACTGATTCAATCTAGTCCAAAACTGATTTAATCTAGTCCAAAACCGATTCAGTCTAGTCCAAAACTGATTCAATCTAGTCCAAAACTGATTCAATCCAGGCTGAAACCCCAACTTACATGTTCAGCTTTAACACTTTTTGGTGCTTGATCCGAGAACACAGACATCATGTCCAAATAGTCTTCAAATGTGCAATCTCCAGATGCGTCACCGGAGCTTGAAAATACTTGACAAATTCTATCAGCGAATGGATTGCAGGACAGCTCGGATGTGCTCATCATTTTGTTCATGGAAAGTTTTGCATTTTTATTGTGATTGACTTTTTCGGGCGAGATTGCTTTGAACTTTTCGTGAGCTCTGGAAATTTATAAAATTATTTTGGTGAATTAATTCGTTTTTTTTAGAATTTTTGAGATTTTTTTTGAATAATTTTGCAAATATTTTGAATAATTTTACAATTTTTTTGTAGTTTTGTTGTCAAATTTTTAAATTTTGACACTTTTTGTCTTAAAATTAGCGATATTAATAACGAATCTTCAAGAATCACCCACAGAAGCACCAGCAACTTCAATATTACTCAACAAATCATTGCAAAATCTCTTCACAACCACAATTTACTCAATTTTTATGCAACAAAATCATTTTCTTTATGTCAACTTACAGCAAAATTTCTTTTCTTGTAAAATATGTCAGATCTTCATAGTCTCGCAACTCCTCTTCCGTAAATTGACTAGGTGTGTTGCCCATTTGTGCAGCAAATTAATTAAAAACTACGCAAAATTTGTTTTGTTGTAAAAAAATCAATTTTTTCTTATTTTCTAAAAAAGTTTACTGCCAAATATGACGCATGTCATTGAGATTTTGCAAATCATGCCAGCGACATCTATGTATGAAATTTAAAAATCATTCAAAAAAATCCACATTTTCCTTAAAAATCCTAATTTTATTCATTTTGCATTGATTTTAAATTCTAATAACATAAAAAACAACAATTTGAACTTTTTTTTGGTTGAATTTTTAATATTCAGTAAATTCAAAAATCCAAACTTTTAATCATATTTCCTCATTTCCTGTGTCATGCGGTCGTAAACCAAAGATCTTACATTGATAGCCCACACAAAGTCCATGTGGTTGAATGATGCTTGTGGAACTTGATGGAATAATGTGACTTGTGATCCCATGGCACGGTGGAGGGTGTTGACATCTGATGGAGTTGCCATCCAGTCATTTAAGCTGTAAGGATTTGAAAAAAGATTAATTTTTCTGAATTTAATGGATCAACCAGGAATGTATTTTTGTGTCTATGTCAATATAGCTTCGACAAGTCAACCACAAGGTTAAGTCGAGTATGACATTTTACTGGAGGACCCAGCTATGTCTCAACTATGTCCAAACATCGTCCAAGCTACCTCCCAGCTACATCCCAGTCCATTGTCAAGCTTAAACACCAATTTAACATCAAACTTACCCATAATAGAAAGCAACAGGTGCTGAATGTCCAGTAAATCTATACAATGGTGGTGTCAACTGTCCATAATGAAGCCAATTATTAGCTCCATGATCATATTGTCTGAATATTCCACTTCTAACAATCTGTGCATAATGCAACATATTCTTAATACTAGCACCAGCTGGAGAGTGTGCATTAATGACTGGCAACATTGTTCTATTTGTCTCGACGGAGTTCCATCCAGCAATTAAGAAGATTTGGTTAGCACACATTTCTTGGTACGGAGCTCCATCACGACAGTCATCATAAGCAGCTTGTTTGTCCATCTCAGTAGTTGGTGCGAAATAGTAAGTTCCCATCATTTGGAACATAAGATCGAATGTGTAAGCATAAGTAGCAATCCATCTAACGTATGGAGTAAGGATATATGTCATGTAAGCTGCCGGTGCCAAAAGTTGAACACTTCTTAATTTTGATGCATATTGTGGCTTCTCACTGATCATGACAAAGTAGACAGTTGTTCCCATGGAATGTCCAATATAGTGAAGCTTCTGTTGGCCTGTTCTTGCTAAGATAAAGTCAATCATTGTTGGAACATCAATTGTTCCAATCTCATGCCATCCAAATTCCCAGTAGGCTTGTGATTCGTTGTGAAGGGAGGCGTGTGTGTTCGAGTAGCGATTTCCGCGTGAATTTCCCATCCATACGTCGTATCTGTATATGGAATTGATAAGATTTTGTTTAAATGATAAATCTTAAAAAGCCTAAATGCTTTGAAGTGGCACGTCTTGCAAAAATTTAATATAAACTTACCCTAAATCAGCCAACATATAAACTAAAGCATTATTTGGTCCCATGATAACATAATCAGCTGATGAGCTCAACTGTCCGTGCATCAAGAAAGCTACTGGCTTGTTTAATGCTGGTGGAGATAGAGGTCCACCTGTACATCTGTGAAGTCCAAGACGATATCCATCGGATGTTGTTACTGTCAATGCTTCAGCTGTGTAGCCGTATTTTCTGAGGAGCCCGATCTGCATTTGTGGGAGAATTGATTGATTTGAATTGTTTGATTAAGAATGTGTAGAGTTGGAATTTTGGGTTTGACTGAAAATACACTCCAAATACTACAGCAAAAATGGGTGCGTTTATTGGCATCATTCGACAAATTGAACGTTTAACCCCTTTTATTCCAAAATAAATTATTTTTCTCACAAAAAACCAAGAAATCATCTCTCGAGACTCACCGTATCAAGATTAGCATCCTCCCAAATAGGATCAGCCTTCACCAATGCCACAGCCAAGATACAAAGTACTAAAATATTCATCAATTTCTCCATTTTTTACCACACAAAGGCCTTCTTATTCCTCTCTATTCAGCACAAAAAACACTCAGCTAGTGGTCGCACTCGACAAAATGGGTTGACTAGTTATAGCCGGCGATAAGAGTGACTTATCGAGAAAAATTTTCAATTAGCTAGGCCATAAATATAGAAAATAATCTCAAAAGAGGTCTGATAAGATTGGTTGTGTTAAAAATAAGACTTTCATGTGATTTACAGGTGGTAGATTATTGTTTTCAGACGTATATGGAGAGGTCTGGTACTGTTAGGGGTCAAGAGGTTATGGATGGGAGTGTGATTGATGTTATTGACCTTAATAAGGAGCTATAAATGTAAATAGAGACGTGAAGCTACTTGAGAGCTACAAAAGAGGCTTGGCGACTTAAAAATAAATTATTTTCGTTTAAATTTTTGTACAAAAATCAGATTTATTTGCAGAAATAACTATAAAACCGACTATCTTAACATAGAACCTCATTTAATTTCATCCACCTACAAAATCAATATTTTCCCTCAAAAATAACAGTACTTCCACCCCTGAATGGATCATAACTAGCTTTGACATTACCATTTTCCACAGAAACACCAACAACATTAGCAATTCTAGGAGTTGCTCTCACTTTGTGTCCCATTGTCTCATTTAAAGATTTAATAATATCAGCATCAAAATGTGATGAATAAACAAGCTCCATTGGTGTCAATTGATGATGAATTCTAGGCGCTGCCATTGCATCTTCGAGGGTTTCATTGAAAAAGATGTTTCTGTAAAGGGTGTAGAATGTGCTTGTGATGATTCGACGACCACCAGCGGCTCCAATAAGGAGTCTAAAATTTAAAATTTTAAGGTTATGTTAAAATAAAATTGAGGTTAGGTTAAATATTTTTTGAGGTTATATTTACCTTACATCACCATTCCTATCAAGCACAATAGTCGGAGTCATTGACGAAATTGGATTATTTCCAGGAATTGCAAAATTATTTGGTGATGGCAACACTCCATCCGCGTTAGCTTTTCCAGGAACTGAAAAGTCATCCATTTCATCATTTGGAATGATTCCGGTCGACTGTGATCTCCACATAGCTCCAAAAATGTCATTAATTGTGTTTGTTACAGCAATTGCATCTCCATTTGGTGCTAAAATTGATATATGTGCAGTTCCGCGATCATCAACGTCTGCGTGTTTTACACCGTAGTATTTGACATCTGTTGATGTTTTGTTGTCGTTAACGAACCTTCTTAATGCATCCCCGTACGACTTCGAAACCATGTTTTTAGCAATCGCAAGAACTTCTTCGTTAGCTTCAGCTCCGATCATTGTCCGGTGTGCGAATGACAGCTTCATTGATTCTATCATTCTTTGGTAACTGACAAGATTTGGTTCTAATTTGTCATTTCTGAGAATATTCAACATTAGAATTAACATGGAACCACTGCTGGGTAAGGGACTTGTGTAGACTGTGCTGTTGTTGGTTATTGTTGTGCTGACTGGGTCTGACCATTCAACTCTGAAAAAGTGGAGTGATATTTGAGGTTATATTTTATCGCTAGGGTATTTTTTTTATCAAATTTGAATAATATTTGTCTATGCTCGTTGGATTCAAGAGTCATTTTCCAGGCCTACTAAATTAGCCCTACCTTAGTTAATGTAATATCTGATTAATAAATTGACATTCTATTTAGAAAGAAGTATTATCTAAAAATTGATGCACTATGTGAGTAAAATGGCACACTTTGTGAGTAATCTAGCGCAATGTGTGAGTAAACTAGCGCACTGTCTGAATTAATTGGCGCATTATCTAAGTAAACTGGCGCACTATCTGAGTAAACTGGCGCAATATCTGAGTAAACTTTCTGAAGTTTTGTCAAATTCGCACAAATACCAACCTATAGTCCTTCAAGTCCTTCTCAATCATTATTCCACCATATTTTTGCACATCAGCAACAAACTTTTTTCCAATCTTACCACCACCGTACATAGCATCAATCCCTTCATTTGCTATAATTTCAAGTGTTTCTGCAAGTTTTGGTCGCTTCATTTTATCATTCAACTTCCATGTTCGGTTTGTAGCTGGGTTCATAAAGATTTCTCGCAAACTTGGTTCCGCTAGCAGCTCATCTTCATAAGCTGTGAGCATTTCTTCGAGGAATGGACCGACAGTATGTCCATTTTTACACATATCAATGACTGGTTCAAGAACTTCTTTCCATTTCAATAAACCGTACTTTTGGTGCATTTCCCACATTCCTTTAAGATCGCCAGGAACTGCAACTGCTTTACCACCATGAGTTGATTCTTTTGGTTCAGCTACATACATGTCAACTGTTGAGTTTCTTGGTGCTCTTTCACGTGCATTGATAGTTTGAATGATGCCTTGGCTTTTGAGATAAATTACAGCTATGAAGCCTCCACCGATACCTTAAAAAATTGTCAAAAAATCAAAATCAATTCAAAAAAGCTCAAATTTCTAACAAACCACACGACTGCGGACTAGAAATTCCTTCACACAGCATTGTCGTCACAGCAACGTCAGCAACATTTCCACCTCTTTCAAACATTTTCTTTCCCATTTCTGCGCATTCGACTCCATTGCTTGCAATTGCACCAATGCCAATCTTATCTCCATCTTTTGAATAAATAGCATAAAGCACACCCCCAGCTATAGCAGCAACAACAATAAGAACACCAAAAAGAATAATAAAAAGTTTTATAATTCTGCTTTGAAAATTCATGATTTAATTTTGAGGATTCAGAAGCGACTGAATTATTGAGCTGGTTATTAAAAGATTAAGTTGTGGATTAAATATCTTTTAAGTGCTCAATTATAAAGTAATCAGGTAATTTATGGTTTTTTGATAACCTATTGTAATAACTGAATTATGTACTTAAGATAGCTTTCGAGAGGGGGTGGGCATAGATATACTTTTTGAAGATTATTGTTTAATATTTTTGGAGCACTTTGTAAGACAATTAAGGCTGTTGTGTAATAAACTGTTCAGAAGCGGCCTGATGGACTTTGTATGGAAAAAGGAAACTGAATTCAATGAATTAGGAAAGAAATGTTGTGATAGTTGAAACCCTGGTTAAAGGTGAGGAGGGGGGTGGGGGTTAAAAATTTAAATTATTGTCATTTATGAACAGCCCTTTTCACTTTCGAGCCGTTTACTAATTAATATGATGATGGCTGTTGTCTTTTCTTTTCAGTTGTCAATAAGTAAATGAAAATTGATTTTTAAAATTAGATTCTAGTAAAAAAATGTTGATTTCCACAACCAAATCCTTCCTTCCTTTGGCAATTCATGCAAAGATTTGAAACCAATATTATGCGATCTCTGATAGTTGATGACACATCCAATAGAAATTATGAAATTATCAACACAATGATTAAATATTAATTTTTATTTTTTTTTTCAATTTACCACACAATATTGCCAATAAGCAGCTTATTGTTACTTCAATTGATTCTTTGATATAAAATTTTGAAATTGATTAGGTCAAAAACCGCAAAAAATTATTAAATAATTGAAGAAAGTGATGTCTGGGGTCAAATAAAAATGATGTAAATATAAAAATTTATTTTTTTCTCCCCACCATTAACTCCAAGTGACCCAAAAAATTCCGATAGCCACAAAAATTTTCCGCTCCTTTGCTATTTGACATTGAAAATTTGTGCCAATAGAAAATTTTCTCATCATTTTATGCTCGTTAAAAATAGATCGACTCAACTCTTTCGTTTTAAAAACAAGCGTTCGGCTTAAAGGTCGGGACATCCCATATGATGAGAATAAAAAATTGTGTGAGAAAGTATTTTAATTTCAGGATTGAGAGGTTTGAAAATGTTTAGGTAGGATGGGAATAGTTTGTGGATGATGAAGCATTTTGAAAAAGTATGGCAATTTCAAACTTAAAGATAATGTTATCAGATTTTGCATAAATTTCAATAGAAAGTGCGCCAATTTCATCACAAAGTGCGCCAGTTTTGTAACATAGTGCGCCAATTTCATCACATAGTACGCTAATTTCATCACATAGTGCGCCAATTTCGTCACATAGTGCGCCAATTTCATCACATAGTACGCTTATTTTATCACATAGTGCGCCAATTTCATCGCATAGTGCGCCATTTTACTAAGATAATACGTAAGGCATTTATTTAAAAAAAATAAATTTTCTCTTTATTTAAAGTCTTATAAATCTAGAAACTCATCGTATCGTTTCATCTTAACTCAAACAATTCCATAACCGTCGATCATGTTTCTGCAACAAAGTCTACTCACAAGATATCAAGTTAAACACCAGAAATACCAGATATAAAAAGTATTCATCGCAAAATTGAGCTCAAAAACCATAAAACAAGTTTAAATTCAGTTAAAGTCACCCATCAAGTTATGTACACCAACGAGACCGCGTGACATAATTCACGCACATGCCCCACTAAGTTGACTATAAATATAAACAACAAAAAGACGTTTCTCACTAGAAATTGAATTTAGTTTGCTTTTATCATATGACGAATTGAGACTTGAGCGCTCTGCAGGCACACGAAAAAAAAAATGAGCTTACCGGATTCTCTGAGTAAATTATTTGCGTAAGTGCAGCTGCATTATTTTATTCTATAAAATCTAAATTCATTTTATTGTAGTTACATTGATAACAATAAGGTCAACTTTATCGAGACTTTAATTGAGGCTGTTGCTATTAAGTCAGTAAGTGCATGGCCTCAAACCCGAGATGAGTGTCAAAGGATGATAAACTGGGCACAGCAAAAGATGGAAGCACTGAATATTTCCTGTAAACAGGTGGACATCGGTAGCCAAGATCTTCCCGATGGAACTAAAATTAAATTGCCGAATATTTTGACCGGAACGCTCGGAAATGTGAGTTTAAAATGTAAATAATTTGCATGCGTACGAGGTTTTTTGACCTGCCTCAATATGACTGAGATTGAGTTCATTTTTGTTTATTGTCAGTTTGCGGTATGTGAATGACTTTGTTTTGTTGTACATAAGAAGGAGCTTGTTAAAGTTTTGTATGAAATGCTGCATTGTTTTTTGAGGTGAAAAGGGTGTAGAATCGTGCATTGAACGAGTTTATTGTTGACTTGACTGTAGTGTGAAGGTACCTGAATCTGAAAACACTAGTGCAAAGGCACATAACCTCCAAAACTTTAGTGTATAGGCACCTGAACCTTAAAAGCTTTATTGTGAAGGCACCTGAATCTTCGAAACTAGTATGAAGGCACTATCGCTTTAAAAGTCTATTTTATAGGCACCTGAACTCCAAACCACAATTGTGAAGGTGCCTGAACTTATAACTGAATTGTAAAGGCACCTGAACATGAAAACATATTTAGTATAATTCAAATCTTACTTTTATTTCACAAAATTTACTTAACATACTGCCACAAATTAAAAGATAGCATAGCTTTCTTTACACAAGCAGATAATAAGTTCCAACTGACTAGTTTATTTTCCATTTACAAGATTAAAAAGGCATAAATCATTACGAAAGTGATAGAGAATCTTCTATCATAAAGAGTCCATAATTTATGGTTTTATACCTAAACCCAATCACAATTAATAGCTTTTTATCAACCGCAGAAGAAATAATTGAATATCTTATCAGAAATTAATTTTTATCAGCAAACCGCAGCACATTTCATAGATACCCAAAACCATATAGACCATATTAAATTACGTCATTTTTATGTTTCTTCTGTATTTTTCCATTATCATAACGACGAGTGTGGCAATTAAAAATTGATCGGTTACTCAATAACATGTGCTGCTTATTCAGCTAGTTTCGGAATGTTTGTCACTTGTTTTTTAAGTTTTAGGAGGTAGAATAAGTGTTTTTTTGATGACTCTACTGAAATAATTTATGTGAGATTTATAAAAGTTCTCATATTAAGTCGAAACTATGTACATTGATGCTAGTCAGGAATTATGTAGCTGAAATTAGATCCACACTAAAAATTCATAGAACATCTCAAAACATACATCAGGTCACCTCATACTTCAGTTTTCTGCGACCTAATTCTTTACCATATAAATTTTTAATTTTAGGATCCAGCAAAGAAGACAGTCTTGGTTTATGGACATCTTGATGTGCAACCAGCTGCAATCGAAGACGGATGGGATACAGATCCATTTGTATTAACACCAAAAGATGGAAAATTGTATGGGCGAGGATCTTCAGATGATAAAGGTTGGTAAAAAGCTGTAAGTGTGAAGACACTTTAAATTAAGAAGTCTATTGTGAAGTCACCTGAACCTAGGAACTTTATTGTGAAGTCACCTGATTTTATGAACTCTAATGTGAATACACCTGAACCTACGAAGTCTATTGTGAAATCACCTTAGCCTAGGTGTGAAGACACTTGAATTTAGGAACCCTAGTGTGAAGTCACCTTAACCTAGAAAGTCTAGTGTAAAGACACTTGAACTTAAGAACTCTAATGTGAAGATACCTGAACCTACGAAGTCTATTGTGAAGTCACCTCAGCCTAGGAATTCTTGCTCGAAGTCACCTGAATCTAGGAACCCTAGTGTGAGGACACCTGAACCTACAAAGTCTAGTGTAAAGACACCTGAACTTAAGAACTCTAATGTGAAGATACCTGAATTTACGAAGTCTTTTGTGAAGTCACCTTAGCCTAGGAACTTATGTGTGAAGTCACCTGAATCTGGGAACCCTAGTGTGAGAACACCTGAACCTAGAAAATCTAGTGTGGAGACACCTGAACCTAGAAAGTTTAGTGTGAAGACACCTGAACCCAAGAACTCTAATATGAAGTGTCTTATAGCCCAAATTCGACGTTTAAAAATAGTAGTAAACATTATCAACACAACTAACACCTTATCTTATTTTAGGTCCCATACTCTGCTGGCTCAATGCAATTGAAGCCTACCAACGTCAAAACATCACTATTCCAGTCAACATTAAGTTTGTTTTTGAAGGAATGGAAGAGAGTGGAAGTATTGGTTTACACAAGTGCCTAATGTCAATGAGAAGATGGTTTGATGATGTTGAATTTGCATGCATTACTGACAGTCGATGGCTTGGGAACTATCCATGTGTTACTTATGGTCTGAGAGGACTTGCTCACTTTAATTTAGACATTGAATGTGCGAAAATGGATTTACATTCAGGAGTTTTTGGTGGAACTGTTTACGAGGCTATGACTGATTTATTTAACTTGATGGGTCAACTTGTGGATGTAAATGGTAAAATTCTCGTACCTGGAGTTTATGATGATGTTGAGCCGGTTAAACCAGATGAAGATAAAATTTATGAGAAAATTGTGTTTGATGTTGATGAATATCAGAAGTCTATTGGCACACCTGGAAGGCTACTCTATGAAAATAAGAAAGATTTGCTTCAACATCGTTGGAGATTTCCAGCACTATCGATCCATGGCATTAGTGGAGCTCATTGCAAGCCAGGACAAAAAACTGTGATACCTGGAAAAGTCACTGGAAAGTTCAGCATTCGTCTCGTTCCAAACCAAGATCCAAACAAAATTGAGAAGCTAGTCGTCGATTATTTGTCAAAAAAGTTCAAAGAATCAGGCTCACCGAATCTCATGAAATGTCAAATGTCACACGGTGTTCGAGCATTCACTGAAAATCCAATTAATCATAATTTCCAAGCTGCCGTGAGAGCAACTGAGCATGTTTATGGTGTGGAACCGAATCTCATAAGAGAAGGAAGTACAATCCCAGTGACACTGACTTTCCAAGAAGTTACTGGCAAAAATGTCCTCTTACTGCCAATTGGATGTGGCGATGATGGTGCACATTCACAAAATGAGAAGATTAATGAGAGGAACTTTATTGAAGGATCTAAAGTGCTTGGTGCTTATTTGTATGAGCTGTCGAAAGTTTTGTGATTTAAAGACTGTTTATTTTAATATTTTGTACATCTGCGGTCAGTATTAAGCGTCAACCCTAGTTATAAATCCTAGTTTGGCAGGGATTTATGAGAGTAACTGAACCTGACGATGATTTAAGAAAACTTTTGAAACAAATTTTGTAATAAAATATTTTATAATACAAAGAACTAAAGAATATCTTTTTTAGAACGTCTGTGTGTGTGTGTCTGTGTGTGTGTGTAAGGCACTAAATGACAAAATTCTAATCCTAGGATAGGACTAGGATAGGACTGGGATAGGACTAGGATATGACTAGGATAGGTGTAATCTCACGGAATTAGAGTTATCTCAACCATTACAAGACCACGAGGCTATTTAAAATTATCATCACACACCTCTTTTTATCATCTGTTTATCTAAATCTATTAAAGACAAAAACAAACATAATCAGTTAATGTTGCCGAATAGAATGTCGCAGAATGTTTGTTTTTCTATCTCAAAACTCAGTTCTTATCTCGCAGTAGTTTCTCTTATCAAACTGAAAACAAGTGTTTGTAATTTAATGTGTTTATCACACCACCCGCCACGTAGCAGCATTGCAATTGACAACAAAAAAAGCCAAAAACGTTAATTAAGATAAAAAAAATGCACTTTTATTGCTCAGCACTTGTAGTAAACAAAGGAATTAAATTAAACCTCCTTTAAAGTCTTTCTGATAATCTCGAGAGATTCGTAAATTTGCGACTCGGTGATAATTAGCGGTGGCGCAAGTCTCAAAACGTTATCGTGTGTTGGCTTAGACAATAATCCATTTTCTTTTAATTTTAGACACAAGTCGAAGGCATCGACGCGGTTGTTGTTGATTTCAATGGCATTAAGAAGTCCTTTACCTCTGTGTGATATGACAATGTCTTTGTCTAGTTCGCTGAGTCCCTTGCGTAGAATTTGTCCCATTTTTTCGGCATTTTCTGAGAGTTTTTCACCTTCAAGGACTTCTAGAGCTGCAATTGCTACTTTAGCTGCTAGTGGATTTCCACCATATGTTGATCCATGTGTTCCTGCTTCAATCACATCCATAATATGACGATCAGCTAAGACAGCAGAAATTGGATACACACCACCACTCAATGCTTTACCAAGAACCACCATGTCAGGTCTGACATTCTCATGATCAACACAAAGTCTTCTTCCAGTCCTTCCAAGTCCAGTCTGAATCTCATCAGCTATATAGAGCACATTATACTTAGTACACAGTTCTCTGACCTTTTTCAAATATCCATCACTAGGAACCACAACACCAGCTTCACCTTGAATTGGCTCAGCCATAAATGCACAAACATTTGGATCCTTTAATTCAGCTTCAAGTCTTTCAATGTTGTCGTATGGAATGTTGACGAAACCAGGCACAAATGGTCCATAATTGTCATAAGCTGTTGGATCTGTCGAGGCTGAAACGGCTGCAATTGAACGTCCCCAAAAGTTGTTTTCACAGAAAATTATTTTCGCTTGATTTGCTGGAATTTTTTTGACTTTGTAGCCCCATTTACGGGCAATTTTGACAGATGACTCGGCAGCTTCAACACCAGTGTTCATTGGCAGCATTGCATCCTATAGATTATTTAGGATTAGATCGTAATTAGAACTAGAAATCAGAATTTACTCACATATCCAAAGAGTTTAGTCACATATTCAGCATATTCAACGAGTAAGTCGCTATGGAAAGCACGCGACGTATGATGAAGAACCGTGACTTGTTTGATTAAAGCCTCAACAATTTTTGGATGACAATGACCTTGATTAACACTTGAATAGCCGCTCAAATAATCAAAATATTTCTTTCCGTCCACATCATATAGATACACGCCTTCGCCTTTGCACAAAACAGCCGGCAATGCTGAATAATTATTGCATGTGACTTTCATTTCTCTTTTGATTATTTCACGGGATTTTGGCGGTAAAGCTTCAATATTGTAGTGACCAAGAGCCTTTGGTGTTGTTGTTATTCCACGACTTTGAATTCTTAATAAGGTAGACAGAACTTTAGCTTGCGACATGATTAATAATTTGGATAAAAACTTCTTTTCTTTTGTTGCGAACGCCGAAAATTTATTTTATGAATTTCTATTTTTAGACACAGCCACGATGTGTTGTAAACTTTTTTTTCTTTTATAAAACGAGTCTTGTTTCAGCAACCGAAGCAGACAAAGTAAGAATCAATACTGAGCAGAAAAAAATGTGTTTAGTTGTGGAATTTTTTTGAAAGACTTGAGTCGCTTTTTTTGCGAGAGTTTTTTTTTTACTTCCTTGTTGACTTTATTTTCGAGAGAGTCACTTCCAGAAGCTCAAATTTTGAGAGATTTTTTATAGTTTCTTCTCTCGGTTAAGAAATGTAAGTTGTGAGATTGTCAAGCTGATATGTTGACATGATTTAAAATGATGAATTTATTAAATTGAATTGTTATTAGTACAAACGAAGCTGAACTTAATGTGAAGTCATATTGAAGGTTTTTGTTATAAAATCATAAATTTGGCACCTGGAGCCAAGATAAAGCTTTATTGTGTAGTTATCAAAGGCAAAATTCTATTCCAGGCATGGCCTTTAGGAAATGCCTACAAATAGGCAATATTTTTTGCCTTTCCCTAGTCAGTGCCTATCCTAGTCATGCCTATAGTAAGACAAAAACTAGATTAGATTCATGTAGGTGCATACTTAACATTTTACATAAAAATAGGCACCTCCGTGATTTCAATATAGGTTCTGTCTTAGTAAAAGCACGCTTAAGATAGGCAATGCCTAAGCCTAGGAATTTGCTTTGACTAGACACACTATGCAAAAGAGATTAATAAATTAAATTAAATTAAATTAAATTAAATTACTATATTGTCTTTAACTAGCCATGCGTATACTTAATTGTGGCCTGGACAGAGGCCCTATGGCACCTTTCTGAAAACTCTGTAAAAAACCATTTGATTTAAGTCAATTTGAAACGACATTACGCTGTGGGCTCAGTTCTAATGCAACTGCGGCACCCTAACCTAGTCGCTGATTAGTTTTTAGCATATTGCACATTGTAGTATATCCGAGAGTTACATTTCTGTCTTAGGATACCCCAGATAGACCTAGAAACCGGGCCCGGATGTCTTTCCATCCTGAACAACACAAGTCGGTTATTCGAATAAAAAGCTAACCCTAAACTGGGTTGGAGCTGTCTTTGATTTGTATCTATCACCATGCCAGAGTCATACCGGCTTAGTATCGGATTTCTGATCGATTAAATGACTTGTGCCATTCGGGTATGCTTTATTTATACATACAGAGCTTAATCTCAAATTTTTAATTCCCTCAATCGTATGATGCTGAATGATACAACTATGTCTTCAAAGATCATTCAAACTATTGCAAACTATCAACGAACATTACAAAAGAGCATAAATGAGAGCAAATTTCTAGAGATAACAATAATGACGCAGACAATACAGATTAGTTTGTTTTTGTATGGTTCAGATTCTATTGTGATCATGAATATTATTCGAATTATGACAACGAATCATAAGGCTTGTCATTTATCTCTGAAAAAGCGATACTGACTAAGTTTTCAAGCATTTTCCATGAAAAATAGGTTCAAAAAAGCGGAAAATTAAGGATTTTAGGCGGGACTTTGTTCAAAAATTCAGGACTTTTTCGCTCAGAAATGCGCAGTTGGACAGCCTAAGCAAACTTGATGAAAGAAGTAATCAAATCCTGAATTATTTAGTTTTCAGCCTTAAATACTATAAAATGTTGAAATCATAGATCTGAAATGTGTGACAAAAAGTCAATAAACTTATTTGCATATCAAAAACCGCATCTGAGCTCATCTAATAGCCGCTCATCTGCTGTCATAAAATTTACAGCTCTATCAATAGTCAAAAATCTTCATTTTAGCACCTCCGTTTAGCAACTTTATTATCACATTATTAGTTTTTATTGTGTTTTTCTTAAAAAATATGAATAAAGTTTAAAGCATGGATGTAACCAGGAAGTATGAGACCCCCACAGCTGTCTTGAGCTTTGAGCTTGAGACAGCTGTGGGCTTTTAGCTTGAGATTGTGAATTCTGGATTTCTACTATCAAAAAAGTTGGATTGGCTTCAAAAATGTCTTCCAGCACCCCCAATACAGACTCTGGCCTTAGAGACATCAGTCATTGTTACGTGATTCATTAGCGAAATGTGGAAACGTGACTAAAAGAGATGATTTTTTTGTTTTGATGGTTGAAAGCTGCTAAAAAATTTTGTCATAAAATTCTGTGGATTCATCAGTTGTTTGATGAATTTTGTGGACTAAACGTCGATTTTTTTTAATTGGAAAACTTTAGAAATTTTGTGGATAAAATGTCAAAATTTGAAAATCTAGACATTCCAGAGGCCTCTGAATACACACTTAGTCCTGAAAATTCTGAAAAATTTACATCTTCACCACAAAAAGCATTTGAAAAACCTAAAACCAGTGACAAATCTTTATCAAAATCCGCTGAAATCATCAAGCGGGAAAAACTAGTCACATGCAATAATTACGCATCTATGCCGACTGTTCTATGCAGGGCTGAAGGAGTTTATCTCTACGATGTAGATGGAAATAAGTATTATGACTTCCTTAGTGGATTTAGTAGTGTTAATCAAGGCCATTGCCACCCAATAATTGTCAAAGCATTGACTGATCAAGCTTTAGTGCTTCATCAAACGTCGCGTGCATTCCACAGCAACATATTAGCTGAGTATGCTGAATATGTGACTAAACTCTTTGGATATGTGAGTAAATTCTGATTTCTAGTTCCAAAAAGTATCTAATCCCAACTTATTTACAGGATGCAATGCTTCCAATGAACACTGGTGTTGAAGCTGCCGAGTCATCTGTCAAAATTGCCCGTAAATGGGGCTACAAAGTCAAGAAAATTAAAGCAAATCAAGCGAAAATAATTTTCTGTGAAAACAACTTTTGGGGACGTTCAATTGCAGCCGTTTCAGCCTCGACAGATCCAACAGCTTATGACAATTATGGACCATTTGTGCCTGGTTTCGTCAACATTCCATACGACAACATTGAAAGACTTGAAGCTGAATTAAAGGATCCAAATGTTTGTGCATTTATGGCTGAACCAATTCAAGGGGATGCAGGAGCTATTGTGCCAAGTGATGGATATTTGAGGAAAGTTAGGGAGTTGTGTACAAGATATAATGTGCTGTACATTGATGATGAGATACAAGCTGGACTCGGAAGGACTGGAAGAAGACTTTGTGTTGATCATGAGAATGTCAGACCAGACATGGTTGTTCTTGGAAAGTCATTAGGTGGCGGGGTATATCCAGTCTCAGCAGTTCTGGCAGATCGACACATAATGGATGTGATTGAACCTGGAACTCACGGATCAACATTCAGCGGCAATCCTCTAGCTTCAAAAGTTGCAATGACAGCCATAAAAGTTATTGAAGATGAAAAACTTTCAGAAAATGCTGAAAAGATGGGACAAATTTTCCGCAAAGGGCTCAGCGGACTTGACAAATGTGTTGTTGATTTATATCGTGGCAAAGGACTCATGAATGCTATTGTACTTAACAGAAATGTTGATGCTCTTGATTTTTGTATGAGATTAAAGAAGTATGGACTATTGACAAGACCATCGCACGGGAATGTTCTCAGACTTGCACCACCTTTGGTGATTAATGAAGAGCAGATTAAAGATTCAATTGAGATTTTTAGGAAAGTTGTTGATGAGGTCAAAGTTGAAATGAGGAAAATTGTTGTAAAATCTGCTCTGTAAGCTCAAGATTTAGTCACGGAAGGAGTTGAACCTACTTCATGCCACACCATTGAGCTCAAAAACTAAGGATTTATTTTTGTAGAAAATTAAATAAATTTAATGAAAAAGTTTTTGACCAAAATTGTGAAAGTTCAACAAAAATTGATATAAATAAAGTCATGGTCCTCAAAATTCCAACCATCCTTCCTTATCCTATCTAAAAGGTATTCCAGTATGTTCATTGATAAACCTCAAAAAGCTCGAAACACGAACAGAACTCACAGCTAGTCCATTAGGCAAATTCATGACTGCAGAAGTGATTCCAATCAATGTCATTTGACCATCGCCTTCAAAAATCACTGATGCACCACCAATATCTCGTTCTGTGTCTGTCATAGACACTAATGTTTGATGTTGACTGCAAAAGTCAAATGTTGGGAAGTTCGTATTCCAAAAGCATAAATGCACGCCTAGGATGCGAAAGCTGGCAAATTGAAGGAGTCGTGGGAATAAATTGTTGGCTTGTCTGCCCCATCCAACTGAAAATTTGACAGTTTAACTTAAGGAATCACCGATTAATGGCTTATATTTAAGAACTCACTAGTTGTGGTATTAAAGTCATCAAATCCAAAATTTTCATTAACTAATCTCGGCAATCTGATCGTTCTAATGAAGCTAGTTGTCGGCATGTCAATAGAAAGTCTGAATAATGCAATATTTGGATTAATTCCATTATCGTTGTTGAAATAAGCACCTCTGTTCGCAAAGGAATTGACCATTGAAGCACTTTGCATGTCATTTGATCCGAGAAATGCTAAGAGACTGTCAGCTGGTAAGTTTGGGTTGATTCTGAAATTACAAAATTAACAATTCTAGGAAATTTGAATCAGCAAATTCATATGAATTATAAAATATCATATTCGATCAGTTTATAAAGAAACAGCAAGTGTTTGAAATTTGAGCGATCGTGAGCATTAAAACATGACTCAATTTGTACAAACGGCTCAATGGTCTAGTGGTATGATTCTCGCTTTGGGTGTGAGAGGCCCCGGGTTCAAATCCCGGTTGAGCCCCATTTGTAATAAGTTTGAGGTTATGTTGACTATTTTTTTTGTAGAATTTTCTAAAAGATTCATTTTGTCACATTTTTTGGGATTTTTTTTTTAATTTTTCGTAAAACACATTGAACTTACAACACAGTATCTTGTTAAGTACACTAAATGGATCTAAAGTTACAGGAGGATCAATGAACACTTTGCAACAAGCACCGAAAACAGAATGTTGTAAGTTCAGAGAATTCTATTCTTGTTTTCAACAGATGCAGAACTCGCAACTTTACTCCTAAAATAGAATTGAATGCTTGATCTTGTCCTGAGCGCAGGTAAGTATCCTAGTTTCTGGACTATGGATCTAATATCTGAGAATCCTACAAATTTAAAAAAAATCCCCCATAAATGTGACAAACCCGGAAAGCACAGTGCGCCGAAAAGCGGTGTCAATATGGAGCACGCCAAGCACCAAATCAAATTTGTGCTGCGGATTCAATCCAACACCGCGCTGGCATGATTTTGGTATGGCACCGGCGTGTTTTAAAAATTGTGACAAATTCATGCCGGAATGAACTTTTTTATTATTTTTTGACACGAAAATAAAGTGCCAATTAATTGAAAAAATATAAGTGCTTTTTAAAAACAACATTTCTAATTCAGCTATTAAAATTTCGGACCGTTTGACGTCAAACCATATTCATAAACAACTTTTGGTTCCATTTGCTGTTTAATTAAGTAAGTTTTGGTTTTAATTAAGTGTTTTTTTTCATTTGAAAAAATTAAATTTTTTGCAGCGTCCTTTTGGCTTTGTTCGTGATCCGTGCCACATTAGTGCCGTGAGACTATTGAACAAGTGTGAACGAAAAGTTAAATATTTTTTTTCCAAATTTAGATCCCTAAGATAATCCAGTACGTCTATAGTTATTGTAACAATTTTAATAATGTGAGTACATTTATTTATTGGCGCATAATATAAAGTAAGCTGACAATGGGGAGATATAATATTTCGAAAATTTTAAGACTATCGCTTGATTATTCCATTTTTTTACTTTATTTAGGATATATTCTCGGAAACACAATTGCTTGACTCAAGTAACAATAGAACTCATCACATGATCGATTCGTTTTCGCCAAGACAAGCCCAGCATATACAACAAGGAAACATGGTTTTGGTATCAAAGGAATCACTGGATTCCTACGAAGAAACAAATAATTCAGAAACTACCTGAAAAACATAAATCAGGTTAATTTGTTATTTGCAACTTTTGATATTTTGAAATAAAACCAATAAAACCAATAAAGAAAAATTATTTTTGTTAAATTTCAATTGTTTTTTGTAAATAATTTGGCGCAAATACAGCGCAATTTTTTTACAGGTACCGAATTCGTGCTGGCGTGAAATATAAAGCATGCCGATGTCCACAATATAAAAACAGCATTGATACCGTCTCATAGCTGGAACGGTGCCAGCTTCACACCGAAACTGAGCCAAATTCGTACCGGTGTGAAAAAACATCAACGCCGGTGCTGTGTATGTAGAAAATGGCCGAAAATCCAGTATGAAGACTATCACGTTGCCGGCACGGTGCTAAATTCACACCGGCACCGATTGATCCGTGCCAGGTTGACGCTGTCCCCAGGCTGGCGTCACGCCAGCGTGTGCCTTACGGGAAAATGAATCTTTCAGAAAAATCTACAAAAAAAATAATTCGACCTAACCTCAAACTTATGGGTTACCGACAATTCCCCACTGTAATTTCGCCACTTTACATTTGGCCACTGACATTTCACCACCACTACATTTTGCCACCTGTACATTTTGCCACTATTTATTTGCCCACTATTTATTTGCCCACCTGTTTTTTTCGCCACTGCTTTTTTCGCCACCTTTTATTTGGTCACTATTTATTTGCCCACCTGTTTTTTTCGCCACTGCTTTTTTTGCCACTAATCATATGGCCACAAGTTTATTTGCCCACTGATTTATTTGCCCACTAAAGCAAATGATAAAATAAAAAATTGTAAAAAATATTGAAAAAATTTTGTTAAAAAAACATGAAATTTTTAAAATTATTTTTTGGAGCATTTATGGAATAATTGGCCATATTTGGGTGTTCTGAAAAAATCATGCGACCGTACGTAAATGTGCTTGAAGGTGTAACGATATATTGAGATTTGAATAATCTCTCTTCTCTGGCTTGGACTTATCATCACTTATCCACTCTTGCTTCCTTCATTTATTTTATTCTATTTTTCCTTACTGGTTTTTATTAATTTTAATGTTTAAAAAGCTTTAAAGGTTTAATTAACTCTCAATTTACTATTTCATCATTCTATGAGATAATTTGAATAGAAATTAAACGTGACGTAAGGATGCTGGGTTATAAGTCCAGAGATTATAAGTCCAGGTACAAAAATCGTGCACAGAAAATTATAAGTCCAGAAAATCAAAGTCAATAAAGGTTTATAATTCCAGATACAAATTGCACCTGGACTTAAAAGCCTCACCTGCAGTTTATAATTTCAGGTACAGATACTGCTGGAATTATAAACTGCACGAGAGGTTTTTAAGTCCAGGTACATTTTATATCTGGACTTATAAACCTCACGTGTGGTTTATAATTCCAGAAAATTTACAAATTTTACTTATAATCTCCCAGTGCGATTATAAATCCAGACACATTTTTCTGGACTTATAATCTTTGAAAATTATTTGATATAATTTCAAATTTTTATATTCATACCGTATTCACGTGTGAATCAATTGGTTTTGTTCAGATTGAAAAATCAGTTTTTTGCATTCTGTGAGAAAACAAAGCAAAGAGGATTTTGTTTCCCCTTTTTATTCTTGTATTATTTATATTTTAAATGTTAACATCCAGAGCGAAAAATGTGATTTTTATAAATTTTTACACGCTACTGTACCTTGTTTTCTATTCAATCTTTTTGTAAAAGGTAAAATCATAGTCAAAACCAGCAGAATTTACGAAAAATTACATTAACTGTAAGGACAGCTAAGCACTTGTCTAAGCTATAAACACCATCTATATTTACTACTGTTTTTACTTATACACATTAAACTACAGCTGTAAATTGATTTTTACGTAACGACGTAAGTTCATCTGTAATCTACAGCTCACTATGGGGCAAAATGAAAAAAAAAGGGACTTTCACTTTGAAAAATGGACTTTTCCGATTTACACTTTTTGGGTGATTTTTTCTTGTAGAGGACATAAAAGTAGATAGAAATGCCAAATTTCAGGTCATTTGGTGCTGATTTCGCGATTCTAGAGCTGTTTGAAGTTGAAAACTAGTGAAAATTCTGGTTTTTTCATACCATGTTTGAACCGGGAAATATCTTAACTGGTTTAAGATATTGCAAAACGGTTTTCAGTTCCTATTAGTAGTATATAAGAGCTTTATTTTGACATATAACAAAGTTTAGGTTCTGAATGTTTTCGTGCCATTATGGTAGAACATATGTGAAAATTTCAGGAAAATTATCTTCAAACAAGCCGCAACTATCATAAATGAAGAGTTTCCAGGCAAGTAAAAACGCAGTTTTGTAGCCCCATATATCTAGTTTTCAAAACTGTATAAACTTTGAAAAAGTAAGCTAACGTAATTGAGTTATGTTGATTTTAGTAGGTCGTTGAGTATTTGGCCAAAAACTAATAATTCTTTTAAAAATACGAAAACATAGTTTTAAAAATAGTTTTTTGGTGTTTTCTTATGAAAAATAACAATTTAAATGATTTTGTGAAGAAAATTTTTCAAAAACTTCAAAATCTTTCGAGATATAGGGGGTATGTGCTCTCCATCGATTTGGCCATTTGTCACCCTACTTAAACCACTATAACTTTTTTTTGAAAAAATATTTTTTAATTCTGTTTTCGGATTATTGTAGCCTAATGTAATACCTATCCAACGATATATAATACTTGCTAGTTAACTTAGTCCTGGTTATTTATAGGGCTGTTGATTGTGACATACGCAGTTTTTGAAATATTCCCAAAAATTGCATTTTCAAAAATACCACTTTTAAGCAATCTCGAGTATTTTTTTAGAACTTTTTTATGTTTATTTATGACATTTATGAGATTATAAAGCCAAAAAATTAAATTTAGAAACTTTTTACTTCCCTAGTTAACAACTTTGTAAAGTACCCTTGGTAGTCACTATCAGGTGTGAAAATCTCAGTTTTGAAACTATTTTATATATATACTCGTGAAATTCTCTCTACACATCATATCAGTTTTGAACTTCATTGAACAAGTCACTTTCAAAAATGAACCAAAATTCAACACTTACGAAGAAAACACTCTGTGAAATTCTTCGCGACAAAACGTTAAATCTTGCAACACAGCACACGTACTGTTTGGCAGTAATAGAAGAAATTCATGGGAGAGAATTAGCGGAATCACAGAAACCAAGTTTAATTAATAAATTAAACAAGCTGAAGTCAAAGTCAAAAATGTTTTGTAATCAGTCAAATTGGAATAATGCATTAAGAGATCATGCAGATTTCTATGAAGAGGAATTTGAAGTTGACTCACGATACTTCAGCGAATCTAGTGGAGGGATTCTTTTTGAGGAAGAATCTATATATGAAGCAGAAAATGTTACTGACACAGATGAAGATATGGATGAGATTGAATACATCGTCCATGACATAGAGCCTTCATCCAGCAAGGGCATCAAGAGGAAATCATTTGAACAACTAACAAGCGATAAGCATCGACGTAGAAGAGTGGACGAATTAGATATCAGTTTAAAAGAAGCAAAAGGATCATTGTTATC